GCAAACCAATCAGGATTTTTTTAGGACAACAATGCGTTGCTAAGGCCGTTGTCAAGGGGAAAAATCTTACATTCTCTCACTAAATCGCCAAAATATTACATTTCTACTTAGATTTAGTGGGTGAACAATACATCAAATGAGAGCTTATAAATCAGGGAATTTAAAAATGTAGCTTTCAAAAATTTCCTAATTTCTAATTTTTATTTCAAATTCTTGGTGGAAGACCACCTTAATCCGCATGGATTGTATAAACCAGTTTAACGGTGTACTAAAAAAGCGTGTTATTAGTACGATTCTTGACACCAACATGATTTTATGATGAGTCAGTAGTTGATTAATGATACATTTTGTTAGACATCTGAACATGAGAAAATCGGTAAATATTATAGTGTTTGACCATCAGGGGCCGGTTGTATCAAGCCCGTTTAGCTTAAACGGTGGATAAGTTGAAAATACAAAGCGAGTCTATCGTTTTATTCAACAAGCGAACTAAATGTTTTTAACCTTAATACAAAGATACTGTTTACAACTGCATATTCAGTGCATAATATTTAAGTTGACTCATTCAAGAGAGATGTAAGAGTGTTATTTAAACGGGCTTGATACAACCGGCCCCAGAAGTTTGACTTGACGCTCCCCAATATAATTAGCGAAAACATTAGATATGCTCAATCCAGATGCGTATCGAGCTCACTGGATGAGTATTCTAAATCGACACTATATACGAGTAAGTCATGACCTGATATCAACTCATCAATTCTGACGAAAAAATTTCCTCGGGACGTTTCCCTCATGATTTTCGGCGAAGTATCTCGTAATATCGAGCCGTTTCACAATCAAAACTTCCTTTCTCAAACGACAGAACCAACTTATGGGAAAACAACTGCAAATGCACTCAAAGTTTACCACGTCATCAGCAATATCCGGTGAGCGGACTGTGTCGTTTAGCCGACATGCATTAAAGAAGTTGTAATATTCAATCACAGCTTGAACACAGGCTAAGAGACGGGATGTTAATTTACTTGAACTCCTAACATGGTCATGATACTAATAGGTATTGAAGGTGTGCCAGATACATTTCCTTATGAATAAAAAAGAAAGGTATACAGACTTGCAAACAAAGAACCGTTTTATGACTCATGCGCGAGTTAGGAACTTTTTAAAACTATGTATAAACTTCGACCTGGTAAAAAATATAACATTTATTTACGTCCGTGCTCATAACATAGAAAGCGAATAGGCCCTAGCTGTGTGTAAATATCCTCTACAAAAAGTTTTTAAATAGGGGTTCATGATGAAGTGTTGATAAGGTTTGAAAGTGGGGTTCTAACGTATCGCGTGTGCCGAGGAGATTGCGTCCCAGCTTGAGTCCCAGCATAAAGACACCGCAGTTCAATTTGCACGCATGGTAGCCGATATCTTCTCTGCTCGCTCCAATTAAAAATTATGCTGAACCTGGATCTCTGGAAATAAGGAAAAATTTATGGATATACAGAGTCTAGTTCAGAGTATTTCTGAGACTCGAACTGCAATCCAGCATGTGCGCATGTTCCAGATATTTAATCCAACATGTGGCACGTCACCATTGCCATGACTACGACAGTTTGGGCTTTATAGGATGATTCAAATTTTTTGCATACTACACATAGCCTAATCTTTGTCGAGCGCAAGTTGTAGTTGTTTTGAAGGTATCATAAAAGTGTACTTCCAGTGAAAAGCTTAATGAGTGAAGTTTATATACAACAGTGTTCATCGTCCAACTGTCAATATTCTTGTATTGTGAAACATAGGCCGAGATTGACCTAAATGAGTGGAATTCCTTGCATATTCTTTGGATACTACACAATTCCTTATATTATGCTTCCAGGCTCTCATTTGTTAGCACGACACGAAATCTCAAATTGAATAAATGATATACAATGTGGCTGAAGTAACTATACTTTGCATGCATTAGTATTCTGTGATAGAATTTAAAACAATATCTTTTCGTCCTCAAAATTCAATATGCTATAATTAAGAATTATAAATGAACTGTTATACAAACAAGAGCATCGCATGCATCTGTTATCTTATAACAACACACTCTTCAGATAACGTATATAATTTCGCTGCGGAAGGGTTTTTTTTAACCAAAACAACCGCAAATGGTATCTTGAAAGATATCAAAATAACGAAAAAAATTAATCCAACTTCAAAATACAAAAATAGCATCAACAATAAACATGTTTTTTTTTCTCCCTACACAAGTTCAAATGTGATTAAACGCACGATGCGTCTCAACAATGAAGCCATTGTGGTCGTTGTTATTGCGAACGCGTCCTGCGTTTGTTTCAAACAAATCTTGTCCAGGCATATCTGCCACGCGCAAGCACCATTGTGAAGACCCACCCTCAGGGTAAACCACAGGTAATTGGTATAGTATATTATATTGTACGGGTTATAACCACAGCCGCAAAATTAGAAAGCGTGTGGTTTTTGTGAAGTAATTATCTTTATTATAGGGATTAACCGAAAATATCGGTGTATATCATTTTAATAAGGATTAGTTGGGAACATCCGTGCATAATTTCAGGTTGCATGTGCAAAGAAAATTAAAGGTGATTACACGATCACGTTAATACAAAACTATTTTTTGTGCAATTTGAAATACGGCACTTCAGAGCACAAAGTAAAAACTTGAGCAGCAATAAGTACTATATGTGACTTAATCAGATTTGACCCAAATATCGCATAACTGAATTCTGCAAATCTATCCAAGAAAGATACAGCTACCTCTGGCTCTGATTATAAGGCCAGGGGTACTGCAACCTGCATATTCGGGTTTGAAAAATTAACAACTATATAATTACTGTTATCACATATATTAAACGCTGCTTTCTACTATAAGTACTGAACGTTTCTTAAAAACTATTTCGGCCTATAGTAATATAACGTACAAAGAGCTTGTTCACTTTATGAACTATGTTCATTAATTAGTTGTTTTTTAACGGTTACAATTTACAACCAATCACAATGCAACAGTTGGCTTTGATTGGATAGATCTAATTAACATGCGAAACGGCCTCGCGCGAGTATTCGTGAAGCGTGGAAACGATTGCTGACGAATGCAAGGGCAATAATGTCTCTATGCCGTCAACCTTTTACAAACCACCACCACTGTCACTATATAAACTAAACTAATAGTACGCCTTCATTACTCAACATACAAGTGTTTGTTGTCGTGTCAGACCCGAATCTTATTTCTAAATAATTCTGGAACATTGAATGGCGACAAGTTCCTACGGGAGATCCTTCCAGAGCGATCTACAGATATCATTCTAGAAAATCACGTCCGCGCTATGGTTCAAACTGTAATAATTACCGTTGCAAGTTTCACTGCACAGAAAGTGCGAGAAATCAGTCATGTAAATAATATATAAAAATAAAAATGATTAGAAAATTAGACATCTTTCTGTGACAGAAAGGGACCTCTTATAGCTATGATATTCGGGTACACGTATGTTTGAAGGTGTCGGAGATGCAGGGCCGGTATTCGGTTCTCTAAAGGAATTCCTTATTCATTCGACTGACTCGAGTAATTCAAAACTAAGTTAAAGTATGAATTGGGGAGTTGCCCATAACCTAACTCAATTTCAATATTGACTATATATATATACCTCCTCAATAAAATCCAAGGACTTATACAAGTTGTGTCTATGGGGTTATTTTTGAAATACGACATTGCATGCATGGGAGAAACGTATTTTATACGACTTCATTCTTCTTTCATTTGTGTTACTCATCGTGGTATTGTTGCTATAATAACTATTGGAACGATCCTCATCCTCGTGAACATGGGCTAGCTGCCATAAAACATCTTTAAGTTTGTTTAACCTTTCCTCTAACAATTAAAAAGTACGTTTACACATACGCGGTTTGTCGGGTCGATTTTCACCTGGGCTGGATATTCAGGACGTATGTTGGTGGCTGATGATATCGTCTTACTGATGTTTGCCGCGCTTTTACTTCAAATATCATTAAGACGACTATCATCATCATAGCTGGTATTACAATAATTTAAAACACATTAGAAAAACAGTGAGAAATGTGAGACATTTTCTATTGCAAACTGACGTCGCTCGAATTCAAGCTAGTATAAACGCATGTACAATTTTGTTCGCATATCTGTCCCCGTCGGTGAAGCCGACTGATGATATTAAAGTTTAGGATTTACTTATACGACATTGCCCACGATGTTTATGAAGTTTAATGAGGTATTTATTGCTCGTATTTATATCAGACATGATGATATAATGCCTAATTTGGAAGTATTCCCACTCAAAATAATCTTGATGTATCTAGGATCTTAATATAGTATCCCCGGTATTCAGGGTAAAAATAGAGAAATTAAAAAAAGGTGAATGATCTATTTTTTACTTAAAACAACATGCGCGCATTGCTGCTATAAATAACTATAGAAAGATGACGGAATTCTCTCGATTTTCATTGCTAAAGAATTTGTTATATATTGGTAGTTTGGTACCTCGTCGGTATATATTGTTAGTTTGGTATTTCAAGTGGTATTTATTGTTAGTTTGGTACTTTCATTGTTATATATTGCCAATTTGGTACCTCACTGCATGGTACATATTTTGCTAGTTTTATTGGTTTATATATTATTAGTTTAGCATTTTCATTGGCATTTCTGAAGGTATAGCTATGACCTTTCTATCATACTTACAGATGATTCACATTATTCAACATCATTTTCTTCAAAAATATATTTTATATTTTATACACCAACGTAATGTTTCTCAGTTTTCTTCCATTTCAAATTTACCATGTTAAGGCATGAATAAATACACTATTACACACTATACTATATCTTAACGTTAATCTGAATTGTACTAGGACCTTTTTGATGCGATGACGATGATGGGACGGCAGACGTTCCCGTACAAGGCGTTTCAGAATTGACTGTGTTTATTTGTCCACAGGGTGTGGGGTTTAGTCTAAAACAGATGGACAAAATGTAAGACAATATTGTCCAGACAACATGTAAACTGCCTTCATATGTGTATAGGTTTAAGTTTTAAGTTGCAACAAGAACTCGCGCTATATTTTAGCTAGTTGTAAATGTGGCTAACTGTCAAATTGCAATATGAATACATCGTGAGGGTATATAAAACTGAAAAGTGCATGTAAAGCGAGGAAAATGAAAAAACATAAATGAGTGAAGTGAATATGTTAAAGAGAATACGGATTCTGGACATGAGGTATATACATACAATAACGTGCAATATTTATTTCTATTTATTTATTTTTTTTATTTTTTTATTTTTATTTCGTTCTATAGTATGTAGCATTTTCACTGAAGATAGAAAGCTGTATATTCAACAAGATTTCAGCAATAAAATATAAATATTTAAAGGTCTTCAAAATCATAAGTAGAGAAATAGTCTCTTTTTAGTCTCAAAATAAAAGTCAGATTTCATAATAAAGAGGACAAAAAGATGCGACATACAAAATTAGAAAGCATCGCATCACTATTACAAGCGTATAATGTGTAGTTATATTTTTTCTTTTAAGGGTATTTTTTAAACGGATGTAGTAATGCTGAATTCCATTCCTTTTCTTTTTTCATTTTTTTTACAACTGATTTATTCTTAGCATAATTTTGTTCTTCTCCTAAACTTCTTTCAGCGTCCCATACTCTTTTTTTCCGTGTTCCATCCTTTACTCTGTGCGGCAAATGCAGGTCATATATACTCTACTTTGCCTGTTATCCCTGTCTATGTCGTGTGTTAATTTGTTAAATTCCAGGTCTTTTACACCTTTTCTTTCACTGGACTTTTTTTTCTTACCGAAGACGTCAAATCCAATAAACTGAAGGTGAAAACATTTTTTGTCGTGGCCTTCATTTATCGATACTGCCTTATCCATGTTTATATTACACGTAAGTACCCTTGAAGGCCACGTCTCTAACACCCAATTTTTCGGCACAAGAACAGAGAAGTCGTTCAGAGCATGCCCACTCTTCGGCCACAATTTCAAGCACATGGTTTGGAGAACATCAGAGGACAGTTCAACCACGAAAATACCAGAACAGTTGCCAGTCATTTCTCTTCTAGTAATCATCGTGTCACATGTCTCACTATCCCATTTCGGCTAGCAATAATTGCTGCACCACAAGAATGCACCTCATTCGCAGACATGGCAATCCTCATCTTTTTTGTTTAAATTAATGAAAGACTCTCTTTCATTTGTGTTCCCACCCTTCCTATACAAACATTTCACCTTCCCTTTTATCTTTTTTTACCTTAACACCAAGGCCTAGCAAATTATACTTGACTTTTAGTCAAGGGATTCAAAATGAACAAACACGCAATATTTTTCATTTGTGTTCCTACCCTTCCTATACCAACATTTCACCCTCCCCTTTCTCTTTTTTTACCTTAACACCAAAGGCCTAGCAAATTATACTTGACTTTAGTCAAGAGATTCAAAATGAACAAACATGCAATATTGATCCCATTAATTTCTCCAATACATTACCCATTTCATTATGTTACTATTTTAAGTTTAACATTATCAAAGTTATTATGTTTAACATTAAAAATATATAACACGTCTCGGAAATAGACGTTTGCATGGGTACAGTAATGATCTATTTTGAAAATGACTGACCTTAAACGCCCAGAATGCTCTTTGTTGGACGAATCTGCTGATTGTGGAGGTGATTCTATTCAAAACAAGAAAGTTCTTCATGATTAGCATTACTCTGGTTGGTATAGGTTTTCCCAATCGTATATCTAATACTAAAGCTGGTGTTACTGGAAGGGAACGATTTAAAACGTAGGTTTTCGATCAAATTTTGTAAATAGCTATTGGCATGCATTGCGAGCTGTCGTCAAGAATCGTTCCTAACACCACTGCAGATTCAAAACGGAAGATGACTAAGGCAGAAAATTAGGGCAGATAAGAATCACTTTTCCTTTGGAATAATTATCGCCGTTTTGACGGAAATTGCAAATCGGTGTATTCAACCAATAACAGACCGTCGTGGAATACTGACCTCGAATAACGCTATCCTTTCCTTCGCTAAAGAATCGCGGAGGCTAAAAAATTTTAAAAATTAAAAAAACATTATCAAACCAAGGTTAAGTTCACTTAACCACGCAACAATGTTTTTATTGGTTGTATAGTGCAGCTATATTTTGCCATGATTATGAGCCTGCACTTGCATGTGCTACTCACAATTATTCTATATCTTTTGTTAAGGGGGATCGGATCTCGAGGAATAATTACGGGTCCATCACTCTGCAAAATCGAGATGTAATAATCATTATTTCTGTTACAAAACAAAACAGAAGTGGAAAAAGTCTTGAATGATGATTGTTCATTAGTTGCATAAAAAGCCAGAACAATTTTAATGAAATGAATATACTGTACACTAAAACGGCTTATTTTTCATTAAATTACAAATATCATTTTTCTGGGAGATAATTCTTCTAGCGTTATAGTACCAATACGTCATTTTGAATTCACCTCACACACATGCAGTTTCTTAGCCTGGGTACGAGGATAGCGGATAAAATAACTGATATTATATCTACCACTTACCGCGTACGTGACAGACGCATGATGCAATCTTGCAGCTTGCTTTTGTAAGGTTGCTCTCAAAAATGCTTCGTCCTTAAGCGCATGAATACTGAAAACAAACAGGAAAGTTCAAATTTAGCTTTGCAATCTTTGTCAATCTTTATTTCTGTCACATTATCAATTGAAGATAAGAGAAACTTCAGTTCCATATTTTGCTTCAGTTTTACGCTATATTTCAGTCCCTATGGCTATAGGGTATTTTGAATAGAGACTCTGGAAGACTGAACCGTAATGTATTTTCACCGTTGAAAATAGAGTGTATTTTCAACGTTTTTACAAAAAGCTAAATGTGAGAAGATAAAGATTGGTTGGCTATACCTTTGCTTTAGTATCGTCACCTTCATTTCCCACGTCTTATTCACTCGATCAAGTTCTTTTCGTAAGCTTCAAGAAAAATATATTTATTGAGATTTATGTCGAATGTATTTCGATTCAAAACATTCTTCTGATCAAAGTGTTGTAAGCATGCACTAGAATAAGCGTTGGGTAAAGGGTGAACTTGTTTTCATTCATGAAGTCTCATTTGCATTGAATTTATCCAGTGTAGTATTATGAGACCAGTTCAGATCTCATGCACCCATGCACTGGATAAATCAATAAAAATCCAATGAGAACGAGACTTAGCCAGACTCTAGCTCAAACGTCCCCCTCCAGAATACAGTACAAGTAAAGGTCTGTTCACACGATCCAATTTTGTCAGATTCACTTCTGAGTTCTTCTGAAATGTTGTCTGCTGTTGATACTGCAAAGCTGTACTGGATTGTTTGCTGCCTATATACATTGCAAGTCGTCAGACTATAAAAAATCCATCAGAAGTGAATTGGATTCGACAAAATTGGATTGTGTGAACAGATCTTAACTTAAAAATTCGACGATATGGATTCATTTTTATGCGGCAACAAGCGAGGACAAAGTAAAATTTTGCCCTTACATTAAGAACATGTTTACATATGAAATTCATCACAACTGTTTGTGCGCCGCTCGCGTAAACATAAACAGAAGGCCAAAACAAAGACGTAAAAGACGTAAGACGCTACATTGACTATGGTAAATCACAATAGACTTGTGTCCATTATACACACCCAGCAATTTCCGCAGTCAGTTTGATTTCAATTTGTTGTAACTTTCTTATTATTCCATCTTTTTCTGTATCGGGGACCACGTCAACTGTCTTTGAAAAGAAAGATGAGATGGCATTATAGAAAAAAGTTGTTTAAAAAGTAATTTAAATAAAAGCGAAGTTCTAATTTGGCAATCTCTTAATCATGCAGCTCATGTTCTCTTATTAATAGCTGGGATAGAATAAAAGAGCATGACGGCAAAGGACTCAGCATTGTCAGGCAATTTTATGTACTCACATGAGCGTAAAACTATACGGGAATTTTGTTGTGTGGTATACATGTCTCTGCATGAAAAAAAATTTCATGCATATGCTTTCATTTCTTGGCTAGTAAATTATGTCAGTTTATTTTAATTTACCTTTTTCTTCATAGCTTCATCCAAAAGACGCTGACTCGCTAGGTCTCGTTCCCTATCCTTTGACTTCTGCTTTGACTTATAATCCTCCATTTGTTTTTGAGAAGAAGCGAGCATCTAAACACGCCCAAGACACTTATTAATTTCATAAAATGCAAAGGCTGTAGGCTGTAAGAGTTCATTTCTTAGCTGTTCTCAGATTCCCAGAAACATAATTTCTTGTGGAGAGCCCGCGATCTCGCCTGGCTCCCACGCCGTGGTGATGTATCTTTGAAATAGATGACAACAAACTTACCTCATCTTTCATCTTCCTAATTCTGTTTTGATAATCTCTTTCTAGATCATACTTTTGTTTTTCCAGCTTAAACGGGAAATAACGTACTAATCACGTAAAAAGAAAAAATATACGTCTACATTGTATATGTACAGCAACCTAACACGTCTACAGTATCGAGATATAAAAAAACGTTGGCGTAGCACTATAGAAGTACCGTCAACATAGAGAGAAAACAACAATTGACAACCATTTATCGTATAATATACTATGCTTATTCGTACTGGGAAAGAAGGTTCTACTGTATAAACCTACCAGTCTTCTTGAATCATGTTTTTCTCTCTCCAGTTCTGAATTTACTTGAGCAATATCTTGTTTCAACTATAGTTTAAAATAGAAAAACGAGGTGTTGCGGTGCATAGAATTGAATTTTCCCGCTGTTCGTGTTCATGTTTATATTCAGTTTTAGAACTGAAAATTTATAAAGAATGTGATTCATTTCATTGTGTATAAAATATGGTGTCTGCACAGTTTGTTATACAATGGCAACAGTGGTAATATATTTAACGTGTTCAGCAGTCATACGTTTACTTACTCTATCCGTGATATCCCGTTCTTCATCTAATTCTTTAGAAAGATCGTCAACCTCTTGCACTAAAAATATATAATCGTTTCGTAAAGAACTTGTGTGAACTTGCCAAGAAAAAGAAGGCCTGCCCAAAGGCTAAGATTATATATATATATAAGGGTATATATAGTAAGGTATAATCAGACAGAAAATGGTAAAAGGTATCACATCTTACCCAATTGTTTATTCTCTATCTTTATATCCTCTAAAACTGAATCCATATCTTCGAGTTTAATTTCAAGTTCATTTATCTGTGAAACAAGGTGTTCTCGCTCTTCGCTATTCGATTCAACAGGCGTGGGAACATATCTTTCCATTAATGCTTCTTCTAAATCTCTGTCTGCTCTTTCCTGTTGTTCTTTCAACTGCATCTTCATCATCATAAGCAAGGCTTCTTGCTGCTGAGCTGCCTTGCCTCGTTCCTTCTTCAGTAGTTCTTCATTGCGTTTTTTATCCGCCATCCTCTCTTGCTTTTCCAATCGAGCGATTGCGATTCTCTGCAAGGTACATCATTAGTTAACATCACAGTGAGCTGTGTTGATTTCACAAAAGTGAAACCGCGCATCATCATTATTTTTGGTTTTTATATTCAACGCGGTACGAATGACAGAAGCCGCGTTTATAACGGCACTCTCACACGAGAGATATAGTTATAGTTAGAACCATCGGGCACGCGTGATGTTTGACATATGCACATACGTAACACTAGTGTGCACCAGACTTTTCCACATTCAATGTAAGTGAAGTGATGTTGCTAAATTGGCACTTACCTCATTCTCGTTAGATATCTGTACAACAGCGTCGGCCAACTGTTGCTTAAAACTTCTCCTGATTGTTTTAACACGCTAATAAAATACATTGATCATTATAAATGAAATGGTATTGGCATGTTGCAACTCAGTGAGAGATGCACTACAAACCTCTTCGTGCATCTTCTCTAAATCCAGAATCCTGTCATTAACACGGCAATACCTATGAAGAAACATTGCTATTGTAATCTCACATGGGGTGAAAATGTGAAGTTGAAAATAGATGTAATGTACAGTACCTATGTATTACTGCAGATATAGATGAAGTTACACTGGGTACTACTTAGTCAAGTTATTATTACCTACCTGTAGTAAAATTTATAGTTACATTGTATCTTCCAGAATAAATTAGCTCAAACTACAGTAATAAACCTACATGCAGGGGGTTTACATACTTAAACATGCAGTGAACTTTGTATTTTTAATACATGCCCAAGAGTTGCACTGATCACACCGGAATAAACCCACTTACAGATCAAGACCTTTCTCTTCAAGTTTGTTCTTGTAGTCAGCTTCCAACACATGTCTTGCAAAGTACAAACTTTTTTTCAACGTGGATAAATCCTGCATTCAGTAGAATTGCAGCAATAAGGTTAAATAAATATACTGAAATCATACATAATATTTGGTGCTTTGCTAGTCATTCCTCCAGTGGTTCATCTTATTACAAACATCTTCACAATCACAGACTAAAGAACATTGCGTTTTACCTGAACAAGTATCTGTACCATATGTGTTACTTCTTTTATATTAACCATATCCGATTTTTCTGTTTGTGAGGCACATTCTTGAGAAAAATAGCCAGCTCTTGTCTTGTCCGATATAGAAGGCCTACAAAAGCAAAGTGAATGGTGTAACCTAGGAAATATCCGTTCAGTATTTTAAACAGTAAGTATTTTCAACCTTAAATGTTTAATTATGTGTTGATTGATATTTTTACATTCAAATATTAGCTATCAAGTGATCACAAAGAGCAACTAACTTACTTACTATATTGTAAACTTAAATTACTATGTCTTCATTTTGAGTTGACCTCACTGAGGAAAAAGGCAGTTCTACACACTACAATTGATCCCCTAGCAGATCTTTAACATGTAATATCATATTAGCCAAGAGCGAGCTGTACCAAGCCTCTTCAGCTTAAACGGTGGATAAGTCAAAATCATCTGTCTTGAATGAATCAACTTGAGTATTATGCACTGAAGATGTAGTTGTAAACAGTACTGTTGTATTAAGGTATAAAACATTTAGTTTGCTTGTTGAATAAAACGATAGACTTCCTTTCTAACCATTGTTACAGCTTGATACAACTAGCACCTGGTGTTTGTACCCCTTAAAAAATGTACCAGCCTACCAGGTATTAAACAAACGTAACATGTTGGTTACATGTAACAAGGATCATTGCTGGCTTTCTTCTAATATATGAGCAATCGAAAATACTTTTAGTTGGATTTGAAAGCTAGTGACAAACATTTTCTTCTCCATTCACCAATGACTTTTAAAATGTGCAAATGTGTATTATATCATCCACACAAGTTGTTGTGTTGTTTTTATTGGGACATTGAAACATTATATTTAGTTCTGCTATAAATTTACTGTGATATCTTCGATCATACGCTAAAACCTGAGCTCACCTATAATCATCCGAAATTGGAGAAATTAACATTCTGATCTTACTAGAGTCTTCTTTGCGATCAAAAACATTATCTGTTGCAAAGTCAGCCATCTTGTTTTCTGCTTGCGCTTTTGCTTGGTTGCTTAGCAACCACTAAATCTGAAGTCAACGTCATGTAAGAGAATTGACATGGTTTTGTAGCAACAAGTTAGTGGTAGAGAAAAGGTGTGGTCCAGCCTGTCCCTTCCAACAGTGAAATTTCGGCCTTTTCCAAGAATATTAATTTCTTCAAAACTAGTGTGTAGCTACTAGTCTATTTTCCGGACACCAAGTGCAAGTACACACAAATAGTATCTGTAAAACTAAGAGGTAGAAAGAAAAGTTGTAGTTTCGAGAAATTTTATTCCTGTTCAGTTATACAGTATATCCACTGCAGGCATATAAATCCACGGATGGTTAGCCTGCTAAAGCCGTCATTTGAAAGAGTACTCCTGTGAAATTACTCGCGAGATAACATTGTTCGTAAAATCACATAGTTTACGCTAACGGTGAAAAACGTATTAAATTAACGGCAACCTCTTCACTTCTTCATATACGCACTAAGAGGAATCAATTCAATATACTGAATATAGCTTAGCTGAATCTATTTTCAGAAAAGATACTGGTACGACTGTTGAACATAACATGTGCTTCATGGACATGGAACGACTGAAAACAACAACGCAGTCACTTCAATTTGTGTGAAAAACTCTACCCTGCGGCATGCCATACGGTCGTTAAGCCTTAAGCCTCTGTTACATGGTGCAATTTTTCATCCAACTTGCAATACAATTCTACTTTGACTTTGGAGAGATATAACTTTGACAACTTGTATTTCATTACATACACTCCATGGACGTTTCCCACACCTCTACATTTTGAAGACTCTTCACTAATTTACATCTTAATTAAAAGATAAAAGAAAGTAGAATTGCATTGGAAGTTGGATCGGTACGAACAAGCTATTGGCAGACTGTAACAATAGAACACATTAAGTATAGAAATTATTATATAATATGGTGTTTTATTGACGAATCCGCTATTTTGAAAAGCGATAACAACACATGTGCGATTATTCATGATAATAACACATGTCTCGTGTTAAGAAAGATATCTCACTCGTTCGATATCATTCTCAACACTCGAAATAAATACCATATTTCCGCGCATCCATCTATTATTCTCTATTTATATTCAAAAGAACACTGAAGGTATCATATGTACATACGGAATTCTCAATTCTCTTTGCCAACCAGAGGAAATCCTTACCGGAGTCGAAAAACGGACTGAGTAGTCTGAGCTGTCGAGAGAACCAGGCGAAAACCTGCACAGACGGAATAAAAAACGCGACTTCAGAATTTTTCACGAGAAAACTACTTTGTTTTAACTGTATTACAAACGATTTTTATTATTACTGTAAGAATTATTGAAAAGCTCCTAATTATAAAGAATATCTAGGCATGCTTACTGCGATCAAAAAGTAAGGAGACAGTTGTCATCATATCAGTCGTCCTTCATTTGCTAAACATACAGCGGCTGTCAAACGCATCAGAAAGCTTCAACGCTACGTATATTACAAAGTAATATTAGAGAACATCATAATCACCGCGTCGACCTTTGAAAAATAGCTAAGAACTCACCGTAAAGACGATAAAGTCAATGTCAATGAATATGAGATTAGCCATTTATGTGACATAGCCATTTATGTTTGCGCTAAGTTTGAATTATATTTGGTACGCAGGGTCAACCATCGCAAAAATCACCAACCCTGGTATTTCGTCCGTAAAAACATGGAACTATGTGAAGGAGCATGAACTTCATCTGCAACAAGCACTAAACTTTCAGTACTGAAGTCATACAATTGTTTTATCATGGGAAACTCTCATTATACCTTTTTTTGTACATATGTATACCTATACTATAACAAATGAGAAACATTTCAGTTCATGTATTAAAAAACAATACAGTGATTACATAATGCTAGCAATGCAAGAACTCTAACTATATCTGTCAGTCATGACAAGTTATTCCAGGCCACTAAAAATAATTAACAAACCCCACTAACTAATCAATTAGTCAGTTTGATATTTAAACCACAACTAAAGCAACACTCTCAAGTTTAGGTAAATTTAACCTTTTTGATGCGATAACTGATAACAGTCTTACTACTGATGACGGGCTCCCCAACCTTCCACTTCCAAATGGGGTGTGCAGAGGGCGGTTTCTTCCCAGGATGACAAATCATACTGCATGCTGGGCTAAGCTGGCCATCCTGGACAACAAGAGATGGAGGCAGCTGAAAGTTTGATATAAACTTGAAACTGGAATTCACTCTCCAAACTGGTTTGACTGGCATTAGCTTAACAAGGTAGGGTTGATCTTCAGATGGTGTAGTGTTAGTATCCATTGGGGATGATAATGGTGAAAATGAATTGATTAAATCCTTATCATTCATATGTTTTAAGTCCATTTTCATTATCAGATCTTTGGTTATAGTGTTGGGGCAACCAATTTTTCTCTTTTTTATTTCTTTGTCATTCTTGCTCTTTCTCCCTTTTTTCACGATTTCACGTTTCCCTTTACTTCCAACCACTTTATTGGTCTGTTTTGGCATCGTTTTAGCTTTTTTGCCTTTAATGCTCCGATATTTCCTCTTCACTTCTTTTATTTTCAATTGTTTTTGGATCTTTGCCTTTGGAGTTGCGGGTCTGCCTAGTTTATGACCTGGCTTATGACCCGGCTTCCGCGGGGTCGAAGCGTCATGATCGAGTTGCAGGGACGAGACTCCGCTATCGTAGCTGAGAGAATCACTGAGCGGTGAACTTGCATCGTGCGTTTTACGGTGTCGTTTTGTTGGAATATATTCATGCCATTCACCCCGAGCTTCAGTTTTCAAACTAATGCTCGAAAGTCTTCGCTTTCTCGGGTTCCCATCGACTTTCGTTGTTTCGGTCTTGACTTTGTTGAATTTTTTATCCGTACACTCATAGGCCGCTTTAGCCACGTGCGATTGTTTACCATTTAATTGTGATTGTTTTCCACTGACCGCATGTCCCTTGGGTGTCTCGCCGTTGTCAAGCTTACTGTCTTTAACAACAACACGCGCTTTGCCTTTGTTCGCTTTATTGCCCGGATTTTGCTCGCTATTTGCACTGCCATTACGAAGCACGGAGGTTGTCTTCGATTGTGCCTTGGTAGTGGATCTACTCGTTGTTTTTCCTTTCCCGGCCAGTGTTTTTTCTTTGCTTTTAGATACTTTACTTGATGCTGATGATAACGTTCGTTTGAATGAGAGCCTTTTCTCGGCCAAAGATCCTACTTCGTAGACGCTGCTAAACATGTCAAGGTCTTCCTTAGAAATGAGCGTACAATGAACGCCAAATTTTACGATTCCTCTCACAGATAAAACTTTCTCTATTTCATTCGTTGTACATGTATACCATTTTATTTTCATTTGTCTAACTCGATCATTTAACGTCGTTCTAGGCCACTTTGGATACAAATTCCTTGCCACTTCACTCATTGTGAACATCAGCTTGCCACGAATATAAATATATGCCATACCAATACCGTGGTACTCCGTTCTACCGCATTCATTGTGATCAATTTCGCCTTTCGTTTCAAGCGTATTCATCTTTACGCTTTCAGTGTCTTTGGTGTTGTCTGTTGTAGGATTCTGCTTCATATTGGCTATAACGAGAGTAGTGTTAAGCTATTTCCTATAAGAAATATATTTGCCTGCTAAACTCAGAGCGATAATAAAAATGCTGTATGTATACTTGAATTTCACGGCAGTTAAACATATATACGTCGCTCATATATTTAAAATATTGATTATTGAAACTACTTACTAGTGCCAAGCTTCTTCTCGCTGTTACACCAATGAAAACTTGAATGAATATGACCGGCCTTTATATTTCAGTCAGCTTTGAGCTCGATCGTCTAATTAAAACAAAGATTAGCGAGAAGGCGCGAACACGAGGCGTACAAGTGGCGACCAGTGGTAATTGTTTGCCCTCACACAATAGCTGAGTCGAATGACAGAATGTCACCATGTGATCAGTGGCTAGCACTCTGTACATTTGCATGTTATTGATTTAAACAGTGTCATAGCATGATATGGTTGTTTTACCAATGAATTGACCTAGCAACAAATCTGTTTGTCTAAACCATATGATCAGACAAAGCCAAAGCCGATCTTCGCAAATGACCATAAACTCGGCATGGTTGGCACGCCGAAAGTGTGCACCGCCGATGGTGATTCCAGATCACAAATACTTTTATTGTTTATTCATTTTAGATATAGATATATAGTCAAACAATATTCTTAAACTTATTCCTCAATACAAACAAGGAAATCGATTGAGTAACCGAATATAATACGTTGTTTTACTTTTTCATTTCCTATCGTATAACTGCTCATAGCTCTGTTGTCGGATCTCGGTCGACCTATTGATAAATTGTTAATATATAAAGAAATATATATATATATATATATATATATATATATATATATATATATATATATATATATATATATATTCATATATACCGTTATAAACGTTACGTATAGGATACATCAAGAACGCACTAGCTATAGTTCCAATTTATAACAACCTCCGACAATAATTCCATTCAACGTACTTCACACACAAACAATAACATGCAGAACATGTATATTCTAATAATGAGAATATTAAATTGTGTTGGCAACGGTAGTCAAACGCACGTAACATATACTAAGCCGGCCGGGGGTTTCGTTCTGAATTATTTCTAATTGTATCAATAAAAAATTCTAAATAGTCAATTAAGATAACTCAAATTATTGTTGGAATTACTTTATGGGATAGTTTTGTTAGTAATATTTGAATTACCTTATATACTCTTGTAAACAACATTAATATAAATTAATGTGGTGCTAAATTGAAGTTTTTGACGAGAAGCTTGGTAAGCATATAGTTAAAGTCATATTTTGTCCTATTTATATATTATTTTTACAAAGAGTGAATTTGATTTTGAAATTCGTCGTATATATACAACTATTCATTATTGCAGATGTTATTATGACTAGAGGTTATTGTTGACTTCGGTCGATCCGTTTCCACTTGTGACTGCAGTCTGTATATTCTATTTTTTCCCCTAACAAATTAGTCTTAGCAGTGCCGGTAATGTTTTAGACGTATTACCCGTCTATGATGTATGGGAAATTCTATTGGTCATCATACAACGCACACTTCACACTTGATGCTCGTGTGGCCATTTTTGTTGGATCGAGCTGTGCCAATCTTAAGATTTTTTGCTACAAATTCTACCGTCTGCAGCTTTGCATGCCGGCGATGTCACGAATGTATATGCTAAACAGAGTTCATGGTGTACCGTATCAAGAATATATGGTTTCAGGGTGTAATAGAGATCATACGTCATTGGTAAATCTTGCGTTGGTTAATTAAACTCATTATCTACCAAAGCGTGGATTATCTGCATGATTTGAGTTTGCCCTTATCATACAACCAGTTTCTGTGATCAGATTTTAACCCGATTATATGTGTGGATACGTGAAATTTCTCATGCAAAGTGTACCTCTGTTTGGAGTTATTAATTAGAGTTATGTTAATTACCGTGTTTAAGACTGCAAGTCTTGTTCAGCCGTCTTGCTTTGAGAACCAATAATACTCCAGTTGCACAGCGCAGAAGCCGGGTTGCCGCGTTTTTGGCTTATTCGAGGACAATGGTTAATTTAACTGATTATCTATTACTAGTGTGCAGTGCGTTTGAAAATTAGAGCTAATTACTCCACGTTTATCACGGCCAGTTGCACGTACTGAAAAATAACACGGTCATGCAAATATAAAAAGCATCCATATCGAAAATGCAATCATCAAAATGCAAGCTCTGAATTTTAGTTTCGGTAACCGTTTCAAAGTTTCATGTAGTGACTGAAATTATTAGCATTGACAGCAAAATACTCTGTCCACGCGTCCTGAAATGCAATATGCAATTGTAAATCCAACCTCGTAGTCATATTTCGTTGAATACAACGGATGTCATTAATTTTATTTATATTAAGAGGTAGGTATTCTTTTTAATAGCCCATATCACATTTGGCAATTTGAAATTCTCTATTGAAAGTTTTGATAGATGTCGTTATGCTTTATTGGTTGATTAATGTTATTGTACTTACTCACTGTTCAAGAGCACTGCATGTCACTGATTTGCGAAATGCTACTTGTTCATGTTCAACTGCACGCGCGTTACCATTGACTATGGATATTAGCCTATTGAAAAAATTGCATTAGAATTAATTAGTTATATCACTAATATGACAGGGATATGTTTAAAACATCAAAGTCGTGAGAGATCATCTAGCTAAATCGTCTGAAAAATTTTGCGATATAGAACAAAAGCACCACCATTAATAAGAGTTGAGGTGGGCTGGATCTTGGAGAACCGAATGGACTAATTTGTCCCTTAGCTATATTGGCTCTCGCAGGCTTTGACTGGATCTTTGAATGTGGAGACAAATTTTCTGGTCTGGTTCGCTTATCCTTATAGTTATAGCTCGTTATGCCTTTTCTTTGCATTGTATTTTTCAAGTAGTTTGTTTACCACTTCACACTACCAAGACGTCTACCATTCTTTTCTGTTCTACTCTAAGAAAAATTATTTATAGTTTTCCTATGCTAGTCTTCGGTAGTGATGTTTTGTTTTCTTTGCAATTATTTTCAGTTTTGATCTATCAGAAATAAAAGTCAGATATAGAGACAATATACTATAGCACCAAACGCTCCATCAATGGTGGCAAATCCAACATAGATTAATTAATCTCTCATCCATCCACCCACATGACGAAACAGCTTCCTAGTTGGAATGCTACGTTGCCACAACGGTTGTTCTTGTGTGTCAGATTTTAAAAAATTCCCATCTTCCAACTGCAAACGTATTGCCTTTCAATTTAATAATTGGTCCCATTCCCATAGCCCTGATTTATGCCAAAGGCAAAGACGGATCACGGATTATTTGTGTAATATCCGTTAAGACTGTCGGTTCATTAGACATTAGTACTATGATTTATAGGGGCGAAAAGGGTACCACCTCTGACCCATGTGGACCTTGGTCAGCAAGCGTGGGAAGCGAAGTGAAAAAAACTTGATTGTATTTTGCTTTTAATCGTAACTTCTGAGTTGAGCAGGGCCGGGTTGGATTTGACAGCTGGTTTCATTGTACGTTTTTAACGTACAAGGTGATCATTCAACCGTCCACAGGGGCGCACAATGGAAAAATGGACGACTTTCGCTAGCCATCCTCACTTTTAGACTCCCGGCCCTGAAAAGCAATATACTTGAATATATTTGTATTACATGAAGTATCGTACGAGTATAAAAGAAAACATATAACATATCAGATTATGGAAGAATGTGAGTTCTTATTCTCTTGAAATAAATTCCTCTACTAGGTATGAGAATCTTTATCAATGTTACCATCATAAAAATATTGAGCATTTCACTTTAGTCACGGGGTCACATTAGTTATTGATTAGTACTGTTAAGCTGATCATGATTGGAAGAATTTTATGTCATGTGCCATCTGATGGCATCTGATGGTAGTGATGGGCGATACCAGCTTTTTCAAATCGATACGATACCGCTTCGATACCAGACAATTTGTAGTGGTATCGATACCAAATTTCGATACCGATACCAGAAATTTGAGCCGTTTTTTTACCGTTTGTAATTTCATATACCATACCATAATGTGCATTTATTCACTCATATTTTTGGTTTTTCCCTTTTGGCAGAAATTATTTTGATTGGTAGCATATAATTAAAGAACTAAAGAACAAAAAAGTGACGAACAAAAGAAAAATAAATAAAAAATTTTATACTTTTTGGTAGAAAACGCTGACCTAAAATACTGTAGGCTCAGTATCGAAATTTTGCGACCACTTGGTCAATGGTCAAGTATCGATATTTAGTGCAAATCATAAATATCGGTGAGTATCGATACTTGGTATCGAAGTATCGCCCATCACTATCTGATGGCAGCCATCACTGCAACCATCACTGCTAGTCTGTTATGCTATAAAACGAATGAGATTGTACTTAGGATTCAACTTATCAATATCAAACTAAGTAACTCAACATTAGCCACATGTTTGCAATCTGACCCAAATCGCATAAACAAGATCATTGTCTGGTAGAGTGTATAAAACTATATATATTGATATGATTCTCCCATCTGACACATGAGGGTACCATTTTGAAATTGTCATAATTTGACATACAAATATTTCTTTTGCAGGTCTTTAAATATGTTATCTGTCTTATCTTCAAAAATACATTTCTTCAGAAATTTAATCAGTCGTCAATGGTTACTTCAGGTACAAGTAGGGATATTAATTAAACCTATACACCTTGCAACTGCCACCTTTTTAAGCCACTTCATTTACCCCTGATATAACACTAGTGTGATCCTTCTGGACAACACTAAATTAAGACCGGTTATCCTTAGCTATACTGGTAGATATTAGCTCCCAGTGCACATATTTCATTTCTGTGCTGGTTGTTAATGTGCTAGTTGGAAGACATGCCCCTAGATTCCACCACTAAAAGCATTTCACCACCAAAACTAGTTCACTCTTTGTTAATAATCCATGACATCATGGTGGTGTCATGAAACCATCAATTGTGTGTTATGAAAACATTTATGTTTTTCTATTTTAGCCCTATCACTGCACTCCTCTTCTAAGGTTAGTTCACCAAAAATTATTAGATTCCTGCCAGTTTAAGATCTGGCAACCTAGCAGCTCTTTTATATTTTGTGTATACAAACAGGCACTTTGCTGAGAGGACACATTCACAAACATCAAATGATTGCATAACCTACTGCTATCTAGCTTATTGTTATTCAAATTCTTAATTATTTCCCCCAGATGTTCAACCTCTATAACAAGAACAAAAAAAAGCGTATATCCTCGTGTGTATAAAGTACGTTTACAACAGGCAGATGGATCAAGCTACACCATACGTTATCATGAACCTCGTGAACTCATAAGATTGCCGGTAGATCCAAATAATCTCACAGAAGAGGAGAAACAAGCAAGGCTGAATCGTTTGAAACCAGAGAAAGAAATCGAAGTTCATGAATTCGATGATGAAGAAACGGAAATTATTCAAAGATCTTGGAAAGACTTTGTAGCGTCAAGATAGCATACGTTAAGGACAACATAATGTATAATGTTGGATCATGTTCAGAAGCTACGCCTACCGTCCTGAACATAATTAAGATTTTCACTATCTCTATCGTCTTCAGGAGTCAAAAGACGTACTTACGAAGTATTGATTTGTATTATATTCTCTATCGATATCTCAGAGGGTGGCCAATATTGTGGCGGAAAAAACGTCAGGATTAAACGAATAATCTACACTCAAAAATACATTAACTTTTTTACACCCTCTTGAGACGGTTAGCTTAAAACAAAACGATTGTGTAATCTTCAGTCTTGGTTGGTGCATGTTACTAGATAACGTACTACGTTTAGGGAAACGAAGTAAAAGCCTTCTCCTGGCAGTTGTATTGTTCAAGTTTACTTAATTCTGGATATACGGATTGCGATTAACTAAAACTGTTGCACTTTGGTATTCATAGATATAACTTCAACACGGTCGCTAAGTGTTTATGCTGAGCTTTTTTCACATCACCTCGCAGGTAGGTGCATGGTAATGCTTCGAACTTATACCTGGGCCATGAGTGAAATGGCTCTGCATATGAGATTGAAGTTGCTTTCAGATTGCCTAGAAACAATGTGATTGATGATTAATTGGTATGTAACAAAATAAGTTCACTCCTTCATTTGGCCAGATGAAGGTAGTATATTCTTAAGTACAAATTCAATTCAAGTGCAATTTCCATATACATCAACTGAATATTTATACATATCTAATATAGATTCATATACAGATCATAGAGTCAATTTTTTTGTGTGTTTTCGATAGTCTCGCTTGTGACGCAGTGAACCTTCGTTTTTTTATCACTGAATAAATGTCTTTCTATATGATTTACACTCGAAGAATAAATATATGTTATATTTTACAAATGACCATCCTCCTGTCTATAACTCTTATGTTAGTATATTGGTACAATCTCGATCGATGGTCGGTGGGGTGAGTCGACCCAAATTTACCACTGGTGTGAAGGTTAAGCCTCATACAGACAAGAGAGCTTTTTCTTGCCAAGTTCACTCCGACTATATAGTCAACAAGTTTCCTAAATTCTCTTAACCGAAGGGGAAATCGAAAAAAGCATTTATCTTTTCTTAACAGCTTTTTGGGTTTTTTTGGTCAATTCTCTTGTCACTTTCGCGTACAAACGAGCAAGGATTGTTTGCCAGGGAAAAATTACTTGTCTCTACGGAATTGAAGCGCGAGCGAAAAGTGTTATATGCGTACGTAACTTTAGTTGTTTTATGCATTTTTTCTTGTTTTATAAATTTGTTATAGTAAATTCTTCTTCAATATTTCGTACACCATTCTTCGACGGAAGTAAGGCATGTGGAGCTATAAGATATCATAAATAACATAAGATATATATCGCAGTGTATTTGAGGGAGTACGATAATAAAACATATGCATGCTCATGCACAAAAAGAAGATCTTACCTGCGTGAAATTAAATGACGCTCGTCTTGACACATATTCCGCATACTAAAAGATAAAACAAAATATCGATATATATAATGAGCGTGACATTTCATTTTAGAACTATATTTCTGCTTTTTGTCATGATCTTTTTATGATATATGGTGGTATAGGTGTATTAGGGTTCCTCTTCTAACTCGAAGTAACGCCATATTAAACGTTATAATATGAAAGAATGAAAAAAGAAAATGTTCATGGAGAAAGAGTTCATCGAATTTTTCAAATTTGTACACTTACTTTGCAAGCAAAAACTCCACAGTCGCATCCATTTAATTGTTCAGGGATATTCTATTGAAGAAATATACTCTGAATATTTTACTAAAAAGTTCACACTCCAAAAACTATCATGAATGATCACAAAACTTTCTAAATAAACGTCTAAAAATTAAAATTGAAGAAACCATCTTGACTATTGGGCAGTTATGATGCTATTAGGGTATGACATATCCTCATTAATTCCTGACGATGAACTACATCTACAATCTACAATCTAATACAATTTACATGCAGAGTGTCAATTCTATTGTGTTGCAACAAATAATTAGTACTCATCGGTAACCGTAACTTTTGAATACTGGATGCCACATGGTATACATGTTATACTATCCTTCAAATCAAGGCAAGATTACCTTAGGGCTGTCGTTTTTCCACCCAGTCAGATCAAGTGGCGTTTTCTTTTTATCCAGACTCTCTGTGCAGATATAATCGCTAATATACAAGGCAAATTATGTCATGTCGTGGGCTTGTAACAATTTGAAGCCAGCAAACAAAAAGCACGTCATATTTTACACAAATACAAATAAATAGATACAAAAGAGGACACGTATAAATAATTCGGTATTCTCACCGCAAAGCCTGAATACAGTTTGGATTCTCTCCTTTTAAGGAATCGTAGTAAGTGAATATTTTCTGTTTGATATCAATAACCTGAAACCAAACAAACGCTTCGATGAAGTGGAGAACCGCCAGAGAAGAATCCACACCAAACCAAGATTATAAAAATGATAGGTGTAAAGGCACTCTTGCTAACGTAATTCCTTACCGCTAAGCACCAGTGCATGCCAAGATGAATTGGAATTAAAATAATATCCATTGCGAACAAGTCGACTTTCTTCGTCCAGCGTCGCAAGCTAGCGTGTCCAGTTTTCATTAGTTTCGGGTAAAAGAAAGTGTTAAATGCATGAACTTTGGGTCCACGGTTCTTGCTACGTTCGACTATCATGTGTAGATATGCGTTAACAACTTCATCATTGAGCCATGTTTGTGGTCGTAATGTTATTATATCTCCTCTGGTGATGCGTCCGATTGGTAATTCAACCAGCAGTTCACCTGGAGCACCATGACCCAAAGCTTTGTCAATCTGAAGCGAAACAGAAATTCATATTTCCATTTTATAATACACGACATTTGCGCGTATAATATGCAATTTGAATTTATTTAGTAAAATTTTCGTTCCGCGAGTCTTTCTCTTTAACTCCAACAACCGTTACAGGGTGGTCAAAGGGTGGTTTTACCCCCTGAGTCATTGTCAGTACTAAAACTCCTGTTCTATGTTTTGCCATGCCCTGCTCGTGCAATCACAAAACTTAAAAGACTTACGACATCGTTCATTCCATCAGTAAGCTCTTGGAACTTGTCGATCTAAAAGGAAACATATCAATATTGATATATCTATCGCGGATCCACGCACCAATAAACTAAATTGAGGTGCTTGTGTTGACAAGATATATATTATTTTATGACACAATATTATATTTTTAATGTTATGACACGATATCATTACTTTTAAAAACGCTGTTACATTACAGCTACAATTTTAGTCAAAACCTGTTGGACGACTGCCATGTGCCCCCCCCCCACCCATTTAATGTTGGGCTTTATTGTCAATTGTTAGCTAAAACGTTAGAAACCAACCTTGAAAGGAGAGAGGGGGGGGCACTAAAAGGACAGAGCAGAGGTTGTCATAATTAATACTACTGTGAAAATGCTGTCAGTATGCACCCCATTCCACCTTGCCAAGGTTGTAGTGTAGGACCACTTTTTAATTTGACTCTTTTTTGAATCACAGTTTGAATTAAGGAATTTCTAGTTATTAAGTTAATGATATCTATGCGCTTTTCTTAACCCACCTCTTTTTCGATGACAGGACTCTCTCGTTCTCCCAGCATTCTTTCCTTTACCTTGACGAAGTATAAACAATACATGAGGTAGAATTTTCTGGTTGCAGGAATGATACAGTATGTGTAGTTTGCTTTCTTGCTTAAAGCAAATCCACACAAAATGTGCACTTCAAAAACCAAAATGTTTGGTTTCCAATTGAAAGTAACCTTAAAATGTTTTTCGTCGTAGGTGCTCCAAATAATGCCTGAAATGCAGCCATTAAGCATCAGAAAGCCAAATATCGTCCGGACTAGGAGCCCAAGATAAACTTCCCATTTTTCATTCAAAACATTTATGTGTTATCACAGGATTCGGGGAAAATATTAGAGTTCAAAAACTTTGTATTCTTTGCTCTCTCATTAGTGAGTTCATGCAAAGATTTGTCATCTGTTATTTTGGATCATTATAAAAACAACTGCTTTAACAACCTCTTTAACATAATATGTACGTTTTAATTGAAATTAGAAAAAAGCTGACTTTATATGCATGTACCAGTTTAAATACATATGGGAAAATACCTCTTGTGATACGAGTTCCAAGTCATCTTTCTATGAAATAATGAATGCATGTATACTGAGAATGAGTTCGCCACACACTCTCTCATACCGTTAAACAGTAAATTTGCCGAACAAGTCCATTTTCTCAGTTCCTTAACAGTTACTACATACTGCTTGTTCAAATTCCTGATTGTATTTGCGTGAAATCTTGTTCTAGATAAATCTAGATGGTATTTTTTAAAATCTAAAAAGTAAACTATTACCTCTTTGCGAATTGCTTCGAGTTTCAGCTTTTCCTTCGCTATTTTTCTCTCCTGTTCGAGATTATCTGTGCTCAGGGTTTGTTTCCTATTTAAAAAGAAGTGAAACATTAGGAAATATTTTTCATTTTGCTCATGCATCTGCGGTAAGTCATTTTCAGATTTAAAGGCTCACCATTTCTTAATCCAACTATCATCCAACAAGTCAAATGACCTAGAAATAAACGAAATAAGGCCACATATAAAACCAATGAAAGAAATATCCTAAATATTGCTACAAACTTTCTCCTCAAATGAGCCTCCAAATGAGCGCGTGCAAGGGAGGGGGGATTGACTGAAATGTATTATTCTTACTTTACTAAAGCCTCATTTTTTACTGTCATCATCTAAGCTTTTAGGAATATTCCAACAGCCTAATGTTCAACATGTATTTGATTTTTATAAATAACACGCATCGTCTCGTATCCTAATCTTCATAATAGGACAGTAAAGACTAACTGGACATTAGGAAATGCAGGGTACGCAACAATACAAAAACTCTCCAATATGCATATAGTACCTCCGTGATTGGCGATTATTCATCTGCAACTCAACAAAACCTGAAAAGAAAAAGGGCGCCTTTTACCGACTGAAAAAAAAACTCTTTTAGCCTCAGAAATTAGAAAATTGAACGAGGTCTGGTTACTTGTATGACATATGAACAAATTGGAGTTTAATAAGAACTATCACAAAAATTCAATACAAACTTATAGTTCATTTTGGAAAAGGAGTTTTTTTGTGTGATTGTGTATAATAGGTATACCAGAATGGGTATAATTAGTGACGTCAAATGACGATAGTCCACTGAACTAACTAGACTTCACTACACTTTAGTATAGAATGCAATAGCCGCATATTTCTGTTATCACGATTTCCATTATCACTTTATCAGCTTGGCCTGGGTAATTCACATACCTTTTGAACCACTTGCAGATGAGATTTTCGACGTTTTAACTGCACCAGAGGGCATTTTAGATGGGGATGTTTGAACTTTGACTGTCGCAGGCTGATGAGAATCTTTTTTAACAGACGACAATCTTGTGTTTCCAAAAAGCGGGTCAGAGGACAGAACTGAACGCTTAGCTTTTAACCTAAAAGACAAATCAAATTTTCATAACATATTCTGTCTGCTGGTAAAAATACATTGCCATGCACAGTGTCAGCCCATCCAATATCCGGGATTGTCTGTCCAGTGGAATGCAATATAATATATTGTTGTCACAAACACTTCAAACACTTTAATTTCCGTTCGTGACTACCATAGACGTTTATTTGATAGCAAGCATGATTGACATTAGACAAGAATGCTGGTCTTGGAAAAGGATTGTATCTCTTTCTTGCATATTCTTTTCTCTATCGTGTAAATTTGTCGATGCAGATTGTTAGTTGGTATCGAGTAGAAATATTACTTTTAGAGCACGAACCAGCGGAGGAGTGAATCCTCAACATATTGTCAAATATTGACAAATTGTAGCACGATTGCATTCCGTACAATTTCTGTAAGTATCGCGCGGGCGACGATTCAATTAAAGCATGCCATTTTTTTATCTTAAGAAATATTTTCTAAATTGGTATTACTCGGTAGTTAACCTTGTCGACGAAACTTTTGCTTCTTTGTTATCGTCATCTTCAACAACAATGGGTTTCCTACGAATACTGCCGTAGTTTGTTGGTTGGTGGACAGATGTGTAATGAGCAAGTAACTTCATGTATTGTTCCCGCTCCTGAAGACGCACCACCTATCAAGGGAAACTAGAAATTCACTTTGGCCTAGAACAACAGATGTTAAGGCTGTTTTACCACTTCCAAAGTCAAATGAATATGTGAACAGAATAAATATTACCCAAGGAAATTAACTGTAGTGAATATGTGAAGAGACCGAATGTTACCCAAGAGATTTTAACCGTGAATATGTGATCAGAACTTTGTGGTCCGTGCAGACTGTGGAGCAAGCATTTGTTAGCTGACTTAGCTCATTAATAAACCTGTCTGACACATGAACATACTGGTACATTTAATACTCCAGTGTTAAAAGTCAAGACGTCTACTTACATTATCAACTGTGGTTGGGTGTTGCTTAATTTTAAATGCAGTTATATTTCGAGGTTTAGGAGGACTTGGTTTCACCTCTGTAGATTCAGGTTTTTTCATGAAAACACCACCGCCAGACCCTGAAAAACATGCTGCAGGGCAATAATATTTATTAACCCATCACACACAACTGTAAAGAGTCTCTTAAAAGGAGTTACACTAAGAAGTATTTCGTGAGACTTCATGAAACATGTAATTGTATTCTGTGTGGAAGAATCCACTTTCAGCTAAAAAGTAAATCATCCATTAGTAAAAATTGTATAACCTCACCAGAAATCTGCCTTTCTCGTTTTTGAGAGGAAGAAACTGGGGTCCAAAGTTCATCTGTTGGGGAAATTGCTGCTGTTTTAGTACTATATTTTGAAGGATCATATATTGAGTGTCTTGATGAATTGGGTTCATAATTTCGATATGGGGAAAAATTCTCTTCAAGTGGCTTTCTGCTCAATTGTGAAGATGTTGCTTTTTCATCTTGCTCCGGTGATTGACAAAGTACATCCTAACAAGAGAACAGTGGGTGTTTTCACAAGGACTGCAAGCATATATGGTACATGTGACTTTGCATGTTAAACTAGTTTAGTAATTCAAGATGGGGAGTCTTGTGCATCTCATTTGTTTTATGGTGCACAAAGTAAGATGAAAGTGTAGGGGATCTGGGGATCCATATTTATACACCAGGCAGATTTAGAATGAGGAGGGAACCATCAAAGACAACATGAAAATGGTGAATATATGGCATGATGCACCCTAATATGGATGTGCCAAGCCATTTTATTTCACTACTCCTGATTTCTTTTGATAGCAATTGATTTTATGTTACATGATGTAAATATAGGAATATACCCAGACAACTGGAAATGAAGTTTTATATGTTACCGTTTCAAAATGTCTGTGCCGTTGCATATTTGAATGTTCATAGACAGGAAATGTTTCGTTTTCCTGATCATCTACATCATCCCGCCAATATTTTTCTCGAAATGATGTAAATATTCCCACAGTTTTCTTTGCTGTCTCTCTAACCCACTTAAAAACTTTTCCAAGTGGAGTTTGTCCTTCTATAATAAGCAAATAGTCATATCATATACAATACAGTTATGTGTACCAGATTTGTCCAAAACTACTTCAAAGTTAAACACAATGCTCTTAGACTTATGCTCTCTGTGAGCAATAGATCAACAAGCAACACAAAACTCTCTGTTTACATTGTGCTGTAAACAAGAACTATTTATTCTACCTTGACGGTAATCCTCCCCTCGAGCTCTTTTATTCTGTGGCGTCTGATAAAAGTGTTTGTTTGAAAAACATTTTGTAAATTCAGGTATACTGGGGATGGATGCTCAGTAAATATTTGCAAGTGTCAAGAATTTAGATTTTAAGAAAGAAAGAGAAATATAATCACAGCAATTTGTACCTGTAAATTATCAGTAACAATAATCACTTCTTCTCCACTTAAATTTTCACTACTAAAAATAAATTCAATAGTGTACAATTCAAAATTATTAAACATATCACACAAATGTTAGAAAATTGTTACTAAATATGTAATTAGCGGAATAACAGACTCCATAATTTAATACTGGCAACATCTTTATACAATTGTGTTTAATAGTGTGTAAAAATAAAAAAAGGCATGCGTTGGGTTATGTTGTATGAAAGTAACCTTAAAAAGTTGCACTTTAATTCTTTATCATAAACTGTATTTTGCAAATACTATACCTAACCAGGCTAATCTTTCACATAATTTGCAGGAAAAGCAATAGCAATTCACTAAGTTCTTGGAAACCATACATACTGCCCAGGCTCAAGAACTGTAGCCTGTAGACAATTTTTGTATGTTAAATTTTTACATAATTTTAATGCCAAGACACCTGACTTAGGGGCGATTACATGGACTAGGCTAGCCCGTTTCCTATATTATAGGAAGCAATTTTTGACGTTTCGATTACACTACAATTTACATATAACTAAACTTCCAATTCATCTCAGCGACCTAGCCTCAGGTTTTAGGTTTATAGAAGATATGTCATTTACGATTTATACATGTATGTTTTATATACTGTATATATATTTAAATACCTTGTCCACTTTCTTTTACCCCTTCTGCGTAACTTCGGAGTGTCAAAACTCGATGCCAACATACTAAAATAAACGATTTAGGAGCAAAATTTCCTCGATCCGTGTCTTATGTAGTCAAAAGTTGACTATTCTACATGAACCTATTTTAGTATTTTTAAAAATTACTAACTTCGATTCGCACGGTTTACGCGCGCCCACGTTTTCGTTCACTAGCGGTACATAGTTTCCAGTAGTTGGACACTTCATTTTATTACTTATCAGGGCACTTCTATATGTTGGGCGGTACTTGGATATTGACAATTTGCACTCTAGTTCACAAAAAGGGCTTCCAATAACCTCGGAAATGGCATTTTTGTCAGAGCGCATTATGTGTGTGGCACTAGCCACACTTCCACATAACAGTAAAATTAACAAAAAGATTTTGATTTCAGAAAAGTGCTTTGATTTGATTTTATATATCATTGGGTGAACGAGTTTTTTTAAAAAAAAATCAAAGCCAACAGAAAAATATGGAAGTAGTGCTTTGCTAATTGTACACCTGATACAAAGTCTATTATATATTATTCGTATAATTAATGGTTAGAATTTACGCAGACTACATATAGCGTTCATTAAAATTAGGCAAGTTCATCATTTTTTCCTCTTTTGTAGAAAATCTTCATAGGATAGACAAGCTTTCCTCATATTTCCTGCAAACCTTGGCACACCTGTCTAGAAAATTGTCGAATTCTATTTACTTGAATGGTATATAATGGCTTAAAGTCGATGAAAAAGCAAAAACCGATCAACGAAATTTTTCAACACTCAAGAAGCCTACCTTAGCGGCCCAATTGATCAACCACGTTGGAATCATACCTCCGGGATTATCAAAATAATACATATACGCTAAAAAATATTGTTTTGCCAATTAGAACTTAGGAAAAAAGAAGATTTATATTGGTATGAAATTCATTCTCCAAGAGCATTAAGCCTGTGATATCTGTTCAGCAGTATCAGTCAGTTAGTGTAATTAGGGGTAATTTTACATAACGCCTAACGGCCAAACAGGTCTGAATAAAAAACATGAAAGCACATTGATTAAACCAACTTTTCTTTATACCTTTGGTGTTGCCTTTCTCGTCAGGCTGTAAAACCAGACTTTGAGTAAAATCTGAAACACGCACGACACCACTAACTTCTTTCCGTGAACTAAATGGATGACTTTTTCCAAGAACAGCGTACGTCTGAACTCCATCTACTTCTAATTTTCTGGAATCTCTCACGAATGTATACTGTATTAATTGTACATTTAAGGAAAAAAGACGGTTGTACAACTCATGATAATTTTTTCTGTTCTTTTTCCGAACGAGGCACGTCATAATGGTCTTGTGTCTGTGATAATTAATTCCCTTGAAATTTTAAAAGTACTGCGAATTTAGCAATTTCAAACTTAGTCTATAATCGTATCTGCAGAAGCTTAATTTTTGTGATATAAACTAAAATGAGTAGCGAACTTCGCCGCCGGCAACGCGTTTTCTGCTTTGGACTTGGGTCTGGGGTAATGAGCATTGATCTAAGGGCATTGTGTGGATACATCACGATTAGACAGGGGAAAAGGAAAATTAACGTTCCAGTATATTCCTCTCACTGTTGAGCCATTCTCTTCTTCAGTAAATTCATACAATTCTAAAAGAGATTACCAGATCTAGAATGATTCAGTCTAGTTGGGCGTAATTCGTAGTCACTATAATGCATAAAATATTCTAGTATATTCCAGGCCTTCGTACATCCAAAGGAAAGGGGCAATTCAATAATAAAACTAAAATATATGAGAAACAACTTCTCTTATAGGCAGTATTTATTTTCATTGTTTTTCATAAGCGAGCGTTGGTAGCCTATGTAATTGTCAGGGTTGATAAAAATGCCCGAAAGTCTCATCAGGTATATACTTTTAAGAACATATGGGCAAAAAATCCGTTTACAGTAAATTTTTAACCAACAATTTTCAAACCTTTGACATAGTCATCCCACTTTTTTCGGTATTCCAGATCTATGTAAACTTGGTAGCAAGTCTCAGGAGGACATTCTAGGGTACCATACATCTTGTAAGAATAGAGACCAGATGCCTAAATGAATGAACATTGGTAATTATACATTTGGTTTTATAGTGCCAGAACAATCTGGATTTAAACATTACACACAATCTCCACTCATAATTTCAGGTCTTTAGTATTGAAGTTAATTACATTAGTGAGCAACAAGATTGCATGGTCGCTATCAAAGTGAATGCATAGTTATAGTACTGTCATGAATTGTCATACGTCACATAAGAATATTGAGGGCAGATCTGTATGGGATTTACAATGGGTTGTGCTATGCACTCATATATAGACACATAATATCACTTGCATACTGTCATTTTAACTTGTATCCGATAGGTAGCCCTGAAGTATATTTTTATCCAATTTTAAAAATGCAAATACACAATAGTAATGGTATTCCCTTGTTATGAACACACAATCCATAACAAGCAAATACACATGCATGGCTTCCTAGGATTAAATATTGTGTGTTGACTTGTGTTGAATGCATGTTAATCAGCATACCTGATCATACTGGCGATATATTTTACAATGAACTCCTTCAGGAGATGTTTCAACAAAAAATTCCCAGTTTTCTAGTTTAGGGCAGTTCAGTTCTTCGACTGCTTGATCAAATTCAGCTGCTTCAAACATCATCAAAGCACTGGAAAATAATGAAACATGAGCTAGCAACTCTAGCTTGCCAATTAAAGCTTTGCAATGTTATGTTAAATGTCAGGTAGTTTTGTTGATCTAAAGATTAGAGAAGTGTCACAGCTATAAACACCATTTAGTTCATGTGTTAAACATTGTTTTATATATGATTATCAAATTAGTCCACATATTAATAGAAACCAAGCCTTAGGCATTATATATTACTATAAAGTAGGATATCTACTAAAAAAACATTCTGATTTCAAGTATCAATGCAACACAATCACAACATCCTCACTTAATGTTATCATTCCTCTCACAACCATTCCTCACACACCACTTTGACAGGTTTGGCTATTTTTTATTAGCTGTCTCCTTGCAGTCTGCACGTATTTGACCTTTAAATAATCTAATGTAGAATGTAGAACTGGAGTATTACTATACCATTACTATAACGAACCATTACTATAACGTATTCAAGTATTCACAAGTTTAGTAATTAAAGTTTACTAACGAAGTATGATGATAATCCAATGGTATGGCCCAATCTTATTGTGACAAATGATCGGTGGAATAGGATCGACTTGTTCGAACAGATTAAAAAATTATTTGTTTATATGCCTCGTTAAAATCAAATCGCACTTTTGATATATTGCTAAGGGATTCAAGTACCTCTGTACATAAAACATGTTTTACGATGGGTGAAAGCACTTACTTATAAAACTGTACTTCTCTCTTTTACACTTTGTCTTCAACTATTTTGCACTTTTTTTTATAAACACACCTTCCACGCTCCCGTAATTTTCTAAATCTGGCGCGAAATTTGTCGAATTTGAAATGCAACGTTTCGAATTACCTCTTCCTGTCAGTCCGATTCGCTGGAGTAATTTGGTTTGTTTTATTTCTGAATATTTTGCGACTTCCACTGTAGCATAAACTAAGATAATATTAACACTGAAATCCTTGGATAAAAACAGGTGCTGATGTATGAGCAACCTGCTGAGATGTTTTTTAAAACAATCCCTATCGATTAACGACCTGCCCACATATACAAGTAATAATGCAGTGACAATGTGTAAACGTTACCTCTAACAAGATTTATAAATGTTTATAATAATGCAGGAGATTGGACTGTGTATATTTATGTTGTTGATGTATAATGTGTGTTGTTTTTCTTCGCATAAACCTGGCGACATGGCACCGTCTTTTATGATCCAAACACTAGCGGGTAAATTCATTTACAAAGGGAGAGCATTGAATGACACCGAGAGTTCAAATCCGATAATATTCTGCGCATTTAATAAACATTCTGCGTTTTTAAGAGCTTTATGGACTGAAGAGGGCTCTGTGAAGAGATTTCTCGAGCGATCACCTCGAAACACCCAGTATGTGTTTCTATCGCTATCTGACAATGCGAAACATGATGTGCAATATATGCAGAAGAAAATATTTGGTGAAATGGCTAGATTGTATAATGAGAAGAAAGATAAGTGAGTCAACTTTTCTCTAGATTGTTTTCACACCTTTTCTTTGCTAAACCTATCTTTCTTACTTCATGCATGGTGTGTGATTTATAACCCAAACTTGCACCTCATTGCCCCATCGCCTCGTACTCACTTCTACCAGGCTATGAGATCATATGACAAAGGCATATCCTGGTTACGAGAAAGGCTGGTTCCCAGCTGTATGTTGTAAACTAAATTACATCCAATCCTTTTTGTGATGATGATTAGTTGAAAAACTCGTTTAGGTTGAGTAGTCGTTTTGTCATTATATACTCGTTTCCTAGCTATAACACTTCTAAGAACGAGGTTGATTGATTTACATGGTTGTTAGTGGACAGTGACCGGATATTGAAAATCATTCAAAATATTTATTTCAGTGGAGTATTGGCAGTCGATATGCCACACTCATTACGATAAAATAGGAGTCCTATGATTATCTTAAGGTAGGACTTAGAGCATGGGCTACGTGTTCTCTCCCGATTGGCCCTAACTGCTAGTAAAAAGTTAACGACATTTTTTCTACAACCTGTCCCCGTGTTAGATAAAATGTCTAAAATGTAGTGATTCGAGCATTGGAGCCTTGGAAGAAGTTCAGGTGATCTTTACAGCAAAGTTAGCCAACGGTCAACGGCTATATGAACAAATTACCATTTAAGACGGTATCCTAGTCACGTTTTAACCAAATAGATGATTTGGAATGACCAACAACTGACTCTTATCTGCAATATAACCGATATCGTAAATTCTTCCAAATCCTCTTTTCGGTTGTTATACTCTTCCAGGCTTATCATTAATCCTACGCATGCCATCTTCCAGGAATATCCAAGATACAATGCGTCAGTTCACCGTGACACAGATCCGATCGACAAGTCAGAGGAAAAACAAAATTTATTTTCAGTCTTTTGTGTCACTAAACCTTGGACAAATCTATTAACTCTATTTCATCCACGATGTTACCGTAACAAAATGGATCACCATCGCTTTGTGCATCTTGTGCGCTTTAACTAAGTCACGTTGAACCGAACAATAAGTAGTTTCATAAATCCCCTGATAAAAACAAAATTGTTTTAGTCCAGCATTGTCACTTTGAGAGGCATGTATCCACACCACACCCCTCCGTGACACCGCAGAAATTGGTGTTTAAGACGTTTCAACCCGAAAATCTAATCGCTGGTTCACAATTGTGCATTTCTGTATCGCCCTATCAAAGAGAAACCTTTTGAATATCTTAAAAAAGTTCAATTTTTCTTCTGAATACGCATTCTGCAATCTTTTGACAGCTCATCATACACATCTGACCGCTGTGAAATGGCCATTTTGAGGCTTAAAGTATACACAAGGTTATTAATTCAGACGATTCGTTTTTACCGTGAGCAAGCTTCAAATCTTTTGTGCAAGACATATTTTCTTGAATATTTATAAATCTTTTTCCTCACCAAGTTTGAAGTCTAAGTATCGAGAATTGCGGCTAAGCCTATACCAATTTCCGCGGTGTCTCCCTCCGTACGACCATCGACAATTTTTCTTTTTAAAAATGCAGTTTTTACAATATCTTTCTCATACAGAATTGTTTTGCATAAAATGAATGCCGTGGATAAAGATCAGGGCGTGCTCAGTAGCAGAATATTGTTCAGAATGTCCAAAACGAAGCGAATTAAACGCACCGTCATGCACAACGATGAAAAATTAGACAATTATGATAGAGAAGATGAAGAAAGATTAGATGATTCAATGGATGAAGAAGGTGCAATATATAACGTAACAGAGGAACAACCAGCATTTAGCAAGACTGGTCGACCTCTCCTATTACTTGATAATAAGCATTCTGAAGGGGAGTTGGCAAGCTGGAAGAAAAACTTCCATTTTGCCTCATTTCCTCTCTATGAATTTGGTAACTGGATTCCATTTGTTATGGCACGATGGCCTTGCCTTGGCACTGGATGTGGGCTACCGCAAGTTGCATTCAAAAATAGCGAAGGTAAGTTTAAAAGGCAGGAGTAGAATTTTCTTCCTATTTTAGAAAACAGGCATGGCTGTTTCAAGAACAGTGTTTCCATTATCGATTTAACCAACTTATTTCATTTCTATTATCACAGGAGATATCTTACGGGTCATTCCTCGCCTAGAAGCGCGATATGATTGGCAACCAATGCCTTTCCGGACTCTGGTCAAACATGAGAAAACCAAATTGAGATATATTCACAATCCATGTGATATCGCTGCACAACCTAAAACAATAAAGACAGCTTTCAAGGAAGTCGCTCTTATATCTAGTAGTGATGGCGATTGCTCTACATTTCAAAAGGTAAGCCGGATTACATGTAAGATAAATAAATGCCTAAGTTGTTGATAATGTATAGAAAACTAAGCACTGTTTGGGTAGAATACAGCGGCATGCACGGTTAGGTTTTGTAACGAGTCAACGCCGGAGAAGAGAGATTAATGAAGAGTGGGCACCAATATTACTTGAAATTACCACCAATTGCCTAATTACATGAAACATTTAAACCAATGGCGATAAAGAGACCACTGACAACTGAAAGTCAACTTTTAATTTCCAGATCCAAAACGTGGCAAAAATTGGCATTAGGTTTGTACTCATTTATGCGAAGAAAAATGAAGAAGTGAAAGAAATCAAATGTAAAAATCAAGAATGCTTTCATCTCCTTGGTGCATCAGCCGCCATGATATCCTTCGAAGACGGTGATGAAGTTAAAAGAATGATGAAAAATCAGGATTTGTTTGTTGAATTACAAACCACCAGCCAGGATAATTTCTTCTTTGCTATCGACCACAGGGGAAGGCTTTCAGAAGTTGGTCTTTTTCTTTATCCTTCGTTGCACTTTCTGGCTTTTGAAGCTCAATGGTATGTGGTGCTGTAGAATGATGAGCAGGAATTGCAATAGAAACAATATATTCATAAAGATAGAGTCCGTGATATGGTATCAGTAATCAAGCAGTTAAAATGTTGTTTCCTATTCTGTAGGTTTCATTATGAATCAGATATTATGAAGAATACCAAAGGACATGCTAAAGTCGTTCCTGTTTTCAATCGTACCAAAATGCAAGGCGTAAAAGGGGCAACAAAAATAGTCCATCTTCCTAAAGGTACGTGATAGAACTGCCAATATTACCTATTTTCTAAAGTCCTATAGGTTTAGTCCTATACGTTTTCTGTCCCCGAGAACAATCACTGAAAAGAAAATGATCCCGATTGGGAAAAGGCTGGCATATATTAACAAGACTGGAGAGTTTTTTCATACATTTATGTTGCACATTCTTTTTTAATAGCTCTTCAACGCATAGTGTTGCCTCCATATGCAATTGTATATCCTTCCCTTTTTGGTCATGGTCGCATCATGCAAATCAGCCAATATACCATTATTTCCGCATATTACGTGCACACATATTGTTTCAATATCATCTGTTGCATCAAATTATATAAATTACCACTTCCCGATGTTGTGTAGATTTTCTCAAGTATCGTAATGTGGAGTTGGACATGTCACTTCATTGTCCGGATTCCTACGACTCATCTTGTCCACACTGGGATCATGTGATCCACCTGACAGTGTGCTGTGAGAGTAAGAGTAAACTTTGTGGATTGGAGCTTGGACGCTGGATTACTCCTTATGCCAGGTAGTACTCTCTATGGCAGGTAATATGCTAGGATTGCCAGTTGGTGTAAATTTATTGAGAGTTGATGTAAATACATCACGCTTCCAAGATATTTTAACATAAAAGAAATGTATATGTATTAATATTATGTAACAAAAATCTCAAACGGGTTGTACCGTGAAAAAATCTTTTTCCAAAAATTTTTTTCCAAATTATAATTTGAATAGATCAGTCGGAAGATGGCTAACTCCCATCACGTCACTCTTACCTCTATTTACAAGCTCAACATGCACGTTGACAATGAAGACAGTTCCTTGGGAAATGCCTTGGACACCATCGTTAAACATCCGTTTTTCTGATCATATCTCAGGTAAGAAAGTCAGTAAAAACACAGGAATTGTCTGTTCGAAGACCTTATTTTTTGCATCCGTTTTTCGTTGGATACCACGGGGTAGGCATCGTTGCATATTTCGTACTCATTCATGTACCGGCATCTGAGCTACGAATGAGCCTTTGTTACGTTTGGACCCATATCCCAAACGAAAACTGAGCAGGGGCGGGAAACATGGGTTTTCCCCATCATGTGCGAACATCATTTCCCCATCATGATCATCGTATAATTATTCCCATCAGACTTTGCTTTGTGAAATGAAGTTTTTGCTCGATCGAAAAAGCCAACTGTTCGGATAAACCATCTCATATTTTACGGTTTAGATTCTAAACATGGATACAGTAAACGACGATTTTCCCCTGATCTTGTTCCTTATAAAATACTGAAACTGTATAGCGGAGGAAAATTCGATAAGAATTACAACAGGAAGTATAAAGATATTAGTTTTAGCCCACCACAGGGGACAAAGAAAGTCGAAATTGTCGCTCTTATCACAGGGCACGGCAAGGATAACAACGGATGTGCTGAGTTCTGTGTTACGTCGCATCATTTTACTGTTAATAATATATCACCAAATGTCATCGTGTTCAAGAATGCCGCGACTGCAATGGGCTGCGCCGAGCGTGTTGGTCAGGGAGTCGAACCAAATGAACATGGTACATGGTTATACGGTCGTGATGGGTGGTGTCCGGGACAAGAAGTTGTTCCTTGGGTTAAAGATATTACTAATCAAGTAGAATTAGAAAACGAAAACACTATTAAATATTTTGGTTACTTCAACGGCACTGATCCTAATCCAAGTCATTCACCAGGGAATATTGATATGTCTTCTTATTTAGTATTTTATAGACTAGCCGAAGATTTAGCAGGTTATTAATATTCTAATGACAGATCTGGAAAACTATGTAAAGTTTCTTTAATCAAAAAAGATCCTGCAAAAAAAAAAGGAAAGCTTCACTCTCTTCGATGGTATCAGCTGTTCCGCCTGTTCGTTTGTTCTAATTTCACCAGTAGGTCAGTATTTCAGGCAAAAGGCAAAGAAAATAGATAAATTTATTCCTTTTTTTATTCAAATTCCGCAAATAATACATAAAATACATTCCCTCTGGCCCCTATAAAGGATTTTTGGCTTTTCTGAACACCGGCATGCGCAGGAATATTTGGATTTGAATCAGTTGTTTGGAATTTTGAATTTCAATTTGGAATTGAGCAAATGTGCAGTGCATTTCTAAAACGCACAAAAATAAAAAATCCGTTTTTTATATTAGTAAAAAATCCGAGTTCTTTTGGGCAAACGGTGCAACAATAAGTAAGTGTTTTTCGTTATTCATGTCCACGACGGGCTGGACTACAGAATCAGTCATCGTCGTCATCTCTGAGTGATGCATCAATCATGATAAATCATGACGAACTTTTGGTCTAAGAATAGATACATATTGCACATGCGCAGTCATGTTACAGCAAAGAACTGTCCACATCAACAAGTCAGTAATGTCACAAACTAAAGATCATAAAGATCATATTCTTCTTCTGTGGTAATGCCTGTGATAATGTAGTGCCAGTGTGACAATGTGTAAACGTTACCTCTAACAAGATTTATAAATGTTTATAATAACGCAAGAGATTGGACTGTGTATATTTATGTTGTTGATGTATAATGTGTGTTGTTTTCCTTCGCATAAACCTGGCGACATGGCACCGTCTTTTATGATCCAAACACTAGCGGGTAAATTCATTTACAAAGGGAGAGCATCGAATGACACCGAGAGTTCAAATCCGATAATCTTCTGCGCATTTAATAAACATTCTGCGTTTTTAAGAGCTTTATGGACTGAAGAGGGCTCTGTGAAGAGATTTCTCGAGCGATCACCTCGAAACACTCAGTATGTGTTTCTATCACTATCTGACAATGCGAAACATGATGTGGAATATATGCAGAAGAAAATATTTGGTGAAATGGCTAGATTGTTGTATAATGAGAAGAAGGATAAGTGAGTCAACTTTTCTCTAGAATGTTTTCACACTTTTTCTTTGCTAAACCAATCTTACTTACTTTATGGTGTGCGATTTAGAACCCAAAGATCCACGATGTTACCGTAACAAAATGGATCACCATCTCTTTGTGCATCTTGTGAGCTTTTCAGATAATAAGTCACATTGAACAAACCATTAATAGTTTGATAAATCCTCTAATCAAAACATTATTTTTACAGCTATATGCATGAATATTTGCAAGTCGTTTTAGTCCAGCATTGTCACTTTGAGAGGCAGGTATCCACACCATACCCCCCTGTGCAACCAACAAGACTTACATAAATAAGTTTCTTTCGCAAAGTAGTTGTATCAACCAGAACTGTCCAACTTGTGCCATTGTAGCTACTTTCTATTTTTCCTTTTAAAAATGCAGTTTTTACAATATTTTTCTCATATAGAATTGTTACGGATCAAATGAATGCTGTGGATAAAGATCAGGGCATGCTCGGTAGCAGGATATTGTTCGGAATGTCCGAGAAGAAGCGAATTAAACGCTCTGTCATGGACAAAGATGGAAAATTAGAAAATTATGACAGAGAAGATGAAGAAAGATTAGATGATTCAATGGCTGAGGAAGGTGCAATATATAATGTAACAGAGGAACCACCAGCGTTTAGCAAGACTGGTCGACCTCGCATATTACTTGATAATAAGCATTCTGAAGGGGAGTTGGCAAGCTGGAAGAAAAACTTCCATTTTGCCTCATTTCCTCTCTATGAATTTGGTAACTGGATTCCATTTGTTATGGCACGATGGCCTTGCCTTGGCACTGGATGTGGTCTACCACAAGTTGCATTCAAAAATAGCGAAGGTAACTTTAAAGGGCAGCGGTAGAGTTTTCTTCGCCCTATTTTAGAAAACAGGCATAGCTGTTTCAAGAACAGTGTTTTCCGTTATTGATTTAACCAACTTATTTCATTTCTATTATCACAGGAGATATCTTAAGGGTCATTCCTCGCCTAGAAGCGCGATATGATTGGCAACCAATGCCTTTCCGGAATCTGATCAAACATGAGAAAACCAAATTGAGATATATTCACAATCCATGCGATAATGCTACAAAGCCTAAAACAATAAAGACAGCTTTCAAGGAAGTCGCTCTTATATCTAGTAGTGTTGGCAATTGCTCTACGTTTCAAAAGGTATGATTTCATGTAAGATAAATGCCTAAGTTGTTTTTTAATGTATAGAAAACTAAACACTGTTTGTATCAAATACAGCAGCATGTACGGTTAGGTTTTGTAAAAAGTCAATGCCGGAGAAGAGAGAATGAAGAGTGAGCACCAATATCCTAAAAAGTTACATGAAACCAACGGCGATAAAGAGACGACTGACAACTGAAAGTCAACTTTTAATTTCCAGATCCAAAACGCAGCAAAAATTGGCATTAGGTTTGTACTCATTTATGCGAAGAAAAATGAAGATGTGAAAGAAATCAAATGTGAAGATCAAGAATGCTTTCATCTCCTTGGTGCATCAGCCGCCATGATATCCTTCGAAGATGGTGATGAAGTTAAAAGAATGATGAAAAATCAGGATTTGTTTGTTGAATTACAAACCACCAGCCAGGATAATTTCTTCTTTGCTATCGACCACAGGGGAAGGCTTTCAGAAGTTGGTCTTTTTCTTTATCCTTCGTTGCACTTTCTTGCTTATGAAGCTCAATGGTATGTGGTACTGTAGAATGATGAGCAGGAATTGCGATAGAAACAATATATTCATAAAGATAGAGTCCGTGATATGGTCGCAACTGCTTATCAGTTATCAAGCAGTTATCATGTTGTTTCCTATTCCGTAGGTTTCATTATGAATCAGATATTATGAAAAAGACCAAAGGACATGCTAAAGTCGTTCCTGTTTTCGATCGTACCAAAATGCAAGGCGTAAAGGGGGCAACAAAAATAGTCCATCTTCCGAAAGGTACGTGATAGAACTGCCAAGATTACCTATTTTCTAAAGTCCTATAGGTTTCGTCGAGCAAATCCCGTGGTCAGCCGAGGGAAACACCCATTTTTTATGCGTAAATAGTATTGGCTACTTTCCTTTTTGTTCATGGTGACATCATGCAAATCAGCCAATATGCCATTATTTCCGCATATTACGTGCATGTATCTTGTTTCAATATCATCTGTTGAATCAAATTATATAAATTACGACTTCACGATGTTGTGTAGATTTTCTCAAGTATCGTAATGTGGAGTTGGACATGTCACTTCATTGTCCAGATTCCTACGACTCATCTTGTCCACACTGGGATCATGTGATCCACCTGACAGTGTGCTGTGAGAGTAAGAGTAAACTTTGTGGATTGGAGCTAGGACGCTGGATTACTCCTTATGCCAGGTAGTACTCTCTATGGCAGGTAATATGCTAGGATTGCCAGTTGATGTAAATATATCACGAGGGTTGATGTACAGGCTCCCCAGATATTTTAACATAAAATAAAGGTATATGTTAATGTTATATAACAAAAATCCCAAACGGGTTGTACCGTGAAAAAATCTCTTTTTTTGCAAATTATGATTTGTATAGATCAGTCGGAAGGTGGCTAACTCCCATCACGTCACTCTTACCTCTATTTACAAGCTCAACATGCACGTTGACAATGAAGACAGTTCCTTGGGAAATGCCTTGGGCGCCATCATTAAACATCCGTTTTTCTGATCATATCTCAGGTAAGAAATTCAATAAAAACAAAGGAATTGCATCGTACCAATTTCATACTAATTCATGCACCGGTATCTGAGCTACGAATGAGCCTTTGTTGAGCAGGGGCGGGAAACATGGGTTTTCCCCATCATGTGCGAACATCATTTTCCCATCATGATCATCGTATTCCCATCAGACTTTGCTTTAAGGCGGATTTCCACTTACAGCTAAATCGTTTGCTGGCGAAATATTTGCATATTTTCTTTTGAATTGAGAACACTCAAGTCGCACTAATTTATTTATGCTGTTTAAATTCAAAAGAAAATATGCTAATATTTCGCTAGCGAACGATTTCGCTGTAAGTGGAAATCCGCCTTTATGAAATAAAATTTTTGCTCGATCGAAAAAGGCAACTGTTCGGATAAACTATCTCATATTTTGTTTAGATTCTAAACATGGATACAGTAGTAAACAGCAATTTTCCCCTGATCTTGTTCCTTATAAAATACTGAAACTATATAACGGAGGAAAATTCGATAAAAATTACAACAGGAAGTATAAAGATATTAGTTTTAGCCCACCACAGGGGACAAAGAAAGTCGAAATTGTCGCTCTTATCACAGGGCACGGCAAGGATAACAACGGATGTGCTGAGTTCTGTGTTACGTCGCATCATTTTACTGTTAATAATATATCACCAAATGTCATCGTGTTCAAGAATGCCGCGACTGCAATGGGCTGCGCCGAGCGTGTTGGTCAGGGAGTCGAACCAAATGAACATGGTACATGGTTATACGGTCGTGATGGGTGGTGTCCGGGACAAGAAGTTGTTCCTTGGGTTAAAGATATTACTAATCAAGTAGAATTAGAAAACGAAAACACTATTAAATATTTTGGTTACTTCAACGGCACTGATCCTAATCCAAGTCATTCACCAGGGAATATTGATATGTCTTCTTATTTAGTATTTTATAAACTAGCCGAAGATTTGGCAGGTTATTAATATTCTAATGACAGACCTGGAAAACTATGTAAAGTTTCTTTAATCAAAAAAGATCCTGCAAAAAAAGGAAAAGCTTCACTCTTTTCGTTTGCTCTAGTCATCATGACGAACTTTTTGTCTAAGAATAGATACATGTTGCACATGCGCAGTCATGTTACATGACGTAATGTAACAAAGTAGAATAAAAACTTTGGTATATACATCGATCAATCTAATTTTATAAACAGCTGTAAAATTATGTCGAAAAAGCAACCCAGAGGTACAGGTATGGTATTGAATTGATGATTCTTAACAAAGAATTCTTTAGCCCGTATAAAGAACATGAAGCAACGATATTGCTGCATTTTCTGGCAAATTTTTTTCTGTATGGTTCTATGTCGTGATGTCTTCCGAGCCATAGGCTGCTTTTTTGAGACGAATTGGCTTGAATATTTTTGTGCATCCTTGGAATGTAATTAATATAGCAAAGTTGAACTTGAAGCCACCTCAAATCCCGATACTTCATATTTGTGACTGAACATTAGAGCCTCCCCAATAACTTCCCTAATCCCCTCTACTGGTTTTAATATTAGCGCTAAAAGAAACTTAGAATCACGAGCCCTAAAGTAGACAAAATCTGATGGGGACACCAAGGTTGAAACATTGAGAAGTGTTTCTGTCCATTTTAAGCAGTTATTGTTATACGGTACATCAAATAATTCACATTAGTTGCAAAGTTGTTTGAATATGTTGCCTCACCAGTTATATTTGAACATAGTCACATGGTTACTGTATAAATACAAACTGTTATTGTGTTTTTTTTAATAGGTTACCCAGTGCAACAGCCAGCATATCCAACCCAACCAGCATATCCACCTCAAGCAGGATACCCTACCCAACACATACCTGGTGGTTATCCAACTCAACCAGTACCTGGTGGTTATCCAGCTCAACCCTATCAACAGCCTACATATAACCCTCAATATCCCCAGCATCCACAACCATATCCACAAGTACCTTATACTCAGCCTGGGTATGGACAACCACCACCACCTTATCCAGGAACAACACCTAATCCTGTTCCACAGCAGGTAAGAATAAAAGCATCAATGGCAGTATCGTGACATTTCATGTTGCCATTGTTATGACAGGTTTCCATGGCATGTATAACAACTCTAGCAACTTCACTATATAAATCTGGCTATGTATTTAATTTTTTTCCTGTTAATTAAGCAACCTAGCCTGGCTCATGGACAATTTGATTCTGGGGCAAGATTTGGAGCTGGTTCTAGTGTGAATATTCCTGTAAGTATGCACTAATATATTTTTATTCAGATTTTTATTAAAAAATATTTTTATTCCTGCACAAAGGATACCTGATAATGAATATAATTCAAATTTGTAACTATAGTAAATGTGGTTATATCTTCAAATCTGATCTTTTTAGAAGGGGTTGCTGATATATATTTTTCTACAATTCTTTCACTCAAACATTTAAAATAATTTCAGCCTCCACCACCCGGTGTTATGCCAACACATGCCCAAATGGCAGCAGCAACTGGACAATCTGTTGTTATGAAACAACAAAAGACAGGATGGGTAGAAGGTGCCCAAGGTGGTGGATACACCTTTTGGTGAAAAATTCTTTTTTTCACTTTTCATTTGGAGATACAGCATGCACATTACATTTAACTGTGGTAACACAATATTGGTGGAGTTTAAGTACCGGTCTAGTTAAGGAGGTACATGTACTCTGTTACTCCATTTAACAATGATTTGCAAATAATAATCTGGACAGTGCAATGTAAATCACTACCAGAATAAAAATGAATATAATCAATTTTTTTGTATGGAACTTGTAGTAACTTTTAGTAATATAGTAATCATAGCGCATGAAATAAATAGACAATATTATATTTCTATAGTTAAAAATAGAGTGCAAAAGGGCGACGTGTATGACTTGTTTAGTGGCTTAGAAGAAGTGAGCAAATCGTCTAAAATAATTAAATTTGTCCTTTTTGTGCTCAATATTTAAGGATGTTCCTGAAAGTCAAATATCATACTCCATAACCTCAAACTTTGAGCCAGAAAAGCAAGATGGTAGAGCAACATTTTTTCATTCTGGGTTGTAATACAGTCTTCAGTGATTTTACCAATGTATTCAATCAGCCAATCATGCTTTTAATGCTCAGAGTTTGTGACTTTGAATTTTCACCTTTAAGGAAAACCTTTATACAAGTAATTAGCTGTAGGAGTAATTTTGCAATATGAGCATGAATATGAATCTTATCTTTATATATGATCAATGTACTGACTTATCCTAAATTTGAATTTTCCATCAACTTATGATTATCTTTGAAAAATCTCCCTCTTGGGACAATTGTTGTATAATAAATTTAAAGTTAAAATTACCTTCAGCATTCGTGGTGCAAATGACAGATGAGAAATTCCGAATGATGTCGAGACTCTCGCGGTCGTGGAAGGAACTACAGGGTGTACATCAAATAAAAAGACCTAAAGTTAGCATCTGGGACCCATAATAAAAAAAAATTACAAGCATGCCCCTTTTAACCTATCAACCTTACATACCTATTTGGACAGACTGGACAGGACCCTGGGTCTGTGTTCGCCATGACCTTAATCAGCACCGACAGCACGTCGCTACTTTGAGAACAACTTGCGCCTGACTGAAATTTAGTGTGCTTACGTACACTTCGGATCTTGTGGCAGCGTAGCCTAATGGCAATTTTTGTGGTACATCTTGGCACAGCTTAAGGATATATATCCTTTGTGCTGTGATCGTTGACTGTGCTGTGATCTTGATGTGCAAATGACGTCATCGTCGCCATGTTAGAGTACTGTAACAAGAATTCCTTTTTTTGCAATCCCCTGAAATGACCGCACACCACATTATAGGTTTTCTTATTAAAAAATACGTTATGATTCTGGCAAACGATTAGTATCTATATGAAATTCCTAGATTTTATTCCCTGCAACGAAGAGGAAAGTGTATTCATCGTTAGACGCACAACGGTGTCTTCTTCCAGGTGGAAAAAATACATATATTCCATGTCAAACAAATACGGATTTTCAGCAGTTTGCCTTAACCTTTCGTCGAGCACGTGCAATTTCGTTATAAAATCTTTTTAAAGAATACAAATATAGACAAAAATCTAACGGCAATTATACCAAGAATATTTATTTTTTAAATATTTTCGAAGAATTAATGTTTACAAAAAAGAACATAATGTACACAGATTTAAGAAACTTTCGCACATGAAGTTTGTGTGCATGCGATAACTTTCATTGAACATCACAACTTTAGTTTAGTGTGCTTTAACAACATTTGGTACCTCCCTATAGAACACTGTGAGAGATTAGTGATACTGGAGTGTGTAAGAGACTTTCAGAATGAAATCTCTGATAGCATAATTAAAACATTCATGCTAGGTAACTGTACGTGTCTTTTTCTCCTTCTACTCTTTCCAAATATTCCTTCTCTATTAATATGTCAATACATTTCTAGAAAGAATGGAAATTAGCCTTAATATATGAAAATCCGTCCGAGTACTGCATGTATATTTTGTAATAAAAGATAAATAAAATAATAAAAGCTAAATTAATGTTCGGATTCCAAGTAATGCCAAGTTTACCAACATTTTGTGTTAACAACTACAAGCTAAGGTAACAGGGACTCTTTGCCTTACCTTGATAACGGGGACTCTTGGCTTAAATCTACTAGATAGTTGCTGCATGACCTCCGCCAGCAGAGGCTGATGCTTTAAAACTTTACGCATCTTCATAATGCGAACAATCGCAGCCTTTATAATGAACAAAGGGTATACATAACTATAATTAGTATAATACTACTTGTGTGGATATATAGGGGGCCGCACTGGACACTATTCATGGCTGTGAAGACGTCATTGAATGTTGAATATAATAAAAAGGGGTGATGACGTACCTGAATAAGAAGTTTTCTATCTTCTTCAATATATTTATGTGTTTGTTCTTGCTCCTGTTTTTGCTCCAGTTTCACTGGAACGTTGATATTCACTCGTAGTTTTTTGCTAAAATATACGTCGTGACAATGAAGACTGATGTGAACACACATTCTAAACTTTTACTGAAATTATAAGTGAATTACAAAAGTTTTGAGTAAATACATTGTGATTAGAACAAAGTTAAGATAGTTTCACCCCTCCTCTTCCCTAGCATGTAGCCTTTCCCATGCAGTATTCTCACAGGAGTAGGATTGAGTACCAACTATAAATTAATGCAACTCACTTCTTGTATTCAAGAAATAATTTCATATTGGATGAGGATACTAAATTAGCAGCTTCAGTGTCAGATATCTAAGAATGGTTAGTACAATATTAATTAAAAAATAAACCAGCAACGCAAATATATTCATCGCGAACTACAATGATTTTTTCGTGCGCTAGGAGTGCATGATGCCATATATGCCAAGTGTGACTTTAGATTTAGGGGACAGATATTGGAAAATCTGGAAAAGATATTCTCGCACAAAAATTCAACGTCCGATGCTTTGCTCTAAGACACTGCTATGTCATGACACTACAGAGATCAATTTACAATATTTACCAGTAATTTTGATTTCAGAAGAACGGTTAATATTTGAATCAAGGTGTCCTGAAAAAAACCCATACGTAATTACTGATACTTTTTTTCTATAATGCATATTTTCAAGTTTTCCTGATGTATGTCAGGAATTAGGATAGTCCCCAAAGAACGGGCTATTGCGGGCTATATACGGGCTATATAAATACTTACAGGGTTAAGCCCAGTATGTTCCTGAATCCGTTTTACACTGAAGCTGATTTGATTGTTGAACATTAGGAGAATACCCATTTGAAATGTCGACGCCTAAACAAAGAACAAGATTGAGCACGTAATGTAAAAGTTCGTATTAATAAATTACATAAAACATGAGCATAATTTTGAAGGAAGTAGCTATGTAAAATAACGTACATAAAGCACATAGTTGTAAGATACACTAACATGATATTATCTTACAGAAAACATTAACTCTTACGGGTATGGTTTAAGCTAAAGTAACTTACTTGTAGCGTATATCTGTTTTTGAAACAGTTGGTCACAATTTCTCCCTATTAATAATAAAGAAATAACACTACATATGGAATGTTTTCTACTGCAAAGGCTTCTTCTCTCGGTATTGTAATATAAAACTCGTCATCCTCTCGGTATTGTACGTTGTACGTACCTTAGACATTTGGTAGACCCATTGAAGTTTTCTTCCGCTATGTTGACTGCTGTAAAAATTCGTGAATCGCTGATGACTTCTTTCCAGCTAAAAAGGCAAACATTCGATACTTTATACCTGTGGATTAAGATAGTGATGACGTTAAACCAGGATGACGTCAGTAGGAAAATCTTTGGAGGGAGTCTATTGTTGATATCAAGAAAGATCTCCTACATACAAAGACAAGGGGCATACGGTACCTCAGTGGGTAAATTGAAATCAATTGATTGCTGAAAAGGCCAGGATCCTGAGCTCAGAACTTGTATGGAAAAATCCACAATCGCTGAAGGAAAATTAAAGTAATCAATAAAAGGACAATGTCAAACGAATTGTCAGACGTATCATGCGAACGTTAAAACTTACCTTCTAATTGATTAGAATTGCTAAGATATTTCTTAAACTGATCATTCAGGTCTTTACTAACACCAACATCTTGAAACATTCTTTGAAGTTTTGATGTATACTCAAAACCACACGCTTGCTACAAGAAATCGAAGAAAGTGGAAAACTGTTAGATCTTTATTACACCTCAGCGTACGTCCAAAACTCTGTGTTTATAACTCAAGCTATGAAGGTGATACGCAAGTAACAAGAAACTATAACGTACTTTGAGCTTAGAAATCATGTTAGCTTCAGCATCATCTGACGCAGACGTTTGATTTACTAATCTCTTGGCAAGCATTCTTGAGTAGAATTTCTGAAAGACATCTTTGTCCTCGATGTATTTGAACACTACCATCTAAACAGCACTTCAAGTCAGCATGAATTCCAGGAAATAACAGAATGGGGTTGAAATCGAACTTAAACATTTCATGCATATATGTGCGTTTGGAGAAAAGCACAGTATAGGATGGTTCTAATTAAACTGGTCGAATGAAAATAAATAAATCTTACAACAGAATTTAGAATATCTTCCAACTCAGCCTCTTCCGGATTTTTCGAACTAAATGGAATTGAATTAATGTGAGATTAGAAATATAAGAAACAACTTTCAGAGTTTGAGAATTTTTCATTTGGTTGGTTGTATAAACAGCTATAGCGGAACCCCACCGTACGACCACGATGGCAGATGAACTTAACTTTTAATAATATTGCAGTATGATGAGAGAACCCAATGCGGTTAAGAACTACAACTGGCCCCAGGACATAAACAACAAACAAGTATGTATTTAAATACAATAAAACTCCTTTCATACTATGAGCAACATTCATATACCAACCTTTTCTTAAGGAGAGAATCGCAAAATCTTGCGAGAAGTTCGGGTGATTTCGATGTACTGTTGGCTTGTTTTGTCACAGCATTATTATTAATGAATTTACCACAAGCCTGCAAAAAACCCAACATGAAAGGGTTGTCTAAACAGTTTGTAAACGTTTTTAGATTTGTTATCTGTCACAGAAACCTCACCCTCACTTAATTTTCCCCTTGCAATAACTTAGTAGCAATGAAATAACTATGGACTGTTGTAGGTCGACCTACATTTAGTAGAAAAATAAAGGTAGAGATACAAACAGAAATATTACAAACCTTATCAAGAGCTTCAATAAAACCAGTATCATTTCCGAAAGCAGTCATCACCAACGCATTGTATTTACGATGAACTGATAGAATTGTTTCAACGTACACTTTAGGATCCTGAAGCAATGAAAATAATACGAATCCTGTTATATGTTTGATATTGCCTAACAGAATAATGCTCACCTAACAGAAACAACAATGATTTTAAACCTGAGTCCATTTAAGGGGTAATTGTAAAAATACATACGTTTAATGCTTCATCTCCACATTTTTCAATAGCGTTATGCCCTTGGCAACAAATATGTCGCTCTAATAAATTACGGAGTTCGCCAAGACCATCTGGAATTAATTTCACCAAGCTGTACATGCGACCTAAATCTGAAATGGAAATATGGAATACTTCACGGACTGGTTGACCACCAAAACGCATTAGTCTGCAGGAACATCCTATAGTAAATTACTCGATCTATCACTAAGTAGGGACTCGACTGAAGGTCCTTTTCCACTCATTACAAAACCCATTCGCAAGCTCGCTCCGAATGCTTGCATCCGAATAAAATCGTCACAAAACATTTTAATTGCATGAAAATACTCGCATCGAGCTTGCGAGTTGATAGTCGTGATAAGTGAAAAAGAGCCTTGACTCTAACCCATGTAACCCCTGCAGTGTAGGAGCACTCACTGCATTGGAACTACAGTATACAAAAGAATCGCTGCAGCAAATGACATACATACCTGAGTCCTTGTCATCATCTAGTAAATTCTGGAACTCTGCATACAAAATATCAAAATGTTTCCCAATCAAGACTTGCTCACACTTTCTTGCAAGCTGCAATAATTTAAAATTAAAATATAAAAAACTGTGAAACTATTCTTAAATGGACGGCACCAAAAGTCGGGGTGTGGTAGTTTCACCATCAGTGTGAAAGTATAGAACTGTATCACTATTCCCTTCGGTGATTACCGACGGATCGCCGTTACAAGATGCACTCCTTCTCTCTAACTTAATATAGTTACATGTAGTTAACGATCTTTACTGTACCTCGTCCTGGGTACTCTTGTGTAAATACAATCTCACTCTCTTTTGTTCTTCAGCAAGACGGGTTTCAGCCTAAGAAGATCACGCGAAAGTGGAGTTAAGTTAAGTACAGTAAATACCATAAGAGCTGCACTGAATGTACCATGAAGTAAACAGGTGTCATTTACGTATGTTGGCAAAGTCAAAAACATACCCTTTTCATGTATTCTGTAACTGGATTTTGTCTTAAAAATTCAACACTTTCAGCAGCATAAAATCTCTCTGTGTCTTCAAAAAACAACTTTTCAAACGATGACTTGTAAACGCTTAGTGTGGGTCCTTTTGTATCGTTGTCTTCTTCATTCAAGCCAAGTTCGACTGGAAATTAAAAAACAATTACAGTTAACAAAAAGAAAAAGTAAATGCGTTCAAACACATGTAATCGGTAGTGTTATCACATCATGTTGAAGTTACAATTAATCAATTTATGGATTAATTTTCATGAAAGTTTTTTTTAGATTAAGTGGACAAAGTAACTTGACAAATTGATTTGCCATGTCTAATGCATGTTACTTGTGTATACTGCATGCACAACAATCAAATACAACATTTATCGCATTTAAAGAGTAAATAATAAAGAATTAAAATATTTGGGAGGCGTACCATAACACTGAATAACACCACTGACGAGCCTAGTGTTAATTGTTTCACCATTTCTTTCTCTTTCAATCAAACGAAGTACAGCAGTTGTTACCTGGGGAAATGTAGAAGATAAATTACATGTTTTGGTACACTACAGTAAATTATAAACAAAAAGCTATACCTGTTTATGAAGTGGTTTGAACAGGCAATCTCTCCAAGTTACCAAAGCAAGCTAAACATAATATAAAAAATATTAATACATTGTAGCTACCACTAGAGTTTGGTCGGTTATAGCAATCAGATAAAATAAATCATGTCACGTACAGATCATTCCATTATACTATATTTTCCAACAATTGTTATCTACCACCACATGAAGAAGGTTTTGCAATATATAGTGGGACAATTATTGAATTTAGTATTTGTGATAACACAAATTAACAAGGTCTTTGTGAATGTCATCAGCCTCGTTTTCAGCTTGGCAGATAACACATACCTGAACTTGATTATTTTCAAAAACACACAAATACCTCACCCACAAACGGTTTATTATATAACATTTTTTAATGATTATTACGATCAACAGTTTGGTTAATGTGGCCAACTAATATACTAGAGATACATACTGAATATATTTCATATATATCTTTGCTTCCTTCGTCACGTTCCCTTCGTACCCAATGTCGATTTAAATAGGCACAAACACCATTGAGTACTTTGCTAGAAAATCTATAGTCCTCCCATTGCTGAGTGTAAAATGTGAGAACAGATTCATCCATTAGATCAGCACCATCCTGAAAAATTTTTTATAAATCAGTTTTTTAGCAACATGCAGCAAATACCAATTTGTCATAATGAAAAAATATGACTACCCACAGCTAAACTCAAGCTTGTAGAGTTTTTTAAAAACTAAATTCCTAGAGTTTTCTGTGTATTTTTCAGTTAGTTTAAACCCCATAAAAATACAGTACCAGTGAAGAAAAATCCCAGTTATGCTTAGCTGCCACTTGGTCATTGCTAGCCACTACTATGCAAGAGACTGATGTAAACAAGACTAATTACATCTCTGTGATCAATAAAATCTGATTTGTATAACCCACACAAAAGACAAGATAAACTTTCACATATACCACTTGTAGCAACATATTATGACCAAATAAAAACAAGGTTTTACACTCACACTTAGCTTTACCCTATTCTATAATCCATATTCACAAATCATCAGTGAATTTATGATGGTAAAAGATCCACACAACACAGAGTTTGATTTTGAGTAGCTTATACATGATTTCCCAAACAAGCTTGGTAAGTATAAGTGAGAATTTGTAGAAAAGCAACTAGTGCCAACCACTTATGAGCTACATTACCTTTAACAAGTTTACTAAATATGTTCTCAGAAATTCCTTTACACGCTTATAAAGATCAGATCCAACAAATTGAGCACCTGCATAGAAGATGTGAAAATGTTGGAACAACAACATGTACAATAAATACTACATATATAAAATTTTAAGTTGAAAGAAAAGTAGAGAGCATCTTGAAAAACATGGACACAAATTTATTTTAGGGGTACATAATAGTAATGAAGGAGGGTGTGATCAGCATTGTAGGCAGAGTAATTTATAATAAGCAGAGGACATTCTCCATGTTATTAATTTGGTAACATGATTAACTTAATGTAAATTTATCTGTATGTACAATATAATCAGTTTAAAAGCTGAATTTACAAATGAAAATGTCTAATTAAGCAAAAAAAGGTAAGAAAAGTCACATACCAGGTTGATTACTTGATGGTTTCTTTCCTTTATGGATTTTTTGTTGTTGTGTTTGATTTATACTTGTACAATAATTGTAAACATGTCTTTTATACAATAAAGGAAATATTATACACCATAATATTTACACCTTTAAATATGTCTTAACATTGTTGGACTTTTTTTATAAGAGTTAAAATATTCTCTTGGTGGCAAGCATAGAAAAATGAGTTCAATTTCTGTCATAAATAGAAATTACTATTGATTTTCCATTTAAATTTTTCATGAAATGATTATGTGGTATTTAGCAAGGTCACTAAAGGTTCTTCTAAATTTGTTGTTTAAAAATAAGTATTTAAATGTGAATGATTTGAACATACTTTTGACTCAAGCTTGGACACTACCCATAAATAGTAATGTTACTAGAATTATACAGGCTATATCCTACTAGCTAGCAGTATTCTTTAGATAAAATTGTCAGGCATCACACACATGCAGAGTAAGATATTAAAGTATGTTCCAATAATTGGCAATGTTGGACGAAAAGGCACTTGCATTTTTTAGAAAGAGCAAAATACTAAACTATGTACATTTAAGCTCATTTCCTACAAGAATATACCAAAATTGTGAGGGCTAATGGTTCAGCATTTATGTGTATCACCATATACATTTTGAACCTTGCATGGTGTAAAATTATTTGGGTAAAATCTTGTTTGGATTCATGTTTTTATGCCAACAGATTATTATTTTACCTATGTAATACTATGGATGGAACAATTCTATGCTGTATTCTTCCTGACAGAAAAAAGGACAGTATATTGTTAGCATACTAATAAAACCTATGCATAAGGCATCTATTATATTTTAACTACAGTATTTAAAGGATATCCCATGCAATCTAGTGAAATATTGTTTATGTATTTTTGAAATAAACAAAAGATACGTATAAAGTTCCATGTAACGTGGCTTTGCCATACTTTGTCTTCTGTATACATGATCAATGCCACCTTCTAAATCATCCCAAATCTCGTCCAGTTTTATTTGTCGAAGTCCATGTGGATTTTGAGGCCTATTTGGAAGTGAAGACATCATCCACTAAATTCGTTGTTTTCTTTTTATACACTTGGTAATCCTCCACGGCAAACGAATAATTATTTCTCTGTTATCCAATTGTTATATAAAAATGACAATATTGTATTTGATTATATCCTTTCTTTCGTGGATTTAGACATTCATTGAGGAAAAATTTTCCCTGTCAGATTTCCTCTCAAACCATAGCCTTGGAAAGGCCCCAATCTGCCACTCCTGACTTAGTTAAACACGTAAATAAACGCTTTATCTCTCATGGTAGAAAACGGCTTTTGTAAAGCCAGTTGTCTCAGCAATCCCTAAACTAACAATACAATCTGATAGTCAAAAAGAAGAGAGATTGTCTTCAAACAACTTGAACTTGCCCGCACCACACAACCTGCCACAACACAGGAAAAGCGTGCTGCCCAGTGCCCGACATACAAAATGACGTCATATCGAACTAACCTCAGTCGGGCAGTATTACTGAAACTGTATAGCATGGCTGAGTATTGAAAATTCATACAATATTTCTAATGTATATAGTCAAAAGGCACAAATATAATCTAGTCTTAAGCAAGGTATTAGTTTATAATTAATTTTATTTTTTGTGTATTTATCATTTTATCTATAACTGTAATATCACCATTAAGGTAATGCAATTTGACACACACACCCACTGCTTACACACTTTTTGTACACACTATTTTATAACATTTAATGCCGTACTTTATTGTACTATAAAATGTGTGCCAGAAGTGACTTTTTATGGATATTTGCCAGTACAGTCGTTGGTTGTAATCTATTACTGAAAATCTATTACTGTAGAAGTGCATTTTATCCATAATATGCCATATGGGCGTGGCTGTTCCCATAAACATCACAAATAAGGATTGTACAAATTAATATTTTTATCAGAAGTTCAGGTTCTGAGTTTGGTCAACATAATTGTTGATTATAGTAACATTTTTGTGTGAACTATGCAAATTACATACTTATGCATGAATTAATTAATGTTAGGTTAACAATTACCTGTCAACTGTGAATGGTTGTAACTACTTTGCTGTATGTATATATGTCTATTCTCCAATAAGAGCTCAAAGCTACCAGTAGTCACTTGTCAATGACTTTACCAATAATGGTTACAATGATTGGAAATGTTTTAGAGGGAAGGCAGTTATTCTGTTATCAGTTATCTGCTAAGAAATTTATTATGATCAATTACAATTTAACGTAACTCATTAGTCACCATGACTGTTCTAATTTGAACTCTGGTCTTAGCGTCCATGTGATTATAGATTTAAATTGTAGTTCTGTAATATAAAGGGATTTACAAGAGTAGCTAGGGATTTCACAATGATGTAAACTGTACAATGGTCTCTCTGGTTCTATATATCAAATCTTGAAAGTGCTCTCATAAACTGGGCATCTGAACCATGAGCCAAACCTGCCTCTGCTTTCCCTCTGTCTAAGGTTCTCTCTTAAGTCAGTCCTGCCAGTTTATAGCTGTCAGATCAATTGAACAGAAAGATGGTTATATATCAGAACAATGACATGTTTCTCTGAAATATCAGCACTGGAGGAACTAGCTCTCTGCCTCGTATTCCCTTCAAAACTGCTGTGGATATTTCAGCGAAGTAAAGACGGCAACTTTGTCCGGGGTTTTCCGTCTACAATAGGCATAAAACAACAATGACATGAATACGTTGGTCGTTCTTTGTTACTTATATGGCGTTTCTGCAAAACAGGCCTTTCCTGATGGCAATTGTTATAAAGTGTATTGTATGATCATTATGTATAGTACAATTCCAACTGAAAAAAAGTGACGATCTGTTATTCATACAACGCTTGTGTACTTTCACTTCTACTCCACCATATGCTACTCTACCAGCTAATTTTTTTTACTGTAGGTCGCTGGTGCCTGAGCCTTTCTTTGGATTACTACAGGTTTTACCCTCATGGTGAACCAGGGTCGTGTATCCGTTTGTGTAATTGGACTGTGTGTTACTACCATTGTTGTCCTATTCATTTCTGCGAGGAAAGCGTTCTTCGATCAAGAGGAAAATGGCTGTGAAATGACCTACATGTTTGAATATCCTGAATATATAAGGGTCAAACTTAAGAAACAGATTTCAGAAAAGTATCCAAGATATGGTCTTTACTTATATGGCGAAGGTTCATACGCGCAGGAACAAAAAAGGGTTTTCGAACCAAAAGGAATACCAGTCTTATTTATCCCTGGCAATGCTGGAAGCTACCGGCAAGTGAGATCGCTCGCATCAATTGCCTTGCGTAAAGCTGAACGCCTTGCACATCATTTTAATTATTTCACGGTTGATTTTGACGAAGATTTTAGTGGATTGTTTGGGGGTGTGTTAATGGATCAGGTGAATTTCGTCCACAGTTGTCTGAGACATATTATTAGAGAATACAAAGGAAATAAATCCGGTCCTGAATCTGTGATTTTGATTGGCCATTCCATGGGAGGAATGATCGCACGAGCTTTATTCACATTAGAAAATTTCAATTCAAAATTTGTATCTATTATCATTACTCTGGGAACACCACAGACTACCCCTGTCATACCATTTGATAAGCACCTAGGTTTGTTTTATACTACTGTGAATAAACTATGGAAAAATAATCCTAAATTTGCAAACATGAGCGTGATATCACTAGCAGGTGGTGCTAGGGACATTTTGGTTCCGGCGAGACATTGTTTATCTCCTCATAATGTGCATATGAATTTACAATACAGTGCAGTCACAACGTCCATACCTAATGTGTGGATCACTATTGACCATCAGGCTCTGTGCTGGTGTAAACAACTTATTTTGGTTATAAATCGGGCATTGTTCGCGTTAATTGACGAAAAACACTCTAGGATCGCTACAGATAGGAAAAAGCAAGTACGGGTTTTGCGAAAATATTTTGGAATTTTTGATAAAAATGAAGAAATCTTGCCGCAAAGCGAACTCCAGACTTCCCTAAAAACAACCTACAATGCGACAGGGCTGTGGAACAGTTTTGAACATATACCTTTACCTGGAACATTTCTGATTCCAATTGAGACAAGTAGCAATGATGGACAATTCATTGCATTGTCGAACTCTCCGGGAGATATTTCTATGACCAGTTGTCAAAATGAAGAAGTTGAAAGATGTTCTGCAGGAGAAATGATCTCCTTTCAAGCATTACCAAAAGCGTCGAGCGCTAAACCAGGATTTTTCCATCTTCCGAACCTCATGAATATATCATCCATAAGAGTGACGTCTTCCCAAGATAAGGCAAACTTAGCTGCGCAGTTCCTACCGCGGTCTCATACTAACAAACTGTTTAATGAGTTTGGAGTATTCTCAGGCGTGCAGAGATTTTGGTCGCCGACGTATTTGTTTCTGAACATATCTCTGCCAATGATTAGAAACTGTTTTGATGTCTACCTAATAACTGTGAAGAAAATCAGCTGCAAAGGTAACGGCGACGGTTTACTGGCGGGACGAATTCATTCGCCTTGGTCCATCGAAGATGTTTACGCCAGACCAGAAGAAACTACGGAATTCAGTATTCTTCTTAAAATTCAGGTACCGCAAACGACAACAATTTTGAAATCTTCTCAGCTTCACATTTGGAAAACAGATGAATGTTCTCTTGAAGTCACCGTGGAGTATCAATTCTTTCAAACATTCGGCAGAATTCTTGTCATGTATGCGCCACTTATTATACAGTGGATCTATTCCTGGATAATGATTATTTTTATTATTCAACTCAGGCAAGTGTCAAGAGATGGCGCTATCCTGTCAGTTTTGTCGACCATTACCTCTGATTCGTTTTCTTTATTCATTCCTCTCATCATTTCACTCTTCAATGAATTGTTCATGAAGTCTTTAATAAGAAGCCTTGGTTGGTCTGGAACTATCTGTCAGGGGTGTGTGATTGATGGTCCTGTGTTGTATGATTGGTTATTACCCTCTTGTTTTGTAATTCTGGCGGCCTTCGCAATATTTCTTACTACTTACCTTCTCCTCGAAATTATCTTGTCATTTTCGGCATGGTTATTTACATTATGCTTATCAAAAATTTTCCAACTATACACTCGGACTAGTACTCCTATTAAGTTAGCGTTATATGCCTGCTTTGGTTTAGTACTGTTCTGCTTCGTATGTTTATGCAGCTCTATTGCGATGTACTTTCTAATGGTAGTTAGTTTTGTTCATTGTTTCAAAACGACTGTCAAATCTAGGGCTCTTATTCCAACAGGTGGCATGGAGAACTTACTAGCGAGCACGTTGAATTCAAGCAAGCTGGTTTTAGTCTTATTGCTGCTTATTTCGTTACAAACAATGCCATCTTTTCTGGTTTGGCTCAAAGTACTGCGAACATCGTGGTTTCTTCCATCGGATCCTTTCCGTATTATTGTTATCATGTTAATCCCAACTGTAGTCTGTTGTCTTGAGATGAATATTCGCAAGCCTTCCAGATATGTTTGGTGTATTGTCTTGGGAATATGGTACGTTGGTTTTCTGCTTTTTTCCTTGGCTGCATTGCCGTTTATAGCCGCTTGTATCCTATTAGCTGTGGATTTCTTTATTTTCGAGAAACATAGCAAAAATAAGAAAAACTGACTCAAACTGAAATTTGAGTACCATGAATATAGCGAGGAATGGTGGTGATTCGAGGTGAAAGGACTTGATGTATAGTGCCGAAAATAGTGCGTGCTAAAAAGAAAAATGCCAGTAGCTAATTACCACACAAGAGAGTGAAAAGAAACGTGCTGAGAATCGCTTGACAGATAACTTATAGAATCATTAACCTATAGATATTACTAATGTTATATTGACCAGAATTCATTACAATTTAAACATGTCTAATATACACTTTATTTCTACTGAGTACTGTATTTTCGACCGTCTTGCTTAATATTTTTATACACTCTGTTCATAAGTTAAAATTACAAATTATTGCGCAAACTATAGAAAGTTTTAATATACAAGTATTAAAACTAATAATTTAAAATGAATATAAATATATCCCTATATATTTACACTAATCTTCATGAACAATGATGAATTTCCCCATTGTTCGAAATATACACGGTCAAGCCAATTTTTCACTTTTAATAAATTAAATTTACTCAATAACTCTATACTTTTAAATATAAACCTCGTTCTATAGAATTATTTCGCCGACAGGTGGGTTTCACTATGGCGTAGTGTGGAACTTTGCATGGCTAAGTGAAAAACTGGCTTTATCAAGTTTGGGAAGCACACATGCAATTATAATACAGGTTTTAAGTAATTCGCACCAATAACTTAGCTCAAAAAATAGCGTTCTGAAAGAACATATTATAAATCTATGGTATATATTCGTTTTTAAATTATTTCTTAGTAAACCATATCTATATTCATCGCCAGTTACACGCAGTAACATCCACACCTGACAGTGGTGTGTAGTCCTGCACAGCGGAAGATACGGTTTAACAAGGCATCCGGGTGCCAACATAGACATGCAGACTTTGAAAAAAAAATCACTTTGGGCCAGTTGTTCTAAAGCCGGTTAGCTCAACAGGGTTGATGCAAATCTACAAATAAAACTTTCCAACAGCTTGTCTAACAAGTTGGAGAGGTTGTTTCATAAATCTTCCCTCGTTTGATAAAGATTTCAGTCTTCAAAGTCTTGAGTAGCCATTCATAAATACATAAACCAAAAGGGCAGGTCGAAATTTAGGGCTATAGCGCTAATCGGCCTTTGAACAAGCCCCTGACTATATTCGGTTTGGTCTGACTATAGTGAACCAAAAATGGCTTTGTGTCAAACCAATTTAACTCAGGATTTCTTATAGTCTAACTGAAAACGTAGAAGCCGAACATGCAGTAATTACAAGATAATTGAAGGAGAGTAGTTCTAGTTTAATTTCCCTCGGTTACTGTTAAAGGATATTCTTCACTATATTATGAGATCTTTAGCCGACGTTAACTTTTAAGACGTTTAACTTCAAGACGCATCTGAAAGTAGGTTTTGCCTATTTCCTGGCGATGCGTGCATATAATTCGCATACGCGAGCATGTAATTAATTTATGTTTGAAAGTAATGCATCAACTTTCACAGCTTCAAATCCAACACCTGCTTTGAAAGTTTTGCGTTTGCGGCTAACTATATACGTCTGGCGTAAATACCTTGCAAAATCTCTCGTAATGTCCTAAAGAAATTCTGATGGAAACACGTTACGGTTGTTAGGATATCACAAATTTGGTTCTACGAAATCTTCTATTCAAGAAATACATCTTTCCTAGTTCTCTTCTGCCTTTCGGCATTCTATAATTTTTCACCTTCCTTGCCAGTTAACCAATAAGTAATCATGGTTCCTTTGCCCTTCACCGACACCTTGCCGCGACACTCGAACGTGTAGCCACGCGTTGATAAGATATTGTAAACGCTTTCTGTAACCTGAAATAAGAGAAACGATTTGCGAAACGTTACTTCACTCAATTCAAATTTTATAACGTACTGCCGAATAGGCCAGACAACATGCAGCATAACCATATGAACGGGAGTTACGTTTTCTTCACCGCTTGTGCAGTGTGTGCAAATAGATTAAACTCACTGCATGCACATGCACATTGTCCGCGTACCTGTATTTGTCCAGGTTTTCCAGTACTGTACATACGACTCGCGACATTCACAGTATCACCCCAGATATCGTATTGAGGTTTCTTAGCTCCAATTACTCCCGCGACCACTGAACCAAAATTCAAACCTTGACAAATCGAAATGAGATTTAAATGCGTATCCTGCCACAAAATATGATCCTCTAATGCGCGTTTAAATGGATTTAAAATGACAGTTTATTGTATGGTAATGAACTCACCAACTTTCATAATCAACGAATTAAACGACTGAACATTAATCTCGTGAAGTTTCTGTTTCATTCCAATGATAAAGTCAGCCATTGCTGCAACATGTTTCAAAGAGGCAAGTTCTTCCTGAAAGTTTAATAAAGGATTTTAAATGCAAGAAATTATATTACGGCTCTTGCATGTGAACTCTTTTTACCACATAATAATTAATAATTTCCCCATTCCCGTGCACTTTCTTAACGCACATAGTTCGTTTAGATAGCGTGTCGCATGTTTATACTCATTTATAGATATTTCGTGGAAAACGTTCCCTGCTGCGTGATATTATATAGTACAGTACAGTACAACACGTATAACATTACTTTCCATAACGTGGGGCACCACTAAATGAATATACCTGTGTATCAGGTTTAATTCCAGAAGCGGCCATGTATGTTTCACCGATACTTTTGATCTTTTCAATACATTCAAACCTCTCCTCCGCAAGAAGCTAAACAAAATGAGACGTGTCATTCATGAATGATAATTAACAATTCCTACCATCTTTCTCGTCCGTAATCGGACGCACGTAACATTATATTTGAAACAAACGTAGCACCGACTATATCAAGAACAAACATTAACGTCTGGCAACAGCAAAACCGCTCCTATACAGATTGCTGTATGTGCATGTAAAAGCAATCATAATTACATTATGTGAAAAATAATCCCAGATTAATCCTACCTCATCAAAATCCACGATGATTTCATTCAAAAATCTTAAGCACTCTCGGCCCTCCCCATTTGCAGCAAGTTCATTGTAAAAATCGGAAAAATTTACAATGTGTGAAAACATAACTGCCACTTTGTCACAAGACTGAAAATACAGTTCCTAAAAAAATGATACAAAGATTCACCTTATTACATATTTATCTTAAATCTTTAAAATGCAGATACAAATGAACAAAAAAATCATTAAACATTGGGGAGAATTTACCCGTAGTAGGTCGCCACTGGTTGAAATATAGATTCATACCTCGTTTTTCTTTTCTGTTGCGAGAAAATGACCGGCCACATGAGATGGTAAAATGTTGTGCAATAGTTTTTTGTTGTAATCTCTTAATTGTTCCATTTCTTTCTTCTCTTGTGTCGCCTGAAATACAAAATATCACATAGTTTATAATAGTGTTAATAATCTTCACCAAAATCGGATTATATAATTCGTAAAACATTAAATTATCTAAAAAAATTGTGTACCTGGAACTTCCATAGAAAGTCTAGTCTTGAAATCTCCTCGTTCTGTGGTGAAAGGAAATTTGTCTCTTTTAAATCAAGATGAAAAAATCAAATTGATAAAAACAAGAACCCTTTTCACCAATGGCCTCATTTGGCCTGGGGTCAAAAGACGCAAACGCCTTGCATTTTTTATCATTAATAGCGTGGATCAAAAACCAAAAGCACATTCGGGAATTAATTGTAAAAAGGGTGTACTTTTATTAGTTCTTTATGAAAAGGAACAAAAATACATAATCTTTACAACCAAGGGTCGAGTTGAAAGCTGTCTTACCAGATAACCATGTAAGAAGAGAGTGATGATAAAAAGTAGTATTACCAATACTGTGATAGATTTCAAACTCAAATGATCCCTGTAACAATATAACACTGAGATTTAAAAAGTATAATAACCGTCGTTGAGAATCACCCAATCTTCAATCTGCAGGTAGAGTCAAATCCCATGGGGGTTTGGAAGGGGGGGGGGGTGGAGGGTGACGTTTGTGTGCACACATTGTAATAAAAATATTCTTACTCGCAGGAAAATGTCGCCTGGTCATATTTCACCATCAAAGCTGAATACTTGCTCAACATCAGTGAGATATAGATGATACCAGTGACGAGCAGAAGAAATAGTTTATGAAGTGTTCCCATATGCATGAAGATTGCCACTCCAAGCATGATTAAGATCACGGAATAAGTAAAGTACTAAATAGAAAAACAGTAAACAAAAGTTTGAAACTGATTCTGATACAACACAATGAACCTTTTGCATAATAGACAAACTTTTAGGCAACAAAATATTTTGCGAACACATACTTGGGGAAAGTCACAATCCTCAAACGTAAGTTTTGTCACGTTGTCGGTAAAATTTCCATCGCAGTTAATACTGCTGGTGTACGAGGAATCGCACTGGGCCTGAAAAAATCATAAATAAACTTTTGTGAATCCTTATTAATACGACTGTGTCAAAACCAGCTAAACTGTTAGCCCTTTTCATTCCAGGAATTAAAAATTTTAAGTACTGTTTCATCCACAATTTGGATAACTAACCATATATGGTTACCATGCAGGGGCCTATGGAAGGTGGAAATCGTCTTTGACTTTTTTAACGCTATGTAATGGAAAACAATTTCTCAATTTACCAAATTCCCAACAACAGCCAATAACAAAATTACAATAACTATGGTTGCTATCAGTTGACTTGCTCTTCTTGAGTCAGCAATCAAAAGAGAAATGGTATGAAAGCATCGCAGCGCCTAATAATCATAATGTCAAATTATCAATATCTGGCCAGCATTTTGCTTTTCGACTATGTGAACTAAATGGTCAGATTTACAAAATATAGTTTATACGTCGCATTTTAGCCGCGTTAAAAATAAAATTCAGATGACACACCTCATTTCCTATTGTTTGAATTGCGCATTTGACGCGACAAAAAATACGACGTATAAACATATGGGCCTTATATCATTGATACAAAATAACGAAATGCAACCGGCATACTTTACATAAATATAGAGACAGTTTTCCAATATACATACTAATATACCTGGGATCGTTCCGCCATTGCAATGAGTAATATAACTCCCATGACTACAAAAGCACAACTATACACGACAGCTGTCCCGGTATTCCTGAAATTTTAAGGAAATGTGTATGTGAAAAGTGAAAATGAACAATCACCTTTTTTATTACTGAAGGTGACATTTTTAAATAACACATCGAAAGTGAAGTGAAGGACAGCATTTAAAACTGAAAGTCTATCACACTTCACATCTTCGGTAAAGTAAATATCGTTGTTTTGGGTTGTCTTAAGTGAAATAGGAAGTTAGCCGTATCAAAGAGTGGCCTGCATGGCCCTGCTTGTGACGAAAAATGCATCACGACAATCCAAAATGTAGTGGGAAATTGAATATATTTCAAAAATGAAGCAAGATGAAAGTATGGTAATACAGAATTATTTACACTTTTACTACTCCATACTTTAAACTATTTCGCTGCCCTTTAGCTGCTCACTAGACACTATAGTGCATGACCATGCAACAAGTAATATTATTATATACCACTTGTAAAAGTTTGGTGTTCGTAGCATTTTATTGGTCGAGAGCGAATCACGCGAGAGTGACAAAATTTTGATGTCGCCAGCGCGACCCTCTGCAGAGCGAGATAACGTTTTTCAGTGTTTTTATCAGTGGTTTTATCCCATGGGAAATAACAACTTTAATTACGTGCGGCGCACCTGGACGTGCGACCTTTAGACTGTTTATCCATTTGAAATTATGTCTTTTATGAATAATCACTTTGTTGTTTACCTTGTAGTTTGGTTTTTCTTTGGCAAGTGATATATAATAAAAAACGTATTTACCGAGAACTCAGAAAACCATCGACCATCGACATTTCACTCGGCGAATATCGACAGTTCTCGGGTCCACAACACATAATGTTCCCACGTTCGCAGTAAATAAGTGTTAATTATTATCACAATTCACAGTATCTATATAACCATCTTTCTGAAACCTAAAAAACGAGGCTTCTATTATCCTATCCCAGCTTGAACACAGTCACAGAAACTACATACAATTTTTCTATGCGAATTATGTTTAATTATGAGAAACGTCTGTACACGATAGTCGACATCTTGCATATTGTTTGTTCTTTCATAACTATAAGATATCTGTGATGAGTAGGATCAAGTTATACGCCCTATGTTATCACTAAAATACTTGATTTCTAATAACTGGTATGTGATGAACAACAGTGGAACGCTTTTAAAACATTTACAGCTTCCTTTCTCAACACGGATGAGTTCCAGAAAAATATAACAGAATTTAGGCAAGAGTTCAATGTGGCGAACACTATAATCCAAGAGAAATAAGCATCGCTCTCTAAACTCGGACCATACCACAAAAGGAATATCGGATAAAACGAAGATGGTGCCAAGGTGATCAAAAAAACAACAACAACAAGAAAGCAAGATTTTGCATGTTTCACTTCACGAAGAAATAATTTCATCTTTGATATATGCTCGACGCTTCCGTTTACACAAGGCCTAACTTCGGAACGCAGAAGCCTTTTCATCTCCAAGTAGATTTTCGTGAACACAAACGATGTTAAAATGATTAGTGCTGGAACAGTGACCGACACAAAGATTCCGATTATATTGAACCAAAAACTCACCACAACTACAGATAGAACTAGCATAAAGCCACATTGAATCACGCACAAAACCCTTTTCTTTGTCAGTAAGGTCGTATAGGAATACGGATGCAGCACGCCGATGTATCGCTCAATCGACATAACGAATAATGTTATTATCGAAAATCCAGTAGGTAAAAAAGACAACGGCATGGTTGTGAAGATCGCATAGCAATTCATATAATCCAGGAACGGAATGATCAGGTGGAACAACGATAACGGTGTTCCTATACAACCAACTCCCAAATCAACGACAGATTGAATGAGTATAAGAAAATAACAAATCTTTTTCTTCAGTACAGTTGATTTCAGAATTGTTAGCATTGCTATCAGGTTCAGTAAAACGGTTGGAAATATTAATAATCCGGTTATGATAGCGACTAAAATGCGGTTCACTTCATATTTACTTGACGAAAAGCTTGCAACAAACCAAGACGTTCTGCCAAAGACGTGGCATGTTACTATGTTATCCATAGTAACACCCAAACCACTGAGCTATTCAAATACCAGACTAAATCTACGCCTTGAACTGAACACAATTTTATACTCATAGGTCAAATTAACACTTGCCATGCAGCCGGATACGTGAGCTGGTGCGCTTTGTTAAATTTATTGTTTCTGCTGTTTCGTCACATCAAAGGAAAAGTTTGACGGTTGAAATTAACAGTTGTCGAACTTATCTATATTGAGTTATTACGGCAGGTGAAAACAGGCAATACATTTGATAATTATAAGGCAAGCATCCCTTCCGGTAAAATTGATTCCTCTGGTTGGCTAAGTAGAACATTTAGGCTTAGCGGCCATTACGACGAGATGAATTACATGATGATTAAGTTAAAATGTTAATTATCCTTTTCGCGAGTTTTCTATAATTGAGCATTTTTTATATTGGATTTCTCAGCTTAAGAACATTAAGCCCGATTATTATATGACAAGCGTCACGGTGAAGTGAAGAAGAATTTTCGTTATTTAATTAACGTTTTGAGGGATATTTCTTGACCAATTATCTTTGCTAAAAACATTGGGTATGATAAATGATGAATCTCTTACCTCGGCAGAACAAGAAGTTGGACAATAAGAAGACAAAACAATATGAACACGGTAAACATGATGTTGGATCTAAACATTCCATCCTTTTCGTTTGAATACTAAACAGATAAAAAAAGAAAGATGTTTATTTTATATCTGTGCCCAACATGCATGTGGTGGTCAGAAATGAATAGGGGTTATGAACTCTCCCAGTCTCAGTGATTTTAAACCTGTCTATCATCTTGGTCAAGAATCGTTCCGAGTTTTATTAACCACCTCAGTCTGTAAACACACTGAATCAATTCCCATGCAATGAGGAGACATTCCTGATCACTTACTTGTTCTTCGTGCTCTTTTGTTCTAAACGTCAAAAAACCAGCTCGGATATTTTCCCGCCTCCACCTAAATATGCAAGCCTTTGTATTTAAGTACATTCATGCATTTAAAACAACTTAAGGTCGGTTGCGAAGTTTTAATCTTTCTAAGTGCCATTTATTCATTGCTTTCAATCTTTTCTAGCAGGTAAAAGATTGGAGGTTTTAAAGTAGGCTCTTAACCTGGCTAACATGATACGTATATAAATTTTCGTTGACGTTTACACTGTCAAAGTCTCAGTTATGATGCCCGGATTTTAAGAGGAGGTGTGGAAAAATGTTTTGCACCTCTTCTGGGAATATTTTCATTCCCCCCCCCTTAGAGTCATGCACCCGAAAGGGAAAAGCAAAAAACAATCGAGTTACTGCAACCAACTTTAAGCCTCAGTTTTATCAATGAATAGAACAGTAAACACATTAAAGGTAAAGTATAATGGCCGGACTTCATCAACCTATCTTCTAAAGTTAGCACGGGAAGCCAACCACTCCATCTGCCCCAATTATTTTTCCATTTCCCCTAATTTTTGTATTGAAATCGGCCCTTGTCATCTATCAAAGTTTGAGGTTTTGCTTGCTAGGTGTGTGTAACTAAAACAGTGGGAACTAAAACACCAAAATAAGGGGAACAAAAACAGTAGTTCTGATGCTAACACTGAGCTATAATTTACCCTAGTCTTTTGTTACAACCTTTTTGAAACGTGGGATTTATTAATGTCTAAAGCGTGGTAGCCTGCTCGCAGACTGAATTGATTTCGGCCCCCTAATTCAGTCTGCGAGAAGGCTAAAAGCGTCGTCACTAGTGTATGCTATTAGTAAACTTAACAGAATACATCAGTAACCTTACTTTAATTCGCCAAGTTTATACAACTGTGCACATAATTCACTCAATCGCATACGCTAAAAGCGCAGCCTGTGCATGTAGCTGCGGTTCTCCAAATACTGTTATCAAAAACGGAAAACAATGCGACATTGTGCAAGGCGAAGTTTTCGTGGTTGGGCGGTGGATCTTCGATATAATATTACGGTATACCTGTCAACGCTGCGAGCATCAATTGAAGTGCTGAGAAAATCGTTAACTTCATCTTCGGGGCTGCTTTGATTGATACCAAGTCTGGAATTAGAAATAATTTTCACTAAAACCATGTTACTTGCAATTCGTTTATGTACAATGTTTCAAAATCAATTATACAAACATCAAATACAACATGAACTGCATGCTTGTAATATGCTGCAAAATACACGATTGATGCATTTGAATATATGCATCGGGAAATCCACTGGCACTGTGAAAGTGATTTTTTTATATGAGAAAGAATGCAACCTATAAAATATCTCGTTAAATTGCTAACCTCGCTTCGGCCTTCTGATCTTGATTAGCTTGAATTTCATCCTTAAAAAAAAATGTAGATTCACAGTGCTTCGTCGACTCGTATTAACCACTAACCGTGGTATATACAAGGTAAATCACACACAAGATTTATGTTTTATTAAATAAATATATATATATATATTTAATATAATATCTGTCATATATATATATATATATATATATGGTAAGTCACACCACAAGATTTATTTTTCATTAATTAAATAAATAAATTATTTGATTTTGGCAACTTCTGTCATAATAATCATAGAGAATTAGGCATGAATGAGGCAAATTCGTACCTTTTTAAACATTCCTTGGTTTGGGGTTTGCTTGCGTTGCTGATTTCTTAAAAAGTCCTAAGATTAAATTTTATCATAAATTATCGTCGATGTCGGGGGTACAGCGCGCTTTCCAACAATCCGATCCATGACAGTCAGACAATAAAAAACACTTCGGCTTAGAACAACGCAACGTAAAACCTGCATCAATATACATGCACTTACTTGAGTGCATATACAAAACAATAGAGTCAAAAAGAGGCGGGCAATATAATATATTGTTATTAGTAGGAATGTTTTCACTGTTTGAGAGCATGCCATTTTGTGAGCGTGCCATTCGAGAGCATGCCATTAAGGGCGCCCTCCTTTAAGCAGCCAAAATGCCAGATCAAACCGGTCATATTTTGAATTCGCTTACTTCAGAAACGGAATTCCGGTCTGACCCGTCTGACCATTACACGAAAGCCCCCTAAGAGAAACGGGTGGTGTGCGGTGTGTGACTTAGTGGCATCGAGACACCCCATTTCAGGTCCATTCTCGATATCATGCAACTACTGCAGTAATTTGGATTGCATGCATATGCATTTACCGGGACTCGACGCCAGTGTAATTTGACATGGAATCACCTTTGACATGGGATAACTACATATATATGCTTAACTTACCCTATCCTTGGAATGCTTAGCACTGATGAGATAAGTTTTCAAATCATGTTCTTTCAAGTACACATCCCTCTCACCGCCATGACCTTCTTCAACTTCATAATCACCATTTATGACATCCAAAACATCTTGGGTAATGTGAACACGCCTGTAGAACAATCATTTAAAATACGACATCAAAATCAAAAGACGCACAGTATTGTTCTAAAAGCTGGTCTTAAAATTTTAAACCCAGCTGGACTGTCATAAATTAGCTTTTTTATACTTTGCGATGACTAACTGTCACAAGACTACTGTGCATCCTTTTTGATGACTGACTACCCTTTAATTGTCGTTTGACGAAAACTTTTTCAAACGTTTTCCAAATGTTTTTCAACGAAACAATTCATGAAAAACTGTTGTGGAGTCACCTAAACAAAAGGTCTCTCTGGCTTTTGCAAAGGTCTCTCTGGAGTATTACAAAGTCAATTCACTCTTCAAACTACATGGATGATTGAGATTATTATCAGGTAAAGGAATGTCTCAAAAGAGAGAATCAATTAGTCATTTACCCTGGAAGTCCACCACACTCCATGTGATTAGCAACAGTGACATCATTTGACCAAACATCGTATTGCCACTTGACAGACCCAAGAACCCCAGAATGAACTTTACCAGTGTGAATACCCACTCGCATGTTTAAGTTTACTTGCTTCGCCTCCCGAACGACACTGAAAAGAAGTCACCCCCCTGGTTAAATGCAATCACCTGTCATGCAATCATACACACACCCAACATTGAGTGTCAAACTCGTGCATGTGAGCTCATCATACGTGAGCTAGTACGTTTACCAGCAAACATGTTTATCTGAAACCTTGTTTAGCCTTGGATATGGTTAATACTTGATAAATATGAGTAAAAAAACATGTGATCAACTGCACAGCAAGAGAGGTTTAAAATGTACACTATGCATGGAGAGAAAGGGACTCTGACCAGAGGTCTCTGGAAATTTCTCTGGGTCGTTGTAATAACTAATGCGCGTCATTGCTTTATATTTCACTTGTCAAAATAAGCACTGCCTTCTACTTACGCGTTTTTCATACGCACGTACACCCACATACTTCAATCTTATTTATAGTGCCTTGTACGTGCATATGAAAAACTCCGTGCGTGCATGTATATAGGTGCGTATGAAAAACGCGTAAGTGGAAAGCAACCACAATTGTCCTTCAAGCTCAACGATATGAATCACAATACCGTACTTACATTATAGCATCAATCATATCCAAGCCCATTTCGATACAGCAGTGGGCGTGATTAACTCGTGGTTCTGGTAAACCTGATACGCAATAATAACAATCACCAAGGATCTTGATCCTCATACAATGATTTTCCTAAAGTGACATCCGGCAATAAAAATTTAACAAAGGCGAACATATACTGATATACATATGACCCTGCATGGACTAGGATCAGGGTCAATTGGTCATTATCATGAAAAAGGTTTTTCCGCATACCAAAGCAAGTTGATCAAATCTTGCGTAAAGTTCATTCAATGTTTGGATCAGTTCTTGTGCTGTGCACTGAGATGACAGCTGAGTAAAACCTTCGATATCTCCAAACAAAATACTGAAGTAGAAAAATGTTGTTATACACAAAGAAATAAAATCATTGTAGCAACCTTTTTTTAAAAAAAATTCATAAAAATATATAATAGCTGGTTGAATATATTTCAGTTATAGATATGCTTGACCGGTGAGATGAAAGAAATGATGAAACCCCAAACCTGGTCATAATAATATAGAAAGTACCTGACATTATTGTGCTTCTGGATGTATATTTTATGAAACTGGCTTCCTCTGTGATTCCCTGACTTGATATCAGCTTTCATCTCCGTGGCAACATGACGTGGCAGGACGGACAGCAGCAAACGTTCCTGGGACAGGTAAAAATGAACACATTTAACATGCATATTTTACCGTTACAGAAAGGGGAAAGCATTTCGTTGCCATGCACGCAAAAAATCCGTCCTATAACACATTAATTGATGCAATGGCGTCAGATCATCTCTCCCGGCCATCGTCTCATTTCCATTGCCTTTTTCGTCGACATGACAGTCATATGATCATACCTGATTCTGGTTGGCTTTCTGGCTTTTCAAACGGTTTTCGATGCATTTTCTCGTTTCTAAGAAGGCCTTGCGACGTGACAGCTCCGTGGAATAATGAGTGAAAATTCCAGCGCCATTTGCACAAGCAAAGATGAAAAAATTCGCCAAGAGCTTTTCATGAAAAAGAAAGATAACATGTAGCATAATTATATAGGAATACTAATAGAGAAATTTTTACTGACAATGGATATATAAGGGTTCTATATATATTTATTTAAATACATTGTTTACTCAATAAATAATTCAATAACATTTTATTTATATTGGTGTATGAATGTTTTCATTCGTGCAATGGATAGAAGTTTTTCATTCGGTGAAAGGTGGAATGTTTCGTTCAACTCGCTATGTTCATTCTCAATTTTTATAATATCCAACATCATCATAAACCGCCATATCAACGTCAGACAACAATAAAAAAGAAATACGTCAAATGCAGCTGCACTCTACACATGCGGTTTTTCGCGCGAAAATTATCAACGCCCAGTATTTACCGCCGGACAAACCTCGCCGGAGCGTACATTCATGTTTTCAAAGATTACCGCGACTGCGGGGGGGACGTGACCATGCATGATTTCAGGTAATTGCAGTGTGCATTTGAACTCTAAAGAGTGCAATATATTAAACACTTAAGGGGGTATTAGTAATGGAGGATTAGGGGTATTAATAATGAGAGCCAACTTCGAGGATCAGTTAAACATTAGAATTTTTGTGAAAATTGGTTGCGGACACGGGATATCTATCTATTGGGGAGTATTGCGATAACGGTCTATCGTTATCGAGTCCACGCGTCACTTTCGGGACCTTCACAGACAAGCAGATATTCTTAAATTGACAAGTTACCCTTAGCCCAGGTTTAACTTGCTCATGTGTATTAGAGAGAAAAAATTGACATGATCCTTGCCAAGCTCAAGGTGACTTCGTTCAAAATCTATTGACGCTGGCCTTTCAGCAAGAAGATTAGCCTGAACAAGAAACGGTTGCCACTGACAGGTCATGAAAAATAAACCTTGCAAAAGGAGACTTGTTAAAGGAGACTTGATATTTTTTGAAATGTTGTATTGAGTTGACCGCGTGCTTCATAGAGGAACATAAACGTGTCCAAACAGTGCCTTATTTGTTTAAAGAGTAGACGGGATTAGACTACATGGCCTCGGCGGGTTGTTAGAAGACCGGATAGGCTATCCGCCGGGTACTGGGTTTTTCAATCGCTCTCAAATTGCCCGTGTTTTGGTGCAATTTGAATTGCATTAAATTTTCTCTTTATTTATTATTGGGTCAAAATCTACAAATTTGCCACTTTTCAAGCATTTTTGCCAGGGTTAAAAAAATGAGTATCCGTAGTCGAAGTAGGTCAGCATCTGGAGCAAAGAATTATCATAGTTCTTTAACGGTTGCATTGTATAAAAAATTAAAAGTTACTAGCGAGGGAAGGACAATTGATATAAAGAGTTAAAGATTTCACCAAAGAGTCTATAATAAAAATACATTTTCAACAAGTTAAATTCGCCTAACCTAGTAGTGGTAGGCCTGTAGACTGCTGTTTAACATCCTTCTGACTTTACTAAAATTTAGTTATGTAAAAAATGCATTTAGCTGGACATATTCTACCCAAAATATCAAGTGGTTTTAGGTCTGTTATTGCAAAATGAAATATTTATTCACCATATAAAAATATTAGAGTAAATCCTAGAGTAAATCCTTGGTGCAGAATATTATCCATGGCCACAGGTACATGGGGGACAGGGGTTCCCACTCCATGCATGGTCCTGCTTTTTTGTAATGCCTGATGCTAATTCACTTCTATAAAAGAGGCACATTCAATATACATTTTTTACATGATGTTCACCCATTTTATCAAGGATTGAATCATGCAACTGAAGATGAAGCTCAGCACTGTTCAGATACATTAGAAATTCTTCTTCATTCAGGAATTGCAAAGTTTGCATGATACAATAAAGATTAAGATGAAGCCCTGGAGTTGTGTCATATGTTGTAAACCTAATCAGTGCTTACTGCAATCTCTGGATTATAGTAAGGAAATGACCTTCCTAGGAAAGGAAATGACCTGAAATTCATTTCAAACATTACACCAAATAAGATGTCTAAAAGCATCTAATTAATTATGATTTCACATGGGAATATTTTGCCTTGAAAGATGGATTCAAGACAAAATTGATAAGTTTTGAAAGATTGAGTATAGATCTGACAGTTTTAAAAAACCAAACCCTCAATGCACATCCCTCATTACATGGTTTTAAATTAATTATTTTCACAGTTTTAATGACACTTGTGTAGAAACTCTATTGGATAAATGTCAAGTACTGAGTTCTCTTTGTAAACAATGTGGGATACAGGCAATTTGTTTTGATAAATAGACATTTGTATAACAATACAAAATTACTGGAAATTTAGTATCCATATTATTCCTGTGCAAAAGTCTAGGTTTATGACCAATTTAAATCTAAAAAAATTAAGTGGATACATTGAAATTACATAATCAACCACAGGAAATTATTTGTCAAAAAATGTGAAAACTGGAACCACAAAAATGAGAACAAAATTAATTTAGGCTATGTTCATAAGACAATGTCTGCCATTGATAATTAAATAACATGCAATGTTTACATTTGGCTCAATCAGAATACTGGATCCAAATGATTTCCAACATGTTTTCAATTTTTTTAATTTTGTGTTGGCTAAAGGAAAATTTTAATTAGCATAACAACCGACCAAATTAGTTTACTGGCTGTCTGAAAATTGTGAAGTGTTACACTAAATCCAAGTTTAGTGAAATGTAGACTTGTTTTCTGGTCATTTATAGTACACAAAACTATTATAGCAAAAGAAAAAATGAATATATTGTTATTAAAAGCATGCAATTACTGCGAAAGATACTATAGTTAATTAAGGTTTGACTAATATGACTTGCAGATTCGGAAGACTGGCAGATGAATTTCAAGTGACGACTTTTATTCCTGTTGTTATATTTAATGGCCCTCTTGAGAATGCATTTGGTTTTAGGTATCTTACATGAATATCAAGTGCTCTTAGATCAGGTAGTGAGACGAAATGCAAATATAAATTTAGCATATACAGCTTAAAATAATATATAAAAATGTGGTCTGGCGTTACAAGCCGTAGAGACGATATTGACTTATGGATAATCTTAATACCAGATGACGAACATCTACTTGCATATGAAAATATATTAATGAATTCTCAACAATGACAATATTTCAAATACATACTCAAAAAATTCACGAAGCATAAAAATTTGTTAATATTTTCTCATATATACCGGCCGATGAAATACAAAGGATTCTTATAAGTTGAAAATTAAACGCTTCGTTTCCATGTAAACAACCCGGTGTGTAGCTTATTAAAATTGCCTAATGAAAACACTGTCAGCAAGACGGAGATAGTGTAATATAAGCACATATCACATAAGCAAACGTGAGGTAGCTTCGCGCCTGTTGTAAAAATGCATATGTGTTTTAATATTGCAACAGCAAGGTCGTTATTATTCGCTATAGTATAATTAAGCATAAATCGTCATTATGATAAAATGTAGTTTGAGTAACAGCAATCTTCTTCCTAAACTGTTGTCTAATTTATCTATCCTGAAATATTAGTAGCCTCATGTTATGATTATTGTTATGAAACTTACCAAACGATGCAAATTATTATCATGAACCAAATCTCTCGCACAGCACACCAAATGAACTGTAGCAATTCCACATCCCCCAAAGACTGCCAGTCTCATTCTTACAGGGAGTAATGTATAGGTCAAATAAATAAAGAATACACCAAGCCATACACCATCTGCTGCAGAAGTGACTGGCCGAAGTAAAAAATCGACAGTCACAAAACAACAAGATAGGAGAACCATAGCATACGTTGAAAGTCTTAAATTCTTTTGTGTTGAGTTAGAACGGTTTATGACGACTAAAATTGCAACGTATAAAACTAATATAAGCGGCAGAAATACGCCTTTTAGCCAATACGGGTCTGTTCGTTCCTTGCCTTCTTTGCCGAAATGGAGGCCAACTAGCACAATGAGTAGAAGAAATATCAGGAATATTATCCAGTTTATGAATTTCTGATTTAATCGAAAAAAATACCGCTGGTATAATCGTTCTAGTTTGTCAGATTCGAAGCGCTTTGATTTGAATATTTTGTTAATGACATCGGAGACCGAGTGCTTCTTAGGCTGCCTGATACAACAATCGTATTCACATTGATGTTCCGATGATGAATTGCTCTCGCATTTAAATTCGGTATCAGTAGGCAAAGCATTCGATTTCTCTGATCCAGAAACCCCAAGTTCTACTGATCTAAGTTTAAGTTCCGATCTATTTTTATCAGGTTCTTTCACTAATCGACTGTGTGATCCTTCTGCTTCGCTTTCGTTGCTTCCTTTCGTGTCTGTTTCATGTTGCTCGTTATATTCGATATTTCCGAGGTTATCTGGTTCCCAACATGAGCGTTTCTTGCTTTCATTCATGTCGTTCATTGTCGCGGCGTCTGGGCTTACTGAATTTGATCTCCCTACAGCCTTCTTTGACATAACCAAAATGATTTCGCCCGTATGAACACCTGGTCCAGTGTCGTGCTGAATAATATATTAATTGTTGATGTTAGGAGGACTGACTTCACGTTGTTCTCGTCACCGTGAAGATGCAATTCGCCTCGGACAATGTGAACATTGGTTACATTTCTTTTAAACAAATTACAAGCTTAACATAAGCCAGTTTCCAGCAGTTTAAATCAATACATAAATGCATTAATCGTTCTGCCAATAATAATGTCCCTCAATTTTTACTACCATGTTTTTTAATATGCTTCTATCAACATATGTGTGGAATTTGCAATAATCTAGCCGTTGATATGCTGGCCTATCAACAACTTTCACCGCCGTGAAATTACCTTCGACTTGAATACGCTTAGAAATTATATCTCGGTGATTACATCACGTGACACGCGTAGACAAGGTAACCGCTTTAAATTATCCCATATCCTTTCTTTGATTGTTGCGACAGGTAGATTAAGTACTTGTTCTTGTTTGTATGTTCATGCTTTGTCTCAGTTATTGTGTTTTTCCTAATATTTAATAATAAAAACCATGCCGAAATAAACCGTTATTTCTGATTTCTCACATTTTTGTGTAATGCGCGCAGTCTGCTAGCCCATACTTTGAACACAGACCTTCGTCCATATGTATTCCTACATGTACACGCGGTGTTCCAACAAACTAATGATTCAAGCTAAAAATCTACAATGCAAAAACAACAGCAAACAGGAATATCAGTCCACTCTTGCGAAAACGAAAGATTGCAAAGAATAGGAAGTTTAGAATGCTGATAGGATAAAGTCATAAGGAATGGGATAATGAATATAAACAACGAAATTCCAAAGGCGTGCATTACAACATATCTGTTAATTCGATATAAACACGACATTCCATGAACCGTGCAGAAGGGGGGAGGGGGGGCGACCTCTCATGTCATGTTGCGTTAAGTGACGATTACGAATACTCAACCTCAAAAATTACGTGACGCTCAACAAAATATCCCTCCCACACTGGTCTAATAGTAGACTATTATCAGAGTGCCTCCCACACACACAATATAAGATGCCTCATATCTGATCTGTTTATATCAAATAGTCATTCTGTTTGTTTTTCACAGGAAGAATTTGTTCGCCTGAAGTGAACGACAAACTAACAAACCATAGAGAAACCAAAAGACATTTGTCTTCTGGATTATCTATGTTCAAACTAACACAATGTGATTGACTTAAAAATGTTGCCACAAACATTTTTCATGGGTCTTTTTCATGGTAAGAGTTTTTTTATTTGCACATAAGAACTATTGTTCAATTTTGTCATTAACCGATTCTCACTTCGAGTCGTCACCAGGTTCCAGTGTCACTCTCTCAACTCAAACAGTCAAACACCCCCTACCTTCGGAGTACACCTATTTTGTGAACGGCCCCGTATCTATGAACGATCTCTGGTCGCCATCCATTAAATAGCAATTCATCCACAGATACATTTTGCCATCACAAATCGACTAAAGCCGAAAATGTTTTTGTTTTATCTAGAAATATTACAGTAAAAGCCAAAACATCACTGATTAGGCACTATTTTTTCGTATTATCACTGCAAATCCCTCCCAAAGCCACGTGGCACTGTTAATTTGTTCGTTTTTCCATTATAGGTAAATCGCTGTCGATAACCAGAACCACAGACAAGCTGAGTGCGCCTACTTGGCCGTGATGAGTACTTCAACAATTTTAGTCTATTGATTAGAAATTTCGCGTTTGTACAGCAAAATGTCCATTCGGCAATTACACTAATATGTTTGCAGCCGTTATCAAGATGCGCGACAATATAAAACAATCAGGTATTAATGGAAAATAAATACAAAGACTGAGTTCACGGATAAAAACAAAAGAGTTTATTTACATATATATTCAATTCATTATGTTCATCAATATATATAGGTATTCTCACCAGTTAAAACCAAGCCGTTTGAACGATTGTCCAGGGCGTCCTTGTATTTTACTGCGGGCAGCGGTGTCCTGGGAGTAGTTAGGCAGTTGTACACCTGTACTGTCACTGACTATATAACTTGGGCGATAACCACTTCTTCCCTCAAATCTGGGGCCACGGCCCCCGCCTGGGCCTTCATTTGCTGCTTTAATTAACGGGAAATGATTGCCAGGGGGATCTTTGATTTTTTGTTCACTCAATACTTTGTTCGCATAATCTTGAAACTGAGCTTCCTCTTCGGCCATCAACCTTGCATTCTCGCGATCAAAATTTAGATTCTCATTTGCTTGTTCATTCTTACGATTCGCCTTTTCTTTCTACAAAACAAGACCAGATGATGTTGGAAATTTAAAGTATTTTACCCTGGATACGATGCTGTCTTATCTGGCCCGTGCCCAACTTCTAAAAACGGGAGATAAGGAACTACAGGGTGTATAAAAAAACGCAACCTTAATTGAAAAGAAGCGAATATTTATGATTATTATGCATTACTAATGCAATCTCGATTGTGATTGGCTAAAAACCTGCAGATAATTCTCAATGTTTTGCCACCTACGCGACATTGAAAATTATCCGTAGGTGACATAATTTTTTAACACTAGTTTGTTGTCAATAATGGCGCAGGCTATGTATTAGGAAATACATAATAAAACAATTATTGAATTCGGTTTTCGGATGATATCCAGAATCATCAAGCCTTGATAATTCTTGATATCACACTCAACCTCATCCAATAATTGTTAAATATTTAGTGGTTGCGTTTTTTTATACACCCTGTACTTCACTAGTTTAGTAAACATAATAATTATACCGTGTGTCCCAAAATAAAGTACCCTGTATTAAAATCACTCTTTTGTCGTTCAGGGTACTTTTTGGGACAAACTGAGACTGTATGTGACATGGACATACGAAGTCACGATTACTGTATATCTCTTGTAAGCAAACCTGGATACTAGCGGAATATGTTTTGATGAAAGGAGATTGAAAATAAGACCCGTACTTAAAGGCAAGCTCAGCTTTAACAAAATGTTATATGACCAATTTAGCCCAGGCAGCCCAGATTGTATATGCGACACGGCTCATATTGAAGAGAATTTACACGTCGAGAAAACTATACAAAATACACAGGGTGTGTCAAAAAAACGAAGTGGTTGCGGGTTTTTTGATACACCCTGTATAGCACGAAACTCAGTGCCTTATAAAAAAAAAAAATCCTTACAATTTGATCCTTGTGGATATTCTGAAACCTTTTAGCCTGATCACGTTTCATGGACTGTTTAATGTCCTCCTCTTTTTGACTCTACGAAAGAAAAATGTATATCAAATATTTAACATTTCAATATCTATAGAATTATTTCTATGCATCTACCTCATCATACATTGATACGTGTAATGATTGAACTATTTTGTGCATTTTCTGAACATTTTTCTTACTGTCCACTCATATAAAATAAAAAGCCATGATATATTCCAACCGCAGTGTAAAGAAACACGATTAATTTTTTCAAACGAAAAAGGCATAAAAAAAATCTGGGCATTGAATAATTAAACATTGTCAATCAACAGCATGCAGCCTGAGCGCTAGCACCCTCGAAATCAGCCAAGTGCATATGGCTGTGCGGCACGACTGAATACCAACATTTGTCAATGAACACGCCAAAAAGGTCTTAATAATCCATGCACATTGTCGTATAGCATGTAAGCTGATTTTCTGCGTTACGATACGGTCACGATGAGACTGAAAAACTCACTTTTTTATCAGACTCCACTCGAATTTTCAACAGATGGTAATCATTTTCAAGATCTTCTTGAATCTTCTTTTCTCTGTCTTTTATCTAATTGGTTCAAAATAGTTTGTATTAGGGATGTTGAGAGAGGTAAACAAAAATAAACATTGAGATCTTTCATATTAACTGTGCATGATGGATGGTTCGTATAGACACGATACAATATGTTGCAACTAACAAACATTGGTGAATATCAAAATACTAGTTACAGTTTTTATTTCATGAACACTGTCTTTTGAATAAAACGGTGAATACTCTCTTCCGAATTATACAAGGAACTCGCACGAGCATGCTTTGTAAAAATACATATTGTACAAAAATACACATATTACATGCACCGTCCATGCCGATCTCAACACTTACAGTGTTCATTCTGTGGTCATGAATGGATTTTCTGGTGAGCATCTCTTTCTCGCGTTTATCCTGCTCCTCCTTCGCTATTTTATCATCTCTTTCAGCCACAGCTTTGGCAAGACGATCATCTTCATCATCAACTTTTTGCTTCATTTCTCCTGCAAGTTTGCTACGCATTTTCTCTGTATGCTCTTGAAATGTTCTATAGGAAAGAATTTTATTACGTTTTGTTCGCCAAGCACTGTACGTCTTTAATACCATACTGTAGAAACTCCAAAGAAATGTAGTAGGGAATTGGAGTATCTTATAGGCGCACTTACATGCAGTATATAGAATAGTACTGACTGGAATCAGACTCATACTGAAATACTACTTACTCGAACAATTCAACTTCCTTTTCTTTCCTCATCTTTGACATTTTCTGTATCATAATATAAATTATATTAAAATGAATTGGAGAATTATATCATTTCTAATTTGAGTGCAGGGGCCGGTTGTATGAGTATACGTAGTCATAACTGAAGTTTGGGGGGAAGATTGGACAGTCGAATTGCATTTGGTGTATATTGGACTGTTGAATTGTAGAAACGGGCGAAGTGCCGCAGTACGTACAGTACTTTATGACACGTACCGTATGGAAAAGGGATACAAAACTATTATACGAACCTTCTTAGCGATTGCAAATTGACGAATTTCTTCATTTTCGTCCTCGTCTTTTTGCCGTTCTTTCTCCAAAAATATCTGAAATAGTACAATTGAATAATTGAATCTCCTGCAGTGTAGATTTAAACCGCGAAAATACTGTTGTATTGTTTACAAATTTATACCTTGTCAAGGCTGTGGAATGTGCCACGAAACCTTACCCCTCCCTATATCTCCGCCTGTATTTGCATTACTACTATATATTATTACCTGTCTATCTCGCATTGCTTTTTTGTGACTCTCCATCAAAGAACGTTTTTGCTAATTCAAAAAGAATTATTTGAGAGTTAGGAGTTTAAAGATGAAATGAAAATTCTTCTTAAAAGATCGTATTCGAGAGTAAATCACCAATCTGGTCACAAATCATTAGACATTACCTCTCGTCGCTGCTCTTCGATTGTTGCCTTTGCAGCCTTGTACATAGCCTAAAATTATTGCAAGAACATGAGAGATATATAACACCAAAACTCCAATCCAATATCGCGGAAATTATCAACAGTTCATAAGATAATAGCATGAAAGTGAATGGAAATACCTACCACTTGTTCCTTAATGTTCTCACCCTTAGCAAAATCAAGTTCTTTTTCTTCAACTTTTACTTCATCTTTTTCTTTAATCCTTTCAAGTATAATTAGCATAATTGAATTATACCCATAAGCGAGCCAGACTATTATTTAAGACTGCACAAGGTAGCAATGTATAACCGGCATAGTTTTTCCGTAAGTGCTAGTGCTCGGATGGATTATGAATTATGTTTGAATTAAAGTTAGCATTAATTCATATATTTAATTCATTATTTCCTGTTCCATTTGCATGAACTGTCTATTTGCATTTAAAAATCGTGAAAAATCAAACATCCTGTGTATATAGGACTGTGGACATTCACTTACTGCAGTTGCTGGAAGTCGCGAATTTGCTGTCTTGCATTATATCTTTTGAGTGCTTTTTCTTGATCCTGAAGAATACCTTCCTCATATTGCTAGTTGTAAAAATTTTACGAATTAAAAATAAATTTTTACCAAACTAATTCTAATCCAAGTCAATCTAATTTCACACAGCATCACACATGATGCATTGACATAAATATGACATCACTTACTTTCCTTTGAAGTTCGATCAAATGATCATCTCTGTTCTTTGTTGCTTCTGCCTGCTTATTTTTCATCTTAACCTGAGCATCTCGTTCTCTTAATACCTCAGTCAATAATAGTGCACTCTAAACGGATAAAAAACAAATTGAAGTGCAATATCTCCAATACTCTTAAGAACTATATTTGATAATTGTAAAGTAGCAGTAAAGATTCGCCAGTTTGTCAACCATTTCTTGCAGCAGACAGCTTTGCTTGCAAACATTTCATTATCTTACCATTTGGATCTATACTTACATGATAACCTTTAACTCTATCTGTTTTGTGGTACTGTAAGGTTTTTGCTCTCTCAATAGCATCTTTTCTTTTTTGTGCTTGATGCTTTGCCTCTTCAATATCTATCAATTTTTTTTCCTCCTATATATGATTGAAGTATTAATCACATATTACTAAACTCAGTACTTCCAAATGTATGGTCTTGGAGTCTGCTTCAAAAGAATTTAAACAGGATGCTACTATCATAAATAGTACCTCTTCCTTATCTTCCTTTATTTTCCTTGCCTTTAGCTTTTGGAGTCTTTGTCCCTATAAAGATGTGATCAACTGCTTATGAAGAATAACTCTCAAATAGTAAGGAAACATTTTTATTTCTACAAAACCCAAGCTATTAATTACAGAGAAATAGCAACCTCAATAGTATTTCCCCAGTTCTTCACCATATTTGCCGAGATGTTGTGCAATTCCTCTCTTTCTTTTTGAATAGCTTCCTGCCTTTGGGCTTCATAGTTAGTTTTTGATAATACATCTTGGATCCTTTTCCAATCATTAGGTTGAAGAACCGTCACCTGTATTAAAGAGAGATGGGTAACATAGACTAAGGATATCAATTTATGCATTAATTATACAGTTTGAAGGCAATTAGGTAAAGCTAAATGCCTCCATGTTGAAATTTTGTATAAGAGTACTGCTTTTAAATTTCAGCTTTAAAAATTCTGATCTGTCATTCTCCTAATCAACCATCAATCACCATATGATCTACATGTAACAAATTAACAATTTTACTAATTTTGTACATTCCACTAATTATAATAGGTGACAGCAAGCAAGCTTGCAACCATGTGATAAGTGCAGGCTGTGCAGCCATTGATAATATATTAACACAAGGCGTTATATGTGATTATTTTGTACAACAAGAAAAGGGTCCCATATGAAGATTGTAATAGTCTCTTACAATATACTTCATAGAAATATATCAAATATCATAGTCCGCAGATTGGTATAATGGTATTTATCACATTTTTTGTTTTACGATGGCCCCAAAAATAACGAAAATGTTAGTATTCGCTTAACATCATATGTTACAAAATAGATGACAGAAAAAAGCAAAAACATATCACAACAGCGGTCCGCTAACCTCACGAGCATCAACTCCACTTGGTATAATAGACACTGGATTGTCCCCCATTCTTCCTAAGAGATGCGAAATAATACCGTTTATACTACAAGCAAGGTGAAAAATATCATTATTGATTTTACAAATATTGGTAAAAATACAAAGAAAGTTTATAGAAAGTTTATATACCTCTTATTTGTCCTTCTCGTCTTCCATGTAAAACTTGTGTTGTAGCCATTGATGTTTTGTCGTTGATGACTGTTGCTATGGTTACACATTGGGATCAATGCACAGGCCCCCGAAAACGCGCCTCAACACAGAGGAGAAATACATTGTTACTTTGTGCTACAAGCAGCAAAATTTTTTGCAAATTGCAAAAATATTTTGAATCTAATGATGCTAACTGTTTATATTGTTCTTTAAAAGTACCGCTGACAAACATTCGCATAACTGTAAAATTTGAAACGATCTTTCAAACTATCCTGTAGTATCCTACTACTGAAAAATATTATAGTTCTAAACACTAAATAGTTTCTATTTCATACCTCTGCTTCGATATTTTAGCATCAAGCGGATAAAGGTTTGAGGGAACACATTAAAATCTCGAAAAATTTAGCGTAGCGTGGACATAACATTCTCACAACAGACTCGTCCATTTTGATGGGATACTTCAATAGGTGTCCCCAAACGTGCAGGAAATCAAGCTGCAGAGATTACCCAAGAAATTTCCTGGGGGAACAGAGCTTTTCTAACCCCCTACGCATTTTGGACACCCCTTTCCAGTTTCGCTTGCGCCCCCTTGCCTACGAATAATCTTAAAATGCCCCAAACAGTGAAATTACCCTGGGTACGTGGTTTTAAAACCCATGCCCTAAAGACCTATAGCGGCAAAGCTTTAGTGCGCATGTTCAGCCGGTAATGAAGTCTTATTAATTGTCTGTCTATATTGGTTGTAAAAATACTATAATAACGGGATAACCAGAGGGGACGTATTTTATTTAATAAAGATACATTCAAACTATGATCAGTATTCAGTACTAGTTCCGATACTGGTGACATCTCGTCGGTACCTTATTGCCCATCTTTGATGGGTGAACAATTTCTCCGTCCTACGCCTATATTCGAAAAGCTACTTCACACTCAAACTCATTGAGTGGGGGATCTTAATCGTCTCATAAATTTTCCATTGCGGTATTTTCAGTCAAACAATACCTTGATTTTTAATGTTTTACCTTAAATCTTTTCATTGATTAAAAACGAACCGGCTTTCTTCGGCCGCATTGATCAGCAATAACAAAATTTCTATGTCACACTCAGAGAGTGTGAGTGAATTTTTTGAGTACAGGCGTTAGACTTAGTGGAGATTTGCATATATGCAAGCAGTGGTAGTCTGTAATATTTCAAGACGTAATATTTATCTAACTTATTATGTTGGATAATCTTTTTAATCCCCAGAAAACGTAACCTACGAATCTAATTATCAGGTAAAAACGCTTAGTCACAGAGATTGCTCTTTTCTCATAGGCAGGACACACACGGGAAATTTTGAATCATTCATCAGTTTTCTCCAAATGAACAAACTGAATATTGCAACCTACTGAGCACTGAATTCTATTCATTTCTGACATTTCGAGTTGTATGGCTACAATATCTTAGCAATTCTCTTTGTAAATGAATAATAATAACATGCCCTCTACATCTAGACAAAAGGATGATAAAGGCCCTTCACGCTTGAAAATTTGCTTTGGCAGATTTTTCAGTGATATGGAATATTAGCATTTGATCTTTTGTGTGAATGCATTCGCCGTAACAAATTTCCGTCAAATTCCTCTTTGAAACATGTCACATGAAATTTGTCACTTGAAATTTGTGAAGGAAAAGTAACATGTGTTAAGGATAGTCGTTGTATAAAGTCAGTCATGAGCTGACTAGCCAACTTCGCTCAGACCGTTAGCTCAGTAATGTTTAATGATTATTTGCTTCCCAGAGGCGACATTGCAAGCCATCGTTTGGAATATAAATCAAGCTCTTTGGGCTACTCGGATCTATCTGTCATCCGCAGTCATCGTTACTCTGACTCATATCTATCTCACGTATATAAAGCATGCATGAGATGTTCAGTATCCAGACAATCCAGTAAATAAATTCTCAAGTGAATAACCATTCTTTGTAGGGACTGGTTTTCGCAACGTTTGCTGGCAAATGAAGCATGTAATACATTCTATTGAAACAGATGTAATAATTTAATGATCAGGTTATTATGTTACTAGTTATAGATCTCATTCTGGATTTCTCGTTAAATATACGTAATCGATGCCGTGATCAACCTACAAACGTCGCGTAGTGACTGAAACTCGATGACAAATTTGCGAGTATGCCCACTGAGTACCTGTGCCACATGCTAGACAATGAACGCGGTCTAATTGTTCGTCGAGAGTCTGGGCTCGACTATTTGAGAATTGAGATTTATCGATCAGTTGTGTCGCTGTGCCCACAAATATTATGTTATATGTGGGTATAGTGTGATTACATATATACACGAATATGTTGCTTCCGCCGCATAGCAGAAAGCTATGGAAGGTATGTGCTGTATAATGTAAGCTTCTTTCGAGCTAGACCTCTTAAATCTCAGCTGTTATTTTTATTCTCGTTTGTACGATCTTTGACATATTCCAAACAACTGTTTAGTATTTGTAAGACCGCATATTTAAAAAGGAATTTTGTGTATTGTATCTTTTTGTTGCAAGACCGTATATACAAACATGGGTCGTCAATAGGATGTCTATGCCAATGGCAATGCCCATGGCAGTGCGTTTATGTAGGGGGAGCCCTTGTTACCGATACTGGAATACTATAAATCTTCGCTTCCTATCGTAATAATTTTAAAATGAAAATAACCGCGAAATTACAAAGAGAATTTCGTTATCGTGGAGACTACGGTTCAGATAATGATTGTATATATTTATCAATGTTTGTGGATTGTTCTATGGAACCTGTTCCTCCGTGGTTTTATAAATGGAATTTTGGGATTCTCTTGTTCAGGGCAAGAGAAATCGCTTTCAACCGACAAGCAGCTGATTAGGCAGATGCACAATGAAAAGACGCCTTGTTCCCACCTTGTCTTGAATGCAGAATAATTCATGAGTTCGCGATCGTCGAGAACCGTCTGGATTGTAAAATTTGTTTCCTTAGAAAACGTAGAATGTAGGAAGGATTAATTCTAATGCACAGCGTGAACAATAGACGTCTATATTAACTGCTCGGCGCACTACTTAACCTTCCTTTCCGGAAAATGTTCATTTTCATTTGTTGACCTCTGTAAGTGTTGCCTTGTGAAATTATGATTTCAGTTCCTCTACCCAAATCATCGGCTTTAATTTGTTATTTTACGCCCTAACGTGAAGATTGAAGAAGCTTTTATACCCTCGCGCCTCAAAATATTCGGCCTTATTATAATCTTTGGTTGTTTTTCTTCGTTTTGCAATATTTACCTCCTTATTTCAATATGTACAAAATAATATATTATCCGGCATTCGCGATAAATCCAATCAATATTCTCACACTGTTTAAATTCTTTTTAATCTTGAATACATTAAACAAGATAATCGCTGTCAGGTTGAACGTCATGCGAAGCAGTAATGACAGATGTCTCTTTCATATTTTCTAATAAAAATCACCCATTGTTATTACACGGACAGAAATGGATGATATTCCGTTGATGAGATGGAAAATTTAGAACTTTCATTTCACTTGATAAGACTGAGAAATGCTGCTCTATACTCCATCCAACATCGCGCACTGTATTATTATTTTGTAAAACAGAGTGTGTTGATTTAACCGTCACTCCCCTGCAAACCAATGTTGCTATAGAGTTACTGGACACGAGTTGAAATTTAATACATTGACGAAGCCACACTTGAGAATTCAATCTTCATGTCAAAATTCACTGATTACCAAAATAACTGATTCAAATGTTTTTCAATGAATTCCTGATGCATTAGATGCATATCGATTACTATTTAGTGTTTATATGCAATTTACGCTCTGCAGGTCTTTGCGCCCTTTTGATCCAGCTTTCGTAACATCGGTATTCAATAGACGACCATTCAACAATAGGGGTTTATCAACGAACAACATCGACTTTGAGTTATCAATGAACAACATCAATCTTTGCTCCAGATGTGTTCAATTTAGATGTATATAAATCGCTATTGCTGACCGAAATTCCGTCATCTGAGTTCAGTCGTATATCTTGATTACCTTCTTGTTGTGCCGGGTCGGCTGGTACAAATGGAAAAATTGTATTCTACTTTTCAATTTCCACTGACACCGGTAAACAGCCCCGGTTGATAAGAACGAGAATGAACAATGATGGTATATAGGAAATAAACATAGAAGTATAGGGGCACTTAGAGTTACATCGTGTTTCTGATTTCGATGCAATTGACTTTCAAAATTAATGGCGAGAAGCCCGTGCTATACTGCATGTAAAAACAGTACCAATTTAAAAATTGGTTACCTCAGATTCATTTATTCGACCAATTTTTGACGGTTAAAGTAACTAGAAACTAAAACCAGTTTTTTGGTTGTTTTTACCAAATATATAGAATCATAGACAATCCAGAAGACAGAAGACTGTCTTTTGGATTGTCTATGATAGAATTTATCACAAAAGAAATTAATTTGAGACAACCAATTTTAAATTATAGCTGTTTCAACAATTTTCCTCGGACCGTGCTTGAATTCGCCCAGTTTCCTCGTCTGCATGAACACGCAGAACTGGCTAATTTTTATACATTTTTCCGTGTGAACACACCTTGAATTCGCACGGTTCCAATTCATCCGGTTCCGTTGTGCGAATGTAGCCTTATAGCTATATATATTGTGCGACAATGTTGTTGAATGCAGGCGTGGACAAACATATGGTTGTTATCCAGTTTCAACAACTTGTTCAGCTCTGCCTAAGACTGAGGACAATCAACTTGTCACTCTTCAATGAAGTTGCATGCTGCAACTCGATAACAATCATGTTCGTTGGGCGCTGTCGAGTTTTTATCAACCCGGAACAACTCGAGTGTTTTTCGCCTGTATATGAGTGCTAAATACTTCTTCCCGTTCAATAAATGTCAAACATTACTCAATATTCATTTTTCATGATAGATGAGTTGACATATTTGTGCATAGATTATATGTATATATGATATGTTTATATGTTTCTTTGCATGTGGTAACGGCGTAACGGACAGCGCCCTTGTTTAAAACATGATGTTTTTTCTCACGACTAACCGGGCTCACATTCGATTTGACCCTGCATGCATGTTTTCTGCCTATTTCTAAAACAGATTCATGAAAAATTAAGAATTTGGAATATTAAAACTGTCATGCATCACATTTAATTTGAACTCTTGTTTATATTTTCTGTTATGAATTACTTATGAGTTCATGTCAGTTGCAATAGCAAAAGCCGCCTGAAATTCCAATTTAATGAGAAACAATATGATGTTTTTATGGTTTATTTCATGCATGCATGCATGTATTTGTAAAATCAAATACTTATTATAACATACTTGATTGGAATACTTGAAATTCGCTACTGTCTAAATTATATATAGTAAAATACTTTTTCGTGAGTGAATGATTCCATATGATATATACTATAATATCTCATTCTGCGACTGCGATCTGGTTTGCGATAAATTTTAAAATGTTATTAATTTTCCAGTGTTTGGCAATTTTTCTCTGTACGTTTGGGAGTTCCAGTCTTGCCAGCCAATCTTCAGAAAACATTACAGAAATATATAAAGACGATAATTCCAGCAGCAATGATTGTCAAGTCTTCGTTATGGAAAAGAAATTGAAAGGGTCAGATATTGGTTTCGCTACCATTGCTGCTGTTTGTATTGTTGCTGGATTTGTACTGGTTTTTGCAGGTAATGAATACGTAGCTACTTGCCCAGCCGAAAACGTATAGCTATATATATATATTTATATATTATTTTTAGGTTACCGTTATCTGCGTACATCGCTGTTTGTTGAAGCTGTCGCGGTCGCTGCGTTTGTAACATACACCGTGTGTGGTTACTATACGGGCCTAACGTTTCCTGGCCTTCTTGGCGTATCACTGTTTATCGGTGTTGTTTTTGCTGTCATTTCGGTTCTTGTGACGATCTTTGGCCTCTTCTTATCTGGCTTTACGATGGGGTTCTTCACTTCACTTGCTTTAATCATGGCCGTATCTCCCCTTGTCGAAATACCGTCCAAATGGATTCCATTTGGGATCTTGCTCGGTGTCGGCATAATTTGTGCAGTGCTGATTCTAAAGTTTCAGAAAAGTTTGGCCATTGCCTCAACGGCAATGTTTGGTGGTGTACTAGTGAGTGTTGCTGCAGATTTTTTCGTCGAGAAATTTCTCTTGCTTAACTATGCTTGGAAACGAATTACAGTGGAAAGTGAGGGGGAATCTTGCTGGTTTTCTTGGATAATTCTGGCAATATGGCCATTGTTTTTTGTCGTTGGTACTATCATCCAGTTTCGTCTAACCGCAAGACATGTTGATCACAAGGGGAAAGGTATGAAGATCTCACGATAATACGATAACACGTACGATAATACTGAAGACTGTCAACTTAAACTCTGATAAGTCAAAATCATTAAATAAATTCGCTGCTTTCAAAACATTTTGTGAATGACTGCACTTGAATCTCGTGCGTCACTTGAAATGCATGGACAATTTTCAGTTCAACTGATTTGCCCACCCTTAAACCTAAACGAGCTTTTAATAACCCGACATCGGTGCAGCTATATATTGCATTACATGCATGTAATATTCAATATTCAGTGATGGCTTAGTTATAGGCTATAATGATGAGTCCCATAGATCCTGGAGAAGGGAAAATAGCTCGTGGACTTAAGTTATCGCTTTTCGCCAGTCACATCAACTATTTTTTTCACCTGGGAGAAAGCAAACGAGAGTGCATGCACTCACTCTGGTAAAATGACTCTCTGAGTTATGAACTATAATAAACTAACGGAACTAGATTATTTGCTTTTACTTTGGTATTGACAAAATAGGTCTTTTATAATATCAAACTATATTGTATCCTCTTGCCAGATGATAGAACAGAGCGTTTTTATGGAAGTGAAAAAGCAATAAAAAGATATCGCAACATGAACAAAAGTGGAGATGTCGTTACAACAGTTAGTATATCTTAATAACTGTAATATCGACGATAACTATTTTGTCACCAGAAATATTGTACAGTGGGGGCCCCTCAGGGGGGGGCATAGCTTGACGATATAAGTATATATCTATGGAACGATGTGCATAGAAGAAACCTGTTATTAGCGTGATCTTTATTCTAAAATTTAAAAATTAAAAAGTTTACGTTTTACAAATGCGGCAAATTTGGGGACGCACTTTGCAAAACTCTTGCCTCAAGCGAGACAAAATGTATAAATAACTTGTACGCTGTTGCCATTCTTATTCTGAGGCATTTTTTATTGCCATTCTTATGACATCCTCATCTGAGGCATTTTCACGCATTCTCGAAGATATGGGAGCATCTGCAACGTGGGGGCTGTTGCGCAAATGGAACGCCAGGAACTGGTCACTTTTGGCTTTTGCACCGCATACACAATTGGAACGCTGACAGACAGTATAGTTAAATTTCCAGGGCAGCAGCTGACCGCGTCCGTAGATCGTAAAATCCTTCATTGCTGTTCATTCATAAAATTCTTCATTGTTGGGGAAGCCAGAATTTTAAATGAACCACTGTTGCGTCCACTGTAATCTCAGATCAGCGAGCAATATGTTTCAGTCGAGATAGTTATAACCTCCTTATATAACTCACTTGAATCGTCAGTCAATTGCCATAGCTTTTATCCTAAAACAGGCATACGTGAGGCAATTATCAAGAGGATGCATGCAAGTGCCTATCGTGGCAGTTTAAATTAATCTATTTCAAATTTTTTAGTCGTGGCTAAGAGATAAAAGAAAAGAGCCGGCCGAGGAAGGCCAAGATCAACTTATTGAAGAACTGGAAGAAAATACTACAAATGTTTAATTATGAAGACCTAATATAACAATTACCATGGAAAGATTAGTCCATTTGTATAACAGCCGACCTAGCCACAAATTTTATTTACTCACGAACTGGGTATGCGTAATCCCATGCAAGCAAACCTCAAGAGGAAAAAGCAGCATTGAAAAGATGTAAAATTTGTCTTGTGGGCAATGACCCGAGAAGAAAGGTTTTTGCTGATAGCATTTAGCTCAAATGTGTTTGCCCAAGCCCCAAACCAAGGCTATGCTCAGTGCTGACCTTTATATCATCGTTTGAATACTAAAATTTAAAACATTTATAAACCTAAGAGCCGAAGAATGGAGAGTGCATGAAGTCCGGCGGAAATCTTTCCCAATGGCAATGCAAATGGTTTACAAACTGGGGCGGTTGTATAAACTCTCGGTCAAACCGCCAAACTAGTTCAAGGTTAACTACTTTTTTATAGAACCGGCCCCGGGTTTGTTCAGTTGTTGTGCAGTCGTGAAATTCTACCTCATGGTTTCATTTTTTTTTACTTTGGTTTCATTTTTTTTTATTTGAGAACGATATGAACAAGGAAGATTTAGATAGCAAAACAGTGATAGATTTTTATTACAGTCTTTATAGATATTATTCCTTTGTACAGCTAGGTTGTAATATATTTATTTAAAAATAAAAAGTAACATCGACATCGAAAAATATGGTAGAGCAATTCAAATCTGTGATATCAGTCTGGTAGTCTGAATCATCCTGTTCTGGGTAGAGATCTTTCCTGCATAGTCTCAATTTGGCTAGGAAATTTTGTCTAATACCCAGATGAAATGAAATTTTTTATTCTACATACATAAAGTATCTCACTTAAACTGTATAGCAAACTGCTTATATCGCGGGCCCATAATATTATTGGAACTGAAAATTGAAAGTTTGAAATTTTCTATATTTTTTCGAAATAAAAAAGCATACAAATGTCTTCGCAGCACTTAGTATTTTCATTTCTGGAATTTTTGAGTTCCGAGCTTGGATCTCGCTCGGAAGATGAGCGAGAAAGTTTAGAAGGTACTGTAGAAATGTTCCTAGTTTATTTTATATTTTTAAAAAATATTTTAAAAAGTATCCTCGTGGTCGTGGACACTGGCAGTACTGGGCAAAACTGGACAAAACAAGACAAATTATATTTGGAGGGCAATAGAGAAATTATAGAAATTGGGTATAGGGTGATGATATGTAAGAAACATGTTTAGTGAAAATTAAAATATTTTCTAAGACATAGCGATTACAACATCGATATATAACATATCAGATCGACCATTCAGATGCACCGTACCTGAATAATGTAATTTGATACAACAACCAAAAGTAAAAATATCAGGGCAGAAATATCTCCAGTAAACTCATTTCATAATATATCAAAGGCTCCACTTCCGAAAAACCAGTAACTCTCAATATGTTGAAATACTACTATAAAGTATCAACTCAATCCCATGTTAATTAAAGGTAATGTTCAGCCAGTTTTGTGCATCAGTTTTGCTCGAAATGTGGGGGAGAGGCAACAATGTAGTGCGAGATATGCAGGCAGTTTGTCGTATTAGAAGAAATGTAACAGTTTTGTAATATAACAAAGTATATGTGTTCATTACAACTGGGCATCATCTATGAGACCTTGTATATGCTGATTTTTATATTACCAGACAGATCCCTAATATATTTATAGTACTGTTAAATCAATCCTATATTTTCTCTAGTTGTGATGGAGTGTTTAGAAAGAGTCTACAAAGTTTCACTGACAAATCCTGCTGATGTGTCTAGGTTTCACACTGAAAAACCTCTGACAGAAATTTTTGAATCAACTGCCACGGTAATGCATCAGGAGATATAGGCCTAAAATCAACTTAAAATTTGTTTACGTTATCTACAGTTATATTTGACTCTTCCTGAGAGTTGCCTTGCAATCTTGAACTAAAAGCGTTTAAAGATAATCGAGGTATGCTCAATTTCTAGGCAATAAAATCCTCTTTCCTTTTTTAGTTTATATACACTAGTTTAGTGTGTAATAGTTTGTTATTTATAAAGCTATTTATTATGTGTGTCTTTACTTACTAGAATCAAACATCCGCTCGTCAGTTTCCAACTGATGAAGATAGAGAAGAAGCAGAAGAGTTTAAGACTCAAGGTACACATATGTACACTTACTATATATTAGACAAATTATCTTACAGATAGTAAAAAAGATATCTGTATACAGTATATAAAATTATTTTTCCTTTATTCTTGTAGGAAATAATCTTATGAAAGATGGAAAGTTTGAAGATGCAATTGAATGTTATGACAAAGCTGTTAAGTTAGATTGGACAAATGCTGTATACTTATGTAACAGGTGTGTATATATAGAGAGAGAGCTTTAAATAGCAACAGAGAGGTCTTTTTAGATTGAAAGTCTGTATTATATCATTAGCCTAAACATGGTATATAATTGGAGGATAGGATGGTTGGTAATATTTCACTTCCAATTTCATTTTTTAGAGCAGCAGCATACAGTAAATTAGGTCATCATGAAGAAGCTGTCAAAAACTGTAAACAATCTTTGGAACTTGACCCAAATTACGGCAAGGCTTATGGTCGAATGGGGTGAGAATTACTAATGGAGACATGAATTAAGTGTATTGATGACTATATTATATGCTTCTTACACACACACATTTTCCTAATTGTTTCTCTTCTAGAACAGCATACATGGCTTTAGAAAAATATCAAGAAGCTAGGGATAGCTTTGCAAAGGTTTGTCCTATTTCTAGGAAATGTTAAGGTTGTGAGAGTTAATTAAAACATACAGTCACACCAGGGCCTAGTTGTTGCAAAAGCAATTAACTACTGCTACTAACAAATTATACAGTAATTATAAGAACACATCTTGATGCTGTCTAGGCTAAAGAATTAGATCCTGGCAATGTACTTTACTTAAACAATTTGGAGACAGCAGAGGAGAGATTACAACAAGCCAAAGAAAGGTCATCATCACAGGGAATGGGTTTGTGTTGCTGCTAATCTCATTATGCTCAACTACCATTTAAGTTACACTTAAGAGAATATAGTTGGAGTCAGGCCGTGACTATTAGCGTGGCTGTTTATATCCGCAAGTATTCATGGTAAAAGTCCTCCTTTTCATTTTAAGCTGGACAACCATCAAATTTTATGAACTCACTATTTTCTAACCCTGGAATCATGAACATGGTGAGTCATTCTTCCTCAGCTCGTAGGCAGGAAATTGAAATTTGCATCTTTTCACGAACGTGGCGGGTGCATAAAAGTGCTATAAAATCGTAAATTTTTGTTCGGTTTTATTGACAGGCATCACAGTTTATGGCAAATCCACAGATGCAACAAATGTATGTACTTGTGTGTCACAAGACACACAATGTTTTACCTTCTGTCAATCTGTCTAAAATTTTTAGTAATATGTTCTGTGTGTAGTTTTCAGAAACAAACTAATTTTATAGTTCTTAGTCCTGGTTACTCTGCATTTTAAAACCACCTCTTTGTCTCTAAGGATGACCAATATGATGTCAGGCTTCCCTGGTATGACTACTGGTGATGATCAGCCAGGTCAACAACCTACGAGTCAGCCTGCAGGTCAGCAACCTACGAGTCAGCCTGCAGGTGGTCAGCCTGATTCTGCGGATACAACGACACCAGAAAGCAACCCTGGGAGTGAAGGAACTAACCCGGCACCAGCCGCCGGTGCTGGAGGGTACACGAACATTTTTCAGTTGTAAGTATTGTGTATGGCAGCTCCATGGCCCAAAAAATAAAAATTCCGAAACTGCAGGAATAAATTTATTGTTCCTGCAGTTATTTATCCTATATTGTTCCTATATTGTGTATTAAAATTGACAACGGATTTCACCTGGTCCCTTTCAGTGCCACACAGATGGCAGAACAATTGCAGCAAAGTAATCCAGAACTAGTTAACAATCTCCGACAAAGCATGCAGAATATACGCCGAGACAATACAGGCCAAAGCGATGATGCAGAAGATCCAAATAAAAACGGTAACGTAAAGTTATATTTCTATAGTAAATCGTAATTCATCGGCGATGACTGCTGTCGGTGGTCATTGATGCATAAAATGCTTTGTCTATCGAAAGAAATTATCTACTTTATTGACTATGGATCGTAGGACATCGCCGGTGGATTACGACATATAATTATATAATTCATCCGCGATGCATAAAGTGCTTTGTTTATTGAAAAAAATATGCTTGGTAGCGCATGGAGTACTTTGTCAGTCGAAGGAAAGGAACTTCATTAAGTACAGACGATTACCATGATGAAAAATGATGAAAATTTCGAGGGGAATGACGGTGCAATTCAAGACCTGAACTGCACTGAATCTAAATAATCGCTACTGACTTGATGGTCTCGAGATTTGATCTGCCATGTTATTTTGTCACATTTTTAGGAAAAGAATAGGATGTACACAATAGAAGCAACAGAGTTATGGATTGTATTTTATCATTGGGGATGAACATGGTCATGGACTCGTCATATTATCGCGTTCTAGCTCACCGGCTTTATTTGTACTTGATATTCAACGCATATTCTGCCTTGCACACATGAAATCACAATATTGTATTCCTTTACCAAATGGGACTTGCCTTCAGATAACCATACCTAATCTCTTCCGAAGATGATATGACTAATGCTGTACGACTTTAGATTAAGTATTTAAAATACTCGAATTACATTGAATTTAACAGTTTGTTCAGTGTAGTGCTTTTGTACAGTACGTGGCAAAGCTGCTTTTTGGAACTGAGGGTTTGCTTCTGTCATATACAGTTTCCGTATACGTTTACACACATATAAAAAATGCCCGCAGAAAAAGATGTGCCTCCACTGATTCGAAGGACAGGCAAAATAAAGGGGGTTTTTTAACAAAACAATAGGCGTTCAAAATATGACACTAGTTTGCGGCTTAACCTGTATTTGAAGCATGGAAATTTCCCTCAATAATTTCGCGTATAAAGAGGTTGTAATATCGAATTTAGCAACCCTGTTCTGGAATACGATTTACGTAATTGGGACATGGGTATATGCATGACGTTCAGGTTATCATCGACAGCCTACGCAAATGCAAATTAGTTGTTTCACATATAAACTTTGTGTCCAGAAGTATGAGAAGTATACAGAAGTCAATAGCAGTTTATGTTATTCGCCTTACACTACACCCCGTGTTTTCGCACGTGGAAGGTTTAAATGAATGTCTCAACAATCACCAGTGTCCTGCACACAAAGTCTGCTGTCATAGATCTTCTACTGAGGACCGTGTTTGTCGACACACATGTTTTGGTGAATCTTGTGAATACAATACCGACTGTGGTGGCAGAGGTTTAAAATGCTGTGGCTTTTCCAACAAAAAAACATGTACTTTTAACTGTTTTAACGCGTGTTCCACTCACAGTAATTGCGGAAGGGTGAATATTGTTGCCAATCGTTTCTTAAATTTCTCAACCTAACCAAGTGCGCCAAATCATGTATTGGGCAGTCATGTCGAAGTGATTCCGACTGCGTCCCGGGTGAAATTTGCCAAGTTGAATTTGTCCATTTGAAGAGTTGCGCAATTCCTATACGAAAATCATGTAAAAGGCATGCAGTCTGCACATCGGGTGAGTTTTGCTGTTCTTCTGATAAAAAATGTGCTTCAAACTGTGCTGGAAAATCGTGTACCTTTCGTAGCGATTGTTCATTGGGCGAATCCTGCTGTGAATACAGCAACAAATGTGCTAAAAATTGTAGTGAAAAATTGTATAGAGGAGAAAGATGCGGATCAGGTGAATCGTGGTGTCAATTAAACAGAAAATGTGCTCGTGAATGCGAGTGTGTCGTTAACAGTCATTGTGCGTTTGGCGAATCGTGTTGTCGTTCTAAATGTAAAGCAGGTCAAGATTGTGTCGAGACTGGTATGGCAGGATGGCTCATAGCAGTTATTGGTTTTTCTGCGGTCACTATTGCTTTTGCCATACCTGTTGCAATTTCTGTGTACTATTTACGTCATAGAGGAACCCATTGCTTCTGTCCCCCACGACAACGACAGCAGCAGCAAGAACGACAACAGCAGTTGCAGCGGCGGCAACTACAACCACAACAACAACGACAACGACCTGTTCATTCAGAACAGTCAATGCATGTTACAACATTTTTGATGATGCATCATCAAACACATCCGAATAATCCCCCACCATCATATGAAGAACTCCAGCTATCATATGAAGAACCTCCACCGGCATATGAAGACGTGGTCCAGCGATGAGGCGCCTATTTTTATAATTTGAAAGTAAATAAGGGATTTAAAATAAATATAGACGAACTCAATGATTGATGAATAGATGTATTTTTAAAGGCTGGGTTTTTATCACTTGCAGCCAGTCGACGATACTTTGTGATTCATTGTCAATGACGAACTGAAAAAAAATTTTTTTTTCGACAGAAAACATCTTATGCATCAGTAACCACCAACAATGAAGATCGCTGACCGTCTGCATGCGAGTGACGAAAACCAGGCTCTAAAGTAAAGGAGTGTCAGTAATTCAAAAATTTAATCCGTGTTGCAGATAATCATTAAATGTTAATATCAGTATTAAAATATATACTTTCAATGCAGTTATATGGGTACAATTTCATATACTTTCACATGCAACAACGAATACGAGTCGTACGAGCAAGCATTTTCATCAGGGACGTGTTATTCGAAAGGTGTTTAGCTTAAACGGCGGATAAGTTCAAGTGGAAAACAAAATTATCTTTTTATTGGACAACTGAGATGGAATATTTTAGTATAATTAGTTTAATTTTCAATGGAAGTACATATTTAATGGTAAGATAAAGTTCTATCATTCACAAGATCTATAGGAGTATTTTTACGCATAAGATTAGGAATAACAAAATGCCAATTACTATGCACAACGAACATGTTTGATATCAAAACAAACTCAAGGTATAACCTCCGTATAGCAACAACCGAGATTTCAGCCTTGATAAACCTAATACAAATTTCATGAAAAAAAGGCATAGACTCAGGCAGGCATAAGCAAGAAATTTAGATCTATTCTGTATAATGTATAATTTCATCGACAACAATCATCCCAACGACAACAATCACAACAACGACAACAATCACAACAACGACAACAACATCCGAATAATCCCCCCCACCATCATATGAAGAACTCCAACTATCATATGAAGAACTCCAACTATCATATGAAGAACTCCAACTATCATATGAAGAACCTTCACCAGCATATGAAGACGTGGTGCAGCAATTAACATAACCCCAAAACTAAAATCAACTAACGATGATATATAGTTTAAAATAGCATATTGTTTATATTGGATTTCGCAGTATCGCAGTGTAGCGTTTTTTGGTTACTACATTTCAAAGTAACTACGATGACATAAAACTGATTATAGAAAAGATATCGGAACAAAACAACCGATCTTAATTCGGCGACAAGGAGCCAATTTTCATTAATTTGAAAGTAAATAAATATAGAAGAATTCAAAATATTTGATATTTTTGTCAGTGAAAAGTTCTATAGGGCCTGGTTTTTATCAATCGCAGACAATCGGCGATATATGTAGTCCATTGTCGACAGGTCTCGACAGAACAGTAAAATGTTTCAACAGACAAAACATCTTATGCATCAGTGAACACCGAAATTAAAGATCGCCGACCATCTGCGAGGGACGAAAACTAGGCGCTAAAGGGAGTGTCAGTAATTAAAAATTTAAGCTGTGTTGCAGATAATCGTGTTGTCAATACATTGTGGTCGTTGTTATATATATTGCATCAGTAAAAAATAATTTCATATATACTTTCAATTTTCAAAGCAACTACGGATATGAATGAATATCGAGTAATGAGCATTTTTCTTCTGACCTATATACTAAACGAAAGTAACTATTTTTTACTATTTCTTTCTGATGGTTATACCTTGTGCATAATTTCGCTGTATAATTTCATACATAACGAATAATCAATGGATTATGTCAGCGTAGGCTAGGATTCATGACATCCGTTGTTATTTTTAGCTTCAGCTTCCAAATCGGATTTACGTCATACAGGGAGGAGTATACGACCTGCTCCATGACGACAGATTCTTGCCCACGTCAATGATAAATAGTTGTTCGCATAATTACTCATATAAACTTTGTTGTGAGAAGTATGACATGTCTACAAAAATCTAATTTTATTTTTCTTGCTGTATTGGCCGTTTTTTCGTACAATGAAGGTTTGAATGAATGTTTCCGCGATCGCCAGTGTCTTGGATCAAAAGTCTGCTGTCGTAGATCTTCTACTGAGGACAGTGTTTGCCGATACAGTTGTATTAAAGAATCTTGCGATCACACGTCCGATTGTGGCGGAGGTAGTTTAAGATGTTGTGGTTTAGGTAATAGTAAAACGTGCGCCTTTAATTGTTCTGACCCGTGTTCCTCTCACAATGACTGTATAACGGGTGAATATTGTTGTGGCTCATATCTTAAAAGTGTAAGCAAATGTGCCAAGTCTTGTGTTGGACAGTTGTGTCGATGGAGTCATGGATGTGCGTTGGGTGAAGCCTGCTGTTCCCGTCCCTCTAATACTCCACAAAAATGCAATAGAGTTTGCAGTGGAGCAACGTGTTTGGATGATTTCAACTGCGCCTCCGGTGAGACTTGCCGTGGTGATTTTATTAAGAGATGTGTGACAACCCGTATTGGAAAATCATGTGAAGGGCATGCCGACTGCGCATCGGGTGAATATTGCTGTGCTTCTAACAAGACATGTGGCTTAAACTGTATTGGAAAATTGTGCACCTTGGATAGTGGTTGCGCATCAGGAGAAAAATGTTGTGGTGTTGATAAAAAGCAGTTTGGCAAATGCGCCAAATCATGTCAGGGTCGTGGATGGCCATGCACAAGAAATAGCGACTGTACATCTGATGAATTTTGCTGTCGTTCTGAGAACAAATGTGATTTAAACTGTCTTGGGAAATCCTGCACTCTTCATAGCGACTGTGCATTGGGTGAATCTTGCTGTGAATACAACAACAAATGTGCTCACAATTGTAGAAAAAAATCGCACGGAGGAGAATGCGGCGAAAGATGTAAAGACAGGCAAGATGGCGGTGACGACATTGGTATGGCAAGAGGGATCATAGCAGTTATTGTCGTTTCTGGAACTATTGCTTTTGGTATACCTATTGCCATTTTCGTGTATTATTTACGACGTACAGGAACGTATTGCTGTTGTCCCCCACAACGAGAGCGGGAGTTGCGAGAACAACATCGACAATATCAACAACAGCAACGACAACGTCAAGAACAACAGCAACGACAAGAACAACAACAACAGCAACAACAACAACCTGTTCATCCAGAACAGCAAATGTATGTCACAAATCCAGCATATGAAGAACACCCACCATCATATGAAGAACCCCAACCACCACATGAAGAACCCCAGCCATCGTACGAAGAACCCCCACCAGCATATGAAGAACTCCAACCACCATACGAAGAACCCCAGCCATCATATGATGAACCTCCGCCAGCATATGAAGACGTGATTCAGCAATTATGATAACCCCAAAATTAAGACCCACGATGACATAAAACTGATTATGCAAAGGATCGATTAATAACGACCAATCTATATGGACGTGTAACTATATAATATGATTACATTCACGATCTAACGTTTCGACACTCCGGTCTAGTGTCCTCATCAGGGGTGATCCGATGCTGAAACTCAGGTCCTTATATACTCTCAACATGACGTCACCTATCAATCAGATGTAAATATTCTTTTGGCCGTGAATGTAGTGTATTCTTTGGTCGTGAATGTAATCTTTGTGTGGTGAATTACGTTCATTAATTAAGCAAGAGTAGCGATAATTGCGATGGATGATATACCTGGTTGCCGTGAACTTATTAACTTCAAAAACGTTTCCGCAAATTTTACATCACACGGGGAGAAAAGGGAGTAGACTGAGGGTAGTTGTCTACGAACAAGCAAAAAATGGAAGGTTTAAAGCCACAGGAAACACTTTTAGCTACATATACGTCCCTGGCGGTTTTAGCCTCATAGGTAACTTTAATAAGCCTTCTCATAAATATCAATTATATACGATAGAAATCTCATTACGATTACAATAATACGCGAAATTCTTTTTCCATTTTGGCTCAGCATATATTGATGCAGAGTTCAGAGGGCAATTGCATTTGAGATCGCAATTCTCTTACCCGATATTCAGCATAATGCTATCCCGCAAGGATTATTTCACTCTATCTTGTATAATTATTATACACACAAAATACAAATTCTTATGAAATTACTCACGACTATTGTTGTCCACGTTAGAATACAGACCAGTGTTACCATGTCCATTAACAGGGATTTGTTCGTGCCGACCGTTTCTTCGGATCATAGCTCTTGGGGAAAATATCATTGGGACGAAAGAAATCTTGCCACTGGACCAGATCTCAAAATGAAGAGGAAAACGTTATTAGGAATTTCATTTCCAAACCGTTGATGGACTTCCAACTGGATCTTAGTTTGGTAAAAAAGGATCAGATTCAAGCGTTCAGAGTTTCAACCACGTACGCAAAAGAATTTCTTTGCACTTACTATTGATAACAATGCTCCTTGCCTGTAATTCTGTTGAAATGACAAATTCTGAGGTTGACCGTCACTTGGTGCGCCGTGAATAAAACCACTGGAGAAAATAGGAAGAGAAGGATTGCAAAGAGAGCTTCCGCATGAAATGAGATGCTGAATGTTTGCTTCACCTTGGAACTAAGTCAAATATATTTTCAAGATTCGTCTTGAAGACAGGAATGTAGTCTTGTGTTTTTCCCGTATCATCTAAAAAAGTTCACCATAAAATACAGAAAAGTGACACTTAAAGTACATTGCAAAATAATATCAAATTTTTGGAGCAATCGCATACATATGACAAGTCGGAAACAAAGATACTCCAGTCGTTTGCAAGCTTTTTATGCTAGCAAAACTAGCCCTATATGCACCAGCCAACTTATTCTGGTTTAGATTATACCTTGTGTTCTCTGCCCCGTGCAGGACACGCAGGTATATATAGTCAGTATATTATACATAGGTATAGTCATGTTCAAGTGCATACTAGCTTTACCTTTTAAAATAAGGGCAAGTCTTTCGCCATTCGGATCCCACGCCATATTGCTGACATACCCGCCAATACTTTAATGGACCAAGAATCAGGAGAAGAATCAGGAGAAGAATCAGGAGAAGAATCAGGAGAAGAATCAGGAGAAGAATCAGTACAAAGTAACACAGAGAAATTTATTCAACCCAGGCTTGGCCTAATTATATGGATAAAACCTGCTGAGATACAGCATGCAGGCGGATGTACAGGTATAGTTTGCAGGTGAAAAACGGTATGCAGGTAAGGACCTTGGGAGGGGGAGGGGGAGGGGGGAAACTTCGTGTAAGTAGAGGTACTGTATAAAGACGTAGGGAGAGATACTGATATATGTAAAGATATTGTAAACTCATGCCTGAATCGAATTCTACACAAGTTACATGAATTGTGCTTAGCTGACCTGCAAACATAAACGTTTACCTGACAGTTTTCCCATTCACTTCCCATGAATGTTCGGACAAATCTGCACATTTCACTGCCATTTTAGCACCTCCAATACTAAAATTCTCCATACCTGTAGTTCCTATTAAAATTATAAACAGTGGTATGTCCATGCATGCTGGTATTGTCTAGACTGTATTTTGATAATAATAAAATACGATATATTAGGTATGTATATAATACATCTGATTAAAAACTATGGTTTATACGACGAAAATAGTGTAAATGGTATATTGTATATTTTCTGTTTTAATTTGTATATTTGTCAGTTGTTACATCACATTCGATGTCAGACCTACCTACAGGTTCGCAAAATCTGAGGTAGTATAGGCTTTTTTCTTCGGCAACAGAGAATAACAGAAATTTCCCATCAGGGCTCCAACACGCTGCCTGTGTAACAGAACAGAGTCTATGGAATATTGCATCTCTTTGGGGGATCAATAACACTCTCATACCACTCTCTTAATTGATACATGCCAGGAACGCAAGAATAACTTTTATGGTCGCATGAATTCGATGTATAGCCCGCATCACTTTTTTTCATCAAATTACCTGACAATTCGAGGCCAGATTCGTCCACTTTTCACAGGTCCATCTTTGCGTTTCCCAAACTCTTAATACGCAAAGGAATAAATATCAAATGATCACATGTGTACAAGGATGTATCATTGAACTATATTTTGTACACGGGCAACTTACGATAGCCCGGGCTGTATGTATTGTCAAGCCTAGACTGCAGTTATTTGAATACCTGATAAGTGAAGATGTAGCAGCTACAAATACTTTGGTATCACAAGGAGACCAGGTCACCTGTGATATCGAGCCACCAATGCGATGAAGAGCTGTTCCACTTTCCATGGTTACGTCCCATACCTGCATCATACAATTGCAATTATATCATTACTACAGTGAATGAAGAGTACTGCATGTACTTAACTTAATATATTTGTGCAAATTACAAAATCGAGAAGTACCTTACCATCATTGCTCCACTTGAAGCAGAACCTGACACTAATAATCTTCCACCTGGACTCCATGACATCGAGGTTACGAATGAATGCCCCGGATGTACCAAATGTTGAACTGAGCTCGCTCCTTGTCTTTATGCCAAAAAAGAGAATTTTTTTGCATTTCAATATTATAGTTCCACTCGAGTGCACAAAGTTCCGCACCTAGTGCTCACTTCGTAACAAGCACTATTGTAGCAAGTTCAATAACTCAATCTAAACTTATCATAAGCAATACGTATATGCTGTATCATTATCGATCGACCTCTTTTCCGTCTTAAGGGCTGCTTAATTTCCACTTACGCATTTTTTAAGCGCGGAAAACTTTAAATGCTTCTAAATTTCTATTATCTAACACATGGGCCAACAAATTCATACTAAAATATGCGGACATTTTTACCTGGCTTTTTCAAATATGACATATATAAGGACTTAGACTTTTACGTACGTGTACAAACGTACGTAAAAAGCCTAAGGGCTGCTTTCACTTACACGTTTTTCATACGCACGTACACGCACGTAAAAGTGTAAATCCTTATACATGTTACCTTTGAAAAAATTAAGTGAATAAATCGAAGGAACTTAGTTTTCTGCATATTTTAGTATGACCTAGATGTTAAATAATAAAAATTTAAAAGCATTTTAAATTGTACGTGCGTATAAAAAACGCGTAAGTGTAAAGCAGCCTTAAGTGGAAAGCAGCCCTTATACTTTGAGACAAAGAGAATTCTATGAGTAAAAAATATCACCATGCACACCGTATGGCTGACGAATGTTGATTAATCGTCCAAATCATAATTCCATTTTGACAGCCAACAGCAAGCACTGAAGACGATAACGGCCTGAAACATTGGAAGAAAATATTGAGGATCGTTACAATATGCATGCATGACATTCCAAAGATGCTGTTTTGAAATTGGGCTGGCTCCCGATGCTTGAAAGACGAGACTGGCATCTGCTAAAAGCTGCGTTCAAGGCCTTGAACGATGACCAATGGCCGGAATATGCGAAATTAAAACTATATAAGCCAAGGAAACCTGGTCTCCGTTCCTCTTCGAAAGATTTTCTAGAAACACCTCTCGATAGGGACATATTCCAATATTCCGCAGCTAAATGTTTTAACAAACTACCGCCAGCCCTGAGGGCTGAGAAAAATTTTAGAACTTTCTGTGCTGAAACAAAAACGCTCCTTCTTGATCAGGCAAGAGATCGAGTAGGATAACGCTAACGGTTTTAACCTGTACTCCAGCATGAGAATGTTCCGGACAATTATATGTTCTTTCTAATTAATTATAACAACTAATTGTAGTATAGATATTTTACTTTGTATTAATCAATTATAGTATAGGCATATTGTAGATGAAGAGCCATGTAAATGGAAGGCTACAATAAATTCGTTATTATTATTATTATTATTATTATTATTATTATTATTATTATTATTATTATTATTATTATGATGCATACATAGTTTGTCCCGGTGAGGAGACGTGAATACATACTGTATATATATCGGGCAAGTAAAATAATCAGCAATAAGTGTAATATAAGTATAATTTTGCTTGTAGGTACACCACGTAAGTATTTAATACTGCAAAGCTTTCGGTCCGTTAACCCGGGCCTTCATCAGTGCTATTACCTGAATACACCACATTTACACGTCAATTATAATATGTATTATTATTATTATGTATTCAGGTAATTGCACTGATGAATGCCCAGGTTAACGGACGTGTACTCACAAGCTAAATTATACTTATCGACTGTCACCATGCAAACATGTATACAAGAATATTAAGTGTAATATAGTTATATATGTCATTTCTATTATAGCTACGGTATTTTGTCTTTGCATGAGGACTCAAAAAAGAAATGCAATATTAACATGTTGTTTGAGCTGCATGATAAAACATATGTCATATATATGCCAAAATTACGACGAGTAGTTTCTTTAAATAGTTTATCCCCAAGAAATAAAACCAAGGTTCGTCCTCTTGCATTTTTTCCCATCGTTAATAACCTTCGTTATGGGCAATGATAATTAGCTACTAGAAATTGTCAAATATTGAAAGACGTTGTGGTTGTTTCGCAATGACTTCGCGCATTTTAAAGTGTGTTGCAGACAGCCGGCGAACAATCGTTACAGTTATAAACGTCGTATAGCTATATATACTTTATTACCTCCAAGCGCAACAGGAAACAGCTTTCTGGTATCTGTTGTTTAAAAGTTTTGTAAGACCCCTAAAAGCGTCAAATGATTTTATATATAATCACGGTCAATGTACGAATATTACAAATATGCATGTAAATTACTGTAAATATGTTTTCGTGCGGCACAATTTGGTTTGAAATATCCAAAGCAGTTTATTGTTCGCTAAAAAACTACGTGCAATTTGGGTGAAATAGCTCTTTAATTATTACCTTTTAACAGCGAAGATCCTTATTGAATCATCCTGCAATAATTCGTACATTTTTAATTTATATTAATTAAACATCATGACTTATCAAGAGTGTATTATCTCAGACTCAGTGCATGGTCAATTATCATCTCCCTCCGCTCTATTTATGCAGCCAGGTACTGCAAATTATGCAAATGAAGATGTACCTCAAGACCAACAGCAAACTTGGCCAAATGTGGGTGCCATGCAAAGGCTTTGATAGGTCCTCTGCATTCACTGTCAATAAATGATTGAAAAATACATAGATATACTGTAGCTAAAACTGCACAATATATTCATGAATCATGCGAAGTTTGCCAAACAGCAAAGGTGAGATGGTATTAAGTTGATCTCACCTTGAAAATTCAGATTCAAGATGTTCTTGGTTCTATATATAAATGTCAAGAAATGCTCTATATGCAGTATTTCATAGTCTGTCAGATTGGCCACAGTAATAAAACTAATTACTACTAACTATATGATGAAGAGATTGATGTACTTTCATAGGTTTATGTAATTGTACTGATAATAGTTACTGACAATATGCTATAGCGATAAATTTTGAGTTCACTGACTGGACAGTGTCCTACCTGTTTCCCGAAAACAAATTTTTCTGAAAAATTTTCAACCCATTTGATAAATGCGAAAAGACATTTCGAAACAGAGGAAATGGCCAATGGGACTATATATAACACAAATACAATAACAGAAAAATTCACCATCATAATAGGATTGCCAGAGATATTATACTAAATTAAGTTATATACACATGCAGCAATCAAGGGAGGCTCAGCCATTAAACTTGTGCATGGTTAGAGCTGTTATAATAATGGTAATTATATTTGCCACCTTAGAAGACATTCCAACCCACTAATTAACTATCCTATGTCAAACTTTTTCACTTAATTGTATGATTTTAATACCATACAGCAGGTACTGCTCAAAAGTAAGTTAACAGAAAACATTCCAGAATGTACTAAAACTAATGTCTGACAGGAGATTAAAGCATACCTTCATTAGACTCTGTTTGACTTAATTCTTCCAAAACACCATTAAAGCCTTCTGATAACCTAAATATGGCAAAATCAATATATATAATTTCACTCCACCAGAGTGGAATGCTTAGCACATCGGGGACTGAGACTGTTAATAATATAAATCATAGTATTTTACCATATATTATATAATTTTTGTGACAACGACTCTTCCACAGCAAGGAAAGGTGACTCTGAGTAATCTCTTGCAAGATTTGTTGGCATTTTTAAGGGATCTTCTGATGCTAAGATTTGATCAAATCTTCCATCCTATCAAGTAAAACAGAAAAATCAGTATCTGCATTTGCCATATTCTAGCTAGGCTTTCTTTCACATAATTAATTGCAACTGAACTCTAGAGGCTTGAATCTTGGCTGTGGTATACTAGATGGCTGAAGCACATTTGGTTTATTAACAGATGAAATACGTTTCTTTGGTGTCAATTACCTGTCCGAACGTATACAAACATGGTTGCAGCTCCCTCGGGTTCTCACCAACAAGAAAGTTAGAATTGTATTCGCTTATTGTAACTGTATCAAGATCATGAAGATAAGGTGCAGGGAATACAGCTAAACTTGACATTTTCTTCAATCAGAATTTACTCAATTTGTCCGATTCACAGACGAGAAAACAGACTATATTAAAACATACATCCTAAGAGCCTTTGTTTCAAAGTTTTAAAACAATTTTATTTTCCAATTTCGATGTGTGATCGAAGAATTTCGATGGAACTTGAATTTCCCACAACTGCTTGGTAGCCTTGCCTCCGCATTAATTAGTTTGTGTCACTTTCACTTTTCAGAATTCCTGATAAAATTGGGATTTGCACAGGAATTTTGGATGTTGGAAAAAAAATGATGACTCAAAGAAAATTAGCTACATGCGTGAACCGTCTGTTGAAAGCCTGATAAACACCAATATTTCTTCACGGAATTGCTTTAAGCATTACTGCGGTAACCTATTTTTGTACTAGTAAGTATTTCTACCGGATCATTCGGTTTTGACGGTTTAATACTTTCAAAATAGAACGAAATGTGCAGAAGGGAATTTTTCGGCTGGATTAGGAATCTTCCCGCGCATACTAAGGAATTCTTGGTATTTGTAAGATAAAAGAACCAAAAACCTCACAAGAAAAATCTCACAAGAATGCTTTCACTGTATGTTCCTGTAATTATTTTTTAGGGATATTTGGACGTACCAGATTGTTCTGTGTCTCAAAATGAACGTCTATTGTTCATGTTTATCGCGTGTGTTGTTATGCGTTGAATTAATGTAACGTATATGCGTTGGCATTCTCTTTGTGGCTTCCGGTGATGAGAAAAGATGGCCGACATTCTCAGTCGAGAAAGACAAACAGCATCGGCTTCTCTAAAGGCACAATATGGAACAGAAGTCGGTAAAGCAAAATTAAATTCCGTGCTAAAGACGCTTCTTAATCCTGACAAAAGTTTCACCAATGACATTAAAGATTGGTGCAAATGGTTGATTGCTGGAGGCGAATGTCCAGATGTGTTTCTGAAAAAGTTACGAGATTATGATAGTTCACGGACTTGTGGCTTAGTGTGGCACAAGAATTTTGTTGCTTATCGATGCCGAGACTGTGGTACATCACCTTGTATGTCGATATGTGCTGATTGTTTTCATGGTGGGGATCACAAAGGACATGATTATAACATGTTTAGAAGCCACTCTGGTGGTGCTTGTGACTGTGGTGATGAAAATGTTATGAAGAAAGAAGGGTAGGTATATATTTTATGCCTCACATGCCAAGCAGCAATGATTAATGGTATATACTGTTTCTTTAAAAGCTAGTGTGGATCATCTTTATATAGTTCATTAGATTTAGATTCATATGAAATATTAGATTAATTCAACTCAAATTGGATGGTGTTTGCTACTAACACAGAATTGTGTTTTTATATAAGTAGACATGCTTAGTGTATATAATAGGTAGGTATGTTGTTTTATATTTTATTATAATCTTCATCAGCAACATCACCATCATTTTTCAAAATTTCAAAATTTGCTCCAAAATACAGTAGGCTAATATCATTCAGAACTTTCTGGAATTATCTACATTCAGCAATACAATGCATTTCATATTATTAAAATATTAGTTCAACAATTTCCTGAAATATTTTATACTGTAAACTCTCTGAATCAACTCATAAATGGGAACAAATTAATTGCCTAAGACTTTTCAAATTTGTTTATTGCTATTACTGTGATGATTTTTTTAGATTTTTCCATTACACTGTTTCCATTACAATGTGTTATGTTCTAGTGCTTCAAAACACCCTTTTTTCTTTGTTTTGCTTTATATTAAAGTGTAATCTGTTTAGTAACCTGATTCTATAACCTGATATATATTGTTAGGTTTTGTTCTTCCCATGGTAATAACATATCATCGACTTCATGTCCTCCTAAAGATGTGCTGTACCTACCGAGAGCTGTGATTACTCATCTCTTTAAAAGACTGTATAAAGAAGTGAATACACTTCAGAATGCAGGTATATATTACTGTATTGTTGTAAACATTCCAAGCATCCTTGTGTAGAGTGATGAACAAATTCTTCATTCACTTCATCCATTTTTTTTTCTGTTTTTTCAATTTCACCACTCTCCATTCCAATTATGTACAGTAGCTAATTTTCTGTTTTTAATTCTAATCAAATACTGCATTCAAACACATGTAACATGCATGTACACCATTAAGGTGTGATCTGATAAACATTCATCTTCTTCTTATACTAATTTAAATACTCTTTTTAAATTGAAGATTCAATTTTATCTGGCAATGATGATATTGATGAGATAGTGGATTTTTTACAAGAATTATGCGAAGGAGAAGTGCTACGTGGTATAACTTGTGAGACAATCATAGGAGAATGTTTGGATATAAATCAGTCTAATCAGGAATTAAGACATGTTGAGAGGGAACAATCTTCGTTACATTTTTCACCAACAGTGTACAGAAGGGAAGAATGTTGTGAACGAGAAGCAACAAGTGTTTTAGACTTATTGCTAGATCTTGTTATTAAGTTGGATTTTCCAGAGAAATTGGTCACCTTTCTTCTCCAACTATTGCCCAATCAAGAATACAAGGTACGGGTGCAGTATGCATTACCATGTTTCATACAATATTGTTTTCTCTGACTTGGAATCAAGTGTAGTAAACAAGCTGCAATAACGTTATTATGAAATTACGAAATAACAATAAGAACATTATTGTGAGAAAAAAATTGAAAAGCAAATGTTTTAAATGAGGGCAAGCCACTTGATAAATGGGCCAATACGATCGTAGGTCGAACCTTCGAAAGTCTCTTTGTCTATTTTTAGACAGTTGCTATGCCACACCTCGTTAGAACTTAGAAGTTATTAGAAGACCTGCTTCGCTTCTTTCTGAGAATTATTTTAGAACGTATCTCTAACTCTATTTCTGTGCCGTTTTGGCTTTGCTTTGCAAAATACCAGCAGAAAGTGACATAAAAAGGTGGCACAAAAACATGTTTTTATGGGTTTATGTAACGGTATTCGTGTGAACAGGTTCTACATAAGACCCCGTCTAGGGAGGTCGTGAGTCGAATTTTAGGTTCAACGAGTAAAGAAAAACGTTTTCCTCCTCAAGAAAGAAGTAAAATGAGCTCTAAAGCCTGGTTGTCATATGTCACAGACAGTTGGCGACGTATTGTTTGTGGTCGGTGAGGAAGAAAATTTATACAAAATAACAAAGCACTTTATTCTCCAGTGATCAGTGACCGACAATAGCCATCGCAGACCGTCGATGACATATGAGAACCAGGCTTAATGCTGAGCAAATAGCATGCAAATATTAGATCATATCAGAAATATTAACGTTTGTCATGTCATAATAAATTGATATTTCTGTGAATTTTTGTAAGTATGAGCAGATGTGAATGTTAGACGTGGCTTACGTTCACTTGTAAGTGTCGTGAAGACGTCAAGGTTGCTCATGTAATATTTTCATGCGTGTGCAGTCAACAATGACCGATTTGATCTGTTAGGCCTGGTGCTCATATGTCGCCGACAGTCGGCGATGTATTGTTTGTGGTCGGTGACGAAGAAAATTTATAGAAAATAACATTTGAAGCACTTTATTCTCCAGTCATCGCCGACCGTCGGTGACATATGAGAACCAAGCTTAAAGACAAATTTACATACGACAAAATGGATTTTAGATTTTTTTAATGGCTTCTTAATTTGGCCTTGATGGGCTGGTTAATATGAATACCTCTTTCCAAGACGCTAAAGATAACTTGTAGTAGGCACACTACAAACTAAATAGATAATTGAATGTGCTGTGTCTATTTCTTCCGCCTGGATACGAGGTTGTCCACAATTAGAATATTTTCAACAAGGTAAAGGACAATTTACTGAATTTGTTGTTGTTTTTTAACTAGGTTGCTTTCACCCAAAAATTTTGTCAAAAGTACCAGGAAATTGGGAAATTACTAACGCTGTGCACAACCTTGCAAGAGGTGGAACAACTTTCGAATAGTGTTGTACATATTAGTGTCCAACTATTCAGTAATCAGACTCTTGTGACAAAAATGGTTCAAGAACAAAATTTACTACATGTCATGGTGAAAGTTTTGTTAGAAATGATGAGAACAACGTTAGAGCCGATGAGGGTTAATGGTAAGTCAGTTTTCCTTTTCTTCCTTTGAGGCGAGGCTAAAGCTGGCTATTTTTTGTCTAAGCTTTCAGCATGACAAGCTAGAGTTGTTGTCCTCGGACCTGTTGTTTGAAACCCGATTAGCGCCAACCCCCGGGTTAGAATTTAGTACCTTGCCAAATATGATCTCAATTACACCAGGGAAGATTACAGAAATAACTTATTTAACCTCATAACTTGATAAATAACTGTTGCAAAGTGTGATTTGTAGATCTTATCTAACCGTCTTAATATCGTCTTTGTTATTATAGGTCAAATAGTAAACCATTTGGTTACCAACTGCGACAAGGCTGTGATTAAGTTTCATTGTTACTGGCCAGTGATCAGCGATTTAATCAATGTTGTCACTCATCATAAGATTGCCTACATTTTTATGAATGACCTTGAATTACTTGAAAAGTGGATGAATTTCATGGCGTGTCTTACAGGTGGGAAGGGTTTCCATCACTGACCTATCTAAGTCAGTGGTTTCCAGCTAAATTTCAGTTTTCCATACATTAGGCGCACATTTCAGTTTTCCATACTTTGGGCACATTTGTATTTGTATAGGTAATAGCATGGTTTCGAGTGCAATTTGGAAAAAACATGCACGAGTGAGTCTTTGAAAAACTCACGAGTGCATGTTTTTCCAAATCGCACGAGAATCTATGCTATTACATATTAATAATATACAATTATACTTCGTATCTTTAATTTATTTAAAGACACACCACTCAGGAGCATTTAAAAAACGTCTTAAAGAAATCAGCACTGGGATTTCCTTTTCTTGGCACTGGGATTTCCTAAAAATTGCACTGCTCTAAACCAATCAGAATTAAGAAATTTCTCATGTATATTATTAACATGTATATATGATGTGAAAAGTGCATTTAAAGGCCTCTATATGCGTTTGGGTTTGTTAGAATCCAATTCTCCTTTTGAGTTATGCAATTTTACACAGCGTAGCAAGAAATGCACTTTTTGTTAAACACTAGCCAATGGCAAGTATACTATGGCAAGTGCCAAAGCCAGTAGACCTAAGTATACAATTGTTAATCTTTTAAAAGGTATGAACCGTAACGAACGTGTTGTAACTGAGCACATCAAATATGAGCCAACTACGTACAATGCTGCCTACTTCATTGAAATAGAGGCTGCTTCCTCTCCTATGTGGAGTCTCATTGCTGCTTCATCGGGCTTGGTAAGAGATAATGGAAATTATTGGATTTTTATCTCGTTTGTTAAAGCCATAGGAAGGACACATATAGGTAGTCTAGACGCCGAAAATAACTTAACAGATATGACAATTTGGAAATTCCAATAAGGCTTAATCCGGATTAAGGCTGTTTTCCACTTACGCGTTTTTCACACGCACGTACACGCACGTAAAAGTCTCCTTATACATGTTACCTTTGAAAAAACTAAGTGAATAAATTGAAGTAACTTAGTTTTCTGCATATTTTAGTATGCATTAGTTGACCTAGATGTTAAATAATAAAAATTTGAAAGCATTTAAAATTTTCCTTACGTGTACGTGCGTATAAAAAACGCTTAAGTGGAAAGCAGCCTTTAAAGTCATCACATGAAATGCGCTCTGTTTAAATCACTCTCCATGATTTTTTTTAGAATGACAAAACATGCTTGTTAAATGTCATCCGGCAAGCATCGCTGGCCTTGGCCCGTTGGCAAACAAACGTCGGTCTTCAGGTAAAATCCAGAGAAATAAAACAAGGTTTGGTATGTTGGGCAAATTTAAGAAAATGAGCCTGCAACCTTTTCATTTAACTCACTTGCAATAATTTCAATCACTACTTCAGCCAGACTACTTTAGATCGATGAAAAACAACAATTCTGATTAATTTATCTGTCTAGAACTTACTCAAACACAGTATACGTAAGAGAAACGTATGTGAGATAAATTCATTTTCTATTCACAGCCTTCAAGAGCTGAGGTCAGTTTTCACCTCCCGTTACTTCGCTATTTTTCTGGATTCGTCAAACAGGTACTTCTTTCTAACTTATAATTTCGTAATTTACCCACTTTTATTTCAGGCAACATCACTCCAATCGTCAATCATCATTAATAATAATACATATAAAAAGTTCATATTTATTAAGAAAGTTGTTTTCGTATTTGTACCAACTAGGCAATGTTGCAGTTCAATATGAATTTTGAAGATTTTCAATTTGATCTTTGTCTTCTGACCAAGTTGCTAGAGTGGCCAGTGTGCATACAGGTACACCTATACGCATGTTTTTGTGCCATTTTTCCATCAGTTCCAAACTGTTCTTTCAGTAAAACAGTGTTCAACTTATTTCAAAACGACATCATCGCATGGTTCATGTATGTCTCATATTTTGACACAGGCTGCTGTTTGTGAGATCAGAGCTGGTATGTGGACTCGCAATGGTAACCAGATTCAAGCACAGAGCGCCTGGTATCATCAATGTCATTTCTCAAACTCAATGCTCGACTTGGACATTTTCTTTCTTCAGGTAATATTTTCTTTCTTCTGATATTTATCACGTCATTACGATGACCCATTTTGACATGCCATTCTGAATACTTGGTTGTTTATTATGATAGATATGTGCCGCACAATTGGAACCGGAATACTTTCTCGATGTTCTGCTTGAGAGGTAGCTAAGTTAGGAGTAGCTGCAACTCGTTTTTCATGCACCAGTGAATGTGTATTAAACATTCATCTATGCACTCGCATTTGTCTTTCAATGCTCTGTCTTTCCAAGCGAGCTTCTAGAAAGTGGGTATACTTCAATTTTATAATTAGAGAGCGAAATTTTGATCTTATATATTGTGCACGTATTGTATCGCTATATGCAGATTTCGTGTTGAACATTGGTTTACGTTTCCGAGTGAACTCGAGTCGTGTTCTCCTGGTATTGACGATGATAACAAAGAAATGATGGTGGAGGGTGTACTCTCCTTGATCATAACACTCTTAAGCTGCAGACTTCATTTTGGTATGACCAAGTTCATAATATATTCATTGCTTTTATTGTTGCTGCTCAGCATGATTGCTTGAGGTTGTGAATGTAATAAAGTTGGGTTCTTATTTGTTAAAGGAATGACTGTGGAAGAAACATTACGTCTGGAAATGGTTACTCTCTTGTGTTTTGCTGATAAAACACATAGCCAACTTGTTGATCTAATATCCTTTTAAATATCTTGTTTTAAACAATATAATAACTAAATCAGGATTATTCACGATTCCACACAAAATGATTATGTGCTTGAAAAGAGCATGTTCCTAAACTATGAAATGAATACCCTGATAAAAGGTTAACTTATGTTTTTTCCTTAACTTTGTCACGTACCAGAGCGATACGGTCAAACAATGAATGCCCAACTTTTTGAAAAGATTTTAAAAGAGGTACAAGCGTTATCTATATGCTTCTTTTTGTACCAAAAAAACCATGCATGAGTGAGTACAAATTGTCGGTACCTGGTGAAAAGAGAATATCCGGCATATACCCGGGGCTTTATAGCGCTATCCAATCATCGTATGACCGGTGCCATTGGAGAAAGCAATTTCCACCCTAATGACCATTGTTCATAAATACACATTTTGAAATTTGGTTTTATGTACTGTAAAATATATCTTTCGCTTTTAGATCTCTGATTACAAACATCCAGGTTGTGACAGCAACGGAATGCAGCAGGGAATGTATACGTTGAAATCTGAATATTGGGAAACTCATTTTGATCCAGTCCATGCTATATTGAGAGCCTTCAATAGACGGCAATTCCAGTCGGCAATGGAGCGATATACGACACAGTGAGTGTCCAGCATTTGATTTTGTTAGGAATCAAGTTTTCCCATCCAATTCGTAAGCCAATTGCCATGATTTCAGTGCAATAGATTCGATATTATTCTTAATCATCATTCTTTTCCTAGTTTACGACAGCAAAATTCCTGCTATATGACGTCATCATGGCCACCATTTCGGCCTCTAACACCAGTCCCCAAATCATTCAATGGATTATCCAGGTACAGAAAGAGTGTTGAAGCGGATCTTTCAGTATGAAAAATAATATTTCCCATTTTGCTTGATTGTGATAAACTCAAACGATGGATTTTCATATCAATGTTAGATTGCTTCATTGCAAGAAATTACATCGGATGCTGTACCTAATATTGTATAAGGTATTTATGCAAAATGTGAATTGTATTGTTTTAGTCTCAGTTGTGTCAAATGTGTGGCGTGCATGTGTGTGTGTGTCGATTCTTAAAATGTGCCTCCGTGTGTTGTATTTAAATTTACTGAACGTTCTCTTTTCAACATAGGCCACAACAAATGTTACTTCATTATCAGAGCCCATAGTTTATATGACAGTCCATCTAACAGCGTTAGCAGTTCAGTCATCTCCCTCATGTCTTCAAATGGTAAGCTATGGTACTGGTAACAGTGTTGTAAATTGCATACAGTCGTTTTTCGCTGTTTTGAGAAGCTATATGTGTTTGTTTGTTCGTTTTTCTTTAGTTACCACGAGCCTATCAACCTTCATTAAGAGATAGAAATGACACTGGTTCTGTTATCGTAACAAGATGTTTACACTTTTTGGATCGACATGGTTAGTCGGAACGTCAACATTCTTTATTTTTTGTCTTATTCAAATACGTTGTAATGGATAAACCATCATGTGTTTATAAGCTCTAATGTGATTATAATACAGCATGAAAGCTAGAATCAAAATGAGCCGATTGTAAATAAACCAGTGCATGTTTGTAATAGCAAGCACGCCGACTACAAATTTTGCTCTTTATAGGTCGACGCGTGAAAAATCTTCATGTGAACGAAGATTACAAAGAAATTAACGAGACGTTATTAACAGACCTTATGTATGGTTAGTACTTAGCAGTATATACATTTATAATGCAATCAAGTAAAGATCAACTTATAGACAACGGCGCAGCCAATTTTTTGTTCTTGCCATGTCCCGTCTTCCGTTCATGCCATGTTGGTTACTGTAGAAACATTTTCTCGCGAGCGTTAATTATACAGTTACTTCGTCTTTCTTTCCTCTCAAGCGACTCAACTTCGCGGTTACGATGACCTCCAAACTTCGTTTGTTTAGATCCTGGGTTAGTTCTGGATATTAGGACGACATCAGTGCGTGAAGTCTCTCTCATACTGGGACACACCCTGCATTACAGATTAGATCCTCCAATATTTGCTACGATATTGCCATATATGAATACTGTACTGAGTCGTGCTTTGAGTAAGTTGGTCATTTTTGTATGTGTTGTTATAACATGCATAACCAAAAAATATAACGTGTCCAAAGTTTTAAATATCGACGGGGTGAATATAAATATGTTTTATAGCTTACATTACGTAATTGTCGATCTATCAATCAATAACAATCTATCGATTGTTTTTATGTTGTAGATAATTCATGCTCTCAACCAGAGAGAGACTCGCAATTACAGCATATTCAATATTTGCTGGAAACTCTTCCTGCCTACAGATACAACATGGCCAAGAGCTTGATTTCTTATTTAATAAGATATATTGAGAAGGAGCAAATTTCCATGAAGAATCTTTCGCTTATATGTGACGACTCACAGGTATTTGCCTTTAGTTTCTGTCCCTGTAACTCTTCGGTAAAGATTCCTACACAGAAAAGGTACTTCTGTGAGGCGCTTTACGGTTCCCATATACCTTTAAAAAAAAGCGATCGCGGAAAATCAATCAGTCGAAATTTTGCATTGAATAGAAATCCCCGCTTATACATTCTTTCGCTCCAGTTTTAATTCCAAGGCTATAACTTTAATGTAAAATATTTCGTATATTTGAATGTGATTTTTTTCTTCCAATTTTGAAGCCACTAGAGTTGACTATGCTGTTCTCGTTCCTTATCAAGTACCACGAGAAATTATTCCGGGTTTGTTCTTAGTTTCTTTGCTCGCAACCATTCTTATTTTCACCACCATCTCCTGGGTATTATAAGCAGATCTAAGACTTTGTGTACACGGTAACGTTTTGGAGAGTTCTCATTTTTGTTTTCCTTGCATCCCTTTGCATCATTTAGTTTCTCTTTTCTCTGCAAACACACCGCTGACGCGCCCTTATTTTCTTCTAGGTCTATCGACGTTGTGATGATCTTCCTAGAGATATTTCCAGGCTTGAATTTCCTTCAGATTATCTGGTAGACAATATACGACACGAACCAAGAATAACGCCAGAGTTAGCCAGCATGTTAAATTTATACAGTCAAGGTACAAACTAAATGTGATCTCAAATAGATCTTTGTTTTTGAACTTCCGTATCCCTAATATCCCTTCACTCATTCATATCCCTCATCGAGTGAGCTAAGCATTACTGTATTCTATTTAAAAATTATAAAAATTGTATCTTTCATACGCACCATTTAAAATAACAAGAATATTTTTGTATTTTATTTGTTAGACAGTTTCGAAGAAAAGCAAAGGTCCTTGGCTTCAACGACTTCTGTAGTTTCTACTGATTCAAGTATGCAGTGTATGGTAGACGAGTTCATGGAGATCACACATATTTCAAGAGGTGAAGAATCTCCACATATTCTTCTCTCGATGTGTGCTTTTCTGAGATAAAATACGATATGGGTTTCTTTTTCAGAACTGGCCGTGTGCTTTCTTCAGAAATACGAACAGAACCTGGAGATAGCAGTAAATATTTTTCTAGAAAACTCTTCATCCTTCACTGAAAGCACAGTATCCAGTGGTTCTTGCATAGCAATGGATGTTGATGGCGCTCATGGTGTTGATAGTAACCAGGGTCCTGTGGTAAAGATTTCGTCCCAAATTTGTAGCATGGAAAGTGAGCTGGAAAGTAGCAACTGTAGTAAGTTGAGATACTAAATATTGACTGCAATTTCAGATTAAACCTCAATCATGCACCTCAATAGATCTGGTCAGAGCATTGCACCAAAATGGCATGCTGCAAAAGAATGTGAAAGTATATAATATCTATTTCAGTTGCTCCTGATTAGGTCCACATGATTTATACAAATTACTATTAATTCTCTCGAACATACAAGGTGTCGTTTTTCGTAACCGCTCCTGGTTGGCGCAGCATATAATTTGATTCCTATTTCTAGGTTTACTAGAAAATCCAGACGATTGCCCATCAAGCGCTGGCGTTTTGAACTACAGTATATTGTCTCTACTAATGAAACTAAAGAGTGTTCTTCAGATGACCGTTGCTTCACCCGTGTCACCCCGGTAAGAAATGCTTCATATATATCTGGTTAGACCATTGCATTATAAATTCTGAATACGAAATACATCCTTCGTTGTTTAGGTGCCCTCGAGTTCCAGTCGTGAATGATGGTGTGAAAAAAATAGACAAATTACTGGAGTTAATTTGCTGTTTAAACTCATCGAACGTGGAAGCGGTTGATAAGCTAGAAACGAAATGTTCATTGAGCCCAACCGATGATATTGAGGATCCACTCCTCAAACAAGAGTTAAAGTAGGTGCACACAGAAGAGTACATTCGTAAATATGTCAGGACAAAATATCCTGTTTGGGATTAACTATACAATTCAACTGCAATTAACATCCAACAGTTTGTTAAATAACAATATGTTTCCTACAATGTATTTATTTGCCGCAGTCTTCTACCTTTAGTATCAATACGTACCACTGACCGTTATAAAATACTTGCTTTGTACTAGCCTGGAATGTAGTTTATTCTTTTCGAAATTTGCTTCTTTTCTATTTTCAATCCTGCCCTACTTACTATGAGGACAGCTCTATGCAAATGGAAAGCCTTGATGTTTATTTTAGGAAAAAAAGAGCGGAGGAATCCCGAAAAAGAGCGTTGGATGAATGTCGACGACTGCAGGAGTCTTTCCTTCAAAAGCACTGTCCAGGTGCTGTGAAGTGTGAACTATTTTGACATTGTATTTTTTCGCCTTATGATATTCCTGCCTAATGGTGATAAAAGTTCGTTGACATTTACGTAAATAAGATTCAGTTCATCATCCCAAGGCCACAAATCAGAACTAGCAAAGTACATGTCAAGGGAAATCATATCATCAAGATATTATGTGATTGCATAGGCCGAAAAAGTGGGGGTAACAGGGACCTTGCCCCAATTTGCCAATCTCTGTATGAATTTGTAAGCAATGTTTTCAACCGCAGCACCTGGTCCATTGTTGTATCAGTCTTGGATAAGAATGAACTGACTGTAAGTTAATGTTTTTTTATCAGGTACAAGCCGTGGTGCGGGTGGTGAATTAAGGTTTCCTGAGAGTAAAGTGGAATTATTTGAATGTGCAATATGTAATCAAAGCGTTTCGTCAACTGAAGAAGAACCTGTTGGCTATGTCGCATTCCTTCAATCAGGAACCGGTAAGCACTGAACTTCATGTAAGACACCGTGAAATTAAGAATTTTCTTGGAGACTGGAATAATATTTTTGTTTGCCGAAATGTCTATTTTATAACTGAACAACAAAATATGAAGTGACATTGCGATGTATTTATGTTTTAGTTTTAAAACATCGCAAAAGATCGGACACATCAAAGCCACCATATGTTTCAAATGAAGGATCATCATCTAGTGAATCATCCTGCTGTGGCTCCATTTATTCTGCAAGACGAAAATTTTTGCTAACATATTTTGAAAAGGTAGGTTTGGATATCGCCCTCTCTTACATCCAGAAGAGATAAGAAAAAGATAAGTTATATTTCATGTCCAAATTACCTTATACCCAGAATAAAGCTACTCAAGCATCTGAACTTGGCATTGATGGTGGTGTTCATATTCAATCTTGTGGTCATTGTCTGCACTTGAAATGTCATCACACCTATCTCCAGTCGCTTAAGGTGGGTCATGTGAACCTATTTCTAAAGACGAAGTGGGAAATTCAAAACGTCTATTCCATCAATTTATCTGATGAATTGACTACAATCCGGTTTAATATTTCTTCTAGGACGAGCGGGCCTCGTTTCATCGACACCAACATGTTTATGATGTTACAAAAGAGGAATTTATTTGCCCCGTTTGTCGGCGTTTAGGAAACGCCATTCTGCCAATATTGCCTTCGGAGGTTATGCCACCGATGTATAGCAGGGATAAGGTATTCTTTCTTTTATCAGATGTGCATGGAGAAGTATTTTTCAAAGTATTTCAAAGGTTGATTGTGGTTATCTCTAATGAATATGTTCGTATTTTTAGGCTGTATGTCATGCAGATGTTCTGCGTGAGTTGGAGGCAACGATGCGGAAATCGTGTAATAATGTACGTTTGGTAGAGTATAATATGAAAATTTTAGCCTCTATAGCGTGGCAATTCTTGCCGCATTCGAAATTACGTTCATCGAGCTTTTGAGAGGGAGCAAGTTACTATATTTACACTGACATCCCACAAGTTGGGACGCAGAACTCCGGTGGTCAGATATAGTGTAATGATAATCTCATCATAATCCACACAGGTGAAAGGCTAATGACAATGAGTTGCGTAGAACCTAATCAAACTTTAAAATCCTTCCAGAACTGGACGAGGTTAACGACAAGTGCTCTGCAACCGAGTGTTTTAACCACGTCCGTGACGTTTCTGGTTGACACAATCAATCGCTTAAAATTGAAAGAAGAACATGACAATATGACGATAGCACAACACAAATTTTCACTCATTCTTGAAACCGCCAGGTACACTTTTCATATTTTCCAGTCTTGTTTTACTAATTAGGATGATCATAACTCGACTACAAAGCATTTCAATGACGTAATAGGGTGAAGAAATATGTTGTGAATGTTGGGATGTATTCAAAATGCTGCGTTGCATACGAGCGAAGAGATCTTTCTTGTTAAATGTTCATCATATTTATCATTTTCAATGGTTCTGTAGATCCAACCTTGAAGCAGAACATATCGCAATGCAAGCTGGAAAGTTATCTTCCACAAGAAAACGTTTTTACGGTAATATTCAAATAACTTTTGCCGTTGTATTTTCTCACATCTCGTAGCATTTGGGCGTCAATTATTTAATTTATTTGTAGGTACATTGTTGCAAACTTTGCAATTCCAATGTCAGACGCATGTTCGTCCACTGTGCCACGTCTTTGCGCGTTTGACCGGAAAACCTGTGGAATGTTACGGGAAGTAAGTTAATAAAGTACTGTGTACAAATCTCGGAATACACTGATGACCGTCGCACGCATGGGTTTCTACCGTCCAGAATACGAAACTTGATTGTTTCGATCTAAGAATGTCACTATGCTGGAGTTAAACCGTGAGGTTCTATTTCAGGTCAGACGACGAAATTCCAGGAAAAGACGTGCCTTTGTTGTTATGGGATTGTGTCTGCTTGCTTCTTCAGCTTGTTTTATCCTGGCCAGCTCCACTTAATCTTAGTAAGTACTCCATAAATAAGCGGAGAAAGCGATTTGTCAGAGCAATGCCTTAAATTACACCCTTTTATCGCAGGAAGTTTTCAATGTTTGGTACAGATTGTTTTCAATGTTGTTCTGGTTCAAGTAAGTTACCAAAATAAATGTTGAAATTAGGCTATTGCAGCTTCTAATATTCCAGCGTCATTCGATGGAGTTGTCCTTCAATGTTAATCGATATTTTAACCAATTATATAGGTATGAAGTTTTACCAAAGCTAAAGTAGTACGATTATTGTTTATTTGCTAGGCGTTTGTGAAAACCTTCTGTGCTCTCACTGAAGACGAAAGAAAGTCATGGAAAGTTTGCGCAAAAAAATGCAAGGTATTTTCCAAAATAATACAACATGGTGTGTTCTGTATTGTAACAGCAAACTATCACAGCTCGTTTCCTCCGTTTATCTCGGTTGATTTTACTTGACAGGGAGTTGGTGTTACTCGTTTGGAAACAGACGCATTGATGGGTTACGTTTGTTCGCATTTGGCCGATAGTAAGTTCTGTCGAGCGACAGAGGAATGTCCTGGGGTGAGTCTTGTAGATCGTACTTTTTTTCTTATGGTTAAGAAGGTTGACGCTAGTCAAAATATACCGTATACCGGGGCTTGCAGACACTGGTCTTAGTGCTTCAAAAATGGTGATTCATTTTTCTTTGTTGTAATTTGTAGATATCGCAATCAGTCTGGTCACCTCATTCAGTTGAAACAACTTTACAGAAACGCTGTCTTCCATTCCTACGACTTGTTTCATCTTTGTCGACGTTATGTTACTCTACTGAATGTTCTGTCACACAAGTTAGTTGCCACTTTCATTGTGTAATGTACCCAGTTTAATCAACCGCTGCAACCCTCTTAAGTTTATCACTATTTTTTTCCTAGGATGATGAAAATGAGTTTTTTTTATTAACTCAATCACTGGCTCTTCATAATGAGACTGTACCAAGTCCATCATTCTCCATCACCGATTGTTTCAAATGGTCACATGAAGCGCCTTTAACGTTGATAAAAACTTGGTGTAAACAATTACGTCATGTCTCTCATCGACACGACTCATTTTCTAAGGTAGCTACAAACAGTGAATATAGTGTGAATCCCAACGGAATTTCATAATAACGTTGCATAAGAAGTTAGAGTTACCTGTCGTCAGTGACAGAATTTGCCTACGTCTAAATCTTTGACTACGTCTAAATCTAAATTTTTTTATCTGGAATTTTTCAGTTTGAAATTTCCGTTTAACAAGTACATATCATGCACTACTTCTGTGCACGTTTTTAGGACTTATTTCCAGGAATGGATGAATGGGAAACACCAAGATTAATGGAATTACCTGAACGCTATTGTCTGTAAGTTTGTTAATCGCAGGAAGCAATGCTTTTTATGTCTGTGGAGAATAGACAGAACATCCCCCTGTAAAGTCCACAATCTTTAACCCTCCGAGTTGAAATCTTGCTGCAATACTGGATAGCATTTGGATAGCGCGGCGCCGTTCACATTGTCATTGGATCTTACTGGTTTTACATCTAATTTTCAGTTTATTTCAAACGTATCGCAAGAAATCGTGTGAAATATGCGAGACAATCCCAGAAGAACCAACGTTGTGTTTAGTATGTGGAGCATTCCTTTGTTTACGAGGCAAATGCTGTGAGCGACAAAATACACGTGAATGTGTAAGGGTAAGTTGACCCTCATCTCTTCATACCGGATTTGATCGTAACCTTTCCGCACGCCCACCTTTAAAGGTGAAAACCAAACAATCTTGTTTTTATCCTAGCATTCCCGGCAATATTTTTAGTGTTTATTCAAGACATGTCGAAAGTTTTTCGGTCTTCGAAAATCTTGGAAGTCTTCGAGGTTTCTCGCGTTTCAACCACGAAGTTCGTCTGCACCGCAGCGGGCAGATCACTGTTTTACGGAGAAATTTTATCTTTTCGTTTTAGCACGCAAAGGAGTGTGGTTATGGCACTGCAGTTTTCCTAATATTAATGTCATCGAGCATATTTGTAATCCGTGGTGAGAAAGCAAGTGTCTGGGGCTCAATATACCTCGATGAATTTGGCGAAGAAGACATCGATTTAAGGTCAGTTGAAACTAGTTGAAGCAATGTAATCTTACGGCTTTATTTTTCCCTTACGAAGGCCCTGCGCAAGAGCCTGGTGAACAGTTCTTATGTTAATGTTAATTGACCATAATTACATTTTCAGAAGAGGCAAGCCTTTATTTTTGTGCCGAGATCGCTATATGAAACTTCAAGAACAATGGATTACTCATAATTTTGACAGTATCTGTAAAACATGGCTGCCACATCATAATAATTTGTAAATTATCATGTTGACATATGTAAAAATTGCATAAATATTTGTGTACAGATTTTCCAAAGTTTCTATGACTATGTATTTTATATTTATAAGAGCATAATTTTGCGTGAAAGATGATATATAATTATTAAATGTGAACGAAGCTTACTACGACGTGTCATGTACTTCATTACGTTAATTAAACTGATTAAACTAATACCCGCTGTGCTAAGCCTGCGTTTTAAACGTTTTGGGGGCATTTCTGAGCCATCTTTGGATTTTTTGGAAAACACGGATACCGCACAAGAAATAAGACACGAGAATAAAATTAAAGTGAACTATACATATTTTCATGTGTTCAAAACGAGCAAACTCAGCCTTAAACAACAGCGCTCGCTTGAGTAATAGATGTTTCAACGCTGTGCTTTTTGCCAACAGTACATGCAAGACTGCAATGCAGCTAGGTTTCTAAATTTCCCGGAGAATGTAGTTGCAAGATTTAAATAAATGAGCACCTGTCTGCACCCGCATGGCGTGTGGCCTCTCTCTAACAATTAATGACTTGCCTGAACGTTATTGATCCTTGGTTGACTTGTTTACGACGATGCTTATCTTTCCAGATGACAACGAGTACCACTTAAGAAAAAAATTTAGTTTGTTTCAGTCAATGGCGGAAACCCACGGATTCACTACGGGCTACATAGGCTGAAGCCTACAGACCTGTGATTTCTGGAGTTTTTGTTTGTTTATCGTGCTTCCTATTTTTCTTCTAAATTGAGCATTGAGTACGTAGATGAGCTGATTTCCTTAACCCAGACATTAATTCAGTTTCATGCTAGCTGATTTCTACTTATTAATATTATTGTTACTCTGAGTTAACAATCCGTGGTTAACTCACTGATCGAGAGTCGTTCTTCAATATTTCCCGGCCTGTAGGCGAACATCCCCGGTCTGTTATTAAACCTGCTAATCTGTACTTCTGCCAGCTTGTTGTACCTTGCATTGTCTTGTTTTTCTTTTTTACTTTTGCATTTTCTGCATACCCAAAATAGCTAGACACCAGTGACTTTCAAAGTATTTGGGGAATCCAAGGTATATAACTCCCACACTTGCTGCCAACGATCTAACATCACTGCAATTGTCGATCTTATTGTCGATTTTCACGAACTGCAATTAATGAAAGAGCGAACATTAGTTACAATCACGGAATTCTGGATGGTTTCAACGTTACTACAAGAAATTATGGCTTAACCATATAATGGTATACTACAGATGACATGTATGTTTACGGGAGCGCGCACGCCTTTGTGCTTTATAGTCTCGGTGGTTTCGCGAGACAAATGAACTCCTGTCGATTCGTGTCCGATAAAGAAGATAATTTAAACTAAAGCTACACAGAGTCCAAATGGTATTGTAAAACACCATTATACAGGCAAAAGTTTAAGGGCTTACACATTTAAAACAAGACGAAGGCTCACGAAGCTTTAGCTATGTCAAGACACTCAGATCTTTAGGAAGTGAATATGTTAAGCCAGAACCTTAACATTAAACAAAGCACGACCTAAACACAACTAATATATCAAACATCACTCACGTTTGCTTTAGGTGAGCAAACGGCCATAATATGAGGGTTTTATTTGAGCTTCTTTCTTTATAAATGTACCGGTCGTTCGATACCACATCTTGGCACAGCGAAAATCGAGTTTCAGTTATTCAGACTCGCCTCGCAAATTAGAACCATTCCTCTTCTTCCTATTGGTCAAATTGTTTCATTCGAACATTGGTCGGATGGTCATACACAAAAGACAATCCAATCTTAAATGATCATAAGGGTGATTAAGGGTGATCGTAACTTCTGAAAATATTAGCCTCAAATAAATAAAGACACCTGGACGCAAATGAATGCACGGTAGATTAAATTTCCGAATTGACCAGAAGAACACAAATTCGCACTAACGGTACCTTGCAGTTTTGACAATCAACCCAACCCTATACACATTTCAGCTTCCCTTTTTAAAAAAGTGAAACGGTTGATGTTTTAGAAAAAGAGCTATGTACATATAAATATAGAACTACATTATAATACTTCTTTTTGAACAATACGTCACGAGTACGATATTGGCCTACTATCCCCGCTCTCCAGGTAAGGTGAATTGACTCCCATGCCTACTGACGTATACATGATGTTTTGTAAGAGGCGATATAAAAAAATGAATGCGCATTACTGATGTTCAGAATTCAAATTTTGAGTACGCTCGCCACCATCCTGGGTACACCAGATTCTGATTGGCTAGATGTGCTCCAGATCTATATATAATCCAGTAAACATGACTAGCCTGGATTCCAGATTTATTCATATTAAAGAAAGTTTCAAACTTTTTCAAGGCTTTTCTCCACGAATTTGTCAAAGTTTTTCATTTCTTTTAAGTACTCCTGCACCATTTCTTGCAATATCTGCGGATACAAACTTTCTAATTTCATCGTTTTCTCGTGGTTACTAACACATGTTTCAACCAAGTTTTTCACAAAATTCTCACAAAATACTTGGCATATATTACGTTCCTACCAAAGATGGAAAATTATAACGTCAGATTACGTCCACGTGCCAGATGCAGAGTGTTCGATACGAAATTTAGTCTCTTTTTGTGAACCGGGTTCAAGGTTACTAAGCGATGGGATTTTGATGAGGCCAAAAACTTAATAAATAAATAATAATGAGTTAATAAATTATAAAGTAGTACAATACCGTTTTAGCGTTTTCTACCATTTGAGGAGATCTATACAGTAAACCTGCACGTCCCAGACCTTCATTCGACAAGGTACTATCAAGAGAGAATAATAAAGACTGTTTACACGAGTTATTGCTGCAATTATCGTCTTTTTGATGGATTCTAACAAATGGAATTGGTCGATGAAAATAACCATAATGCCCAACTGTTAGATGTTTGTGTGAATAATACGCGCTGAAATAAGAGGTTTTGCACGCTTTTAGTAAAATGATAGTCGTTACCGTTCATGTTTCCCTTCAGATTTCTTGGCCTTCTCTGAATCGAGAACTGCTTGCCGTTTTCTAGAACACAGTATTTACAAGAAATCATATTTGTTGATGAGCCCCTAATTAGGGCGAAACAGCTGTCAACAGCTTTCGATAGTAAGATCAAGCACTATCAGCTCAGTCAAAATTGTGACACAATTTTAATAATTTCACTAACACCTATCCACCTACTATACCACCATAATAGCATTGATACCATTTCACCATAACACAATTTCAATAGCATTATTAGCTCACCTATTATCACCAAGTAGAGACAGAAGTCGAGACTGCGGAAGATTTGAAGTCGTGAAATGAGACAACGTCCCAAATAATTTCTCTGCTTTAACAATATCTTCGCCCGTGATCTATTCGTACGGGAAGTTGAAAAATCAGTTGATTGCAACTTCATGTATAGCGAAAATAAAACAGTAGAAACTAGGTTTATATCAGTCAATGCTTTCGACATTTCGTCCTAAACTGTCAACGTAAAGCTGTTATATACAATACCTCCATATCATTCAAGTGATGTAGAGATAGATGCGCTAGCCGAAATAGCGTGTACGGTTTCCAGAGATGAAAGTATGTTACTGGATTATCATCACTGATCGTCAAACATTCCAGATGCTTGACCACGGCCAGGGCATTAATTTGTGGTAAACTCTTAATGTTTGTATTAGAAAATACCAGATTCTAAAAAAAACGGAACAAATGTGGATAATCAGCTTCGTCAAGGGGAACATGTGTATAGAAATTTAGATCTGTATTGTATTCGCGCACAATCTGTGATCTTTATTCACTTTAATAAGGGGCTGTTTACATGAGCCCGGTTACCCGAGATTCAACAAAGCGTGAGATGATGTTGAGGTATTGAAATGAGCAGATAACATGATCCTGGCAGTCGTATAATCACCACAACAATAGCATGTGTTTGTCTGGTGTCATAAAGACTAATTTCAATACCTCAAAGTCCTCTCACGCTTTGTAGAATCTTGGCTAACCGGGCTCACAGCATGTAAACAGCCCCTTTAAGGGTAAAGAACTTGCATGGTAATGAAGTGTATTGTTCATGCAGGTACAAAAACAGGTGAATAACACGGTAATTTGCCGTCTCGTGGTGGGATGAAATTGAAAACGTAGACGCAAAAGCAACTGATCTGTAAACCCAAAATTGATATCGACTTTGGTTACAAGTGTAAAAAAACATGCACTTTCTACCCAGTCAGAAACACTATTATAAATCCACCTGTACAACTGGAAATTTAATTTGTATCTTCCCAAGATGTGGCACGATATCATCAAAATCAATGAACTTGAACACGACATTAGTGACGGTATTAGCAGCTTGCTGTCCCCAGTTACGGTCCAGCGCATCTAATGAACCAGGACCGTATAGATATAACGTCTCCCCTTCCAGTTCAGCAAGATGACAGATGGTTGAGTCAGACACTCCTTCCAGTTGACTATAAAAGAATATCACGTCTAAGTAGCTATATATAATAATTGATGGATAGAAGGGCCTTCTATCCAATAGAAGGGGTCAGAATGTGGGTAAGAGAGTTGCCCTAATCGGGAAGGAGGGATTTTAGTGAAAAATGCATGAGAGGGAAACGGGAACCCATGAATGCGGAGAACATGGTGTATACATTACTACAAGTGCAACATAACTATAAACAACACGAGAGCAGCACTAATTCTTGGGTGCCAGAAGATACCGGATAATACTCTCATCAATAAATTATCATAATTTCATCATATATTCAATTAATATACCTCAACGTTTCTGTCGCGGATGTTTTGTCGTCCAGTGAGGATTTACTATAAAAACGGTCAAAAAACGAAATTATTAAATTAATTGACTGGTTTCAGTCATTTGCCTCATTCATTGTGCGCTATACTATATGAGCAATGTGCGCTCAATTTGACAAACGACTTTAAGTTTAGGTAATACTGTTTCACGAGTTTCATATTTTATCATAATTAGGTTGAGCATCATGAAATATTAGGCAATTTTACAAGTTACGAGAGATGGTAGAAGTATACGCCAGTCACCTGTTTACACTGCCTGGAGAATCAACATGAAACATCTCCCATTGTTTTTGAGCATTGTTTATCGCCATCCTTTTCTTTTCCTGGAGAGATAAAAAAATTGCTTCAACAAGACAATTTGACAGACTATACAAAATCTTCTAAGCGGACGCACGCGAGTGAGGTCGCGAGCGATACCACGGGAGAACCTTGAGAGCTACGAGTATACAACACAAGTTTATATATAGATAATTCTTTCAAAGTCTTATATTATTCTGACATCATGCTGAGGATTAAACGTACAGTATGTTTGTTATTGTAAAGGTAAACGTACAGTGTTTGTTATTGTAAGGATATATGCTATTTCCTTTCACATGAATTCAAGACGTGATTGTTCGTATAATCTAAAATCAATTGTTTTAGCTATATATAGTTTCATTCCACACCGCGATCAACTCTTATCTCCTGATTTACCTTAATATGCGTAATTCTTCCCTGTTCTTTCTTTCTGTCGTCTTCTTTCTTCGAAATCACATTTGCCAGTCTCTTCTCTTCTTCCTGTCACAGTAAGACATCCGGTTAACGTACATAGTACCCGTACTACAGGTTGACAATGGAAGTTTGACGATCACGAGTTTGCATCGTGATTAACAAATTCACCCGCGAAAACAACATTGTTTGTACACCATGAACAGGCGTATGGACTGTATAAGCAACTTACTGTTATTCTTCTCATATCAAATTGACGAAGATTTGGAACATTTCTCAAAACACAATGTTTATAAGACACTTCCAGTGAAAATGGATTTCCATCGATTGACAATTCTGAAAGTGCATTGCATTGTGAAAGACATCTAATGTCATCAAAACTATAAACAAAAGATGGTGAACAGTTAGGTTGGAGTGAGCAATGGAAACGTGTTGGATAAATAATGATCAACAGAAAGTTTATTTTATATTTTGATATAGCAATGTAATTAATTATTGTTTACTGCCCCTTATTTCTTCAATGTGACCACCTACGTCACCTCATTTTGCGCATTACCAAGAGAAAACTCTACTCCTATTTACACCCAATACGTCATCTGATTGGCATTTTCATTTAAAAAAAACTTACACACCTTTGAATTGAGTTGAAACTCAGAAAAAGCCTTTGTAAATTGGGAAGTTGATCTATCTCCGACTATAAAAATATAAAAAAGCAATGAAAAACATCAGTTGGTAAGACGAAATTGTCTCCCGAGATTAAAATGACATGCACGTGCATGGGATTGGGTGTAGAATGATTAAATTATTAACTTACCACAGAAACAATTTTATTTCTTCTCAAATTTAATTCGGCCAATGCTTGCATACCGTGCAGATTTCGAACCACAGAAATGTCATTCCCAGCAAGATTTAGTACTCTCAACTCCGACAGATGATTTAGATTGTCAATGCTTGAAAGCTAGTTAACAGTAATAGAATTAGTTATATCACCTTCAATGCAACAAATTTGCATACGTATGGGAATAAGCAAAATTGTAATGTGAAAATTGACGAAAATTACCTTGTTTCCATGGAGATCCAATACGTCCAGTTTAGTTAACGCATCTAAATTTTCTATTTTCCGTATTCTGTAAGAATAGAAAAATTTGGACTTTCGGTAGTTTATTTATAATACAGTACACTTATACTTTCATTGAGAGCATTTTATGCATATATATATCTATGGTTAAAACATCCACTTGCAATATAGGCTACCTATTTTTTCCAAGCATCAGAACTCTCAGTGATTTCAGAGACGACAAGCCGGATATGCACTCCAAGTGATTATCATAAAAGTCGAGAAATATCAATCTCTTTAGCTGAGATATATTTTCAATCTTGGATATCATATTATGTTGAAAGTTCAAAAGTCGAACGTGATCTTCGCCTTCCAATATTGGACACACGTTTAATTTCCTCCTAAAAGAACAAAAAAACCCAAAAAAATACAACTTGAATAAGATATGAACGAATCTATTGCTTTCAAGTGTTGGATAATCCTGTAATCGAGTTAATATTAAAATATAAACGAAAAACTAAAATCGGAATGCAGATGCAGTTCAATCACTTGAACGTGATCTTAAACAACGCTCAATTATTGGTAATTATTTTTTTACCCCTCTTTCAGTTAAATCAGTGTAATTTCGATAACAAATAGGATTCTTCAATAGCTTCATTTTTGTATACAGCAAAACGTAAAGCATTTTTGCTCATAACTAAGAAAAACTAAAAAGTGCTCTCCCCGGAGTTAGCCTTCCAGTTGACCTATATTGTCATAAGGAGATTGAAAATTTATACCTGTCTAGATTAAGACGATCTGGATTGGTATGGCGATCTTCGGGTAAACGATATACAACAGGAACGCCTGGGGCGGAGGCTGTTTCAGTAAACAATACACGATCACCTACAAATAACATATTGTTTATTTATGATAATTGTGTATTTGCCCATGGGAAGGTTTTTGGAGAACAATCCTATTAACAAAAGGTTGCTGACAGGCGTTAAAATTAAGATGTTTTGGGGCAATTTTCTTTCTTTTAGACGTTATAGTGACCCCGGCCGTAGAACCAAAGACACCTGCTCAATATATTCCTCGTTTATAGTACACTACACATAAATTTCTAGACATCTTTGCAGTATACACAAACATAAGGAAGAGGCTGAATACGCAGTACATTCCAGTCCACCTTTGAGATCAGGCCCTATTAACTACAACTCCACAACAAATGCAACAATAAATCCTCACACTCGACTGAAATAGTACCTACGTAGAAATACATTTGTTATATAAATTCTATTGAACCAAGTCTAGTATACATTTGCATACCAAGAGAAATGTCAGTCCTTGTCACTAAATGGCTAGACTGAATAGCTGGAAGCTTTTCCATCGGATCACCTTTTTTCATCGGATCACATAAACTCGGAAAATATTTCGTAGCATCCAAATTCAAATAACACCTGGAGAAGATTTCCGTGCATCCGATATCTATTCGAAGTTCAACATTTACTCCACGAATACAAACACTACGTCCTTATTGATAACTGCATGTCATTTATTATTTATAAATGTGGTAATTTGCACGAATTAATTCATAACGTTTGCGCCTGACAGGTTCATGAATAAATATAAATAATTATTCTACGACACCTGTTTTCGTGGGAAAAAAATGAGGGAAAATGAGGTTTAAGATATGAAAAGCTCACTACGGGATCGCCCATCCGTTGTCTTCCGTTTAAACGGGATTAATGAGACTAGGTGTTAGTTCTTTACAACCGAATTGTCAGGTAATTAGCTTTACTGTCCAGTGATTTTTTTTTTTAGTAACTAGAGTGATAAAGTTTTCCACATCTCTTTGAATAGGCTCTTAAAAATAGAAAACGAGGCCACACAGCCTGACAGCCATGCATTTCTTTGAAATTGGCCATAATGGTATTACCAACCAGTTATTTAGGAATTATATTAGGGGAATATAAAAAGAAAAAGGAGCAATTTGGGGATCAACCTCGCAAGCTAACGCAGGGATTACTTTGTATCCAAAGACTCATTACGTTTTCCAGCATTAATCAAAAATTAAGTTAATTTCATGTGACTCTTGCAATGGTTTTCAAATCAGTGGAATGAAATTGCAGGCGGAGGTTTTCAAAATGGTCCCCAGTTTTGAAGATGTATTATAATGTGAAAAAAAAAGAACAATTGAACACTTTTAAAACCATTAAACATTTATCGCTAATCCGAATTCTACCAGAAAAGGTTAAACTGAAATAATAGTTGGTGTAAACTCCCCTGTTAAATCGACATTTTGGCTTCCAGTGACTCGACATACATTTCTAGTACATAACTTTATAGTATAACATTTATAATACGTGCGTGCTGATTGGTCGAGAAGCGTGTTTCTATAACAGTATAGAAACACAAGAAACACGGGAATTTGCCCGCCGAACTTGACAAGCGAAGCGATGTAATGAAAAATTGTAATTGAATCGAATTATAATATTTGTACAAAATCTTTTTATTGAGTTATATTGTAAAAGAAATAGAAAATATTTTTTCCTGTGTTTCTATACAGTTATAGAAACACTGGGAGTTTGGGAGAACTCGAAATAACGTGCTGTAATAATCCCACTGATTATTTCTCGTTCTCCCAAACTCCCACGCGTGTTTCTATAACCGTAATTTGTAGAAACGTTCACAGCAAGCAGACGTAGGCTACATAAAAATGATATTAGTATACAGTACCTGGCAATTGTAAATCACTAAAATGTTTATCTTGATTGTTAACGGTGCTATTGTTGGTTCGCTGAGGTAGTTTTACACCGCTATCCTTGTGCTTGATATTGGCAGCCAATGAGAAACTATCAGTCATACTGGCGGGAACAGGATGCAAGATCTGTCTTTGTACTCTATTTAGATCATGAAATGTCTGCGTATTTTGACGTACAAGCTCAGGTGCCTCAGAGCTCTGAACAATGCTAGACTCTAAAATTCGAGAGAATTAAATCAAAATTCAGTTTCTTACTGCGTCAGTATTCCGTCTGAAATACGGCGCCTTATTAATTTAGCCTATTTTTAGTAGCTAAAAGTTTCAAATCAATATCGGTAATTATCAAAACATTAATCGGCACTAATCGGTACAAAAGAGAAGATACCGACAAAAGACTGCATAGTGACGTAAATAATACTACACGACTAACACCGAAAAGATTTGTCAATTGAGATAGGTTTTTTTCGAAGGGTTATATAGTATTGTAGGCTTGTAGCTGTAGTTCGCATGCGAGTAGTTTCATCGACCTGGTTTCATTTATGGTCCCTTTTGGGCTACGTTTTTCGCGCGTTGAACTGACATGATACTTAACAAAACACAACCCTGAATGCACATACCTGTTATCTCAAGTAGATGAAAATATACTATTGCAAAAGTACTATTGCAAAACACTTATTATTGACTCCAAACCAGCGAGGCTTAATATCACTTAGTTGTGTTTATTGTACATGAATAATTAAATATACAATTAAATAATTGCATCCAATCAAATTTCCTAGAAACGTGACATGTATACCCACGTAAATCCTATAGTAAACACTAATTATAAAACACTATTGTGGTTGTAACTCCTCCATTAGACCCTGTTTACCTAGTTTGCATTCTTAGGATGGATCTTGAAAGTTTAACACAACACTTGTAGTCAAGCCGGCATTAACACTGGGGATCAAAGCTGTTTTTTACTGGGATAGATTAACTACGTGGGTGTGGGGAATGTACTCCTGGCAAGTGCAGGAATGGTCCACTCTTCGTTATAGGTGATATATAATAGCATACCCACCATTTTCTGTACTTGGTGAAATCCTGAATCTTGCTGAACAATGAATAATTGGATTGGATACGGAAGGGGTTATCAAAAAATCATTTTCTTGTACAGTTTTTCTTTCTCCAGAATTCTAAAAAAATATTCCGAACAAATCAAACTCTGATAACCTTGCTAAGATGCATTTTGGATATCCATGTTAAATAATTTAGTACAGTATTGTACCAGCTTAGATCGAAACAGAATGGGGTATCTAGACCCCATTCAACCTGACAACAATTTGAGAGTTACTGATGTCAAGGTAATATAAGCATCTACAACTTTCATATAAACAATGCGCTTCTATTTTACAAATTAAGCCACTGGGCTAGAGGAATGCATTCATTTATCAATTTATCATTTATCCCGGGCCGTAACTAGAACGATAATTGGGGGGGTGTTTATTCATATATTAATTTAGTTCTGCCCGACGGGTTTCTTTTGTAAGTGCAATAGCTCACAATGGAAATCCGTCGGGCAGAACTGAATCTATGAATAAACACCCCCCCAATTATTGTTCTAGTTACGGCCCTGCATTTATCATTAAAGGTACATAAATAATGTAAATTAGAGATCTAGCCTATACCTGTCTTGGAGTTGGCCTTTCATTCACTGTAGTTGCATGCGCTTGAAAACTATAATGCAGACCTAGATTGCCAGACTGAGAAGAGTGAAATGTAATTATTATTATAAAGCAACTTTTGGGTGAAAAGGGAAAAGGGGGAAAAGTCAGGTGTGAATTTGTGTGCATTTTTAGGGGAGTCATGCATTGTGAATTGTTACTTGGTTAAAGCTCAAAGACCACTTAATTGGTTCAACTTATCTCCAGAGACTTTCATCTTTGACAAAGAAGAAAAAAAGGTAGTGGATAATTGGCTCCTGGAACAAGTTGCAAGTATATTGAACAAATATATTGCTTGTTAATGCATAAAGTTTAGCGGGTGCATAACTGCATTAGTGATTACCATCAACAAGGTTTAATCTTATGAACTATAGTATATTACTAATCTTTCACTAGACAAATTTTGTTGGATGCTCCTAAACAGTTTCTCTCTTCTTTCTATATTGGTGTTAATATATATGATTCAAAGAAGCTCCTTTGCGTGCATCAGAAAACAAAAAATATCAGTCAGCCAACTAGGGAAAGTTAATAGGGTGGGAAAGAGCCGTGTCACGATTTGACAATTTATTGTGAACCTCTTACAACTTACGTCTTTCTGAACGACGCGGCCAGATTTTGATGTTTTGCTTGGATAATGAAACATGCTTCTTCAAATCCAAATATTAGATATGGTTTTAAAAAACATTTCTATGGAAACTGGCGCCCTATGCGGCGGCCATGTTGTTTAGACATTGTACAAACTCGTCACTGCTCGTGGTAAGATCGTGATATGTTCGGATCTAGTATGGCTTAGTTCCTCAGGGCGTGATCTTTCTTAAATACAGCCCGGTTTAGGAGTTCGGTTCTTTTATTAAGAAGTTTCAACTTTCAACACCAGTGAACTTTGCAGGTACAGGCTATTGTTCCATACCCGAACGCAACCTCGCAAGACTCGGGATGGGTGTAGGCAGAAAACCTGGCTTGTCAGGACTAGTAACTTGCAACAGGATGAAGTTGTTGCATGATTATGGCCACACAATTTTGAATTATGCATAGCGTGTATGGCCAAAGTTGTTAAGTCAGGCAAGAGGCTAGTTACATTGAATAGGTTTTCAAGAAACTTTTTCTAGTTCAAGAGGTTTTTATTTCCAAATCTTAAACAGAACAACCATACAGGAATACACAAAACAGGGACGACAAACACCACACTCGCAGGAGCCGTTTTCAAACAATGTTTTATTTTCATTAAACTTTCAAGACGCCAAAATGAATTGATAACCACAAAATGCTGCAACCTTTGCCAGAGAAGCTAACTTCAACAACGCGTTCTTTTTACGTATTGAATAACCATAAACATTGTGACTGGTTTTAGGTCAAGTAAACTCGAATCCTAACTGTATTTCTTAAATGAATGAAGAATTTTTCGAAAGTTTGTCGTTGATAGTGAAATGAATAAAAGTGATTAAAAATATACTGCGCTATTTTCTGATTAGCTATATACTGAAATCAGCATTTCTTGCAAAGCACAGCAAAATTTAACTGTATTTCAACCATGAAATCAGTTTTGTGTATGTTCGATTGCAAATTAATAAAAAAATTTTCACAGGTTACAAAAGTCAAAGTTCGTTTGCCATCTGTGTTTTGTCATATAAACTTTATTGGCCAATTCGAACCAAATATTTTATTGGAGTACAAATGCAGTACTCAGGTTGACTAAAGACCGTTTTATTGTACTGTTCATCGATTATATTATATTGTTCACAGCATGTTTCCATTGTTACTAGTATACGCATGAATAGGATTATTATTATTACTACCATGTTTTCTTTTCATTATTATTATTAAGTCGTGGAGGCTTGGTATCAAAGAATATTTCAATAGCTCGTTTGAAACAGAACATCATTGACCAGCCGGTCTCTGCCTGAATATCTCGAGCCTGTTGCTTCATAATGGACACAAGCAGACCCAGACCTTGGAAAAATCCAATCACCTAAATCGATAAAACATAGTGGTCATTAATTTGATGCTAAAACTGACTTACAAGTTTTTACTATACATGCAAAGATAATTTACTTGATTTACTGAAGGTTATTTTTACTAAATTATGCAGTTTACAAAATTTAAAAAAATAGCGACATTTCACAGCACAGCATCACGCGATATAACTATAGCGGTCCTGCGGCATGGGAACAGTTTCCCCGCGGACTCCGCCCCTAAACGTCTCTGAATGTGTATAGCCTTTTGAATGTCATTAAAGATTATAACCGGGCCACGTTAAACGTTGTGCAATATGAAAAGACAAGAAAATACCTTCATAGCTCCAAGTAATCCCCCATACATTGCACCAGCGACAGCCGGGGTCCACGCATCCTGACCGGCCATATATAGATTTGTAATTTCGGTATCTGGTCTCATGATCCACCTTGAATTATCACGATTAGTGAATTCTAAATTACACCTCGTACCATAGGAGCCTCCGCGGTAGGATTGCAGGAAGTTCGAGTCGGAGATTGGAGTCCCGCATTCATACCACAACACCTTGCCTTTGACCTGAGGTACCTTAACAAAAAATAGACGGGACATTAGAGTTAATGTACGTACACGTAATATACTGTAAGTGACCTCTCGAAAACTGATTATTTTCTGGACATTACGAATCTGACTTCCTCAAGTATCTGACTTCCTCACAACATTACCACAAAATGAAAAATTTCACAGTATCAAGGAGTGAAAGTACAAAATAAGCGAAAGTTCTTGAAGAAATTACGAGGGATATTTGAAAGAAACAAGCAAGAGTGCAGCCTCGTTAAATTTTTTTGAAATTCTTACTTTCTCGTACAAAATCTCCAACAGTTTTTGAGCGAACTTCTCCTTGTATTCATCGTAACTATCACCTCTCTTATGCGTTCGTAAATTCTGCCACTCTTCAAACCATTCATACTTTGCATCAGAAATGAGAATACAATTGGATATTCCTGGAAAGCGCTCTTTCCACGTCGGATCCTACATCGAAGAAGTTAAAGCATGAAAATCAAGGTCAATCAATCATTTTTTGCAGGTCGACAGGGGCAGTAATGGGGCGATTGAAGAAACAACAACGAGACATGATGAAGAGGAATTGTGCATAACCATTTTCAGTCACTGATTCAGACTGCATGTTATATTTGATTGCACCTATGGTATTCTCCAAGTGGTCTAGGAGAGAATATATATATATATATATATATATATATATATATATATATATATATATTAATATATATATATATATATACCCTGTCAAGTTAAAGTAACTTCATGATCATGGTAGCGAAACACGAGATCAACTAATCTGTTTCGTAAAATTTGCCGGTCTATCTTATAAATAAATCGAAAATGCAATGTTAAATCCTTAAATAATACCTTTGTACAGGGAAATCCTAGATAACACGTTGGCGGACGATGCTCGGTGGGATTTTCAAAATATTTATCAAAACATTCATCAGTATTATAGCCATTAAAGTACCATGTATTTGTTACAGGAATACCAATTTCGTCAGCGTCACCTGAAGACATTTTATTACAATTTGATTAATTAATATTTTAATTATGAATAATGTTATGATAATTATGATTATAGTACCTTTAATTGCAACGAACAAATAATTGTGCCCGTAAGATGGTATAGTTTTGTTCGTGCTTTTAAAATCTTGAACAACCGGCAAATCTTGAGGCAACAGCTTGTTGTACAAATTATGCATTCCAGTTGCATTAATTATGATAGGCGCATAAATTTCCGTCATTTCAGGTTTCTCGTCCTTCGGTTTACCGCTTTCCAACGACGACGACTTGCAAACACGAACACCGATCGCTTTATTATCTTTCACGATGATTTCATTCACATGGGCATTCACAAAACATTCCCCACCATGTTCATACACAATCTACAAGAAACAAATTATGTGGTTTAAAATAACATTGTTTAGGTGAAGGATGGGAGTACTAGAACAGCATGCATCATTCAATACCACTTCCCAAATAAGGTTGATGATCTTTCAAGCCGTCATTACTACGTTCACACGCACTCGAGTCAACGGGCGTATGAGGACGACCCGCTACATACCTTTGCACAAGAGTTTGCGATAGTTTGCGTCTGTCCATGGGTATAAGCTGCACCATTGATATAGTAAAACGCAGTGAGAGAATGAGCAATAACAGAAGAGTCACTTGGTTGACATGCGTAATCTCCAAGAGGATGCACCATTACACCTACACAATAAAGTTTCACTGTTATTTATTTTACACAAGAAATGACCATCTTACAAGCCTGTCCCGTTTCACAATGATGTGCGAATGCTATTTTCTCGAAAGACTTCGAAATTTAGAATATTCGTCTTCAAGGTGCTAAATGCTTGGTACTTTCAAGGTTGGTATTGTTCTACAACAAATATGCAGTAGCGTCGTCGTCACCTTTCAATCGGTTCCAGGTGTTTGGTAAGTCGACTTCAAGAGTTTCAGGTAATTTCTTCTCAGCTAAGACTTCTTCTTGACTAAAACCATGTTGCAACATTGCGTTCAATACATACCCCGTTGTTAATTTACCAAACCTATAATACGGTTCAGTTAACGTATACAACAGTCCTTCCAACCATCTCGGACACATGCGCACCAGCCACATATTGATTATGGTTTTACGAGCTTCATGACAAAACGACAGGAATGCGTTGAGGCGTTTCACAACTAAAGGTTCATTAGGGTTAATTTGGGATGAAATCTCCTGGACGAGGCGTTCCCTTCCACACACGAAATCATAGCTATCGTTATTGGGGCAACCAGGATCGACGTTAGGATCATATGGGAGGACTAGGTGATCATAAGGATCGCCCAAATCATTCCACTTCGCATTTCCACCAGTAACGAATTTCATGACAGCTCCAGATCGAGCACAGGGCATTGACATATCAACAGCCGTGTAATGACAGCCTACGCAAAGAAAATAGCTTTAAAGTATTGATAGGCCAGAGGATCCCGGCAATTACCGAGGACAAAGTGGCAATTCAGATACTTGACTTAGCTCTACACGATAAATACTTTAAAAGGGAAAGTCGACCTTCGACCTTGTTTGGTAGGATGAAATACTTTTGTAGTTTTTGTCGATCAGGATATTATTTACGGGTCATAAATGTCCATAATTATGAAGTTGTATTAAAGAGGTAGGGGCCAACCGCTACCAGTGTTGGGCATTGGAAGAATCAGAGACTGTATACGGGGTAAATACATGGTCGTAAACTTACCGGTATCAAATTCACAAGTAGTATGACCTTCTTCATACATGTTCTGTCGAGACCATGAGAATGTGTGCGTACATCCCCCTAACTTGTCATGATGTTCCAATACAAGAACTTTCTTGCCATATTTACTCAGAATTGACGCCGCCGCTCCTCCGCCCATTCCGGAACCAATGATAATTACATCAAGATCTTTGGGGACTTTAGATGGAATAAACCGACTCTTGGCGTACAAATCTTCATTCTCAGGTGCTTTTCTTACTATCTTATCGTCCGGAGGTGTGATGAGAAACCAGAAAAATAAGATGATAGCTGCCGCAACCACGAGTGTCCATATCAGTAGTTCAAGTATCATCCTGCTGATAATCCTGTGAATACACAAGTATCTAACTTTAACAGCTATTTAGTGTCTGTAGACAAGGACGCTGGAATCTCAGCAGGGATAATTTTTCTCGCCGCTTTTCCTTGTTTTTCGTATGAAGATGCTTTTAATACTTAATCATGTCAACAAAGGCGTGGTTTGCGGCTTCTTAAATCGGAAAGTAAATGCTTTCTGCGTTACAATTCAATTGTCTTATTAAAATTTGCGGTGATCTATAGGACAATCACAAAAAAATGAAGAAGTAAAGAGGTTTTTATAGGGGTGTCTGGAATGGAAACATGCAAATCATAACAAACGCGTCTGCGCACGAGGCGCTCCCGCCTTAGCAAATCTTCGTTACACATTGAGGAAACTTATAAAAGGAGCTCCGTAGAACAATGAGATTTTATCGTCAATTTTAAGTCAAATTTTATAAGCAAAAACACTTTTACGCTTTGAACGAAAAACCACAAAAATGCTTTTACATGCAAACAATCCTGCTCGCGGCATTTTATCATTCAACTTTAATAATTGGCATGTTCAGACGTCTGCTTGCAGTTTGTGACCTAAATTAATATTATTTTGTAGGGGGTGTCAGAGTAAAAAACATGTCAGGCAACTTACTAAAGCTTGAATTCGTCAATAAATAATTGAAAGAGAGTTTTCAAAGCACTGAAAACTCGGTCAATACCAGTCTTATTTTATTTACAGTTATTATCTCTACTCGTACTCCTTTATATTGGTTTATTGTAATTGTTTCAGTTGTATTCGTTATAATTTGACAGTCTTATTAAAGTCGATATACATGCATCCTGTTCTGACTTTTGGGTTTCGCTTCGATCAAAGTAACAGCGCCCTCTTTATTGGAAGCTGCGGCAGCTACAGATACCGCAATACGAAATAATACGAATTCTTGATAGGGAGACTTACGATTAATGGGCTAGTGACAAAACAGAATCAAAATAGCCAAGGTAAACTGACGAAATCACTTAAAAAAGGTTTATAAAATACTAAAAAACAGAAAACATTTCTTCTGTCACTGTCAGTATGATTGTTACAGGCGACGTCCACCCCGAATATAAGCCAGGAAAAGACAAATAACTTGTTGTAATGTTGTTTCATGTTTTTGTTCTCGTTCAAGGAAAGTTATAGATTTGTACTGTGTGTACAATAAAACGTTCGCCCAATTACCGGCTAACAATGAATAGAATGAAACAATGAGTCTCGTGTTCGGACACTTCATCATGATTGCCTTTGAACTTTACCTCTGTTTTTGGAATATCTCTCAGATTTCATTACCAAGGAACTTGAGACAAGCGGATTGTCTATTCTCTAGTTGCATTAAGGGATAGGGCAAAAAGTTTTGATTTTGTTTTGCAAGACAATCAAACGGAGAAATGTTCTCGAGCACAAATTTCGGTGATTTTTTTTCATCTTCTAGCATCGCTTAAAAACTTTGAGCCTGCATGTAGCCGCCTCGTAGATTTGGCCTTTTGAACTCACTAATGGCATTTGTTGAACGCCAAACTCATATGGATCCCAGGCTGACAATCCGAACATATTTCGCAGCAGTGACAACACTAATATTACATTTCACCTGCGGGTGGGGAGCAGTGTATTCTTCCCATAGTTACAATGCTACATTAGGAGGGAAATCGCCCTTTTCCAGTGGAAGTCATTTAGTGGCACTGTGGCACTTCTCGGCATTTTTTACTCTGGACCACCGGGCTGAATCCCCGTTGTTTCTTACGTAAATACGCTCATTACAGTGCCATGACGATTAATCTCGTGCTCACGTCAACTGATCATGGATTTATTAATTCTTTTATCGCATCCGAACGCATATTTTGTAATTTTGTATAGCCTGTAGAGTATTTCACTTGAATTGTGTTCTAATAAAACGTATACTGATTAGTCCACTGTTCCCAGGTTAAACAAAATTGGTGAAAAGTAGTACTTTGTAAACTCATTAAAATTGGGAAGTCTATAGTTACTGAAATCATTCGCTTGCTCGACAAAAGATTATCTCTTGCATGCATGTCAGTATTGTGCTTGGTATGATATGACTCGTTTCTATGTCCAGCGTAGAAAATTTCGGGCAGGTTTGACGAGTTATTGCATGTATTTGACTGACTGTTTTCGTTTGGTCGACACCTGTCGCTATATAGGGATAATTGGTAGATGTAAAATAGTTTGAATCTAGCCTTTTGTGTAGGATATGCAAATCAGTCTTCACCAATAGCAATCAGACAGACAAAGACATGACAACACTCTTTTACATCCACTAGTTGTCGTAGTAGTGACAAACAATAAATTGAAATAATGGGAACTCTGTCTGCGGTAATCTGGAGGAATATATTGCGTAAACCACTGAGTATTGTTATGAAATACAAAACAACGGTAAATCCGAATAATGTCAGCATTTTTCAATGACTAGATAAAGTCGAAACGTAAAATAAAAAAGCTTACATCATTTACGGTTACGTTGTTATGTATTTTGTGGAATCAAATATTTGCAAAGTTCTAACTTCGAAGTAATAGCTTAAATTTCGTGTCGTTAAACGTAATTAAACGCACGTGGTTTGAGGTAATCTAAAGATCTTCATACGTTTATTCAAAGTAGATATATAAAGAATGTTGTAAAGACAGTCAGTGAAGCATTAAAATAGGATCAAAGTACAGTGATTGCATGGCAGAGTTTGTCATGTAAAATGTAAAGGCGTCGTACCAGATACCGTCGTGCAAGCGAGTGGAGTGAACGTTTAAAGTTCAGTTAAGAATCGTTCCGCCCAATAAAATTGTCTCTATTGTGCCGTATTGTACGTTGCTATTTGTGCATTGTCTTTATAGGGCTATGGCTTTGCATTTGTAATATTTTTTAACTGTCAGCTTTAGATTAACCGGCTGATCGTTGCTGTGCGCTATAGGATTTCATATATGCTACCTTATTATTTTATTACTTTATTACACCATACCAGTATGCCCACGGACACTTCATTGCTTGGAATGCACCTCAAAACATCACGCTAATTCACACATACTCACTATTTAAATATAACCTGAAAATCTTAATAAGTTTCTTTCCAGAGTAGTCCCTTCGATGCCGGTTTGAAAGTTTAGTATGAATGTCAAATACTAAAGTGCCAACGAATGGATATAGCAGAATCCCCACAACGGCCACGCATTTAAACGTTTTATAACGTTCAGTATAATTTAGAGCCCCACCTTTTATTTAAACCTTGTTGTTATTGATCGCCAGCTTGCTTAAAATGAAAAAATGTCTCCACGCTTACCTATAAACGACATTATATTGCGCAACTATACTCATGTTCAAACATCAACTTTGATCATCTTAAATACAAAAGGAATGTATTCTACGTTCAACTGAGGAAGGATTTGACACATTTTTTTCGAGCTAACATAATTCTTTTAATGTAATGCAGACTTCGGAACATATGTAGTTGACCACCCGCTAATAAATGTATATGTTTACTTGGCATCTCCTGAGCCATTAAATGTTAGGTTCAAACTTCTATTCGTGCGGACGATGAGGCTAAGTTGCAACTACGTTAGAAAAGTACGTTAGCAGGAAATGCACCTTACATTGAAAAGCATATTAATGAACGTACCTGAGTAGCCTTTAACTCGTTCTCTTCCTTAGCATATACTCGATGACGATGATCAACAAGTCTATGGCATGAAGATTAATAAGTAATTACCATTCGAACAAGGTCCAAGCAACACGAGAACTTAAATATTCATACGCGTCATGCCATTTTGCGCTCATTCTATTGGTCACTTGCTACTCCAGATTGGACGAAAACTTCCGTCGACACGTAATCCAAACTGACAGCAACGTGCTGTAGCGCGAATTTTTAGTGTAGTTTCAAAATCAAGAAACAATCGAGACCCGCTGCACTTCAGTAGGATATTTGAAAGTCCAAGTTAAGGAGGCTTTGAGCCTAAGGGCCATATCAAATATCGAATAAATATTTTACGTAAAGTAGGGGATAATTAGCCCAAAAGCATTATATTAGATGAATTTAAAATGCGAAATATATTTTCCAATATCTATCATCTAGTCATCAGCCTCATTCCATTTTCTCAACAGTTGCGCATTAATGCACCTATGGTTTAGGCATCGCATGCTTGCCCGAACAGAACGAAGACTGGTTTATTCTCGCTTAACCGTTTTCTAAAGCCCCGTTTACATTACGCAAGCTAACCCTGGTTAACGCAATCCCGGGTGTTAGTTTTTGCAACTATAAACATACTTAACCCCTTTGAAGGTGCGGTGCCCATGCACCGACACGTTGTGTGTTTATTACGCCATACCATGCAGTGTGTCCACCGACACTCTATATTGGTTGGAACTTACCTCAAAATTCACACTAATTCACACTGAAATATTCACGATTGAAATATAGCGTGAAAATGTTACTGTATCAGTTAGTATAATTTTCATTCAGGCTTGAGTATTTCGTTCAGTGCCCATGCACATTAGCGGTCTCTTTTCTTAGGTCATTTGCAGTTTGCACATCGAAAACGTATCACTGGTCAATGGTGTGACGCGATAATAAATGGTCGGGATATTTAGCGCGCAGACCAAGGTTCCAGACCATAGTGTGACTGTGTGAGGTCTCGCCCTATGTTTTCTCCTTATGACTCTATTATTAAATAGTTTTTTTTTTCATATATATTTCGTGGGCATCATAGGTAGGATGGAATTTCCTTAACAATCGTGCATGCATGAATAAGAATATAAAGAAGAAGACTAACTCTCCTGCCTAATCAATTTCAGTGTTAGAAGTTTATCACACTAGTCAGTGCTAATTTATGGGAGAACATTAGTTGAGCTGGTTCAGCTGAGAGAACTTCGTGAGCTGTAATTCCCTGTAAACTACGCTGAATAGCATTCTATTTATCACTTCCAACGGACAATAGAAATATGCAAAACACAGCCCTGAGACAGCAAAACCTTGTTCGTTTCAAACACCGTGCTTCTCGTGCATTTAAAACAATAGTTCATCATAGAGACCGTGCCTCATTATCTATTGTTGTTAATGCGTTCAGCACATGAGAAGCAAAACATTTGAAACAGGCCTTACTGTTCAGTGTCTTTAATGCATGAAGTGCATTTGTCCGTTGGAATGTTCTTTGAGGTAATAAAAGGTGGTTGAATTCCAGAGGAAATTCAAACTTGATACTCTCGAAGAAGAAAGGATCACTCGAAGAAGTTCAGGGAAAGTGGGAAACGTTGGAGGAATCTTGCTCAGGTACATTATCATGGTTGATTTTAAGAATCTGTTGGCTTGATCTTTGGCTTTGCAAATTAATTCATCTTTTGTTGATTTGAATAGCCCATGCAGAAGACATCAACGACTGTAGGCATGCATTCTTGCTGATTTAAGTGATTTTCACTGCCATATATCTTGTATATTTCGATTGAAAATGTGATATGCAAGTGAGCTGTTAACTTGATTTTGATTTTGCTTCCTTATTTCACTTCAGAACGAACTACAGCGCAAAAAGATGGGGAAGGCGAAACACAAACGCTTACTCACAGACACAGCGAATAATAGGTAGCTATTGTTATATTAATATATCATGACTCGTGTATATCAGGTTGCATTTGTGACTTGAAGTAACACGTTCGTACACGGTGGCCGAAACTAAAATATAGTTTAATCGAACTTTTCAGGACTTTATCCTAGTTTTCGTCAGGTATATCAATGCGGTTTTCCGTACACGCGCGATTATCGCAGTAGCATGTGAATACTCGTCCGTCAACGCTCCATGTTAGTTTTGTACAGGAAAAGACGGACTCAAAAGTTAAATTGAATGCCTATAATTATCCGTATTGGTTTATGTATGTATTTTATGCTAGACTTGTAGTTCAATGTTCGGAGCGTGTTTTATACTTCCAAAGTGCTGTAGTGATTATTTTGCCTCCCATGATAAGTTTTACCACAGAACCAAAAAAAATCGGAGCTTTTATATGCCTGTGAATTGTCTGTTTTACCAAGGTTTTCTTTTTTAGAAAGAAAGAATCGTCGAAAGAATCGTCGGAGTGGAGAGATGTCGGACCTGCCTTGGGACATTTATGCACGCAAATACAAAATTTGATTTCGGTGAAAATATGCATGAGTAAAAATATGCATGCATTTGGCTTTGGCTGAGAAATGCTGAACACTCCTCTGTTTACCTCCTTAATTTCCAACTTTTCGAATTGTGGTTTTTGCATGAGTAATAACCTGGTTGTGTCAGGCGCATGCGGAGTAAACACAAGTGATTCTGGGGCCCCATCACTTGTATTTTCTCCATCCTGAACGACCGTAGTCCGGACAAAAAATTGAAAAAAACATCGCTCAAAGAGCGCCTAAAACATAAAAATGCATGAGAATTGAGAAGTTTTATTTCTAAAAGGAGAAGATAGTCGAGTGTTTTAGTTTCTCGGAACCATGAAGAAAACGATGATTATTTCCTGCAAAACATGCATGACATTTTGTATTCGCGTGCGCAATGCAAAGGCCGTGGACGAATGGCGTAGGAGATATTGGAGGTCTGTGATCGGGTTTTGCGTGCTTCTCTTTATACACAAGTGTCGTTTCCCTCTTGGAACTTAGTGATATCATATTTTTGTATCTACGTTAAAGGATCAGATGATAGATCATTGCAGGATAAAATGATGACGGATCGTCGTAGCTGATCAGATGATGAAGGATCGTCGCAGGATCAGATGATGGAGGGTCGTCGCAGGATCGGATGATGGAGGGTCGTCGCAGGATGAGGTGTTGAAAGAACGTCGCAGGATCAGACGATGGAAGACAAGACGGGTGTACAAGTGGAAGCTAGTTTTGAGGTATATACTATAGGTATACTAATTAGTAATGCATGCTTAATGTAAATGCATGCTTTATTTTCGCATTGATTCCTCCTGGTGGTCTAACATAGTATATTCACACATCAAGTGACAAGTTTTTGACAATGTATGATAACAGGATATTTCTCACAGCTCTCATGAGGGCGTTTTCGAGGTTTCTCGATGAAACCTTCCTAGGTTTTGTCACTTGCGTGTGAACGATTTAACAGCTGCGGAAGATGCATGATGGCTTTAAAATGTTGAAATAAAAGTAAGAAAATGTAATAAGCATGGTAGACGCGCGCGCAACGAGAAAATATTAACGAATTCGTATTGGCCTAATTTTAGATTAATACGAATCAAATTACTAGAGCACTTATATGATTATATAAGTTCTCTGTTCAGCCAGTTATGCGATCGTTTGAAGGACCGTCCGTCAGTCCGTCAGTGGCATCAAAAATCATACTTTAGTCTTTGATAATTTCAATTCGAATTTTTGAACTTTGAAATGAAGAAAAAAAAAATACAATTCTGATGTTTAGACACAAGCACTCTTCCGTTTCCCTTGTTGATAAGTATCAATTTTTCGGATTTCGATTTTCCGGTCAATCTCAAGCAAAGAAGGAAATGAACGTAATCGATTTAATTAGCTGGATGAAGTTCTATAAAAAGGAAAATATACCTCCTATATTACATGATACATTACATGATATATATAAAATATATATTACATAATATGTATACATTACGTGATAACTACACTTGTATAATCGGGGATATCTGGGGTGTAGTGTTTAACTGTATAGGTTAATGTATTGTATAGTACACTGACCACACTCTTGCCGTAAGAGTGGTTAAGAAGAGCCTTTGCATTTTGACACACTTACTATGTTGTTTAATTCCTTACACGCCCAACGTCGAGATATTGATAAAGAAGAACGCAACTGTTTGGAATGGAACAAAGAAGCAAGTGAAATTTCAGCGCATTGTTTACCGAAGGTAATTATATGATACCAAAGGTAAGGGACATTATTGACTAGCCATATTGAGTATATAAGTTGCATGTTGAGCCCGATTACGTTTATTTCCTCCATTTTCTGTCAACTGTAATCCAGAACGTATAAAAAGAGATAAACGGTGCATGAGGTGCATATTTTAAGAAGGAATAGTAGAAGAGTGTTCTTGTCTACATCAGTTTGAGATGAAAAAGCATGCAAGTCGTGAATATGAAGCATTTCTTTCCAAAATGCCAGATTTTAAAAAATGCATGATGATAAAATGAGCATTGGAATAATCGAAATGATTTTTGTTGCCCTTGTCGGACAAAGCGCGGTTTAATCAGATAAATTTTCAACGGCTTGCTGTTTTAGCACGGACGATATATGCGCGCTGCGCACGTTAGACCACCACCAGGATTCAATTAACGAAGCCCAAGAATAGCATAGCAATATGCAATTCCTGTGACTCGGATGAGCATAAAACGATCAACTATATTAAAAAGCCTGAACTGTCATTGCGGACGATTTCTAAATAAAAATACCAAATTCGGACCGCCGGTCAGGTAACCTGAAATTCAGGTTACCTTTGGAGGGTTTTTCTCCGGGCACTCCGGTTTCCCTCCTTTTCGTTTGACTCTAAAAAACAGTGTCTATGCTTAGGGCCAAACGTGTGTTCGTTGATGGTGAAGAGATCTCTTGCCCATTTTACTAAATCGGGAAATCCTATTCAGTGTACATGAAAAAAACGCGAGTGTTTGGCTTCTGGGTTGGATTCCCAGAACACTGAATAAAAATTAAACATGTTGAGACTGGTGTAGGAGACTGAGCCATAGGCATACGAGCCAATAGTGGTATCGAAATATTCGTCAGAACGAAAGGTTGATGCTTAATTCACACGTACTCTTACGACTGAAGGATGCATGTGCTAAATGAAACGAGCCCCTAACCCCAAATCAATATTGTAATTACATATTGAATTACCGATATTACCCAAATGTTGTCCAACTCTCTGCGTTCATTTATTATAAGGAAGCGGGGTTGATGAAAAGGTCTTCAAAAAAAAAACATTCCGAGATTCTTAGTTGCACCGTAAAAAGCAATAAACGTGAAACCTGGTTATATAGTTTTCTATTCTTTATTGTTTGAAATTGTACTGAAAACACTACCCGAAAATAACATCCTTAATTCTTTAAGGCAGTGTTAACGTTACACTGTACAACTTTCCTTGCAATTTTCAATGCCATTCTACCCTCGAGGCATCTATAATTATCTAAAGTTGTCAAATACGAACATTTTTACGATCTGCTAACGAGTAACATTTTCGTAGCTACACTCTTTTACAATTTAACAACCCTCAAAATTATAGAAAATGCATTGCAAGTGGCAAGAAAAATTGCATAGTTACACAGCACCTTCAGAAGTTTATGTCTTTCTAATTGGACTGAGTGACAACCGTATATCCCCGTGCACAATGCAGAAAACTACTCTCTAAATCAATTGCCACCGCTACTGCCACCGCTACTGCCACCGCCACCGCTACTGCCACCGCCACTGCCACCGCCACCGCCACCGCCACGCCACCGCCACCGCCACCGCCACCGCCACCGCCACCGCCACCGCCACCGCCACCGCCACCGCCACCGCCACCGCCACCGCCACCGCCACCGCCACCGCCACCGCCACCGCCACCGCCACCGCCACCGCCACCGCCACCGCCACCGCCACCGCCACCGCCACCGCCACCGCCACCGCCACCGCCACCGCCACCGCCACCGCCACCGCCACCGCCACCGCCACCGCCACCGCCACCGCCACCGCCACCGCACCGCCACCGCCACCGCCACCGCCACCGCCACCGCCACCGCCACCGCCACCGCCACCGCCACCGCCACCACCGCCACCGCCACCGCCACCGCCACCGCCACCGCCACCGCCACCGCCACCGCCACCGCCACCGCCACCGCCACCGCCACCGCCACCGCCACCGCCACCGCCACCGCCACCGCCACCGCCACCGCCACCGCTACTGCCACTGCTACTGCCACCGCCACTGCCACTGCTACCGCCACCGCCACCCCCACTGCTACTGCCACTGCTACTCTCGCTGCTGTTAGTTTCCTTTACTTCATCTAACAAAGATATAAATATACAGAGTGTAGCAGTAGACTGTATATAGAATCAAACGGCTATTCCAGCTCTCATTTATAAGGCCATATAGTCAAATTGTTTCCACATCAGTGTGAAACAGTTAAAATCAAACCGATTTGAACAACATACTTTTATGCACGACAAAACTGCACTAAGTAAATTCCTGCCTTTGTCGGAGACAGAGGTGTTTAGGTGTTTTTATTTTAGCTTTAGCCAGCGGTAGGTGCATGTGGTATATGTGGTATATAAGCGAAAACAGATGAACTATGGCCTCACACATTTCCTGAACAACCGAAAATGGACTAATAGAGGGTCTCACACTCTCACTGGCCGGAAAATTTTTCATGGAACGGAAATTTCCGTTCAATTTTCTTTTCAATTGTGATTCTCGATGACTGATCAAATTAAATTGCAGAGAAAATTAAGCGGAAAATTTACAAGCGCAAAATATCTATGATGCATATTGGTTTACCTTTTGACAATCCTAAACATGCCCCAGTCATGAAGTCACAGACCTCACCATTCAGACAAAACGACGAGCAACAATGATTGGAGGGAACCTCAATGAAATAAGAAAATCACAAGTTTAAATTCCAATCGAATTCTTAAGTCTCGAGGAAGTCTTAAGGAAGTCTTAAGGAATATAATCAGTAAATACATTCGTTGTTTAAGATATCTTGGATACTTGTACAGCTTTTCTCCAGGCTCCATGCACTGCATGCAGGACACTTTGTTATTAAAACGTCACTGAAAGGTGTTTTCCGACGTTCTAGAGCTCCCAAATTTAAGACATCTTCTCACTCGGTCTCCATGGGCATAATTATTTCACTTACCTCTTTTATTCGAAAAATATCATAGTGGATGAACTTCTGATCTTGCACCAAACTGTTAGGTTTTTCGGTGTCCAACGCCGATACATTTAATAGCTCGCAGTTATGATCATTCACATGATAGTTTATTGATTTACAGCATACGTAACGTAAGCACAGCAAACCGCAGTTCGCGATAGATTCAGCTGAGAATAGTTTCACAACGTTATCTTTTAGACGATAACCTGCGTGAGATATAAAAAACAAGGCCAATCTCAACTTTTAGAAGATATGCATGGTGGGTGTTTTGTGTGGCCAGGGGCGCCGGAATATCGATAATAACGGGGCCAGATATTCATATATTCGTGTTCTGCATTATTAACTCTTTTTGAAATCGATTGTTTTTACGATCTGCGAACACGAATATATGAATATCTGCCCCCGTTATTATCGATATTCCGGCGCCCCTGTGTGTGGCCGCGTTTTCCTGCTAGTATATGGCAATCTCTAATGATCCAGTACAATTTCGATAATCAGTCAGACTTGTTTCAGACTTAATTCTTGTTTAGATTATTTACTCTGTACATTTTGATGGAAATTGAATAAAATACTCCTTTATATAGTCATGCGTTGTGATATTTACACCTGATATTTTCTTTCTTCTCTCTATATTTTTCACATTAGCCGCGTAGGAGAAATAATCATTTTGCATATGGGCAATAGCCACATCATTTCATATTGTCGTTATTAACAGGTTATATTTTGATATAGCTGGCGAAAAAAGTTAAATCGCGCAAACTTAATGAATCTGTGGCCTTTTTGTGGCTGAATTGGCAGGATTGATTGGGGACCAAAGCTTGCCACCGTCAACTGAAACAACTCAAAAAAGAGTTCATTTCATGATTTTCATCATCTGACAGATGAACGAAGCATCTATAACTACTTGTTCGAGCTAGGGATTAAAAGAATTGAAGCTTTTTTTCTGATCGCGGTTATATCTAAAACAGTTCATAAAGTGAAAAAGAATATTAACCTCATTACCTTTTGTTTTACCACGATGAAAATAGGCGTTTTGATTCATTGCTGGAAATGGCGGGAAAGCAATTGCAATTGTTAGCACCAACAAGGCAAACGAACGCATCTTTAATTGCACTTCGTGAGCATTTGTCATCAACGTCAACCTGGATCAGTTAGCGAGTCAGTGTAAACTGATGACAAAGCGGCTTTGTGACAGGCAATATATGAAGGCAATACGGTTAAAAGTGTTGTCGATTAATCTATGTCATTGCGAGCCATCGTAAAAGTTACATGCCATTAAAAAGATATTGCTACGGAATTGTCCACTCAGAATCAGAGGTGCAAAAAAGCTGCGGGTACGCAGGTGCCACCCGTGAGGAAGGTTTGCTTTCAATGAGGTTTGTGAGGAAGTTTTGAAGTTGAACACTCTAATTGATCACATGCATGTACCAAAAAACCAAATATTTCTTTATGCTGGTTGCTACTTGCGTCAGTGACGTAACGTCCTTTTGAGGAAGGTTTTCAAAACTTGAAATCCCACTGGAGGAAGGTTGAACTCTTTTAGCGACTCCGCATGCAGTATTGATTAGTATTGATAAGTATTGATTATTTCCTGCATGCGAAAAGCAATTGCATTCACATACTACTATTAACGCAGAATATTTATTTAAGTTATAAACACTTCAATTTGGTTTTAACTCCTAATCAACAATAACACGGAAGGAAAGCAGATTTCAATTTGTTAGGCGATACAGGTGAATGACTATGTTTCAGCTGCCGTGGTTTATTGTGCGGCCTATAAAAGTCGACCGTCCGCATGCACCTATATCCGGACAAAGGTTTAAAAGCGGTTATACTAATAGTGTCCGAATATATATATGTAGTGTCATATATATTGCCACTACTTGGCATTCTCGTACGTTGAATACAGTAGTCAGAGTGGATAAATTTCAGAATAGTCACACTGAAAACATTTTTTTAGCCTCCCAATGAGCAACTATTGTGTAGTTTAATAGCAACGGTTAAAATTTAGACTAAAACTAGATTTTTTTTGCTTTAGAAAAATAACAATTCAGTATAAATGCACTTCACCCATTATCAAAATTATTTCAGAGACTGGCAAATTACATTTTCTTAAATTAAATTTAGGGAAAACAAACGAAAATTTTACTGATACTAAAATCACTGTCGTTATTCACGTATCTCAAAATGTTGTTTAATATAATATACTCAATTGATACTTCAATAACAGAACAAATATATGCTGATTCACGAGAGGTTTATAGAAAGACGCGTAAAATGACATATATTACCAAACAGTTCTGAAGGGAAGAGACTACATATATGAGCTAAAATAGCTTAAAAGTAATAAACTGAGCTGGCTTAGACGCCTTAGGAATAAGAGTTAATATTTTTTCGTGGATTTGTTAGATAAAACAAAACAGGAGGTAGGTACAACTTTTGGCTTTATCTACCTCCGACGATATTAACCTCATTTTTCTCGAAGTCTCAGTCAAGTAAGACGAAGCGTTACTGTCTTTGAAAAATATAATTTTCAAAAGTGCTAGGGTTCTTATAGAACTGACAAAATTATTAGCCATACTTTTTCGATTTTCGTCTAGCACTTTACTGGCACAATATCATATCCACTCATCATTTTACTAATACAGAATGACCAGTATCAATACGACAGTTTTCTCTGATTTTGTCACAAAATAACAAAAAAAAATTATTTCATTCGCATGAATCGTAGAGAATGAACGTCAGAATGATATAAAAGAATGAAAATTTTATTCATCAATAGGAGAAAACTGAATGTTACACGTTGTCGAGTGTACTGCGTATCCAATGAGCCACGAGAGTACAAAAATGGGGGCCATTCATATTTTTTACACATTTACTCCATGGGGCCTTTACTCAAGCCAGTTTAGCTTAAATGGTGCACAAGCCAAAATTAAATAACATTCTTACGTCTCACTTAAATTAGTTAACTTGAATATTATCGAATATAAACGAGCTTGATACAACTGGCGTCTGGTCTATATACAGCCTGTGCTCCTTCAGTCGGAGTACAAAGATTGAGGTTGCCTTCAAAATTTGACTTCTGTGCAAAGGAAATGTGCAAGCTGGATTTGTTTATTCCATGATGCAAACAAATGACTTTCGCGACTTCAAATTCATACAAACAATTCCCTAAATCCTAACGCTAATATTCAGGTTGGTGCAGCTTTTCGCAACGTTAGATATCCACCGATGATGTCCATGGGAAGGCTACGTATTGTTGAGAATTCTTCGCTTGTACTGTAAAGCATCCTTGTTTGTGGATCTTTATACTTTGCCTGTTGAGAATATTAAAACAATGATTCTGGGTTTCTTTTACACAATAAATGAAGAAGCACACAATCCTGCAGGAAGAATCATTTTCAATCTTGCAATGAAAATTCAACTTACAGGCAACCCTGTTAGATCTGAATATTTCTTAGCAGGTTTAAAGGATGGAGGAGCTTCAATAGAGCTGTCTGAAAAAAAATTGTTTGCATGTATATAAAATATTTAGGAATTTCTTCAATCTAATGTAATAATCAATGGACATTCATAACCATTTTATTCAAAGTAATATTGAACCATGCTATAATTATTATAAATATTTTTTGGTTATAATTATGTAGCTAGATTTTTTATTGTGATAGAGATTTATAAATGCTTTATACTTACAGGTTGGGTCATCTTGTTTCCAAGGCAATGTTCGTTCCTGGGAAATGATCTGTTTCAAATTCTTCCATAATCGTTTCTTGGTTGAATTAACACCAGAATGCTTAAAAATAAAAAAATGTTGTATTTACTTACAAGCTTGCAGAGAACTAGGATACTAACTCAGTTCACAAACTTCTAGGTTGGTCTAGGAATTGGTTGACATTTTACAAGATTTTTACATACAATATGTGGAAATGCTAACTTTAGGCATTGAATTTCCAAAATTACTAAATATTTGTAGAATTTGGGAAGTACCTCAAAGTTTGAATCTTTGAAAACAAAATGCCCAAATTCATTGTAAAGACTGTTGTCTGCTGTTGTAAAGGAACATGGGCTGTTTGTTGGATAATCAAGATCTTCCACACCCTAAAATTTAATTGAAATTATTACGAACATTACTTTATACTTATGACTATATGTTAATTTTACTCATAGTTTTGCCCAGGACATACCAAATCATGGATATATTTTATACCATATGTTACTTCCGTGCCATATGTCCGGGGAGCCTTCACCTGCTAGTTGTGAGGTGAGCCAATGCCTTCAGTCTATTGACTATTGGTGTTGAGTGCGAGGTTCCCAGGTCAAAAACATACAACTAGTGTGTGGTAGTTATAAATTTGATACTTTCAAATTCACACTCCTGCATGAGGAGAAAACCATAGAGACCAGAGACGTAGAACTATAGTATGGTATAATATATATAGTCTGATAGTCTGATTATATAGAGCAACTGACAATAAAAAAACTGTTTGAAAATTTTTTCATACCAATGGAATTTTCTTTTTCTTTGCTGTGTTAATATGAGCCGATGACGGACTAAACGAACGTTTTTGACTTCTTTTTGACCTACTAGCGGCCATATTGACCGTGAACTTTCTCGAACGATTCTGGGACTGGGGTGCACTTAGCAACAATACACAATATGGCGGACAGTTTTTGTGTATCATTTTTGTGAAATGTGAGCGTTTTTAGAAAATTGGATGGCATTCTAGGGCGAAAAAGCCCTTTTAAAGCCACATAGTGTTTGAATGAGTGGCAGAGACCTTCGAACGTTCGTTAATTTTCATAGGAATGCAATTGGTGCGTCAGGTAAGCTCACTAAGCTGTTTGAATTTTGTATGTCAATGGGGGATGTGGGTCAGCTTTTAGGAAAGACCAAAAGACTATTAAGCACTTGTCTTTTAATACATGTACTATTGCAGAGGCAGCGCTAGACGGCTAGTTGTGGGGCGAATTTTCATATATTCGTTTCGTGCTCTGCTTATTTTCTTTTAAAACATGTCGTTTTTCCAGTGACATTGTTTTTACAAGGAAATATCCTTGGCTGTGGATACTTTGTGTTTTTTATATAATTCATTCAGGGTTTTTAAAGTTTCGTTTCACATGCTATACTATTTGCATTGTTATTTTCTTACCTAGATCCTTCTTTGGTATCTCGTTTGGCAGATGGTAGATACCACTGGCAGATACAAAGAAGTAGACTATGGAAAGCTTAAGGCGATTACAAAATTGAAAAATGCTGCAGGACAGCAATCTCTTCAGAAAATAAAATCAATTCATCATCTTAGTAAGGAAAAGAAAGAGCTAAACATTTTGCAACAGCATAAAACATGCTGGAAAAAAGAGCTAATAAGGTTGAATAGTTTGTACAAAAGCAAACTTTATGAGCTTGATATGGTCAGAGCAGGCTTTCCTTGGGAACAAAGTTCTGTCAAAGATTTTTTCATTGAAGTTGAAGAATATGAGGATTTCATGAATGAAGATTTCTTAACATTTTCTAAAAACACAGTAAAGCCTCTGTGGGATTTACAAGAAGATATCAGTGCCTGGTTGCAAGAATATAAAGGTAAATATTAAATCTCTTATATTACAGATTTACAGTTAATTCCAAATCATACATCAGTTACATACAATGGTTTGACATACAATAAAAGGCTACATGCTTCATCACAAAATGTTTTGATCACCTTATAATTTTGACATCAAGCTGTTCTGCATACTATTAAAAGAGAAGCATGGTTACTGCCACTGGAATGCTTGAGATTAAATTTAAGCAACCTTTTTAGGGAACTCTGATCCACATGAAGTTTCAACTGTACTGGAATCAGTGAAACTACAGCAAAGACAGATCATGGAACATCTTGAAGAAGAACAAGCTGAGTTAGAGAATGATTTGGCTTTAGTAAGACTACATCATGCTGTTCATGATGAAGAATATCCTCGTGTCATTCCTGGAATTCCGGAGGAAGCTTTGTCCCTAACTTGTCCATATGATGATTTGAAATCTTTGGTTTTGAATGAATTCGAGTTGCTGGATAAAAGATATAAAACACATCTTGATTATTTAAATGTGAAGTACAGTGAGATTTTAGAGTAAGTGACAATTTGAATATGGAAATTTGAATGTAGTAGAATCACAGCATGTGAACTCGAAAATTCTGTTCTTTTCCTAAAGGATGAAAGATGAAGGCTGGGAAAGAGATAACCACCTTCGATTTCAACATATTCTTGAGCAGTATGCTGCTGATATGCCAAACAGAAGAAGTTTATATGTAGATCGAATGTTGAGAGAAATGCCGCACTTAACCCGACATGACATTGTAAGCCTTGGTATACCATTCACATATTTGATTCATACATAGGAACTGTGATTTATTGGATCAGGCCTGAGTCACAATTTTTCAGATGACAATGTTTTACTATCGCAAAACTTACGGTTTACTGAAAATTGATGCTTATTATTAAGTTGACCACCGCCATGTTAAAAACGTAAACTGGCGCGTGTTGCGCAGGTTTCGTTAATTGATCAATATTATCGAGATATGACGAAGTTTAAAGTTTTAACCACGCCATGTCAAAGATGTAACGATATGTTTGCATTGTAGGTTGAGCACGAGAAATGGTGGTTTTCACATAAATCATATCAGAATCAGCAGGCTGCTATCTACACTGCCTGGGAGAACAACCGTCGAGATTTGTTGTTAAAAATCAAAGTCACCTTCGCTGATGCTTGGGTTGAGTTCGAAAATGAAAAGAAACGTGAAGACAGTCGTAAACGACAAGTGGAAATGTGCAGTAAGTTACACGAAAAGGTATGTATGGAATGTTATATATAATATTATATAGAAAAAGAATGCAAAACAACGTATTTTTATGTTGAAATGCCCGGAGGAGTTTTATGAGCATCCTTGAATTTAGGTTGCAGCATTTCAACGACAAAAACTTGAGGCATTTCGACTACAACAAGAAATCGATGAGAGAACGAGAAGGCAAGAATATGAAAGAAGTAAAATGGAGGAAGAAAAAGAGAAGAAAAGAAGAGAGATGATACACAACAAGGTTAAGAATAATCCATAATCCAGAAGATTTTGAGAGTTACGTTAGACGCGGGGAGCCTGCAATAGCGCCGGCTTATACAAATAACTCGGACCCTTTTTGTTGGTATACATCATTTGCTATAATTATATAAATGGTTCGTATGGAAAAAACTGGAGGAATTAGGAAAACTTGGATACGCAGCAAAATCAATGCAATGAAAACACATGAGTTAGAGAACAACAGTGTCCTCGACCAATCCCTTGGGCTTGGTAAAGTAATAGGCCAAAAATTGTGAATTGTGCGTGAACCTCCGTGAATTCAGCGATAGGAAATGAGTTGATCAAATGAAATAAACTGTTACGAGAATGCATGAGACGACATGCATGAATGAGACAACAAGAATGAAGTAGATATCCTTATTGGAGCAGGTTTCTCAATTTTTTGCAGGATTATAGTCAGAATACTTTTCTAGTTGTACGCAAAAAAGGTTTTCTTAGTATAACTATTTTTGACCTTTTCGAGATATTATTTTTAGCGTATTTTTACAGGATTTCGGGCGAAATATCCGTCTAAACTACGTGAAAAAGCTTTTTTTGTTAGATTTAATCCAAATTTTATTACCTTGTGTTGTTAGATAAAGAATTATCAAGAGAAAAAAATGGAGGATGAGGCAGAAAAATTAGAAAAAGAGAGACAAAGATTAGCAGCGATGGAACGAGTGTTGAAAGAACAAGCAGTAAAAGATGCAGAAAGGTAATGTTCTTGAGGTACCAAGAAGAGAATTAATTTTTCAGCTTAGTTATATTACTTATATATAGTAATTTAGCTGCATTATGATTAGGAGACTGGGACACTAATTATTGTCCCTCCATTTCTGTATTACTTGTTCACTCCTGTTTGTCATGATCATGAAACATTTCAGGACTTGACAACTGCCCAGATTAGCAGATTAAAATACTTAGTGGAACAAAATGCTTATTGGTTTAGCCACCAATAAGGTGATTAACTTCCTAAAAGCATTGTTGCATTGTATTCTATCAAGAGTTGCTTATCGTGAGAATGAATTGAAGAAACGTCAGGATGAGAAACACCTTCTACAACAAAGGGTTTTAGAAGAACAGGAAGAAAGGGAAAGAAAACTGGAAAAATTGAGAGAACAGGTTGGAAATGCACTGGAACAGACTGGAACAAGGTGCATAATGTAAAATTTGAGCATGTATGTCCTCTTTTAAGGTCTGTGTCAATGTACCAGCTGATCCACTACGGGTACTTCAGTCAACTGAGGTTAGTTCATGTTTGTACTGTTGACGTGATAACTTTAAGACATTGTTTTTTTCCTCTTGGTATTCTTATGATCCATTATTTTATTTGCACAAGGCTTCAAGAGCACATGTTATAAAGAAGGATGATTTGGCAGAGCCTGAAGAACTAGAATTACAAAAACCATTGTTTGCCATAAATACATTCACTACAAAACAGGTGAATAATATAACAGTTTTTTGCTCTTTGACAAACCTGATATTTTCTGATAAAGAGTGGGCACAGGAATTCGTAAATTATGTATATACTAAAAATAAATTTTGTTGTTTTTAGATAACAGCAGATCCACGTCATAAGGTAGAACAAGCACTACGACAGGCAGGCTTACATGACACAAATTATGCAAGACAAATACTTGCAAGTGTTAAACCACTGCATCCAGCTAGGCCTGATCAACATTCAACATTATTTAAAGAGTAACACAGTTTTTCTGAAAATTGGACAACTCAATAGACCTTATGCATAATGATGTAACAAGCTGTTGTGACACCTGCAAGGAATTCTGGTTCTAGTAGTCATGGTGGGAAATTTTGAAGTTTGAATTTTTCACTGTGACTATTAAAACCAGAATTCCCTGCAGGCATCATATGTGCATAAGGTCTATTAGCAACTAAAATAATAAATTAGTTGCTAAAATAGCTTATATATAAAAAGGTTCTTTGACAGAAAGGCTGACTACCACTTTATTGCTTTACCACTGTAACAATTAGTGTTTTATGAGGCTCAGTGACATACTAGTGTACCTCAACTAATGACCAACCTTAGAAATGAACATTCATGCTTATTATAAAGTGTTCACATTCCAACTATTATCTGCTCTCTTGTGTAAAAACCACAAATGGAATATCGAATATATATGTATATAACATTTATGCAAATTATGCAAAGGTAATCATTTGTTTGTTTCCCATGAATAAAGAAAATTATCACAGTTGATGGATGCTAAGTTTGTTCCACCCAAATTTGATGGTTGTGTGAGGAAGTGGTCATCATCATCAATTCTTTCCTCATCTTGCATGTCATTTGGTAAAACATTAAATGCTGCAGTAACTTGAAGGTTCTTCATCACAGCAGAAAACTGACGTTGCTGAGTTGTCTCAAAGAGTTTACAAAGTTTAAACAAATTTCCAGGCAAAACAGGACCTGTGATGTCCAGACTATATGTCTACAGAAAAAAACAGTCAATTTTCAGCATTTTATAAAGCATCTTTTGACCCTGTAATCGACACAATACCATTTGGTGATATAGTATATTGATTGGCAAATTTTACCTTTTCTAAATTCTTGCCTTGTTTAAACATGTTTTGTTTCGCAAAAAGTGATTGTAAAGCAGCACCATCAAATGCAACAGGTGCCAATAGAGTTGGTGGGATGCCAGCATGGGATCCTGTCTTTGCTATCACTGTTTTATTATTCAATAAATAGTTGAATAATGCCTGAGTATGACTGCCATTTACTACAGCAAGGGATGAACTGTGATGATCAATGTTTCTTAGCCTTGCTCGTTGCTGGTTAATTTTACTTTGCTTTAACTGTGGAAGTGTTTCCTTAGCCACGCCCATGCTTTCTAACCAAACTGTGTCATCATCATCATCATCTTTTACTAAGGGATTTTTTTCATCATCACTATCATTTTTTGATGTGCTTGCATCCAAAAGAGGTAAGGTGTAGGAAATACCTAATAATTTAAAATTAACTTTTATATCGGCTATCAAAGAATAAGGGTAAGATTTGATTAGAACAGTTTATAGTTTAGCTATGAGTTATCATTACACCAATGAAATAATACTTTTATGGATTATTGTCATGAGACAAAATAGGCATATTGTATCATTTGTATGTGGCTTTATCTTAATGAATTTGTCATACCTTCCTTATCAAAACCTTCTCGAATTCCCTTTGTTGTTGGGGTGATATAGGCTGATGTTGAAGCCAAACCTCCAATCATTTTTGCTCTGAATAATACGGTAAACGATGCCGAACATAGGTAGAAATAGTCACATTGACCACACCATAGAAGATTAAACAAGGAACGGAAAGATTGGCACCAGCTGGCTTGCAATGCATTTGCAATATCTTGATTTTCAGCAACATTTGGTACTTTGCTTGTCAACTTTGTGTCAGATGTTAGCCGAGGAAAAAGGGATAGCCAAGGCAATGCAGGGTGCATCCAGTACATAATATTTTGTTGAAAACATGAGGAATCTTCATCTGTGTTTTGGCTTTTACATTGTACGAAACCACACAAGCCATTAGCTTCCTGTTTTCTGAGTATTTTAGAACACCAGTTAAAAGAGCGAGAAGATGTAAACCGAACTCTGGTTTTTAAACTCCAATCAACAGGCAGATTCCTTCCAGATAAACGCTTTATATGATTATCTTTATCTGAGTCTTCAGAATTTCTATTCAATAAATTGTGGCTTTCGACCTCAGATAAACGTACATCATGAAGCTTATTATTTATGAGTGTTTGTGTTTCGTCTGAGGTTGTACTTGTTCTAGATGAACCTTGTTCCAAAGCATCGAATACCCCAAAACTTTCATCATTCTCGGAAGATCTATCGATATTTGGTTTCTTGCTTGCTGAGCAACCAAATGGATTTTGCCTTTTCACCTGCCCTGCTAGCTGGGGTTCTTGTTCGGTGTTTGAATTTCGTGACTGTAATATTCTCGATGATTTTATACCCTCTCGTTTGCTCGTTCGTTTCTTTACGACAAGTTTTATACTTCTCGCTGGCTTTCTCCAGTTCTCCTGAGAGTTATTGTCCTCACTTTCACACATATTTCAATGCCTAAATAACAATTCTTTGGCTCTAAAAAGGCAGTCACTGCCACTGGTCAAGAACCATCGTTATTCCTTCGTTCCAAAGCATAATTTCTTTTCATTCTTTTGTAAATTAACTAAATTTCATGTTTTCCCGCCTAAATTTTAATTTGGAAGTTGGAACTTAAAATCCCATATTACCCTAAGATTACCCTTTACCATCCTTCAATATCCGTTTCCCTACCTATTTCACCCTTCTACGCCCTCTTCCTGTTCAATCAAAATATCCTTGAAAACTATGAATCATCAAATATGAATTTATGTTTGTAATATTTAGATCTTTCAGCAACGTTACTTCAACCACCTTTTGTAAGTCAAAACCTGTACAGTTAGCATTTCGCCGCTGCCTCTCGATGAAGCTTTATACAGATAAATTTAATCCATTTACTTTACGAATATTGGTAGCTGATCAATTGGCTGGTACGGGCGTCAGTGTACAACACGTGCAAAACGACAATGGTATGCATGTTATTGTATGTTTGTATGTATGTATATCCAGAAATAATGTTTTATTATGCTAACAGAACAAGCATAATACTGTATTAGCACTGTTTCTCATGAACATTCAATGCTTTTATTATTCATGTGACTCATGAACATTCAATACATTTATTTATTAATGCATTTATTTATTTATTTTTCTAATATTTGTTCCTTGTCTGCAGTAAATTTTGTTTTATGGGCTTTAATTCCCATCCCCAAGAGACTAAAGCTTTATTGGCTTTGCCAAAAAATTAAAAAATGTTAAAAAGCAGAGTGGTGTTGGACTTCAAACTTAGGATCATGTTCTGATTTTTTGTAGAAGCTGTCAAAAGATTCCCTTTTCTCAAGGAACCTAAGGTACCTACACTTATACATGCAGTGATTGTTTTATACCATATTCCTATTTTATACCCTTTAAGTATACTTCTTTATACATATATAGCTGCCATTTTTAGAAGTTGAAGAAACTCGTCACATCTTTAGTCCAAATGCCATCTGCCGGTATGTTATTTTTGATAAATAATACTCTTTAGGATTGACATATTTGGTTTGTGCAATATTTACAGGGTGCTATTCAGCTCTTGCATAGTATATGAAGATATGCTATAGTATATGAAGATATTTAATTTTTTTGGTAGATATTTGTTAAGCAGTGGACCTAGCAAAAAGTTCGCATCAGATTTAAATAACTTGTCAACTGAAGATCATTGGCTAGAGTGGGATGTTCTTCACTTACAGGTTTCCTATCATTTTGATATTTTGTCTGATTCCCAGTGGGTTCATATAGTCATATGAACTACACACATTAACCTAGATTACCACTAAATTTGGACTTTTACTTCAAGATTTTTCTTGTTGTGGTGTAACATACATACACTGTAGTCTGTTTGTGTTATTTAGCCATCAGTATTTTCTTTTTTGGCATCCTCATTTTCCTCTGGCAAAGGCACTGATGCCAGCTTAGTCACACAGTGTCTCTCCTACCTTGAGTCAGCATTAGAACCTGAGGGAAAATATATTCTTGGAGTGAGTACATTCTATGAGAATTTTTAGTTAGCCACATGTTGCAGATGATTTGCATGTTATCAATTCTCTATTTAGAGTGAAGTATCTCTAACGGATATAATTGTTTGGGGGACACTATACCCATTACTCGCTCAGGATAACCATAAGAGGGGTATGTAATTGCCACTTTCAACCAACATAAACTGTACATATGTCTAACAAACCGTAACCAAAAACCGTACAAACCGTACACATGGGTCGAAAAAGACAAATTGCCTGAAATCTACTATGCATATGCTCGAGTACATTCTTCTATCTCTTCTCCCTGTTGGTCAAACATTCTGGCTTGTGGTAAACTCAACACCATATAGTGAAGTCTAATTTGCTTTCCATATAGCCCTTGATCTGAACACAAAGTATTCAAAAGTAATGGCTTGGTTCAATGATCTGATGAAAAAGAATGAGTTTTCCTCCATTTCCCATGCGGTCACAGAAGGCAAAGGGCCAGGAATATTCAAGGTGATTGTTGATATACATGTAATGTGTGCTCTAAGAAATTAGAAAATTGTATGTTGTTAAACTTTCTGTCTCTTTACTTCCTGATAGTGATTAGTGGGTAAAAGGACAATAGGTTAGGTTCGATTCATTGCCTTGTTAAAAAACAAATAGATGTAGCAATGCACAACACGAAGTCTATTATTGAATTAGTTCTGTGGAGGCTCTATCGAAGCTTTCAATGGTTTAACTATACTGTACCATTGTGAGTCAATATGAAGCCAAAATAAAAATATTTTCTTATGGTCGCCAGATAACAGATAACCTCCTGTCTTTTGGCATTACCCAGGAAAATAACAAATATTTATTTACACATAACTGCTATCTTTTATAACTTATGTTATTAACACATAACTGATATGTACTTTGTACACTAATTTACGTTATTTTCACATGTACTACAGGCATATGCATGCAGTTCACTTATTCAGCTAAGCATATCTAACTCCCAGCAATCTAATCTCCATGTTTAAAAATGTGCTGCCATATGGCCATATGTAATTTTAGAATATAGATTGTACAAAAACCCACATAAGTGATGATATTTATCTTACATTTTGAAGGATGCACTTGTTGCCTACCAGTTAGTGAATCAGGTTTTGGTAACACAAAAAGATTTAAACAAGAGTGAAGGTTGGTTTGTCTTTAGCTTTGGTAATTTGTTGTTCATAACCATTGCAGGCTATAAGACTGATAGCCAAAAGCTTCCAATAAATTAATATTTCAATCAGAGAACTTTCCTTTTCTTTATGATGAAATTTTCCATACGGTATCATGTGCAAAAAAGCTTTCCAAATTTCTATAGCTTCAGGGGACAGTGCTGAGTCAGATGAGGTATGTTGTAACACTCATCCATATATACCAATGTGTGAATTACTACAAAACTACATAACTTCACATAAATCCTATAAACACTTTTTGCAATTTATTTTTTTCCTACCAGTAAAGGAATTGATACGATGTTAATGTTGTTACTGTAACTGTAATTTCTTTACCTTTTCATCTTCTATCCATTCAGATTTCATATCAAAAAAGCCGTGTTGATGCTCAGGAGGTCGCTGATTCTATTGCTGCTTGGAATACTCAAAAAGTACCGAAAAGACGCGCCATTGAACATCCAATGTGAGTGTACACTTTCGTTCAAAACACTCATTTCATATTTTAGCTAACATAAATATATAATTAAATATTAGGCAGTTACGTTTAAACTAATTTCGGGCGTAACTACGGAGAGTTGCTTTGTCTTAGCATCATCATTACTACGCCTCGTGAGCGAGACTTAAGTAACTGCATTGTATTGTTTCCCGTGTTTTATAGCTTACCTAAAGATGATGAGAAGAACATACTTATCACTTCAGCTCTTCCCTACGTCAACAATGTTCCTCACTTAGGAAACGTTATTGGTTGTGTTCTCAGTGCTGATGTTTTTGCAAGGTGATTTAATTTTTTTTTTCTTATGGCGAAAGACCCATGTTCCTCATCATTTTCTGGTACCCTTGAAGACCACATATTCATCACCAGTCATGTGGATCGGTCAATTTGTGTTCGATAATATACCGAGAATCATTTAAGAAGTATATATGAAATTTCACTGATTCACCGTCTTGTATGCTTTCTTACGGTAGATTTTGTCGAATACGACAATATAATATTTTGTACATTTGTGGTACTGATGAATATGGAACAGCATCAGAAACTAAAGTAAGTTGGTGAATTACATTGGAGGATTCAATGTGAAAATCCCCCCTTACCCGTTGTAATCCTAACAGTACATCACATTACATTTTGGGGCTGTTTATATGGGAGCCGGGCTGGCTCGGTCAGTGAGACAGCCCGGTAAACGGGATAAACTTTTCCTTAGCCTGTTTATTCGTTCCAAAGAATTCATTTATGTGGACATCTGGTTCAATGACACTTTTCAGTTTCAGACCTTCAGTATTTTTCAGTACATTTTTTCTAAACCTAAAACTTTACTATATAAAGCGACCTTGAAATGAAATTTGTTATAATGTCGTTTATCTATCGCGTGTAGGCGTTGGAAGAGGGTGTTACACCGAGGGAGATTTGTTCAAAATATTTCAAAATCCACAGCGAAGTTTATGATTGGTTTAATATTCAGTTTGATTACTTCGGAAGAACGACAACTGAGGAACAGACAAAGTTAGTCTTACTTCACTAACTGTGGTTGCAAGTACTTATTTACTAACATTTATTTATAGCTTGTCTTATTTCACTTTTGAGAAATTATTTATCGTCTCAGCCACCAAATTTCGACTTGAATTTAATAGTTTTAACTCCGATTCTAATTCACAAATCGCTATTTTATGTAGAATTTCTCAAGATATTTTTTGGAAGAATTATCACAACGGCTTAACACTGGAAAATACAATTGAACAATTACACTGTGCCAACTGCAATAGGTATGACAATTCGGGAATTTGACAAACTTTAATGTTATCAGTAGAATTTTGTTATAGTATCTTTCAGAATTCATCAAAATACTCATTTACCATGAATAAATAAGATATAGAATGGAACCTGAGTCCAAGCACAATTTATTTTGATGTGCAAGAACATTTTGTCTTTTTCATATCTTAGATATTTAGCTGACCGATTTGTGGAAGGAACATGTCCTCTCTGTGGTTTTCACGTAAGAATTTTTTTTGCAGTTGCATGTCATAATACCAATTGCATGGCATATTAATTTCTTAGAGCACTACGTGGATGGGATTGACCGATTGAACCATGGCTTATCGAATCATTTCATATCCCTTCATTTCTCATTCATTTAAACTGATTTATTTTACTGTTTCACCATGTTTTAACAGGATGCCCGAGGAGACCAGTGCGATGCTTGTGGAAAACTTATCAACGCGACAGAATTAAAAGTACCTACTTTATGATAGGATGCCTTACAACAAATTTTATGAGTATTGTTTTATATATATACACTCGTTTTTCCTTAGTCTCCTCGATGTAAAATATGCAGTAAAACGCCAGCAGTGAAGGAAAGCCGACACCTTTTCTTAGACTTAACAAAGGTTTGTAATAAATACAAACTTACGCCTGTATACAGCTGATTTCAATTTTAAAAATGAAGAGTAAACTTACAACACTTGACTCTTGGCAAATTCTCACAATTTGCCTCGAAGAACTTCATATCTGATTATGTGTTATGGTTCTGTAGAAACACTTTATAAAACATCTGTGTGATCGTATCATTATATTTTCAGTTACAGCCTGAGTTGACGTCATGGGTGGATAAAGCCTCATCTGAAGGTATGTTGTGGAGGCTGCTCTAAGATACAATAATATATGGCAATTGATAGTCCCAACTTTACCATAGCTCCCCGTTAGAAAACTGCCATCCTCCGTACATGTGGCTACAATTGTATGTTTTGCATACCTGTGAAGGTGTTTGGACGTTGATATAAACGTTGATTTTTTATCATAATCAAATATAATAATGCTCTATTGCAGGAAACTGGAGTGCGAATTCCCAACACATCACTAAAAGTTGGCTCCAAGAAGGACTTAAACCTCGTTGTATAACACGTGATTTGAAGTGGGGAACACCTGTGCCCCTTGAAGGCTTTACAGATAAAGTATTTTACGTTTGGTTTGATGCACCGATTGGGTAAGACATTTTTAAAACTGTGCTGAACTTCGTCTTGGCGTCCTCTGTATTTCCTTCCAATATTATCCTTTCTCATTATATATCTGTCACTCTCCGTCATATTATTTTCTAAGAAGTTTTTTAAATTTACTTTTTAACTTCCCAGGTATCTATCAATCACAGCTAATTACACAAACGAATGGGAAAAGTGGTGGAAGAACCCAGGGAATGTCAGTTTATATCAGTTCATGGCGAAGGATAACGTACCATTTCATACAGTTGTATTTCCAGCGACATTACTGGGAACCAAGGAACCTTACACAATGCTCAACTGTATAAATGCCACGGGTGAGTTGAGTATTGTTGTATCACAGTATTTTATCAACCAGCTTTACCAGGCGAAGCACCAACCGAATTTCTAAATTTGGTCATGTAAATTAAAGGCCTTGTTACACGGTGCAATTTTTCATGCAACTGGCAATACAATTTCACTTTTGCATGAGAGATATATATTTGGCAACTACGAAATATTTTATTGCATAACACACTCCATGGACGTTTCTTACGCTTACAGACTCCTCACTAATTCACATCTCCTAGAAGTAGAATTACATTGCAAGTTGCAAGAAGAAATTGCCCTGTGTAGCATGTTCTTAATACGCACAGTTGCTAAATTTTGTGTGCTGTATAGAGTACTTGAATTACGAAGACGGGAAGTTCTCCAAGAGTCGTGGCATTGGCGTGTTTGGAAACGACGCCAAGGACACAGGAATACCTCCGGATATTTGGAGATTCTATTTGCTGCAAATTAGACCCGAGTCACAAGTAAGAGGGATTTTGAGAGTTGAGAGAGTATTCTTCCGGAATTTTCTTTGTGTGTTATGATTACTGTGTCTCGATGATATTGCCCGTATCATTAAGTGAAACATCACTCACTTGTTATTCAGGACAGTGTATTTACCTGGGCAGAATTTGCTATGAGAAACAACTCAGAATTACTCAACAACTTGGGAAATTTCGTTAATAGGTTAGTTCTTTAATGAGATCTAATTTACTGACTATTGTGCAAGGATCACTTTTCACAAGAATCAATTTCGTGCGGTTATAATTTGTGACAAGCTTCCCCCTCATTTGTTGTCATAACATTTTTCTAACAGAGCTCTGGTGTTTTTGAACAACAACTTTAAAAAGACGTTGCCTTGTATAGTATTAAATGATGAAGACAAGAAATTGATTGCTTTAGTCAACCGCGAATTGAAACAGTATATACAGTTAATGGATCACATCAAGTATGTAACGATAAATTATCTATAAATTATTATTATTCTATATCTAGCCCTTTAAACTATATGTGTGAGACTCATTACAAACATTCCACATTGTCAAACATGCTTGACTTAATTCATGTGTTACGAGAAAAAAAACCGTGTATCGTTTTTTCATAGATTGAGAGATGGTTTAAAGGTTGTACTTAACATTTCCAAACTTGGCAATCAATATATTCAAGCCAATAAACCTTGGGTATTGATCAAGGGGAATGAAGATGAAAGGTAGAAAATGGTTAATATTATATATAGTATTACATGTGAGTGTGATTTGAGAACGATTGGATTAAAAATATTGACTAAATTATACAGCTATCCAAGAGGAAACTTGTGTCCGTTTTGATAAGTTTTTGTTGAATGATTTCAGATCAAGGTCTGGCAGTGTTATTGGTCTGGCTTGTAACTTGACAAGTTTATTATCCATTCTCATTCATCCTTTCATGCCTGATATCAGCGCGGAGATCAGAAAACAACTGCAGGTATTTTGTTATTTTTGTCACAATCTCGTGTATCGATCCTGCGATCCTTTTCGATCTAGTATAGCCGACAAAACGTGGGGTTGGTATATAGTATTCAGGCAGTATGAGAACCAACCCCGGAAATTTCTCCCGCGGCCAAAAGCTCCGCATTTTGATAAATATCTATGATAAATAACCAAACGCCTTTGTTGATAAATAGGTTTCTGACGAATACTGTGTCGTGGTTGATTCCTTTGTGCCTCATCTTGAAACTGGTCATGTTATTGGCGAGGTAACGAAGTGAAGTGACGTGTATAATTTTTAGAAAGATCATGATGAAAATTTTCGTTTTATTTCTTCAGCCCAAGCCTCTGTTTGAGAAAATGGATAGCAACAAAATGGAGGAATTCCGACAAATCTATTCTGGGCAACAAAATAGTCGAAATAAGGTATCGCCTATCGAATTATGATTAGTAATAGTCCGAGATCTCTTGTGTGTGTGACATCTGCTTTTATGAGTCCTGCTTTTATGACGCTTGTATCGCCAGCGTGCCAGAAAGAAGAAATGACTAAATGAAATAGCTTGAGGCTCATTTACACCGAAATCGACGATTAGTTGTGTTCATTTTGTGTTCTCACAAAATCGCTTGATGTTTTTTAACTGAGAACATTTGCGTATATCGTTGGTGACGGAAAGTGTATTTTGTTTGCTTGGTTATTCGATCACCTACCCCAGGAAAGGAATCGTATACAACAAATTGTATCGTATATGGGCCATAGTAGATTCAGTAGAGCAGTACTAAGATATTTTTCCTTTCAGGGAAAGCCGACAGAAGAGGAAATCAAGGCTCTTGAAGTTGACGTTGCTAAACAGGCAAGTATACATTTTCCTTGCATGCATGGCGATTCCCTTTTCCGCGTTATCCTGGATGGTAGGTGTACGGAGGTTACTGTCAATGATCGCATAGAAATGGCGTAAACTTGAGATATTTCAGCCAAACTTATATTTGGGCGTAAACTCGAAATATTTCGGCCATATTTACTATATATAGCTTTGTGGTTTATGTTGTGTTAAACGTGTTTAGGGTGACGTTGTACGCCAGTTAAAAGCTAATAATGCTGAGAAATCAACGATTGACGCTGAAGTGGCAAGACTTCTGGATCTTAAGAAGAAACTGAGTACAGCAACTGGGATCAATCCAAATGACAGTGCTGCCAAGAAAAAGAGCAAGAAAACGAAAAAACAAAATTGATTAATATGAAAAGGAAATAATATCAATGATTCAAAAGTGAACAAAATTATGTTTTAAAAACAATCAAAATATATATATTGAAACATCGTATAGATATACATATACATATATGTTCTGGTTAGCGGCGAAACGGGTGGAGGTGTGGGGCCCTTAGGTATGTTTGGTACTGTATTGGCCCTGTTTTCATTAATCATGTCTATCTATTCCGGTGTAGACTACACTAATGAGACACAAGTTCTTGTCGTAACCCTACTTTAACGTGCGTTACGCTATACCGCGGTTCTGATAGGAAAATCCCACTGTAAAAAATCTCCATTCCCCAGTGTTTTTAGAGGGGCGGAGGTAAATGAATTAGTCAGCTCTAATAATTTTATTAATTTATATTCGCATTAAAGTGATATTAATGTGTGCATCATGACGTATTGCGGTTTGTTTGAAGATCGCAGGCTCACGAGCACGTGGAATTTGTGGAAAGAAGCAATGGTGGACGACAACAGTGACAAGAAATTATTGGAAGCTGGAAGAGTTCGAACTGTTGGAGGAAAATCTGTCTCAAAAGTCACTTTTAGCAAAGATTCAAAGTAACCCTGTTATTTTTTACAAAAAAATTAAATTATTTAATTTGTTACACTAGCATATCAGCTTATTTTCAACCTAATTTTCAAGCTAATTTTCAAGCTATTTAGTAAATAAAAGTTCGCACATTTTTATTATGTTCTGACTGTACTGAGTTATACCACTTATTCTCTTCATATATGGATGACAGCTTATATACTACTTAATAGGACTCTGATGAGGATGTGTTTTGAAATTTAAATTGGCCTAAAGGCAGAGTTATGTACACTATGCAATTTTTTTTGCAACTTGCCATGCAATTCTACTCCTGAGGCATGTAAAGTTGTCACATACATTTCTTACTATACTAACGTTTTCTTAGCATTTTGACTACTTTTTGCAATTTAGCATCTATCGAAATTACAATTGCATTGCAAGTTGCAAAGAAAATTGCATAGTGTAGCCCTGAATGTGTACTTTTCTTATTGCTTCATTATCAAAAGCACTAACTGGGATTTGTACCATGCCAAATTGAACAATGCATCATCATGATATATTTAGGTCCTTGTTTTGTGCATATGGCAGTCAGATAAGAAGACACAATGTATCAACAGGAGAATTAGTCTCATTGTATGATGGCCACAGTGATGAGGTCACAGACCTAAGTATTATTGATAAAAATCATCTTCAGGTATTGTATATTTTGATACATGTTTTTTACTTATAATGTTCATATTTATTTATTTTGTTGTCTTTTTAGCTGATATCATGCTCCCTGGATACAAATATTTATTTCTGGGATGTCTTGGATGGATCCATCATAAGGGTAAGCTGTGAGAAAGGTAATTATTCGGCCATTATTTTCAAGTGTAAATTGTTTCCATTATTTTCAAGTGTAATCTACTCTCTTGTAGAAGTACAAATCAAATTATCCTGTATATGCTGTGAGTGTTCATAAAAATCATCCAGACACAATTTTTATAGTTCAAGAACATAAAAAGAGTAAGCTATAGAGAAGGTTTTTTAAAATTGTTAAATAATAATGAAGTACTAGTATGATATATTTAACATATTTTATGATGATCTGTATCTCACATGTTTATGAATATATTTCTCTTAGAAAATGGAAAATTTTGGTTTGGAAAAGCAAGCGTAACAACTGAAAACAATGGTCTTAACAAAGTAGATTCTGTTCTGAATTTTCAAAAGATTTGCAGGATTGCAAATAGGCCTGACTCATATTCTTTTAGTGAAAAGGTAATGTGTTACATCATCACATTTTTCCTCACAATTGTTATTCCATATAATATTTTCTCTTGTTATTTAACTATCAACACAATAATATACTGTACTTATTAGTATTACAGTATACCAGTGCACAACTAGTGAAAAAATACATTGTGTAGGGAGACCAAGTTGCTGTTATTTCCAGAAACCACTTGCAAATATGGTATTTTGCAAAAGAGAATTTAATAAAGTATGTGAGTTGATTGTATTTCTATAGAAAATGGATAAATGTTGTAAATTTACCTTCACATGGGACCATGCTTGAATTTTTCCACGTCATGTGTTCACATTGTTAATATTTGGGTTCTTCATGTTATATATGAGAGAGATTTAAGAGATTTAATAACACATCGTCGAGAGGAAACAAGAAATTTGGGCAGGGTACCAAATCCTTGTTTTGTTTTTATTGTAACAGACATTATTCCAAAGCCCCCTTTACATCGATTGCATTTCATCCATTTGATTCTTGCTTGGCTACTGGTCACGACAATGGTAAAATAATAATATGGTATGTGTTGTTTTCTGATGTTCTGCAAACTTTTGTAAACTCATTCAATACATACCTGTACCAAATGTGACGATTTAAATCTGTGCGCATGCTAACCATCTTCCAGGAAAAATCTACAAATCGATTCAAAACCCATCTGTACAAAACTTCATTGGCATGCTCATTCAGTAGCGAGTTTAAATTTCAGTAATGATGGTATGTGATTTGTGTTTGATGAAGGGACTCGTATGTAAACCTTTTACATTGCATATGTTTTTAATTAATATGCTATCTTTATCTGTACCTTACCTAATACCTACTAAGCTATGTTTTACTATATTATTTTGTATTTAATCATACATTAACTACAGCACACAAGTTAGAACATACAGAAAGTTAATCACGAGTGAAATGCAAAAAGTTCTCCCATTTTCAGGTGCTTATTTATATTCTGGTGGAGAAGAGTCAGTTTTAGTTTTCTGGCAAGTTGATACAAGTCACAAGCAGTTCAAGCCTCGTCTTGGTGCACCAATAGCTCATATTTGTAACAACCAAGACGATACAGTTATTGCTGTTTGTCATACTGATAATGGTTAGAATCCTTCCTGTTGTTTGTTATTATTACTGTGTCTGGATCTCGTTATAACTGGCCCCTGGGGAAATCTATGACGTCACAATAACCCCAAGAATACCCATAAATGATCAAATAAATGTATATAGCATTTCCTTATAAATTAATTCTGAGGCGCTTTTTTTAAGTTGTTAATTTGGTTTCTGCTGTGGATTTGTCTGTGGTGAACGTTGTCCAAGGTCTCGCACGAGGTTAATAGCTACGTTTCCTTTTTTGCTATCTTCAATATTACTTTTTTTTATGAACTGCTTGTTTAATGTTTCAATATACTCCTTATTAAAGGTATGTACAGTATTTTTGAACTGAAAATCTTAAATTCAATCTTTGCAGCCAATCATGTATATACAGGTCTATTGGCAGATCCTCTGAGTAAATCGCTAGTGCTGAACAGCCAAGATGGCAAACTGCAATTTTACCAGCCTGATACAGATAGCCTTGCGTTTACAGTAAGTGAAAGAGTATCTCTCTAAAGGAAAACAAAATATGGAGGTATTGAGCCCAGCGAACGAGTTCGCAAATGGATAGCTTCAAACCTCATGAAAAAAAATATACCTCAAATGGATTCATACCCGGTGCATGATATTATTCTATTAATTTCTTGGTATTATTTCATTGTGTTATTCTTCTTCGTATTATGTAGTTGGAAATTGTGAAACAAAATTACATTTCAAAACCTAAAAATGAACCGCTGCAGATGACTGCTGTAGAAAAAATATCGTTTTCATACGATGGCAACTGGCTTGCGACCGTAAGTACTTTCAACAGACAACACTCTGATAATTCGATGTGACATCCTTTGAAGTGCCGACATGAAACAGTCAATGTCAATCATCGATGATACAGTCCCGGACGCGTTCCGAACGCAAATGGAACGAGAATGCACTGTACTGTATACGGGGGGAGCGAAACCATTCCCTTGCGATTTTGTGGCACTTTACTATATAGATGAGGAATAATGTCTAAAAGGATTACTAATCTTTCGAGTGGAATTTTCACAATCCAAGTTCTAGCCCGGGAACATCACTTCGAGCATTGCACCGGAGGGGCAGGCGTTAGTTTAATTCTTATTTGAGGACCAATATGGTTGATAGAAAATTCTCAACAGTTCCTCGCTTTAATTTGAATTGCCTATATCTTCCACTCATAATTACAGCTGTTATTGGAAATTGCTTTAGTCACACTCTAAACACATTTCCATAAGGATCTTTTAACGTTGTTTAAAGTTTAACGACATTTTGGCGATGTTTTGTATGCTATTTTTCTGTCTTTAGGTCGAAAGACGAGACGATGGAAAAATGACACCAGAAAACCGTTTGAAATTTTGGAAATTTAATAATGAATCGCAAAGGTAAAATACATAAGTGTAAATGAACAATACAAAGCGATGTGATATATGATCACCTTCAATTTAAAGGTGACAAAGTAGCGATAGTCACAAAAAATCTCAAAAGTTGAAATTTATAAGAAGCAACTATAGACATACTGTCTACTCACTATTTTTATTAAGGCCACAATAATCATTGTGGAAAACACACTAATTTTCTCTATAATAAAATTCCAGTCAAGTCATTGTTACCTACGTAAAACATAAAGAATACAAGATCTCAAGAATTATTATTTTTGTACCTCAAAAGCACATCATATGGTTGTTATTACGGGTAATATCATGAAAACAGTTAGTGCATGAAAATTTTTTCCTTAGGCACGTATTAAACACGTGTATAGATCCACCCCACGAGGGGCAAGTCGTTGCAGTCGAATTTCAACCTGGTTCATTTGATATTCGGCGTGCCATGAGTGCTGCCGTAGACGGAAAGTTTAAAATCTGGATGTTGAAAAAACAACCTGACATAAAAGGTAAGGATAATTTACCATTAATAATTAAACTTGAGGTGTATGGAATAAATTCAGTGCAGCTCCTTTAGTGTATGCTATATGTAGTCAAATTATAGATTCCCCGCAATCAAGATTATTCAGTTGATGATTTTGTAATCACTCAATGATTATCGGATAAGCCGATTAGGGAAGGGGTAAATTATTTCCGATGGCATTCAGCTTGACTGTATGCACACATTACTTGATATAACATATATTTGCCTTCGTAGAGCACAGAGAAGCTTGGCTCTGTCAGTCCGTGGGATATCTTCGCGACGAACCTGTGGGGGATGCCACATTTTCCTCCGATGGTTCTCTGTTGGCGGTGGCGTATGGCCAGGTATATTACGGACACAGGCGGGGTCAATCTTGTAACGCGTCAGTCTTGTTTTTATATGTCGTTTTGCATTCAAGTTCTTTATCTTTCCTCTTTATCTTCAGGCTCTAACTTTATGGGATCCTTGTATTAATGAACAAAAGAAAACATTGTATACGCCTTATTCACACAATATCAGGTATAAAATATCATTGTTGCCTTTAAGATTATGGCTACCATGTGCAAGCATTAATGCTTGATAAAATCACAACGCCACTCATGGTGTGTTGCTAGATCTGAAGATCTAGTGGTGTGCCGCAGAACTGAAGATAATTTAGTCTCTTGGTTTTTTCAACAGGCAAGTGAAGTTTGGTAGAAAGTCGTGTTCTCATATCGCATTAGCTTCAACAAAACATCACCTTATGGCTTGGGATTTACTATCATGCACTGGTACGTATACTATCTATCAACAATCAAAGCTCTTCAAAAACGTGTTAAGTGCAAGTTAAAAGTTTTTGTGTAATCATGAACACAATTTAATTGGAAGCTCTGGAATATTTGTGTTATTCTTGGTCCGTTAAAAACGTTACGTTCCTTGAAACGTTAAAAGAGGTTCGGTCGTGATAATTTTTTTTGTTCACCCGCGCTTTTGTACGTGTGCTCCGGTATTTATACATTTCAATTGGTATTGCAGTTTTATGGGCGACAAAGGCTGAGGTTATATCCATTCTTCCCGACCCGTGCAGTTATGTGATGGCAGTCTTTATTAAAATAAACGATAAAGAAGTTCATCGTAAGTTGATGTGAATATTTCAGTTTATGTTTTTGAACGATAACAATTGAGTGATAACGCTGTTTTGCATCTAATTATGTGCTGTAAGACAATTATAGAATCAGGAACACGAAAGTAGAGTTTCTTTTTTCTAAAATTCTTGATTTTTTTCAGTTTATATGTTTGATCCTCGATCAGCCATACCTATTGCTATTCAAACAAATGTTTTACGAAATTCCACTTTCTTGGCCGCTGGTTTTCAGCCTAACACGAGAGGTTTAACGGTCCAGAATAAAAACGACGATATCACAATGGCAAGATTATTTTACATGAACGACAAGCAGGTAGGGAAAACGTGAAAAGACCCTCTGATGCCGCTGACAGTACAGTATATATCACTTTACAGTATACATTTTATTACATTTAGTACAGCGAGATACATATGGCAGAGCCTATTACAGAACTATGCATGCATGTACACCACTGTACAGCAATTTTTACATGTTTAACACCGTGACAATTCTAAGAGGATCTGTCCTGCATGTCCTTTGTATTACAACAATTTTGTATTTAATAACTTTTGTTATTCCTAATTTTGGGATGTATACGTGCAGGTACTGTATACGATTGATGGCACTGAAACAGAGGAGATATTTCAAGCCAGGGTAAGCCTACAATATGTATGCCGGAAGAAAGAGAGTATGGTCGAGACTTGCTGAAGAATCTCCGCCATGCATAATCTTTGTCTATACAAGGCTAGAGTGCGGTTTAAAGATATATAGTTAGGCATGCCACATGAGCTTTTGTATAGAAGTGAGAAATGAATTATGGTGTTGTCAGGAGATGTCCGAAATTTATGCGTGCATGCAATGTATTAAAGTACTTACTAGAGATTGCCACCCTGCAGGAAACAGTAACAGAATCAGAAGAATCATCGGAATTTCATCGAGTGTTTGGAACATCTACTGATCGAGGTGAATCATCGTTTCAAAATGTTTGAATACGAATAATTTACGCTCTTCTCATGGGCGAACATTTTGAGATTGGAGCTTACCCGTTATTTCTAATAAAAACTTTACCTTTAAACGCTTGTAGCAACTCCAAAAGATGTTCCTGTTGAGGCTACAGCCTTTCATAATAGAGAAACTTCAAACTTTATCCGTGAGGTGAGAACAGGACGAGCTAACATTTAGCAGGTTTAAGAGGTTTTGGTACTGCAGTAGAGTATGTACACAAGATGGTCGTTATTTAATTTCAACTATACTAAAATATTTTTAGAGAGACTCTTCTTTCGTAAGTCTCCTTCATTGTGCGTGCAGGACAATGATCTGCATGAATGCGCGAGAAATAAACATTATTTTATGGTGTAGATTGTAGAAGGATTTCTTCCTGTACCTTAAACGGCTCTGTCGAAGCTCTCAATGGTTATATATACTGTATCATTGTGAGTCAATATGTAGCCAAGATTAAAAATCTTTCGTTTATGGTCGCTAGATAACAGCAAACCTCCTGTTTTTTGGCATTACCCAGGGAAAGAACATTGTAATGTAGTGATAATATAAGAACCTCATGTGGTGTGGTACAGAATATCTTTTAAAAAGTTAAAGAAACTGTGAAGTCGTTTCTGCGCATGTGTTTTATGAGAGTCTTTGATATAAACAGCACCGAACTTTCGTTTTTATGACTCCTAACGTTGTGTGCAAGCCCAGAATTGTGATCAGCAAGAGATTCCTCTGCATCATGTTCGCAATAGCCTTGCTAATGCAACGGGTGTGCTATAGAATTTAACATAACTTCCTGTCTTTTAGATGTTAAGTGCCCCGTCTCATGTATTACCACCTGTAACAACACTATGTTCAACGTTCCTTCACTCTTTACTCATCAGCAAAGAACCTGGCAGGTAAGAACGATTATTTAATGCTCATTGTCTCCGAGAGTAGTCACTATACCCTGTCTAAATAAAGGGACTAAGTGAGAGATCACCTTTTCTACTTCGTGATGGTGTTTCCATTATATCCTGATGTGAAAATCGTGTATGTGTTTCCATTAGTTGGAGATCTTTGCCTTTTTCTTCACTTATAAACCCTGCATGGTTTACCTTTATAGGATTTTCCGGAATAAAAATAATTTTGTATTTCAATTTCAGCGAGAAACGTCCCCAAAATGATGAAAGTGAGGATGAGAAGACAGGTGAGTGGAAATGTTCTTTCAGAGTAGTTAAGTTAGCAAAACGTAATTACATCATCACATTAGCTATTTGACAAACATTTATGCTCCTGAAATACATTTAAAAGCTGTATATAAAAGAATTCCTAGCGAGCTAAATTTTTTATGCTTCGAGAACAATGTAACAATGGAGTTCATGTTCGCGAGCATAAATGTGTTTTGGCCCGACTCATTTTAGCCCGAGCGTAACGAGGGTTAAAATGTGTTCTGAGGAGGGCCAAAAACACATTTATGCCCAAGAACATCAACTGTATTACTATTATGTAAACTTTAAAGAGCAATTTTTGTGTAAAAAATATGCAATAGGTAAACACTTCAGTCATTCTTCTGATATTTCAGCCCGGTATCATTTTACAAAAACCTCAATACCCGGCAAAGTTAATGTAATGCGTATTTCTTGTGAAAACCTGTCATTTTGTAAAGCTATAGCTACTATTTTTTCCGTAAGTCGGAAATGCTTCTTGTTGATTCACCTGTGTTTGCTTCTTTCATCGCGGCGTTGCCGGGAAATTGGCAATCACATGCAGTTTGTTTTAAATAATGCACGCATGGTGCAGATTGCAGAACTTTTACTTAAATATTTAGTAGTGGGTCTTCATCCCAGTTTGTCCTTTTTTTAACGAGCCTTCCAGAAAGAAGAATTTTTCTTTGTCCAACTTTATGTAAGTTTCTTGTCTTAATTGGAATCCAATCTTTCGTATATAATTTCCGTATATATTCTACCTCCTCTGCTCGTTTCTAATTTAATTACATTAGCATACCATAGTTTTGAATACAAATTCATTACGACAACTTATTGACTACCCTTACTATCCTTCCTTTCGCCTTCGGGTGTTACTACTGAAGACGTCGATTTTTTCCGTAGTATTTTCAAATGTTGAACACAGCCTGTGCAGCAGCCAATTGTAAATACCGAACTTGTTGCTGTGTAGATAAGTGGTAAAATCACACTAAAGACATAAATCATTAGCGTTGAAAACAGACACCATCCTCTTGGTAGATATACCCCGGAAGCATCTAAAGCATACACTATGAATACTGGTAGCCAACAGAGAATAAATGCTATGGCAAGAATAATTAGCGATTTGGCTGCACGAATTGTTTGTCTGAATTCGGTGTCTTCTGAGGTCGCGTCTGAACTTTGAGAGTTTACACGACGACGTGTCCGTAAAGCCAGATGAAGTCGAACCAAATACACCGCTGACAGACTGAGAGGGAACGCGAGCACGCCATATACGAAGATTGAACCGTAAACTTTACTTGCATTGAAACTCAGGAAACAAGCGGCATTTTTTTCTAAGAATCTGTAATTCCCCCAACCAAATAAAGGTGGAAGACAAACCAGGAAAGCGAATATCCAGACTGCTCCAATAGCTTGAAGACTTCTTTTTTTGTTCCAAACTGTCAGATATCCCTTTGAATGAGCGAATAAGTGATAACGTGAAAAACTAAACAACGCCAGGGTATTTATAGCAATAGTCGCCAGCACAGCGTTAATGTAGCCAGAAAGGTTGCACATTGCACTGCTCATTGGCCACTCTCCATGAGCCAAAACTATTATTGTGAATGTCGCACTAAACACACTTGTTATAAGATCGATTATGATAAGGTTTATCGTGAAGATATTATGCCATGTTCGTAACAAGGGATTTCTCCAGATATTAGCACAAGCTAAGAGGTTTAGGACAATCGAACATAATCCCAGTGAACTTGTAAAACACACTTCCAGAATCACTTGGTAGACGGGACGAGATGAAAGAACCATTTTCATTCGAAACACTTGCACTATCTTTAAACTATATACAAAGATTGCCCCAAAGGTTTTTGACTGTGTACATTGTCTTGTGTTTTACTTATGAAATTTTTACATTTGATTGACAATTAATTGTTCAGCTGCATCACCACGAGATAACTGACAGAAATTGTGACACACTATTAAATTTAGGCATAACCAATTTATTTTGTTCTCAAGAAAGAGCTCCGTTAAAACACTATGTCGTTTTTTAGAGTTTGGTATATAAGAATATCCCATATATATACAGTATGCTCTAACCATATGGATAGCTGTTTAACCCCCGTCTCCCCCTTTACCATCAATTTCTTTATTTCATGCCATTTATAAGAATCTTCTAAGTGGAGATTAGAATTATTCATGTCATCATTAGAATTAGAAGTGGAGATTAGAATTATTCATGATTGTCATCTATTTCATTACAGCCGATGAATGATGTGTAGTCGCAGCAGTAAACATCGTTTGAATTTGTAATATCACAATTTCTTTAGACATGACAGTTTAGGTTGTGCAAAGAGCGATTATCAATTTTAACTAATTTTAAAATTTAAATAACGAGATTGTTTTCATGGACGATCAAATAAAATGGGTGATAGTTTGCAAAATAATAACGATTTTAACATCTTTTTGAGTTAGTAAAAAAGTTGAAAAAAACGGAAAAGTTACATACATGCAATCACTTCGCCGTTAATTATCAATTGCGTAATTTTGCGTTCAACGCCTCCAGCGTTTATTAAACATTTTCTTTCTTTTCTTTCATTTACGTGTGCATTCAATTACTAGTTGGGAATTTAAAGGACAGTTTCTGTGTTTTTATATGCAATTACAAATGACATTTGCCTCAATTTGTGACAAAATTACTTATTGCTTTCTGAAATCTTCGCTCAAATATCGTCATTTTGCACAAGTGCTTAGTTTGTACAAAAGTTGCAAAGCTAATTGATGTTAAATTGTGCACTCCAATGTTGTCAATAGTAAATCGTAGTTTAAGCGCCCTAGGATTAATGCATAAGTAATCGATGTCCAACATTTTGAAATAGGCATGTGATTGATTTCTACTATTGATTTTTCTTTCTCCCTACAGCTCTAATGGACACTAGTCAAGAAATTATGACATCAGACGAAGAGAGTATGGTTTCACACGCGCGTAATAATCGTGCAGTTGAGTCACCTGAGGAAGTCCAGATAGCAAAGGATTCTTATCAAGACGAGACTGTAAATGATTTATTTGAAGTAGACTTCGCATGGATGAGTAGTTTTTTTAAAGAGATGTCATAACGACGCCAGGTTTGTACAGTTCAAGACAGAGTTGCCGGAATACATGGGCCAAACACTATCAAGATAACAAAGAAAACCAAAAGGCCAAAACAAAGGGTTGTAATGACTGTGTTTTGGGCTACATTTTTTATGAAATCCGGCAACTCTCGAATCATGATACTTTGTTTTCATATTGAATAATTTTGTCAAATTCTATGGCTAATTTCGATAACTCCAAGAGCTAGTGGAATAACAGGTTACTAATATGAGACAAATTATGTACCTTTTCCCGCAAACTATTCAGGGAATATCTAAGTAAAAGAAAGACGATTTTAGGATATTATATAGATACAGAATTAGTATTGTCAAATAAAAGGTATCTATGGTATTTTTAACTTAGTAAACGAACCCAACTACAACATGGCCAGTACTGACATACAGTCCGGAAATTCGGCAAACATCCGATTCCTCTATGTTCGATAGATATCTTTAGAATCCTGCTTATTTACCCTATGCTAACATGAACAAAACTAGATTTAATTGACACTGTCTACAAGTTTCGTGTTCATCGCGACAAAAATCGTTTATACTACACGTCCGGGATATCCAACAGCTGGAAAGATGATATACAATCCATTAACCACGTGACAGGCGCGGTACATAGGACTGGGGAGTAGACAATTTTAAGTTGATCACATGATGTCGAGTCGTATAAGATAAACTCGGTACAACACGATAGCGAGGAATTAGCTGGAGCATGATAGGCTACTTTTGGTTCACGTGATAATGACGTCACGACGGGACTTGAAGGAAGTGACGTCAAATCGTCATCTTTAACTTTTGGCTCCCTGTGTAACAGTTTTCCACCGCCAGCAGTAATGAGTTTGATGATATCTTGTCTACTGGGTGTTGGAGGGTTGAACACACCACGAAGAAAGAATGAGCAGCCATCAAACAATCGAGGCATCTAGAAAATGCAGGAGAAAGGCCAAGATAATTAGTAGCACCGAGTATTGTTTTTATAAACATGTCTTCTATTCATGGGCAAAATGGGAAGTAAATTATAGTAAATTTACTAAACTGATTGTAATGGCATATGTAAACGTAGAGAGGACTTAAAGACATGGAATTACAATTGCCGGAGGGTACGAGAAACAGAGGATAGTTGAAGCAACGATACTGAACGGAAAATGGGTGCACACCTGTTGCAAGTTGTTTAATCGTGCTTTTTTTGCTCCGTTACACGTCTTTCCCACAGTTCCTTGTACTTCGTAATCATCTTCATCTAACCATTGACACTGTCCAAGACAATCGTTAATCCCTAAAATGTTGTTTTGACACAACAAGACATCTTCACATACATTCTTTTACATCTGCCGTAAGAACACACCATAGACCTACTAGAACTCTATTCTCTTAGGAAAATACTCTATATACTCACATTGAAAACTAACAATCCATTTTCCTGTTAAGATTCCAAACAAGTTTTTAATTGTCCTGGGGCAATGACCGTTTTCATTCACAGACGTTACAATGTGGGTTACTGTTGAGAAGAAAATCATGTCGATTGTACAGGGGTTTTAATTTCTTAGAGAAAAATCAGTTTGATTCACTTCGATTACTGTCGATTGCAAAGATAAGAAAGATAAAGTGGAGAGAAATAAAGTATATACAGTAGCTACATATATGGTGTCATGCAGTTTCCGAAAGTTGCCTCCAAAAACAATCTTGCAGTGTTTATAAATGGAAATTAGAAATGAAGACGAGCTTATTTATTACATTAAATTCAAAACCTGATTCATCAAATTTATCAACAAGTGTTCCACCAAGCTGCTTGATACATTTCTTCAACTTGAGCTGAAAAAGTGATGCTAATGAATGAGAATACTCTGAAGCTAACAAGTATATGTTATAACGGCAGTGAATATACTGCAGGCTTACTTGATCCTGTGTTTTGAGTGCAGTACCAAGAATGACTTGTGATTCTCGGCAGATAACCGTGTATTTCTAAGGATTGAAAAAAAATTGAACGATCGGTCGTGAACAGGCATGGACATAAGAAAATAGTGAAGGTGAAAGGGAGAAGAGGTGAATGATCAATGAAAAAACAACGTATGAAAAGTAATTGCCATGATATTGAAAGAGTATTGATTGATTATAGATTTGGTATGCTAAAGTTTGTATGCCCATACCTTTACATTTTCAATGTCGTTAATCGGCTTAGCTTCAGACGATACACCACGTGCTGTGAGTGCAGTTTTCATTGCCTTAGTTACAGCATAATGCATTGGCAATAAACCTTGCTTATTTCTGAAAAGAGAAGTTTTACCGTATAATCCGCCGTATATAAGCAAATTTTATTTTAGGGTGTTCTTATTAACCAAGAAACAGTATACAGGAATGCCTTTCTCTTTTTTTTACTGGGGGTATTTATTGTACCTGGCTGTTAAAACAGCTCCTCTTGACACAAGAAGTTTGGCGACTTTCAAACGGCCGTTTGCAACCGCGTCGTGAAGTGGCGTGTCATTGTCATGCCCAGGGATATTTATTAAAGCATTGTGATCTAATAATAGTTCGACAATTTCCACATGGCCGTGGTTGCATGCTTCGTGCTGAAATGAAAATACATCACGTTTAGCAGAATCGCTCATATAGGTGATCAGCAGATACATGATCTAAAACTGACGGCCAAAAATAATCACAAAAAGTACAATGTCCCTTACTAATGGTGTCCAGCCAGCAAAATCCTTAATATTAGGATCTGCCCCTTCATCGATAAGTTCAAGGGCTAACGCTAGATCTCCCTGAAAAAAGTTAAACACTATTGTCAGACTAATGGGACAGAGTGCCTAGTTCAAAGGCACACTAGTGTCGTAAAATTATAAACCTTGATTGCAGCCAAATGCAGAGGCGTTTCTCCTTTTATATTCCGGCCGCACTGAGATGATACAACAGTATTTTGACTTTGTGAACATTGTGATGACGTGTTGGGATTCCGTAGAATTTCAGATGAAGATGTTAATTTCCTTCGCTTGGCAGGAATTGTCGCTAAAAAGGGTTTATTATTATCACAAGTTATTATAGGCTAATGTAATTACTTATTTAACTGAAATTGAGTGTTTTCATATAGCAAATGTCAGATGCGCCATGTAGTTCGTCTAGATACTAGTTGGTTTCAAAGGAAAAACAGCATGTCAACCCTTTATGTTATTTGAAGACCTAGCCTTTATATAATGAAGTCAGATATTTCGTTATTTACTCACCCTCAGAGTCTTCGTTGGTGTCTTTGTTATTCAGTGGGGTAAAATACTGTTGAATAATAGTATTCTTCGATCGGACTCGTCTTCTCTTTATATTCAGCGTATCGTTATTCTCTTTATATTCGTCATCTGCGGCATTTAGCATCAGGCCAGGTCTTGTTGAAGATGTCTTTTTCTTACCTTTCTCAATTGTATTCTGGTCTGGTTGGTCACGATTTGTAGATCTGTCTTTAAGATGAGTAAATTTCACTTTCTCTGTGGTTCCTTGAGCTGTTCGTTTCGATTTTCTGTTTTGCAAAACAGCACTGCTTGGTTCCACATCATTGTATCTTCCAGTTCTGTGATCTTTGGATATTTTATTTCTGGAAGCTTTATCCATTGATCTTAGTGACGATTTAGTGGTACCATAATCATCGTAATCATCATTACAATCATTATCGTGGTCCTTGTTTTCCTGATCATCAATATCGTAATCAATACCATCTATTTCATGTTCATCATCATTACTATCAGTACCTTCAGCATCAGTAAAACTAAAGTGGAATGGGTCTTCTTGTTGGCTAAAATCAAATCGATCCTTACTCGAATTAGATTTAACTTTGGGATTCGGGTTTATTTTATTTCTAAATGAATTCGTTTTGAGAACATTCTTTTCTGATGCTTTGCGGCATATTTTTTCAGATATTGAACCTCTTTTTGTAACCACACGCTTTGAAGATTTTCCTTGTTGGCCTGATGGTCTTGAACGAGTAGTATTGTCAACGGTGATCTCTTTTATTACATCGCCCTCATTTATGTTGCCCAGTTCGTCAGCACCAGTCATATGCGTATAATTCTCACAATGCTCGTGAATATGTCGTGTTGTGCTTTTTTGTCCTTTTGTTGGAACGGTTTCATTTGTCCTGACATGGTTTGTTTCACTATCGGATTGTAGCAGTGGATCTGTATCAGTATTTATGACCATTGCCGTAGACTGAGTACTGTTAGTAATCTTTCTTCTTCGTAAATTTCTTACTGGTTTTCGTTGTTTCACGTTTTCCTCTTCCTTTGTGGCTTCCTCGTCCGTTTCATCACCGCACATTCCACTATCCCTTCGTCTTTGAACAGACCGCTTTTTAGGAACGTTGTTGGGCCTTCTGGGTATATTTGACACACTTTTAGTCGAATTTTCATTCAGGTTTGCATAGGTTTTCTTAGAAGTTTCCATGATATCGTCATTAGCCTCGGTGTCAGACTCTGTATGGGCTTCAGACGCTTTTTTCATGGATGTTCTTTGTGTTTTTGATTTCGGTACAGTACTGCTGCGATTTCCCTCGCTGTCTGATTCCGTGTTGTTACCAATAGCTTTTGTACTGCTTTGTTGAATGGTTATTTCGTTGTGTTCCTCTACTGCACCAAATTTTCTATTCTCAGAATGTCGTCTTAGACCCTCCTTTCCCGTTATAGATTCTGCTACACTAACTCTGTTTGTTTCACTGTCTGATCCACTCAGGACCCTCAACTGAATGGTCACTTTCTCCTGTTCTCTATGAGACTTTTGCAAATCTTTTTCAATGTTTGTGTTTTCTTTCATGGTTTTTGCGTCTCCAAAGTGGTTTAAGTCACTTTCACTATCTGTATCAGCAGTTCCTCTGCCTCTGGTCATCCTTCCATTTCCCCTGACAGTAGATGATTCTCTAGCAGCCTCATCTGTACTAGGGTTACTTTTCTCGCTTTCAAATTCTACATCAGTAACATCCCTTCCAACCGCTGCGCTTGCCTTTTTCAATGCACTGGAATTCCGTATGGGGACGTTTTTCTTAACTCTTGTGGTTTTAACTGAATTACCATGATTTTCCTCAGTTTCAGATTTTCTGACTTTTCTGCCACACAAGGATAAAGATATCGGTTTCTTGGTCATTTTATTATGCCTCCTGACTGGGTAGCCTGATTCCCTTTCTGATTCTTCATCAGTAGATACATCTTTAACTGTTGCTGTTGACTGTTTCCTTTGTTTTGCCTTTTTGTTTCCTTTGCTTTTGCCTTTGAGTGCAGCTGCTTTTCCAACTTTAGTTTCTTTTCCAAAATGTGTATCTTCAGTTGTTATGGTTGCTGTACCAGTGTGGTTTGTCTCATTTTCAAATTCCATCACATTTTCAACTACTCTATTTTGCTGTTTAATCATTTTGCTATTTGTTTCTTGGAGTCTAGATATACTAACAGACCCAACTTCACTAAATTTTTCCATTTCTTGGTCACAAGGGGGAGGAGAGGTTTTAAGTGAAAGTGACAATGGCTTGGACTTTTTTTGGAGTGCATTTTTCTTAACTGAAATTAAAATGTACATAACAAATATACTTGATGTTTGCTAAGAATGAATTAGTGGGAGTAAATTTTCGGGCTGGTTATGCTACTGAACCTTCACAGCAAACAGGTGATGGCAAATTGCAAGTTCTTCATGCTCTCATAGTTGAGTCATAAATTTAATTATGCTTCTATTCCAGCATAAAACTATTTTAACTTTTAATAGTTAACTTTTTTAACGAGAAATGATTAATTAGCAAACCTTCAATATTATCACCGATTAGTGACTGTAGTTTCAAGCTCATATTCACAGTCGTTGTTAATTGATTGTTTACTCTCAAATCCTTCATCCAGGAGAATGAACCACATTCTGGACACTTTGAATCATGTCCTAAACTTTCTTCAATGCATTTTCTATTTCAGTAAATGAAAATTAATCATTGAAATATTCCAATTTTTATAGTTAAATATGATCTATCATTTTGGGTTTTATGTGACATCACAGATTCCTGCTGTGGTCAACTTGAAATCAGGGCACAGGTACGTTGACCAGGACTGGTTGACCAACACTCAAATCACTGATGAAAATAATTGCATTCTTGCCCACTCCCAACTCTATTATTCTACCTATACATATATACTATATATTGCCAATACAACCTAATGTGTCACACTAATATAATATTATGATTATTACTAGCAGTTACTTAGTGTAACATTGCAATATATAATATAAAAATACCTAGATACTACATGAAGGTCCCTATGCTTTATATTGCTACCTGCAAAAGTTGTGATCACAATTGGCCAAGGTACAGGGATCCTTGAGATAACCTTTACTGTTAGAACAATATAGATAATTAATATCAAACGTAAAATATTTTGAAATTCGTCAGCTCAGCTGAAAGGATCGCATGCATGTTTATATAGTGTTCACTTTACCATATTCCACAGATTAAAAATTTCTTTAGATCGGCTAAAACAGAGCGAGTGCGTGTCCATTCCATATCATGCATAAATCACAATACGAATATTTGTAAAATGTCGTTGATCGTAAAATATAATTTCACAAGCAAGCGAAGCGTCTTCCCTCTCGCGGACATTTTCAATTTCGCGCCTTTATTTTTCTCTGCGTCATTCACGCTTCGCGGTAAAATGGTCCCTGAGTGTACCCAATTATCATCTTTATAGCATACATCTATTTGCTCACGGTGAGTTAAATCTGTGGTTAAATTTTATAACTCAATGATTCTTATATACCAAAATGACGTATCTGTAAAGTAAAGAAAAAACAGTAGTGTAATGCTTTATAAAAATTCACACGAAATTTAAAATCAGCACTTTTAACCGAATATTTCTATGATCCCAATCATCCCATATTGTCATCATATACCACTGATAAACAAAAACAAATAATTCAAAATTTCTGGATGAAATAAAAAACAGGAGGAATTATATATATTAACGCTACCAATTTTCTTTAAACTGTGCCAGTTATTTGAACGAATATGTGGAAGAATAGTCGAGGGAAGAGTTGATGAAGGCAATCCTTTGTGTTTGTGTATCTCCTTTGCTATTGTGGTAATGACTAGGTGGCTAAAATTTAGATTTCTAAGAAATCCAGAACTGCTTTGGTTTAACAATAAATATAGACCATCATGTAATTCATTTATATGTCCTCATACATGTAAACCAGTTAAGTTTGTGTACAATGAGAAACATTTACACTCAACCATCAGTCATGGTGGCATTTGCACTCAACCATCAGCTATCTGGAAGAATAGAAACCAGTACAATACATCTGGTTTCAGAAAGTTCTCTACATACCGGTATTCAAGATTTCTTATCCAAAGAAGGGAGGTTCTCATTTTAATCTTTGCAGGTATGTGAAATTTGTCAGCTGAACTGCTGAAGTCAAAATAGTTCTGCAAGTTCACTGCACATGCAGACAGTATGGCAGAAAACTGGGTACACTGGATTTAGATTATAATTAGAAAAATTTAGGAAGAACTCACTAAGAAGCCTAGCTTGCATTCACAAGTTGAAAATCCTCAATAGTCTGACACACTGAAACTGCCCTCAACTTATGGTTCAACGTATAATTTTATGTTCTAGTTAACTAAAAAAATGCCTTAAACCGCTCAGAATTACGTTTCAGATCAATCACATTTTACGGTAAAATCTTGTGACGTCGTGAAGCGTTTTCCCCCATTTGCCCGTCGTAACGGTAACGCCCGTCGGTCGGGTCAAAGACACTAGACCTGATATAGCTGTAAATGATTTATACTGAAGGGATAAGCGGAGGTGTTCTTTATGGATGGAGCAAGAAACTGGAAAATGATAGACGTGACAAGGAAATGGAAGAGTTGGACGAGATGATGAAAATTTCTCAGGTAAAATCGGTCAATCGTCTAAATTACACGTGACCCTAGGCACTGCCTCGCTGATACCAGTATATCAAATTCAAAACCTATCTGTCCATCACATTTTGGCCTTGATAAGATATTTAAAGCTGTTGTGTTGACAGACGTATTTACAGCGTGAGTAATTTACTCACTTTGCTGGCTAAAGAGTAACCACTAACTAGAACTTAGCATAGACTTAAGACTGAAGTGCATACCATAAATTACTATTAGTGCACTTTCGCCTAAAGAAGTTGGGGAAACTTTCTGCTATTAGTTAGCCTTCGACCACGCCATGTATGAGGGTGAATTTTTTTACCCGAACTTTTGTAGGAGTCACACAATAGTGGGGGAAAACCCGAACTGACTATCAAGTTGTACAAGGAAGCATTACAAAGAGTGAAAACACTCATTGGTTCAGAAGTAAAATCTCATCAACGAATGTCGATTTTAACGACTAAATTTGTTTTTATCATTGATCAGGTACGTGATTGAAACGGCTTTTGGCGACTTGCATGGTATGCAACCTGTATTGGCTATGAGTCGTACGTTTTTTTTGTTTTATAAATTATAGATAGCCAATCTACTTCACAATCTGGGGAAGTTGGATGAGGCTGAAGATTATTACAAGCAAACTATACAGGCCTTGATATCTCATGGTACAGAAAAGGTGTGTAGTTGACAAACGGAACTAAAAAAAGTCTAGTAACTCATTAATCAGCTAATAAAGTATTACATTTACAGTGGATGTCAGCGGCGTACATAGGCAAGACACTTTTTAATGAATTGGCGGTTCTAGGACTACAGTCGCGGAGGTTGTCATTGGACATGCCGTTGAAAAAATTGAAAGTCGAAATTGCCGCTTTCTGGAACAATTTAATCCCCTATAAGAAAATTAAGGCCGACTGTTACCTACGCCACTGCATGCCTTACACATGTAATTTCAATAAGATATACCAACGAAAGACACAATATTGAATTTTTCAAGTCACAAGTCTTTTTCATATTTATATCTATACAGGACGACCATTCAGTCATTGAAATTTCTTTAAAATTGGCCAGCATTTACGCTGAACAGGGAAGGTGAGAATGCATGGAAATTATTCAAGTTAACTCAAAACTCGACAGCTGAATATATGAAGTTTTGAGTTTTCGACTTCATTCGAGGTTATATATAATTCTAGGCATGAACTTGCAGAAAATGGCTTTACATGGTGCGTTAATAACGCAAGAAAGAAAGTGCCAGATGATGGGAAATGTGACATAAATAGGTACAACCAAAATACCAGTCGTATATATATATATATATATATATATATATATATATAACAATTATAAATACAATTCTTTTAATTAGTTGCTACTTTAAGTTTCATGCACTTAAGCAATCATCAGGCAACGTACTAATGAAAACACGGTTAAATTGCATATTCCATATGTCTAAACAACGTGAAAAGCATGATGTCTAAACAACGTGAAAAGCATGATTTCGAGACATAACAAACACGTTTTGCGAAAAAATCGGACTGAAGAAAAGAATAACCGGAACCAAAAGAAATGTAACTGCAGAAATCCTGATCAATGCCCATTAGAAAACAAGTGTCTTATGAATAATATTGTGTATAAAGCTGATGTGATTACGGCGGAGAGCCAACAAACTAAAAGTTATATCGGAATGACCTCGACAACTTTCAAAGAACGCTTCCGAAACCACAAGAAGTCATTTAACGACATCAGATACGAGAACAGCACTGAATTGTCAAAATACGTTTGGAAGCTGAAACAAAGTGGCAAAGACTACGACATCAAATGGTCCATCCTATCTCAAGCACACGCCATAAAAGCAGGTGGAAAGTACTGCGCTCTATGCACAGAGGAAAAACTGCAAATTGTGAATTACAATAAACAGTTTTTACTTAACAAACGCTGTGAGCTTTTCACAAAATGCGTGCACGCACGCAAATTCCTCGCGGGATATTTCAAACGTTGAAACGCGTCAACAAACTAATAGCTCGCGCAATTTAACCGTGTTTTCATTAGTACGTTGCCTGATGATTGCTTAAGTGCATGAAACTTAAAGTAGCAACTAATTAAAAGAATTGTATTTATAATTGTTATAACACGCTCTGCATTCTATGTATTGAGCACTCTGTGTTCTACAAAAGTCTATTTGGAATAGATTTATATATATATATATATATATTATATATATATATATATATATATATATATATATATATATATATATATATATCGGTGTTCAATATCCTCTGAAGTAACCTCGTAGATCTGATCAGTTATAGGAGACAAAAGTTCGGTACCATGCGGGGTATATTTGCGTAACATCGTTGCGTGAAAAAAAACGAGGTCGAGGGTCAGCTGGGTTGACTTACTATTTCTGTGAAATACATTTTGACGCGAGGTTATTCTGTGTGATATAAAGTTTGATACAGACTTGTGACTTTTGTTTTATTCTTAGTTTAGCTCTCCTTGGTATATGCCTTGAAAGCTATGGCAAATATCGTATATCACAAAGAGACGCGAACAAAGCAATTACTCTATTCACAGAAGCGTTGGAAATATCGAGAAAAGTGTTTGGAAGCAAACACCAGCAGGTACATATAGAACATAGTTGTACGATTCTCTCCTTGTATCGCATAAGGTTATTCAAAAGGTACTCCAGGGTGTTTCAGTCGGATGTTGTATGGGTTCTCCACACAATACTCCAGTGTTACTCTCTGGGAAAGCGCAGCGAGGGGAGAGGCGCAAAGGCGGCAGCCAGGGCGCGATTTGTGGATCAGCCCCTTGTGGCGAAATTTTCCTCCCTCTCGAAAAACCTTAGTTGACAAAAGAGAGCCTAACCCCACCCATGTTAACAAAGATCAAAGACAGAATATATGTACCTCTCCCTTTGATTACGTTTTCGTGATACGATTATATCATTACAGGTAGCTATGCTACTGAATAACTTGGCAGTCGCATACAATGAAGCTGGAGATACAGACATGACCAAGACGTTATTTCAAGAAGCAATCGTTGTCGGAAAAGAATCGTTGTCTGACGATCTGTGGTCTTTTCATTTCAATCTCGCTAATATTTTAGTCCTGGATGGTAAGACGTCTTTATAGTGGTATGTCTAGAACATACACTTTGTGATACCTCTTGTAGAAATAAATATTGCCTCCACAAAATAGCTATAGTGCATTTAGCATGACACGCGCATTGTGTGGACACATAATCTGAGACTGAGAGTTGTGCATTCCGTGTGTGTATTCGTAATAAATACAAATTATGAAAATGTGTTACCTAACTAATAGTTTTTATGGTGTTTATATAGGTGATTTAGAAAGTGCCAAAATTGAGTATGAGAAAGCCTTGGAAATATGTCATGAGGACAATGTTAAGTCTAGTATAAAAGATCGGATATCCAAACTACCAATGGTATAACATACTACTGTTGGCAGTGGTAAAGCTTGGTATGTCTATCCTGCTGTCTTTGTAAATGAAGAGATACAAGGTTGAATGGGTGATTGGATGAGAAGCTTTGTGCAAGTAGGACTAGATTTCCATGTTTCACCCTGTTGCATAATTTGCCTTCTTCATTAATTTGTAGTCTTTCAACCTTAATTCTAACTATTCTAAGAATGTTTACATAGTAGGAAAAAGTATATTTGAAGTTTAGTGTGTTAATTTAGTGCAGTACGCTTTTTGCCCTGCTTATATGCTATGATGTCTTCAGCTGCGTTTCTTCTCTTTATTTTTGCTCGGAGAGAACTCCCATATTGATTTGATAATACAGATTGTAGGAATTCCAGTCCATACAATGTTGCCAACAACAAAAATCATCCAGAAATAGAAAAAATCATCCCATACTGTAAAGGAAGGGGGCCAGGAGTGCAGCTGCAAAAAGAATAGAACTGTGAATGTTTCCAACAATATTTAATTGTTAACCATAGATTTTCAATAACCTTAAACAATAATTGAACAATTTGAATTACATACTTTTGGAAGATGTTCAAAACCAAGAGAAACTTCTGTGAATACATATATTATAGAACCAAACATTTGGAATGATGAGGCTAGAATGGCCACAAAAGCTTTGTACCACAATCTCTTTAATATGGCATTATACCTTGGTAGAGAAGAAACAAGTTAATTAATTAAATGCATTATGTTTGAAATAAAATACATTGAAAACCATGCATTTACATGTCAACAAAATGACTTAACTGGTAGCAATCAGATGCACTGCTAGGAGTGAGACAGGTTGTTTAATTAAATGCTTACCATAAAATACATAATGGACACATGATAAAGATTTCAGCAAAAACAATGGCCATAACAGTTGGATCCTTTCCTGAATACCTGGCATCAAGCTTTGCATATTCAGTTACCATCCACCTTGGACCTCGACCAAGTATTCCTATTATTCTAGAAAAATTTTAAAGCACCTGCACTTATTACCAGCACATATTCTTGGAAATTATATCAATACAGCATTTAGTATTACACTTACGCCTCCATCCATATGTGTATGAAGCAACCATTAATCAGTACCCATATTGCAGTGTATTTCTCTGGACCTTGAGGTAAACCACTCCATATGAAGCAAAGCAAAAGAAGTCCAACAGGTACAAGATTGACTGGATCTGTGATATCCAACAGAAAATAGTCTACAACCGATTTCAAGTCCTGCATCTTGTCTTGAAACTACAGTACTATAGAAGGTTATGTCACAGAGGAACAATATATTTTTTCCTCTGTGACTATGTTAGTATGCAAACTTTGACTAGTTGGACTTTGCTCCACCATATCACACCACATTTGTTATTTATAACGGAGCTAACATAAAGTACCCCTTGTCGTACTCGTAAATTATTTATGTTCGATGTTCTGCCACAGTTTTTCTTTATTTTTATGCTTTATCGTATCTGTGCATCTTATTATTGGTTTTTCTTGATATATTTTCAATCACGAAAGAGTCATCATGTTTCAAAAATTTATGAACAAGAAGGATTTCCATCCCGGATCAAAATGGAATATAAAGAGGGTGAGAACTTGAGACGACAATCAGTATATTGAAACTCTGTGACAGTGACACTATAGTTTATACCGTAGCTGTCTTTAGGCACTAAAATGCGTGAAATGTTTGTATGTTCACAAAAACTTGATTTCCTAATGTGTTTGCTCTAAATAAGTTATCCATCGTCTGCATTGATAGAGCATTTGACGATCCTTGCACAGATTAATTGTAAAATTAACCTTTAATACTCCCCTTAGGGCCTACCGCCTGGGGTATAAAACAACTGCTGCTGCTGCTACCTGTAATACTGCCTTAACTAAGGGCTAAGGATATTGTAACTACCCAAATATCATGCAACATAACTGCCAAAGCTAATCAAGACATTTGTGGTAACTACTTGGTTGTCAGCTAGCTGTTTTTTCCTTTATGTGGTAAAAACGGTCCTGAAGACCAGTCCAGTTGTATTTTAGTACTGACAGATTACTTGTACATTCTTCAAAAACTCTGTCAGGGGTGATGACCAACCACCCATTTTGGGCTGGGACTTGCACTTTCTGATGACGTTCTGCACATTACCAATACATAGTAAACATGCTTCTTTATCCAGGTATGGATGGCAGAGCAGAAAAAAGCAGCAGATGAACACAAACAGGCAGAACTTACTGAGCAATATAAGAAAGAGCAAGACAAATTTGAGAACAGGTCTTTCAACTGTTTTTTTCTTAAGTTTACAAAATTCATAGGAAAGAAATGAATCTATACCAATTATAGTTTAACTATTTATGTTCTAGGCAATTAGTGAGCAAAGATGAAAAACTAAAACTTGGACTCAGCTTTGTGTATGATGCTCCACCGGGATTTAAAGGTTTTGTATTGATGACAAGTCCAATGACTAACTAATTCATGAAGATGCTGTAAATAAAGTGCATCAATATGATATTATACTGCATTATATTCATTATTTTTGCTTCTTTTTTTATACTATGCAAATTTCCTGAAATAACATTTGGGCAGACAAAAAAAAGGTACAAACTGTTCTCAGGAAACATTCATTAGGATTGGCTAAGACATTGATTTGTACACTTCTTTGGTAGTACAAACACTGAGCAAGTTTAAATCTGCTAATTAAATTTATGTAATTTCAACAGTATTCAACCATTACAACAGTATTCTACTGGTATAATCCTCCATAATCTATAATGTATGAGATGTTCTATAGAACATCTAAACTTGAATATTCTATGGGGTTACTTAGGAAGGTGAGGAATTGTCAAAACCAAAGGAGGAAGAAGAAGTAAAGTTTGAATGGTTGAAAGGAGCTCCAAAAGAAGGGTAACAATAACTTTGCTTTGGCAATATAATATCCACTTCTCTGTTAAATCAACTTAATATCTCTTGAAATATACTTTATTTCAGTTTCAAATTTATGTCAGAACTGTATAGTTTATACTGCATGTAAAACTAAGCAAGTTCAGCCAGTTTTATAATGAGTAAACTTTTCGTTTTTAGGTACACAAAAGATCTCAATCTTGAAACTCATGCTCAACCGTTTGGAATTCCTGTATGTATGCCATGTCTATACTTTATTTATACATGTAAAAGATTTTAAATTTTAGTGCATAAACATATTGATATTGGTTTGAAAAATATTATGAATTTTCAAATTTCCGTCTTTACTGTTACAGAAGCACGCTGTCTAAATTTTTGTAAACACCTGAACTGGGCGAATTCCTCCAACGTAGCCTTAATTTTCTTCTAGGTACGAAATGTTAGATGTATAAAATGTCACAAATGGGGTCACGTTAATACTGATCGAGAGGTGAATAGACTTGGTCATACATGATTTGATACATTTGAGTATTCTCTCTCCACGCGATCCGTGCCTTACGACAAAATATTCTTTTAATTCTAGTGTCCCTTGTACAACAAATCTATCAGTACAGAACCGTCCTCTCTCACAGGTAAGAACGATGTCTTTTCTTTTGCTGTACTTTTTCCTAAAGAGAACGATATCAATATTTTTAAAAATCTAAATTTTCTGCTAAATCACTCTGTCTTTTTAACAACATGGTTAGATTTTATATGGCTATTATAAAACATGGTTATATTATAAAACTGTTAAAACAGTTTTTTTCTTTCTTCTTCTACTATTTGGTAGAGCTTTACATCGTGTTCCTAATAAAAATCGATATTTGTTTCACACACTGTTTTTTTTAAGATGCTAATATCAGTGATCCGGTGAAGTTAATGCAAGAGATGAGGAACGATGGTTTTGCTTTAAAACAAAATGCTCTTGGTCGGGTACTCAATAAAAACGACCCCAACCAGGTAACACTCAAGTTCCATGATACTTTTCTCCAAAAAAGGGTTGCATCCGCGTCCAAACTAATGATGAAACAGTTTGCAAACCTTTTTGGTTTCATTTTAAAACGTCGAAAAGAATTCAATCAAGAATCAGCCTTGTTTGATTTCAGATTTGTTGTATGAAAAGATGTATATTTTTAATTTTTCTTTACCTCATTTGTCGCTTTGCTTCACACGCTTCCTCAATTTTTGTTCTATACCCCACATCGTTTTTCAGTTTTCCTATTTTTTCCTCAGCCCGACACGCCGGCTATGAATGACCTGTCCCTTAATTAGAGCTGAAATGGCTGTTACAGGCTTGTTTGTTTTTAGATCAATCATTTAGTCCTTGAAACCATTGTGTTTTCACTTTTATTTAATTCAGCAAATCCTTGCATCTGATGAAGACGATGCTGACGATGATCCAGAGCTAGCGTTCCTGGCGACTTTAAACGAAAAACAAAAACGAAAGCTACTGAGGTAAGGCAATTATGTTAGGTTAGGCAAGTTTTAGAGATTAACCAGAAAAGGCGTTCATTGATATTTACAGGATTACTTCGGGAACATGCAATGATATGTGTAATTTATACTGAAATTTGTTTTTTTATGTTTTCTGTTATTAATAAGAGTTATGTGGTGTAAATCACGTTAGGAACAGTTCAGGATGCATTGGTACGAACTGCAGAGTTGTGTATTTGTTTGCCATTTTGTCATTCTGTCGTCTAGGAAACTGGACAAACTTGAGAGCAAGGAGCAGGAAAAAGAAAAACGCAAAAGTAAGAAGAAGAGGAAACATTCCGACTCTGAAAGTGAAAAAGACAGCAAGTCCAAACGCAGGAAAAAAAGGAAGCAAGATTTATCCCGAAGCGAAAGTAGTGATGATGGACATTCAAAAAAGAAGAAAAGAAAACAAGAGAAAAATAAACGGGATAAAACAGAGAAGGACAGAAGAGACAATAGATCTGTTTCTAATAAATATCAAGAAGATCGATCACACAAGAAGAGATGACACATCTGACGATCTTACCTGGGGTTTCTGTCTGCACCATGCACACTATGACGTATATTGCCCCTCAACTAGCTGAAGATACACCCTCGCTATATGGTGTATATGATGATGGAAACGAATCTTCTCGTTTACCACGTTGGTAGTCGACCTATATACAGCTGGAGTGCTGTTAAAATTGTGACAATCGTGACAATGATTACATAGCATATTCCAAAGACTGCAAAGTGGAGTTTTGCAGAACCGCGTATAAATAGATTCTGCTATTCGCAGGCTAGGAGATTGCTCGCCATTTCAATATGTTTTAAACCAGATGTACATCACCATGCATCCTCAATGAAATATTTCATTCTCTTCACGGATTGATGTTTCATGTGCCTTATCAGATGTCATAATCAAGTCCAAAATCCAAAAATACCAACTGGCCTTTTTTTTTAAAGAAAATTTCACACTTCACCTTTTGTAACTTGAACACAGGGCAGGGGCGCACATTTGGAAGAGTGCAGTGAACTGGAAGAGTGTATGTGGTGCCCGTGCGGCTGCCAGACGCCCCCTATCGTTAAATTATTCTGAAAACATGTATGGGACGAAGAAAGTCGGTCAGGAAACCTGTATAGGAATACTGTATATCTGGTCATTGCTAAGCATCCAAACTATTTCATTGGCATGAATGAACCAACACTCCCAACAGGAAACGAACCACCAGCTAATTCCCAATAAATTAAACCACACCCACACTTGAATAAATTAGAATAATGTACTTGGCGGGAAATTTGGCAAGATGTCCGCCAAAGAGTGAAAAAATAAATATCACGTTTATATTATTTTTAAACGTTCTAGATATAAGATATTTAGTCTCCATTTATGGAAACATCTCTCCATGGATCCTAATACTGCAATTGTGTTTGAAACTATTGGACTAATTAAAAAAAGCCTGCAATGTTCTATATGGTATGTTCACGCTCTGTATATTAAAATATCAGTTATACCTCCTTATTTTGGTGTATTAATGTAGTGTACTGTGTATAAAAACTAGCATCTCTTAAAATATTTTTAGTCTTGACCTGTTTAACGATCCACATTCCACCAGATGTAACCATCAATTCTGCAGGTATGTTAAATTTGAAACGTCAAACTGCAGACTGTCTGACTGCCAAACAAATATAAAATATTGGAACCAATTTTGCATTGTGTTCTACTGTATGTAATGGTATATATGTCCAAATTACCAACATAGATTCCTAGTAAATTCTTTGATTGAGATCATTTAAACCAACTGCCAACATGGTGTCCTATCAGAGTTACGTACTTGGGTATCTAGTGTACACTATGCATAAGCTTTTTTTTTCCTTAAATATAAACTATGAAGATACAGATCAATTTTGCCACAGGAAATGTCCAGATTTATGAATGGAGTTCTTGACTTGACCATAATTCTTATTTATAGCTGCTGTATTAAAAAGGTAGTTGATGAAAGAAAAGAGAAAAACAAGGAAGCACTTTGCCCTCTTTGTAAAAATCCAATCACAAAAAGGTAGGCATATTTTTGCTTGTCTTCTATATTACCCACAGTATGCTGACTTTGCATTTATTTTCTCCTAGCCATTGCAAGATTACCAGGCCTCTAACAATATTGTAATATTTTAGGAGTTTGACTTCTAATCCCAGGCTGAGAGAAATAGTTGAAGTTGTCAGGAGATTAAACCTTGCATTTCAAGAAGATGCTGGTATACCAGGTACTATCAGTTACAGGGTACAACAAGATGTGGCTAGAATTATATGAATAAAAGGGTCATATATAAGACTTGACTAGCTTCATACTCTTGTAGCTTAATCAGTGGGGGTACTGGGGGAGAGAGATGGAAGGTAGTCCTCTAATGATGTCTTGATCATTTAGACTCTCCTTATCCTTTGGTTAATACAAAACTGTCTGATGTAGAGAATAAGAACTGTTTGCAGTCTTCTTTCTCAAATCCAACTCCACTGAAGCCATCAAAGGTAATTTTTATCATCAATTTAAAGTTTTAAATCTATAGATTGGCTTTGCATTTGATCCTATGTGATACCCTTTAAAACAATCCACACTACCCAAACATTACATAGGATGATAGGAATAAATTTACTTCTTTCATGAAATTTTTAAGATTAGTTCATTTTGTAGTAAGGGGACTGTCCTTGAATTGCAGAGGCCTAGGCACCACTTGAGTTGCATTTCTTGCAACATTTCCATTTAGTCTTCCATCATAATTGTAAATGTGTTTCCAATGACCCAATTAACTATTTTATTTTTTGCTTAGTTCAAAAGATCTACTTTGGGTGGTGTTACCAAAGAGCAGCAGTTGGACAGGTACCAAAGTGACTAATAACAATATTACCTTTGCTGTACTACAGTCTTTGATGGTTATAGCCCTTCTGTAATTATTGTAATATATTCCACCTTGATGAAATAATTTAGGCTGATCCAAATCCTACTGTACATAAATATATTTAACAAATTTTCTCAATATGTTAATGCTATCAAATTGGATAAATATTGTATTTATATATAGCAGTGTTAACCATGAGTCATCAAATCACAACATCTTCGGAGAACAACTGGAAAAAAATGATAATGCTTTAACACCACAAGAACGAAGATGTTCTGGGTTTGAAATCCTTTCATTGTTGGAAAGCAAAGAAGATGCCCAAACAGAACTAACAAATAAGCAAATTACTTTAGGTATGCACTCGATAATTTCTACTTCTGTCTATATGTTGCAGTATTATAGCGACACAAGTCAAGTCAAGATTTGACTCACTACCTCTTGGTATTTATTGTGCTTGTGATTGGTTGATTTGACAGACATGTCACATTTGATTGGTTCATGTGCTATTGCATGATAGCGGTAGAAGTCACATCTGAACTCCGCCGTTATTTTGACATCTATTTTCTTACTGCAGATGATGAAGTTAGCCACAATGATGAACTGTTGAAAGATAAGTCTAGGTATATACAATCTTTCTTGACTTTTTTAATCATTACTATCCTCTTTCCCATTTTATGGGTGGAGGAAAGGCAATATATTATTAAAATATACTGTAATTACTCGAATAAACGCCTCCCTCGAATAAACGCCGCCCTCGAATAAATGCCGCAGGGACAAGCAAAAATATCATTAAACGCCGCCCTCAAATAAACGCCGCAACCTTTTCCTCATTGCAGTGTTTATTCGAAGCATTTATTTATAACCACAGTTCAATATTCATATATAATGATATAAGAGAAAAGACACGTAACTTTTATACTTTGTTTTTGGGGGGATTGATTGTATTGGTTGAATTGGCGTTTAAATTACACAATAAATTCAGAGTTGTTACGAGTTTGCAATAAACGCCTCCCTTGAATAAACGCCGCCCTCGAATAAACGCCGCATCTTAATTGCTAAAAATTCAATAAACCCCGCGGCGTTTATTCGAATAATTACGGTATATGAAATATATATTTTGAAATTGATTCAAATTAAATTCTTTAGGAATACGGAACTCCCAAACACAGGAGGATCCTCCCAAACAACTCAATTACAAACAGCAAAGAGTCCAGAGAATGGCAGCACAGCTAATTCTAATAGTTCTGGTTCATTAACCCTTGATCCAAGAATATCCTCGCCATCAAGTGTGTTATCACAGGATAGTGTGTCTCTATTAGATGGCTTATTATCACAACAACTGTGTCCTGCAGTTGAGAACACAGATCTCAGAGAAGCAGATCAAGAGGTTTCTCGTACACAAGACAGTGACACTTATCACTCAAACACTGATGATGAAAATAACATTTTGAAATCTTCTCAAGAAGAAATCATTGCTAATTGTACTCCAAATACTCCTAACTCCAGAGGAGCTACTCCCAACTCCATAGGAAATTCAAATGATATATTTAGTGAGCTTCAAAAGTCTCAGAATGGTAAACGTCTAATTAGCAAAACACCTAAAACAGGCCGGGGAGAAAGCGGCTACGTTACTCCTATCATTTCTAATGAGAGTGATTCTGAACGGTATTCCACAAGCGAACGTGTCCCTCCTAGCGTAGAATCAGATTCAGAGTCATACAAGGTAATTCCGTTACCTCGTTATGAAGAATATTCAGACGATGAGATTTCACCAGAATTTCTGGGAATCCGCTCTCGCAGCGTTCGGTCAACGCCCGATTGTTCCCATAAAAGGAACGATGATTTTAACCCTATTGTCGAGGAATTTTCAGATATGACAATCCAATCATCAATGAAAGAGAAAAGGTTTGGCACTATTCAAAGTAAGCAATCTGAGGTGGCATCTTTAGAGAATATTGCCAATTCTCAAGCAGATATTAAAAATCCTGACTCATCCGTCATTTCCCCGTTACATTCGGGGGGTTCTTTACGTCTGCACCAATCCAAAAGAAAGCGCAGTCCAGGAGAAAACGATTCTTTGAAGTGTCCACGACTCAGTGATGAAAGGCGAGGTAAATCTAAAACTTCCATTGAGAAGAAAAATGAAACCTTAAAACCTGATTGTGACAATGGCTTGAAATTCCTGAAGACAAATCGAAGGCAAGCCAATTCCAACAGCAAGCTGCAAGTCACCAACGAAGTTCGTAACGCAAGTAGACAGGGAACCGCTAATCAATCAAACGAGACTACCAGAAAGAAAACAAATTATGATCAAAACTTATCTCAAGTAGAGAAGATGTCAAGTGATACGGAGGACGATATAATTCCACCCACACCCCCTGTGAGGATTCACGAACCTCCCGGAAATGGTTCAAATAACGAGATATTGAACAGGTTTTCAAGAATGGAAAATGTTTCTGAGGCGAACATACATGAGGTAATTGAGGAAGATTGCCTAAAGAATGACTTAGATGATGGCATTAACAAGTCAAGAACTTCAAGGTCGCAAAATACCGCGATGAGAAATATGCACAAAGATGAAATAGTTGATGATGATATATTTGAAAATGATACATCTGATGATGGCGGATATAACACTTCATGTTTAAAACATAGTCCGACAAAAAGGGAATCTGTTTGCGAAGAACAAGAGGTTGATGAAGATATGTTTAGTAAAGCTCCTGGTGAAGGTTATAAAACTGCACGACCACAAAATATTACCACGGAAACGGAATCCCCTCGTAAAAATGAAATGTTGGTCGAAGATGATTGGTTAGGAAATTTTGATAATGAAGGAGAAGTGATGACTGTGAATGAAAGAAGTCCGATCATGGAAGATGATCGATTGTATTCCTCACAGGAGGATTTAAATATTGCTTTACTGAAGAGACTTGGTGAGTATTACACAACTGAATACTGTACCCACATGACAGATACATTGCATTGGATTTTCAAACTAAAAACATTTCGTCCCCATTGAAAGTGATATTTCATGTTGTTTGCAGCCCCTTTAGCGCCAAGTGACAAAGAAAGGGAATTCGTAAGCGATGGTGAAACTAGCGATGGTTCGTTCACATTTATACCGTAAAACAGTTCAAGTATAGCTATAAATTGAAGCCAAGTTAATCGTGCATGCACTTCGTTTCACAGGTATTTCAACCAGTATTTCGTCTTTGACTGATGGTGACGGTGTGGAAGTAACATCACAGGTTGGAGTTTTGTATTTTCACATTTTGGTCGTTCAAGATTCACATCTATTTGAGCATAGTTTTTGAACTGTTATGCGTGGAATTAAACGGTTACAACCGTATAAACCCCAGTATGTCATGAAATTTTAATAGTGATATTTTTACTGTGTTGTTGAATAGAGAATCAACTATCTCCATGGCGTCCTGGCGCAAACAGGCGGGGAGATTGAGAAACTAACAAAAGACTTGAAGAAATTGAGAAAGAGTGAAGACATTGCACAAACGAATAAACCAGAGTCTGATCGTGAAGATTTATTCGAAAAGAATTGTGCGAGGAAGATAATCAATAACGTCTCAAAGAATTACAGAAAGAACCGCGAATCATACGAAGCGAACCATTCCGAGGAATCGAATGAAGACTCAGGTTGTGAAAAAGAATACAAGAATAACGAGACTTCTGATATCGAAAATAATGAACATGAACTGGAGGACGCCAGCGACTCTGATTGCGATGAACCTTTTCACAATAAGCATGAGAACAACCAAAACCATGACATGTTCGATTTGGAAAGCAATGAAAATAATAACCGCTTATTGTCAGACAAAAAGAAGGAGGTCGGCATAAAATCGTGTATGAATGGCGATATGAAAGAAAGCGACCATGAGGTAGAAGTTGATGATAAATATGATAGTCATAATGAAGATGATGATGAAGATGAGGGTAGGTTCATAACGTGATATTAATACCTTTAGAAAAGGTTTTAGAAACGTTTTTTTTTTCCAGACGAAATCCTGGAACATTGTACACTTACTCCCCCTCCAGCATTGGATCGTTCGACACTTAAGTTGACAAAACTACCTGCAGCGGTTCAAAACTTGCAAAAGCTGTTGCAAGAGGACGGTGACAGCCAGAAATGTCCGGATACATCGGATTATAAGCACTCTACTCGTGATAAAGCTGGCCGTGGTAAAGCCATTTGCTCATCGTCCAAGGTTTATGGGAAGAATAAATACTTTGATGAAGACGGAGAGAAGATAAGGTTACCAAAAGACCGGTCTAATGAACTCCTTTCGAGTCGTTTAGAACAGCAGAAAGGTTGGCAAAGTATGAATAAGGAAGCAAATTGTCAAATTGCGAAAAAGGAAAGTCGATTACAAGGAAGTCAAAAGGAGAATGGTGCAGTATTCAAGCGAAGATCTTCAGCTAGAGATTTACCAGCCAGGAGAGTGGAAGATACTGAAAACAAAAATAAAAACTTAGAAAAGAGTGGAGGACAACCAGATGAAATCTTGACTGAGTTACGGATCAACACAGTTAGACCAAAGCAACGCAAACTTTCTTCCATGATGGCGAATTCTGTAAATCATGAAGCCGGACTTGCATCTCGATCTGTTAAATTACCCCTATGTTTTGTTCTAACCAGACTTCCAAAACAATTTGTGGTAAGTACAGTTCGAGTAAAGGCGTAACAGCTAGTTAAAACCGCACGAGAAGCCATGTCATATTATCTATTGCACCCTACTTATGATAAAGATTTTGTACATGAGGCTCTACTGGTGATTATCAGAATCCTCAGTAATTTCAGTATTCTCTACAAAATGCCTCGTTTTGGTTTTGCTTTTGCTTTCTGCTTACGGTAGTGCTTTCTGCTGACTTTCGATGTTTTAATTTTATTGATCCTCAATGTTTGTGCATGCTACAGTCCCTTGCAGATTACTTAGCTAAACGTAATGGCGGGAAAGTGTCTAGCGACGTGAGTGAGGAGACGACACATCTCATTATGCCTACTGGTGAGTGAATGTGTTTCTAATAATGGTTTACCAAAAAAATGCCCCCATAACGTAGAGGAACCTGTTTTGGAACAAAATTTTAAAACTTTGATTGACTGGAGACCTTTTTGTTTGTACTTTTAGATTCAAAAATGCATGCAAGCCGCAAGAACTACACCATAAAATATTTGCTGGGAGTTGCTTTGGGGAAGTGGATTGTCAGTCAACTTTGTAAGTATTTCAGGTTCTACGATGGTAATATGCAACCATAGACGTTGGCATGTGTTTGCACTACTGACCTATTCTAGTATAGGTCAGCGGTTTGCCCACATTAGCATGTGTTTTTTATCATTTTCTAGGGCTTGCTGCTTGTGTTAAATCTGGTCAATTAGTAGATGAAGTATGTATACTTATGACTTAAATGCATCGCCCTTCAATTAATGAACCTCTGATCAATTACCCCAAATATATAATTTTCTTAGAAACGATTTGAGGTGAAAGGTGATGTTGAAGCAGCCCAGTCGCACGTTCCAAATCTTGCACGTACCACTCGCGAAAACAAGGTTTGTTTTTGTTTTACAACATTTTTTCGGGGCGCCCCTTTAATTTATCAGAGCCATGTTTTCCGTATATAATAGGTAGAATATATAAGCAATTCAATAAAGTACTTTACAAGGCATATTAAGAACAATGCCAATAAAGCCAATTTACTCGCCCATAGCAGAAACATTCCACTGCTAAGCTTGAAACTTTGCTCGCTTAGCTTTAAGTGTGGTTTGAGTTACGGTGTGTGAAGGGGTGGACAAACGTTTTTATTTTTCCGTATATATTTGACTTTTTGAAACTAAAGAAGATATTTCTTTTATTAATATTACAGGATCCTCTTTTGTTTGATGGTATTTCAGTAGTGTGCTTTGGTGAATTTAATGGAGCAATATCACAAGGTAGGGTGACCATCTTAGACACTGTTTATATGACCTCGAGGGTATACCAGGGACACCCTATTCCCCTTTTATCAATCTGGTAAAAAGTAATATATTCAGGATACCCTTCAAGAATTTTACTTGCAATCACCTGCTTCTCCAGTACATGATCCTAAGTTCATATAACCTTACTTTATTTCAGGCCAGATCGGTCAATTAGTCCAATATTGTGGAGGTGAAGTGATTGACAATCAAGAGTTTATAAAACATAGACCTCCGGTGAGTGTCCAAACGAAACTACCTTTTTAATTGTCCTGTAAGGACGAAGTCTGTATTCCACACTTAATTATAATTGAATAATTTTAGGTGTTTGATCTGATTGTTATCTGTGATACAATATTATCACAACGCACGGGATTGCAAATAAAAGGTACATATATATTTAGCTAGACCTATTTATTTTCATTTGGGTTGGTTTGACGGGGCAGATTATCGTGTACAGCTGCATCGGGTTATCTTTATTAAATGTTGCGAACAATGACTACCTCAGTTAATCTTTTAGATTTGTGCAAACGACATAGAACATTTCCAGTTTCCTCCGAATGGATTACAGATAGTGTTGCCAACTATCAGTGAGTATGCTTTTCGTAAGAAATGTATTTTCCGTAAAATCATCTTACCATTTTTTTTTTAGATATTAGACAGCGAAATTGATGGTCTTCATCATAAAGATTATCGTGTTGTTTGCGTGACAAAAAATTGTATTATTTGTCTTTTAATAGGCTCCAGGATATTGAGGAATATCGTATGGATATTTAGGACTCGTATCCTGTGTGACACTGAGACTGGAACTTTGACTTTGTGGTGTGATATTACTAAGAAATTTTTATCTGGTCCGTTTTTGTCCCGTCGCAAACCTATTTCCCACGTTAGTGGATAACTCACATTCCTGTCACTCTATTGAGCGAGAATAATTTAAGAAATATTTAAATTAAAAAAAGGTGAATTTTGTGGTAACTGGAAACGCTTTATCCTCTTCAGATCAACCTGATATGTCAATGGGTTATGTGACAAATAACCACACACTCCCTCGTGCGTTTAATACTACCAGACTGACTATCATAAAACGATAAATTATCTTGTAACTGTTAGGCAACATGAATGCTGAATTGTAAAATTTAATTCGAGTCGTTTTGCCGCTGAAGAGATTAATAATTATTGAAGAAGAAACTTAATAATTATTGTCTGTTTGACATCACATTAATCCAACTTCCCAACCAATCAAAGCTGTTGGCACAAAATTTAAATTTCAAATTGCATCATTAAAGATCGTTGTTTCCAACTTTCTTTACTTATTTTACAAACACTTCTCTATGTAAAGGTCAAACATTTTAATCCGAAACAAACCAACGACTTGTTGCGATTGCATCTGGTTTTTTACCATGGATTTTATGCAGGTATGACATTTATTTACGCGATCGTTTCATAGGGCTTTTTAGGCTTATGAGTTATTTAGCTTCTTTCGTGCATTTGTTTAATTTCACTGCGTGATATAGTTCACAGTACTGTACTTGTATGTCATAAAAATATATACTTTAGAATGTACCAATTCAAGTCATCCCATTAAGGAGCTATGGTTAGCGAGACTTGTGCGATGGTAGGCCTTGCTCTTTGGGCAAAAAAGCCTCTGCTGTCTGTTTAATGAAAGTGTTTTATTCCAATTTTCTTAACCATGTTTTTAAATAAACCATGAAGCTATTTACCGTACCACGAGACACGCACCAACCTGTTAATCGAAATTGTCATCGAACTTCATTGTTGACAAATTTCAAACATCTTGTGCAATAACCTTTGGGGGAGTAAGGAGTTATATTTATACACAAAATTGCGAGCGTACTAATAAACTGTCAAAACGTGTGAAGCTCGATTAAAAGCTATATGCAGAGTTGAAATCGTTTGCGTGGGCGAATCTTTAACAATTATACTTTAACAATCACGCTGATTGAACGCATGCAGTATTGAACTCTGAACTTCAAACAACAGCAGACGCGCACGAATTGAATATACAGACGGTGTCAGTGTTTTTTAAGATCTTAAATTTTTTTCTCGGATTAAGCCGTTTGACTTTGAAAAATGTGAAATGTTTTTAACTGGCTTTAAACGCTTCAAAAGTCGTTACGAAATTTGATATCAATCACGTGAATATTATTTACTTGAACTTTTTTCCACCCGGAACAAATCCACCGAAGAAAGCTTTTCTTTCCGTCGAAATTCGAACTTCGAATGAAACTTTTCAGTGTGTAATTGCAGCTCTATAAAGCCCGCTTTCCACTAGGCGAATTTATTCGCGCGAAGAAATAAAAAGTAGGAAGCGTTCCTCCTTTTTCGCGGTGAATTTTTTGGGTGGTCTCCAGCCTCGTTCCCAGGCTCTTGGAAGTATTTCATCACCGGATTTCAGATATCGCCTCGCGCGTTCCTCGCACGAATAAATTCGCCTTGGGCTGACCCTGCATGCAGCCTGAAGATTTGAGGGGGGGAGAACAAGGGAAGCGCATAAGAAATTTGAAAAAATTTTAATTTTGCTAACCTAATGACTAGCGAAGCTACCTCTCACTAACTGTGTTCCTACGCAGGCAAAACCCTGGGTATGAGGTTGCTACTACCCAGGTGCTTCGGAGAGTTCCGTCATAGATAAGTTTAGGATAACTGTAAATCAGTTAAAAGTCTTTCTATTTGCCGAAAATTATGTTTTTATCATTTAGTGTCTGTTTATCTTACTGTCAATTGGTTTCTGCAAGTGTTATCATTTTCATCGAAACCCTTGTCTTGCACACAGGGTTGAAACCAAGGCTCGATCGGTGGCAGATTATTTTGGAAGCACTAATTTCTTCTTTCCTTCGGAATTCCATGAAGTATACTGCAATACATACTCAAGCTCCAACAGTCTGAACGAAAAATTGTCGACGTGCGCCGGTGGCTTGTATCACTGCATTTCACAGTATGAGACCAGAGAGTATCTTGAAATACCGAACAAGGAGCCAATATATTACTCAGGTTTTAATGTACGCAAGATAAAGATTGGTGTTGGTTGCACATGTCGCACATAGTTCCTGCGCTAGAATAAATTAATCTCGTCGACGAGGATTCGCGTCGGGGTTCGACAATAAGCCTGAAAAGCTTATAAATTACAATGTTAGTTTTTGTCATGGAAATAGTACCATAGGTAGACTATAAATGTACATAAAATAGAATTATAGAAGATCATAATTCATTTAAATAATAATTTTTAACTTGCCTAATTCATTCAATCAATGTTAAACATATATTCAGGGCGTGTCGAAGGGTGGTGTGTGAGGGCAATTGGTTATCAGAAAAATAAGCACGTCTTTAATGTATGGATGTTGTTGTTAAATTCTGAAATACCGCCAGCAAAGGCCCTCAGAACTACCCTGTATCTAGTTAATAATATTTGAACATTGGAAATTTGCAACATTTGGGTAGTGGCTCATCAGACATGAGAACACTGGCCCACAGTTCACTATGATTTTGGTGACGCCGGGCGAATGACGCCGGGCGAATGTTCCGTGTTTCGATATCTTTTGATAAAGATCATATACAGGGGCCAAGGGCTTTTATGATGATCATCGTTAGTCGTTACTTTATGCCTTCATTCAGACTCCAACAGAACTTTCGGAACTGAATCAGCTTACCGGCATTGTTCACGTGACAATTCCTCCACTTTCACCACAATACATTGATTATGATTGATAAAACGCAAAACGCCTTTTGGCAAAGAAATCATTGCGGCAAGTAAGACAAACAAGACTAGTTCTCAACAACTATCCCACTTACCCATTTTCGGCATCGGCAGACAGGAAGATTAGTGAAGTGGAAGTGGCCGAATTGCCCGAATTTTGGGAATCTAAAATGGAACCCAAATTTTGAACCTGCAGGCTGCAGTGGCCTGCCTGTAGGTTTCACTTTTACTGTAATATTCGATCCGCGTGTTGTAGATAGAAAATTGTTTTATATTTTGCTTTAGCATTATGGCTGAAACAAGGTAAGGCCTCTTAAGAATTTATGAGCTTTGGTTCTTTCATCTTTAACTTTTAGCTTGCCTGTTTCAGATTGTTACATCCATTAGTTGTGTGGGCACAACGCAAAGATATAGTTTTCCTCACCATTCGACTTGAAGATACCAGAAATCAAGAAATTCAGCTAGATGAAGAGAAGATGTACTTTAGGTACAGTATAAATAATACAATGTTGATATACATACTATATCTCGTATTCTGTAGCCTCCTAGCGATTATGCATTCTATTGAGTGTACTAGTACGGCTTTTATATTTATATAATATAATGCTATATTTTGCACAGAATTAGAGGGATGGTCGAATGTTAGGTTTTTTGTCTATTTCCATGAAATGGCAAAACAATGCAGCTGTAGAGATACTTGATGGTTCCTAAAATTCTGGTCTTGGCACCAAGGCCCATAGCCTAAATAGAATTTGATAGGTAATTATAGCCTAATAAAGCAGCAATCTAAGAAAATTTCCCAAACACAGGTAATTGATGGTGATGAATGGCAGTGTAAATTTAAGCATTCTATAAAACAAAAGTGAACTTGTTCCACAGAATTGTTAAAAAGTATTGATCATGACTATCATTTTCTTCAACCAAGTAGGCAAAGTACTAGTCCAATTGCCAAAAAATATCCAACTTCAAATTATCCCAATCTGCTAAAAATATCAATTTTTGCTACCTCAATCTACAGGATATTAGATATGTACATAGAATATAACTACCTAGCATCATTATCACTGGAATATCCAGTCTCTCTAAAAGTAAAAAATCTAATAGTTATCTGTTCAAGTCACTAACATAAGAATTACTTTTGACATTGTTAGCTAGATTTATTATCAATGTGGTTGTAATTATACTGCAATATATTATCTATATAATGATAATTAATTATATTGTTTTCTATATACAGGTCCAAGGGTGGGCATGATCAGCAACTATATGGATTTGAATTTAAATTTTTTGGTAGCATTATTCCAGAGGTCAGTTAACCATTATTTGATGTGTGTTTCATTTGAAAACAATCAAAGAAATTAGTTATTATTTCTGATGTGTTGAATGAATGCAAGGTTGGTTTAACATGATGGTTTAACATATTTTCTAGAATTCAAAGCAACATATAACAAATAGAGAACTAACATTTGTCTTAAAAAAGAAAGATGCAGACAAACCATACTGGCCAAGGCTACTAGAAACAAAAGACAAGGTAAATTGTGTTCTCTCAAGAGTTCATTTTTTAGGTATATATTGATATTGTGTATTAATCTTTGTTTTGACTGTATGTCCCATAAAAATTCCAGGTTTAATTGTGCTAGCTAAAACAAATATTTTAACATTTTTTTGAAGATAACTTACATAAAAACTGATTTTGACAAATGGAAGGATGAAGATGACTCTGATGACGATGAAAATACCAATGACAATTTCGAAGATGTATGTTCATGACTAAAAATATTTCCTGAATATTTATTTGAACAACAAATTTATAATAAGGTACTTCTGTTCTCCCATTTTAGATGATGCGGCAAATGGGTGATATTGGAATGGTGAGACATATTATATATCTTCAATATATTACATATATCTGCATTGTGATCCAAATTCCCCTAACTTTAACCCTCATGCCAACAAGTTTATTGGAATAATTATTAAAAAATGGGGCTTTTTTCAGGGGGGAGGTGGTGCTGTAGCTGATGATGGGAACGAACCAGACTCAGATGACAGCGATGATGAAGGCAAGTGTAACATAAACTACTATTTCAAAAAATGTAAAATTATCATATTTAATGCTATTATAGACAGTTTCTTGACTTGCCCACACATTTGGAGTTATTTGATATAAACTACATCTAAACTGTACCTTTTACATTTCCTATAATAGTTTCATTAGTACATTATGCTACAATTTTAAGGCAGTGCTAACATGACTTGCTGATATCCTGTGAATGCACTTGCAATTAACCAATTTTTAAATGGATCCTTGATCATAAAGGTGCATTTTTGAAAATTTCAGGTATGCCGGATTTGGAATGAAAACCGCTGGCCCGTTTCGTGGTGCATAGACCTCCCTGGAAGACGCTTTTTTTCTGGGTCATTCAATTCCAAATTAATTTTATAAAGAAACTTTGTTCAGAATAGAAACACTAGTTTATTGTAGTTTGTCCTTATAATTGTAGTGGTATATTTCATTAGTACTCAAAACTGAAGCATCACTTTTGGCGTTTTTAAGCGAGACAATTTTTAACGATATTTAATTTGCTGTACAAGTGAAAATGCTTGCAAAAATTGTCTCGTTTTCATAATGATTTAATCATCTACAGTACGCCATAAAATTTTGCCTACATGTTTGCCCCTTAGTCTTCACCCTTTTAAAGCAGCGTAGCTGGTCTTCCAATTTTCTTGAAAGCAAGTTTAAATTTTGAACTCCCGCTACAGTGAATGCGTGTAATATCACACACCATATACTCGATAAAACCACAATGTCACCTATACTTTTTGGTGTAACTGATTATGTAATTTAATAAAGCATTTTGCATTGGAGTCTTTACTTTGCAAACTTAGGTGGTGTCGGGAGGCACGTCTTTATGTGCCGCGTAAGGATACCTTGGTATTTGAAGGCCCGATGAGGTGTAAGCCACATTAGGCGGCACAAGAATGCCAGGAAAGGAGGTGCGAAGGTGGGTTTTTCAGTCAGATTTCAAATTATGAATTCATAAGTCTTTTTTGGGGGGGAGTGTTATTCATACAGGCTACCCTCAGTTAAGCTTTCAGCTATACGGCCCTGATTATTGCTAAGATCTACAATAGTGAAATGGAGTACAGAACATATATTTATATATTAATAACTATATACACGCAATAATTTAGAGACGTTCACAAGCTAGTTCCTATTGCTATTATTATCATACTTGATAACGATAACTTCATAAAATTTTCGTAACTTGCTTCTTTTTTTTAGTGATTTGGATACATATTTGTCAAAGAAACGACAGCGTTCTGAAAACACGTTCAATACAAGGTCACATCCGCTCATGTTTGCACATAAAACAACAATTCTGGATTGGAAAACTTAAGAAAGAAGCAAGTTACTAGAAGCAACTGAGCCATCATGGATTAACTTCACACCAAATGAACCTCTTCTTCTTCATTTTCTTGAATCTCACACACTCCCGAGAAACTCTCGACCTTTTCTGAACCATTACGTGAAAACGTCGAGCTCTCTTCATGCTTCACTGCGGCGGGTTTCTTCTCTAGTACGGCTTTAGAGAAGTCTCGTAATACCTCGTTGGTGTGATTTTTACAATACTTTTCAATTTCACGTAACACGAATCCTGAATCAGATATAGTTTTTCTCTGATTTTTCCACACCGTATAAACCCTGTAGAATACACCAGCGTAGAATTCGTTGAAGACGTCGAATACTGTTCCCCTGTTGTTGCATTCCCTAAGTAGATAATATTATCAAACAACATCATTGCATGGAGAATCTTATTTCAAGTGGAAACTCAGGGGCAATAGATCTCATTTAGACCGTACGTCTGCTTGCGCGTAGATCAGCCGTTTACATGTAGGTGTGCAAGTTAGAATTTAGCAGAAAGAAATTGTGTGCGCTGTATGCGGAAAGACCTGGGTACGAAGATGAGCCATTTGGCGTATTTTATTCCAGTAGCATATTAGTGACTACAATAAACAATGATTATGCTGGAATCCTGGAACTTTAATAGAACCGAGTTATTACAACTGCTTCATTTACCTGTTGAGCTTTCCTTCTCTCAGAGTTTGAAGAGCTATTCTTGTGATATTAATGGACATAACACTGAATGGAAAATTCTGAGTTTCATGAAGTGAAAGTTTGTAAATATTTGTGGCAAGCACATGTGCGCGGGGTTCAGTTACCAAATATAATATATTCATTAACCCAAGGAAACCACATCCACGAAGATCTGTAGATGGGTCCATACCTACAGAAAAGAAGATCTGTTTCAAAGAATTCAAATATGCTGAAGCCTTCAAGAGAGGTATCCCTAATGGGGATCTCGATCGTCATTTAGAAAATACAAAATGCTAAGAAACATAAATGCTTGATCAGTTTGTTTGACACCCCTAAGCAAATACAGCTATTACCAGCAATGTAAAAAAAATTAAAAATAGTTTTAAATAATTCACATTTACCTTGAAAACCTATGACTTGCCAGTGATTTCCATAACGTGGACAATCCAGCTTAGTCCCTGCCAAGCGTTTATATATAGTTTGTAACACATGGTTGTGCATTTGTTCATCATTATCAAACATACATAAGGCAAGCGCAAAAACAAGATTTCGTTCATTGTTTAACTGCTTCTTCATTCTTGGTGGTCCAAACAGTGTATGGGTGAGGGCAGCACAACCTTTATGACGTACTGTGGGTTTGATGTGTGACATGTGTTGTTCAAGGTAACTGCAGTTGCAAAAATGTTCAAGTGCATCAGAAAACCGGACTTCTGGAGATCTTGTAACTGTCTCACTTCCCCCTACAGGATATCAAAACAATAGCCTATGTTAATTGTCGAACATAACAATAATGTATAAGGTATGTAATTATTAGGCTCCTTATTTACAACTTTCATGACAAGAAATTTAGGATTATACTGTAGCTACCATCAAAAGTTTATTGACCTACCATCAAATGTGGTATAACAACTGCCTAAAATAGACAACACTTCTCTGTTTTGTCTTTTGTTTTGTCTATTTTAGGCAGTTGTTATACCACATATGCTAAGTTGTTTTAAGATGCTGCCATGCTACTCCCTGGTTATATTAACCTACCAGTCTGAATATTTTCCACCATCTTCCACTCAGCTTGGGCTTGTTCTAAAGAATTCACATGATTAGCCATAGCAAGTATTTCAGGTTTATTTCCAGACCCTCCTAGGCCACGTGGTTTCATTTGACTTGCAGCAATCACAGCTGAATCATGATTAGATATGGCAGTGTTATGACCGGTTTCATTGGAACTGTTGGAAGCCTCACTTGATGTTCCAGAGGAAGCCCTGTAAATGAATAAATTAATATTTTGTTATCATAACAATCTAGGACCTTGGATATTGCATTTATCTACATTTATAAAACTATTAATTGTCAGACAGCAGATATACCTTTCAATTCTTAACCTGCTCCCTGGCAAAGCTGATAAGGAGACAGTTTGAAATCCAGCCAAGCTGGAGGGGGACAAAATCCCAGTACTGCCTGCAGCACTATCCCTTCGACTATCGGTTGAAGCACTGTACACCTCGTCCTTTCTTTCTCTTAAAGATTTGGACTGTTTCTGGGTTGATTTTTCTGAACTATGACCTGACTCATCTTCCCAGACGTGTTCAAATTCCTCATCATCAACACCGGTAACGAGATTTCCAAACACTCGAGCTTCTACAGACATGTTTTTGTAAGCCTTCTCCGCATCTTTCTCGATTTGGTCTTCATTATCACTACACACTGAACTTGAAAGCTTCTTTCGGTCACCCATAGCGAAAATACAAGGCTTTGATAGATGTCATAAAACATCTGTTTTGCTCTGTGGTTTTCTAAACGTACGCAAACTATAGTAGTACGGCAAGGTGAAGTGTCACAATTTTCGGAACAAAATTTTCGAAACAAAAGTGTCAAAAATTACGCGGACGCAGAACTATGCGTGTATTTCGTCTTCCCCCCGGATAATATAAATTTATGATGATTGATTTCTAATAGGACAGTTTCTTACGAGTTACGACTACACTAAAAAATTTAAAAATTATTTAATAATTATTGTAATATTACCTGCCTCTTTAAATAACGACCGAAAAAAGTAAAAACTGCATTGAGAATTGGAAAGATATTTTGTGGAGAATTATTTTTTATTATTTTTTATGCATTTAATACGGAGGGGAATCGTACCCGGAACAAAAAAACTGCCGGTGCCAGAACCCCGGAAACTAACAACTGACAACAGTGTCGTCATCGTGCAAAAGTTCACATTCTGACATGAAACAGAGGTACAAAATGTCAAAAAAAGTTGTAGAAGAACATTAACGCGTTTGAAGATCAGAAAAATTCGAAAGAGTGTTTTATTTTTTATCAATTTGTTGTTTTACAAAAGTTCGTTTGAATTATGGCGACAGAATATGCCTATCAAAAGCAGACGATCGAGGAGTTAATGTTCGCAAAACCAAAGCCGATGATCGAGCGTATCGGACGCGATTCTCGAGTCTTGAGCTGGAGTACAACAACCAAAGTGACCATAACAGTTTTGACTCTCCTAGCTGTTTTTTTGGAACATTTGTTTACCTTTAAACTGCTGCGATATATTCCACTTTATTTGTGCACACACTGGTTGACTAGCGTCGTGTCTGTTTTGATCTTCCACCTTCTTGCAAAACGGAAATCCAGTTACAAGTAAGTGCTTTTGTGTGTATATTTACTTTGGTAAGTATGTGTTTAGTTCAATTTTGTTTTGAAGGTAATGTAAGAAAAATTGGAATTTTACATATTCAAAGTACGGAATATAACAGCTGTAATTTAGAAAATACACACAGGATATAAATATTAATAATATTTAAAATTAAATAGCCTATCGTATATATAAAATAAATTAAATAATATTTGAAAATAGATAAGAAAATATAAACCTTATAAAAACTATGTAACTTTGCCTGAAAATTTCTTGCTACTGTTTGCACATGAAATTGCAAAAATGCCATCTGAATTTGTTTTTTTTTCTATTTCATATTCACATTCATCCTAGCAAAATGAAATCTAAGGCTCAGTATTAAAAAAGTAGATGCATGTCTGTCATATTCCCAGGGCTGAAACTGGAAAAATAATTTGGGGAGTGTCTATTCATATATTCAGTTCTGCCCTTCGGATTTAAATCCTTTGTGTGTGCAATAGCTTACAAAAGAAATCTGTCTAGCAGAACTGAATATATGAATAAACAGCCTGCAATTATCATTCTAGTTTTGCACCTGCATATTGCTTTGATGATGATAACCATATTGACTGCTTGATATGAATTTATTTGATTTACAATAGGTGTTTGGGAAAAATATTTAGTTTAAAAAGCAACACAATTTTTCTATGTGTATAATGAAAACCCCATAGTGGGAACCAGCCTTTATTAGAGAGAGGTTTGGAGTGGATTATTCTAGCCTATTGATAGAAATAAACAAAGATTTCTGTTTTTTTAGTTTTGATGATGGTGCCAAAGGGGGTCTGGTGCACAGAATCCCGTTGTTGATATTTTACATTATAACAGTTTATATTAGTGAAACAGATTTGGCTACCCAGGTCAATAGTCAAGGTCCATCTGCATTCCTGGTAAGTATTTTAAAGAGAAGATTTGAGAAGATTTCTTAGACAGTATAGTTTAAAGCTATCATGATGGTTCAGCAAATGTGGAAGATGTTGGACCTGGTTTTATCTGTTCAGTTTAAAATCACTGTATTTTTCTCCTCATTGTCTCCCTCCCATAAACCCTTTGACTGAGTTCTATCAAATCATAATGTGAACAAATATTAGAGGTTCAAGAAACGGTTTTGTTTTTAGACTTATTCTAAACAACTATAAAAATGCTAATTTATTTTATTTTCTGTTTAGGTGAATCTGTGCTTGTCACCATTGATAGTGACAGCAGCTCTCACATGTTTCATTCAAGAGCAAACTGCCAGCTGGGTGTCAGCTCTGACTGTCACATATTCAGGAATGATGCTGATGACTGTCTGTAGTGATGATGGCAGTTGCTATGTGTCTTTTAAAGATGCAGCATTCAATGTGGCATTTACTGCTTTTTATGGCATGTACATAGTCAAGATTGCACAGAGTTTACACGAGGTCAGTGTTATAGTTTCGTGTGTCAGAGTACCTGTCAATATGTTATATATATGAAATAAAATCTTTGATAAATAGTTTATATCCTTGTGTTCTCTAACCCTAGCTTTCAGTTGGTCATGTTTTATTGCTGGTCAATACTGCATCAGCTGCCTTGGTACCAGGTTTAATCATGTTCTCAAGAGAAGGTGAAATAATATCTTCAAATCCTTCAATAGTTATGGAGTTGGTAAAACCATCAGTGATTGTCCCTTTGGTAAGTCAGATATTGGTGATTGATCGGCAAATGAATTGGATGCAGTGATATTTTCTATCAGGCTAAGTTTTTGTCCCCACCCCCTCCTCACTTATCAATTCAGGCTACGCCACTGTAAAACAAGTAAATTGCAGTAATTTTATTTTTCACTTGCCCTATGGCGATTTACGAAAGAGAATGTGTTGCAAAATAGCCTTGTCATGTGTGCAAAATTTTGGCCAAGGTATACGTAAAGTTTTGAAAAGTCTTCCTTTTGTTTAGATTTTTCTGAAGTTGTTTGAGATGATAACCATGCTATTACATATCAAAATTACGGGCGTTACAACACATGTTCTGACAAGAAACCTCGCATGGATACCAACATGTATTTCCATAGGTATAGTGGGGAAGGTCGAACTTATGGTTTCATCCTTCAAAGCCTATTGGATTGTGTTAGGCTCCTATATACTTTATGTTATACCTGATGATCATGATACGAAACGGCCAAGGTAGCATGGCCATGATTTGTCAAAATTTAAAGTTTATCTGCAGGACATAATTGGCTGACCTACACAGTACATGTCTATGAATCTTTTGTATACTCTCGTTAATATACTGTACTTTGTGGAAGAATAATTTTATGACGTATACTAAAGGCTATAAGCATTTTGGTAATATATTGGGCATAGTTGTATATGGTTTTGTATAATGTGACCTTAAGGTTTTCACCAGAGATTTTCTGATTAAAGAAGTAAAATGAATTTTAAAAATGGACTATTTTGACAATCCAACCTATTTCAGTTTCCAATCCTACAGTATCTGCTTTGTATCAAACCATTCTTTTCCTATTATTGTTGAAGTCTGGTGCAAGAAATTATATTTCCCCCCAAATCCTGTGACCTAATCCTAATCAGTTCAATGATTTATTATGATGCTGGTTTAGGACTTGTAGGCAGTTGGTAGAATAGATGATAGAATATTATAGACCTGATCACTTTAGTTTCAGAACCATCGCTATATTTAGAAATATGAAATACTAATTACCTGAGACTGCAAAGAACAACAAAAAAGGTGCAGCAAATGTTAGTCCAATTATATGAATGTTTTTGATTGTATTTATAATAATATCTGAAGACATGTGGCCATAACGGCACATGCGCATAATTCATAGTAGAATAACCTTTATTTATCTCATTTGTTTTTACGGTATGTTACTTTTTACATATACGTACAATTTTTTTTTCTCAATTCAAATATTTCTAACATTTCATTGACGATTTAATAAACTTTTAAAGCTAAATTATACAATAAAAGTTAACTTGAAAAAATCTGCTAATTATAAATTCGAAGAAAATCGAAACTTTATTCTTTAATTCTTATATTCATACTCGTATCCATGACTCCAACCAACAGCCGTTACACCTAAATTCTCATGTTTTTTTGCAATGTATCAAGCTATGGCGCAAAGCAAACTCGTCCCAGTTCTAATCCAAATTCCTCCCCAGCATCACCAACATCATAGATTGCAATATCACGAATAGGCAGGTTTCCTGGGTGCGCTTGGACTTCAAGTATTGTTTTCCCCCAGGTGCCATCTTTTGTCTAAAATGCATATACATGGTATCTTCTTTAAGTGTTTTTGCCACGAGGTAGCTTTCGTTTTCGTAAGAAGAAAAAGTTTTTCTCGTGATACACTGCATATAGGATGCAGTGGCATACAGGGACGTTAACAGGGCAAAGGGTGCAGTTTCTTATGAAAAGGGCATATTTTTAGAAACGGGGCAAAGATAGAAAAATAATGCGCACTACAACACACTACAACGTTCTTAGTTATTGGGAAAAGCACAATTGCACCCCAGTTGTGCACCCCCGTAAAGTTGTAAATACGAAAGGCAACGGATGCAACTGCACCCGTGGTTCCGGCATCCCTGACTGCATATGGTATTTTGGTGGTACAAATAAAATTATACAGCATTGAAAAATATGTGTGAATATACAGAATATGTTTACATGTTATTGGTAATTTGTAAAAGTGTATTCTACACGCTTTACCTGACAATTATTCTCAATGGTGACAGGTCGTAATTTGCGAGGCATTTTATTATGGAACTCTAGATCATCATCACCTTGCAATTTGATCGAATTTTGAGTGGTGTTGCCCCATGCCACGGAATTCAAACAATTGTACGTAATACGCTGCCATGCCTTAGAACTATGAAGTTGCAACATTTGAAGCTGGCCATCGTCAAACATGTAGTTGAACTGAAAAAGTTTGAAGAGCAAGTCTGTGTTTAATAGTTGTGATATACACCATGTAGTTTATTTATTTCTAAGCTTTCGGCCCATGAGCCCGGGCCATCATCAGAGAAAAGTTTTAATTACAAACAAACAAAAACAAGTCTGTGTTTTGCGAAGAAGTAATGATTCTACTAAAAATTGGTGCGTTTTAAAAAAGTACCTTTTGTATATGTCATATCATGATTTATCGGATATAATCTCAAAGATTCTATGCTCACATTCATAGTTCGGTACCTTATCAGTTGATTGAAGACCATCCAGTTCCGAAAACCATTTGTATTCATCTCGACCGCTATACCATTTCCTGTTTTCTATCTGGCGTGTAAACGAAAATAATGGGTAAATATGAAGCAATACGTGGAACCAATCACAGATTTAGAAATATTGACTGGGACACTGTTTTTGTATATGCATGCCCCGGGTCTAATATCTGCTATCAATGTCACTGCTACTTTTATCACAAAGTCAATGCTATTATCACTAAAATTGTTTTTATCCTGATCTTGTTACCCCGTTTCCACCTTCCCCTTCAATGTCATTGGTCGCAGGAAACTAAAACATTCGTTTAGTTAAACAAGCGTCAACCAAATGTATCTTATGAATGAACGTATCTCATACAAACCTTTTTTTGGACTGGTTCTAAACATGTTGCTTTATTTTCGAAGTCACAGTAGACTTCTTCGGCATCTTCGCGTGATCCTTGGTTTGGATCAACCCAATATCGTCCTGAATAATAATTTTGAGTTTCTAATTTGGAGTTCCTTTAAGGTATCTCATTTTTAGTAGCTATAGCTGTCACAAATTCAAAGCCAAAATACTAACAGACATGGTTTACGACCGGAAGATATTTTTTGCCTACCGCTTCCATGTTTAGGATGTTGTGAATATAACACAGAACACGAAATAGCTGGGAACAATTGTGACCCATTTGGTTTCTTGTAAAAAGCCATGTCACGTTGAATGTTGAAATACCATCTTGAAATGTTTGAATTCTGGTAATTGTGAAAGAACACATGCAATGAGGACCGATAACACCGCCGTAATGCACAGTATTTTCAACAAATACTTGCCGTGTCAACCTCGAAGTACTCGGAGTATGATGCATTGTGACGGATAATTAATGTTGTTCCATTGAACTAAATTGAAAATTTCAAAGGGTGGTTAAATATGTACATCAGCCATACAGTACAATGCATATTAGTACAAAATACGTACATACTGGGACTGGCCATTTAAAGGCGCTAACTCTTCTAAAATGTGTAAGAATATAGGGAAAATATTTTTTCACTAAAAATATTTTCACATCGCCAGATTTCCAACTATACGATGGCCCTTATTAACTTGCTGTATATGTTGCATATTTTACATACACAATGCATGGTAATTGCAATTTATATACACCCAGAAATGCAATGAACCACTGTGATAATAAAGTCATGTATGATATATTTATATAACTGATATATGAGTTATTTTATTCAATGTATTGGAACCCAGCCATAGAAACTTACCGAGACAGCTTGAGGTCCCGGACGTCCAGGAAGACCAGGTGGGCCCTTTTCACAGAAGAGAATGGGAAAAAATAGAATTAGGAATTGTAAATTCTTTCACAAACGGTATAAATACTATTTATGTTCTTGCTCTTGAGAATAGATGTCTACATTAAACATGACCACATCCGCAGTCCTAGAATAAACGGTTAATCCATACGTTTCAATTAACTATATTTGTTTAACTAACCTGCAATCCTCTTACACCCTAAAATTGTAGGGGAAAAGAGGTAAAGAATATTGTCGGCACCATATTTTACTCTGACTACAAAATGCATGCCTATTGCCTAACAACATGTCCTAACGATACGATATTTGCTCCATAACGAGATTTCATCCACTTAAGCCATAACTATGAACCTTCTGTAGGTAGGTTAGCCAATGTTATTATAATCCAAATCTTAAATCATACATCGAACATTGTAATCGATAGAAACAAATTTACCTTCACACCAGGACTACCCTAAAAACAAACATGAGATGTAGTCATTCGTGGTGATTATTTTACGATCGATTTACAGTTATTTGCAGGTATTCAACAAAAAGTAGTAAATCAGTTTTTTCATAACTTACCAACGATCCCTTGGAATCACCGGGTGGGCCCTTTCGTTTGAAAAAGGACAAATTATATTAATAGGACTATTTTCAGCAAATTTAACCTCAAACAAGTTTTTCTAATAAACCTAAACTTACCGGCGGACCACTCAATCCCGGAGGGCCATCCAATCCCGCCAAACCTTCCCTTCCCTTGTCACCCTGGATGTGCCGAAAAGCGATAAAAGTAATCAATCTTACCGTACGTTCGTTCAGTAAAACAAAAGATCTAATATTATGCCAGAAACAAACTATCATACAAAGATTGATGCTATACTTTGTACCTTGACGCCTTGTCTAGCTAAACCCACTTGTCCTTTATCTCCCTACAAATACATATAATAACCAATACTTTATCATAATCAGGTTTCCTTGCTTTTACGAATGTGCTTTTATGTCTCTTATTTCTGGCATATGTATGTATAATAAATAGAACACCATGTCCACTGCATGTTGACCAGGTTACCTTTTGCCCTTGCGCGGCAGCATTGACACCAACTTCCCCGGTATCTCCCTTTTCACCCTGTGCATGGTAGAATTAGTAATAATAGACGTGAAATGGTTCCCTTCATGCACAATAAATGCTTTTCATTAAATAGAAAGGGACTTGGAGCACGGTAAAAGGAAAATACAACGACTACACAGCCTTTTCCTTTATAGTATTTCGCGATTATCGCACTGATATCAGCCGAAAAACAAAAACACGTCAGTTTTTCACAGGAACTTACTTTGTTTCCAGGTTTACCAGGTTTTCCTGGTACTCCATCTCTTCCAACACTCCCCTACGGAAATATGGAGAGATATTTCTTCATTCTATATTATTCTACATATTCGCACATATCTCATTATTGAAATGCAACAAAAAAAGTGTAAGAAAGCATGCAGTCATATAATGAACGGCAAACAAAAGTAAACCAACCCGAATTGTAGCTCCCTTTCGTCCTGCTGGTCCGCGCGCACCTTTTCCACCCTTTGTATACAATTGAAAAGGCGAATGAGAACAAATTTTTTTTTGATATACTCATGTTTGAAACAACTTCTATACTTTATCTATGAAGACCAATTAAAACAGCTTCCTATACAGGTTATGTTATGATTTTAAATAAGACATTTGGGGGATAAGACTTCCTACAGGTTATGTTATGATTGTAGAGAAGACATATTCAAATATTCGTTCTGCCCGATGGTCTTCTTTTGTACATATATACGTCTTTAAAAGAAATCCATCGGAAACAGAATATATGAATATTCACCCCCAAATTATCACGCTAGTTTCGTTCCTTTGATAAGATCAAAGAGAAACTAAACAAATGTTCCTTTTTTAAGGAATGCAAATATGTCTCCACCCATAATTGCTGTGTTTTGTGTTTTTTTGGAATCGTCACGTCGACTTTTAATCAACAATTTCGAAAAAATCATACCTTCTCTCCAGGCAACCCAGTCTTTCCTGGAGGACCAGGCGGTCCAGGTGGCCCGGTCGGAACATTTAGGGATAAACCAGGTTTCCCAGGATCTCCCGGTAACCCCTATGAGAAAAAAAAATTAACGATATGAAGTGTGAACTGACCAGGATCTAAGGCCTCTTTATACAAGCAAATTCTCTTTGGTAATTTTATTTTTAAAAATTAACATTTGATCGTCAGTGTAAAGCCATTTAGCTACTGTGATAAATGGAAAATACAAAATGGGTATACTGAATGAGCTGGCCGGGGGAGAGACAATGAGCTCATTGTCTATTGTTGAAAAGTTTATAAAAACACAAATGATGTCTTTCAATTCTTTTTGAAAAGATCAGAAGACAAAACTCCCGTCGGTTTTTACGTAGGCCAGTACAATGGTAGTTCTAAAGATATTCAGAAAACCGGTAATTATACTGTAGAATGCCTTCCACTGAACAATGGACTAGAATGTAGGCATGTCTTGTTTTTAGCCGGCCATTGTTCTGTGTTCGTTCAATGTATTTGGGAGTCTCAGGCCTAGGTTATACGTCGCATTTTAGTCGAATCGAATGCAATTCAAACAATAGATAATAAGATGGTAATGAATGAAGCTTAGTGAGGTTAATCAGCTCATTATTTATTGTTTGAATTGCATTCGACACGACCAAAATGCGACGTATAACCTAGGCCTCACATGCACTCTGATATACTCTGTTTGGGCACAAGCATTATAAGTACGAGTGAGGAGTTTTAGTGAGAACATCAAGACATTTTAACAGAGAAGTATTCATGATTCCTGTTTGCAAACTTCAGAGAACAAAGTAAAGTTATTTTTGAGTCTCTGGTGATCTTCGATGAAGGCAAAGAGATTAACAAGAATCCACGATGAAAGGAAGGATCGATGATGATGCACAGCCGCAGCGGATGGTCACACAATGGATCGTCTTCTTGGTATTCAGTAAATATTTACAGTTTTGTTGGTGTGGATAATATCATCTAATACTGATCAAAGCTTTCTTATCGTACAAGAAGCAGTCATGCAGATTGGACTAAAGCAGTACAGAAGTCAATCTAACGATAAGTTGCATAAGTCCTGATCAGGTCAGTAAACCAATTCACAAGTTTTGGTAGACGGTAGATGCGCTAAATATCAATGCAAGATAAAATCGATTGAATTGTTTTGGGCGATGAAATTAAAAATTTGTATAGTTCAAATAGCTATAAGGTAAAAAGGACGCTGGGGAAATGACATTTTCTCAGTCCACTCAGTCACGTTGGCGTTAAACAGTTGTTTTGTCCTTGTATCATGTGGCCTATATTTTCAAGTGTTTCTTAAAATCTATCGCGTCCCTGGTATACATTTTGTATTTTCCTCTTGCATAAGATGGTATGAAAACTGCTTTTAAAAACTTTGCCAGCCGAGCGACAAGCAACGCCACCGAAAATTTGGCGGAGCGGGGCTGTGACAAATTAGGTGTGTCGTAATCCATGGCTATATATAATCATCGTAATACATTGCGACTTTCATGTGTACCAAAAACGATAATTTTGCCGACGTGCATGGGAATTACAAAAAACTGAAAAACTACCTTCGGTCCTCTCGTAGAAGTATCTCCTTTTTCACCAGTAGGCCCTGCAGTTCCCTGTAGAAACAGAATATAAGAATCCTTGTAGAGGTTTGGAAATATCCTTAGGTAATTATTCTAGATCTGAAGACGACAGTTTATTTCTGGAGGCCGCCCTTATAAATCCCATAAGCTGATTCTGCATGTGTTGCATGATTGGGGCTTGTGAACTGAATATTTGACAAATTCAATTACAATTTCATTATTATTATTATTTCCACTTATTCCACATATCATTATTATATAAACCCCGTTCATACAGTATCCGAATTGCTATCGAAGCAGGTCAAATTTTGAAGTTAATAAAAAACAGTGGAGTTTTTAATGTCCGAGCCCTGAATAAATATACCAAATCTACCTCAATTAATAAGCATTTACTAATAATCGTTGTTTCATAACGGAAAACGAAGATATAGAATATAAATACAAAACTGCCTTATACCTTTGTTCCTCGCTGTCCACGTTTACCGGCGGCGCCTTTTCGACCTTGTCCACCCTAAGCGAAATAAATGTGGGGTTTGAAATGCATTTAAAGAGTTCAAAACAGATTTAACTATATATAGGTGTCTATTTCAAACTCCTGAAAGCAGCCAGTGAAGTATTTGACCGTTTTAACAGGCCCCATTTCAACTGTACCATAATGAAGCGTATGCTATAGATTTAAAATTTCAGTTGTCAAAAGCATGTATGTATTAGTGATGGTCGTATTTTTTTAAAAAGTAGGTGTCGTTGAGATTTTTCTTAACTTAAATCTGGTTGTGTTCTTAAGAATTGTATCTACACTATATAGTCGCTAAATGCGAGTTGTCTGTTATACGTCGCATTTTAGTCGCGTCGAATGCAATTCAAACAATAGATGAGATGATAAACCCCATCTCATTATCTATTGTTTGAATTGCATTCGACGCGACCAAATTGCGACGTTTAGGCCTAATACTTAGCTGATCAACCCGGCCAGCTTACCTTATCACCTTTCTGTCCCGGTTTACCATTACTGCCAGGGACGCCAGGTAAACCCTAGAAAATACAAGGAAATGAGTTGAAACCATAAATGTAAATGAAGTTAAGAGAATTACAGAATGCAGGCTCTGCTTGCTCGTCGTCTCTTATATAGGCCTAAATTAAATCTGCTATTCCACACAGGTTTTTAATATCCCAATCTCATTAAATAACTCACTGAGGTTGACGTTTTTTGCTTCTCCCTCTGGTTTTGTAAACCAGCCCTTCGGCACTAATCATTAAACCATCGCCTAATATGATAGACAGCGATTCCTATTGCAGACACTCTAAATTCAATAACTATATAACGAAGATATCCCCTAGGCTCCTTATTTCACACGTTATACCCTCCCATGCAATCAGTTAAAACTATGGGTGCACACTTACATTAAATGCAGGTTCTCCATCACCCCCCCTCCTCCCCGGAGGACCATCATCACCCTAAAATTAGAAAACATGAAATATACGTCTAAGTCTACGACAAAACTATAAATAACCTGGCTAGAATGCATTTATATCTAGCGTGCTCTTTGGAAAACAACTACATCTTCTCTCTTACATCTTCTCCCAGTGGTCCATCCGGTCCTTGTTCGCCTTGTTCACCCCTCGATCCCTGAAAACAAAAGAACATCGTTAAATAGTTAGTCTTTTGTTACTATAGCCAAGTCTACTTCAACCATATCGTGCCTAAACGTAGCGCATTTCTCATTGTCCTCTAAACACCTATCAAACTTATAATTTCAAAAGTCTAGAAAAACAAAGCACCACGTTCAATTTAGCTATCGGTAGACTTAGGATTACATATGCAGGAAGAAGAACATTATTTACCTTGATGCCTGTTGCACCAATACTGCCATCAGACCCATCTCTTCCAGACGAGCCCTGAAAATCATAAAAACTACGGTCAGTGCATGAAAAATCTTTTATCAGAATTCAATTTAATAAAAAATCTTGATCAGTAATTTAGATTTTTTTTCACCTTTGCGCCACTCTCTCCGTCATTTCCAAACGATCCTTTGTCACCCTTCATTCCCTATTACAGAAATGGTTTTATTATTCAAGTCATTTCATGGTAAGGTATCACATGCTTTATCGAGACCTTGTCATTTTAAAACAGAATGTTCACGAACCGGAATTTTTCTTTGAGACAATTAAAACATTTCGCTCCGCACGCATGCAAAGTTTCGTCTGGTGGAGAGCAGTCTTTAAGTGATTATGATATTTGTAGTTGTAGTTATTTTCGGGTATACAACAGTAGATTGGGTGAGTTCGCTCAACCCTATCTGCAAGCTTCGCACAGAGTTGAGAGCAGAAATATTTAGTAAATTAAATAAGCATTCTATACAAGATAACATTTTCACCTTTTTTCCGGATGCTCCTCTTCTTCCAATATTTCCTAATTTTCCTGGAAATCCCTAAACAAAAGCAACTATATAGCGATGTAGTTGTATATTTTACCATGTTTCCCAATTTCAATATCTATCGAGCAAAGAAGAATCAAATAACAGCAACATCAATGTTATATGCTCATGTGACCTGGTCTATATTTTCCCTAAGGCATGTAGATTAAGCCCGCTTCAAGAACAAGAAAATTTTTTCACCTCAACTCCAGGAGTACCAGGTTCTCCAGGTAATGTTCCTGTACCAGCCGCACCCTTTAAAACAAAATTTATATAAACGAAACTCTACTCAGGCTCCCAAACAAAGTCACTGCGGATATTATTCCCCGATGCAATCGTATCCGGTTTTTTCTCTGCGTGTGGATCGATTTACATCTTTATAAATAACATGCCTCTACTTTGATTTCCATATTATGAATTTGTATATATGTAGAACGTTACCAAAAATAACAAAATAGAAATTCGAAATATTTCATGTATGTAAACCCAGAAAGTTATTAGCTACCTTTCTTCCCTGCGCACCCCTCGGTCCCATTGCTCCTGGATTACCGGGGAAACCCTAAAATAAAGACGAGAGATATTTTAAAAACTGGGAAGATATATTATATATGAGTAACCTGAGGAATCTCGATGTCTTGTATAATAGATCCTCCAATATAAAACAGCACTAATGGTAAACATTTCTCCCTTAACGTTGGTATTTGATAGCTGGCCTTATGCAAGCCAAGTGCCTTATTGGCATCTTATAGTATCTTTACTGATAAAATGGAAAAAAAAACCTTACAGGTCCACCACCTTCTCCCTTCGGACCCTCTCGGCCAGGATCGCCCTCTGGTCCCTGAAAGAATTATATTTAGCTGAAAATGAAATAAAATCCCAGCAGTACAACAGTAGGAAGTAGTAAATAGGAAAGAAATGGCTTGATAAAAATCATATATTATCTCACTATTATTTTTGCACCTTTGTTCCCGGCAGTCCGTTAAATCCAGGTGGTCCCGGAGGTCCATTTGCACCCTGGACAGAATTGAATATAGAGAATATTCAATGATAACAACATACGCGGTCATTATATGGCTTGCTTTGCCCTTAAGCCTTAGTGCTTATGAATTCAATGAAGTGAAAACTTTCAAATTGCCTTGTGAAACGTTAACAGGGTTTCTGTAAATATAGTTGCAAGTGCTATTACTATTTTAGTCATTTTACAGATTTGCGAAACTCTAACATGTGGTTGAGCATAATTGATATTTACCTGTGATCCTTCTCGTCCTAAGTCTCCTGTTCCACCAATGGGCCCAAACGCACCCTTTCAAAAAGTACGAATATATCATAACTCATGCAGTAAATAATGACGATGCGGTTACACTTTACTCCAGTGATTTGGGATTGTTTTTTGTTTCAATGTTAGGAGCAAATATGCGCAATTCCTTATTATCCTCCCTCTCCCGTGTAGAATGAGTGTAAAAACCCTTGATCTTAACCTTCACCTGATTTACTACAAAGTCCACAATAGAAAGTGACATAATTAATTTTCGATAGATGCTGTTGTTAGACATAAAATATGGCATTTGACATTGTGCATAAACTTACATTTTCTCCAGGTTCGCCTAAGCTCCCTGCTCTTCCTGTAGCACCACGCTCTCCCTATAAGGGTGTCCATGTGAAAAAATTTGAATTGAAAAAAAAACAACGTGAATGATACGAAATAAGCTCGAAACGTTGCACTTGATCGTACCTTGTCGCCGGTGATGCCATCTTTACCATTCAGTCCTTTTTCTCCTGGTCTACCCTGAACATAGAAACCAAAAAGGATCGTTTACATTTATTCCCTTAAAATTGTTTGCTTCATTTAAGTTTCAGCTGTAAGATCTACAGCTGTAAGATATTGCTATATGTGTTTAAGAAGATTTCTGCGTTAAACTGATGCGATACTGAATTGTAAATATGCAAGATCCATCAACAATTGCGAGTGAGGATAAGTCATGTCAACTAAATTGCAATAAAAAAGGAAAGTAACTGGTTTGAACTCCTTAGATCACCTAAATCACTGTTGGGACTGTTTCAAAGGTGCTTCGATCATTTCTACCTAACTATCGTATAGTTTAAGCTATGAGATATACTAGTGCAGATAAATAACAGAGCGGTTTTGGTTAATGGAGAAAAAATTCCATCAATCAAAAACTCTCTCTAACCGGGTCTCCATTAGTTCCAAGTCTACCAGATTTTCCTTTACGCCCACGATTGCCCTATATAAAATAATTTTGTCTTGCGATCAAACACATGCAAAGTAATTTTCCATTTAACACAAACGCAATAGATAGGTCTATCAAACAAGATGCGAAGGAGGAAATCTTGAAATTTATTATAATATATAGACTACCTTAGCACCTGTTCTTCCTGCTGGCCCAGCCATTCCTATAACACCACGATCTCCCTAAATCATTATCATCAATATATATCTCATTAAACTTACTAAACACAGTCTTACAGTGTGCAATTTTCCTTAAAACTTGCAATGCAATTCTATACTCCTGAGGCATGTAATATATATTGGCAAATACAAAAATTTCTTACGATCTGCTAACGTTTTCTTGCATTTTGAACACTCTTTACAAATTTATAATTGCATTACAAGTTGCAACTGAGGAAAGTTGCATAGTGTAACAGCGCTGTACTAACTACTAAGTACTGTACTATAAGAAATGTTGTATTGCGACTATGACCGTTAATACGCACCTCTTTACCTCGAGCGCCAGGTCTACCCTTCCTCCCTGTAGGTCCCTGTAGACCCTAAATATTGCATGAGCATAATTTCAGTTTTAAGAATTGAAGAAAAAATTAGGGCGCTTTCCATTAAGCGGTCTGTACTGAAATACAACAGGATCGGTCTGACCGTTTTTACCGTATAAAGGAAAGCGCCCTTAGATAATGTGAGATCAGAGAAACCTTTGAGATTAGAGATTAGAAAACGGGGAATCTAAGGAATCGGGTTTTAATTATTGGCCCTTATCACTATAATGATTTAGAGATGATAACTTTTCATTTTAATAGTGGTGATAGGCGATGATACTGGTGGTGTTATAATACTAAAAGTTTATCTAAAGTGACAAAACGGAAGCTTCAATCATCATGAATTTAATTTGTTATTTATACTCACTATTGGCCCTCTTCCACCACGAATTCCAGCGCCACCTGGTCTACCGGCTGTACCCTATCAAATGAATAGGTTCATATGTATATGGATATGGATAAACGTAATCATCGTTATTCGTCCCCTTTGGAAAAATTTCGAAGGAAATTATCACAGCTAACGTTGTGAGGAAGTCATCTTTCTCATCGCCACAAACGACATAATTCTAACTGTCATGTTCTATCTGGAATACTCACTAGATCGCCGACAGGTCCTTGACTTCCTTTCAAACCAGGTGAGCCCTAATAAAAAATTAAAAAGTATGTGAACTATGAATAATACAAAGTGCGATTACGCAAGATCAATATATAACCCACGTCCGTGGACATGCATGCAGGAACACCAGAACCGAGGGGTTGCAAGGAAGCAAACAACTTGCTTTTACGAGGAGGGGAATGTGGGCAAAGGATAACCAATCAATTTAACGAAATGAATTGCAATGCTTTATATAAACTGAAAATACAACCAAACGCGCTTCAAGAATATCCCAATTGTCTGGCGGAAGCGGAAGGCCCCTAAACCGTGAAGTCACCAGTCCTTGATGTTTGAACACTCCCTACTACGCATTGATACATAGCAGTGTGGTTTTGGAAAAAACGGCAGACTTGCTTTCTATTTTGAACTTATCCACCGTTTAAGCTAAACGGGCTTGATACAACCGGCCCCTGGTGTGTAAGTCTGCGATCCCGTGGTCAAGCTGTTCAAATACAACCTGCCCTCCTTAATTCAAAGTTGCTATATAAAAATTAAAGGGACATTAAAACATTTCCGTCCATGACTGTAGCTTATCTACTTCATGCAAAGTTACTTACTGGTCCTCCTGGTTCTCCAGAAACACCTTGATCTCCTTGTGGACCCTAAATAGCAGGCAAACATTTCGTTTGATTGTCGATCTAATTATGCGACAAGTTTTTGGCCGAGACTTCTTCATATTTATTTCGGTTGGTTCGTGACAAACTCTTCATTCGAAATAATTCGCCTAACAATTACCTTATCACCAATAAAGCCATCTTCTCCTACACGTCCTGTAAACCCGAACGAACCCTACACAAGACAAGCTTTATATTACTTCCAATATACGAAATTAGCAACTTATGACCATTGGCACATAGCGGGAGTGCTCTAAAGCTATTCTGGTGAATGTGAATGATGACTAGTCTACGATTATTTTTGGTACCCTGGTACTCTTTCGAATACGAAATTCAATACTGACCGGAATTGCTGGCCTCCCGGGGTCTCCTTGTGGTCCGGGGAAGCCATATGGTCCCTTGGGAAGATAAAACACAGTAAAAACTCAAGAAGCAAATTCCAAACAAACAAAAAGACATCTTGAGAATGCAATAGATTATTTGAAACAACAAGCTATTCAAAACGTTTCCTTTATTTTTTCAAAATCATCATTCTGTCATCTTAGGATAAGTCAAGTTGAAATATTATAGATTCAACATGAGTTATGTTTTGTGCTTTTAAATCTCGCGCGGTCCGTACGGCCTCATACGGACCGCTCGCGTAGCCAATCTGATTGCAGGAAACGCTAAAATATGAATTCGGACCGCAAGAAAAAAATAACGAGTCATATTAAAATGAGGTCATAGCATACCGGCGGAGCAGCAACTCCAGGTGGTCCAGGAAAACCAGGGGGGCCAGGATATCCCTATGAATGAACATTAAATAGTATTAGTAATTATAACTGGTGCCCAAAATCGTCGTTTTAATAAATTTTGTTTTACCTTTGTACCAAATTGTCCTTGACGTCCAGGTTCACCATCTGGACCAGGTCTGCCCTGAAATAAAGTCGAAACATCCAAAAGTGAAAAATTAATTTCTCTCAATAGCGTAGACGGCCGCTATCCTAATATTTCAGTATTCATTGACTTTGAAAACAATCGAGTTTCTAAAAAATGAATAATTATGACTTCAACTATACAGTTGTTCCAATTCTACAATAATTACGCAAGACGATAGTCATTTCCTCTGAAGGATTATGAGAATATGTAGCCTCGCACAAAAAATAATATCGTGTATAAAGTGAGTGTTTATTCAGTTTTGTGACCAGTAATGATGAACTCAATTTAATATCAATAGCCCATGACGAAAGTTGCTAACCTGCACACCAGGTTGACCTCGTGGACCAGGTATTCCACTCAGACCAGGGTCACCCTGCGAAAAATAATTATGCGTGCTTCAAATAGTAATGAATAACAAACAGTACATCAAGCACCAAAATAAGTGAGAATTTAAACGACCATATTCTTGCGAAAACAAGGAAAAATGACTCACTGAACTACCGTGAGGACCGTATATACCATCAGTTCCAGGATGGCCCTAAACGGAAAGATTTTATTCACATAGTAACGGTGGCAATGGCTTTTGTGATATGTGAACGAAACTACTAAAGTAGAAAAAGTGAAAGTGATGACGATTAATAAGTAAAGATGTGGTGAGGCGAAGAAATCAAGTGGAGCAGAAGTAAAGCAGGAGAAAGGAGTTAAGATAATATAAGTGCAAAAACAGAGGTGCAGGAAATGTTTCACATAAGTCCAAAATGCCGAAAGATTATAAAATCAGCAACCCTAAAGTGTTGAATTTACTATGTCATAAATCGTCGCGTATATTGGTTGTATGTATAAATAAACAAGTCTCATTTTATTGTAATTCGATTTTCATTTGTCGAATTGCATATAGCAAGGAATTATGACACGTGGAAGCCAGGCGTAAAATTAATGAAAAAAACAAATGTATCTATACCGGAGATCCAGTCGATCCAGGAAAACCAGTTGATCCAGGTTCTCCCGGAAGTCCCTGTGAAAAAATTTATCATTGAACTATATGTTGAAATTCTAAGTATTAGAAGGATCGTACTAAGGTAGAAAATTCAGCCAATATATGAGATGAACGATAAGTAACTATAAAGTAAGGGAGCTTCGAGCTTCACAGGAGGTTCGAAGCATAGCTGAAGTAAATTAAAGCCTGTAAACGTGATGACGAGAAGCCTCTGCATTCACAGAAACAGCCTATTCAGAATTTTAAATAGCAGGTTAGGAGACAATTTAGTTTGAAAAGATGGGCCAAAGGAGGCCCAAGCCCATTTACTGTGACTCAGGAACAGAGAGTGTGAAATAATGAAATATTTCACAATACCTTTTGCCCTGGTTTTCCACGAGGTCCTAATAGTCCAACGTCACCCTAGGAAACATAAACGCCGTTATGGGGTCTTTCTAACGCTAAAACATCTTACAAGTCATTATTTTGTAACACTATTTGTTTTAACAAGTATTTCAGGAACATAAAAATAGCAAAATACTTTGAGTTTACTAAACTAGTATATTAAAAATCCCAAACATACCCTTTCACCGCTTTCGCCACGATCTCCCGGTTTCCCAGGATATCCTGGACGTGGCTACAAAACAAATACTCAAAATCTTGAACGTGATCTCCATTTAAATAAGTAGCAAATCAACATTTTTCTTATACGTATCCCAAATTGTAAGCCAATAAGGTTATTTAAATATCTTATCATAAGCAAGCTTCAATAGCTGCCTAAACTCGATGTTTCGATCGAGAAACCTGTCAGAGGGATTAGCATGAAAAACTTTTTAATGATTCTCACAGTTGGCACCGTGAAAATGGCGGTTATATTGTGCTTAGAGTTAGGGAAATTGGTCCCGCTTATAACTGTTCGTTCATTGACACTGTAGTTCAGATATTAAACTAACGGTATTTCCAGGTGGTCCAGGTCGTCCGTCCGGTCCCAGATCTCCCTTTGGTCCCTGTAGAGAAACGAATAACAAATAATTACTTTTATTACCAAGCACGATTTTTAGCCAAGATGAAACAAACAAATACTCCATAGTTCATGCTTGTATTAATTTCTAATAAGCATATTAATTATCCCTAGAGCATGAAAAAAATAAGTTACCTACTGGTGGTCCTTCCTGTCCTCTCTCTCCTGGAAGTCCAGTCGGTCCCATGGCTCCCTAAGATTGTTCAAATAACATGATTAAACGAGAAGAGGGGTCAGACCAAAATCGTGAACAAAATTAATAATTATAAATGCGCAATTCAGTCCACTTCAGCCGGTCACATTTCTCGTCTCTACTGCTCATGCTCACTATCTTTCTTACACTCGAGTATGTATGTTTTCAGTGTCAGGAATTACGCACCGATTTTCCCTCCGAACCAGGAAGTGCATCCAGACCACTCACACCTTTATCACCCTAAAATATATTTTTGTACTGTATTAATTTACTCTTCACCTTTTAAATCAGCATTACTTTTACATTTGTATTAATTTAGTTTTCGTTGTATATACACATATGTCCTAAGTTAGGTGGGTTATAGAATCGTCACATTGACTTAAAAAAGATTGTTTTAACATTTAAATGGCTTTCTAAACAATATATCATATAATATATGCAATGATTTGAAATCTATTTTTTTCCCTCTTACCAACATTCCACGTTCACCTTGAGACCCATCCTCACCATCGACTCCAGGATCACCCTATGCAAATCAAAACCATATACATGAGAAACCTACGCCTCCCTGTCACGAGTCTGTGTTTTCAGAGGAAACAAAACAAACAAACTTAGTACACTCATTTAATTCACTCACCGTTCCTCCGTTTTCGGCGTCTGCGCCATTATCTCCCCTTGGTCCCTAACAACAGAAATTAATAAATAAAAGACGGGTGAACTAGTTAAATCATAGTCGAATATATCTCAGGTACACTCGTTTAAGCATTCCACCAACTGGTGCAAAAACTAGTTGATTTCCCTTCTTCAAGTGACTATATTTTATGTACTGACAGCAGAATAAATTCGAGCTCCAGATCGACACAATAGTTGGTTTATTTCAACTACAATGTATATCGGCCAAATACATCGAATAATTTCTACGAACCCTTTCTCCGGTTTGACCTGGAAAACCAGTGATTCCATTGTCTCCAGGATCACCCTGCAACAAGGAATATTTACAACTACATGTTAGTTATTTCCGCTATTAATAAAACTGTACTCAAAGTTCACGTTATAGAGCATATATTTACGGTAAACTCTCGTATCACGTAATTTGTACATTTACACATTTGGCTATGTGTGATTAAGAAAGAATAATAGGACCAAGTGACCGCAGGAACACCATGTTCGAAGAAAAAATTCTACGAGTTGATCAAGTTGTGCTTACAACTTCGTTCATGCATGCGTGTGTGTGTACGACATAACCATCACATTTTGATTGCAAGTGGCGCGTTTTTTACCCGAATTAGAGAAAAAAACAATATAATATGAGCAAAACCATTTTATACAGCAATTATACATCTTCAAAAGTTGAGGACGTTATGACTTTTAGAAACATTGACGAAGATTAATGCTTGTATTTTACAATCTCACTCACGCTCAAACTTATTGAGTGGGAGATCTCAATTATTTCATATAACGATTCCTTTGCGGTATCTTCACTTGATTAAGAGCTTGTTTTTCAATGTTTTACCTTAAATCATTACATAACTCAGTTTTTATGTCACACTTAATGAGTGTGAGTGGTAGCGAGCTTTTTGACTACAGGCGTAATGTATGCTGATAAAGGGTAAGGTGTACACTATACCGGTTCCCCAGGTTTTCCAGAAAGGCCATTGGCACCTCGTTTACCATTAGCACCCCTCTTTCCCTTGATTCCTACATCACCAATATCCCCCACTGCACCAAGTTCTCCAATAGCGCCGTACAAACCAATTTTTCCAATAAATCCTTGAGGGCCTTGCAATCCTCTAAAGCCGATGGGTCCCGGAGGACCTGATTTACCCTGTGTGTGAGAAAAACGAGAGAAAGCATTTCCGCGATATCAGTCTTGCTTGGGTGCACAATTCGTAGAGTTACATTGGGAAGAAATCCTTTCGAATATATAGAAAAAGCGACAGACCCTATGATACGATCATTAAAATGGGTTACATTGCCAAACGAAATTCAGCGAAAAAGCTTTTATAAATACATTTGATTTGTCATTTATTAAAGTAAACCTATGCTTTTTGGTGCACGCATTGATCCATGTCAAGCTATGTCTTGTTTATAAATAGATGGATATTGGGAGCTATTTCGGCTGGACACTTAGGGAACTGTTTTAGGGAACAACTGTAGCTAAATTTTATGATGATCTATGATTAAACAGGTTTACCCACATATAGGTTGGACATGCATTGTTTTTGGATAAAAGATAAAAGAGAGTGAAATATAAGCATTTTTGAACAGATTTCCGAAAGCCAACCTGTTTTCCAGTAAATCCGCGTGGGCCATTATCACCTTGTCGTCCAGGGAATCCATTGAATCCCACTTCTCCGTCTATTCCAGGTTCTCCAACAGATCCCTAGTAGATAAATATGGCAGTTAGTATGTTTCGAGATTCTAACTGAACTTGACGTTTAATATATGTTCCCCCTTCAAGTATATAGGAGCTTGGCTAAAGTCTGGGGTTCAGAATCACGAGAACAAGACTCTTTTATATCCCGGTGCTAGGTGCTTCTGGGAGAGTGTTATAAATAATGACACTGTTGTTGAGGATTTATACTTATTTTCTAGTTTCTAATGCTTGGAGCGAGGAGATGCATCGGATTGCATTATTAGTTTCTTTGAAGAGAGATATTTCTTTTTACATGTTCACTATATCGGTATATATCAAAATGTCATCAAACCTTTTCTCCACGATCACCTTGTTCACCAGCAAATCCAGGTTCACCCTTGGAATAAGATAAGAAATCACCGTGTTACTGCTATTAAGTATTTAGAAATCAGGCATAATAAATGTTCTTACAAGTTACAAGCAAAGGTATCTAGCCAACTTCATCCGGTCTAAATCCGGACTATGCTGTATAAATGGTTGCCGGGTGCCCAGAAACGAGAAATGAACATTTTGTTGGTTGTATTGATAGTTTAGTTTTACTCACTGGATCTCCTATCCCTCCATCATCCCCGATTATGCCTTGTTCTCCTCGATCACCCTATAAAATAGCAGCACCGTGAAAGCTGTGACCCCTGAGCTATATCATAGCTGCGACCGGTTCCTTTGATGTGAATAATTGCATTCAATATTCCACCTAAATGCATTTGCGGCAACAAATTCCTGCTAAATTTCTTATGCACATGCAGGCGCAAATTTAAGTAAAAATACGTATTACTCTATTTCTGTAAAAAATTGCAGCAAAAAACATCTCTGTATTGATAATTCTGTAGGGTTAAAGCACTCACTCCTGGTCCTTTTCCTCCTTTTATTCCTTTACTACCACCTACGCCCATCTCTCCCTAAGAAGCATAATAATTTAGCAAATAGTGCATGAGGTTTATTTCTGTTAGAAATTTCCCTGCATGAGAAACTACTTGAAGTCAAATCATATTGAATGAAACTACCCGAAGTCAAATCATATTGAATATTCTAAAATTTACCTTTTCTCCAGCCATGCCAACTTCACCAGGATTTCCTGATATGCCTCGACTTCCCTAAAGATGATACATTTCAGAAAAAAAATTATTCTCGTATTTATATTGTTCCCTATTTAGCAGCCTCGTGAAAAGGAAATACAAAAACAATACGCTATTTTATTTTCTCTAACTAAAAAACGAGTGATTGTTATTATTTTTTAATATCAGAGTTTATATTGAACAACGAATAAAAATGAAAACATTACGACGGTACATTATTATCCTGCTTACCTGTTTGCCAGGAATCCCCAACCGTCCGATTGGTCCAACAACGCCTTCACTGCCCTTCAAAGAAAAATGTAGAAAAATTGAATCCCGAGAAACTTCCTGCTTTCGTTGTTGTATGTTTGTGTCTAACACGATTTTTTGTTGGCTGTTTGATCTTCTGGTCAGAACTTACACATAGGCCATATTTTCCAATTTCGCCAAGTTCTCCTTCTGGACCTCTCGGACCCTACAATTACGAAATGAAAACTTTATAGACGATGGTACACAAGTGAAGGAATTTTCGCGAGGAAGTACGGTGACTTAAAGAATTAAACGCAAACATTTTGAAAATACAAATACCGGCATGCCTTTAAGCCCTTTTGGTCCTCTAGCACCAGGTATTGGATTCTAGATAAAAAGCAAATGTGAAATATTGTTTGGAATCTGCGTCGATGTATCTTTCCCAGCAATTAATATTTTTATGTTCATTGTTACGAAATCGTCTGTTTAGTTCTGTTCTCTCCGTTGACCTCTTGATAGTATGGAGTCGCGTTTCCATGGCACTTTATTCGTGCAGGAGCAATGCGTTATCCTTTTTGTATGAAAGCAGAAATCTTAGACACACCGTACCCTTGTTATTTCGGTTGCAATTACTGCTGTAAAATTTTGGTCAGCACTCCTCATGACAAAACCATCAAACGCAGGGCCTTTGACTCCTGAACGCTCGATTACCTGAAATGTTAAAAAAAACAAGAAACAAACACATGAAAATGCTTTCTCGGCAAACGTCAGGCCTCAAACTTCTGGTTAACTAAGTTTCTACGCCTACACAGCTTAAACAAAAGCCAAGTTGACAGAGTCAAAAAGGTAAACCCGTGTGTTGGAAGTGGAATTGATTAAAGTTGGGTATTTTCAGAGCCATTTTGACTGAATCTTACAGTTGTTCACTGCCTTCTTCCAAAACGTAGGCCACTTACGCCAATGTAGAAACAGCGAAAACAACTTTTTTCACGAGCGTGCGATGACTTATCCTTAGTTTCATATAATTAAACTCACCACTGCACCAGATGCACCAACCAGACCATGCAATCCAGGGGCTCCAGGGTTTCCAGGTTCACCGGGAACACCAGGTTCGCCAATCGTTCCCTGATAATGTGAAAAATACAACATCTATAGCTACATTCATCTCCAGATAAAATTTATCAGTATACGCTGTTGAGACATATATAGATAGACTAATCAAGAACACTTAAAGACTAATTGGGTTGATAGTTGTTATTGATGTTGATCAAATTCAAAAGTGAATATATCGCTTTCCAGCTTAAATATATAACATACGACGAAGGTATCAATTTTAACCTCTACAATTATTACGTCATCGCTTAAAGCAATTTTAGAACACTCACAAAAGCTCCTGGAGAACCCGTATTTCCCAAAGCACCAGGCTCTCCTTCACCACCCTATAAATGCAAAAAAAACAAAAGTTACTCCTACGATATATATATCATACGATATGAGAATTCGTCCAAATGATATGATGATATATGAGAATTCGTCCAAATGCTACCCGAACTATTGTCGAAACACTTTTAGCCAAAGGAAAAGTCTTGTAAAACATTTGCAAACATTTTCACCCTCCCATTTCCACTTAAAAAAAGGTAAATTTAACGTATGATTTACCCCTCTTCCAGAAATTCCTGGGTCTCCTGGAGGACCTCTAACCTAAACAAAATACGTAGTTAATTTTTATTAATTTTTTTTCATCTTGGCCATGCGGTGAGTTGGTTTATTTATCCTCTGTCAGGAGCCTTGTATATCGACACAGCGAGGAAGAATGGCAGCTTAGACAACTGTTTCTCCATAAAAAATATTTCAAATTGGCGCAATTCACGCTATGAATTTCGTCTTTTGGTGTGAAATATACCGCATTCTTAATCCGTTTTTTAAACATAAACCGCAACAGAAGTATGAGTGATGACGTGGAGGCTGCATGCACGTCGATGGTGAGAAAACATGATGAATAAAGAAGCATTTTCCTTACCAGAACAGCAGGCTCTCCTTCCGTTTCGAATTCAATACCTTGAAATTAAAAAAACTGCAGAGTTCACAAAATGTTTTGTTTATAAACGATATTTTTCATGCTGATTTTTCATGCCGTTCAAGAATGTTCAAAAAATTGGGGCAAAGGTCATTTGGTAACATTTTCAAGAATAGTAGAATATTTGTCATGAATAAATTAAACTGAAACATTTATATAAATTTGGTCTTATAATCGCGTTGGGGAGAAAAAAAATACCGTTGCGAGTTAATGTGAGTAATGATATAGACTAGCGTTTCCTAAGGAAGGCAACGGGAAAACGTGGGAATAGTCCCCCTTTTGTCGGCTAATAAACTAAGGTAGCGAGTGTGATAATTTTGTTTTATTACATGTTTTCATTAAATTATCACGTGTAGCGTTTTCCCAAACACCCTGTGGTTTCTGACACATATTTATAGACCGATGTGCAGTTAACACAAACAATGTTGGAACGTTCTCATCTTGATTAACAACTTTTAAATATTAATTTAAATGTCCCGTTCCAAAAAAATTGGGTTCCCCAATTTTCGCGCCTGATTAAACGTTTTCAAGATTTCTAACTGAATTGCATTACTCTTAAGAGACTTCGTAAGCCGATATCAGAAAAATTTAAATTTTCCAAGTAATCCAATAAAATAATTAGCACAGCAATTACGCCAAATATGAATAAAATTAACGAGTGCGTCACAATGAAATATATGTGACACGAAGGCATAACAAGTTGTTCCCTTTTACTCACCAGTATCTAAATGTAAATCACGTTTTCTTCTTTCTAATAAAGAGTTTTTGCTAACTGCTTCAAGAAATCCTAGAATTATACAAATTGAAGTAAACTGTTCACCGATTAAATTTTTTCACTGGAAAAAAACACGAAAGGAATTTATGAATGAACCGGATGTATGAATGTACGAGGTGTTATTTGGAAAGTAAAATTGTTCGTTTTTATCCATCTTTCTGTTTCTGTAATTTGTCAATGAAGTCTACGAATAAATGAATGAATGAATATTTTTTTACGATTATCAAAGAATACGAAGCTGGGAACCGTACTTGCATGTAACTTGTGTTCCTTCGCCATGCAATCACATATATTTTATTGTGACGACAAGGGGCGTTTGGGCCCGGGGAGTTGGGGTATGCGCCATTCCAAATTTTAAATTATTTTTAAAATAAAAGAAGACCTGTTCAAAAATGCCTAAAAAGACACTGCCCCAAATTAAACTTCCCGTACTCTTCCGACAGAGACTCTTATACTAAATATTTAAGCGTATTGCTGGATAGATACTTGGATTCAAGTATTCGCGCGACTCTCTACTTCTTGCATGATATCATTGCCTTTGCTTTAATCAATACATAGTCCTGGATTTTTGTTTACTTCAATTGACAAATAAAGCAATTTTATTGAAACGCAATTTTATTGAAACCTTCACGGATCCGAAATGTGGGCATTTTAGGTCAGATGTTAAACAATGCTCAGCTAGGCCTTGCAAAGGTGATTCGAAGCTCCTTGCATGTCTCATGAAGTTTATTACCCGTTGAAATTCTTGTTCACTAATGATTGAACTTCCACAAATTCCCATATAATGTTTATAATGATGATGCATTGAGCTATTTCAGTTTCTTTAGACACGCTTGCTATAGGAACGTACCCGTTGAAAATATTGTAACTCAACATATAACATAATCATACTGTATACGGATATATATAGGAATATTATAACCCCCCAATATATAATAAAATAATACGATATCATGTAAGATGTGATATTGAGTATGAATAAGGGGCCCGTTCTATCCTTGAAAATGCTGCATGGGTAGTGATATATTATTTAATGATTGCCTGCTTACGAGGCTGACTACACCAGTGGTACCTAGGGAATTTAGCTGTTGATGAAGGTGGCAGAAATTGTCACCCCGCTAGGCGTTCACTCAGAATGACCTGGCAGAGTCAGTCACATTTTTCCTCCAAGTTGTGTGTCGTTGTATAGTGCTCAAATTGTGGTCACGTTTGCAAGCTATTGCGTTAGAAACATGGTAAAAGATATCTTTCCAACACGAGGGAGCTCGCTGCACGGGTTAATCCTTTTCACATTTTTAAAAAAAAACATGATTCATATTTATATATATATACGTGAATAGAAACACGAACATTTTCGTTACCTCTTTTACATAACTCGACAGAAATCTTGTTGGTATATTGATCAACCGAATTATACGATGTTGCCAAATAAATATTCTTCTCTCCGTCTGGGACAGTTATCTTTTCATATGCGTCAACGTCGATATCGTCTGTTACGGGGAACATAAAAATATTTGAAATAGCAGAACGCAGGTTTTTCGCAGCTTTTGCAACTTCTTCTGTTTCTTCAAATTTCCCATTTGATACGAAAATAACATTCTGAAATTTCAACATACAACAATTAATACGACTGCATCTATGCTAGCTATTGCCGCTTAGTATTAAATGTCTTCAGTATAACTTCAAAAGTGGTGGTTATCGGAAATCAAAGCGACAATAGAAGAAATAGGCAATTTATGCTATATATATAATAGGCCTGCTAAAATTATTCAAATTGTTTCAAATCATAGGTCATATCTACGTCTGAATTGTTAACTTATCCCAAATCGAGAACGAGTGATATTTACGGGTTTTTTTTCTCAATCTCTGTGTATATAATGCGCTCATGCACTTCCTAATATTTTAAATCCAGCCAACACATTGTCTCACCCTCAATTACTCTAAAAATTTACCTACCCTTATTTCATTGGGATGTGACCCCGCTTCTGGAGTAAATAGTCGATCTTTGGCAATTTCAAATGCCTTGGCAGCCCCGGCAGTTGAACGCTCACGTGACGCACGAATCCTATCAATTGCGTTGAATATTGCTCGTCTTTTATACCGGACTCCTGTAATTATAAAACATATTTTGGTTAACCTTTTCCAACCCAAAAGAAACCTGTAGATGAACTTCAGCTACATAATCAACAGAAGCGAGATCAGAGGCAGATTGACCTATACAACATTTAGAAACGTTTTATCATTCCTTCATAACTTTCTCCAAAACGGGGGATCCCAGAAGCAATATAAATCACAGCCGCACTGGAATCACTCCCCTCCCCCTTGGCATTTCTGTGGACCAGCCAGTCTCCAGATCACTAGCACAGAAATTGCCGCTTTTCTCCCTAAAACTTGATCGGTAAAACTAGGAATAGTTGGATTCAAACCTCATCTGACATCTTCCTTAGGGTTTTCTATGATGAAAACACGCACGGATTGCAATTACCTCAGGTAACACCATTACATGCGAATGTATACGATAAATTACACTCAAGACTACTTCGCTTACCAGCACTGGACGAGAACTGCAGGTGTATTCTGGCGTCTCTGTCGAAAGTTATGACACCAATGTATGTATTGGTTCTGTCAACTTCCAATGCATCCATGACGTTTTTCATAAAAGTCTTTACTGCATCAAATTCTCTTTCACTCATAGAATTCTGTACGATAAATGCCAAGTCCATTGCGTATTTACAAACTGACAGAAAATGACAATTGAGATAAATCAAGAACATACCTATTAAGTCTGTGTTACTAAACTATTTGACATATTCTACCTAAACTGGTCTGGCAGTATTAAGAGCAGCGAAACTAGAAGGGCTATGGTACGGTGTCTCAGTTTCGACCTGCATGCCCTCTTCAAGCGAAAATGCCCTTGGAGAATTCCAATCATATTCGTAAACTAAATAAAAACTACAAAAGTGCGATACATGAGAACTTAAAGTGACTGTATTATAAATGATTCCGCAGCCCTGGTATTATACATAGGATATGCATGATTTTAAAAAAAAATGTCTTCAGGTCGTTTATTTTAACATAGCTCGAAAGAGCACCTTAAATATAGAAATTTTGTATTAAAATATGTAAAATATAGCCTAGTAAAGTTATGCTGTTCTTATAATACTTACGTGGTGTACCTACTTACCTATTTACTGAAAGTTAGGCTAATTTGATTGGTATATTTCGGATTACGTATGGAAATTTGGTGTCTTTTCTAAAGACGTTCCTAATAAACTCGCCAAGAAATGTGCTCTAATAAACTGGCTTTCGAAATTTTAATTGCAGAACCACGCATACCTGTTCTCGTTTCAACACAAGTGCGACATTCACCAGGGGAACGGCAGCATTTTTCTTGCCCAGGACAGAGGTAATCCTTCTGGCACTGATCTTGTACTTCGGGGGGACAGGATGGAATGCGACAAAACCCTTCTTTAGCTGGAAAAAAATTGTGAAACAAAATTTTGTTATCATGGCTGTTTTCTTTTATTATTTTGACGTTACTCTCCAGGATTTGGTCTAACCAACTCAGTCGGAATTGCATTGTGGGCTCAAATAAAAGAGAGCCGGTCCAGCTATAGTTAAGCTTTTATAATATCTTATTTAATTTTCTCTACGTTGGCGGATAATTGCGTAGCACCGAGCCATTGGAAGTAAGGAAATTACAAACGTGATGCGGCATATGATTTGCACAATTCGAAGGCAGAAGTTCCAGTGGACAGAATATTTTGAGAATTTATGACTTTAATTCGTATGAGCATTTAAGCAGCAACTATCAGTCTTCCATGCGTTTTACGAACTGCAACCCAACACGATAGAAATCCATGCAGATTTTTTGTATAAACTAAAATATTCTACTTACGAGAGCAGGAGGTCAAGACGAAGCTTTTCTTAAAATCGTAAACATCGTCATCTTGCGAGTGAGCGAGCGACAAAAGATTAGAGGATTGCGAAACAATTTCATCGAAATATCTGTAAGTATCAGAGCCACCATGAACTCCCCATATCTGAACACCTTGATCTCTTAAACCTTGGGTTGCGCTCGAGAGACTAGTTTCTGTTTTCGTTGGTAAACTAGATGAAAAAACAACCAAAATACGGCGGCCAATCTGAAAAGTAAAAAACAGTCAGTGATGTTTGATCTCTCTTGAAGTTGAATGAAATCAGTCATTCATCAATCTGAAATTAATATAACTGAACATTTCAATAAAGTTTGCCCATCTAACATAAAGTTTTGTTTACCAGTTGAGCAAGATGCTATAAGAAAATATCGTATGGACATGCTAAAAACTTAAAAGGGACAGAAACTCGGCGTTAATGTAGAATCTTATTTCAAACCTTGCGAAGTCCTCCCTTCAGGGTGAAAATATTCTCGTTGGTAAATCTTAAAGCTTTTTCGAGATTTCTTTCTCGTTGGTTGGACAGTTTTATGTTATCTATTGTTCTTTGAACTGTTTTGAACGGTTGTGCCCAATTCATTTCTACCTCCACCTCGTTACTATAGGTCAGTATCGCGACTCTTGCAGCAGTCTCAGATACGCTAAAACCATGCACCAGTTCCTTTGATAATTTTTTGAGACTCTCCAACAAATCTTTTTTATTTTTGTCCCCTTTGGTACCGGATGAGTCGAACAAAAGGACTATTTCTGCTGGACTGAAGCAATCTAGGAGTAGAGAAAAGCGTATTAGGATATACTTTTTATTAAAAAGAATGACTAAAAAAAAAGTAACATGAAACAAAGAACCAGAATGTATCCGTGGCTTTTCGTGGCAATCTCATTTCCAATCACTAAACCAAACCTTGCTACGAGTCCATATCTTCATAAATACACGTTTCTGATCGGCCAATTCTGTCACTAACTGTGTTTATGTATAATACTTACCTGAGGTGGGTAAAACACATCTTCTACCACAAGCATTTTCACAGCAAATCGTATCATCAGGACAAGGGCTTGCCCGGTCTGAATCTAAGTCACACTCGTTAAAAACATTATCGTCCTCGCATACCTCTCCTGGGTCCACAAACGGGCATTTTCCTGGTTTCTCTAAAATTTAACACAATCGCAAATATAGATTTTCATAACTTCAAATTTGGTAAGAAAAAAGATTCACTGTATAAATACTCAACAAAATATCTCTTGCGCTTAATAAGATTTGCAGCTACGATTTAGTAATTTCTGTGGTGCCGAGTTTTATACCTTTGCAGAGAATTTCTGACACGGATCTGGCAAAAAATGCAGCATTTTGAACTTCTCGTGACCGAACTCGCTTTTGCCAAATGCTATGAGGCGAAGTAGCGATTGCTTTCATCTTTGTTACTGCTGCAAAATTATTACCAACGGCCATTCCCATTACAGTTACTCCTTGACTTTTCAGTACTGAAATAGCATTATCCACAGCTGGTTGATTAAATAAAGAGCCCCCGTCATCAAACACAACAAGATATTTATCTACAGCATTTCTTACACCGCCTCTGACATCAAACATGTTTTGAGATGCTTCACGCAGGCACTTGTGTAAAACAACGTCACTTCCTCTTCTTCTCATTGACTTCAAAATCCTTTGTATTCCTGCTCTTGCGTAAATTTTATTCAGTTTTAACAAAATATTTCCATGTTCGGCACAAGATATTATACCGACATGCACACCATCGTACTTCCTGATGCCAAATGATAACAACATAGCGTTAGTGATTTGTTTCACGTCTTCTATTTTATTTGACACAGTGGGAATGAGGAATACAATGTCCAAATTTCGCTTGCAAACTAAAAAATACATAAAAAATCACCGCAAACTGTATAGCTTCCATTAGCGAAGGGGGGATGCGGGAGAGCGGTTGCTCACTTTTTTGTTCATGTAGTTTGAAAATTCAGTGTAATTTTTTGTTATGCATGTTCATCAAATGTTTAGCTATTTTTCAATATTTGTTTTCGATGATGCTCCGTCGACACGCAGGGAAGGGACATGAAGTATTTGTTTTCGGTATTGATGGAGTATTTGCATGTAAGCATCTGAATTCTAATAGTTCTTTTAATAATTCTAACAGTGTTAGTTATGGCTTCTTGTGTCACTATGTTATATATAGATGTGCATTGGGTAAAGATGATTGTTATATGAGAAAGTGACCTTTTTTGCCTGTGCACACCCATTCTCTAAATAGTTCTGCGGCCCTTTGGCTTACTCAATCATGTCTTCATTTCTACTTTACCTCACCATAGTATAGCAGTGAAGCCGTGAAGGGTATCATATTTCTGCTAAAACAGAATTCTATGATATACGCGTAAAATCATACCTTTGCAAAACGAATTGACTAGGCCTTCAACCACCGTTTCCAAAGCGTCAAAGTTATCGGCCAGGTAGACATTTTCATCTTTGTCTGCTGCAATTTCCAGCATCTCAGGAATATTCACCGAGTCTCCAACTCCCAGGACAAACACTTCCACACCTTTTCTCGTCAGTTTCCTAGTAGCTTCGGAGAGGTCAGCATCGATATCATCGGCTCGCGATTGCTGGCCATCAGTTAAAATTAAAAGGATCTGCAAACATCGATTTCCAGTAAATTCGAAATCGGAATAAAATTCAAACATCATAGAGCATGGACATGCAAAAATGTACTGTGCCTAAAGGAGTTACATATTATGTTTTATTTAGATTTATATTCTATTAATGTATTTGAACTTTAAAGCATGACGATTAAAATTTCAGTCAAATCAAATCACCACATTGGTCAGACAGCTGGAATGTAGAAGCTAGTCGCTACATGCTTTTTGGTATATGGATTTTACAGTTTATATTCTCTAAAGACCGTTCAAACTAAAGCAACAAGTTCAAAAATGTTGGATTTGTTGTATAATAGTGATTAGCTAACAAATGTTTTGATCGAAGTAGATAATGTGGGATTAATTTTGACGTCGATGCTTAAGGATATCCCCACTAAAACACAGGCGCGCACATTGATTAAAGAGAATTATGGGCGTTGTTAGTTCTCGAACCAACGTTTGTAGTGCTTGTATTTAATAGGAAACGTGCAGGCGTATATCGATCATTAAAAATTTTCGGTGGGGTAAAGTGTTACATCTTTTCACGACTTCACCTCTCAAGTCGTGAAAAGATGTGAGGCAGCTGAGGTGGGCCAGTGGTATTCACCCAAGAAAAATTTTTGCAAAAATTTAGTCTAGTCACTCAAAAACCCAATTTTGGCACATTCTCGGTTTAAATTTATTTCAAGGAGCCGTCTCATTCACTAAACGTCAATAAGGATGTAGGTTTGTCGTCCAAATTATTTTGACTTTCTTTGTTCCATTAATTCGACAGCCACTTTTCTAAAAGATGTCACACCCTCCCACCTGGGCTGCACCCTTGCTAGAGCAGAACAAGTAAAAACGCTTAAAAATGCTGAATTAACGGTTGGTATTTATGGGACAACACTCCCCATTATAGCTTACCTTAGGCACGAAAACTCTGTATCTTGTTGTATCTGAAAATAACTCCTTATCAGCTTTCTCTAAAGCAAGATCAATCCGAGTTATACCACCGGAAGGATAAGAAAGACCATCCCGTATGGTATCATTCATTTTCCTGAAATCGAAATTTGGGTTGTCGAACTGGTGAAAGCTTATAATGGTCTTTGCATCTGAGCTGTACGTGATGATCCCAACGTGTGTTCCGTCTTTCGAAACATCGAATCCAGCAATGACTTTTATAATAAACGACTTGACCTTATCAAAGTTTTGCCTGCTTATGCTACCAGAACGATCCACAAGAAATCCAAGCTCCACAGGGGTGTCACATTCTAAATAAGTGGAACAGAGGTATTACACATTACTCATTGATCAAAAAGGTGTCAAGATCGCATAAGGACAGGGCTCTTGAGCGGTATTATGCAACGCACTTTTGTGAAATGACGTTATTCTAAAGGAGACGAACGCAACATATTTCTAACAATGTGGAAAAAATTATGAGAAATGAAAAAAAAAATGAACAAATGGTATTATAGCACCGACTGATGCTCAGCATGTAGTCTGAGACATTAACTTCTTTATTTGATATCGTGGTAATTTACAATCAATAACCCTTATCGAGCGGGCTTTAATAGCTAATAGACCATATTACCAAGCAATGACTTTGTAATTCTTCATTTGTGAGTTTGACCCCAAATGGCAGCAAAACCGGTTGTATTATAAGCTTAAAAAATCATGTGCACGAGAACAATAGAAAAACTTGTGAACGTAATATTATTACAGTTAATCACTATCTGTTCATGAGCAGCCGTATCGCACACGATTTCAAGTAGTATGGAGTAGATCGTACGCAGCACATGCAGACGCGAGTGCTGAAAGTTCTCAAAATAGGAGTTAACTTTATTGGCGAATTACTTAGCATCAAATGTGGTATAACAACTGCGTAATATAAACAAAATACTTCTCGACGTTTCGACCTTGAGTCAGTCCACTCTCCTGACGAAGGCTCTCAGGTCGAAACGTCGAGAAGTGTTTTGTCTGTTTTAGCCTTTTAGGCAGTTGTTATACCACATTTGACGCTAAGTTGTTTAAAGTCGCTGCCACGCTGCTCCCTGGTTTTATTGGAGAATTATTTCAACAGTAAACATTGTGAATGTCTAAGCTAAGAGAATCAAAGTTGAAGCTTAATTATATCAGTCATCAGACGAATCGGTAAGCCATTTACAACTGCATTGACTAAATATTCACTGCTTTCGGATATTTTTCATGAAAATAGCTTTTTGATGAATATAGTTGTTAAAATCTACGAAACATATCTACTATATAGAAGTCTTCTTGACCAGCTATTTGCGCAGATAATATTGTCGCTTTGGCAAAACTCCAAAAGACAGCGCAGCACGTTGCAAAATTGGCAGGCACATGATATTGTAAACGTCTGTTTAAAACAAACTAAATTATATATAGTCATAGTATATGACTCAATTCCCAATTAGGCGTTTCTAATATCTACATTTGCGAGACTAAAATCCTAAACTCGCAGTTGTTACTGACATGTTGTCCTTGATCGAGAAAGTTTTTATAACTTTTTTTATTCTTTTTAGTAGCAATGAACGACAAACATTCGTCGAGGTTTCCTGTTTAATTGCTACTTCCAAATTGTTTTTAATGATAAATCACAGTTCTCAATTCATCAAAGAAAACCATCTCGATGCTAACCATGCAGCCCTCTAAACTAAAGGAAGCTCGACTAAGCCAAACTTGAAGCAACTTAATTTCATACAGTAATGTTGTCAATCTTTCTTAAGAGACCAATATATTTACTATAGTTTCTGTCACAGAAAGCATAAGGTTAAGGCCCGGAAAATAATACAGGAACATTATGAAACGTTGTTGCCCGTAACAGGATTTGAGACAAGCATGAAATACTATAGGAAATACTATCGCCATAATAACGTTTACGGGCTTATAGTTGCACCGAGTAGCTTAATTATAGACGGTTTACTGAAAGCTTAAAGCTTTACTTTCAATTTGCGCCGGGCATCAAAAATTACGCCGGGTTTTGTGAAATCAGTTATAAATCAGTTGATTTAAATATTGGTGGAGATAAATCGCTCGACTAAGGTTTAACTAGCGAATAAATATGGAATATTCAATGTATCTTGATTTTTTGACACAATCTGAAGTGCCAACTATGAGGTGACTTGAGTCAGCTTTTATACATCAGTACTTGGCAATGCATTGTTGAGTTTATATCAAACAAGAAATCGAGAATGACTCAACGATATGTGTATAATCTTGAATAAAGCAGTTGAAAGATGAATCGTAACTTGAGCTTCAAGAGAATAACAAGAAATCGTCTAGAAAGGCAGACAGACGCGCGCTTACATTATCATAATGCGCGAGACGTCACTGCGCGCCATAATCTAAATGCGTATCTAACAACGAAGCGTTGAGCGTGTGATAAAAATAAGTAGTTGATCATGTCGAGCAATCAACGAGCTGCGTTGCTTTTATAAACAAAGTTTGAATGCAAGATATTTTGAAAGAAAACCGAGATGCAATGCGCCCCATAGTTTAGTAATAAGCTGAGACATCGTGTTTCCTTCCTCCGTCTGCGATGATTTTAACGCCGATTCTTCAATTCCACTACGTTTAGGCCCATTACATATTGCCAGGGTTGTTCTTTGAATTCCAATATTATTCTTTCAAAGTGCGCACTACATAACTATTGTTGTATTCAATAGCGTCTTACTTGCAGTAAGAATTTAACACCTACCTCGTTGACATATAGCCAAAGAACACAATGTTAGTGTGAAGAGGATACAAGCAAGGACGCGGTGCAAACATGACTTCGTCCGAATCTCCATACTGACTCATCAAGAACCCCTTAACGCTAAACGACCGAAGCAGCCTTCGTTATGGTTGTATGAATGTGAAATTTGTTGCGCTATTAACGGAGATATACGGTAGAAGTCAAGCAAAGACGTTGACATTTGATGTCATCACCGTGTTCACTTTTGATGTTACTTGATATCATTATTAATAAAGCATAACAAATAACTTGAAGGGACAAACGCTGTTCACAAAGGCCTTTTCATTAATCCTGGTATTTAACAAACGTCCGTTCGAGGACGATGATGACAATACCTTCTGCGCACTGATCTTATTATCGGTAAACACTATTACTCAGGTGTTCAGAGGTCTATAAATCTAAGGAAAAAAGTATCTGACCTGACAAAATGACGTATTTCTACAACAATACCTTTTACTGAACGTCTTTATGCAAAGAGGTCCTGTTAATTGATGACCTTGCCGACGCGGAATTATGCGGCAAAACATAATACCTGCCGGTTTACAAAAACGCCAAATAAGTGAAATAAAACGACTTAGTTACCGCAAGTATTCTTTAATTATATAACCCAGCCTAATTTCTATTTAAGGGAGGGCAAGTGGAAACAAGCAAAACAAGGATTTTATTGTTGGATGATGCAGGCGAGGATGTAGAAGAGTTTTGATTTTTAACTGAGATGGATGCCGGAATGGAAATGTACTAGTCTATGTCGTTTTTTTAATGTTACAAGTAGAATCGCGTGTTATTTTTGAACTTACCACTCTGCATGATATCCTATGACAACACAGTTAGTATCAACACCGGCATTTAATCAAAAGGAAGACCGGTGCAATCATGCCTCCAGCAAGATAACTCATTTTGGACAACATTAGCCTGTGAAGGCAATAATTGTCCCATGCATGCTACGAATGACTATATTCTATTGAGATATACTAATGAAAATCTATTATACCCTCATGACTAAAACATTTTAACATTTTTCTATACTACACTGTCACTGAGTGCTTATTTCTTAGATTCAACGTCAAAACTAAGTGCGTTTATTGGTATCACTCTTCGCGTTACATGTTTAACACGTTTTAACTGTGAGTGGAAGTTTCCCACTTGGGAGCTGGCAGAGAATTGGTATCACGCAGATTAGATTCAGCACGTTGCAAGTGCATTTATCTAATCCTGTGAACTCCAGCAATCACAGGGGGATTTGACCAATATCTTTTGACGGAGATGAGGACATTTTCCTAGAACTTTTAGTCTTTTACAATCATTCGAAACATGCAGTCATTTTTTGTTTGCAAAACGAAAATGTATTGATTGTTAAATACTGAATACTGACCGGGTACGTTATACGGACCTATCGATAATTAGCAAGCAATAAATGCGAAGGTTGCAATTAAAAAAGTGTGGAAGGAGGTAAGGACCCTGACGAACCAAGACAATCTCTATGGTCCAAAACGATCAATTTCCATTGGCAATGTAATTGCAAAAGAACAGAAGACGTTTGGACGTGTGAAAATTTGTTTGTATTTTAAATGAAAAAAAGTACATAAAATTTAAAAGAACAAATTATTACGGCGAATTGGAAGGTAGTTTTAAATATTGCATCTACTGTGCACTGGTCATGGTGTACTTTCCTAATTTTCGCCTCACTATTCTCAGTTCTCACTAGTTTTCACGTTGGCTCTCACTTCTCACGTTTTCACCTCAACGCACTGCCTCAACGTCCGATCCAGTCTCTGCGCATAGTTCTGCACGGTCAAATCAAATATGGCGGCCAAATGGCCAATGGAAAAATATAAATGATCCAAGATTTGGCCGCTAGTATGAAACCTCGGTTATTTTTGAAGACTTAGCCGTTTGGATGATGATGTACACCTATGGGTGAACAACTAATTAAAATTAAAATTTTCAAATTCAATATGGATTTAGTGCACAAAATGTACAAAACTTGCTCATAAATGAACAAAGAATGCTAGAAGGTGACAGTGCTTCTGAGAAACAAAACCATGTCCAAAGACCTGAAAGAGGAGCTGAAGGAACGAATTGTGCCGTTAAGAGGCACATCTTTGATGATGTGCATGGTATGTTGTAAAGTGGTGATATACTGTATGTGTATGGACTATTGAATTCCAGGGTGCATTCGGTGTAGACAAATCGGAATATCTTCGGCGTAGAGTTAGGGTATCCTTGGCGTACTGGCGTAAAATCAACTTTCCTTGGCGTAGTGGCGTACACTGTTTTTAACTTGTCGGCGCATAAAAACCGGATAAACACACCAAACTTTGTAATTCAAAGGTCCACATACACACCGACTTCAACTGCATGCATTTAAGTATTTTAACGACAACAAAGGCATTTAACTTCTTAAAAATGGTCCTCTAAACGTGTAGCATTTTTTGACTCACGAGTCGAACGTCCTGGCGAGTCTGCGATCGGCGTAACGTCCTGGAGTGGGTAATTGTCGTAAGTATGGCCCAGGGTGGGAAGTTGGCGTAATGTTAAGATTGCTTTGGCGTATCTTCGGCGTGTGATATACACCGAATGCACCCTGGATTGAATTGCAGTATTAAATACTCTGTCACTAGGTGGTCCCTTACCATGACTTGCTTTAATCAGTCAATTTAGGCACAAGTGCAACCGTAGTCAGACTCCTGACTTTCTGGCAATTTGAATCCTTGTATGTCTTGTGAAATTGAGCAATTAAGCCACGGTCAAATGAGAATGCAAGTTGATGCAAGTTGATGCAAGTTGATGCAAGTTGCTTCGCTTTTGTCAGACCTTGGTACCAAGGTTACATAACTCACGTCAACTTGCATCAACTCTGAACTGGTTTGGATTCTGTTAGTAAACAAGTGATCAGATGCAAACATTACTTAATTGCAATTAGCTTAAATTGCATTAGCAAACATTCTTGTCTGACCCACGCTTTAGGATAGTGGTAGGGATTGGGCCATCTGAATTAGGATTCCACTCAAATACTATTCTACATATCAAATTCCTAAAATATTTTCATATTAGGGTTTACTGATGAGGATCTGGAAAAGCCTAATTTCCCACTAAAATCATCATCAGAAAAAATACCATTTTACTTGTCAGATGTTGACAAGCCACCAATAGTACAGGTAGGAGATGGGTTGTCAGTTCTTCATTGTATGCATAAAGTGGTTAGGCTAGCTCCATACATACATGCACATACACCAGGGCAAATGTATGATACATGCATAATAGATCTCCATAGGCAAACTTGTCGAGTTAACTTGTATGCATATTGATTAAGATAAAAAATTTACTATTTTTAAAATTTAGAAATTTTGCTATTTTCCAAACTTGTGGACTGAGCGTGCGATCCCATAGCGATGAAACGGAGGTTCTGTGATAATCCAAAGCCAGAAATCCTGGATAATTTTCTGTATGGTTGGCTCCGCTAATCAAAGCGAAAAACAAAATCCGTAGCCTTGTTGTTTTTACTTGTCTATTGCGTGAATAGAATGACTTAGATATTATTACAATTCCTTGAATCTTTCTTTGCATATTCGCGTTTATAATAAACTGATTAGAAGTATATGATAAATTTACCGCCTGTTATCATTGCGCGCCGAGGATATCCAGAAAACTCCGCTCGGAACGGAATGTGTAGACAACGTTAATCGCTTCCGCGACACTGAATATAACAATGGCTGGATTGCATTGACTTCGAAAACATTTTTGAAAGCGAATACAATCATGTACATTAGTTTCTTGAAACAAAGTAACAAGAATATTGCATTTTTGTCCTGATGGGGCCTTTTTCATCGTAAATGTTTACAGTGTTATCTTGTATCTTTGAATTTATCCACTGGATAGTGGATTTAAACTACCTCCGGACCTTGGATAAATTTATCCAGTAGATAGCGACCTTTATCCGCTAGATAAAGTTATCCAAGCTTCGTGCAATGCAAATCACACGCTGGATAAAAATTATCCGTTGGATAGCGAGTCAAGGTATTTTCTCCATTGGTTAGGATGAAAATGCAGACATGAGGACAACCGGACATGCGGACAACCAGACAGCCGGACATACGGACAACTTTTTTTAATAAGGGGATATACCAGTAGAAGTTATTTTAATGAAAGGAACGTTCAGCATAGTTTCAAAGTTCCTTCACAGATTTTGTTAATCCTCTTGACTTTTCGAGATATTTGAGAACAACCTAAAGTGCGCTTTACTGTTGTATCTGTCATCAAAGACTAGGAATGGGTTAATATTAGGATTACGATTATGCTTTAAAAGCTTAGTATCAAGAATAACTTTAATAATTTAAGTCTTTAAAGCATGTGGAACTGACCGAGTCTGTTTAATTATATGACTGACATGGTAGCAATTGGAACAGGATTTTGTTCGCGTGTTCAAGTTCTATTTTGAAAAGACTATTTGTCTACTACTTTCAAGTTCTATTTGGAGAAATTGTTGGAAAACTAAACTTTGTAAAAATAATTCACACATGCCTTATTATTTCCGACACAGTCTGGATTACCCTAAAATTCCACTAGTTCATACAGATAGAAATAAAGTTAATAAAATTCTTGAAAGAAATCTGTAAGAGAATTTTGTAACTATGGTATATAGGACAAATGAATAGAATAAAGTTTTAGAATATTGTTGTTTTCTATTTAACCTTCATGATAAATGATTTAAATATATATATATATATATATATATATATATATATATATATATATATATATATATATATATATATATATATATTCGATGCATTCCTGGTGGCATTTTCAAGACCACATCAGGATAGACTTTAAGATGTAAACACAACCTTAAATGGGATGATTAAAATGAAGAAAATACCTCAAGGCAATAAAATTCTTGAAATAAATCTGTAAGAGAATTTGGTAACTATGGTATATAGCACAAATGAATAGAATAAAATTTTAAAAATCTTGTTGCTTTCCTTTTAACTTTGGCCGCCTCTTTTTAAACATTCGATTGGCAATGTTTGCTATTTAAAAAAATATATATATTCGATGCATTCCTGGCGTCATTTTCAAGACAGCATCAAGATAGACTTTAAGATGTAAACACAACCTTAAATGGGATGATTAAAATGAAAAAAATACCTCAAATATTTTAACTAAAGTGTGGGTTTTTTCATGTATAGGTTCCATCTACAATCAATCAATATCTGCGTGAATACCAAAAGGAGGGCATAGCATTCCTTTATAGACAGTATTCCCGTGGGGAAGGTGCTATTTTAGCTGATGATATGGGCTTGGGAAAAACCGTTCAGGTAAAAAGGTTTACCACAACCTCCTCTAATACCACCGAGCCTGAGAACGGTCGAGAATTTTGCTGTTTTGAAAAAAAATTGAATGTTTTTTATCGAATGTCTTTCATGATGGGATTTCACACTTTTGTACTTTGCAGGTAATCGGTTTTATTTCTGCGGTACTTGGGAAGACAGGAACAAAGATGGATATCTATGGGAAATTTCTGTCAGAGAATGATAAAAATAAGGTAGTGTTTATCTATATTTATACGAAGCTTATATATAGACAATTAGAAAAAATTCTTTGAATTTTGACGCAGTATGATATACATAATCCGTGTATAGTACGGTATTGAAATACAGTATTATGCATGTCTTTCCTTAGGTTTCCCTCTGTAATCATGTAAAGAAAGAAAAAGGTTCATTTCTCATTGTCTCGCCAAATTCTGTTCTTTACAACTGGCATGATGAGCTGATGACTTGGGGTTATTTTAAAATTGGAAAATTTCACAAAAGCAAACGAGATGAGACCTTTCAAAAAGCGCTGTCAGAAAAGTTAGATGTTGTTTTGACGACGTACGAAACTCTGCGTAATCATTGGGTAAGGAAAAAGCAACTGCGATTTGTGTTTTGATTGTGTTTAGGTACGTGAGTCGTCAGGATCAGTCGTGAGATAAAAGATAATCCATCCGAAATATTCCATACACCCTTATCTCAAGACACATCCAATCGCCTTATCTGGAGACCTTAACACCCCAAGTCCGAACTTTGCGCACGTGTTATAAGTTTAACACAACTCACCTATCCTATAGTTAGGTCAGTTAGGCCAGTGTTTAGCACACCGTGTCTGCTCACATAGGAAAATTTATACGGTTATGTGACGTTTATAGTGGCAAGGAACCTATAAATTTAAACACAACGTGCAATTAATGAATTCTGGAAAAGAAATAAATAGATAAATCAGTGTCATGCAGTGGTAGAAAAAATCATGCCGTGTCATGAAGAGCCGATAGTTCGTCTTGATCATCCCCTCCCTATTCCTAAATTTTCAAAATGCGTTGCAGAATTTCAGAGAAAATATGGGGGTTTACTGTACGGCCCAAAGGATACTTGGTTATATATTCAAGAAAAATTATAAGATGGGTTGAAATTTGACCCAGGACTAGTCGGTAACCAGGCTTTGAACAATTGGCCGCATGCTTATATAGCTTATGTACAAATCAATAGTGCCGACACAGTTTTGTACTCGGCCGTCTTCCGGACATTTCAACTATTAGCAATGATATATGGTCGTCTAACCAGATGTGACTGCTTTTGCATCTTTCGCCGTCCTTTCTCCATTGGGTTCGAATTAATTCTTTAAATACAGAAATAATTTTGACATTTTAGGAAACTTTGAATAGAATAAAGTGGTTGGCGGTAATTATGGACGAAGTACACTATTTGAAGGATCCGAAAAGAGCTGTTACAATTGCTTCCAAATCCTTAAATATCAAATGCAGGTAAATGCACAAAGTAGTAATCTCAGAAGCCCGAATTATCTTCCCTATGGACCAATTTGAAAAGATGGCATGCAAGAGGCTTGTCACATGCACGTAAACGAAACTAGTCAGATTTTCTACCCTAAAATTTCTACATCATGCATGGTGTTACTAGATTTACTGGGAAACATCGCTAGTTAAAGGTTTCACTCTAGGAAAATAGACTGAAATTTTGGCGGGAAAACTTGCATACACCACAAAATCCCCAATAAATTAGTCTGGGAAAAATGGTCAAACTTGAGTGAAATGGTCAAAACAAAATTTTTATGGTAAAATACACACTTTCCGAATTTGCTTGTGTGCACACACAATAATGGAAATGAGATGCATGGGATGGTTTTCATTGCCCGAAGTGCCTATACAGTGTCAGAATTTGGTGCAAATTGTCAATCACAAGCAACATTATGTTGTCTTTCATGCATGGGCGCACATCTGGCCAAATCTCACCTTGGTCTTTTCACGAACAAGGTGAAGTGTCTATTAGTCAATTCCATGAATTTATATACGCAGCAAAAACTTGTTCAAAGTCTCAGGACTCCCCCAATGTTCCAGCCTTTGCAACGTCCCTGCCTGTACGTTAGTGGGTAGGTCGAAGATGAGTACCACGATTAGTTAAACTTTACACGGCATCTGAAAACTTCGAAAATCCTGACGTTTGAAACTAAGCCAAGGGCACCGTAGCTACCTTTGCCGCAAGTTGAACGGGTCGGAAATTGTCAATTATTAGATGGAGCGAGAAGTAAAATTTCTGCTGATGACGGGCTTATTTATCACTCATTAATAAACAATACACATTCCTTTCCATCTACGGCTATCGTTGCTATACCAGAAATGAGAACTTGAATTTTATGATAAACTATCGGTGATCTAAGAATACTACTATTAGTAACATTTTTTTTAAATAGTGACTAAAAATACAATAACAAAATGATACATGATCATGATACTTACGCAAAGTCCTTTTGCATGGTTTTTGTTGTCAGTCATGACTGAATGTCGAGCAAATATTTTGACAACTGCATGTGAAAATTGAAGAGCAAAATGCACGTAAAAAAAATGGCCTGAAAATGCTAGCATATCGCTGACTGTAGCCTTTTCAGCAAAATTTGCGTCCCACAGATTTGGTTGTTTCATCTTAGCTGTTGGCGAATGATTAAGTACACTTTGGGAAGTTCGGTTAAGAAAGGGATTAAGTTTAAATCTAGGGTTTCACGCGACTTTACAAATTCCAGTGTATCGTATCATCTGTGTATACTACTGGGCAGCATAAAGTCCAGTTCACAACTTCACAGAACGATTTTTAAAGTGCAGCGAAATCATTTGGAGGTGGCAAACATTAGTTATGAAACCCACCAATTTATAAAACGTTGCAAAAAACGGTGTGCTGGAAATTCTGTTCGCTCGCAAAACTATTCACAATTTACACTTTGTTGGTTTTATATTATTTTTCACTCACAATATAGACACAGTCCTTCCAGATATCTCCGCTATCACTTCACAATTAATTTACTTTACCTTTCCTACCTGATCATATCTTCTCTGTCATCTACTCTGTCACTGGTTGCTACTAATAATTACTCATGCTACTAAATTCCTAAAATAGTTAACAACGGTTTTGATATTTACAACCTGGCAATCTATAATTTACATAAATCGTGTGTTATATATCTACGCATTTTTTAATGAATATTAAATGATAACGTTTATTTTACATTTGGTAAAATTACCAGCAGTGAAAGAGTTCTGATCACATCATTCCCAAGTGTGTCACTGCACTTAATCTGTCAATATCAAACAGCTTATTCACATGCATGCAAGGATCTAAAGGCTATTTTGGGCTGCAATTTATGTCTTAAATATTGCCACTTATACATATACAGTACATGCCGCGAGGTAATATTGCCCAATAAGAATAAGAACTTAGCAGCTGAATGTCCTAAGATAAAGACTTGCGCTATTGATACAGTTCTTGGATGAAAGAGATATTATACATTAGAAATATAGCCACTTAAAACTTCAATATGAAGATTTCAAGTTTTGCAGTCCTGCTATTCTGCTTCACAACCACCGTCGTTTACTGTAAATCTACTGCAGACAAGGATACTTGCCATGGTAATTATGGAGGCGAGTGCGTAAAGGAGGGTAAACCAGGCTACTGTGACGGACGTGAATGCCTTTTAGCATTCAAGCTAACTTCTCAACCATTCCTTATCAAAATTCGCTATCCACAAAACAATAAATACCTACAAAATGTTTCTATTGATGGTGGCAAAATGTTTCTTCGTGGAAATGGATTAGGACTGACCTGGAGCGAAGGAAATCTGATGCGAAGAACGCAACAAAAAGATACTTGGGAATATAGGCTTGACTTTGGTATTCCTGCTTTCGATTTTACAAGCGAGAAGAAGCCTCCTACGCGGTTCGAATTTCGTGTATTTTTAAACGACGCCATAGATATGCTTGGGCCAAATTTTGTTTTACCCCTACCGCTGTCGAGCGAGAGCAAAAACATGAGCAAGATTCCGGAATTTTGGAAGTATCCGTGGTTTTTTAATAAGAAATTAACTGTTACGCATCGAAAGATCTATTCGCCGCAGTTAACTGTGAGTCGAGACATTATCATCGTATTACCACCAAGTTTCTACGAGAATACGTACAAACGATACGAGACCCTATTTTTCGTTGATGGGGAGTTTCTTCATTATATTCTACGCCTATTAGAAATTTTCATGGTTAAACGTGCGACGATGCGGGAAATTTTAGTGGTGGGAATTCCTAGTGGGAGTGATTTTGAAGAACGCGTAAAATTGTTGGCGATCAGCAATGGATCCGTGGTAAGATGCGTGAATGGTAACTTTAATGATCGCTGTAATGGATGTTTAAAATGCGAATCGGCTTCTTGCTCTTTTCAAGACCACGTTTATGATCATCGATATTGCTACAAGTGGGTGAAAACTCCCGCAAACGGACAGCTCTTCTTAGACTTTATTCAAGACACGTTAATCCCCGAATCCATTTCAGAGTATCGTGCTCAAGCGGGTCCCAAAAACAACGGCATCCTTGGATTTTCCTTTGGTGGCCTTTTTGCGTGTCATGCAATCTGGACACGCCCACTAACCTTCGGATCAGCAGCATGCCTTTCGCCGTCGTTCTGGTGGCCATTCCCGGATCGTAAAAACACGACCTATCCTGACGATTATGGATACGAATTCACGACAAGCACCCTGATGAAATATAGAGGCCCCAGGCCAGAGCAGAAGATATATATTGATGTAGGCGGTAATGAATATTTTATGATGATTGACCCTGCAAGGGAAGCGGCAAGGATCATAGCAAGTACGCCATTTTTTGAACTAAATAAAAATGTTTGGTTCTATATCTGGCAGGAAGAGTGGCACGTGTTTGGTTCTGCCGTTAAACGATCGTGGGTTCCGTTTGTTGCATTTTACGGCACCGAAGGTTCTCTACAGGCTGAGATTGTGAAATTAGTTGAAACTAATTCGGTCGAGAGGGATACCATTGCATTTATAACTGTATTATTGCTATGTCTACTTATCTTTTCAATAATTCAGTAGATAAATACACATTGCTCATTGTGCTTCCATGCACAGTCCAGAATGACGATTGTTTAAAATGTATGTATGAGTACCGTTGTTTTATCTTCATTAAATAACTATACAAACAAAAAGCTAGTTCAATATATTCATATATAATTATTCTTCTCGTATGCGTCAAAGTGAACAACAGGAAGATTCAGAGAAGTGGCACGAATAGATATGACCAGCATATAGTTAAACTGTGCAAGATCTTTCCTGGAAGAACAAATCTAGTTTAGCATTGGTAATTTCCCTTTGTATGTCTAGAGGAAATTTCGTATATTTTCTTTTATGGTGGGCATTTTTATATGTGTACGTTATTATCAGCGCTTAAGGCTTCGTTGTCTTGGACTGGCAAACCAAAGCTCGCGGGTTCGATTCCATTTGGGGTCAAGCTAATTTTCAGCTTTCCCGGTTGGTAACTCAGAGTAGTACCATATAACCCGATATTTGTTGCATCGTTCTTCACAAACGACAAACAGCAATATATAACTGCATGGGCACAAATAGGTTTGTTCTACCTAGAATTCGAACCAACTTGAATTTCCATACTTTTTTATTGCAACAATGCCGCATATGTCGTGCCTGACATTAAATATTATTCAGTATTACTGCATTATACACACTGGTTTTAGGATTGGTCTAACAGGAACACCGTTACAAAACAGATTGCTAGATTTCTGGTCAGTTCTCGATTGGGCCACTCCTGGTTGCCTGGGGGATAAAGAAGACTTTATTAATGACTTCGGTAAACCAATCATGCAAGGACAAAGATTTGATGGTACGAAGAGAGAACTTGCGACTGGAAGAAAAAGTAAGTTGTTCTAGTTTTCGGAAATATGAATCAAGTCGGACCACTGTAAGCTATCCAAAGTTTCAAATTTGTTGGAATTTCCTTTATCGATTTAATAGAAACCCAGGAGTTCCAGTCACTTATAGATCGTTGGTGTTTACGAAGGACAAAGGCTCTTATTGCAGATCAACTACCGCAGAAAGGTAAGAATTAATGTAATTAATCTTAGAATAGAGGTGTCAGAATACTCTCCCACGCAAGTTTTGGAAAGAGCAAAGGTCATGCGTTTTCATTTCCCCCTTATCATCTATGTATGTGAACCCGTGTTTGACCTTGATGAACACCTTGACCTTCAGTATCACGTATAAGACACATCATTCCTCCTCGTGTGTGCATGGAACTTTTTACTCTGAGAAGTTCGTGGACTATCGACACATCGTTATGCACAGGACACATTATGCGTAGCGACCCTGAGTAATCCTTTAGGCTAAACTCCATCAATGATTTCAGATCAAAAGGTTGTGTTTTGTCCTTTATCTAATGTGCAAGAAGAAATATACAAAACACTGCTACAAACAAACGATGTCCAACTAGTATTGAAGCAAGGTGAACCTTGTGACTGTAGAAGCGAATTAACTCGTGGAACGTGTTGCTATGCGGTATGTTTTCTAAGGAAATTTTTGGTATTATATATTACACCACCACAATATACAACCTGCTGTAAACTTTTCATCACCTGCTTTGTATATTTTAGTCTTTTCATGTAGCTATTTTCCTATAACCGTGATGTGACCTTTCAGGGAGGAGGATATAAGACCTGTTTCCAACTTTTGCAGGTGAACGAAGAAGGATCAACCATGAAGAAGCTTTTATTGCAATGCCTAAGACTTTTTCTCAAAATTTCTAATCATGCAGCGTTACTTCTACCTCACGTGAAACAGACGGACGATCAACGTAAGCGGGTAAGGGTGCACTTGCTGTTATCACGATTGAGCATAAAACATTCTCCAATTTACACTGCATTCAAGATGGACATATACTGCGCATAAATAGTATAATATTCCAAGGGTGAAAATTCCTCCCATTTTACCTTAGGTAATATCACAAATCCCCAACGAAGGCTGTAAACATATCTCCCGAAGTCTTTTACTAGATTTATTTTAACATTTCCATACCATTTGGGGCATGCCCCATGCAGCAATCTCAGGATTGGAGCTCTCGATCTTCTTGCTGCAATTTCTGTCTACGCTCGTTGCTTTTTTATGCATCACATGCTATAGAGCTACTATACGGCTCTGCTGTATGGTTTTCTTCAATAACAGCTCTTTGTTATCATATAAGTTGCACGCTCTTGTCCATGCACAAGAGCAATTTGATATCTGATTACATGATTTTTTATAATCTTTGCTGTACACCCAATCAGGAATGTATCGTTAAAAATTTTTACTTTAATTTGTACTTTTATATAGGCAAAAGCAGTTTGCGAGAAAGTGTTTGCAGTTCATCCAGAGTTTGAGAGGGCGAGTAAATCTCCGTCTTTCGAGTTGTTTTCTGACAGCAATTTTTGTGGAAAGATGAAAGTTTTGGACAAATTGTTAAAATTGTTTCAACAAGAAAAGGATAAGGTGTTACTATTTTCATATTCTACGCAAGTAAGTGATTAATGTCCAATACAATAATGAAATAACTTGTGACCAAATTGTGAAAAACCTGTTAAAAACTATAAGTCTAGAAGTCTATATACTGTTTATGCCAAGTTGTGTGTGGGCGAGATAAAATCTTATAGGTGGATAGCTGTCGAGAGCGTTTGGCGGAGAAGGTAAGTCCCATCATACGTATTTACCCTTTGTCAATCAGACAATATGCACTGATTTATACATTGAGGAAAGAATATCGAAATCCGCGTATTTGACCTGGGTAAAGACTTTGTTTGAATGTTTAGTTACTAGATATGCTGGAGGCTTACGTCATAAGTTGTGGTATGGTTTATCGACGTTTGGATGGCAAGACGCGCGGAGAACGAAGACTTGATGTCGTGAGAGAATTCAACACAAACGCAAATGTCTTTTTGTTTCTTGTTTCAACTAAAGCTGGCGGTGTTGGTCTGAATTTGACCAGTGCAAATATTGTCATCGTATTTGACCCAAGTTGGAACCCCGCTGATGATCTGCAGGCTGAAGACAGGTGAGGATACCAAGGGCAACATATCATTAGGTCCATAAGTTGATTATAACTTCTCGTCAAATCAATGGTATATAACAAAATGCCTAAAATAGGCAAAACTCTTTTCGACGTTTCGACCTGAGGGCTATTGTCAGGAGAGTAAAGTTTCATTAGTTTAAGTTTCACATTGAACTTTGACTATTCGTTATTGTTAGAGCTTATCGTATTGGTCAGAGACGTGACGTCAAGGTATTTCGTTTGATCTCAACTGGAACTGTGGAGGAAAATATGTATTTACGTCAGATTTATAAACAGGTTAGCTTTGTTTGTACTAGCGCGAGCTTATAAAGTGCACCAAATTAGCGACGTGGACGTCAAGAAGAACTTTGACTGTGTCATTAGTTTTACTATATCACAGACAAACGTTTATACGAGAGTTTTTGTGCATGTCATGTCCTCGTCGTAGTTAAATTTCATCCACTCCTCATGCAGCTCTGCTTGGTTTAAATCCAGTTCAACGTATTCTTTGCTTTGTGCTTTCCTTAACGTACCTCAAAATAACGACATGCTTTTAGCAAAAACAAATTGTATATATGTTATATGTTATATATTAACCGTTGTCCTTTCAATTTAGCAATTGGCGAATGTTGCCGTAGAAGGCAACAATGAGCGACGTTATTTCACTGCAGTCGACGGTGTAAAGAACAGAAAAGGAGAGTTGTTTGGAATTGAAAACCTCTTCACACTCAGGATTCACGGCTGCTCTGTCTCAACTGACATTTTTAAGAGATCTGATAAAATCGAGCGGGGTTTTCGTATGGCGCAATACGAGCTACTTCCCAATGTTGACATGGAAAAGAAAATGGTATACCTGCATGTCTGTGCAAGCTAGGACTTAATAATTCTTTCATACGGACTTCATTATATTAGTTAGATCAAGAGCGGTTTTCACGCGTTCATTTCTTTCTAGTAACTATGCACAACTCATGCATGCATGGGCATGTTCCCTGGCCCCAACCCCCCCCCTCACTTAACCATCTTCCATGTGTTTTGAGACAAGTTGTTCCAAAAAGTTGCTTTCTTTCCTAAGTCTAATTAAGAACCAAATAATGTGCATGAGAACATATAAACTTATAATTGTATAATAACTTGTATTGCGACGTAATGCAATCTTAACTTTGAAATTTTTCTTTCTTATTAAGATTAGTGAGCAGTCGATAATTCCTTTAGCTCAATGCAAGGAACCAGAAGATGAAAATGATAGTTATAATTTGGATGAAATAACTTCACAGTTTATTGAAGATGATGCAACAAACATAGATTGTTTGCAAGACAATCCTGCAGAACACGATTTACGTAGCGAGGTACTTTCACAACATGACAATGATGAGAAACACAATGATGAAAAACAAAAGATGAAATTCACTAAAGTGTTGGAGGAGAAACGTGAAAAAGTTATCATCACACCATTACACGATGACGACAAAAAGAAAAGAAAAAATATCAGGAAGTAAGAAATACAACATTTCCTTTAAAGTTTGTTCTACTGTCCTGCTCTATTGTTATATTCATATCTCTCCTAACAAAAATTTAGGAGTGCAAGTCCTTCCAAGAAAAGACCGATATCTAAAGATAGCCTAGTTAATCAGATACTAGGTAACGTAAGTTGTTTTGATTTTGTTATAGTTGGTTTGATAAATAATTCTGGTGTAAACATACTAAAGGTATGTTTCTATCACAGAGTAAACCATGGATATATCTATTACTTACTCTGTGGTTTCTACTCGGTGGCAGTTACTACGAACACGGCTTGGCGTAAGCAAACCACTTGCGAGAATGGCCAAACTTGTTCTCGTAGTTGATATCGTACCAATTAAAGATTACACATCTACTCTTTGGTGGTACCAACCACAAAGCATAGGTATATATAGAATTAATTACAAATTCTTGTGGGATCTTTGCAGAGGATTGTGGCGTCCGGCATACACATAGCAATAAGATCATCATTGGTTCAAGTGAAGCTGAAAATGCAATGACGTCACGAGCGATGAAAGAAGTGTTTGATCTTGGCCAATGTTCCCAACAACCTGCCAACTGTTTTGCTGCTATTGAGGTATACGCGGTGTTCCTGCATGTCAATATTTGAAATTATCACAGGACAATGTATATAACTGATACTAAGGCTGACCTTGAACAGGTTTTACAAATATTATGATCACGAGAATCAAAATCAGTGGAGAACGAGTGTTTTGTTTTGTGCAGAGTGATGGCGATGAAAGTGATGATATTGGTGAACCTGCGGACAGAAAATCTTCCAAGACAGAAGAAAATTTTGACTTCCAGAAAACGGAGGTTGACAATTATTCTTCTCCAAAAAAGTAAGAAATATATCTTTTTTGTTATAATTAATAGTTTACTCCACATCGATATATGATGAACGTGGATAGTACTTATAAATTGCAATACTCTCTGTAGGGTCCACACTATCCAAACGAAAATCTCAGTACAAAGTAAAGCTAATGGCCGAACGACGTTATATGGAGAGACCCCGAAGACAATACGAATAAGACAATTTATGGAAATATCCGAAACTCGGGGTTTCAAATCCGAAATCGAGTTTGCACGAACTGTGGTTAGCTGTAATACGAAAGAGCGACTGGACATGCTGATGAATTATTACAAGACTAAGAAATATCCAAGTGATAGTATTGAATTTTTTTCCCAAACAAGCCAATCTTCTCAAGACGACAAAACGAGCAGTAACTCGAGGAAATATTCAACTAATAGTGAAGGACGGTACCGAAAATCGTCAACCAGGAAGAAATGTTTTACAAAGTCTTCTGTTTTCAAACCAAAAAAGTCTGATAGGTCTGTAATGAAAGAGAGCAAGTTATCTAAGTCAAGGACTGGATCGACTGCAAGAAGCAGAGTTGTAAGTCAAGCAAGCGATAAAATCGACAGAAACAGGGTAGGGTGTAGTACAATAGAACCCGAGGTTGGAATGTCGTCAACAACAAACAATGCAGTTAAATCCCTTGATAATTGCAAAGTGAATAACGTACAACTGAAGAACGACCAAACGAAATCTAATAGCTGTAATCAAATGGAGGCCAACCCAGTTATATCGTCAAAATGCAGTGAAGATAGAACATCAAATGGTGAGGAGGTAAACTGTTCTGATTATAGCTTAGCAAGACATACATCTTCCAATACATCTTCATGTGTGTCACCCAAAAACAATGAAAATGTATCCGAAGATATTCTCAATGATATTCTCACTGCATGTAGTGTCGCCAACACAAGTTACACTCGATATCGTTCATCGCCCAACACTGGACTTTCTTCGAACATACCTGCTATTACAAATAGTCCCCAAGGGTCACAGTCGTCGTTTCTCGACGAATTTTTATTTGAATGTTCACAAAGAACATGCAAAAGAGCAGCGGGCACCTCGTCTCGCAATGAACCACAAAAGGAAACAACCGATAATATTGGGGAAAACAAAACTTGTGAAAAGATGCCAACGTCGAGTATAATCGATGATTTGATTTAGAAATCACACATGCATATGAATTAACTATAATCTATATGTAAATGTTTTATTCAGAAGAGTATATATTTAAGGTTTTATTGCGGTAGTATGTAAAAAAAAAAGTTTTATAAACGTGTTCTTATAAGAATTTTTATAAATATACAGTATTCCTTCGCAAGTAAGAAGGAACAAATCTTATAGAAGCATTGCGGTATATCGATTAAAGAATGGTTAAGAAATTGAATTTTACAACCGGAGGCAACAAACAGTACGTTGAATAATTTAAACAAGGTATTAGGTTTTTGGAGGAAATTAGTTTGTTAAATGGGAAGTAGAAATGTCAGTGAGCATATCGAATTGAAAAGAACTCTTTGATTTCTCTACGTGAATTGTTGTTAAGTGTCAAGTGATATGATGGATGAAAAAGTTCTCGTAAATTCAATTTCATACTTTTGCCGATATATTGTTGGTAAGGTAAGGTGCACAAATATAGAATAGGGGCTGAGGGGCACGGGTTGGGGTTCGGAACCATTAAAAACTTGCCAACAGGGACCGCGGAGGGGGCGGGGGACTGGGGGGCTTTAGCCCCCCCAATAATTTTCAAAATACATGTGATTCCTTTATAGCGATTTTTATATGGCTATAATAATACGAATAAAAACTCCTTATAGTAAGTTGTGTAATCATAATTATGTGTTCACTATCCGTGTTGGTGAACAATGTTTTCATTGAAGTGTTTACAAGAAAAATATAAACAGATAAGTATGGTCCCCCCCCGAGGGTTCACTCTTTCGGCTTCGCTAGCCCCCCCAATCCAAAAACTGCTCCGCGGTCTCTGCCCAAAGCCTCATCGTAAGCGACGTAATGACTCGTAAAGCTGTCTCGACTGCGTCTGTCAGCTATAACATTGGCTAAGATTTAGAACTCCCTTGAAGAAGGAGAGTGTCCTCATGTAAGGGTGCCTGAGATGGAAATTGATTTTTTAGAGTGGAAACACTAAATGATCTAAACACGGGTCACGGAAGTGAAGAGCACCGAACAACATCAGTTTATATCAGAACATTGAACATTATCAGAAATCAGAATGTTTCATAAACGGCCCAATGCAGTTTCTAGTGACACAACGACAGTGATATCAATGATGGCCACAATTGGCAATCAAAAGAAAAAGGTTCATTTTACTCGACATGCTGAATCAGTTTGCAACGTTCTCAGAAGAGACCTTCTAGTACATTTTCACCCAAATCCTCCTGTGATACCAGATCCTGGATTGACTATCGAGGGAATGGAGCAAACCAAACGTTTGAAAGCACATCTTGGACAGACTTTAAAACCAGAGCTAGCTATTTGTTCTCCATATACGCGGACACTACAGACCTGCCTTTTATCCTATGGTTCCCAAAATGTAATTGTAACCCCTTTATGTGGTGAATGCATGTCGTCCTGTGATGATATAGGATTACCCGCAAGTTATCTTAAGGCTTTATTCCCAATGCTTGATTTTTCCTCCTTGGATGAAATGTGGTGGTATATGCAAGATGATATAAACACCCAAAGAGAGGCAGTCAGCCTTATTGCGCAAGGGAAATTGAAATTTGAAACAGATGATCGTGTGACCTCAAGGATGGAAAAATTCTATGAATTTTTGTTAAAAAGACCCGAACAAAATATCGTAGTATTTGCTCATAATGATTTTCTGTGTCAATTTCTTTCAAATTATTTTACATTCACTGATAGCCATCTTGATAACTGTGAAGTTTTTAGCGTAGAAATGTGACCTACAGTGATTTAGTAGCAGTCATTCAATTTGTTTTTTGTTATTTTAATCATACTTTGGTTAATAAACCCAATGTGTTTGTTGTTTGTCAATTTTCTTTATATATGCATGCTGCTGTATGTAATCTCCACCACATTTAAATCTGCGCCACTGCCAGATAATATAGCCAGGTCTGGCAGTTCATAATTACCACCTGAGACCAGGTTGATTATACTGCTTAGAATGCTAATTGTTTTTGAACAAACTGGTGGTTAAAATATTAAAATATTTTACTACCCATGTAGGTTTATTGTTTGGGGCCCAATTTGGCATGGATACATGCATAGACACAAGTAGCACATTCACAGAAATGCCTTTATATCAATATGTAAAAACAACAGGTTTAGAATTTCACCAAATTATTTTCTGGGACAATTTCAGGGATTACAGTTATTATATGCATTTACATGGAGTTTGTAATTAATGTAGCAATTGTTCATGTGTACAATGTCCAATTTAAAAATTAAGCCAGAAGTCTTGAAAAATTCATGCTGAACAGATGCTAGATGGACTATGAAAGAATGACTGGCAAATAAGATCACCTAAATAAATGTTAAGATGCCTCCCCCCCCCCTTAATTAGTGATTAAACTACTACAAAATCATCAATAAAATAATTAGTTAAAAAATAGTTCTAATATACAATTTAGAATATTCTTGTGAAACATTAACAGCTTCTTCACTAGGCTGTGCATGGCATTTCTTGAGAGTATACTTCACCATTTGATATGTGAGCAGTAGTCAAACCAAAATATTCAGAAAGAAAGAACATCAAGAAATCGTTGTGAGAATACACTGCTATGCTTTTTTCTGGTCGTTCACAAAGAAACTTATAAAATTCCTTTGCTCTAGCTGCAAACTGGTCTTGATCTTCAACCACCAGTTTGCCTTGTGTGAGGAGATTCACAGCTTGGGGTTGGGACTTGATATTATCTTGAATATACCACCATGTCTCCTCCAGAGATGAGAAATCAAAGCACGGATAGATGACCTTCAGGCAGCTTGCCGGTAACCCGATGTTATCACAAGTGGCCGCCATAAACTCGCGGCAGAGCGCTGTGACAATTACGTTCTCAGAACCATAGGAAGTTAGGCATGTCTGCAACGTCCTAGTGAAAGGAGAGCTCACCGCGATTTCTGGTTTGAGATTTTTAATCTTTTCTTTCAGCGTTGTTGCTTGTTGCATTCCTTTGAACGAAAGAGGTGCATCAACAAGAACTGGCCGATCTTGTTGTGGTAATTCACTCAGTTTGAGCTGACGTCGGCAAACATTCCAAGTTGATTCACCATGACGAATAAAGTGTACAGTTTTCGTCTTTCCGGACTTTTCATTGCTAGACATATTGAGATCTTTGTGATGAAGGTGTCGTAGAAGTTAAAAACAATTTTCCGTAGTAAACATTACATAATATTCAAATTATCTTTCAATTTCACATACAAGCCGGAACGGGTTGTGGTGCGGGGGTGGACTATTAAACGTCTACATACTTAGATATATAAATTACTTATCACAAGTTTCAATGAATAATACAAGTACCCATTGGCATTGCCAGTTCATACAGAATACGTTACTTCAAAATACGTTAAGGAAGTACCAAAAAAATTACCTGCCCTAGTACCACTCTCAGTGGTACTACCACTGGGAGTGGTATGTGGTACCATCTCATGTCCGGTGGGCACCGTATGCATTCTGCAAAAGCTGGTAAAAGGAGAGAATAAACTAGCCTCCTCCGCAGCACGCATCTCTTATGTATTTATATTAGGCATTTATATTTGGCTTGGGTTAGCTGTGTCGGGGAAGGCGAAGAAAAAAGTGGGAGAGAGATTCTCGCCTTCCCCGACACAGCTAACCCAAGCCAAGTATAAATGCCTAATATAAATACATAGAGATGCCTGTGGAGGAGGCTCAGAATAAACGATAAACCCTTTACTTTTTGGGCACCACTCACCAGTGATGTGTTTCTTAATTAAGCACGGCTGAAAACAGGGAATAGGGAGGGGGCATCAAGATCCGAGGTTCCAAGGCAGGTTTTTCCCAATTTTTGAAAGCGATTCAAAGGTTCTTAAAAAAGGCACTTCTCTGCTAATTTTAAATTTTCAAAGAAAGTGAGACGTATGACTACGGTATAAGTTATGAGAGGCCAAACAGCCGTTTTCCGTTATAGGGGGGGGGGACTTGACAGCAGCCCGTGATCACTGGAAGTCTGGGTTTGATTACATTCGTACATTTGCGCATGACAGCCAAGGCATTCATATAAGAGGGTCTTACTTTTTTGTGAACATGGAAGCAAGGAAAGTAGTGATTTTGGTCAAAAAAGTGCAAAATATTTCCTGTGTTTCAGTAATTAGTTGGTAAGTAACGTACTGAATAAAGTTTCTTTACAATAGTACATGCTTCATTACAAAGATATTTGCAAACCTATGCAATATCTTTCTGAAAACCTTACTATCTCCATCAATCATGATGACCTTAATAGCTAGTTAATAGCCAACATACATCAAACACATCTGACAAAACCTATTTATAAAATGCCGATTTCAACAATTTTTCATGGGAATTTCTCTACCCTAGTTTTGATTGATGCATATACTGTCCATGAAAGTTTTTTCTAGGAATAAGCGTTCCTGTCATCCTGTGCTTGCTTCTGAGGCAATGCAGGATCAGTTCTTGCCAACTGCCAAGAGGGCTTTCTTTTGGTTTGATCTCAATTTCTATGATATGACATCTCCAACTTATAATCTAATTTATGGCAAAGAGCCTGGGTTACAACTGCCTTTACTGGCCTCAATATTATTTATGTTAGTGTTACTCTTTCTGAATGAAAGTACATGTACCTTATATGTATATGAAGAGTGATATATGTTAAAACTGAAATAAATGTCCCATGGAACAGCTGAAGATTATAACTTGAATGCATGCACTATTAAGCAATTTCTTTTCTGTATACTTTTCTGAATTTTAGTTAAGTTGTAAGAAAAAAAATACACATTCATCATGTCGAGTGGTGGATCGTCTTCTGTCAACCAGGATCATGCACTTCAAGTGTTAAAAAAATATCGAACTTATGTTGAAATGATTGCTGAAGTTAATATACGTAAGTGGGCAGAATATTTTTTAGATTTCACAAATATGACTAACAATATTTTATAGTTCTTTCATAGACTATAACAATAACTAATATTTTTAATTATGTGGTTTTATATCACACAGATAATTAGGAAGTAAGGATTAAATGAGAAAACTGTTTCTTGAATTTGTTTAGCTGATGAAAATAAATTGAATGCTGCTCAGGAAATCAGTGAGAACTTTGAAGTATGTTACTTTTTGTATAGTAAATTCTGTATAATCAGCAATATACATGAAAACTTGAGTTTTATTCCTCCACCCAAGATCTTCAGTTGTGTCTGGGTCATAACAGATTTCGTACATGTGAATTATATATATGTAAAAGAATATTGTTTATTGAATGTTGATCCTGATTGAATATTATGCTTCAACACTATAGGTGATCGTTGTTTCTCCCCACTATGCTGGATTTTTAGAATTTGCAATTCCAAGGTTTCTTCAGTTCCTTAGAGAGGGTATGATCATATTGTGAAATTTTCACACCCACATTTATATACATATAATATTAATGCACTTGAGCATACTAGGATATACCGTACTGTACATTCGTTTTCATCCAACAATTTCAACTTTTCACAGGTGAGCCACAGTTTATTGCTGAAGGGGTCATTCAGGTATACCAACACTTAGTTATTTTGCAACCTGAAAATTTAATTCTTTGCAAGAGTGAAATTCAATCGAATTATATATGCTTTATTACATTTTTTCTTTTTTTAGCAATTACGAAAACTTATATTAGAGATTATTCATCGCATTCCCACGAACGATCACCTAAGACCACACTATAAGGTAACACTTAATTCATCTTTCAAAGGTTGCTATGTTTAAAGTGTTAAACAAACATTGATGTGATTTTTGTTGCAGAACATTCTTACAGCAATGTTTCATTTGTTGGAAGTAAGTTCTAATAACTTTAGGTTTACCACTGCATGTACATATAGTTGTTATTTTTTTGTTGCTTGGCATCACCTCAACAGTAGTTGCTTTCCAAATTTGTTGATGGCAATGGAATAATAAATATTTCACTTCCCTCCAAAGTACAATTTAAGTATGATCATTGAGAAATACGTATCTAGACCCCGTAGCTATATCTGTGGAAGTGCATGTATCCCACCTTTTGACTACAACTTTAACTGACGTCAAATTCGTCCATGCAGTGTTTGTAACGATAATTTATTTTTCATTACATAGTCGGAGAATGAGGAAAATGTTTTGGTCTGTCTACGAATAATCATTGAACTACATCGTCAGTTCCGACCTCCTATGCAAACAGAGATTCAGCACTTCTTACATTTTGTGAAAAATATATATAAAGAATTGCCTATCAATATTGTAAGTGTTTGATAAAGAATGCAGTTTATATTTACTAGTTATAATATATTCTTAGGCCCCATGAACTAAGGAATTCATTTTGGCACTGGTTACAGAAACAAAACTGCACCAGGAGAACTCTTGAGGTTCTCGTAATGCTATGTCTGGTTTACGATGTTGTTCCTTTGTTTCAGAAATCTTCTTTTGAAGTAGTACAGATTACGACAACTGGGTACTTACCAGCGGAGGTGAATGGTGGCGCTACTACACCAGCTAGTACTCCTAGTACAACTGTCTTAAGTAGTCCAAATCAAGCTACCAAATCTAGTGGTGATCTCACTATGGCTGCGAAGGGCGGACAACAGGTAGAGAAAGTTACAGTGTATCAATTTGCCAGAATAACTGAATGTATCATCTATGCAAACTCCATGAATATTGATGTCAAGCGTTTATAAAGAAGTTTAAATTTAAAAGTTTGATTTTTGGGGCGGCCTGTGTGTTTATATTATACAGTAGCTACTGTATTATATAAGCACTATCATCAACCTCACAATACGATGATTACACTGTATCCCATTGAAAGAAGCCGTTGGTAAAAATTGTGTTCTCTTCAGTCCAGATACCAATCACTCTGATATATTCTTATTAATGACTTTTTTAGCAAACCGTCATACCGAAGGCTGCTACGTCATTGAAAGTATTGGCGGAGTTACCAATTATTGTCGTACTACTCTTTCAAGTATGTGTATAGTAAATGTATGTTTGAATGTTATCATGCATGGATTGTTATAAGCACAACCGGTGCGATGCACAACGGACTTTACTTCCACTTTAACAGTATAGTCGATAATCAACGATTTCCATTCACGCATAATTACGCACACTTTTTCTAAAGGTGTTTTCACTTTTTCATCTGTATTTTATATGTTTTTTCAGCTTTACAAACAAAATGTTTTGGGCGAAATCAGGGAGTTCATACCGTTAATCATTAAAACCATAGTGTTGCAACCGTCAATGCAAGCCAGGTGAGTACATGTACAGTATAATCCATACTACGGGTCTACTGTAATTGAAGCACTTGTTTGTTCGTTCTCAAAGTCTAAATGGTGGATGTGTATCGTTGCTGGGCATTATTTACTGTGAGAAGTAAAATGATACTCCTAATATGTATTAAAGTTTAACGCCGTCTTTAATGGCTTCTTTTTTGTCTTGAACAACCAGGAAAAAGGCATGAGGCGTGTTTTCTGTATACAAGTATCCGCTTTTATCTTCCCATTCATTTCTTCTCGTTTTTCAGGAGTGCGCCAAGTTTCAACAAAGAAATTTACGTTGATTTTGTTGCGGCACAAATTAAAACCCTCTCATTTCTTGCTTTCATCATCAGAGCTTACCAGGTTAGTCAGTATTAAAGTTTAATGCCACTCTGATATGAATGTAGATCTAGAATTTTTTTTCAAATACACTCCAAATTCTAAACTTATCTCCTCTTATACACATAGTAAGTTCTTTTTCAATTTGTTCTTTCTACGACATAAATGCAACCGAGCGAAAGTGTATATTTACTGTAATGTATTTTACAGGAATACGTGAATAACTTTGCTTCAAACATGGTTGGTGGAATGTTGGGTTTGTTTCGATATTGTCCTCAGGTAAATTTACTGAAACAAATGAATTCTGATTTAATTAACGTTTTTTCGTACTTCTTGTAGATGTAAATACAGCTCATTGAAGCGGGGTATTTTTTCATTTTAGGAAGTCGCACATTTGCGCAAAGAGTTGTTAATTGCAGCACGTCACATTCTGGTCACTGACTTACGAAACAGTACGTGGTTATGGCTGCTTGTTTAATGCAATATAATATATTGCTGGTTATGGCTGGTTGTTTAATGCAATATAAACGCCAACAGACCATCAAAATATTCGCAAAATATTCGCAAATATATAACAAAAAATTCCTTGTCATTTGAACCATCATTTACATATTTTAACTTTTGATTTTTCGATATACTTGCGAACAATAACGCATCCCAGCCGTCATCTTGTTTTATCGCAATTTACGTATATCAATCACAACAAGCATGGAAACATTTAAAAAATCGAGGAAAAAGTACCAGTTATACATGAAATCTCGTGATGTCTTGTGACGTGGTTAGATCAAGATACTTAATAATGGCTTGCAAAATATTAACACAAGGTTTTACCCTTTTTTGCATCGCATATAGTTGAAAGAATATGCATATTTTTCAAAAATGGCAGAAAGTTTACATGTTTCCTATCAAGTGCCCTTTCACAAAAAGTATACAAATTACAAAAGATTTGATGATCAAACTTCCAACCTCCCTTACAATAAACATTTACATTAAACCTGCCCAAGTTCATGGTGAAAAGTAATTAACCATGCACGCTGTCTTTCGATAGGATTTGTTCCCCAAATTGATCAATTGTTTGATGAAGATGTTTTAATTGGTTCTGGCTGGACCGCACGCGAGTCACTACGTCCACTGGCGTACAGCACATTGGCAGATCTCGTACATCACGTGAGAAGTCATCTTCCCCTTCAACATTTATCCCTCGCTGTACATTTGTTCTCCAAAAACGTCCATGATGAATCCCTTCCAGTCAGCATTCAAACCATGTCATGTAAAGTAAGTGAAACTATTTAAGATGACCTTATCTGCCATGTGAGGCTGTTTTATAGTATTGGCGACATATACTGAATACGAACTACAGTATATGACCAATTTTAACTTTAACTTGCTCATTATCATATCATTCTCTCTAATAGTAGACCTTTCTGGGGCTGGTTGTATATAACTCTTAAGTATACGTTTTGCGTAGATAAAGGATCGTTTAAAGTTAACTTTCTTGATACAGTATACAACCACCCCCTGTACTTCTTCTGACATCTAATGTTTTTTATTAGTTGCTACTAAACCTTGTTGAGGGAATACGTAAGAGTGATGAACAGGGAACAGTAAGTTTGTAAACGTTTTAGCAATTTCTTAGAGTCGTTCAAATAGATTAAGTTTATGTCGTTATATGCATGCAATACCGTCAGGATAATAAAATAGATCTATTTTATTACCCATGCATTGCTTAATGTTATTCTATCTGTTATTCGCCAAACCTTTCAAGTTAATTTTCACTTTTTGCATGTGCGATTTTCTTCTTTTGATAGATGTGAACGAGTGAATTAGTTAGTGATGTTCAAATAAGAGCTCTTATAAATCCGAGCATTCGTAACTAATTACTCGTTCACATCTATCAAATGATGAAAATCGCACATAAAATCGCACCAAAAATTGCGGGCCCTCAGAAATCTGAGGCTCGTATAATCTAATATGTCGTTGCTGACATTCTATAACAAAGACTCCTTGTCGGGGAATCGCATTTCCCGCTGAATTATACGCGAGATAGATTACGTGACGTTCACACGTATCATATTCATTCAAAATACAGAGGATACAAGGAATGTGGCTCACAGTTCCCAACTTTCTACAAGTTGGAGTTATTGTCCAAGCGCTTACTACTATCATCTGCATATTCTTTGTGTACAAATGTACAAAATATTTGTTCGGTAAAGCAACAAGCGAAGAGCCACTGACATCCAACACTCTTCGACGCCGTCTTGGTCTACAAGAAGATATATTTCATACATTTTCCGTGCAAAGAGGTGGAAGTGGTAATGTATGTCTAGCAGTATCCTTAACGTCAAAACAGAGCCTCTCACAACAACATGTTCGCGATGCTTTGGTGTTGTTGGCTAAGCGACAGCCAATGCTTCGAGCAGTTATTAGCACATTTGGCGATGGCTACAAATATTTCGAAATCAACAAAATCAACGAGGTTATCAGGATGTTAGATATCGCTTCTTCTACAGTAAAGGCTTCAGACTGGAAAGATGTTTGGTTTGAATATACATCAAAACAGCTGAGCAATGCGAATGGTCTGTTATGGCGAGTTGTGATTTTAGAAGAGGAATTTAGACCAGACACTGACGAGTATGCAAATACCTTGTTATTTAGTTTTATTCATTCCTGTATTGACGGTGTGTCGTGTGTTAAATTTTGCGAGCAATTTCTCAAAAACATTAATGATATTTCAAGCGGTATTATGGATGTCGATCAAGAAATCTGCAGTCTAAACTTGCTGCCGTATTATCAAGATATAATCACAGGAGAACGAACTACGCATTCAATATTGACCTTCATTCTTACCTATTGTGGCCTTCGGTCTATTTTAAGATTTCTCATGCGTAGAATGATTTCTCGTCAAATGGAAACGGCGAAGTGCAATCCATATTACGCTCAGTTCCCACCGAGTTTGGACGTTTCCAGCTTTGTTGGCCCAAATCGACTGGAAACTAAAGTTTTTACCGAGAAGGAAACAAAGAATATTTTACTGGCCTGCAAAACAAATAATTGTACAGTAACTGGGGCTCTCACAGCCGCGGCACATCTGGCTTTTTGTGAAGTCGTGGAAGATGGTATGAAAGGGAGCAAGGGTGCAAATTTGCAATACAAGTTTTCCATTAATGGTCAACGATGTTGTGATGTAAAGCCGCATAAGGAATACTTTGGATATTTTGTATTCAATTTCAAAGAACTTTACTTAAAGTACCAGGCTGGAACTGGGATTGATTTTTGGAAGGCGGCACAAAAAACAACGAAGCAAATACGAGATTGTGTTGAAAAGGAAGAATACGTTCTTAGCGAGAGAATGATGAATGAAACCATAAGGGCAAAAGAATTAATTGATCCTATTGATCGTGAACTGCTAATTCGCACGTCACCTTGTAATTTAATATCGAGTTTCGGGTCGTTCAATTTCGCCCACGACATTGACAAACAAACTTACAAACTTCAGGATTTGTTTATTAACAGCCTTTTTCATGGTATTCCTAATACATTCAATCATTATAACCACACTGTTAATGGTAGAATGACCTGGCAAATTATGTATGATGGTTCTAGAGTAAAAACTAGTGACGCCGTAAAGTTTGCCAATTGTTGCTTTGGTCGATTTCTTGAAATAGCATCTGGTAAAGTTTGAATGACATTTGTATAAACCGACTGTACAACAGCCTTTGACTACGCACGTCAAACGAGGAGCCTGTATATAATGACACCCTAACAAGAAACTTCGCTTAACAGATTGTATTAAAGGACGCAAAAAATATATTAAAATCTGTATACTAATATATACGCAGTATGTACATACACAATTATATGATACAAAAAATTGGTCAAAATCTCGGTTTCTAAATATAAAAATATTTAAATCAAACCGAGGCTATGACAGCGGCTCTAAAAAGCGACACCCCCGGAAGTGATGCGACACCGCCAAGCACATCCTCGTCCCTATGCGTGGAGAGCAACGGAGCTAGGCCCTGGGGACGAGGATGCGCCAAGCAGTTAACTGGATAAAATAAATATATCCGCTTCTGGAAACTCCGAAGAACTCGTTTGAAAATTTAAATATCCAGGCTTTTAAGGTTTTTTAAGAAAGTGACCCATGCAGTTCTCCGAGTTAGGGATCCGATTAAGCATTAGTGTTTCGGGGAGACTTCAGAGATTTTAGTTAGCCTTTTTAGACAGGTCATGGCAACGTCTAAACTCTCTTGACCTTGTTAAATATTCATTTCTTTAGTGTTGATTCATGAATGCCTTTATTGTGCAACTTGATCTGCTTTTACAAGCACCAATAAACTAGACAAAAATATATAAAAGCTATGGTGTGGCCATCAGTCTTTAACTTTCTACAAGCTGGAGTTATTGTCCAAGCGTTTACTACTATCATCTGCATATTTCTTGTGTACAAATGTACCAAATATTTGTTCGGTAAAGCAACAAGCGAAGAGCCACTGAAAGCCAATACTCTTCGACGCCGTCTTGGTCTACAAGAAGATATACTTGATACATGTTCCGTGGAAAGAGGTGGAAGTGGTAATATATGTCTAGCAGTATCCTTAACGTCAAAACAGAGCCTCTCACAACAACATGTTCGCGATGCTTTGGTGTTGATGGCTAAGCGACAGCCAATGCTTCGAGCAGTTATTAGCACATTTGGCGATGGCTACAAATATTTCGAAATCAATGAAATCAATGAAGTCATCAACATGTTAGATATCGCCTCTTCTACAGTAAAGGCTTCAGACTGGAAAGATATTTGGTTTGAATATACATCAAAACAGCTGAGCAATACGAATGGTCTGTTATGGCGAGTTGTGATTCTACAAGAGGAATTTAGACCACACACTGACCAGTATGCAAATACCTTGTTATTTAGTTTTAATCATTCCTGTACTGACGGTGTGTCGTGTGTTAAATTTTGCGAGCAATTTCTCCGAAAGTTGAATGATATTTCAAGTGGTACTATCGATGTCGATCAAAAAATTTCCAGTCTGAATTTGCTGCCGTATTTTCAAGATTTGGTCACAAGAGAACGAACTCCGTATTCCATATTGACCCTCATACTTACCTATTGCGGCCTTCGACCAATTTTAAGATTTCTCATGCATAGGATGATTTTTCGTCAAGTTCAAGCAGCGAGGTGCAATCCATATTCTGCTCAATTCCCACCGAGGTTAGACGTTTCCAGCTTTGTTGGCACAAATGGAATGGAAACTAAAGTTTTTACTGAGAAAGAAACAAAGAATATTTTACTGGCCTGCAAAGTGAATAATTGTACAGTAACTGGAGCTCTGACAGCCGCGGCACATCTGACTTTTTGTGAACTCGTGGAAGATGGTATGAAAGGGAGCAAGGATGTAAATTTAAAATGCTCGTTTTCAATCAATAGTTTGCGTTGTTGCAATTTAAAACCACATAAGGATTACTTGGGATATTTTGTGTATTATTGCGATGAACTCTACTTGAAGTACATGAATCAACTTGGGATTGATTTTTGGAAGGTGGCGCAGGAAACAACAAAGCAAATACAAGATTGTGTTAAAAAAGAAGAATTCGTTCTTAGCGAAAGTATAATGAATGAAACCATACGAGCAAAAGAATTGGTTGATCTTCTTGATCGTGAACTGCTAGTTCGCATTTCATGCTGTAATTTCATATCGAGTTTTGGGTCTTTTAATTTTGCTCACGACATTGACAAACAAACTTACAAACTTCAGGATTGTTTTGTTAACAGCCTCACTCATGGTTTTCCTCATACATTCAATCATTATAACCACACTATTAATGGTAGAATGATCTGGCAGATTATCTATGATGCATCTATTGTAGAAACCCATCATGCAAAAGAGTTTGCTAATCGTTGTTTTAGCCGATTTCTCGAAATGGCATCTGATCAAGTTTGAATGACATTTGTTGCATGACTGAGATATATACATATATCAACTTTAAATGAAGCCTAACAAAGTGATTGACCTGATAGAATGAAAAGAAGTCAAATTGTGCAAATTATGAAAAAGGAAAATATGAAGTTTCATGCATACAGTTTCATATACTGACATTAGGCAATTTTGAAGAATGTCGAAGGGGCGTGTCTCCCAAACTTCACATAGACTTTCACAAGGAACGTCAATTCATTTTCAGTACAGTCTTTTATTTATTGCCTATGATTCTCTGATCAGTCAGCGCTGCCCACAATCGTAAGTTATTTCGCATTTATGGTTATGCTTATTGCTTGATTTAATGCTTATGCGGGTGTATTTAGCAATTGTATTTCTAAAAATATTTTTGTCAATTTACTTTTATTCAATTTTAAATGAATATTTTAACATCTTATATTTTAAGATCTTTTGTATTTTGTGGCCTGCGGAGCATAGATATAGTATTATATACCGTAACAAGGTAGTGATATAATCATGGCCTAGCAGCTTCTATACCTCTGGAGGAGGCACCACTGGCCTAGCCAGCTTCTATACTTCTGGAGGATGGGAGACGCCCCCCCCCCTAATTATGGATGCTATGCCACTGATAACTACACGTGCGAGTTCCACATGAAAGGTTCCCAATCTATAATAAAACTATTAAAAGCCGGGCACTCTATCTACTCGGTCTTCGCGCCTTCGCAACCATAATAACATTTATCCCAAGGCCCGTTAATTTACACTTGCAATTTTTGCTGCGATTTTATGTGCGATGTTCTTCTTTTGATAGATGTGAACGAGTGAAGTAGTTACTGATGTTCAAATAAGAGCTTTTATACATCAGAGCATTCATAACTAATTACTCGTTCACATTTATCAAAAGAAGAAAATCGCACATAAAATCGCACCAAAAATTGCAAGTGTAAACGGGCCTTCGGAAATCTGAAGCCGTATACTCTAATATGTCGTTGCTGACATTCTATAACAAAGACGCCTTGTCGGGGAATCGTATTTCCCGCTGAATGATACACGAGATAGATTACTGACGTTCACACGTATCATATTCATTCAAAATACAGAGGATACAAGGGTCAAGAAATGTGGCTCACAGTTCCCAACTTTCTACAAGCTGGAATTATTGTCCAAGGCCAAGCGCTTACTACTATCATCTGCATATTCTTTGTGTACAAATGTACCAAATATTTGTTCGGTAAAGCAACAAGCGAAGAGCCACTGACATCCAACACTCTTCGACGCAATTTCTCAAAAACATTAATGATATTTCAAGCGGTATTATGGATGTCGATCAAGAAATCTGCAGTCTGAACTTGCTGCCGTATTATCAAGATATATAATCACAGGAGAACGAACTACGCATTCAATATTGACCTTCATTCTTACCTATTGTGGCCTTCGGTCTATTTTAAGATTTCTCATGCGTAGAATGATTTCTCGTCAAATGGAAACGGCGAAGTGCAATCCATATTACGCTCAGCTCCCACCGAGTTTGGACGTTTCCAGCTTTGTTGGCCCAAATCGACTGGAAACTAAAGTTTTTACCGAGAAGGAAACAAAGAATATTTTACTGGCCTGCAAAACAAATAATTGTACAGTAACTGGGGCTCTCACAGCCGCGGCACATCTGGCGTTTTGTGAAGTCGTGGAAGATGGTATGAAAGGGAGCAAGGGTGCAAATTTGCAATACAAGTTTTCCATTAATGGTCAACGATGTTGTGATGTAAAGCCGCATAAGGAATACTTTGGATATTTTGTATTCAATTTCAAAGAACTTAACTTAAAGTACCAGGCTGGAACTGGGATTGATTTTTGGAAGGCGGCACAAAAAACAACGAAGCAAATACGAGATTGTGTTGAAAAGGAAGAATACATTCTTAGCGAGAGAATGATGAATGAAACCATAAGGGCAAAAGAATTAATTGATCGTATTGATCGTGAACTGCTAATTCGCACGTCACCTTGTAATTTAATATCGAGTTTCGGGTCGTTCAATTTCGCCCACGACATTGACAAACAAACTTACAAACTTCAGGATTTGTTTATTAATAGCCTTTTTCATGGTATTCCTAATACATTCAACCATTATAACCACACTGTTAATGGTAGAATGACCTGGCAAATTATGTATGATGTTTCTAGAGTAAAAACTAGTGACGCCATAAAGTTTGCTAATTGTTGCTTTGGTCGATTTCTTGAAATAGCATCTGGTAAAGTTTGAATGACGTTTGTATAAACCGACTGTACAACAGCCTTTGACTACGCAAGTCAAACGAGGAGCCTATATATAATGACACCCTAACAAGAAACTTCGCTTAACAGATTGTATTAAAAGACGCAAAAAATATATTAAAATCTGTATACTAATATACACGCAGTATGTACATACACAATTATATGATACAAAAAGTTGGTCAAAATCTCGGTTTCTAAATATAAAAATATTTTAATCAAACCGAGGCTATGGTAGCGGCTCTAAAAAGTCGACACCCCCCGGAAGTGATGCGACACTGCCAAGCGACTAGTCAACTGAATAAAATATACACGCTTCTGGAGACTCCGAAGAACTCGTTCGAAACATTTAAAATATTCAGGCTGTTAAGGTTTTTTAAGAAAGTGACCCATGCAGTTCTCCGAGTTAGGGATCCGATTAAGCATTACTCGGTAATGGTATTAGTGTTTCGGGCAGACTTCAGAGATTTTGGTTAGCCTTTCTAGAAAGAGCTTGGCCACGTCTAAACTCTCTTGAACTTGTTAAATATTCATTTCTTTAGTGTTGATTTGTGAATTTTATTGTTTGCAACCCGTAAACCACTTGAACTGCTTTTACAAGCACCAATAAACTAGACAAAAATATATAAAAGCTATGGTGTGGCCATCAGTCTTCAACTTTCTACAAGCTGGAGTTATTGTCCAAGCGCTTACTACTATAATCTGCATATTTCTTGTGTACAAATGTACCAAATATTTGTTCGGCAAAGCAATAAGCGAAGAGCCACTTAAAGCCAACACTCTTCGACGCCGTCTTGGTCTACAAGAAGATATGCTTGATACATGTTCCGTTGAAAAAGGTGGAAGTGGTAATATATGTCTAGCAGTATCTTTAACGTCAAAACAGAGCCTCTCACAACAACATGTTCGCGATGCTTTGGTGTTGATGGCTAAGCGACAGCCAATGCTTCGGGCAGTTATTAGAACAATTGGCGATGGCTACAAATATTTCGAAATCAATAAAATCAATGAGGTCATCAAGATGTTAGATATCGCTTCTTCTAGAGTAAAGGCTTCAGACTGGAAAGATATTTGGTTTGAATATACATCAAAACAGCTGAGCAATGCGAATGGTCTGTTATGGCGAGTTGTGATCTTACAAGAGGAATTTAGACCAGACACTGACGAGTATGCAAATACCTTGTTATTTAGTTTTAATCATTCCTCTACTGACGGTGTGTCGTGTGTTAAATTTTGCGAGCAATTTCTTCGAAAGTTGAATGATATTTCAAGCGGTTCTATCGATGTCGATCAAAAAATCTCCAGTCTGAATTTGCTGCCGTATTTTCAAGATTTGGTCACAAGAGAACGAACTCCGTATTCCATATTGACCCTCATACTTACCTATTGCGGCCTTCGACCAATTTTAAGATTTCTCGTGCATAGGATGATTTCTCGTGAAGTTAAAACAGGGAAGTGCAATCCATATTTTGTTCAATTCCCACCGAGGTTAGACGTTTCCAGCTTTGTTGGCACAAATCGAATGGAAACTAAAGTTTTTACTGAGAAAAAAACAAATGATATTTTACTGGCCTGCAAAGTGAATAAATGTACAGTAACTGGAGCTCTGACAGCCGCGGCACATCTGGCTTTTTGTGAACTCGTGGAAGATGGTATGAAAGGGAGCAAGGATGTAAATTTGAAATGCTCGTTTTCAATCAATAGTTTGCGTTGTTGCTCTTTAAAATCACATAAGGATTACTTGGGATATTTTGTGTATTATTGCGATGAACTTTACTTGAAGTACTTGAATCGATTTGGGATTGATTTTTGGAAGGTGGCGCAGGAAACAACAAAGCAAATACAAGATTGTGTTAAAAAAGAAGAATACGTTCTTAGCGAAAGTATGATGAATGAAACCATACGGGCAAAAGAATTAGTTGATCTTCTTGATCGTGAACTGCTAGTTCGCATTTCATGCTGTAATTTCATATCGAGTTTTGGGTCTTTTAATTTTGCTCACGACATTGACAAACAAACTTACAAACTTCAGGATTGTTTTGTTAACAGCCTCACTGATGGTTTTCCTGATACATTCAATCATTATAACCACACTATTAATGGTAGAATGACCTGGCAGATTGTCTATGATGCATCTATAGTAGAAACCCATCATGCAGAAGTGTTTGCTAATCGTTGTTTTAGCCGATTTCTCGAAATGGCATCTGATCAAGTTTGAATGACATTTGTTGCATGACTGAGATATATACATATATCAACTTTAAATGAAGCCTAACAAAGTGATTGACCTGATAGAATGAAAAAGAAGTCAAATTGTGCAAATTATGAAAAAGGAAAATATGAAGTTTCATACAGTTTCAGTTTCATATACTGACATTAGGCAATTTTGAAGAATGTCGAAGGGGCGTGTCTCCCAAACTTCACGTAGACTTTCACAATTCATTTTCAGTACAGTCTTCTATTTAATGCCTATGATTCTCTGATTAGTCAGCGCTGCCCACAATCGTAATTCATTTCGCATTTATGTAACCATTTACATATTTTATGCTTATTGCTTGATTTAATGCTTATGCGAATATATTTAGCAATTGTATTTCTAAAAATATTTTTGTCAATTTACTTTTATTCAATTTTAAATGAATATTTTAACACGATATCTCGTAGATCTTTTGTATTTTGTGGCCTGCGGAGCATAGATATAGTATTATATACCGTAACAAGGCAGTGATATAATCATGGCCTAGCAGCTTTTATATACCTCTCGAGGAGGCACCACTGGCCTAGCCAGCGTCTATACTTTTGGAGGAAGGGAGACGCCCCCCCCCTAATTATGGATGCTATGCCACTGATACCTACACGTGCGAGTTCCACATGAAAGGTTCCCATTCTATAATAAAACTATTAAAAGCCGGGCACTCTAGATTTCTGACGATTTTTTTTCGGTTTTCGCGCCTTCGCAACCATAATAACATTTATCTTAAGGCCCGTTAATTTACACTTGCAATTTTTGCTGCGATTTTATGTGCGATTTTCTTCTTTTGATAGATGTGAACGACTGAATTAGTTACTGATGTTCAAATAAGAGCTTTTATACATCAGAGCATTCGTAACTAATTACTCGTTCACATCTATCAAAAGAAGAAAATCGCACATAAAATCGCATCAAAAATTGCAAGTGTAAACGGGCCTTCGGAAATCTGAAGCCGTATAATCTAATATGTCGTTGCTGACATTCTATAACAAAGACTCCTTATCGGGGAATTTAATATCGAGTTTCGGGTCGTTTAATTTCGCCCACGACATTGACAAACAAACTTACAAACTTCAGGATTTGTTTATTAACAGCCTTTTTCATGGTATTCCTAATACTTTCAATCATTATAACCACACTGTTAATGGTAGAATGACCTGGCAAATTATGTATGATGTTTCTAGAGTAAAAACTAGTGACGCCATAAAGTTTGCTAATTGTTGCTTTGGTCGATTTCTTGAAATAGCATCTGGTAAAGTTTGAATGACATTTGTATAAACCGACTGTACAACAGCCTTTGACTACGCACGTCAAACGAGGAGCCTATAAATCTATAATGACACCCTAACAAGAAACTTCGCTTAACAGATTGTATTAAAAGACACAAAATATATTAAAATCTGTATACTAATATACACGCAGTATGTGCATAGACAATTATATGATACAAAAAGTTGGTCAAAATTTCGGTTTCTAAATATAAAAATATTTTAATCAAACCGAAGCTATGACAGCGGCTCTAAAAAGTTGACACCCCCCGGAAGTGATGCGACACCGCCAAGCAGTCAAAATGTACCATCGTTAATTAAGTAATCTTGAAGAATAATTATAGCTCGATAAAATATATCCGCTTCTGGAAACTCGGAAGAACTCGTTTGAAACATTTAAAATATTCAGGCTTTTAAGGTTTTTTAGGAAAGTAACCCATGCAGTTCTGGCCGAGTTAAGGTTCCGATTGAGCATTATATAGTGTTTCGGGAAGACTTCAGAGATTTTGGTTAGCCTTTTTAGACATAGGCATAGCAGGGCAACGTCTAAACTCTCTTGAACTTGTTAAATATTCATTTCGTTTGTGTTGATTCATGAATTTTATTGTTTACAAGCCGTATGCCACAGCTGTATTATGCTGTTGTAACGTCTTTATTGTGCAACTCGATCTGCTTTTACAAACACTAATAAACTAGACAAAAATATATAAAAGCTATGGTGTGGCCATCAGTTTTCAACTTTCTACATGCTGGAGTTATTGTCCAAGCGCTTACTACTATAATCTGCATATTTCTTGTGTACAAATGTACCAAATATTTGTTCGGCAAAGCAATAAGCGAAGAGCCACTTAAAGCCAACACTCTTCGACGCCGTCTTGGTCTACAAGAAGATATACTTGATACATGTTCCGTGGAAAGAGGTGGAAGTGGTAATATATGTCTAGCAGTATCCCTAATGTCAAAACAGAGCCTCTCACAACAACATGTTCGCGATGCTTTGGTGTTGTTGGCTAAGCGACAGCCAATGCTTCGAGCAGTTATTAGAACAATTGGCGATGGCTACAAATATTTCGAAATCAATGAAATCAATGAGGTCATCAAGATGTTAGATATCGTTTCTTCTACAGTAAAGGCTTCAGACTGGAAAGATATTTGGTTTGAATATACATCAAAACAGCTGAGCAGTGCGAATGGTCTGTTATGGCGAGTTGTGATTCTACAAGAGGAATTTAGACCAGACACTGACGAGTATGCAAATACCTTATTATTTAATTTTAATCATTCCTGTATTGACGGTGTGTCGTGTGTTAAATTTTGCGAGCAATTTCTCAAAAACATTAATGATATTTCAAGCGGTATTATGGATGTCGATCAAAAAATCTCCAGTCTGAATTTGCTGCCGTATTTTCAAGATTTGGTCACAAGAGAACGAACTCCGTATTCCATATTAACCCTCATACTTACCTATTGCGGCCTTCGACCAATTTTAAGATTTCTCGTGCATAGAATGATTTCTCGTCAAGTTCAAACAGCGAAGTGCAATCCATATTATGCTCAGTTCCCACCGAGATTAGACGTTTCCAGCTTTGATGGCACAAATCGACTGGAAACTAAGGTTTTTACCGAGAAGGAAACAAAGAATATTTTACTGGCCTGCAAAACAAATAATTGTACAGTAACTGGAGCTCTGACAGCCGCGGCACATCTGGCTTTTTGTGAACTTGTGAAAGATGGTATGAAAGGGAGCAACGGTGCAAATTTGAAATGCTCGTTTTCAATCAATAGTTTGCGTTGTTGCGATTTAAAACCACATAAGGATTATTTGGGATATTTTGTGTATTATTGCGATGAGCTTTACTTGAAGTACGTGAATCGATTTGGGATTGATTTTTGGAAGGTGGCGCGGGAAACAACAAAGCAAATACAAGATTGTGTTAAAAAAGAAGAATACGTTCTTAGCGAAAGTATGATGAATGAAACCATACGGGCAAAAGAATTAGTTGATCTACTTGATCGTGAACTGCTAGTTCGCATTTCATCCTGTAATTTTATATCGAGTTTTGGGTCTTTTAATTTTGCTCACGACATTGACAAACAAACTTACAAACTTCAGAATTGTTTTGTTAACAACCTCACTCATGGTTTTCCTGATACATTCAATCATTATAACCACACTATCAATGGTAGAATGACCTGGCAGATTATCTATAATGCATCTATAGTAGAAACCCATCATGCAAAAGAGTTTGGTAATCGTTGTTTTGGCCGATTTCTCGAAATGGCATCTGATCAAGTTTGAATGACATTTGTTGCATGACTGAGATATATACATATATCAACTTTAAATGAAGCCTAACAAAGTGATTGACCTGATAGAATGAAAAGAAGTCAAATTGTGCAAATTATGAAAAAAGGAAAATATGAAGTTTCATACAGTTTCAGTTTCATGTACTGACATTAGGCAATTTTGAAGAATGTCGATGGGGCGTGTCTCCGAAACTTCACATAGACTTTTACAATTCATTTTCAGTACAGTCTTCTATTTAATGCCTATGATTCTCTGATCAGTCAGCGCTGCCCACAATCGTAATTCATTTCACATTTATGTAACCATTTACATATTTATGCTTATTGCTTGATTTAATGCTTATGCGGATGTATTTAGCAATTGTATTTCTAAAAATATTTTTGTCAATTTACTTTTATTCAATTTTAAATGAATATTTTAACACGATATCTCGTAGATCTTTTGTATTTTGTGGCCTGTGGAGCATAGATGATATAGTATTATATACCGTAACAAGGTAGTGATATAATCATGGCCTAGCAGTTTCTATACCTCTGGAGGAGGCACCACTGGCCTAGCCAGCTTCTATACTTCTAGAGGAGACGCCCCCCCCCCTAATTATCGATGCTATGCCACTGATAACTACACGTGCGAGGTCCACATAAAGGTTCTCAATCCATTTTTTTAACCAACTGCGAAGATAAGATCATTTGGAAATTCTTATCAGTCACCCTTCAAATAGTGAGGAGGATCTCCACCGATATTAATCAATTTTGTCAGGTTGTACATGCTAACAATTATATCTTTCACAGGGCCGTGAAATCTTGATGAGGATGCTTGAAGTTTTCGTGAGGAAATTTCATTCTATTGCAATGCATGAACTGCCAGTTATCATGGAGAAGTGGTAGGTAAACATATAATCTTTAATTAACTGCATATCAATACGCGATAAAACCTATCATACAAGTACGAGCATTACCACTACTCCAATCACATGCAGAGACAGTTTTTACATTGGTTCATTGGTCCATTTTTACACCGGTTTTGTCTTAATACTCGTGTGTTTTAGCGTTTCCAGTACTTTTAACGTTAATTTTGGTTCCTTAAGTGAGAAAAAAGGTGAATCATCCGCAAGTAGCGCTAAGGACCAGGCAACAACTAGTGATAACACTTCGCAACCACCGAAGATTTCTCTGCCTTCCTTCATTCAAGAATCAGATTCATCCACAAGCAAGGTACATGTATCGATGAGTCTTTTCGATAAAGTGCCAGAATAATATAATAGTGTTTTGACTGTTGTTGTTCTGCTGTAGAAATCTGGTGACTCCAAAGCAAGTAATTTCTCAGCAGCTGATTGTAAAAGTATGGTGAAGACATTGGTTTGTGGTGTGAAAACTATTACATGGGGTGCTGGATCTTGCAGAGGTAACACGGCCAAAATCGTTTTGCCAGTTCAGTTTCGAGAAAAGGAAAAGCGAGAAGATGGAAACACCATTAATTGCAAATTTTTGCAACTTAACAAATTGGACAGTCATTTTTCTTAAATTTGAAGCTTCTTCCAGTTAGATTTTTATGTTAACTGTTTGCACATTTTTGTACTTACGTAATCGTCACTCTTTGTACAATTGTGTTTTGTATTCAAATTTTATTTAATTTTATAATTCCTTACGTAGATGTTACAACAACACCCCAGACACAAGCGACAACAGAAAAACATTTCCTTCCGCAAGAGACACCTTTGTTTTCACGTCTACTGAAATATGGTAAATCCAGCAATGTGCATTTTCCCGTCACTTTTATTATTCAAAAAGGTGGAGTGGAAGACTGGTAATAGCGAGATTGCCAATGAGCTGTATTGTTCACATTCCCAAAGCAGTTTTTGAGGCATATTCAACGTCACTATCACCATGAAGTTCTCGTTATAACAGTAAAATTACGAACTAACACAAAAAGAACTGATCCTTGGAATATCTTTGATTCTATAGCTTTACAAGCTTTGGATATTTACCAAATTGTTCAATCCTCAAATGGAACATATTATATAAGGACACCAAAGTATGTTGTATGGCAGTTTAACTCATGTCACACTTTGGAATGACACATTTGAGTTGGCATAATCATGTTCCAACAATTACAAAAATTTGAGATCTTGGGTTATCCATGCATGGGTGTGACCTTCCTATGACATACCTGGAAACGGGGTGCAGGTATCAAGGTTGTGTTGGGGGCTCAGCAAGGCAGATTGCCTCAGATTTTCTCAATTTTTTTTCTTATCACTTTAAATCACTCAAGACTCTTTCTCAAACTCCGTGTTATTACGCCCTTTTATAATTCTTTAATACATTAAAGGTGGATTTTTCATGATTTATAGTTCGCAGCAGATTCGTATGAAGGAAGAGAAGGAAATACTTGAACATTTTGCTGGCGTTGTAAGTATTTAAACGATCCTTTCATTCCTTTGAAATGCATATACGAAAATACATAAACCGGACGTTAAAACGTGTTTTTCATCTGAATAACTTTATATTTATCTACTGTGTAGTTCACTATGCTGAATACAAACACATTTAAAGAGGTTTTTCAAGAGAACATTGAGGTATTGTGGCGTTCCTTGTTTTACCAATAACTGTATTTTTAGATGTCACATAAAACAATGAGTACATCACAAGTATTGCAATTTTGTCAAATATTTGTTCCTATATATATTTCTTATAATAGGTAACGTTATAATTTCACTTATTTAGTTTCTTGTTTATTTAGTATCTGGTTGAACGTATCCATGCCAATTTTGCTCTGCAGGTTTTAAAATTTATAATATATTAAGAATTTTATGTATTATCAATTACTAAGTGATCTAAATTATTACCGTAAAAACTGAAGAATATATGATAGACGAATTCCTTCACATTGAAATATGAACTATACATGAGTATTTCTATCTTAGATTATTCCAAATTCCTTTTTGGCTAACCCTCATACGTCTGCAACATTCGCAACAATATTGATGCAGTTTCTGTTGAATAAACTGGACGAAATGGGAAGTAAGTAACTGTTCCTTTGCGAAGGACAGATTTCAAATTATTGTTGCTATTCTTCACTGCGTTTTAAAAATCCCATATTAAAGTGTAACTGTATATATGTTTATACATTCACCTCAATAAAAGATTGTTCTTTATGTCTTACAGCAAATGTTGAAAATTCGAACTTGTACCTGAAGTTATTCAAACTTGTTTTTGGTTCAGTGTCTTTATTTGCATCTGAAAACGAGCAGATGTTGAAGGTATTGTAGAGATAATTTAAAATGATATGTTTTGTACTTTTGTTGAATAAACAAAGGATGCATGGAGGAGAAACAAACATCTAGCATAAATACAGGACTTGTCCTATTCCGAATTTCAAGATACTGTCCTTAAAATGATATTTGTATTATTTATATTTAGCCTCATCTTCATGAAGTTGTAAACCGATCAATGGAACTTGCTTGCACTTCGAAAGAGCCTTACAACTATTTCCTTTTATTACGTGCGCTTTTTAGATCTATCGGAGGAGGTACATGCATGTGTGAAACTGAGCCGTATTTTTAACAGTGCTATACTGATTTTACGTTGCCGTATTGATAGTAAACTCAATAATACTCACCGCTGATATTTTTAAGGAAATCATGATCTCCTCTATCAAGAATTTCTTCCTCTTCTGCCGAATCTTTTACAAGGTAGAGTGGAAAATTAACTCGTGCATTTCAAAACCTGTATGTTTTTCTTTTTGTATTCCGGATGTATTATAGGCTCATATTATAGTTAACATTAGCTTATAGTATTGCTGTTTTACTAGTTAATTGAAACATTTCAGGTTTGAACAATCTTCAAAGTGGCGTTCACAGACAATATATGAAAGATTTGTTTGTTGAACTATGTCTAACAGTCCCTGTCCGGTTAAGGTTAGTCAAATAGTATATTTCTTCCCTGTATTGATCAATTCTTCAAACACAGTATAATCCAACAGTCAAGTGATTCTTAGCTTTTATGCACATCGTTCTTTCCATTGAATAGCTCTCTGTTGCCATATCTTCCCATGTTAATGGATCCCTTAGTTTCTGCGCTCAACGGATCACAGACGTTAGTTAGTCAGGTAAAAGTTGTTAAAATCAATTAGGATTTCTCATGAATTGTCTTCTTTTGAATCGCTAAAACGCAGCTATTTACAAATTAGTCATAATTTATGTTTCGCACTAGCAACAACGAGTCTATAACAGAGTTATAAATGAAACACATTTTACAAGATAATTAGAAATTTAAACTGACTACACAAAGAAGAGAATTTACTGATGATATAGATTGCAATGGTGAAGTTGAAGACAATAAGTATACGTTTCTTATTCACCACAGGGGCTCCGTACGTTGGAGCTTTGTGTGGATAATCTGCAGCCCGATTTTCTCTACGATCATATTCAACCAGTTCGAGCAGAGCTTTTTCAGGTATTTCCTTTATGTATTATTTGTACATTAATGTATGGCATTGCGGAAGAACAATAAAAAACTCTTGACTGAAGTTCATAATATTAAAAATTATAAGGTCACTTACAGTAAACCTCTCTGCTAACGTTGCATCACGAAATTTGTTAAAACTGAATTTAAAACTATTTTAGGCTTTATGGAAAACACTTCGAAATCAGAGTGACGCTATTGCGCATGTCGCGTTCAGGGTGCTAGGGAAGTTTGGTGGTGGTAACAGACGTATGCTCAAGGAACCTCAAAAGGTAATTGATTTGGTACCATGTTCGTAGACTCTTGAATGATACGTCGTGTGAAGCCATGCACCTTGAAGATGTACCGGAACTTTGACATTTCAAGCTAAAATTTTCCAATAAATTTTGATGGAAATTTTTATGACTCTGTGTTTATTGTAAATATAAGCTCTGCATGGTTTTGTTTTTAACCGAGGGAAAAGCTACTTTCTATTATTGTGTCTCCATGAGGACTGTCATAAAATTGTGTTTCAATTTCCAGCTTGATCATAATGATATGGAATCTATTGGACCTTGTATATCAATATTTTTCCCAGAGAGCAACTCGGCTGTCACCTTACCAGTCTCCTCAGTAAGTTTAATAAAGTTTTTGAGCATGAAAACTCCATTTTATAATTACCCCTAAATAACATTAGGGTAGTAAACGTTGGATGAATGTGTCATTATAGTTGTCTAAGTATTGTGATTTGCGTTGAAGGCACATGTTAGCATGCCTGCAATCGTTCTGTGAAAAAGTAGTTACAGGGTACATTAAGAACGTGTGGATACAGCTAGAGTGTAACATTGTTGGTTATTAGGTGATTGAAAGTGCGCTCAAAGAACTAAAGTCAGCCCCCGCACCAGCCCCCCAACAAACAACATCACAACAACAACAGCAGCAACAAACCACTGTTCAAGAATTGGATAATACCGCATTTTATAGAAAGCAAGCATGGATTGTTGTTCAGGTAATTTTATGTATTCTATTTGCTCGAGTAAATATCTGCTGAATTTTGGCAGATGGTGCTTGAATTTGTCAGACGAAGCCTGCAAACTCCTTGCAAGTCTGTTCATGTGACGTGCCATATTTTAAAATTTCAGTCATTCCTCGTGACAGTTATATCATTTGAAGATTCTGCGGACGTTTTTGAGAAGTTCCTAAGTCATGATAGGTTTGTGATTTTGTAGTTATAGTGGATGTAAAATCAATGTGAAAGTTTCGCATATTATTGGACACATTTCGTTTTTGTTACGAACAAGGACAGTTTGTTTCATGATTGCATGCTGCATCACAACGTATAGCCAGTGTATCAACATACACGTATGTTGTTCTAATGGTTCTGTCACCTTGTGTTGTTTAGGACATGCATAATAACGTCATAAGTATAGGGTTATTCACAATGTTATGTTACACACAACCTGACATGTCATATATACAATAAATCTTTTTTACACGATAGTTTCAAAAGTTCTACTCCACCTATCACTGGGAAGAGTGCTCGTCCGCCTGCAGTAGATGTGGCAGCCAGGCAAACACTCACTAATGCTCTCTTAGGAATGCTCGGTATGTCTTGCCAGGCCTGTTTTTTGGACGTCAAACTTTTCATGTGCCGAAGTATAATGAATAAATGTGAGGATGACGATAAAGTTTTTGTTTCTTTGTTTCAGTGGCGTCATCGGTAACAGACATTAAATCCGACGTTATTCCATTCCTTTGTCACATTGTCCGGCACTATACTATACTTGGTGTTGTACAACAATCTGGTCCTTGTGGCAGTAAACCATCCACAAAGTAAGATGTCTGAAATTACGTTGCCTGAAAAAAAACTCGCCCTTTTAATAATAGTTCAGTCATTTTTCACATTGAGTATACTCATTCTCAAAATGATTTTAAACCTGGGAAAAGTGCATATTAGCGTTTTTTTGGTTTATTTTCCAACAGTCTTTGCCCAACATTGTGCAACTTCCCGTAGCTACTGATACGCACTCGAATACGTAAAAAAATTCTCAGGGAGTTTAGTGCAAATGATGTTTTGCTCATAGAATTTAGTGCAAATAATATTTATTTTGGATGATCTTTCATTTTCCACCTACAGCCCTCAAGGCGCTGATGTTCACGTCCTTATTGATGCAATTGCCTCTGTCATGATGCTAGAGGAAAAGGAATTATGCAAAACAGGAGAACTTGCCATTTCAGTCATGCATGAAACTGCAAGCCTTATTATGGGAGATTTATACAAGGTTAGATTTTTAAGAATAGAAATTTTCATTTAAGAGTAGTTAATCTCAAATTAACCTACTCAGATACTCTTTTCTATTGATACCGGCTATATAATGTTCCTATATACAGTCACTTAATACCACGGACATTTACCTAAATGGAATACTTACATGTGGATATAGTAAATGCTGTGCCTAAATAATAAAATTTGTTTTAGAAGTTGCTTTCTGCCTAGTTAAAACCATCTCAATTCTTGTGTAGGCTTTGCAACTTCCTTTGTTCGAGTACCTGGTGGAAAAACTGTGTGAATGTTGTTATGAACGAGCATGGTTTGCTAAAGCTGGAGGGTAAGCTTTATTTAGTATATCACGTAGTTTTCTCCTGTAAATATAGAGTTCTTGACGATTTTGGACGAATTCATTTCCCACCGAAACCATGCAGGTCAGATTTGAAACAGAGGACTGGTATAACACTTTTTGTGTAACATTTTTACACTTTAACCGTTTTCTATGACTTCTCTTATAGATGCAGTTCCATTGCATTTCTGATGAAAACAATGCCGCTGAAATGGGTGATTGAACATCAATTGCTCTTCGCAAAAGCTCTCATGTTTGTGATGATGGATCTTACAAACGAAGTATCAGCAGGCACTGTTGACTCGGCAAAGGAAACCTTAGAGAAACTAATACGCCAATGTAATAAAAAGGACGAAAAGGTAATCTATAGCGTGCAAGAACGCCATTGTAGTGAAATTACATAGTTTTTAGAGGTATTTTTTTCTGGACGGCTAACTCAGCTATACTGCATGTTGTATTTGGTTATAAATAATACAAACGAAATCTTAATTTTTTTAAGGATGAGGAGATCATAGCAGTGCAGAAACGTTGTTGTCCAACATTATTGCAACATCTTGTGAGGGAAGTGATTTCTTCAAACGACGTTGTACGAGAACAGGTGAGAAATGGCATTTGGCATGCATTGTGTACAAAATTCACGTCGACATTCTATAAAGGTCTATACCATGTTCATGCAGAAAAATATGGAATAGGCAAAGCAAGATTCACCCTACGTCCTTATGTGTTGAAAGTGACACTAAAGATGGCCTATTAAAATTAAAACGTCGATTCAGGTTCAATATTCAGTAGATTCACCCCACGTCCTTATGTGTTGAGAGTGGCAATAAAGATGGCCTATTTAAATTAAAACGTCGATTCTGGTTCAATATTCAGTATTAATACCAGAATAAATTATTCTATACTGATACCTATATACCGTACCTACTTCTACTCTAATAGCTACCTACAACTATTTACTACCTTCAGGCGCAATGTTCGTTGAATGTCCTATCCGAAATATCAGGAAAGTCAGTGCATGACATAATGGAACCACACAAAGGGGTACGTACCTAGAGAGTAAATGGAGGTGGAAGTGGAAATCAAGGTTTGTGATTTTCCAGCAGACGCATGCAAACTAAAACTATCCATTATTTTCTAGCTCTTAGATGATATGATGCCTCCTAAGGTACTCTTTATTTCGTTTGAAATTCAAATATCTCATTGTACACATTTTTAAGAATAGTGTACATCTTTTTGTAGAAACATCTCCTAAGACACCAACCAGTCAACACTCAGATAGCTTTAATGGTAAGGAACAAAATACAATAGTATATATCATCATTCATCCGTTAGGGCTACACAGGTGCATACATTTTTAAACATCTACAGTTCAGGATTGCGTAAAACAGCCTTTTTTTGTATAGGATGGAAATACATTCTGTGCTAATCTAGAACCAAGACTGTTTACGATTGATCCTATAACTGTCAATGAACACAAGATCTTCTTTAAAGAGGTAAGTGAAAAAATTTTACTATATGTTTTATTATTGCATCGCACTTTCTTAAACAGACCAGCGTCTCGGTGCCAAATATTTCCTAATGTAAACTTGGCTAATAAATAGAAGCTGAGAGGATTAAGACCTGCAAAATTTGCTTCCAATTTTATTTAAATCTTGTAACTATGGTTGCCACGTCTTAACATTTGTCTTGTTTTTAGCTTCTATTTCTCTGCGAGGCTGATGATAATCAACTACAAAAACTACCCTGTTATAAACACGTCCAGAGTTTTTCTGAACTTCGTACGAAAGCCTTGTGTAAGTATAGAAGTGTAAACCTATATTTTTGGGATGCTCGTTAAGTCTAACTTGCTAAATTGCTCCGATTTTCAGATACCCTGGCAGCATATCATTATATTCCACAAGTTCGAGATACAATATTCAACGCATTATATAAGGTATTTTGATAGGTTTCTTTATGAATTTTAATCAATGATTATAAGTAGGGACATAGTTAATATAGCCTATATATCTGTTAAGTTACTATATATGTAAAAAGATATAAAAAAGATCTATTCTCCAGGTATTCAAAGACCGTATCCGTTTCTCTCTTTAGGCCCTAAATTCTAGTGTATCAGAAGTACAAAATGCTGGAAATGAGGCTCTGAAAAAGGTATGCCAGATTCTGCCGATCTGCTGTATTGTACGTCGTTTCTGTATCAAAGTATATCGTCCTTGGACCCGTTGTATGAAAGCCGGATAGCGCTATCCACCGGATAGTGGCTTTTTCAATCGCTTCAAAATCGCCCGTTTTTTGGTATAACTTTGATTAAATCTTAGTATTCCTAAATCGAGGATCCTCTTTAATAATTGGTGGTTCCAAAACTGAAATTTCATCGCTTTTCAAGCATTTTTAGAACGGTTGAAAGAATTACTATCCGGTGAATAGCGCGCTATCCAGCTTTCATACAACCGGCCCCTGCTGCTGAGAGGATGTCATTATACTACACAAACCTTTCTTTAGTTTTTAGCCAAGAGCCCCCCAATAGAAGCAGAGACTGTCCAGCAAGCCATACGTCCTTTGTTCTTGCTACTTGGTGATCACAGGCAACTTAGTCTACAAATCATTAAGGTGAGGTTTATAGGAATGCCTTTACATCTTTGCACGAGATTCACATTGGTGCGCACCAGTTCGTTGAGCATGCGTCAATTTTCTTGTTTTTAGCGACTTTCTTTCGTTATGGAGTTATTTCCGCATTTATTCAATGAAAAACTTTGCGAGCAGTTACTGGTAAGTATTTCTGTTTGGGGCATTTTGCTTCACATTTTTTCATCAAGCATGTTTGACGTGCCGAGTTGTATAACATTGTGTTAAATAACATTGCATTCCTCGGTATGCAGTCTGTATATGAGTTTGAGAATACTTTTGAATAATTTCTAGACTCACTTAAAGAACCTGGTTGAAATGTGTGTGAGTGCAGCCAATCAAATTCAGCAAGGTGCAAAACCTAACAAGAAGATGGATGATGTAAGATATTTTCTACAGCGACAGATAAATGCTCTTAAATCATGGTTTTAACCATGATTTTTATATAATCCTACGAAAACTTTACAAAGTTACCCATATCAGTATGTAATTCAATGTGATTTTCGGAAATCATTTGTGCGTTTAATTTTTAAGGTTATCGATATCTGTGCTGCCATTATCAATATATTTCATCTAATAAAAGCAGCATCAACAAAGTTGATCGAGCCGCTAATTCAGATGGTGTTGAAAGTGGAGAATGCTTTACTGGTAAACATTGCAAATTGTGTTATGTTGATGTGATGTGTCGTTCTGTGTCGTGTTATAACGTGATGTTTTCTTTTCCTAGACGACCAGTTCGTTTCGTAAACCTCTACTAAAGTTCCTCGTTCGTTTCCCATCCCAAACTGTTGATTACTTCCTTTCACACATTAGCATTTCACATACAAGCAGATTGTTCGTGGTAAGTGTATGCAAAATATTTGATATGAAATCGTGGCAAATAACTATCATGCATGAATAAAAGGCACTAATTGAATAAAATGAAATTTACTCGGAGTTCCTTCTTCAGTATTTCTTGCAACAACAAGATGCAAAACCATTACGTGGGGCAATTGAGGCAAGTCCTCTGAAGTTGGTAAATAGTACATTCCTCGGTGCTCAGGTAAGATGAGGGTTACATACAGATTCAACAAGCTTCAATGAAGTTTAGTGTCTTTATATTTGCTTGTTGTTCATTGTAATGATTTGTTTATATTATATAGTCACAGGCAGAAGAACAGGCCGCAAATTTCCAAAATAAACTCGAGTTACAATTCCAAGGAATACTTATTGTCAGGTATATTGTAGTATACGTACACTTTTAGTTTGCAAGCTACGTTTATTCACCCCCTTGCGTCAATCACGCAGTAATTTACCACTACGAACTAATTAATGTGTTTTTTTTCTAGGATTCTCGTGAAGTTCAACGATGAGTGGCTCTCGCATAATCGAGTTTTGGTGAGACACCCTTGACGAGTTTTGTACACCCTTGCAATAATTGTATCCATATTTGGACGTTTTTATAAGCAATATTCTTTCTCACTATATAGATTGGACATTTGAGAAGAATATGGACGTCCGAGAGTTTTCAAGACAGAATAAAAAAGGTGAAAAGCAGGAATGGCCGCCACTCTTGATCGTTAAGATGCTTAGCGAAACCCACGAATGTAAATGACATTGTTAGACATTTGTGTTTACTTTTATATTTCCCAGGATGGTGTGCCTGTTCACCGCTGGAGAGAACCCAAGCTTCTTGTCAAATGTTTGTTAAATTATGTTCAGTAAGTTTGTCTTAATATTTTTTGGTTAACTGTTTACACGGCAAAAGTGAAATATATTTTCGGGCAAAATATAGGATTATACTACGTGACGTGGTGTGTGTGTGTGCGTACTAAAATACTTTCGTATCTATTTTTATAGACACAGGCCGAGTGAAGTGGAACTGCTGTTTGATTTATTACGTGTGTTCACCCACAGACATATTCCAGATTTTCAATTTCTCAAGCTATTTATGAAGGATGATGTTGCGAAGGTATAATGGGAGATTGGTGCAGAGGACACGTTTAGAGAGACGGGACTAGGGGTTTACATTACCCCCCTCCCCTCCCTTCCCCTCCCCGACACCACCCATAACGTTCAATTTGGAAATATTAACACAGTAGCGATAATTTCGTTTGTGGGAGAATACTTTGACCCTTCATCTTCTTAAATGTCCATGACTTGTATCGTTTAATAGAACTATACAGTTGAGCAGAAACGTGCCGTGTTTTTCAAGTTTGTTGACATTGTTCACGATGAGAATTTTCCACAAGATTTAACTGCAAAGGTAATCTGAAGTAGAATGGTGTGTGTTTTCAGTGCACTATGACGTGGTAAAATGCTTCCTTCATCGTCGTTTGCTTCTTGTCTAGGCTTTGCAATACATCATCATTCCAATGTTCGTTGCATCATTTGAGAAAGGTGCAAGCGAAACCGACGCTATCATCGGTGGACCTCCAAATCCCGAGCAAGATAACGAAGAAAATGTCATCAGCGTTTTCGTCAGTCGCGTGATAGACCCAGATAATCCATTTAAGACTTCGGTACGTGGTCTCTATATGTATTCATTGGCGCAGTAGCTGCTGATGTGTGTCAAGGTTCTGATATACAAAACTTAAGATCTTCCAAATTCATTTAGTTGGATTCAATTCAATGTGATCTCCTAATAAATTGCGTTTGCTAAGCTTTAGCGCACCAGATTTGGTTTTTTTACTGTGATAGTAGGTAGTGTGGCAGATTTGTGATGTATTCTGTTAGTAAAACTAAACTGAGTTTTGTTTTTTTAGGATGCTGTTCGCATACTTCTCTTGCAGTTTTCTGCTCTTCTAGTGGAACACGCTTCACAACATATTCATGATGCTAATAACAAGTAAGATGAATTTTGTTAGTTAATCTGGCCGAACTGTCAACAGCTATTATGGTGCAAACAGTCGCTCATGATCATTTCATGTTGTTGTTTAGTTTGGGATAGTTAGGCTTCATTATGTATCTTTCTTTCATGACGATTTTTGCTTTCTAGAAAACAAGGAAGAAAGCTAAGGCGGATGATGACATTTGCTTGGCCGTGTTTGTTACCAAACAAGCAATGTGTTGTAAGTTAGATTTATTTTGTTGAGATATTTTCATTCGTTTAACTGTAAGAAATCCTAACATATTATCGTTTTTTCTTTCAGGATCCAGCGACAAAGTACCATGGTCATCTATTGCTTGCACATATCATCTCTAAATTTGCAATTCACAAAAAGATCGTCCTCCAGGTAATACGTGTACCATATACATACTTGAACCAAAGTATTAGCAAAAAGTGATATTTCATGAATTTCGAAACTTCGAGCGTTTGGTTGAATTGTCTATATGCCAACATTCAATGAACTTCTCGTCGTTATTATTGCATGTGAGCTACAAATGTGATATAAAGCATTCTTATAAATCATAATTATTATTGCTGCTTTTTTATAGGTATTCCATCGTTTATTGAAAGCTCATGCTGCAGAGGCACGTAATGTTGTTCGTCAGGCTCTTGCCATATTAACTCCAGCTGTTCCCACAAGAATGGATGATGGAAATGTAAGATTGGGTCAATTTTGTTGGCTTTAAACGATCGAGCTGTTGAACTGTACTGCCTATCATCCTAATTACGCTTCTAATACATAATGCTGTTATTTTTCCCAGCAAATGTTAGCACACTGGACGAAAAAAATCATTGTTGAGGACGGACACACACTGCTTCAGCTAGTTCACATGTTGTAAGTTAATAACTTGTATTGGTGTCGTAGAGTGGGACTCGTTTGTATGTGTTAACTATATGGTATTTTGTATAATTCTTTGCAGACAATTGCTAGTTCGACACTACAAAGTCTACTATCCTGTCAGAAATCATCTTATTCAACATATGATTACTGCCATGCAGAAATTGGGTTTTACAAGCAGCGTAAGGATTTCATCTTGTCATTATAATCCATATTATACATGCAGGCTTTAGAATGGATTGTTTGCAATAGAACGAACTTTATTATTCTGCGTTTTATTGTTATTACCTTTTAACAAAATGATTGGATTGGGGGAAGAAATGGTCGAGTGACTAAGCCACCATCAGGGGGGGAGGCTATGTATAAATGTATTGGAGTTATAGAACGCCTTGTATAGTTTTTTTCGCTATGTGTACAATGCAGTTTTCTCTTTGTGTTTGGATTTCAGGCTACAATAGAAAATCGTAAGCTAGCTGTTGATCTTGCGAATGTCATTATTGAATGGGAAATAAGACGTACTAAAGAAGAACAAGACACTTCAGAGGTATTGACGTCAATTGAACTATCGATATGTACAAATTTCACTCGAAGCGTACCGCATTAGGCATGAATGGGTGTGGGATCAGTCCGCCATGCAAAACGATAAATAAGTATCTGAAGGTTATCTATATACAGTAGTTACAGGGTAGGTCGACAATCAGCTTTAGAATTGGCGTCCGGATCTCGATTTGGACTCGAGGTCAAGTTTCATGCGCAGTTAACCAAAACTATACTCCATGCTTGCTGCAGGAGGCTGGTTTGCGTAAACCTCTGAGAATACCTTTTTTTTACAGGGATCGAAAGTGGAAGAGAAAGAGACAACAACTGTAAGTGTTTAGTAGACGCATATAATATTGCCTATTGTAGAGTTTCCATTGTTTTAAAATCATTTCATTCGTATCTCCAATGTCGAAATCTCCCAATTTCCATCATTAGGGTGCTGTGAAACGTACTGCGGATGATAGCACTCAAGGCCAAGATCCAAAGAGAATGAAAACAACTACGCCGGTAGTCAACTCAGCCCTTTTTCCTGATTCTTTTCTAATTATTATTCCTACAAAAAGATTAATAAACGCACTGTAATGTTGATTCATGAATGGCGTGATAGCAATGCATGGTTGTACTGTAAGCGTTGTAAAATAGAGCAGTCTAGGAGTAAAAGATGCTTAACTTTGATGAAATATATTCAGGGCACAACGCCAAAAGATGGAAGTCTCCTTGCTCAACAACGAGCTCCCGTTGATAAACATCATGCTGATGCTGTTGTCAACTTTCTTCTGCGGGTTGCCTGCCAGGTATGGTGAAGGTTATAAACATAAAACCGTAAAGACAGTAAAGACATGGCTTAGTTGTAGGCTTTGCAAAACATTTGTCCCTAAAAACCAACTGAAAACAAAATGTTGTTTTGAACAACAAAATTGAACAACAAAATGAATGCAATTCATTTTTAAAGGTAAACGAATCCTCTACTACTGTTGGTTCCCCCGGGGAAGCATTATCCAAGAGATGCGTGTTGCTGTTAAAAACTGCTCTCAAACCTGGTTTCTGGCAAGGTAAGTTAATTACGAGGCACCATCGCTGACTCGCGGTAGCGTCAAACCAGAATCGTATACGTCGTAGCATGTGGAACAAAATAACCTTGTAATTTACATATATACTGAAAACTGTATATCAGTATATACCAATAGTTCGTTCAATTATGTGGTCATGACATATATAAGCATTTGTCGTTGTTTCTATAGGAACAGATCTTAAGCTGACCTGGCTGGATAAGTTGTTTGTCACTCTTGTAAGTATTTATATCTTATAGTTTATTTTCACATCCTCTCCCAGCTCCAATATAAATATGCAGAATTATTAATTCACGTATTTCTTCGATTAGGATCAGACTCCTGGCACTAATTTCAACAATGTCTGCACGGGTCTTGAAATCTTAACCTATCTTCTTACTGTTGTGGTAGGTACAATACAACATGCTGCATGATTCCTGCATTCCTTCCATGAGGCAAATTGTTTTTACATGATCAAATATTGGTGATGATTGTTTCGTGTTGTAAAATGTGCTCAGGTCGCCCACAAACCTTTTGAAATGCATAAAAAACGATATTTCTGCAAAATTGTTTTACATTTCTTTTATTTCTTTCACAGCCTCGAGGAGAAATTTTACCACTACTGAAGCCATTACAGCGTGGTGTTGTTGCGTGCATGACCTGTCAAAATAACAAAGTGATTAAGGCCGTTCACACATTTTTGGGAAAATTGACTAACCTTTTCCCGATTGAGTCAGGTACTATTAACATGTATTTGTTTTAAACTTAGTTTTGAACTGTTTTTCGTATGAATTAAGTTTAACTCCAAACATAAAGTTATAGGTTCTTATTGTATTGCAGTTTACATTTCGGATAACAGTATACTTTCTTATTTCGTTATGATTTACGTCCTATCGTAATTTATTCCTACCTCGATCCTTAGTCACAATAATGTTGAACAGTGCACACTGTGTTTCAACCCAATGAAGAAAAACGTAGCTATAAATGTGTTAAGATTGAAACGTGTCATTTTTTCTCATATTTCTTTTGCTCCCTTGCTGTTTAGTTACTGTGACAAATAAATATGAAGAACTGGAAATTTTGTATTCCAACCTTGGAAAAGCTATTTATGAAGGATTAAGCAACTACACAAAGTACGGTTATTTTGCTCTTTTATATATTTTCCCTCTTATTTTTTATCTTTTTCATTACTTCCTGCTTCTATATGATAGGTCTGCTACACAAGTCGCCACATCTACCCTTCAGGGTCCACTTATGTTTCTGAAAGCAGCATATACAAGTTGTCCATCGTATATTGACAGGTATATTATATATGATTTTATACCGCAATGAATATACAAATTCATGAGTCCTACGTTGCCTAGTTCAAATTTACAGCAATTCCTGGGCAGAGACGCATAGTCTCACTGTCGTTCACTACATTTTGCCATCTTAATGGGCATCGGTAAAGTAAAATAAGTAAGAAAGTTCATTATGCTCTTCTATAGGCTCATTGTCCCATGCATCCGCGCCTTGCAGAAAATGCAGAAAGATCATATTGCTGGATCGTCAGTAGGTTGGTAGCTACCTGTGTTACTTTACATTATAGCTATACATAATCAACACTCATTTGGTTTGGCATATGATAGATTGTCGATGTTCAAATGCATCACCTGTTACAATCGTACAGCGGTGTGTATCCATGCATGGCAGCGCACGGAAACGCTCTAAAGCTAACGTGATATTGATGTTTCATTTCATCCAATGCCATCAATGTTTTTATTTATAGGTGATATGTTAACAACCTGTGTTAATTTGCTCTCGTCTCGTCTCGGTGCTATGGATGGTGAAGCAAGAAAACATTTTATTCTTATCCTTGCGCAACTAATAGAGAAATCTCCGGTACGTTTTACACTGAAGATGTTAAATCGAGGTGTTTCTGATATTTTTTTGTAGTAATCTTCGCTTCTAAGCAGTTATAAAATAATTGCAGCATGCATACATTCATTATAGGATGCTAAGTTACTGAAAGCAATCACTCAAGTAACTGAAGAATGGATAAAGGCAACTGTTGTAAGTTCTACATAATAGCACATTGTTGCCATTCTTCATTCCATCTGAATGAAAACATTGCACGTCTCTTTGCACAAATAATTATCATACCATAATGCATGCGATCAAGTTGAAAACTGAAACTGAAACTGAAACTGGAATTGATTTTTGCTCTCCACGCAGACGCCGCAAAATCAACAACATCTTCCAACGTTACGCGAGAAAGCAATTGTTCTTTGCCGAATGATGCCGAACTACGAGAAACGCTTTCCTGAAGATTTTGAACTTCACGCACAGTATTTAGAGCTCATTAACTATGTTTACAGGTAACTTAGCATCAAATGCTGTATAACAACTGCCTAAAATAGACAAAACACTTCTCTACGTTTCGACCTGACGGCCTTCGTCAGGAGAGTTTGTATGGTAATTTAATTTAATCCTAAACCTAGTCCTAAATCTAATCCTTAACCCATTCTACAAGTCATCCCGCAAATCTATTCAGCATATATTATATCATTAGCTCCATGCTTCTTTTCTTCATAGAGACGACAGTTTGCTGGCAACCGAACTTGCTGCTAAACTTGAACCGGCCTTCATGTCTGGACTTAAATGCATTCAACCTCAGATTAGATCACGCTTTATGGAGGTAAATTTTTTTAGATGTTTAGCCAGAAAATGCTTGGGAAAAACCGTTGTAGAATAAGCCTAAAAGGTAGTGTAGTTGACCAAAAGGCTATTACGGTACTGTCCTCAACTTCTTTTGTTTCTGAGGCCATGAATTGTTCTATATCATAGTTGTTTTTTTAGGTATTTGATCAAAGTGTTAGCAAGAAGCTCTATGAACGCTTACTTTACATATTTTGCTCACAGGTAACGAGGACTACTTACTATATTTCATAGTAGAAGTATTCTTTTGCACGATAGGGTATACGCGTTACATGTTTGCTCTGTCTCCTTAACATTTTGTGGTCCCATTTAGAATTGGGAGTCAATGAAAAGTCATTTCTGGATCAAGCAATGTATAGAGGTATGCAAGTGCGATAATAAGAGAATTCCATTATGATTTTAGTTTCATTAATGAGTTATTTTTCCAGCTCCTGTTAGCTGCAGCAGGGTGTGATCGTCCCTTGCATTTGTCAAGTACGTTCAATAAGCTGCCTTCGCTGTCATCAATCCTCAAAAAATCGAACAAGCCCGAAGCAAAAGCAATATTAGAAAGTGCAACGAAGAAAAATGGTGAAGTGGCAGTCAAAGAGGAACCGATGGATACGACAGACTGTAAAAACTCAAATGCTTCTTGTAATAGCTTTTTATTCTCCAAAGATTCCGCTGAGGTATATAAATAGTTTACGTGCAGTTTATCCGTAAATTACCTTCCTGTTTGCCATTGGCGTCTAATCATTCATATAGTGCATGTTTTTGCATGTTTATGTTGTATTCATTCACTTGTGCCCGGCTTTTATTTAAAATTCACACTGTAAATGCATGACTTATTGTGTAATTATTGTCATTGTAGGATATTTTTGCCTTGATGGAAAATACAGAGAATCTTCCTGATGCTACATCTTTGACCGATTCTTCAGCTGCTCTTAAAACTCTAGTCCGGAAACACCACGACTTTCTGACTGAGCAACGAAAGATTAAGGTACATTGATCAGCTTTCCTACTTGTTACAATTTTGCTATATTTGCGCTGATATTATATCTGTCAAATCTTTGTACGTTTCATCATATGTGTTCTTCCAAAATATACAAGAAAACGTCTCAACGTTTAAACGGAAGGCACTTAACGCCTCACACGAAGGTTCTCAGGTCGCAGATCGTCAAGACGTTTCCTTGTATATTTTTCGCTGTTCTCAGCCACTGATCTCTTTAAGTAGTTGATTGCAACCTTACGCTTTCCTAATGAAGTGCCTGCGTACAAGATATGCAGTAATATATTCGAGTGATCCAGAACCCCTAGCTCAGTCTGGGTAAACTTATGTTTAAAATTTCTAAATTTTATAGTGTACACCATTCCTCGGAGCTTTGGCACAACTTTGTCACCGGGACACGAAACTTTCTCACGATGTTTGGATTACTCTGTTTCCAGAACTTTGGAAACTCCTTAGCGACAAGCAACAACAGGTTTAACGAATTAGAATGAAAATCTGTACCTGAATAGATAAACAGATTGCAGATAAAGATATAGTTTCTTCTATGAGTAATGTTTGAAATATTATTCCTTCGCTCTTTATTTTAGATCCTTGCTGGTGAGTTAAGTCCGTTTATGTGCAGTGGTACAAACTGTGTTCAACTGGACAGTCATCCGAGTGTTGTTCATACTATGCTTCAATCAATTCTGCGCTGTGAACCAACTGTTCCAATGCGACCATCTATTTTGAAGGTGCGTCTTTTTCCTTTGACATATATTGCATGCGAGAGTGAAATTAAACTGTAGTGGTCTAGTCTTCAGGCAGTCTCTGGTCCTATTCCAGCTAAAAGAACCTGCTTTTGCTTGGAACTGAAGGTGTATATATATTATTTTTCAATTCCTTTTTTTAGTATCTTGGCAAATCCCACAATCAGTGGCACCTTTCAACACTTGTTCTTGAAGATTACGTCACTCTCTGTGAAGAATATGTAAATCCTCCATTGTTAAATCAACAATCTCAAAATATGGAGAGCGTTTACGAAGAAGATGTTTCGGATATCAACACACAGGTGCCAATATACTTTCGGATTCTTTTTATAGAATTTAAATATCTCGATCTTACACACAAAAGTTACACAACTGTATAGCTACTATGACTTCACGTTTGCGGGGTAGAAGATCTTTTCCTTATTACTTGATCAGTAACTTTTCTTTATCAATAGGATGACTTAAATAAGCTAAAATAAGGCTGCAGTTAGAAATACCCAGCATCGATCGAATTTTCTCTTTCTATCTCACAAACTATTAGATGGTGCCATGCTCTGAGTTACATCACCCCGCGAACCTTTGGTTTGTTTTGAGTGTACAACTCAGAGTAGCACTGTGACAATATGAATTCACTTAAGTCATACACGCAATTAATTTCGTTGGCAATTACTCTCGCACTCACGCCCCTTCTTGATTCAGGAAACTCTGGATGCTTTAGCGGAAATGTACTCTTTAATAAACGAAGAAGATATGTGGGCTGGATTATGGTTAAGAAGAGCCAGGTATAGATTTAATTTCTACGATTTCTGCTTTTGCGTTAAAATTTTCATCAAACATAAGACCATTTTCCTTTTTGCAGATATCAAGAGACAGCAACAGCTATTGCATATGAAAATCAGGGATTTTTTGAACAGGCACAAACAACTTACGAAATGGTAGGTTTGTTTGGAATTTTATACTATGACAATTAATTATCTTGCAAAATCTCTACATTTTCACACCTGCATGTATTTATATTGCTGTCGACATTTACAATACATATAATAACTGTGCAAAAAGTTACAGCAGTCAAGGGATTGTTTAACAATCGGTCCCGTAATGTTGACTTATTTGACGGTTGAGGATGAAGACTTTACCTGCAAAATATACAATTGGAATAATTTGCTAATTTGCCCGACTATTCAGTACACAAAGGTCCTTTGATGTGGCAACCATTTGTAATGATGTTCTAACTTATGTGTATTCTTAAATTAGGCTATGAACAAAGCTCGTGATGAGCACACCCGCGCTCCAGCGATGGCTCATGTTCTGCCTGAGTACAAGCTATGGGAGGACCACTGGATCAAGTATGTTACTATTACGCCAACATATGTATTTTAGCCTGTTCAATTTTTTTTTTAGCTTGCCTGCCATATGCAGTGCCACCCTGCAATGTCTGATGAATGTATTATGGTTGTTATTGAACCATTCATTCTATCCATCCATTACGTCATTATGTACGTCTCGTGTTTATCTTATGCCAGATGTTCCCAAGAACTGGGTCAATGGGATCTTTTAATGGAGTTTGGAAAATCAAAAGGAAACAACAATCCATTTCTAGGTAAGTCATAGAGTTGTAGAGAATAAAACTGAAAAAAGTGGAAATTGGAAAGGTGTATAGTCCTATATTTTGAGAGAGTATCGTAGTTTTCGTGGCCCTAGTAGTTCAATCTGTAATGTTTTGACTTTTTTCTACAGTTTTAGAAAGTGCTTGGAGGGTTCCAGATTGGCCCTCGATGAAAGAAGCATTAGCACAGGTATATTCATTTATTGTGAGGTTCTTTCCCGTTCTGCGCAGCCGAATACACGTTATGCATATCCAATTAGCTGTATGCCATGATGTTACGGATCAATTCCTGTTGATTAATTCTTGTTATATTAATGCATGAATGTATTATTAATATGATAAAAGTGAAATCCCAATTTTTTCTTTTCATTAAGGTTGAAAAGGGATTTCCTGACTCTATTCTTTACAAACATGATCTTTACCGAGCTTATATTGAAATATGTAACCCAGAAGATCAACAACATCTGAAAATGGTAAGTTCTCTAATCCCACACTAGCGAAGGTCATTTCTTATGGTTATGGTTTCTAATTCCTTTTTGTCACGCACATTTTGACCAAGAGACGTGTTTATGATATATTTAGTCAGCATAATATTTCATTTTTCAGAGGGAGGTAGAAAAGTATGTGGAAACATCAAGTACCCAGGCAATCAGGTTATGGAAACGTCTACCCAATATCATTTCACATCAACACATTCCACTACTCCAGGTGAGCTCATCGACTTTATAGCAGAAGTATCTCAAATATTTTAAATACAAGAAATTAGTCAATGGAAACCAGGTGTTGATTCGCTGTTATAACGCTCAATAGCATATTGAAACAGTATTTCTTGATAAATTTCTTGAGAAATTCTAGAAAATGTGTAAAGTTTCGGGTATGACATCTCAACTTTCATCTTCAGGCTTCGCAACAGATTGTTGAACTTCAAGAAGCTGCTCAGATCCGAGCTGGTATTCAACTTCAAACAATTGGCCGAAATACAAGTTTGCACGACATGAAAGCTATTATTAAAACATGGAAGTAAGTTAAAATTTATGCGAAAACTAGCATTGATAGTGAAACATTGTCTATTGCATTGTGCAGGCATACGTGCAATGATAATTTGAGGATGATGATTAATCATTTTACCGTTATAGAAACCGCTTACCAATGATCTCGGATGGTCTGAGCCACTGGAGTGATATATTTCATTGGCGACATCATCATTATGAGGCGATTGTCAGTGCATATGATGCACAACACGACCAGGTAAACGCTTTCTTTGATTTTTCCTCATACCTTGAAAATGTATACTAACAGGTTCGTTCGTTCATGATGATCATGATGTGAGATGTGTATGTTACTACCCAACCTCACAGAAGTGTGTGGGATAAACAATACATTTAAACTTTTTTTCAGACAAACCATTCAATGCAGGGTGTTCATGCGTCCGCATGGTCCATCATTCGTTACGGTCAGGTGGCAAGAAAGCAGTCCTTGTCTGGTGTGTGTTTGGATTCTCTTAGCAGGTAATACAGATCATCGTAGATATGCACAGGGATCACGTCGTGATGTTTTAAGTGCCTTGTCCAGTGCAACCAGGCTCTGTCTGATATTTTAACCGTATGTTGCTGTAACTTATATGTTTCATTGTTTTGTCAAACTTAGGATTCACACAATTCCCAGTGTTCCAATTATTGATTGTTTTCAAAAAATCCGTCAGCAAGTCAAGTGTTATCTTCAAATGGCTGGGACCATGAGAAAGCAGGAATTACAGGAGGTATAGATGTTTTCTGCATGTGACAGTGTTGGTTAAAACCAAGTCTTCCCGCTCTCAAATCCCCAGCTCGTAGCTCTTTCCGAAGTACTAAATTCTATTATGTCACGCGACAACTTTTGTATTCCCACAAATTTAATGTTTTTCTTCTTCAATCTCCTAATCCTAACTTTCAGGGCCTTGAAGTTATCGAAAGTACAAACCTGAAATATTTCTCAAAGGAGATGACGGCGGAATTTTATGCTCTGAAAGGAACTTTCTTGGCTCAAATTGGACGGTAAACGATCTTTTCATTTAGGGAAATCTCTATTACTATAAATATTATAATAATGCGTTAATGTTCCTAACTGTGTTTAATTCTTTTTTCAGGTCTGAAGATGCTAACAAAGCATTTTCCCAGGCCGTTCAAATGCATGACAATCTTATTAAAGGCTGGGCATTATGGGGTGATTACTTGGATAATATATTTGTAAAGGAAAGGTAATGAGTTATTTTATCTGATATACCGCTCCCGCGTATGAAACGTTTGAAACGGAGAGGACAAAACAAAATTCATTCTTTTCAATTTCTAATCAACTCCTATCGAAAAACATTCACTGCAGTAATAATAGTTATTCATTTACTCTTACTAATTCATACTTTAGAACGATGTCTTTGGGTGTGTTTGCCATAATATGTTACATGCACGCATGCAGGAATCCGAACGAGGCTAAATGTCGCAAATATCTAGCCCGAACAATATGGTTGCTCACTTACGATGATGAAAAGGTGACAGTTTTCTCTTTCTTTCGAACACCGGAAAAACGCAAACCTCGTACCAATCGTTTTTAGGCAATTCTGCGCAGCACTCACTCTATATTTTAAAGTATTCTCCTCTTTCATATAGAGTGTCTTGGCAGAAGCTTTGGACAAATATTGTGTTGGAGTACCTCCTGTTCACTGGCTTCCATGGTAAGATTTGCGTGCGACATTCAATAGTTTTGAAACCTTCTCTTATTTCAATTCGTATATACCTCCGAAATATGCAGGGTGCCTCAGCTTCTTACATGTCTTACACGAAAAGAAGGATCAAAGATTTCAAGCTTACTTCTCCAAATAGGGCGTGTCCATGCTCAGGTAAGTAATTGTTTGAAGGCTAACTATTAATAATTTTTCAATGCCATTTGCAATTAGGAAAGTTACATTGTAGCCATGGTAAAACTAAAATTTATTCCCAGTAATGAATAATGAATACTAAGAGAAATTAAAACGTATACAACAATGTTGCTTTACCCTTTAGGCCATATATTTTCCCATACGAACCTTATATCTTACTCTGAAACTGGAACACAGGGAAAAATGTGAGTGAACCTACCATTCTCTTCCTTTGTCGATCTCCCATTTATGCATCATATAAGTTATATATTTTACCTGTTTGTTCAAGTATATATATTTCATCTTTGGTGTATTCGGAGCGAAGACGTAGTGGAAGTATATAGAAGAAAATGTTTTTGCCTTCTTGTGACTAATATCGTAAATACGTTTCGTTTGGGTTAGATAAAATGGAAGCCAGCTCGTTACATAAAACTAATAAACAAAGCTCTGTATCAACACCAACAACATCATCTGCTCCAACGACTGCTGCAGCTGGCAGTCCCAGCACAGTCACGACAAATACCACAACTGTGAGTCAGGATGAAAAGTCAAATTCGATCACGACTACTCCAACAACAACACCGACGGACGCTGCTAGTGCTGTAACAAGAACGTCTGTGGTAAGTTTTCTGGTATTGTGAGACTAATGAGAAGATAGGGATAGATTTCATAATGTTTTGTCACAGAAACAATGCGATTTTCTTTGGGTATATCGGTTGACACAAAAATATTCATGCATAATTTTATAGGCGTTGTCTAATTAAATACACACTGATCTGTATTCTGGAAGTCTTTCTTCTGTAGTTTTAGAAGGGATTATTTTTTATTGGATCATCTGCTCGAGTATAGAACAAATAATACATTCTTTTTAAATTGTACATTGCAGACTCAAAGTGGTGCAGCGGATTCACCCAGCTCGGATAATTCCTCAAAACCAAACGAGACAACTGCAACGTCAACGGCAAACACATCAACTCCACAGGCGCAGGGTATATATTGATAACAATTTTTAGGCCCGAGTTAGAATGCCCTGCATGCTCTGCCTCGATAGAAATCCCTTCATGGTAAGCCCCATGATTCTCCAAGTTCGATTTCCGTTGAAGAACCAAATAGTTCATTTTATTCACCCCTTTCCAATTGTATTTGCAACTACACCTCAACTATTACATTATTATACTGTGTAATGTTTCAGCATCTCAAAGTGGTGAACAAATGCGCGTGACACCGTCGATGTGGCTGTGCAGTCGTATAATGCATGCATTACGAGATTTGCATCCTACTTTGCTCGCTGCTCTTGAGGGCATTGTTGACCAGGTTTGTCTACAATTAATCGAGGAAATATGTTTATTGATTAATATTTAATAAGACTTTCCTGATTGGTCTCAATGGTTGAAAACGTTTCTTGTTGCATGCATTTTTTTGAGGTCAATATTGACATGCATGCATGCTGTACGTAGATACTATATATTTTCTTCAGATGGTCTGGTTCCGTGAATGTTGGCACGAAGAAGTCCTACGACAATTACGACAAGTTCTTACTAAATGTTATCAAACCGCGTTTGAAACCAGAACTGATGGTACGTGCATTTCTTCAGACTGTTATATGTGTCTTTCCTTTTTTAAACTAGGCTATACAAAAGCCATTTAAAACAGTTCATGCCTACAAGATTAATTCTACATTCATATAAATTCAATATAAATACGTCTGTAGTACCTTGAATAAATTATATGGTTATGCTGTGTTTAGTTTCCAATGCGAAAATAACTCCTCACACGATGAGTTTTGTCAAGAAACTGGTGAGCACTTTTGGAGTGGGGTATGAATTGGGCAGTTCTACTTCTCAGCAGTGCAGTTCCACAGGATCGGAATCATTGGCAAGACGAGCACATGCCACTGCACAGGATCCGATGTTTCAAAAATTGAAAGAACAGTTTACATCTGATTTTGACTTCAGGTTTGTGGTGTAACAATCTTACTGTCTGTGTCTATATAGTAGCTAATTACTGTTTAAGTATAACATTCTGGTATGCCTGGTGTTTTTTTAGTTCGCCAAATTCTATGGGTCTTCATCAGTTAATCACAAAGCTGAAGAAGTGGATCAAGATTCTTGAAGCAAAAACGAAACTTTTATCAAGGTAAAGTTTATGCTATTTTGTATTTCAACCCAACATTTACCTGTAAATCGCAGAAGGAAATTAAGGCTTCGAGAATCATCCAGCAAAACGAGATAATGCAGCTGTGCTTTTACTAAGAGTACGTAATATACCTAATATTGTACAATAATCCTCTTTATAGCTCATTTCTACTTGAAGAAAGGTGTCGTTTCCTTAGCGTATTTTCCATCGCGACCGCCGATGTTGAATTACCTGGTGAATTTCTCATGCCCAAGTCAAACATTGTAAGTAATAGGACGTTGCATTACAATCCATTGTAAAATTCGAATACAATGGCAGGTTTCGAAATGTATATTATTGCCTTTTTATTGTTCACTTCCAGCACAGTCATTATTACATCCGTATTGCTCAGTTTATGCCTCGTGTTGAACTGGTCCAAAGACACAATATGTCAGCTAGAAGGTTGTTCATCAGGGCAAATAATGGAAAGGTATGTATAGTGGCTTGTCACGCAGGGGTCCAATGTTCTTCAAGGCCTGGTAGTTGCATGATTTTATTTCCTCTTATCTCTTCAGATTTATCCTTATTTGGTCGTGAATGATGCTTGTTTATCAGACTCACGGAGAGAAGAACGTGTCCTCCAATTGTTGAGGATATTAAATCTGTACTTTGAAAAACGCAAGGTATTGTGATCTCTCATGCATGTTTGTTCGTCACGTTCTCCATTCGTCGTGTTGTGGAATATTCTCATGTCGACAAATTGTTGTTGTACTGGTGTTTTCTTGTTTCTATGATCTTTAAACTGTGTGCATCTTCATGAAACAGTTCAATCATTCTTGTTGAAACAGGAATCGAGCAAAAGACATCTATTGTTCACTGTACCTCGAGTTGTAGCTGTTTCACCACAAATGAGATTAATTGAGGTAATGTGTATGTACATGTCGACCTTAAATTATACATGACATTTTAATACAAATTATGCTCATATCCTCATATTTTTTTCGAATAAACTCAGTTAATTTCTGACAAATGGTGAACTTTTTTCTCTTCATATAGGATTCGCCGACCACAGTTACATTAAAAGATGTCATGAAAATGGTTAGCGTCTTATTAATTTTAAAGAGAGAATGTACAAGAAGTTTAGGTTGAGGAAGGGTTATCATATCCTATACTTCTTTACTTTAAAACTACAGGATGATTTATTTGTGTAGCGTAGATAGGGTTATGTTAGAGAATTACGTTTAGGCAGAAATTTTATATTTTATATTAGAAGGAATTAGAATTTTTCTCAGTAAAGAAACAGCAAAAAGTTCATAGTTTTACGGGAGGGGAACTCGGAGTAATACAATGCGTTCATTTCCCAGCACTATGTAAAGCGAAGTATTGACGAAGACACGGCGGTTTCCCTGTACTACGAAAGATTAGCTGCGGTACAAGCAAGAGGAGAACAAAGCACACATCAAGTGCTCAGAGATATTTTTAAAGAGGTCAGTTTAATTGTTCTTTTTAGATATATAATTTGATCCAACCAAACTTAGAGGATATATAATTCCTCTCTACGCTATATATACAAACGCAAACTTAGTAAAAAGGATATGAGAAAACACGTCTTCATATATACGTAAAGGAGGTTTACTGCTGTATCTGCCCCGAAATATATCATGTTATAGAGTCCACGTACATTCAAAGGCAATATATTTTCCAACCATGGCACTGTATTTTCGTCATGTCATATTTTCCAGATCCAAAGTACCATTGTTCCTGAAGTTGTTTTAAAAGAATGGGCACAGCGTACATATCCAGGGGCAGCTGATTTTTGGACATTCAGAAAACAGGTAAATTTAAATGTCGCCATGCCGATTACTCCGAACCTAAAGACGCTAGTGACCAATATATGTCGTTCTAATGCGGGTTACAAGAACTAAGGCATTCCAGGTCCTGAATAAATGAGAATTAAAATTCTTTCCTGTTGAAGACATTTTCTGGCCACGCAGGGAGATAAGAATCTGCATTACGTCTTTTCTGTTATAGAAATGATAGATTGAAGCTTACATAGTTCTACTTGTAATATGATGCAATTAACCAAAAACCACCACCGAGTTTTTAAACTAAGATTAATCTTTTATGATTTCGTATAGTTTACTACTCAGCTGACTCTGCTTCAGTTTGCGGAATTCACACTTCATCTGTCGAGACTCTCTCCAGAGATGCTGCAGATCATTCGTGAGAGTGGAAGATTAAACGTCGGCTATTATAAATTTGAAATTGACGATAACAAAGGTAATGCGTTCAATCATTCATCTTGTTTCTGAGCGCGGTAACTTTTTGTGGTCTCCAAGTGCGTCTAATTTACATAGTAAAATTTATTTAATTTATTTGCAGGTGAACTGGACGCAAATCGTCCAGTGCCATTTCGACTGACACCAAATATTAGTGAGCTAATATCACCAGTTGGTATTGGTGGTGTTTTGACATCATCCATGGTTGCCGCAGCGAGGTGTTTGATTGATCCAAAATTCAGCGTTGATAGCATTCTGCGGGCTATTTTAAGAGACGAAATGATTTCCTGGCATAAGAAGGTAGTGATTTTATTGTAGTTGTTCATATAAATGATAGGTACGCGTGTTTTCATGATTGAGCGACCGCGACTTATATACTCGGATATAAATTATTTAAAAATTCAAAAACTACCTGCTTGCACTGAGTGTGTATTGTGTAATATCTCGGTTACAAAACGTTTCAAAATATATTCCTTTCAGAAACACGACGGTCAACTTCATTCTAATGGACAGTCATCCTCCGAACAGATTGACAACGAAGTGTTGATAAATTTAGTAAATGGTGCTGTTGGTTCAATTATGACCCGCTTACAAAGTACGTAGAACAAGAGTTCTTTTCCTTGATTATGATAAACTTGTTATGAAATCTAATTCTCGCAATCTCTACCTGCCCTCTAACCCACTGTAAACAATTTATGGTCGCTCCCACGTGAAAACCATCCATATCATCCTGCCTTATTTCTGTTCATATATGAAATAAGCCAGATATTAGGTCGCTCTTGATTTAGAAATCCTTTTCGAACCTTTTTCAGATTTGGCCGAATTTGAAGGAGCGGAGACGAAGGTGACAACCTTGGTTGGGGCTGCGATGAGTCCGGACAATTTATGTCGTATGGATCCTGCCTGGCATCCTTGGTTATAAAACTCTGGTAACTCCTTCATCTATGGAAACTGTCCTACTCGTGCTAAATCATGGACATAGCCATGTCAGCCACCTTACGGGGAGGATCGGAAGATTTCTGTTAGCCATGTGACGCATGTTGCATCTGTGCAATGCAGTACTGTGAAAACGTTTGTACATGACAATATTCAAAACTTTTTAAAATTGTTAGTTGTTTTCTTATAAAGAGATAGACTGTATAATTTTCGCGTACCTAGTCTAGGGCTGGGGAACTAGAATCGTGATTAAAAATAGATCTTCATGAAATCTGTAAACTTGTTCCATAATTATTGAATCATTTTATTTATTAAGACATACATCTTCACGTAGTTACCATTAGGTTATTTAGATAACGTGTCCCATAATCGTACTTGTCGTGCTCAAAAACTGTGAAATACCTTTCACGTTAGTATATTTTGCAGTATTTTATTTTGTGAAAGAGCTTGTAACATAATTTGTAAATCACTAGGTTGTCTAGTTTTAACCTATTTATATTTTTTTCAATAAATTGTACATGAAATTATGTTATTAATCGTAATTAATCATTTGCAATAATTAGGTCGAGATATGGAGGAACGGGTTTTATAATGTGGATCAGGCTTACCGAGGGCAATTTCCAATTTTCTATATTATAGGTCTCTCAATAAATCTCTCAATATTTTTTTGTACGCTTCTTTCTTTCTGAGATGTAACTACATCGTCAGCGTTCTGCGTCGCAGTTCTGGTATATCGTTATATACATGAAGTACCATTAGGTGTGAAATTAATCAAATTATTTCAAATTTTTCAATCATGGCGACTTCAAGTGATGTTGTTTTACAAAGTGCGATGAAATCAGCGTCGTATAATGTCATACTGCAAATTTCATTGAGGATTATTACTTTTCTTATGAATGCTTTCATCCTGAGGTTTATATCTCGAGAAACTCTTGGACTTGTGAACGTTAGACTGACCCTACTTTACACGACTATTTTATTCTTGGCTAGGGAAGCATTCAGAAAAACTTGTTTGAGTCATTCTTCAGAAAGCAAGGGAACAAAATGGGACCAAATTATTAATATGATATGGTTAGCTGTGCCTTTAGGCGCTTCGGCCTCACTTGTTTTTGGGTTTATTTGGTTAAACTGGTTAGAAATGCCACCAATGGAACTAGCTAAAGATTATTTAACCAGTGTTGTGTGCTTCGCTTCAAGTGCCATACTGGAGTTAATGGCCGAACCTCTTTGGATTGTATTTCAGTGTCATTTGTTTGTTCGTCTTAAGGTTGTAATTGAAGGTTCAGCAGTGTTGCTACGATGTATAACTGCAGCATCGCTTGTGTATTTTGTTCCTTCCTTAGGTCTTCTTGCCTTCTGCTTTGCTCAGTTAATGCAATCATTAACATATTTCTTACTATACTATATATACTTCTTCCACTTCATCAAAGCGAATACAAAGAAAAATGACAAAGAATTTCCATTACGAGCATTTAATGATGTTTTTCCCTCCCGTAAGTCACCAAACAGTCTATGGATAAATTTTAAGTTGCTGTCTTTGACATGGAGTTTTTTCAAGCAATCTTTACTCAAGCAGATTCTTACTGAGGGAGAGCGATATGTGATGACCTTGTTCAATGCATTGACTCTTGCACAGCAAGGTGTTTATGATGTGATCAATAATCTTGGATCCCTTGCAGCTAGATTTATATTCCTCCCAGTGGAAGAAAGTTATTACCTATTTTTTACTCAAACACTGGTTAGAGATAAGCCAGCATCAAAACAACAACCAGAAAGTTTGTGTCTTGCTGCAGAGACACTAGAATCTGTGTTGAAATTTGTTTTGTTAATTGGATTGACAATTGTTGTGTTTGGTTATTCATATTCATTGCTTGCCTTGGATATTTATGGTGGCTCAATCTTGAGTTCAGGAGAAGGTAAAAATTCATTATTTCTATATGTGGGATTATGTGAATAGGAACGTGAATAATAGGTAAAATTAGGTTGTTAATTAAAAAGTGTAATATTTTTGTAGGTCCAACACAATTAAGATGGCATTGTTTCTACATATTGATAATTGCAGTGAATGGAATAACTGAATGTTTTATGTTTGCAACCATGAGCCAAGAGGCAGTTGAGAAGTACAATAAAAAAATGGTGGTCTTCTCAGTTATTTTTCTCTTGTCTTCCTGGTTTCTCACATACTTTGGAGCTGTTGGTTTTATTTTTGCCAACTGCTTAAATATGATGTTACGAATCATTCACAGGTGAGTTTATTCTCCAGGGCAAAAAAATGCCCTTTTAGCCTGTCTGTAAGTTCAATTTTCTTTTCACCTGTTTCTCAATTAAAATTTGTATTCTATTTTTTAGCCTAATTTATATTCAAGAATATTTTTGTGATACAAGTCTACGACCATTACAGGGATTTCTCCCATCAAAACCAGTACTTCTGGCCTACATCATTGCATGTATTTTTACATTGTGGTCAGACTCTATGTTCTGTTGTTCTTACGGATGGTTTTGGCGATTATGTCACATTGCTACTGGTGGTTTATGTGGACTCGCTGTTATTCTAACCATATACCTAACTGAAGAAAATCTCGTGCAATTTGTAAAGAAACAGTTGTTTTCCAAACTTCATACAAAGGTGGAATGAAAATTAACTATTGTTAGTGGTGGAACTGTAGTTCAGAGCTTGTATGGTAAATCCTACTGTAGCTTGGATGATGTTGTTAAAATGCTGGTGAAAGTGTAATATTCCTGTATGAAAAAATTCTTCAAACTTTCAGCTTTTTATTTAAAATTATTTGTGGAATATACAAGTTTGATTTCAGAACCTTTCTCATATCAAAATTAAATTCATGTCAATCTTTATGTGAGTATTTTATTATAAAGCGCCTGAAGACGTGTCAACTACTGTACATGGTTGTCACGTTGTAAAAGTGACGTTAAACCAGAGCAGGACGACTTTTCATCTCAGTTTTTTTCATCGATCTGTCGTCGTTTTTCCAAAAGAGCCATCTTATTCCTTGAATTTGAGGTCCCTGAGTTGCATCGAAGTACCGACCATTGAGATGGGCATACTGACATGCGTTATACCACCAACCACCTTTGTTATGCGTAGCGCAACTGCCAGGTTCATTATCATTGTCTTGGTCGTAGGTAGAGAATCTCATGCTGTTGTGATACCCCAATGAATCACCAGCATTTCCTTAGGAAGACATACACATTAATTATTGTTAAAAAATTGTAACTACAGACGTTGGCTGCATTGCCAGCGTTGCCTAAAGGCAGCCTAGGCAGCGGAATTACGCACTTGACAACAAGTCTCAATGCAATTTAAATAGAAAGAGCACTGAATTTTAGCCCGCCTTGCTGTTGAAAGGCAAGAGGCTGCTTCCTGCTGCCATATGAAAAGTAGAGGTTGATAAGAATTGCGAAAATTTTATGCACAATTATATTCAGTGGAAGATTTATCACTACGTATATATTTTCGGACTAAAAGGGAAAGTGAATGGCAACCAATTTACAACTTTGGCGTTGGTAATTAACTAATACACTTTAGCTTGTCCCGCACGAGGTTTAGAACTGAACGTTTTGTTAAATTTACCTGAATAACTTCCAACATTCAATCTATAACTGTCTGACTCAGAAGCCACAGAAAAAAACCCATATTTCGCATAGGCTAGGTCGTAAGTAAAGTCCATCAAGTCCACCCTTAGAGCATTTTGCTCTGACTTTGACAAACGATGTATTTTGTCCAAACCAAGCCAAAAATTTCCGTCAAGATCACCAAAACCATTTTTGTAATCATGCCACCCGCGATAAAAGTCGACACTCGTATCGACTCTTCTTTGGAACACTGTCCAGCCTCCACCATCAGTTTTCATATCACATCTGACTTGGAAAGATCCAAAGCCATCAGGATCTATGTTATAAACACCGTCGTTTCTTGCACCAGATTTGTATAAACTTGTGCAACTTCTGTGTCCTTTGTCTTGGACGGGTGTTGTTGTCAGCATGGTTGGTGTGCTTGTGGTAGATTCGCTTGAGACTGAGCGAACTATAAGTAGAGACAAACCATACATAATCATAAACGTTTAGTTCTTAATTTTAAAAATGTTTTTATTACAGACTTGTAGTGAGAAAATCAGTCTTGTTCAACTTGAGTAAATGAATCAGTATTTCTGATTTCAGATTGGCAAAGTGTCAATGAGTTGCTTTAAATGCGCATCATTCTGTTCATCAATTTCCTTAAGAATAAAATAAAACAATTTAAATCACCTTGTTCAACTATTTAGAAAACGAATTAAAAAAATGGTGGAAAGTCAGGTTAAAAAATAAAACCGATTCATTCATACCTTTAGCTCAACTGAGGTTAGTAAAATCACCGAAGTGATTACGACGGGAAACAGTAAAGTAAGATGCATGACCAAAACTGATACAATCCTAAAATATTCAAAAATCAAAAGAGACAGAGAGATCGCGGACCTTTCGGAAAAGTGAATGGCAACCAATTTACAACTTTGGCAAATACTCGCTATCGTTTACTTCACCACGATCCTATAGTGCATATCGTGTAAAGTAGGCAGATACTATGAGGTAATGCGATTATCGATCTTTGTTGAGCGAAGACGTCGTTGTCAAGAACAATTTGTAACGCTAAATTCAATAGACCCTTTCCCCATGCAAAATTCAGTATGTATCGATATAAAGGTTTGGTCACCCAGAGGCAGATCATACCCAGAGACAGGTCAAAACCTACAGGAATATGTCGCGCAAAATCACAGAATATTTTGAGACATAGCTGGAGCACAGCTATGATTGATTACCCCTACCGTTAATGACAAACACTGGGGGACTATTGTAATTATCATGTATTATAACTTGCATAATAAAACTGCAATAAAATTTCAAGATATATCTCTGACTGACAAACATGTGAAGGGCAATGAAAATGAATTGTCTCGCACATTATTTTAGCATTTCACACAGCGAAACCGAAACAATTCGTCTTTTGTACTGATCGCCGATATGCATATGATTATCTCTGTCTCTGGGTGAACCACCTTCATCCCCCAACCTCCTCAATCCTACATTACCGAAAAGGAAATAATTTTGACTTACCTTATACCTATCAGTCATATACTTACTTCGATACAGTTAATGCAATACCCACATAAACCTAGGCAACCTAGTCATGTATAAAAGGGGATTTCCACTACACCCGAAATTTACCTACTGAGACCATGATGCTTTGCCAGAATAATAATATAACTGATAAGTGATAACTGATAAATCTAGTAAGTCGTCTATGGTTTCACGACATCGTCTGGCAATTATCAGTGATAATTGCCAGACGATGTCGTGAAACCATAGACGACGTACTACAGTACTCGGTGTTTTTAGAAACGAACTTTCTCTATAAAGGCTAAAGCCTGATTTAAATGTAATAATACATTAATACTATATTTTTTGAAACGACCAGAAGGCTTTCTGTAATAACAAATTTGATTAGATTGCAAGAACGTTTTGGAGTTTACTCCATCATCAGGTTACATTTGCTTCCTTATTGCAATAGCTGATATTTCCCTGTTTTTTTTTTGTCTTCTCGGCTGAAACATCCCAAACTGAACATTTGATATTCTGATATCGTATGAATAGAATAGCTACAGTCTTAATAGTGTTACGAAACCGCAAACAATATGTCAAAATTCTCTATAATAATATCACATTGCTTTGTTTCACTGAAAAATAAAAGAAAATTTTAGCAAAAAAAGAGGGGCCCATAGCCCTCTCGATTGTTATACTACGACAGTAATGACACCCATATATTATTCTGGGCAGACATAGATGGAGGATCATGCCACGTGTGACACACGATATCGAATTTACATGCATACGTAACCACGAGGGTATATATTGTTTGTTGTCTTCCGTATGTAGACCATAGTTCAACACAATTTATTTGATTGACAATATTGGCACCGAACAGATTGTGCAACATTGTGCAGCGTAGTTTCTCGTATTGCTCAGATACTCAGATTTTTCTCGTCTATCACTGCACGTGAGTGAAATATGTCAGCTAAGCCTATTTACGAGGAAGACGCGAAAGGATTGTTGTCAAAGTATCTACAGAATACTGAATTCGTGAAATGTCAGAACGCTGTGGTGACTGTAAGCGTGCAATGGGATGATGTGATCAGTAAAAACGAGTGGCTAAGGACTCAGGTTTGTTTGAAAGCACTCATTAATACCGCCTTGTGTGTTCAAAATACTTCATAATATTTTACAGATGAATTAACTGCTTAAAAATTAGGAATGTACCGATGTACGTGTCAGACAGTGCCACGGTGCCACCTTGTCACTTTGACATTGCACTGGTCTGGCTGGATAAGGCTGCCCTTAGCTTTTTGCATTGCATTATACCGTATTATACTCAGAGAGTGAGACCCAGTCACAAAGTAGTGAATACTCCACCACCTCCACACCCTTGCCTCTTGCTGTATGTCCCACACCCCTTCTAAGGCTCCCAAGTCTTTCCAGATCAAATTAGATACCTACCTAGGGTTGTACCTGGTGCTGCATGAAACTATTTTTGCAAGGTCAATGACTTAAATTTAACAATTGCATGTCCCACCTTGCAAAAATCCTCTAACTAACACTTATTTTGTCAGAATGCCCAAGGATTTGTGGCAGTTAACAAACAGCTTATTTGAACTCCACTGCTAATGTGATGATTTGATTTATTAAATTCATCAATGTGATGTGCTTAGAAACTGGTTGTAAAGCCTGATCAGTTGATAAAAAGACGAGGAAAGCTTGGATTGGTTAAGGTTAAAGCTGATTTGCCAGAAGTACAAGATTGGATTAAAGAGCGTTTAAACCAAGAAATTCAGGTATTTAATTCAATTGACAAGATTTATAAGGCCCTGGAAAAGATAAGCCTTCAACTTACAAGGATATAGTGGCCAAGGGTGCAGCTAGGATGATAATTGATTATTCATACATTCAGTTCTGCCTGATGGATTTCTATCGTAAACTATTGAACTTACAAAAGAAACCCATCAGGCATTAACTCAGTATATAAATAAACACCCCTCCCCCCTAATTATTGTTCTAGCCACGCCACTGATAGTAACTGTACAACATGTATATCCCCTTTAAATAAAATTATTTGTTTTATACATTAATTCTATTGTATTATATTGTATTGTCAAAGATGAACAAAAACACGTATTTTTATGATATTTTACTCTATAATATAGATTGGGCAGACTAAAGGGAATTTAAAAAGATTCATTATTGAACCCTTTGTGGAACACAAACAAGTAAGGGTATAGTATAGTGTATATATTATTTCATGCAATCACCTCAGTCAAATCAAGTGTTTTGATTGATCTCCATTTATTATATAGGAAGACGAATATTATGTTTGTATATATGCACAACGAGACTGTGATACAATTTTGTTTCACCATGAAGGTGGTGTTGATATTGGTGATGTTGATAGCAAGGTGAGTACTATGGGAGCATAGAAAGTTGAAAATGTTAAAAAAATTATTTGTATTATTTGATATATTGTATTTATCACAGTTTATATTTTTACATTAACAAGGCAAAAAGGTTGGATATTGCAGTTGGTGAGACTGTTGATGTAAACAAGATTGAAAATGAGTTATTGGCAGAAGTCTCAGGGGAGAAGAAGAGGTTTATTATGCTTTTCAGTTCTCATTGTATTGAAATTGTATATATTATACAGGGTGTATAAAAAAAAACGCAACCACTTAATACTCATGAATATCCTCTTTGTTCTACAACACAAAAGACGTTTGGCCCCTGGAATGCGAGAAAGCTTGTAATCATATTCTAGCGGCACAATCATCAGTAAACAAAGTCGGGTGCGTAAACCAACAAGCTGAAATGAAAGTATTTAACGAGTAAAATTTTATTTACAATTTATTTTACAAGGTCGACAGTTAGCATTCAAGTTATCATGCACGACAATAAAAGCTCGTTGTTCGGTTGTTAGCTGCACCATTATTAGTGTGGCTGATTAATTTGACCATTAGCAGTTGAACTGTACGATTAGAAGCCATTTTAAAATCCCAGAGGCATAAAATCTATTGAGCTTATGAACAATATGAATTTTAGAATATTAAGTGGTTGCGTTTTTTTTATACACCCTGTACATCAAACAAGTATATATGGTATAATCAATGCATCAATCCTTAAAATAACGTGTGCTACTGGTTACAATAAACTGCAACTGAATCCTGCCGTCTTTTTTTATACATTTCCTATCCGCGTTTTTCAGCTCTGTGGCACAAGATGTGAAAATTAAAACCATTTTAAGGAATTTCTGCTATAATTTTAATCAACACTTTAGTACAACAGTTGAAATTTTCCGTTAACCAGGCTACTGGTGAACTTCATATCGTCTCTTTTTGCGACCTTTACTGATTTGTACTTCACGTATCTGGAAATAAATCCGCTTGGTATGTTTTGTATGATTACTTGCATTAACTTACTATCAGGGCCCGTGAAGCATATATTAGAAAGAGGAGTGTGGGTGTCTGTGTTATATGAAAAAAAATCCTGCCCTCCTGGCAAAATTCTGCCTAGTGGGAAAAGAGCTTCTTTAGAGAGATCAATGTTACATTACATCTAACTAGACACTCCGTTTTATTAACTATGTTTTTTATCATTTTCGTAATGTTCAGTTATTGTTGGCAATGCCATCCATATTCTGGATGTTGCTGCAAAACTTGACCAAACTGCAGACTTCATTTGTAAGCCAAAGTGGGGAGAAATAACATTCCCTCCTCCGTTTGGACGAGAAGCTTATCCAGAGGTGAATATTGGTCATTATTTTTAGAATCCTGCTTTTAATTTTTAGAGTTATGTCCTTACAATCATGCATGCAGGAAAAATATCATTGTGTGAGCTCGATCGTGATTTTTTAATTTGTATTAGGAAGCGTTTATTGCCAACCTTGATGCTAAAAGCGGTGCATCTCTCAAACTAACAGTTTTGAACAAAGCAGGAAGAATTTGGACAATGGTCGCCGGTGGTGGAGCTTCAGTTATTTACAGGTAAAACACCTTAGCAAATGACAATAATGCGAAATATTTGGTAAAAACAATGTTATAATCACAACTTACTCACCTATATCACAACTTTTACTTTAATCACCCTCTTTATATTATAATTTAATGTAATTTTATTTCCAATCGTCTTGTTGTTATTAGTGATACAATATGTGAGCTTGGTGGAGCATCAGAGCTTGCAAATTATGGTGAATATTCTGGCGCTCCAACGGAAAGTCAAACTTACCAATATGCAATGACTATATTAAAGTTGTTAGCTGACGGAGAGCCGAGACCAGATGGTAAGTCTTTACTGACAAGATTCAACAATCGAGATCCATAGTCTTGCATTGATCGTTTAAATTCCAGGATGATCACTTGTCTGACGCAACGGTATACACTTGAACTGTTGCAGCCTGTTACCAGAACAAAAAATTCACGATAATTCATTAATTCGTCGCACAGGTAAAATACTCATCATCGGTGGAGGCATTGCAAATTTTACCAACGTATCCGCGACCTTTAAGGTAAACTGCTTTTGTTGGTGTTTTAACTTACAAGTATAGTGCATGGTGAGGAAGATACAGTAGCAAGAATTATACCAGCAGAACTGCATGGGTAACAATGGTTTTTCTAAGAAAAGAAGTACCAGAGGGGACATTTCTTCTTTCTGTGAAAAAACACACGGTAATGCTGCATGTGATGAAAAATATTTTCTCTTCCAGGGTATTGTGAGAGCTCTTCAAGAATACCAACGTCAATTGATCGAGCATAAAGTGACTGTATTCGTTCGTCGTGGTGGTCCAAACTATCAAGAAGGTTTACGAGTCATGCGAGAAGTCGGTACGTAGTGTTATTCTTTGGACTCATCATTCTTATTTGACTAACTTGCAAAATGGAGAACATTGACTTCGACCGCCCTCAAAAACCTTAGCGATGGAGTAGTTATTGTTGCATGTACAGTACATTTTGTCTGAGTGAGGGTTTCTTTTTAACTAATTTTTGTATCAAATTTTGAAGGTGCGACACTTGGTGTTCCTGTGCATGTATTTGGTACAGAGACTCACATGACTGCAGTGGTTGGTATGGCTTTGGGTAAACGTGAAATTCCCAAACAACTTGTGCTAGACTCGAACACCGCAGCTGATATGTTTTTTAAATCTGCTGATAAGGTATGTCGTGAATGTCCCCTATATTGAAAATTTTGTCGTTTACGGTATGTTTATTTGCTAAGCCATACAATTTAGTACAGTACCTAGCCTATTTCTCTTACATTATACATATATAAAAAGGATTGGAGTCAATGGAGTGTACAGTGGATTGTGGGACAGGAAGCAATTGCTGAGAACTTGTCATTAGAAATATTCGTGCAGAACGGTACCATTTTCTATTTTAGGGCCCAGTCCTCGCTCAAACAAAACGCATAATCTCCGCATCAGATTTAAAAAATATGAAGTCGGCGAAATCAGTTCAGGGTCCTAATGTCATGGAAACTGAACCTTTGTTTCATAATATGACTCGAGCAATTATATGGGGAATGCAGTCAAGAGCTGTTCAGGTACTTTATCACACAGAACAAATGCACAATAAACTTTAATCCAGGAAAATCGTTGTTTTACCGAAAAATCATGTTTCATTTACACAATACTGACCTCTAGTTATCTTGCAACCTCTAATGGACTTGCAAGCATTTGTTGCAAGAAGCAATGTGCTTTGTTTTTCCCTTTCAGTTTGCGTTATCTCTGAAAATGCATCTGTATTTTAGGGTATGCTTGATTTTGACTACGTCTGTGAACGTAACCTACCTTCTGTTGCGGCCATAGTATACCCATTTAGGTAAATATACAATATAATATATGATTAGGTCAGACAAGTTGTTTGCATAGGTTTTTTAACAGCAGATATTTGGATTGCATGGTATATAAAGCTAAACAACATGACTTTTTCACTTTCGATAGTGGCAACCACAGAATCAAGTTTTACTACGGTCATAAAGAAATCATGATTCCTGGTAAGAAACCTCTGTATTTGATATTGCAAGCCCCTTGGCTAATTTCTGTAGCTGTTTATCGCATATCATAACGGAATATAGCAATAAATGTATTCAATGTACGCATTGTGGTGATCTTTTAATTCGAGCCTCGCGCATGTGCATCGAAACACCGGTATTGTACTAGAAATATACTGATGGAGAACATATTCAAATATTGGTATACATTGTCGATTTGTAGTGTATAAAGATATGAAAGAAGCCATGCAGAAGCATCCTGAAGTTGATGTGATGGTGAATTTTGCGTCGCTTCGATCTGCCTACGATTCCACCATTGAAGCTTTAAACTTCGATCAGGTCAGTTACAGTATTACCACTATTATTTCTATATATGTAAACAATTTCCTTATGTACCTTTATTCTTAACAAAAACAGCAGCATGGTGCAACCAGGTAAACAAGCAATGCCAGTGTATAACAATCACAAGGTGGTTTTATTAAATCAGACTCTGTCTATAGCTTTCCAATTAATTATTACTTTCCATAAAAGCCCTTTTGACAAGTGTTCAATGAATTCGACATGCCAAGCGATTTAAGATTTGCTCCTAAGGAATATTTCGAATTTTTCGGTCATGTTTTTCCACTGTGGTCTCATTCCTGTCTTTTGACTCTCACTTTTTTCCCCTTATTCCTCTTTAAACTGCCAGTTTTCTGCTAAAAATCTACACTCTCCCTCTTACCAGAGAATTAAAAACAGCCAGTGTCACGGTAAAAACAACCATCCTGTCATTTTATCCGATTATTTTCCATTTTTAGATAAGGTCTATTGCCATCATCGCGGAAGGAATTCCAGAAGCGATGACGAGAAAACTAAATAAGCATGCTAAAGAAAAAGATGTGACCATAATTGGACCTGCAACGGTAGGAGTTACTACAAACTTTGTTAACGTCAATTATCGTATTGCCTTACTAACGATGCTGTATATTTCATGTCTTTACTACAATCATGATATTTATTTTTACTTGTCAGTTGTTATGGAATTATATTATTGGGTATTACTGATCCTCTCCCTGCATTTTTGCTGAAGGTTTATAAACAGTGTAATAGCTCATGAATTTCTGTTTCAACAAGGTCGGCGGAATCAAACCAGGTTGTTTCAGGATTGGTAATACCGGTGGTATGCTGGATAATATCCTCGCGTCAAGATTATATAGACCTGGAAGGTAAAACTTTAATATATTCGCTTTCATCTACAGACTACAGTCAAATCGATTTTGCTCAGTTACAATTCTTCCTTTTATATAATCTGTTTCCATAATGTGAGCTCAATATACAATTGATTAAACGGAATGTTTACAGCGTTGCATACGTTTCGCGATCTGGTGGCATGTCAAACGAACTGAACAATATAATATCCAGGACAACGGATGGTGTGTTTGAAGGGGTGGCTATTGGTGGCGATAGGTAATTTAAAAAACATTAGTCTTAAGTTGTCCAGTTTGGGCAATTTATCAATACAGTGTTGGTAAAAGAGACGGTCAGTTTATAAGAATCGAGTTCGCCTAGAGTGAATACATTTACTCCTGAGGGTAGGCTATAACCTTCTTACACTTTCCCATTTCGCCGTTCATACCACTTATATATTTGTTAATTTAAAATTTTTACTGATGTTAAGGTATCCTGGCACAACGTTTATTGATCATGTTTTACGTTTTAACGATCATCAAGACGTGAAAATGCTTGTTTTGTTGGGAGAGGTATGTGGAAGTTGATATCTTTCTGCTCGTTCATGAGTGCATTAGCTGTGCCCTAGCATATGAGTTTTTGTCTATCTTCGGCAACACAGTTTTGTTATAAACTAATTTTTGGAATCTTCGTAATTGAACCAAGTTACATTGAACCTCCTACAGGTTGGCGGAACAGAGGAATATTTAATATGCGATGCCATTACGTCAGGTCGTATTACCAAGCCATTGGTAGCCTGGTGCATTGGAACTTGTGGTACCATGTTCACCTCAGAGGTAACCCTTCGGGTATCAAAGATACTCGACCAGTGTGAACTCCTGTTTCCATGCTCCTCGTTAATTTAGGGTGAATCAGAAGTTTCTTTCTTTTTCACACATTAAAGAATCTACTCTATGCTGTTTGTTAATATATAAATCGATATTTCATAGGTTCAGTTTGGCCATGCGGGATCAAGTGCTCATTCGGACAAAGAAACGGCCGTTGCTAAGAATAAGGTACTGCGTGTCAAAATATAGAATATCGTGATTACCTTTGACAGTGCATGAACCTTCAACTTCATATACGAATAAATTCTCTTACTTTTTAAGTAAAAAAATGGTTTGTAATATAATTAAAAAATGGATTTTCATAACCTTTACAGGCTTTGAAGGCAGTTGGTGCTCATGTACCAAGTAGTTTTGACAGTCTATCTGATATCATAAGGTATATTACATACATGCACAATAAACAGATTTGCACTGGCTATTTAGTGGAAAGAATCTCTAATACACTTGAAACATCCATGATTAGTGTTATTAAAAAGTATGAGTTTCATGTAGGGTGAAGTGGCTGTCATCAATGGATTAGTAAGCCCTTCTTGACATGAAGACCTGATAAAAAAACTTGTATTCTTGTGCGAGCAGGCGCTTATATTTAGACACGCTTTGCGAAACCCCAGCCTGAGAAGTAAATGTTTATGCTTACTGCGGAAGTATAGTATTTCTCTGCTGCCAGGCTATCCGAACTAGTATAATATCCAACAATTATACCAACGAGGCGAAACCGAATGGGCTAGCTATCAACCATATATGTACGACGAGAGCAAATGTTATAATTAATATTTTCACATGAATTTCAGATTCATTGGAACTTATTACTGTATACAGCTCCTTTACTTTTAATATGAACCTTGCTTTTTATAGGGAGGTATATGATGACCTTGTTAAAAATGGACGGCTCGTTCCAAAACCCGACAAAACCCCGCCAACGGTTCCAATGGATTACAGCTGGGCTCAGGTGCGTGGAGACAATATTTTTTAGATTTCAGACTGCGCAAATGCCACCAAAGAGTGCTGCGCGCTTACTTCTAAATTCATTTTCAGGAGTTGGGATTAATTCGTAAACCATCATCTTTCATGTCAAGTATTTGCGATGAACGGGGAGCAGAATTACTCTACGCCGGTGTTCCCATTACAAAAATATTCGAGGTTGGTCTGCTGTATATTTTGAATTACCATGCAATACCATAAAGTGACACAGTCGTCGTAATAGGAATTGTACCAATCTCGTACCCAGAGCCCGATATCCTTGGAGGCTCTGGGTACGAGATGGCATGCAATTGCACGTCTTTTCGATATTCTTCTTGATTTGCGCATGCGCTAGTGCAACCTTTAATATACGTCATCTTTATGTTCTTTCACTTGTAGGAGGATCTGGGAGTTGGCGGTGTGCTCGGATTATTATGGTTTCAAAGAAGGTTTGTTGAGTCTATCTAAATTGATTGAATACATATATGTAATTATGGTGAAATTATATGGGGGGTGAATGATGTCTAATACATACTATCGAACTTTAGAAAATCACAATAAATACAATTCAATTAATTTTGTATTTTTAACCTTTCCTGGGCCATTGTTAAGAGTTGATTAATGAACTTTCTAATCATGCCTGAGTCATTTGCAACATTTGCTTCTTATATAGACTTCCAAAGTTCGCGTGTAAATTTTTAGAGATGTGTTTGATGATCACCGCTGACCATGGCCCAGGTATATTGAATGAATATTTTTTGTTTATTATCATTTGTTTGTGATTCTTCCACTTATGCATGGCTAAGAGAAATGCCATTAATTCTATTCTATTAAATTATAGATCTGTTAATTTTGAAGGATTGAATATTATTAGATGACCCCATGCATGCAAACCCTAGTTTTCCCTCACATCTCCCATAAATCTTTTTATCATTTTAGCTGTATCAGGAGCACACAATACCATCGTTACTGCAAGAGCTGGTAAAGATTTGATGTCCTCACTTGCTTCGGGTTTGCTAACAATTGTAAGTGTTCTAGTGATGAAATATGTATCACAGAACTTCATAAAAAGCCTGAGTTATATATATGACATGGTGTGCATACCAAACAGGCGCATGGACAGCCCGCATGGCAGGCAATGGCGAAAACGGGTATTGAGGGTATGCACAGTGCTAATTTATCAAATGAATTTAGGGTGACCGTTTTGGTGGTGCGTTAGACGCATCAGCCAAACAGTTTTCCGAAGGATGTGACAGTGGAATAACTCCAATGGAATTCGTAAATAACAATAAGAAATGTGGAAAACTTATCATGGGCATTGGTCATCGTGTAAAATCGGTATGGATTAACTTTCATTAAAGTGGTGTACCATCGACGTATGAAAGGCTACCACTAACTTGACGCGACAGGGCCTTCCATTTTCACATACGTTATGTATATGTATATCTTTAACTAATAATACTAATAGATTTGTGACTTTGTAGATCAACAATCCCGACAAACGTGTTGTAATAATCAAGGAATTCGCTTTGGAACATTTTCCATCAAATGATGTTCTAAACTTTGCTCTGAATGTAGAGAAGGTTACGACAGCTAAGGTACAAAAAATATACAAATCCATAATCCATGGTCAATTTTTAGGGATTCTTTTATTTTCAAGGTATAGGGACCACTCATAGCTACAGTAACAGTAACAGCAACGCTTGTTGACTATAGTATAACATCTGATCCGAAACATAAAGAAATATTCACTTATTTACAGAAACCGAATCTTATTTTGAACGTCGATGGCTGTATTGCAGTTTGCCTGGTTGATCTTTTGCGACATTGTGGCTCCTTTACAAGGTGAAATATCAAAAACATCTACTCCAGAGGCATCTAAAGTTGTCAAATACGAACATTTCTTACGATCTGCTAACGTTTTCTTAGCATTTCGAACAATCTTTACAAATTAGCATCCCTCAAAATTATAATTGCATTCATGCATTGGAAGTTGCATGGGAAACGTTATGATCGTTCTCATGTTTTCGCGCTTGATTGTGGCTATGTAAGAGGACTTATATGAGCCTGGTTTTGACTTGGGTAGCATGCACGGTAGCCAGACGGTTTTAAGGGTTAGGTTCCATGCCGGGGCAAAGTAGAAACGCGTATAATGTTCAGGCAAGAGCGGAAGAAAAATTATAGGGGGTTAAAAGGTGCGAGTAGAAAGGTCACTCCAGTCTCCAGGCGAATGATTTGGATGAATTTGGGTGACCACTGGGCACTGGCTGTGTCGTCCACATTAACATATCGCTTTTTATGATATATAGAGAAGAAGCTGATGAATATGTGTCCATTGGAGCACTAAATGGCTTGTTTGTGTTAGGACGGTCTATGGGATTTATTGGTAAGAGACGGTCAGGCAATTTTAAAGCTTTTTTCATTAACTTGGATGAAATAATTCCTTTCTAAGCAATGCTGAAGGTTCAGATGTTTTAGTGTGGTTTCGAGTCTTGCCTAAATGCTGCTAATAGCTTTAGCTAATGAGGGAACGTCCTGATTTCATGCAGGGTGCTTAGCCAATCATGCTGCTAAAATTTGTCGCTCCAGACATACAATGTAATTTCATATTTTTGTGTTGTAGGTCATTATTTAGATCAGAAACGATTGGGACAAGGTTTGTATCGACATCCATGGGATGATATCACCTATCTTCACCCTGATCATTTGCAGCATCAAGCTGGATTTGAATGAACACGTTGTGATGTAGACTGTGGGTGCATTGAATATAGATATTATAATAATAACTTTTACACCCGTTTTCATGAGTTGAAATATGAAATATCAGAGACAAACCGTGATGAACCGTGTTAAGTTTAGAATATATTGAATCGAAATTAAAGTCCAAATGCTGTTTAAAAGTTCAGTTTGAAAGTTTTAGCCGAAAACAACGCCAGCTGTCTGCTATAAGCCCGCCTACGCCAAAACTTGTAGTCTTTAATTTTAAAACGGGCGTAAAATGTATGAATATAGAGTTCTCTTTAGCTATTAAACCTGGTTGCACCTTTTTACTTTATGGTATTAGTTACTTGGCTAAAATTCGATTGGGTAACACTGATAGCGAATTGAATTTTACATGGAAATAAGATGCTTTGGTACTGATTTGGAATATTTTGAAGAATGGTAAAAAGATATTTTAGTATATCCAACGATTCCAACCTCATACTATTTCAAAGGCTATAATCACGCAGGTATTTGCTCTAGTCGTCTTTTTACCTGGCACGGTATATTAGCTAACATAAGTACTGTATACGTAGCAAAAACAAAATGGCCGACCGCTTTGCTCAAGCTGATGAGAAGTGAATCTTAAAAACAACTAAATTGGAGTTTGCAGTTCCCAGACTGAATACAGACCAAGTCAACAATTAAGATTTTAATTTGCAGAGGAATGTAAAATGGAGTATATTGGGCAGAGCGAATACTCTGGGAACGAGGTCGATAGGAGGCGTTTAGGCTATATATGGCACTACATGTAGGTACTTTAAAGTATTTCCTTTCAAGTGTATGCAGTGTATACTCAAACAATCGGATTTCGAAGAAGTCGAATATCACACTATTTTCCGTGTTATTTGTCTCATGCTGATATTGCAATTAGTATTATGACCTTTGTAAATTTTCATGCAAATTCGTTAGCGTATAGGTTCATTAAAATTTCTTTCGAAACACTTTCATCCATGAATCATGCGGAGCGCAACCTTTGCGGAGCGGTGTGTGTGATGTCTATAGCCACTGTTATTTTAAATATTGATGTCATCGAAATGACTTATTGATAAGTTTATGGCGTACCAAGATAATTGCCTAATTAGTATGAGTAAACATTTTACGAGGACAAAACTCGCGATTAACAAATAAATTAAAGTTCATGTAAGTCAAGGCAAGAGTAGCCATCGAAATATCAAATATGTAAAAATATGTACATATAGCGAACAAGTGCATGTGCGTCGTGCATGGTTGTGAAAGTATATAGAACCAACATAACCGACATTGATATTCCATAAAGAATGAAGGAGGTTTACCCAATATATGGTAGTGAGAAATGTTTGCGCGGGTTGAACCGTGCAATAATATAATATTGCTTGTTGCTTCCTGTCAAGGTTGTCCAATACAGGCAAGATATTTTATGTATTTTTCAGCTCTTTTGAACAATGGCCGTGGAACCGTGGGGCACCGTCATCCTGCTTTGAAAACACTAAGATTTTCCTCTTTTTCAAACAACCCTACCCTTCTTTCATTCTTCAAAATGGCTTCTTCATCACAATTTATTGTTTGCCATTAATTACATCCGTAAACTAAATAAAAATTACTTCGCTTCCTCAAATATATGCAGGGGATATGCATTGTCGTCTCCCAAATTCTAACGGGTTCCGCAGACCTATTTGGGATCAGCAAATATTTTCGTAAAGGCTGAGTAAAAAGCTCACTGCATATCTATTAAAACTATATATGACTTATAGGAGAAAGTTCGCTCTGCCCAAAGTATATATATTCGGTTTTCATGACAGTATTTTGACTCCAAGCTTTTGAGATACAGAATTAGAAATCTGTTGTAGCCCTGAATTCCCTTGCATTTCTATGTCGTAGTTAATGATTTGTTTGAAAGGAATATTTTCTACGTTTGTGACTCTTGGAGCCTTGCCATTGTTGTTCTCATAATTTCAGTGATTGAAGATATGTTATACGGAACCAGTGAGCTCTCACGGAACGGTTTTTGTTTGAAGACAAAGACCTTTGGTCGCCCTCTGAAGCACAAAAAAGCCATATACGATTAGCATCAAAATGAAAATATATAGAGACTTTGTATATGGGCTCTCAAACACTTGATGACTTGAATGATGAATCTGAACTTAATAGAATGATAAATACATATTTGTGAAATGTTTTCAGTGAAAGGGGAAATTTCAGTTTTGACCGACGAAACAAACTATTACTTAATTAGCCTTAACAATGCGTATGCGAACAGTTAGACAAGAGCACAGAATGACTCGACATAAAGTTACAGACTACAAAGGAGAAAGTTAGCCCAACTCCCTGTATCATTTATACTGGTATCATACTTACTATTTTAATGCAGAAAAAATCCACGATGGCTAATGAATTGATTTACTTTTTTTCAACTTTCAACAAAGCTTTTAAACCTTTGAGTCACGTCCGTCAACTGAAATGTTGTTTTAAGGCTGAAGCGGAAATGAGTGAACAAATGAAAATAAATATACTCAGGCCAATGATGAAAAAGCGCAACCTCAGAATTTCCAAAAATTTCTGCGCTTTCTCTTTGTCTTTTTCACCAGTTGTGCATGTTTATCTCTGAAGATGAGTTGAAGTGTAACACGGCTACGGGCTACCTTTAATGTATATGAGGCAACTAATGTAGTTATAGCAAAAGCCTGCCGAGTGTGGAACGTTTTTACCTGCCTACACAAAGTTATTTCACGCGAGTCTTCCAACAGTAACAGTTCAGTAATTAGTCATGTCATCCTGGCGCGTATAAAAATGAGGTCAACGTCTCAAACGAGCCCTCACTAAAATCACACGTTTGATGTGACGCTTTATAGAGTGATATATTTGATTTTTAATAGGTATTATTGTAATTATCCATGTCGTACATGGTTACCCTGGTTGCCAGTGTAAAGTCGGGAAAAACAAAACATACTTTTCTTATGAAAATGTCCGGTAAAATGACGCTTTGTTTTCTGCCGGAAGTTTGTATTGCGCTTGCGCACTTCTATATTTACATTTAACCACGATCAGAGTTGCGATTTATTTCCATGATCATCAAACTAACAATCGTATTTATCAAGTTGTTGAGATCTCGCATAATTTCTGCTCTCCTGATCACAGAGCGTTACAAAGATAAAGCTAATTGAATGGCTTGGTATTAATACTCTGCCTGACAACCATGTGTGAGGACGTCAAAATACGCGTATACATAGACAGAGTTTTTGAATCTTTACTAAGTGTCGAACACGCTGTGTTTTATAAATTCTAGCGAAATGGACAACGGTGGCTTATCGACAATATTACTGGATAAACATCATTTAACAGTTGGCGAGACTGTTACGCTATTCTGTCATGGTCTTTCTACAAGTGCTACGGACTGGATTGGATTGTTTCACACAGGTAACTTCAGATCTGTTTTATTCCAGTCAATGTAGTGTCATAGAGTATAAAGTATTTGAATTTGTTCGCAAATACCGCATAATCTCACATTACTGTTGATAAAGGCGCTCCAGATGTGGTATATTTTTTCCTAATCAGTGGCGATCATTAACTTCAAGAGACGCTCTTCACTTTCTGTAAAACAAAGCTAAAAGAAAGTGAGATCCGTCTTATTCTGTCCACCGATAGAGTTTTTATTCCAGACAGTATTGTTAAAGACTAATGATAACAAAATATATTCAAGAACTGTCAGCACTTTAAACCAAGCTGTCTCAATACCTAGGAGACGGATGTGCTTAGCGAAGTTAATGAGAGTTCAATATGCATTTGCAAAGTATTGTCCATGTGATTGTCTCATTTATTTTACAACATTTGCTGCAGTTATTCCAAATGATCGCTATATTTATAAATGCTGTGGTAAATTGTTTAGACCAAGCCCAAGGACCCTTGAAATATATTTCTACATAAGTATACAAAGTTCATTTATCTCAATAATAATTTTTAGGTATATGGTTTTCTCCATTTTTACAAGCATTTTCCAACAAATTCATTGAATTTTACATCTAATGTCTCAGTCCCCTGTTTGCAATGTCAGAGCTCATGATTTTGATATTGGTCTTATTCCATAATTGTATCTACTCTAATAAAGTGTAATCTTATCACATCCTATTTATTGGGATCATTGGGTGACAATGTGCTTAAGTGGGCCAGGTTTCCCTCTGTCAAACATCAGGTAATTTTACTACTTGTTGCGGGATGGTTCAACTTCCAGTGGTTCTCACTCATGACTTCATAAGTCTTCACTTTGCATGTTAATTATGCTGTAACTTTTCCATAACTGTCCATTAAGTAATACCACCAGAAGATGCTTGAAAAGTAATTGGATACATATAAGTAATACAAAGTCCTTACAATAATTTTCCAAGCCCACTATTTATATACATATATATATTTACTGGAAGTGAAATGCAAAGCAACTATGTAAAATAAATGGCATAAAGATAGTTATATAACATACATTATTAAATAGACTTGAAATGTAATAATTTATGATTGATAAGAGATAATCTATCTTTGAAAGCTAGATTTGTCTGCATATGTAAGTTAAATCCTTGTTGTGGCCCTTGTCCACAAAGTACAATAGTGTAATACAATATAATTAGTACAAAAACACTTTTGAAATGCATAGTATTGTGATATGGATGCTTCTAAAGATGGCAATTTTTTCATGATTTCACTTGGTTTTGTATCTTGTACATAATTATGCATGTCATTGACATGAGCTATTATCAATAGTGGTATGAGATACTGTCATAACATTGTTGCAATATATATTGGGGAAATTGGAAGAGAAAGAATCAGTCATCCATGCTCTTAAATTCATTAAAGGCCTACAATAGTTTATTGTAAAGTTGTATGTTTCAAAAAATCTCATTAATATAACCAGGGTTTGTGTATGCAAAACATGAATCTAATTGAATGCCCCTGAATATAAAATAAATAATTAGATCTCAATGTCAATTCATAGATAGAATTTCAATAGGATTTTAGTGAGATGTGACCCTTTAATTCCTTGAAAATCTTGTTATGTGCAAAGCTGTGAAACATATTTACACATTGTCATAAAATATAATACCGGTAGTGTCTATGAAATAAAAACTAAAACAAAAGTAACTAATATTTCCGATATTGTATAGAAAACCATCGCAACAGAATACTGCTTGCTAAACTTGCAAGAACTTTATAAATAGATCAGATCACCAAAATGTTCAAAATGAGTGCCTCCTGTTTGAAATTCCTTTGGCAGGCATGTTGAGAACTTTTTAGTCCTTAATATACAGGAAATATCTTAATCTCTTCAAGGTGATGTTGACTCCATTTCAAATTGCTTGGATTATAAGCAAGGAGGGAATACACTGGGCAAAAGAGGTTTGAAGTGGCTGATTGCTAACACAATCAATTTTGGAGAAGGTACAGATAAATAACAAATAATCACAAATCAATGTATAATTTGTATTTTTTTGTGATTTATATTTCTACACATACAGTAATTTTACATCAGTAATATTGCCCTATGGCCACAGGCCATGCAGACATAATTTTTTTTATATTTACTTATCACTGGTTTGATAATATCAATAAACAAAAATTCTATAGGCATGTGAACAGTTTTCTTCAACATTTTCAGTCAGTTATGTGAAATTGTAACTGTGAATATGTAGCAGTTTATTCAATAAGTACTGTATAAGACATGAATATACAGAAAAATTGGGTGCTATATATGTTACCTGACATACAGACATTTAATAAACTCAATTTTGGAACATAAATAAAATATAAAAACATTATTAAATATTAACTAGGTTGATGCCACATTGTTTACTGACATAATGACTCCTCTAATTAAAATAAATACTGGTTAAAAATTACTCACTGTATTGTAATTACTAAATTATTCTCAAATGCCTAGTTGTAAATAATAACTTATAAGCCATTTTCATTTTTGCTTTAACATAATAGGGATTAATTTTGGCTAGAGACCACAATATTGGATGTATTCATTCATTCTTTCTGAGCTTAGCTTGATTTTTTTTAGTCGGCTTCAAGAATATCTATGCCATAAGGCATAGAGATGATGCCTTTTAAGCAATTAGGATTTTGCATTTTCCGTATCCTTTTATGTATTGCAATCATGACTTATGAATAACTGTGCAAATATTTGATGATTTGCCTTTATAGCTGACAACAAATGCTTGTTTAAATATATCAATGGTGCATCTGGAAGAGTTAAAGCAATCAGTCAAGTCATTCATATTATTAACACAGATTTAGAGGTATGTTTGATATATATAGTACATATTGGAAGAAGAATGGTAATCATATGTTCTAATTTAGGAAAGAGAGGGGTTAGTATATTTTGAACAGAGCTTAGTCTTGTTTGGATTTATATTACAGGAAAATATATCACCTTCTGGAACCCTCAACACTCTGTTCTCTGGCCAACTTTTGGAATTTACTATAACAGGTAGGAGTACCATGTGTCTATGGATGATTAGTTTATCATTATTTTAGAGAAACGCATCCCTTAGAATACACGTCTGCACTAGTTTAATCCAAAGAATCAAATTTATTATCAAAAAAGCATCATCATCGCTTATTTATCCCTTTGTTCAGTGTAATAAGGGAGGTTTAATTTTAACTGTATATTTATATACATATATGTCAACAGGTATGGAAGCTCATAACTTAAAACGTACGCTCTTCGGCCGCCCTTGTCCGTATGTTAAAGTGGGTCTCCGACCTGGGAGAATGCAACGTAAAGCTTGGCGCTCACATCATGGTCAGATTGGGAAAACACGTTGTCAGGTTAATACGACCGAACCTTCTTGGAGTGATGAGGTATTGTAGTGTACATCAGTGATTTAACTTCCTAAATAATTATGCGATTATCAAGTGTCATAATTTTACTTGCCGTATAGAAACATACACGTAATATCATACTGCATGTGAGTAATCGGATTGGAGGTGTTTTGGCTTTGTATTTCGATTTTCAATTGTTCGTATATGGGATGGGTTCGTATATTTCAATTTGTATCTAGGACAGAAACCTGTAGTGTACAAAAGACAAAATTCTCTCCTCATATAAAACGTAAAAAGAAGTGAACAAGGCGAACACCTGTGGAATGTAGGCCAGTGTGTGTGTGTAATATGCCTATATGGGAGCCAAATTACCAGCACTGTCGCCCAATTTTATCAAAATAGAGATGATTCTCGAAATCACAAATTTTAAAATCGGGAGACCAAGCTATAGTCAGTTCCAATTTAATCAGGGAGCAGCGTGGCAGCGTCTTCAAACAACTTAGCATCAAATGTGGTATATAAAAACTGCCTAAAATAGACAAGACACTTTCGTCTATTTTCGGCAGTTGTTATACCACATTTGATACCAAGCTATAGTCAATTTGGTTGATGTGCATTGTGATGTCATTTCTTCAGATCTTCGAGTTTAAAGCAAGCATTTGGGACATACTGGAAGTAGAAGTACGCAATAGATCTACTGGAATTAAACCAATCTTCAGTAGGTTTCTTGGCAAACTACATTTTCCATTGAGAGAATTACTCACAAAGGGAAGAAATAAGTACTGTAAAAACCACGATTGTTTATTTTGCTATTTAGCTCTCGAGTCTTGGCCTGAGAATTGAAATAAAAAACGTTGCATGTTAAGTTGTATCATGTAAAAGCACATAAACGAGTTTGGTTGTTTTCTTCGGGTTGAACATCGTTGCATTTACTTTGCCACCGGGTTGAACATTGGAGCATGCATTGACAGAACCATTGTAACATATTGACTGATTTTTTTTTGCTGAATTTGACATTAAAGTGATTTAAAGAGTGAAATAGACTTTATTCTTATTCACACAGAACTCAAACTTTCACTGGGAGGTTGATGAAAAGGGAGCCATCGCGTAAAATTCTAGGCACATTTTCATTGACAATAAAAACGGATCGTGATCTTCCTGGTTCACGGAATTCGAGAAGTAAGTTGAGAAGTTAAGAGACATTAAAGTATTTTTCTGAGATATTTTACAAGGAGGAAATAATGACTTCGCAAAGCTAATAGATTCTTGCGTATGCCTAATGTATATGTGGTAATGATTTAACCTCGTACCGAGATACGAGGTTGGTAACAAATGTATGCAGTGGTTATGTGGTACTTGTGCAGTTAGAGTACAGGAGACGGTTGTATATAAAGGCCGATAGCGCTATGCACCTGTTGTGGGTTATTAGTACACAGTATACAGTATACTAGTAACTTTGGTACAGATAATTTATGTATGTTTTAATAGGGCAAGCTTCCCCAGATAGTCTTGACTCAGGTGATCCAAATGGCGAGCTAGTAAATGGAACTGGTAGCGAACATCCTGACAGCGAGGGCGACAGACGACCTTCTCCCAATCCTTCTACACCCGATGATGATCTTAGTTTACGTGAACGAACATCGACTGTGCCCATTCCCCCTCCCCGAGCAATGGCTCAGGTTTTTATTGACCAGTCCACGGCCGCGCAATCTCAACCTGACTTATTAGGCCTTCCATACACAACACATGAAAATGTACTGCGAAGAAGGAACCTTGATTTGTCTCTTAGCATAACCGGGGAACTCACAAGTGAACTCAACTCCCGGTTATCTATGCCTCCTTTTGTGTTCTCAAGCACATCGCTTCGAAGTTTTGAGAATTTACCATCAACCTCCAGTAGTTTTGCTACAGATATGGCATCGAGACCAGTTGAAAATGATCAAGAAAACACAAGTGAAAATTCTGACGTTGATAATATTTCTTTGAATGAACCAGTCAGTACGAACTTGAACAGTGAACTGGAAGAGTCTCCTAGCAACATGCAAACTTTATCTGATAATTCCTTAAGTATGAATGGCACGGCACATGTTGTCACTGAAGATGAAAGAAACGAAAACGCCACTCCTCTTACGAACTCTGAAATTGAGGGCAACAATGCTGCAGCAGAAAATCCCACAAACACCCTGCCATGTTCAGACCCAATTTTGAATGAAGGAAATAGTGATCGTAGCATTGAAATGCCCGAAGCTGCTGCTAATGACCTAAGCTTGAATAATTGTAATGAGGAAAGTTCGCACCTGAGTGAACAACAGACCAGTGCTGACACTGCTATCAGTGATACTGTTCTTCAAGAAGATGTGCTAGATACCAATGATGGGAATAACGAAGTGAACAGTGAAGTAAATGATACTGAAGAATTCTCGCCTGAAGAAACTGTAGACGCTATTGCAGAGCAAAGTGCAAGTAACGTACCTTTAGCCGAACCAGATTTACCCGTGTCTGCTGATAGCGCACATTCAAGTGAGAATAGTTCAGTTTCGACTGTAGCACAGTCGTCACAACATGAAGTATTAACTGCTGTTTTGCCTCCAGATGAACAAGGCTCTTCGTTTAGAGAACATGTTGGACCTGTTAACGAGGTTGATGAAGTAACTAGTTCTAATGTTTACCCAGGCCAAATGGATGATGGTAACCAGTCTTATTCATTAGCAGTGAACGACTCTAGTACTGAAACTGAAGACTCTAGTGGTACTGGCCTCCTACCTTCACATAGCGAAAGAATGGACGAGACCCAAAACCCTATACGACAAATGAACTCTACTTTCAGAAGCTTTGAAAATGATTCCTTTATGTTTGGGCGAGGGGATTCATTCATGGACCTTGAATCAGAACCGGATATCATGAATGTTTTATCTCTTTCAAATAATACCACTTCTGATGTAATAATGCCTACAAACTCAGCTGATGTCGAGGGAACTTCACCCAGAAGGACTGTTGGTACTTGTAACTTAAGAACGTTGTTTCAGATTCCAGATAGAGAGAATTCCACTCGTACAAGAATACATCAAGATGATGAAGATAGCGTTGGCGTAGGTGTTAACAATATGTCACAAGGTGATAATACGGTTCAGGAAGATCAAGTTAATTTCGTGGAGCGTGAGAATATTGAAAATAGTGATAGCGCTTTAGTGGTAGTTAGTTCGAATACTCATGAAAGTGAAAATGTTTCACGATCATTGCCAAGCAGTAGAACATCAGAGGTTGTAGATTCAACTTTTGCGTTGTTTGGTGTTGATGATAGTGAACTTGATGGCAATTCGGACAACGACCGAAGACGCTTGGAAAACGCAACTACAGATGCTGCTAGCGCAATAGGAAATACAACGGGTGAATCCCTGTCACAAAATACTAGCGCGGAGAATTCTGATGCTTCAACAGCAGCTGACATATCCCAGTCATCAAATGATGAGTTAACATCACCTGCTCCTATCCCTTCGATAACTCATGTACGATATCTCCGCTCAAAACATTTATCTATCCGTTTGCCTTCGAGGACTGCTTCTCCGTTGCCCGTTGTACACGTGGTTCCATCAAATATACCAGTTTCTGCGAATGATAGTAGTGATGATCTCCCAGGTAGTTCTATTGAGGCTGAACCAGTGCTGCCCGCAACTCGTCTTGATCCTCCTGTTCGCGAATCAACGCCCATAGTCAGTAGATCACTCGCTCGTGATGTTTTTGATGCTCCCGATGGTTCGGGGGATGACGTCAATGTCGGTGCATCCACTTCGAATGCGGTTTCTTCCCTTCAGCAGGATATTCTAATGGCACAAGTTTCATCTGCGTCTGGTGTTTCACATTCGGCGCAAAGTCGTAAAAGTTCAAGCAGCTCCCAAAGTGGAAATGCAAGAAATAAGAAAAAGAACAAATCCCGAAGCAGAACAAGTCGAGATTCGTCCACCACCGAGCCAACGGAGGGTGCTGAATCAACTTCAGGACAGGCTCGAGTCGGACGAAGGGCCGGCGAGGAAAGAGCAAACAGAACTTTGACTACAGCAGACGAACCAAACGATGAATCAGCTTCATCTAATCGTGGCGCTTCCATTTACGTTCAGATTTCTGATTTTCCCAGCGATGAAGATGTATTGGACGAGCCCTTACCTCAGCGTAAGTATAGTGAATTCTCATTACTATATGTCAGGTAGCTACGTCCGGTAGTGGTTTGTTTAACGCTGAAAAAATTGTGTTGTGTTGACGACAAGCAAGCCCAGCCTTTTTTGAGACATTTTAGGCATAGCTCTTGTAATATACAGTATCTAGGACTATGCACCGATTTTGTGTTGTTGAGTTTTAATAATCTCTGACAAAATCTGGTTTTTATTTTAGATTGGGAAAGAGCGGTGGACTCGTATAACCGCGTTTACTATATCGACCATGAAAATAGAATCACAACGTGGATAAGACCAAGTGCTGGTATGTATACTTGAAATATACTGCGAACTCACATTGGAAAAGATTTTTTACTTTTTACATTGAAAAGTTTGTTACGCTGCCTATTGGGTCGATAAACGAGAATTTTTTAACGTTATATTTGTGCTATATCCAATTTCATTTCACAATTTCATTTCAGCATCTGCATCGGAAACGTCCTTGAATGAAGTCAATCATCACAGGCAAAACCTTGATAGAAGGTAACTATTTTTAGTGTCTTCCTTCTAATTATAAATATGATCTAAAATCGGTTTATCTGAAAAGATTATTGCACCAGAATGTTTAATTTAGGGTCGCAGGTTTTGTTTTACGGTCGATGGTTGTCTTTAGATCGCTTTTTTAGATACATTACGATGAAACATACATCTCACATTATTTTGGCAATCCTAAAACGTATTTTCATCCATTTAGGTATCAAAGCTTTCGGCGAACGTTGTCAGGTCGACGACGCCGACGTTCTTATGACGAAGCAGCAAATGCCACGATCTCTAATGAGACATCAAGTGCTAACGAGACTTCGACAAGCACCACTCCTACTGTTTCCACGCGCTCTGCCACAAACACTGACAACAGCACGACTTCTTCGTCAGCAGCACGTGGTATATCGTCACGATCTAATGAAGCCACGCCTAACAGACCAACCACTAGTGATAATCGTCAGTTGCTGAATTCGACTTTTGTGAAGTTTCTAACTCGGCCCGATTTTATCTCGTTTCTGAGAAACAGTGGGGTAAGTTTATGTTTAAGAAGAGGAATTTGAAAGTGGCGGCGGTGTTCAACATAATCAATCATTAACCTTTTCCTCAGGCTGCTGGTCAGTATTACTTTAATCATCCTGAAGTAAAAGATATGGTTAAGCGAATCAGGGAAGATCCCCGAAATTATCTCAGGTTAGCTTTTTTTAAATACGAAGCAAAGCTCTTGAATTTCTGAAGCATTTCACAAAACCACGTACTAGTTCTTTCAAGTCAAAGCACTCTTCCTGGTTCTAGTGACTCGTGTTAATATTTCTTATCTGTGCTCAATATTGTAGATTCATGCATGATCGTAGTTTGGTAACATTTCTCAATGGTTTTGCGGATGCATCACAACCATTGCCTCGTGGCTGGGAACAGAAGACTGATCAGTTTGGCCAGGTATTATACGCTACAACGAACCAAAATTATTACATCGCGCGGTCAACGTCATAATGAAAGAATCCAGAATATATATAGAATTTATTAGGACAGAGTTTACACTTTAAGTTCCAGAAGCTGGTGCCCCCGGACCCGGGACACCGCTCTTATTTTCGAACACCGTGCTCAAATTCTTTTGCATCATGTTGAGGCTGAACACTTTACTAACCGGTTGAATGAAGTCGGATTTGTGATGAGTAAAGATCACAATTTACATTTCTAAATAGGTAGTTATAGCTAAATGACATTGTGTCCTTTATTCAGATTCTTAGTGTGTCACATCCCCCTCGAAGTAATCTATAGTTTATTTATTCGGTTTACTAAAAGATCTTTCTCATTATTTCTAGAAATATTTCGTCGACCACAACAGCAGAAGTACAAACTTTGCTGATCCCAGATTACCTGACGATTCCAGCCAGAATCGAAACCGATCAAGAGGTATTGAGGTAAGCTGACGATAAACATCCTTTTGAGGACAACAGCTTTCAACACAACAAAATTTCGATTTCAATTGCAATTAATTAGGACCAAAATGAATCTTTCTGTTGACCCAAATGTTGACCTAAATATTCGTATATACAATACAGACTGTATGAGTCTTAAAAATGTCGATTAATGATTGGTAAAAGTCGAAGCATCTATATACCTTCACTTCCTTCACTGAATCAAACGTTACAGGAAAGTTAGCGTCTTCCTAGGTTATATCATTATTATTTTTAAAGAAAGTAGCTGTTGGATACAATACTGCTGCGTTGCATAAACTAGTCTTTTACGGTTGAAACACCACAGTACCGTGTTGTTAGTAGTTTAGCTAGTATTTGATGTCTCATGTCAAAATACCCATTCATATTTGGGTTTACAATAGTATACTTTCGATAACTAAACAATATATGATGGATTTCCTAGCTTGATTACATCCTTTTAAATATAAAATTATGCAAATTTTAAAAATAAAGTACCTTTGCAATTGATATACGAGAAATTTATTCTAACCGGTCGATAATTTCGATAAATATGCAGCAAGTAACAAACAGAATATTCCCGTTTAGCAGGTAAATCCGTCATATATAAAAACATAGTTATCTATACTTTTTATTATTAAAATTACACATGCGGCCATTTTTCGCATCTAAATTCAATACACCCGTGCGTAGGCTTTTATTACTGCACAATTCTGTATATCGTATGTGTTTTTCTATAGACTGCGTATGCTGATCCAATAAGACGTCCTCCACCCCCGGGCATGCAGAGAGCAACTGCAGTTAACTCTACTGCATCAAGTCATGATACTTCCCGACGAAATCAAGCGCAAAGGCTATCTGGGAGAATGAGTAAGTGTTTTGTTACCTCACTTGCATGGATTTCCGCGGAAAATTAATAGGTCTCTTCATTCTCCAGTGGATAACACAAATTTGTTTTCATTCAAATAAATCGTTATATTTCAAAACATATATCTATGGATCAAAAATTTTTTGCCATTTCCTACCTTTCGTATCACTTTTCATCAGTAATTATTAACTGATTTTATTATTTTACTACCAATTTCAGGTTATAATCAACAGATTGTGGAGTTCCTACGTCAGGCTAATATTAATGATATACTTAGCGCTAGAGATTCCTCCTATGCAAATAATATTAAGTTGAAGTATGTTACTGGTTTTTTCTATACTTTAACATTCAATGTTTTTACATTCATAGAAATTGATATTGGTTATAGACCTGTGCTGTCTGCAGGCCATATTTTTGGGGTCTTTTTTATTAATCTAGTTCTTGTTAATCCTATGTTTGTTGACTGTCGCATTTAGTAATTGTCATGGTAACGATCAATGTTATGATGATTAATATTGTAACGTTTTGTTTAGTGTTACAATATTCTGTATTTAAAATTATTTTTGAATGTCGATGCTTACAATCTTTTAATTGTGATGTAGTTTGCGCATGTGTATATATCTGGGTTGGTAAGTTCTGAAAAAACGAGCCAAAGTTATAGGCGGGCCTTTGATTTCTTTGGTTTAAACAAAGAAAACAAAGGTTATGTTAATAATATTTGACCAATTCATTCAGTAATCTACCAACCCTGGACTATATATTTGGATAATATATAATATAGAAGTCATAGAACTGACCACGGTCTGGTAGTCGAAAGCCGGTAAATAAATAATACTTGTAAGGAACCTTTTTTATTACTTATTTACCTATTTTGATGTTTATATTTTATCTTTCTAGGTGCATTGTTGACAAAATACGACGAGATGGGCAACGAGCATTACGTTTTTTGTCTGATAATGTTGATTTAATAGTCTTGTTAAGGTACGACTTGCTTTTAAAATTGCCTTTTCTTGTGTCCAGATCTACAATTTGGACAAAGTTTTCATTATATTTAACGTCTTTTATTGTTCATGCAGCTTGTTCGAAGACGACATTGTATCTTGGGTACCAGGAGTCAAACTTCAAAAACCTGCAGCTACTGACAAAAAGAGGAACCTTCACATTGGACCCGACGACCCAGGTATCATTGTATACCACTGTATCATTTTATCATATCTTACAATGCATGCGGATGTTAAACTTACAATTTGATTTACCCTCACCCATTCACAACAGGCTTACCGTGCATGCAGCATGCTCACTGACCAGAGCATTGAACTGGCATCGCATATAGATTCGATTTCTGCCGGAGGATTTCCACTTGAAATTAGGACTCTTGAACCCTAGAATTATAGTGCTTAAATTTCACCTCAAACTTTCTAAAGTTTATAGAGTCTGCAATATATAGATCATGGATGTAGTTAACTTAGTGTATATGGCTGTTCTAGGTCCCAGTTCCCGAAAAACGTCAAAACCTGCACCATATAAACGTGATTTTCAAGCCAAGGTTAAATCACTGCATGAAAAAATTGCTAAAAAAGATCTTGGACAAGGACCAAATAAGATACAGTAAGTTTTTGCTACTGCATGTCAAACGCATTTCATACACGGTATTTGATTGCGTACCTTGGTAAGAATGATCGCTATTTTCATTTTTCAAAAGAGAAATTTCTTTAGATATTTCTTAAGCTAAAAACTCTAGGTACATCACTTTGTACAGTATATGCAATATACCAATGGAATAACTTCCAATCGAATTCTTATAGATTTCCTCCCAATTCTAGATTAGTTATTCGTCGCGAACATATCCTAGAAGACGCCTTTGATCAGTTGATGAAACAAAATCCAAAAACGCTGCAAAAGAGCAAATTGGAAGTGAAATTCTCTGGAGAAGAAGGGTTAGTAACTTAGCAGTAATTGATGGGTTAGTAGAAACTCTCCCTGTGAACCTGACCATCAACTAAATACCGTATTAGTATAAATAAACCTCTCCTGATTATAGCTATATATACTTATTTTTTAATAGTCTTGATTATGGTGGTCCTCAGAGAGAATTCTTCTTCCTAATATCGCGTCAGTTGTTTAACCCTTACTATGGATTGTTTGAATATTCTGCTCAAGATACGTACACACTTCATATCAGTTCTATGTCGTCATTCGTCGATAACGCGCATGACTGGTAAGACCCGTTTCCACTTTTAGTTATTTTGCGACCTGTCTTCAAATTCAATTTCTCCTCCATGCATTATAGTTTCTCCTCATTACATATTTCTCTCATCTTCCAGGTATCGATTTAGTGGTCGTATTATTGCTTTAGTGATTATTCATCAACATTTATTGGACGCGTTCTTTACGAGGCCGTTCTACAAACTGTTACTAAAAAGGTACTGTTGATGATGGTAAAATGCTAGTGACCTGTTTTGCTGATAGTTTCTTTTCCTCAGTTATTCTACCCTTCGTATCGGCTATTTGTTTTATTGATGTACGGATTAGTTTGAGAGCAAACCATTCTTGTGTCCAAAGCGTTTCAACTTGACCAATACGATTCGTCGCAAGATCATGTAATAATGACAATTTTTAACATCCACCTATATAATTGATAATGCCATTCAGTATTGCATTGTGTTTCCGTTTGCCTATTATTGTGAAAAGATTTGTACGTACCCATTACGTAGAGGAACTGTTTATATTAAAGTAAAATAAGTAATGCGGGAGTTGAAAATTAGGCATATTAAACTAAAGCGCAGCTAATACTGCATGAGACTGGAGTACATGTTTATACCGGTCGCTTGCCGCGGGTTTTTTTCCTATAAATGGCCCAGTTGTTCTTAACTGTTCTAATTTTGTTACTAGTTCGTGTGACCTGAGAGACGTGGAAGCCTTAGACGCGTTATTTCATCAAAGTTTAGCCTGGATAATGGAGAGCGACATAACTGATGTCTCTCTTGATTTATCATTTACTGTTAACGAAGAATTGGGCGGACAGGTACAGTATGATGACATTCATCGCATTGCCTTTCAATATTGGTCCATCGCCGTGGAGTAATTTTGAATGAAAAAGTTTTGTTTAACTTTATCTATACGAACTGTTATGAAGTGTTGTATGGAAAAATAGTGAAATTTTGTATTTGAACTGCTCCATGCATTATTTTGTCATGCATTAGTCTTATATTGATATACCGGCTCAACGGTTTTGTGATAAGCGTTTCTCCTTACCAGGTAAATGAACGCGAGTTATTGCCCGGCGGTAGAGATATCCGAGTGACGGAGGATAATAAATTAGGCTATGTTGAATTGATGTCCAACTGGAGAATTGATCGAGGAGTATCAGATCAAAGAAAGAGTATTCTTAAAGGATTTTATGAAGTAAGTTCAGAAATGTAGGAGTTTCTGTTTGCTGCACTATCCTATTCAGTTTAATATGGTTCAGCGCAAAATAGTATTGTAATACAACTGTATGTGTAATACATTCTTATTTTCAGATAATAGACTACGAGCTAGTTTCAGTATTTGACGCGTGTGAACTTGAGCTGTTAATATCAGGTACAGCCGACATTGATATTAACGATTGGTTTTCTCACACGGAATACCGTTCAGGTAAGTAAACCAACATCCGAATTCCATATTGTACATATAAAGGACAATTATGATACTAGTATAAGCCAGGATAATATTCAGAGAGGATTGAAAATGAAGAAGGCCCTAACGCAGTAACGCTAGTTGTGAAGGACTGAAGGTGTTTTGACTGGGTGGGACTTTCATTCATGCAAGTCCTTATTAACTGGTCGTGTTGTACGATTTCATGCTTGGGAGGCATAAACTAAGGTTTTTCTTTATCTTCACATCACATAGATAGGAACTAATCATACTCTTTCACATTTTAGGTTATCATCCAAATCATAAAGTTATTCGTTGGTTCTGGCAGGCTGTGCATTGTTTTGATAACGAACAAAGACTAAGACTTCTTCAGGTATTCTTTTAGTTTTTATCTGACTATAGCTCTGCATTGTATTTGAAATTACATTAAAATGTTTTCATATCCTTGATCGAACCAGACCTGATAGTGATAATATAGAAGTTGATGAGATAGAGCTTGAAATCATTGTGCTCATTTGTTCTCTAGTTTTCAGGTCTTCCATCATGTAATCTTCCATCTTGTAAAATATGTGTATACTTTGTGATTTCTCATGCATGTCGTCTTATTGATATATTTCCCCTGATTTAGTTTGTTACTGGCACGTCAAGTGTCCCGTATGAGGGATTCGCTGCTCTTCGTGGAAGCACTGGACTGCGAAAGTTCTGTATAGAGAAATGGGGTAACCACACAATGTTACCCAGGTAAGAAGAAAACTTTAATCCTTTATTTTGTGAATCTTTCCCTGGGGAACAGTGAGAATGCTATAAATTAGATGTGAATAAAATTTTATGTTTTTAGGGCACATACATGTTTTAATCGCCTTGATTTACCAGCCTACCAGAGTTACAATGAACTTCTTGAAAAATTGACACTCGCTGTTGAAGAGACGAGCACATTTGGAATCCAATGAATAAGCAATATCATTCATATTTGGATTATACTGGAATGCGAATGTATATATATATAGGTCATGGGAAACACGCTTAAAGATGAGAAAAATTTGAATATGGAGGGCGGGCTGGATACACCTGCTTTTCATTATTGCTATTGAGGTCAATTGGTTGGAACAAATTATTCTACCATGATGAAATAGCACGATAATGAATCTTAACTTATAAAGAATCTTTCTTTCTGGCTGAATCTGGCAGTTTCTGCCAGTACGACATAAAATTGCTTTGTCTTTTAGTCATTCTGTTGGCAAGGTTCAAATTGTAGTTTCGAGTTCTGGTGTTTGAGAAAACAACCACCAAGGATACATTCTGGACAGGTTTCATAGACATGTCTGTGAAATGTCATGTGCAGTTTATCTATAAATTCTGTTATCTTCTCACGTAAGCAACAAGTTTTTATGCAGTTGTTGACCTACTGCATATGGACTGCAATGGTACATGAGAGTATATCCCTGTACAGCAGAAGTGTGTACGAAAATATTATATTGTTATTTATTCGATTTTATCGCGTGATTGCTATATTCTAATTCACATGCACTAGCTTTATGAAAGCACTTAAAGATTTCTATTGTGAAGAATTGTAGGCTATGTCTTAAACTATTTTAAATTTGTTAGGATTTGTTACACTCACTGTTGGATGAGAAAATTGATTTATAGGAGGTTAAATTTTACGATGTAAATATATTTCTGTAATAAATATTAAATTATTTAAAAATACTTCGGACAGATTTGAAGGATATGACATGCGATAATCTGTTCAATGCCAGTGGCAAAGGTCGAGTTTCATGTTACTTCGTAGGTTGCATTGTCCCCTATAACAAAATATTTACGAAGAAAATAAGAAATTTATGTTAATGTGTTTTTATAAATAGACTATTAAGGCAAGGTGTACCCCCAAGGGGATACGCCTTGCTGACGATAATTAAAACTCTTATATCATGGGCTTGGTGCCGGAACTAAAAGACCTATAGGTACGGGAGTGCACGCATTATGGGAAAGGTGGGCAATGGCCAGCAGCAATTTGAAAACTAACAAGACCGAATACCCAAACCACAAGCGGTCATTTAATCCGTGTTAATCCGTCGCAGATATATCTGCTCTGGTTTAAATAGTGGAGTAATTGATCGGCGATTAATCACATTCATTTAAACCACGTTGTCTTTTCATGTTTCGTGCACGAAAGCGTTGATTCAGGGGTGATATAGAGTTAGTTGGATCACAGAGAAACAACTTGCGCGAAACATGAAGGTAGGCTATATAACAGAATTCCTTTCTCAAGACAGTTTCTGGCATGCTTCCTCCTTCAAAGGCAGACAGGAACTAGAATATTAATATTGAAGGACTGAAAATGTTTACAGTTACGGAAATTCGTCATGCTATTAATAAGACTAAAGAGATTGAAATCAGTTCCCTTGTTTCAATGATTTGCTCACGTGTTGTACGATACCATGATACAGAAGCCAAACTATCATTTGAAACAATTATCAGTGCATGTAGGGTCAGTAGGGACCCATCTGTAAAGTCCAGTGGGAAAAGGAAAATTTAGATCTAATATACAGTTACAGAGAGTTTAGTAATTAATGAAGAATACAAACATGCATGGCAAATATTACACGGTAACTTTAACTATGTCTGAATATTTTTGAGCTGAAAACAAAGGATGATTAAAAACTGTTTGATGTAAACAGTTTTGAGTCAACGTTCCATATCACTGAATAATTTAGCTCAGTGACAATGATAAACATAAAATATTTGGATATATCGTAAGGATCGATATATATCAAAGACACTCTATATGACCTTATACAATGCAATGTCGTCTTCAGACAAAATGTGTTCATTGATTTTCACTTTGGAATAGTCGAATATCAGTTTCAGACATATTTTTTATATTGTATCATATTTTTTATATTGTATAGATAATTCAGTATGTCATGTTTATTCGGATTTGTTTCGCTTTGCAGTTTCATATAGGCTATATTTCCTGTTGACGTCAGAAGAGGATGAGGTGCTTATAATTTAATTGGATTGATAGAAGTACTAGTACTCTGGCCTGATATACGCTGTTTCGTAGCTGAACTATATCAATAATATGATATCTTATCCGGATAAAATTTTAATTAAATTGTGAAAAACTTATCTTGGCGAACATGCGATTATACCTCGTTTCAATTTTCGCATTTCATTAAGACACCTTCGAACATACGTTTTCATAACGTTTCAAAGAATTGTTTGTCTAAGATGTATGAAGTCGATATAACTGCATGCAGAACATCGCCCAACACGACTTACAAGTTATTGTTTATTAGTTATTTATAACGTTCTTCACACGACTTCACTTTCAGACGGGTAACGTTTTCGAGCGTTTTCATTTTCGTTTTTCATTTTCGTTAAATGCTAAAACGGTTTCAAACACCGTCAATTTACAAGTAAAGTTTATTTAACATATTGAGCATATTTTCCTTGGATCGTGTGGGTAGGGCGTCAAAACAATAAAATAGACTAAAAAGGATTTTGAAAACGCTGGAAATCGACGAGTTCTTCGTTTTTCCGTCTGGACTAAATTCCCATTCGACGAAAGTATTTTTGGATGAAGATCATATAGATCATATAAAGATCATATATGCAACTGTTCTCATGGAAGACAATCTGCTTTTCATTTTTGGATTGGTTTTCTACGGACTCGACGCTTCTTGCACGGGTGCACTACGTCAACACGTTTTTACTTCGAATTCGACACGGATGTCGTTGATGATACGGAAATGCTTTAAAGCGCTGGTTCGTGGCATTGGCAACTTGCCGGAACACATCTTTTGCATCAATATAGGGGAAGTGCTGTTTCGACGACCATCCCTCATTTAAAAGCCGCACTTGCACTGAGTAAAGTTTATAACGGAGACTCAAACGTGTGTTTTCTTTGGCATTCGCAAAATGAAGATCTTTACCTTTGAGATTTTACTGTATTGTTGTGTAGCATCACAAGCCTCGATCAGTTGGAGACGAAGGTATACGTGTTGTTACTGCTTTGTCATTTTCGAAATTTTATCGAAACAAAAGATAAATAGTTGCAAAGTAGTAAATTAAAAGATAAATATAACATGTAGATAGGTTTCAAGAACACATGAAGTGAATGAAAAACACGCCATAGTTAAAGCACAACCATTTTATAATAAATCATAAATGCATCGCTGAACTCGAGATAATTTATTGGAATCACATGGTCACGACATCAGTTAGTCTTCAGAACTTTTTTAAGCAATCATGCTATCATATTTTTGGGGGTAAAACTAGCTTTAATTTCGACAATGCGATCCGGTATATATAAAGTTTAATTTAATTAACAGGGTAATGTGTTGATTAAGATTAGTTCTTGTTGAAAATGTTATACATTTGTTAATTATCTGTTTAACCCGAATAAGCATGGTCTAATATGGTAAATTTATAACGACGGAAGCAGTCAGGCAGGCGTCAGACGTCTTGTCAATGAGTCATTCCGAGTGAAGCATATATCCTGACTTTAATTGACATGTGATTTTATTGTGTAGAACTCCACCCTCCGAGAACTTCTCGAAACGTCAAATATCCAAAAATCTTGGTAGGCATATAGCTATCACGTTGTATCGCCTTCGAAATTTCAGCATTCCCAGGCAATATCTTCTTTTATGACATGTACAATATTTACAACTGTTCAATTTGGACTAATTTATAGGTCCCTTGCAAGTCAAGTACGGCCAGATCACATTTGACGCAGAAGGCAACGACATTCCCACAAGCAGATATTTTAGCCGTAAACCACACGTACCAAACTCAGCTTCTGGTATAACCATTGGCAGGGGTTACGATCTCAAGCACCGAAGCCAAACGCAAGTGTACAGTGATTTATCAGGGATTGGATTGTCAAGAGCAATCGCACGAGCATTCTCAAAAGGAGTTCATTTAACAGGCCAAACGGCAAGAAATTTCTTGAAGGTGAAATATTCTGTATTTTCTTCTGTATTCTGAGTTTTTAACCATTTTGATAAAAAATTCGAATCCTAAATTTTTTTTCAGAGAAACAATCTCCAAAGTTCTGTCATTACACACGAACAACAAAAGAAACTATTTTACATCGCTTACGATCCCATAGCTGCTGATGCCAGACGCCTAGCAACCAAACCAGACGTGCAAAGAGCATACGGGAGGACCAACTGGGCCCTATTGAACAACGCAATCAAAGATGTGGTGGTTGATTTACGATATCGAGGGGATTACACGCCGACAACTAGAAGAATGATTCAACGTGCAATTGTAGCAAATGATTTGCAAAAGTTTACACTACTTATGAGTGATTCAAATTACTGGCTGAACACGATCAGGGTACCGAGAGATCGATTCTTGCGGAGAAAAAATGCCTTGATTCATGCTGGATAGAAATCATTGTTGTCAACATTTTCATATACATATATCAGTAGATATATTTCCTTGTTTGCTTTTAGTAGCTAAAGTTCGTATTAAAATCATCGTTTTGACTGGCCTGCCATAAAAATTATTAAAATTTGCTAACCATTCAAACTAGAAACGTGTATGTGGTCCATATATGCATATTGTGCTTTGACCTGGCCTGAACCATGCAGGTCTAGGCGTAAAGGCGAACGTATCTATTTCACAAAATCCAGACCAACAGAATAAGATGGCCTGGACCAGACCTGCATGGAGCACGGTTTTTGTAATGTGAATGGGCTTCCTGACCAATTTTCAACTCAATAATATAATGTGGCGTGTTTGGGGTCTTTTCCAAGTATTTTGTCAATAAGTTGGCTATCCCGGATACCATCAACAAGAAAGACCGTGTGCATATAACCTTGAACCCCGATTATACTACGCTCAAATTATTGGCTAAAATTGGTACCCGTCCTCAGTTTTATTAGTGTTTAGGGTTGATTTCAAACGTACTCTTAGGATAAGCATAGGGCAAATGGAATAAGATATTTCTTCTAGCCACGCAGCTATTTCGCATTACACTGGCATTACACGCGTTACACTGGCATGAATCACTTGCAACGGACAATAGAAATATGCAAAAACATATTGCTATACAAAATATATAAAACGTCGCGCTTCTCATGTGCCGAACGCATTTAAAACAATAGTTAATCAATTGAGGTGTCTCATTATCTATTGTTTTTTATGCGTTTGGCACAGGAGAAGTACGCCGTTTAAAATAGGCCTTATTGTTGGGTGTGATAGGTGTATAAAGTGCACTGTCCGTTGGAATGTTCTTTGAGGTAATAAAAGGTGGTTGAATTTGAAAAACTTAGACTTGATATCTCTCGAAAAAGAAAGGATCGTTTGAAGACGTTTAGGAAAAAGTTGGAGGAATCCTGCTCAGGTACAATGGCATGTTTGGTTTAAAGAATCTGTTTGTTTGATCTTTGGCTTTGCGACTCAATTCATCGCCGTGACCGTGTTGAGTTGAATAGCCAGAAGACCGCATTAGCGACTTGAAGCATATTCTTGCATGCCGATTTTCGTGACTTGAAATGACACGCGCATTTGTATCCGGTGGGCAGATGTTGAAAGATCATCACAGGGTCAGAAGATGGTGCACGTGGAGGATCGTCGTAGGATCAGACGATGGACGACGACACGGGTGTACAAGTGGAAGCTAGTTGAGGTACATACTTTAGGTATATACTAATTAGAATGATGCATGGTTAATGTCATTAACTGCATGGTTTATTCTCAGAATGATTCCTCCTGGTGGTCCAACATAGCCGATTAGCCGGTATATTCACAAATCAAGTGACAAGTTTTCGACAATGCATGATAACAGGAAATTTCTCACAGCTTTTAAAGAGCGCTTTTAAGGTTTCTCTGATTTGTCACTTGGGTGTGGACGATTTAACAGCTGCGGAAGATACATGATGGCGTTAAAACAGTTTGTCATTTAGCCCAACCCGTGTTTTTCTCCGGAGCAACATTTTTGTTTCCAGGCAAGTATGGGCATGTTTTTCTTCGATTATCATTCCAGTTGTTTCAGATATTTAGAGTTCATGGATATGAAGCCTGGCAAATGGTAATGTTGCTGCCCAGAATTGCTGCCTGAAGGAGGTTGAGTTCATGCTAGTTGCGCTGATTTCTGGTGGGGATAAGCCGATAAATATACAATTTTCTAATGTTGACTAATCAAAATCTCGACGACGAGGAAGTACATTGCAATGCTGTTTTTCAAAGTTTTCTTGATGAAAAGCACGAACGAGAAATGACTGGTATTCTTCTTCATTCTGACGCAGAAGCATGTTATTCTGTGGTGGTTAATTCTTTAGAATTGTTTGATTCAAACGTTGAAGTGAGTCAACTGCTTGTCTCTAATCCAAGAAAGATGTTACCTATATTTCATCAAGCACTGAGAGAGTGTTTACGGTTGCTTTATGGAGAACATAGACTAGCTGAAAGTATGAAATTAAAAAAGAATGCCTTCGTTAGGCTTTCTAATCTTCCAACATGTCCTGAACTGACTCGTAATACCATACCTAGGTCATCTGACATTGGAAGACTCTTAGCCATCACCGGTGGGTTTACTTCTTAGCACATTATATACCCTGCAGCACTTAGGACATTATACCCTACTGCCCACGTACACTGCTATTATTGTTCAACAATTATTGTTCAGCTTTGTTGTTGGCAACTGTAGTCTGTAGCTGTGATGGTATCTGTACTGGGTGCACAACATTGTTCAATACCATCCTGTCCACAGCTATAGCTTGGATTTCCTTCTTGTGCACAATTTATGCATGTTAAAATGCAGAAAGTATTCCTACTTAAAGAGATTGAACTTGATTGAACTTGCGCAGTCCGTGCAGTCACAGTACCAGGGCTCCAATTTTTTATAAAAGATGGTGGCATTCATTGAGGGGTGAGGTTATAGTTAGGAGAGGTAAAACATAATTATATTCACACATAATTGTAGCAATTATTCCATCTCTGGTATTCAATATTTAAACTGGTTCCGAATCGTTTGGGCAGTGGCTCTTTGAGTACCTAACTCTAGGAAGTGCCCTATTCCATTTAGAAGAAATGTACTCAAACTAGGTACCAGTTTTAAGATTATTATAAGTTATAGACACCTACATGGGCACATATATAATCTGAATGTTGTTTTAAAAAACGATTCAATGACAGGATTTTATTTTAGATTCAAGATGCAATTTAAATAAAAAATAATAGGTAATTTTAGACAAATATATTCCACTGTTTAGGCATTGTAACTCGTGTGGATAGTGTGAAATTGGTTGAGTGGCAAAAAGAGTTTGTTTGTAACAAATGCAGATTTGTATTCAAAGTAACTGGTGATTTTGAAAAATGTTATGCGGTCAACAAACCAACTCATTGTCCATCTCATGAGGACTGTTCATCAAGCAAGTTTTCATGTTTGTCTGAATCAGGTGAGTCGATTTTGCAATTTTTGTACAGTAACAACCAAGCTGGCTTATTAATATACATCAGCAAATTGAACCCATGTCGTGAATCTGTACAGTTACATCCCAGGAAAGTTTTTAAAATGGCCATTATGCTCATGCCTATGACATTAATTGATATCTTGATGGACAAGACAACAGTGAATATTGGCCTGAGCAAACACTCTGAAATTTTATTTTTTGTGTGTATAGTTATGCTTAAGTTTTAAAGCAATAACCTGTGAAAGGATTTTCTTTCATTAAAGCACAATGTTTTTCATATTGGTCAAGGGAAACCTAAAAGCTGCCGTGACTATCAGGAAATCAAAGTTCAGGAGCTGATTGAAAACCTTGGTATAGGAACTATCCCAAGATCAATATCGGTTGTGCTTGAAGATGATCTTGTGGACTGTTGTAAACCGGGAGATGACGTCACTGTTTGTGGCATAGTAATGAGAAGATGGAAGTCTGTTAAAATTGATGTAAGGCAAGAGCAATATATAATACACTACACACAATACACAATTCAATATTTTATGCATTTGAAAGTTTCCGCATTGCAAGTCAAACTTTGATTAATATTTACGAGCCAGCTAGTTTCCCATTGATATTAATCTGCTGCTACAAATTTATTACGTCATTATAGCAAGAGTTAAATCAATTAATCAAATACACCCGCATCTTGTTAAATGTAGTTCCTAGTGGATTGAAAAACATCCTGATTTTCATATCAATCAAACTCTGCAGAAAATAACAAAAAATTCGTTGTCTCTACCTGGATTTGAACTCGCATCTTGGGTATCTCATTCCATGTACAGTACAATCGCTCTACCAGCTGAGCTATCGAGCCACTGGGTTAGGTAACCAATTTTATGCTCGACAGACGATACAGCAGAGTTTTTGTTCTCTGCAGTGTCAGACTAAACTAAAAGTAAATAACGTATCTCTAAACGTGGTTCTAAACTACTGAACTTAAAAGTTCAAATCGCACAAACTTCGAATAACCGTTATTAATTTGTTGGTTTGGTGAATCTTCTTGGTAGACAAAATGCGATCTGGAAGTGGTCGTACAAGCGAACCATGTGGATGTACACAACGAACAAAATGGAGGAAATATTGTGACAGATGAACTAAGAACTGAATTTGAGAACTTTTGGGAGGAACACAGGGTTAATCCTTTAGTAGGTCGAGACCATATCATTGCGTCAATGTGTCCACCGATATTTGGTTGCTATGTTGTTAAATTAGCTGTTACACTTGTTTTGATTGGTGGCGTGAGAAGAGTTGATGAAACAGGGATGAAAGTTCGCGGTGAATCTCATCTTTTGCTTGTGGGTGACCCTGGTAAGAGAGTACAAGCATGGCACAAGCAGTGAGAGTGTGAAACAACCCTATTACCTTCACCCAATATTCGAAATCTATAGACTATATACCCTCATATCTAACGCTTGAGCCGTGCGAGCCATGAGTTTACATTGACAGAAAATAATTAAATCTGTTATCACCGCCCATTAGTCTCTGGGACTGGGTGAGGCACAGTAATACCGTTGATTGTGCACTGTAGTAAGGAGAACAGTTTAGTTTGTTATAAAACCAAGTAATTGAAATGAATGCTCGCGTTATTACAGGCACGGCCAAATCGCAGTTCTTGAATTTCGCCACAAAGGTTGTACCAAGGTCCGTTACAACAACTGGTGCTAGTTCAACAAGTGCTGGTCTTACAGTTACCGCAGTAAAGGATGGCCCTGAGTGGGCGCTCGAAGCTGGGGCATTAGTCCTTGCCGATGGAGGGTTGTGTTGTATTGACGAGTTCGGTTCTATAAGAGAAAATGACCGTATAAGTAAGTGAACAAACTTCTTCAAGTGAACTGTTTAATATTATGCTACAGGGATGCCAAGTGCGTGCCTAACTGCTTGAATATTGAAAACCATATACTATACTATATAGCTAATATAGCAGATATCTGAATACAGCAAATTTGGGTGCGACCGTTCGTTCTCCACGTTTGAACCTGAAGTGAAAAAAGGGTATATCTTTTTCAAGATTCTTTGCCTTGTATACATGGCTATGCAAATCTGTTTGGCAAGAAAAGCAAGTGACTAGTATATTTTTTAGGTATTCACGAGGCAATGGAACAACAAACTATAAGCGTAGCGAAAGCGGGCATAGTTTGTAAATTAAATTCAAGGACGACCATCCTTGCTGCAAGTAATCCGAAGCGAAGGTACGACCCACAGAAGAGTCTTACTGAAAATACAGACATCGAAAGCCCTTTGTTAAGTCGTTTTGACTTGGTTCTTGTGCTCCTAGATGCTCACGTTGCAGAATGGGACAAGTGAGTAAAATAATTTCAGTCTGTATATAAATATATGTTATTTACGAGATTGGAGGTCCGTATAGGGAAATATTTCCCCCTATATGGACCCTCCAATCTCGTAAATAATATATATTTATATACAGACTGAAATTATTTTAATGACTAAAACTGGTAAATAATAGTAAATAATTTATTTTTTTCTTCTTGCGGTCCGAATTCATATTTTAGCGTTGGCTATGTGCTTTTAAATCTCGCGCGGCCTCATACGGACCGCTCGCGTAGCCAATCCGATTGCAGGAAACGCTAAAATATGAATTCGGACCGCAAGAAAAAATTGGTTACTTCTTGCATTTGGTTCAAGCACTGCTACAGGCGTATGTTCGAATGTACATACACTTTGTATTCCTCTAACATCTACCATCTAATGTTGTTTAGGGTTGTTTCAGATTTTATTCTTAAGAATAAGAGAATTGGTGAAAAGGATACCGCAAATTCTCAGTTGTGGAGTATTGAGAAACTCCAGGCATATATCTGTCTGGTTAAGACGTTTACACCATCCCTTACGCCGGAAAGTAATAGGTAAGATATGGTATTTTGTTATTTATGATCTATGTGCTTAGAATATAGATTTTAAATTCATATGCTGCACGTTTCTCGGCCACTCAAAGACGACGTGAAAATGGCGAGTAAATGGCGTGACATGTCTATATTTGGGCGCATCACGCCATTTTCACGTCTCACGTTCACGTCCTCGTGCTAGACTGTGGAAAAAGGGCTAAACAACGTGTTAGACTGTGGAAAAAGGGCTCAAGTTATTGCTTGTGCATGACCGGCTTGTTACTGCGACTAAAACAAACGTTACTGTAAGCCAGTCACTGTATATAACCCAGTCCTTAGAATATTTCTTAGGCCTTTGCCGTTCTGCAACATGCACAACCTCGCACCCAGGGTCTTTTCTCTGTGTTCAAGGCTGAAACTGTCGTTTTTATTCAGGATACTCAGTAAATACTATCAATGCCAAAGGATGGCAGATACCCGAAGCTTGGCTCAAACTACACTAAGACTTTTAGAAAGCCTGATTCGTTTGGCTCAAGCACACGCAAGATTAATGTTCCGTCATACAGTCACGTTACAAGATGCGGTGATGGCGGTTTCACTTGTTGAATGTTCAATGCAAGGTACCGCCATTTTGGGCATTACAGATATCCTGCATACCAGGTTTCCAAATGACTGTGAGAGAGAGTACAAAAAACAAGCCGAAATGATACTGAATGCATTGGATTTATCAGATTTGCTCGAAAATAGATCATAAAGTTTATTTGTAATATGAAGTGAAATGAAGACGAAATGTTCGATTACTGGGTGCAGAAATGCAGGCTAGACTGCAATTATCATACTAACTCTCCTGACGAAGGCCCTCAGGTCGAGACGTCAAGAAGTGTTTTGTCTATTTTGGCAGTTGTTATACCACATTTGATGCTAAGTTGTTTGAAGACGCTGCCACGCTGTTTCTTGGTTATATTGGAACTTATCATAAGTACAGCCTCATTAATTTATTAACGGATTAAAGATAATCTCAAATCTTTTTACTTTTTAGAGTAGCTGGAGGGGAGGAAACACCTTCTCTCCCTGAAGATGCAGCTTAGATGCCACTCATTGGGAGTTTACGTTTTAGCTCTATCTGTTACCCCATGACATGCCAAAATTATTTTAGTTTTTTGTTTATAGCAAATGGTTCCGATCAGCTTTGTTGATATAATGATATTTCACTGTATTCATGATAGGTGATATAAAACGTTCTTTAGTATGATAGGTTAGAGAATAGAACGTGTGAAAACAATCACCAAACATTGATCGCCTTTCGAAAGGTCAATTTCCAAATGACATGTACAAATTCCTGTCGTATTTGACGCAGCTTGGGTAGTCGCCCCAAGGCTGGGATCTGAATTGTGCACAACCTCCCCAAACTATAGACAAAAACGCGTCCCAAAACTGAATGAAAATGAGTAAATGCGGGAAAGAATTATAACAGACAAACAATGAAACAGACCTCTCAGTAAAAATAAACAAATAAAACAGGTATTATGTTAACAAGTTACCAGACTTCGTTGTTCTTTGTTTTTTCGCGCGGTGTACTCAAATTTCAAATATGGCGGCGAATTTAAGTCCTTGACATTTTTCATTCGGGAATCTTATCTCCCGAAGTGTCTTGTTCACCATGGAGGAAGAAACACCAAGCCTGGATCAAATAGTTAGTCATACTGAACAGGTTAGATAATATTTAAATCTATGTGTACCGGTTTGAGCTCATCTCAGGAACCAGTCGAGTTTTGACAGTAAACAGAAGTGTAATATTATCTGTCAAGTCGTGGGGTGATTTTTCAGTTTATTTTCTACGCCAAGTATCTGTGACTTGGTAGAGCCCTATATTACGCATTACAATGTGCACGAGCTATTGGAGTCGTATTGTAATTCAGAGATACGTGTAATAATATAACAGACAATGAGACAAACCACAAGAATAGTATGATACATTCATTTTGGAAATAATTTCTTCCACAGCATGACGGACACAACTTTGATAAATGCGCTACTTTCCATAAAATGCAAACTATTTGAAGCACCCAGGGTGCTTCTACAGTAAATAATTTTTACCCTTTATTAAACCACATTACTTTCTAGTAAAAGTAAAAGTAAAGTAAAATATAATGCTAAAATATAAGCATGAAATCAATTTTAATGACTTTATTTGCACAGTTGACAGCATGTCTTGAATCTTATCTAAATGTAAAGAAAAAATCTTGTTTAATGATTCTTCTAAATGCAGGGATGCTAGGGATCTCTAGTAGGACACAGGGGCAAATTGATAAGATGCTGAATTGCTAATATTTCTTGATAGCTATTTTCTTATATAAAACATTCTTAGCAATGGTGCTGGTGATACTATTGAATATTCTTTAGCATTGCAAGAACCTACTTATATTTTTTAAAGTTTTGACTTAAATACAGTAAACTTTTACAATTTACGACATAATATTTCTATCGCTTTAGTAAGGATGCAACCATTTTATTGTGATTTTACTAGGCTTTGTACACCCTGTACAGTGATCCAAACCTCGTGAACAAGGAGTCAGCTCACAAATGGCTTTTGGAAATACAGAAGTTACCACAAGCTTGGCAAGTATGCTGGAAATTGATGCAAAATGATAAGGTATATATGAAGTAGAAAATTGAGAATGTCACTATTTAGGTATGTAAAAACTCAGTAGCAAAGGATTTTAATTTAACGGAATTTAACAGCTTTTCATAACGGGTTTATGGAAGCTTGGCGAATCATAAATACTTTAGCAATTCTATCGTCCATCATATATCCACATCAATTGTGGTATAACAATTATTGCATTCTTATATTGCATTTGATGAGAAATTATTCAGAGATGTTGCTATGCTGTTCATTGCTTGTATTAATTATCTACAGCAAATAATATCTTACTATCTCTTTTGTTTTGCTTACTTTCTTTGCACCCCTATATTTCACTGTTTGATACAAACATGGATCTCCTAATATATGAGTAGCTTGCTCCGTTCAATTTTTTTGCTCGAAGTGATCTTATCATCTTGAAACATAACACAAAATTTCATACTGCTATACTGTATACATAAGTGGTTTCCTTCATAATTTAGGCCCCAGAAGTCCAATTTTTTGGAGCATCTTTACTACACTACAAAATAACCAAATATTGGTAAGTATATAATTTTTCTTCATTCTGAAGACTACAACAAGTGGAGTGAAATTTAGAAGCTTTAAACTGTAATTCCACAGCTTCAATTAGTTCAATACTCAACTCTGATTCACTTGTCAACTTTAGCAGATTCGAATTTTATGAAAATTTAGAATGGTTTTGTATCTTCGTTTTGTTGTGAAAACATGCATTCTTACATGTAATTGTGGAATTTTTACATGTAGGTCTGAGCTCCCGGAAAATCAATATGAACAATTAAAGTCAGAAGTAATTCGTTATGTTATCACATTTTGTAATGGAACCAGGATTGTACTAACAAGATTATGCATTGCGGTTAGTTTGCTTTTGTAGTAATCTGGATGCGTGATTAGTTGCGAAATTTACGTAGGTATATTGAAACCACAATAAGTCAAATTTATCACTGTGTCCTATTTAGCTAGCTGCATTTGCCATACAGACAATGCCTAGACATTGGTCGAATGTTGTAAAGGATCTTGTCAAAATATTTGAAGAAGCCAGCAATGCGCAGGTAATGAACTCCTTCTCGCTTTTGCACAATTTTTTTATAACCAACAACAGACATCTTAAACCTATTGTCTTCACTCTAATGAAATAACATTATTTGGCTGCCCCTCGCATCCCTGTTGGGAGAATGCCTTACGTGTTGCATGTAGAATATTTATGAACTAATTTCCTGGTATTGCAACAGCGCACACTTAAGATAGAGTATTGCTTACGTACAGTAGTTGAACAAGAGTTAAAAATAATTATATATAATGATAATTATATATACCTCTACTTTTTTGTAGTGTACTGATTTAAGACCCATTCTTCTCGAAGTTTTGACCGTTTTACCTGAAGAGGTAAGTTAACTTGATGCCAGCTTTTTTAAATTCTATTGGAAATTACGGTTAATTATTTTATTGGGTCATTGGTTCACATTAAGCGTTAAAAGTATCATGCAATGGTGAATGTCAAACTGACATCGAAAAATGTATTAATACTAAGAATACTATTAACACTATTAACACAGTTAGAACTTAGACATAAGCCTTGTTTGGTCCAGAAGGGTCACGCAGGGTTACATCGTTACAGGTAAAGATGGATCGGCTTTATCTGGCAATATTAGGCGAGCATGGGTTACTCCATCGCTACGAAACTCTCAGAGTTTCGGCCGTGCTAGTTTACTGACTCGTTGACATTACTCGGTCAGTGGAAGGGTGTGACCAATTAGAGCTCGAATTTGGCTTCTTGAAGGTTTAGACTGACTAAGTACCATCTATTCTAGTAAATTATTTCTTCAGCTACTTTGTTGCTGTTTTACAGTTTCGTTCATCAGACTTCATGAATGTTCGTCGTGCAGAATTACGTCACGAGCTTCAGTCATCCGTTCCTGTTGTGGTAGAAGTTCTTGCGAGTGCTTTGATGTCAGAAACCTCCGTCAAACTACAGGTAAATTCATGTTTTGTACAGAATAATAAAACACTAACAAAGACACACTTTATATTTTTAGAAACACCATTAGTCTATGGCGAAGTTTAGCAAGAAAACATTCTGTTTCATAATATTTATTTCAGGCGTTAAGGTGTTTGATAAGCTGGGTGCAATTTGGTGTGTCGTTGTCTGATGTTGATATCCTGGAACCGAGTCTTATGTTATGTCTTAAAGATGAAGAGCTGTTCGACACTGCTGTCGATGCTTTGATCGAAATAAGCACATGTCCTGATAGTTACAGGTATAGTACACATTGATCACTATAAGGTAGAGTAGGAAAGGAGAGGATACTTTAGGGTAGAGTAGGTAAATAGGTTTATTGCATGTGCAGTACTGTACTATGCAAAATGCTCACTCACTACAGGAAATTTTTCAATTTGTATACCATTTGTGAAGCAAAGGTGAAGCCCCAATGTACTAGAGGCTAACAGTATAATAAAGAATTCGCTATATTCGTTACATTTTAGGGAACCAACATATGTTAGAAAATATATAAAACGAGCTGTCGAATTGGGAGACACACTCAAAACTGCATTTCTGTCCAATGATGGGGTATGTCAAAATAGAGCTTACAAATTTCATATTGTGGGCCAAAGTACGCAGAGGAATTATGTTGATATTATTTCTGGTATTTTTTGGCTAGGACAAAGCTGTTGGGTTGTGCAGATTTCTTGTTGCCCTCGGTGAAACGCATTCAAAGATATTATTGAGCAGCAGTAAGCCAGAGGAACAACAAATCTCGGCGACTTTTATCAGCCTGATATTAGTGAGTTTTATCAGCTTGATATATGTGAGACCAGCTTTAAATGCGCCTTAAAACGTATCCTTCAAAAGGCAGCTGATCTGTGTTACCCCGTAGCCCCTGACAGCATTGGCAATTCACATACATACATGAAATAGGTTATGTAATGAGGTACTGTACATGTACTGTACGATCCGGAGCAACATCGTTCTGGCTTTTGAACAAATGTCCTTCTCACCCAACAGTTTTATTATGTTTATCTTATTGTAGGATTGTACAAACTGTCCTGGATATTACCCTACTGATGAACTATGTAGTGAAATGACGTTTACATTTTGGTGTTCGTTCCAGGTACAGAAAAGATTTCATACTAACTCTGCTGACGAGCGTTATTAGATTATTAGCTGAGAAGTTATTATATAGAGTACGCTGCCACGCTGCTCTTTGGTTGTTTATGAATGAAATTAAAGATGAACTATATTTTAATTGAAGAACTCCTTTTTTTCACCAATCAAATTAAACAAGCATTTCAGAATAGACATGATTCGTGGATGCAGTTTTACCATCATCCCGAAGACATGATATGTTTGAACATAAAATAATATGACTATATATGCTTGTTTACAAACAAAACTTATATGAAGTTTTGATCTTCCCAGGATGAAATCGAGTACGCTGAACCAGATGTTCTGCCTCAAAAAAAACAGGACTATGGATCACTTTATATCGGTTTGACACAAGTAAGGGTTCCAATGAAGTACATGCATTGTTGTCATTGTTTCAGTGCTCTTTTTGAAATCAGCTTCATGGTTTAGTTTTCTGTTTGTTCAAGAAAAATAAACGAGGGAATGTTTCTCAACCTGGTACAGATATTTGCAGTATATTTTAAAATACGGTTGATAGGGGTGAAATGACTAGACGTGAACGATCATTGAAATACTGAATACTAATAAGTAACCAGCTATTGTGTCCAGTTTTCTCAATGAGTTTCAGTGCGAGTGAATTTTTAGAATACAGGCGATACTCTACTTTGAGGAGGAAATTCGACAATTCCTATTTGTAAAATATATTAATCGTACAGATCCAGATCATTCGTGCAATGATTCGCGGATGATTATTCATTGATTTATGACTGATTATGATGACATTGATTCTTAATCTTGAGGTATTACTAAAGAAGGCACAATATCCTCCCGATTCTGAATGGTCGGGTTATAATGCAGGTAATCCATTGATTTAAAACTGATACAACTCATCGATTTCAATCTTTTTTTAAACGATTATGTTAAATGGGCGCGTTTGGCTACCGCGTAACTCGAGGCCAACCCAAACTTTTTCCGGACAAGAGTTTGTGGGAGGTGGATATTTTCAGCCTTCCATTTTTTTTTGGTAACATCCGGGTGAAATATTACCTCCTTTTAGAGGAAAGAGAGCAGTTTCGCTGCTACCGACAAGACGTGGCTGACACTATGGTAATGCTCGTTTGATTTTAACTCAAGCTTGTATGAATTAACAAAATGTGAGATGGTACCAGATTGTGATTTTGAAATTTTTGACCTCGAAATTTTAGTCCTTGCATTAACCATCATTCTCCTGGTTGACTTGGGCTTTACACTAACTATTGCTATTGTTTATTGTGCCGAATCCGAAATATATTTTTCGTAATTTTTGTGTTCCAGATGCACACTTATCGTTTACTTCGTGAGCAATGTCTTAACATTCTTCATGGACAACTATCCGAGGCGTTATCTAGTTCTCAAACTTCGTGGCAGGTATATCTACTACGTTAAACCGCATTACAAAACTTGAATCCAAAAATTGGAGTAAAGGGTCGTAAAGATATGGTATCACAAAGTTTGTTTTTCCTGTCAGGTCGTCGAATCAATTCTGTACTTGATCCAATCCGTGTCAGGTTATGTGGAGGCCACGGAAGATACATATCTACCGGCAATTTTAGCCATGTTTCCAAAAATACCATCTCATCATTTGGTCTCACAGACTGCTCTGTTGATGATTGGTAATGTACTTTTTTCCAACAACATATAAGATGAAATGCTTCAATGCAGTCCAGATGTAGCATGTGTTAGAACAATCTGAAATGCGTTAATGTATGTGTTAACGAGCCACGCTGTTGCAATACAAGACATCTTGACGCAACGCAATTCGGAGACCGAATTTAGTGATGCTATTCAGGATTACTGAACTTGATCTTCCTCCCGGGGTAAGGACCCCCGATGCCATTTGAAAAATACAATCTTTAGTTAGAATATTTAGAACAAAAAAGGGTTATTTTTGCTTTAGGTTCATATTGTGATTGGTTGAAATGCCACCCTATGTTGCTGAAGTCGGTTATCCCTGTGCTATTGGACAGTATATCTGATGTTACACTAACATCCGCTGCCACACAAGCATTGCGGGATATTTGTCAGGAGTGTTCACGTGACCTCGACCGGGAGAGTCTTATCGCAATAGTCAATAAATGTCAGGTAAATTGATCATTTTCCCTGAAACAGCCTCTTACCGAAGTGCTTTATTGGAAAATATAACGATGCTTGTGTTAAATTGCAGTTCAATTGTTTTTTTAGATTGCGTTGAATGAGTCCACGTTAAAGGTAATGCAAGTTGAACTATGTGAACTGTTGTGCATTTGAAGATAAGTCTTTCCTTAGTTTTGTAAAAACCATTCTTGCAGCTTAAGCAATTAACTCTTGAAGATAACCTCAGAATAATGTATGCATGCATGGTTTACTTGAAGTTATCTATCCGAACATCTGTGGTTTATCTGGATTACATCTCTCTATATTCGTTTTCCGCAGGATCGAGAAATAATCCGTTGCATGGAATGCCTTGGCCATGTTCTTGCCGTCCAACCAGTTGCGGATATTATGAACTCTTTGGAAACAGTTGTTGCTCCACATATCATATTTCTCACTGAGTTGGCAGGAATACAGGTATACAAAGATTGATATGTGTAGTACCATTAGCGAAGCAACATGCATGCCGTCACGTTGAATTGAACGTTGTTAACTCTCGACTAATGCTAATGAGACCAAGTACGGTTCGAAATCAGCTTAAATATCAAGGGACGTCTAAAAAGGACGATTCTGCTGATTGCATCATTAAAATATTAAAGATTTTTGGAATGAAGTCGGACATGTTAAAGTGTCTACATATAATTGTATTTTTAGCCATCAACGTCAATCAAACAGAAAGTTTACATTGAAATCCAGCTATTCGCGATACTGTTTAAGTGTTTAGACCCTGAAGATCTTGGAGATAAACAGCATCCGGTGAGTTGCAGTCTTTTCATATTGATATTTGCGTTCTGCGATGTTTTGTTTCGCAAAAGTATTTTAGAATTCCGTAATTGTAAATTTAATGCATTTTACATCTGCATGTAAAATTTTGTTAAGGTTTATTTGGTGTTGGAGAAAGTATTCTCGCCGCTAGCCACACTCGGGAAAATGTGGATTGATGATATGGAGGTCCCTCAGGTTAGTAAAACAAATTTATAAATACAAAGAAATTTCCTCATTGCATGGTTTAAACATGAAGCTAATTGTATGATCATATTGTTTAAAAAATTATTCTGTTGCATCTTATTAGATCGTGTGTCTATGTCTTGAACGTGCAATTGGTTCTGTTAGAGAAAATATGGGTGGCCTGGTATCGAGTATTGTGGAGTTATTGGTTGACCTTCATGCGAAAAAACCGCGAAGCTGTGTTCTTGATACAGCAGTTATAGTAATGCCACTATATCATTCTTAATTGCTCTCATAACAATTACTAGGCAGAAATTTTACTGGATTAACATACTATCGAAATGTTGGAAATTAGGTTTCCATTCTTGTTAGGCCTTGAATTGTGTTTTTTGCATTTTTTTTTTTCGTGCATTAGTAATAACTTACTGACAATCTGGATTCTCGTTGTATTTATAGAGAATTCAACTTACTACATTAACTTTTAGGTTCTTGGGATGTATTCAAAAGAAAGTCAACACCAGAAGGTTATGCTCATTTTTTACGAGAAAATGACATTATCGACATTAGAGTTGTTGGAGAAAGGTAAGAATTAAGAATGGCCGTAAATCGCACCAACTATAAGATGTAGTTTTAAAACAATATTCCCTTTGTTTTCAAGATTTCGCTAACAATCCCGATGTCATACAATCGTTTATGCACTTTCTCACTCGGGTAAGTGCATGCAATGTCACTAATCATGGTTAGGCACTCAGCGATCATTACAAAATAGAGAACGTTGCCAAAAGTGAGGTCTTGACTTGAGCAATTTTTGCTACAGTAGAGTGTGAGAAATATATGTTTTCTTGTGCGTGATATGAACAGATCTTGAAGGTTTTAAGAACATGGTCAAATTGTTTTTTCCATGTAGGCAATACGCAGTAATCCTTATATAATGTTTGGGACAAACAACTTACATAACAGCTGTTTTCAATGTGGTAAGCACATAGATATTATAAACGGTACTGAAACGATAGATAATGAGGTACAGGGGCGGCGGAACATAATATATTTTGGGGGGGCTAATTTCACGAGGCGCCCCCATGGTTGGCGCCGAGCGAAAATTTTTTTGAATTTCAATGCTCTAGATCTTCGGAAATGGCTATTTCAGAGTGTTACTTGCCACTTTCATCGTAGTTTTTCATGGGCAAACACAAACTGAAAACGGCACAGCGCGTGTAGTGATATCTCCTACATTTGAAAAATCATCTCTCAAATTCTGAAAATAATTTCCAAACAAAATGGCGGTCCGAAAATAATAACAATATGCAACCACGAATATTCTGCTGTTAAAGACAACTATGAAAGATCAAAGAAAGTCAATTTACATTCACTTGATCCGTATTACAATATAGGATATCTTATTAGCATTTAATACACCGGCGAGCATTAATTTGACGACTTCGTGGTAACTTAGTTTGTATATTTGCTCTCCCGTTCTGGCTTTCTTCATGAAATTTTTGGGGGGGCTAAGCCCCCCCACTTTTACTTCTGGGGGGGCTTTAGCCCCCCTAGCCCCCCCTGTTCCGCCGCCCCTGATGAGGTACATATCTTATCAATTAGCCTTTCTTACGATGACGAATACATGTGTCGCCATTTTTGGGGTACTTTCTTTTTAAACTGGGAGCGCAAGACCTTGTCAGGGCGGCTGTCTTTAATTTTAGGCTTAATTTATTATTCAAATGGTCTATTGACTCTTAAAAAATGCTTCTTACATTGCTATTATTGTTAAACGCATTTGAGAAAGTTGAAAGTACCCCAAAAATGGCGGATATTCGTCATCGTGAGAAAGGCTAATTGATGATCCGTTATTTCAAATATATTTGCATATAAATAATTGAGCCAGGCTGCTGCGATGTCTCTTACTGACAGTAAATAATAGGAAATGTTTTTAAACTCCGTTCAGCAATGGAAGTAGTAACTGTTCTAAAAATAGTATCGGCGGCATGCCTTGCAACGCATATAGGGCGATAATCTTGCAACAGTCAATCTCTTCTCATATAACTAGCAAATATCTACCTGCTAACTGCACTGCAAGTTTACGGAGTGCCTATATTGTTCTTAGTTTTATTATAATAATTTATATATTATAATAATTAACCAGGTTTGACGGCGCTTACAAGACCTGAGAATCATACTGTAAAGGCCTGTTGTGGGTTTTTTGTGAGTATATTGTCTGTTTTCGTTATCGTTTGTTTCCTATAAAAGCATCTTAATTCATTTCAAATGCGTTCCATGTAGGTCGCCTTTATAAGATGTTATGAGAGTCAAGAGAAGGCCAGAGAGACCTTAGCACATTCTGGACAACATCTTGTAAACCAAATACTACAGGTATTATATGTCGTTTTTAATCCCAAACGAAAATCAACGATTAAGTCTGATTGGTTTCCTGTTTGGTGCAATCGTTTTTTTGTTCCAGGGGGTAGGTGGGCGCGTACCTCGGTACCATATGGACAGTCTAGCTGAAATTCTTATGGCGTTGAATGCCAATTGTGTGGCATTATTATCCACGTGGCTGCAGGTTTGTGACAATACATGCATTCCATTCTTTCCATGCTCAACCCTTTCAAATTTTTCCAATTTTACTAAAAATTTTTAATTGTGGTTAGGACTTACTTCGCATTGAAGATTATCCCTCAAAGTTAGTAACATTAAAACAAAAGCAGCAGTTCACAAGTTCTGTATTAAGGTAATAAATGAATATGACATATATAGCCATTTACTGTTTATATAGCCATTCATTCCAACATTTTTGTCCATTTTTCTCCCTCAACTGAAAATGCAACTGACAAAGAAAGCGCTCGATAGACCAGAAGTATATTCCAATGTATATTAAAAAACGAAAAATTGCAAGGAAACTTTTAGAGCTATATCCAGCAGCAAAAAAAACAAAGCTACTTTGACATTCTATGATTCCAGATGCAACACCTAAAATTTTTTCTATAACTTTTGATGCGATTCCATCGTTTGATAGATGCAAATGAGCGAATATTTACTAATGCTCTAACGTTTAGGTTCCCTTATCATCATAACTCACCCACTCATTCGCATCAATGAAAAGACGAAAATCGCGCACAATCAATCGCAGCACAAATGCAAGTGTATAAAATGCAAGTGTATAAATGCCTCTTACAAAACTATTTTGGATCATTAGTAATTACTAAGTGATATATTGTATTTGTGTGATGATTTATTGATTTCAGGGAACGGGTACATAAAAGAAGGTTAAAGGAAGTGGTGAAAGAATTCTCTCTTATGTGTCGTGGTTTGCATGGAACAGCTTACGCCGCCGCCACGTATTGAAAATAATTCGTAAGGTATTATTTTGACGTACTCATCAACGGCTATTTTTCACCATAATGCAATTGAAAACTCGGCAGACTTCAAAGCGTCTATTAAGAGGTTGCATATGGTTGCGTTCATTTGAAGAGTTGATGCATGGCATTGAACGATTGTATATCTTTGTCATCATACCATGCACAAATTGATGGCACAAAGACTTCAGCCAAGTCTCAAGGTCTATTGATCATGTTTTCACTCATTGCAATTTGCAAGAACGTTCTCGCAGGAAAGTGAGCTTCATAATTTGGACATGTTTAGATAGATAGTCTAGCTTGCGAGAACTCGCAGTGAAATTTTTTTGCAATTGATGAAAAAGAAGTGCTTATAAGGTATAATTCAAACTTGACAATCAAGCGAAGCAGAGCATTTTGCGAGGCAAAAAATGTAAATTCGGGTCACAGAATAGTGGGATAAAATTTTGTATGTCATTTTCATGACAGTGTGAATAATTAGGAGAGTGGTTTAATTTTATTGAGATTTTTAATATAGTCTTGTTTATACTTGATTTTGGTTTATTCATCTTGCTTATACACCCTGTGTTTTTTTGCTGGGATAGTAATGTCTTCAAATTCAAATACACGCTATATCTCAAGGGTAGTGGTTTCAACTCTGCGTATACTAAAATTAAGACATTATTCTTGAGAGCGAAGTTATATTCAAAACGTGTTTCACCTATGATATAGTCTATATTTTGATTTAAATTGTTTTTGAAAAGAAGTATCTTTGACTAAAATAATAAACGATGGTGTCCCTCCATACACGACATATCTAAAAAGAATGAGAGTACACAAATTAATGATTAAGTTGTTTAATACGTATACTTATTACCCGTGCGCGAAGTCTGTACAAAGAAATATCAGACCGAAGTCATCTTTCTTCGCCATATGATAAAAAAGGAGTGATGATACACAGTACTGTATAGGGTTAGAAAGTAAAATGGATTCATCTGTTTCTTTTTCTGAACTGTCTTGTTTTGAAATATATATATACCTAATTGTGAAAGACAATTAAGACATGCAACCTTGAAAAAACCCCAAAGTTGGGATTTTGTTTTGAAGATATTTTATATACTTCAGCATTTTTCAAACATCTAAGTTCAAGTGGCAGTGATAATCAAAGAGTGAAGACTATATTACTACCTCGGATCTGATAAAACGTTTGCTAGACAGGTAGTCTGTGAAACGAAAACCAAGCCGTTCTTTTCCACATCCTCGAAATATACCTTGGAATAAATTTAGAAATTGTTATGAATCGACTTGGTAGTGGCAAAGGTACGATGGACAAACGACAACAACGGGGAAGAAGACAAGAAGAACATTTTCTCGATCCATACGAAGATATTGTAATCTGGGTATAAATGCCACACTGAGTATGCACATGTACACACATACTTCTAAATGTGAAAATTGGTATTTGTTATCAATATCCCATGGAACGGCTTCAGAAGAAAACATTACTTCCAAGTGGTCTGAGAATCTAAAGGCAATAAGGAATGTTTCAAATATGTCAGGATATTGTTGATAACGATTCCAGGAAACCCACGTATTCACCTATGATTCTCGTTGAATGCTTCAATGAAATCCGTCTGACCATACTCCGGGTATACAAACAGAACAGGCCAATGCAAGATTCCATCGCTGTCTAAAATGACCTGACCTTTCCCTGGGATGTGTTGGTTGTTTAATCCAAGAGCTCTAAGTTTGTCAAACTCTAAGTTGTTGTCTTCTGTATCTGGTTCATTACCGGTATTCTCTTCCCCAGGAATAGGACGCAACGTAACACCTCTATTCTGAACATAATAAATTTCCATTTAATGGCAGCACATATTTTGCGCATTTGTTTATCTTACCAATGCGGGAATAATGACACAAAGGTGAAGGGCGTTGATTAATAAACAGTAGGAGGACTTTTCCAGCAACCTTATATAAGTATATTATTTTAATAAATAATATGCTCACCTTTATAACTTCAATAAGCCGATCTTTCGACTTTTTTATCTTACTTTCTTCTGCCTTTTTCTTTCTTTTATCTCTTTCATATTGTTTCTAAATAATTTCTTGATAAGTCACTCTCTACCGTCTCGGATCAAATTAGTTAAACAATGAATTAAAAACTAACCAGTTTTAAAGTTGCTTTCTTGAGAAGATCTTGAAAGCTTTTCTCATCTGGATCATACTTACATTGAATGACATTATGAAAAATACACATTTATGACATTAGTTTTCCGTTCTGGTCGACGGTCGGCTTTTGAATAAAATATTACTTCTCATTTTTGCCGTTTAAAATTCATACTTCGCTAACTAAAATTTATATTTCGCTATTTATACTTCGCTAACTTTTTCAAGTGCTTCCTTGCATATCAACAGGGTGACGGTGGGAAATCCTTCAAAACCAGGACGCTTATAAATAGATATCTAAGCGCCCTGTTCAAAACTGATAAAGAAGGTTATAAACTGAAAAAAGTTAAATCCCTTTTTTGAATTTTAATAAAAAAGAACCTCCACTCGTGCAGCCTCTCATTAGGGTAAGCCTTCCATATCAACTAAGCAGCTGAGCCTGAGCTTCATGATATTGAGTGTTATCAGCGCTTCTCATAGCCATAAAAGGATACAGCCAAGGCTTCTTTGCACCAAGTAATTGCGTCATTGTATAGTTCCAGTTCCATGCATGCACATGCACCTACACAAAAATTTTCTTTAGAGTCCTGTTTAAACGGTTTTTGGAGTTATCATGTGAAAATACCATACCACGAAATATTGCTTTAACATAACTAGGTTGCATATTCTTTGCTTCTGTTGCATCATTTAAAGATGTTCGAAAGTTTCCTAAAAACGTGGATCAATATTGACCTGATTATCTCCAGAGAAAAAATGCTGTGAAAATTGTGTTAGCATTTATTTTAAAATAAATCAAATTATAACTGGTACAGTGATCTTACAGATAAGACATACTTTTGGAGGGTCTACAATACAGCTAGCATACATCTAACTATTCTAAACTATGAAAAATGCCTTTGGCATGTGTCAACTATACTTGCACTGCAAGAAGCACTAAGTCGGTCCTGGTTTGAAGCATATTGACCTGTCACAATGGCCAATACTATCCTGCTAAACCTAAATCACAGAAGGCATACCTACCAATCTTAAAATGTGCATTTGCTCGGTTGGCATACAGTGTTGACATAACTGTATCAGAACAATTTATTTTAATCCCTTCAGTGTACACTTTAATTGCTTTCTTATAATTCTTTTTCTTAAACTCCTCATTGCCATCCTCTTTATATGAAAGTGCTTTGGCTTAGAGAAAAATTATATAAATCATAAAAGCTGAAACAGAACACAAGGCCCTAGATGTCAGTACAATGTCAATGAACTAAACATTTCAAAGCACGTCATTTTTACATGCACATTTTTGGTACACCTACTATTAGGATCATCTTCCTCAAATTTCAAAGCTTGCATTGCTGCTATGGCAGGAGCTTTCTCAGGGTCAACCTCTTCTGGGCTTTTTGTCATAAATAATGGTATGTTCTCTAATTCCTAAATTAATAATCATTTCCTATTATTGGTCAAAAACAACCGAGATTCTGACAAGAAAATTCCTGACTTTCAAACACACAAAGTCAGGATGAGTGTATAAACTTAAACTATGAAGGCATAAAATGTAATCTTGAAAAAAACTAGAGCACAGAAGCATTCAAATAAATTACTGTAAACAAATTTGATAAATTATATATTCATGTAATTATTGCTGTGGAAATGCAAGAAATTTAATATGGTATTCTGTAACTTTTCTAAGCATGACCATAGCAAGAAGCTTGATTAGGGAGGATATTCCTATATTTGTCTTTTGTGCAATGGTTTTCTTCTAAATGTGGTTGTTCCTATGGCATGTAAACATGAGCATATAATAATACACCCACCCCTCAATTAAGAAATCTGGCTATGGCCTGGCCCTGTATCTAGGTCAGGGCTGTAGCTAGAAGCTTAATTGCGGGGTGTATATTCATAAATTCATCTTATGCCCGACTGATTTCTTTTGCACGCTGTTGTTCTTGCGGTAGATAAACATGAATATATGAATATACACCTCCCAATCAAGCGGTCTAGCTACGACCCTGATCTAGGTAACCAACGTTTTCATTCATTCTTGGACGTAACACCCTAAGAGGAAGAAATCATGCTTGCTGATCTAGAACCTTTGGTGTAGGTGGATGGTATTCCTGGTATTTATAACTATAAGCATCAGGGATTTCTACATCAAAAGTCGTGTGGTCTGATTCTGTGGATCATCCCAATCTCTCATACGCCCACCTCTTCCCAGTTGTCCTCACTGAGAGGATTTGCATATCTGTAATTCTTGTTTTTCTCAATCATTTTATCAACATAAATATTTACGTCTTCGTCAAGTTTGGCGGCTAACGACTCCTTTTCGGCCATACTGTTATTAAAACAAATATTTATACAAATAATAATGACTTGGATTCATTTGAAATTAAAGAATCAAAAGGACTCAAATTCAAACATACTTCACCGCGGGATACTTTATGTAACGTCTAATATAAAGTCTTTAGGAGGTTACGCAAAGTGCGCAACTTTACTACTTTTGCTAAACTTTATGATGCATGACGATAGTGATGGGCGATACCAAGAAAGAATATCAATTCGACTACGATTACTTTTTGAAAAAAGTATCGCGGTATAGTTTACTCAAACGATTACTTATTGGCTATTGCATAACTCTTCAAACATATATAAATTGAGTAAATTAGCTTGTAGGTACACCACGTAAGTATTTAATAGTTTGCAAATACTGCAAAGCGTTCGGTCCGTTAACCCGGGGCTTCATCAGTGCAATTACCTGAATATTACCTGAATTGCACTGATGAAGATCCAGGTTAATGTCACCATGCAAACATACAAGAATATTATTATTACATATACATTGGTCACAAAAATTTGGAATTGTGTGCGTCATTGACATATTGAGTCATCCTAACAACAAATTAGAATTAGGATTTTTTACGATTATTACAACTTATAATTCACTAAACGTCCACAATGCCACATTGTTTTGGTTTCATTTTTCACTTTGCTGATATTCTCACCTTTTTACTTTAATAACGTGCATTTGTAAATAGACTGGAATCTTTAAAAGAATTTGAAAACGTGCAGTATAATGCTGGTAATACATCAACGTGATAAATTAGACGCTTCAGAGTTCAGTACACCATTATACGTACTTTTATAAAGTAATCTTAAAAATAAAAATAAGTGTAGTAAATTTAACGAGTATAATCGAGAAGTATAGTCATTCATACTTCACGTTTTGTGGGATAAAGAAACAAATAGGAAAATTCGAGGGAAAATTCATAACTGACGTACTCGGAGAAAGGTTATAAATCATCATCACTACGATATGGATCCTAAGATACATAGACTTAATGTTTTGAAATCATATTTAATCTGACATTCTGACCCTGCAATTAAATATTGTTAATCCATGACAGAGACGGAGAGGGTTATCTGGCCACTCGCTTCACTGTAAAAGTGGTTAGCGGCTTTTAGCGCCTAGAAATGGAAGATTAAAACTAATTTTTTTTTCTCACAATAGGAGAAGGTTTGAGCCATCTGTTCACTTCATTGTTCTTATGAAGTCCATTTCGTTTCTGCCTATTTTTGTGGATTTTTATTTCCCTCGCCGATTTCGTTTTATTCTGCCAGTGCGTATGCTATTAAATTTCGATGTGGCCCATACAAATCGTCAGTGCTGTATAAAACCTATATAGAAAGCACATATTTCGGCTACTCTAAAAACTAGCGTATTTTTATCGACGGCGAGTCGGCGACGGTATCTTTAAGCAGTTAATTGTCACACTAAAATAAGTTGATAAGTTTGCAATAATGCAAAGGAATTTAAAACTCCACTGGCATTTTACACAAGGAAAAATTATATCTTTAAATCTCCAGTATGAAGGCAGATACACCATAGGGAATGATTCATATCAAAGTAAGTTGAATGACTCGAATGACTCAATTACGCATTCACCTTTCATTGTCATTGGCATTGGCATTGACAAGAATTTATCCTATAGTTGATTGCTATAGAGTAATTTCAGATACTATACGCATCAACATAAATATCTACGCAAATGTGCAGGGAACTGATTTAGTCGGAAGATAATGCTTATCTATTATCACTGAACAGATGCCATCTCTTCCCTTTCCACGCCAGTCCAGTACCATGTCCTTAGAAGGAACTGGGTGAAACTGTGGAAAACACAAGAAACCTTTTTCCTCGATAAGTTTCTTGTTCCACTTATATATATTCTCGAGGGTACGAAGAACAAATATTTCGGTGGTAAATTTATTTCAGAGCTATATAGTTCTTGTAACTAAGCAAAATCACAAAATTTCTACCAGTTATATAACGATATAATCGCTGAGCGCTGATTGGCTAGAATATGAGCCTAAGCCGATCACCTGAAAAACATGGTAATAGAATGAGTTTCGATTATTAGGTCAAGGCATAAAATACTGATGAATTTATGGATTTTATGGATGGAGGAAATTATGGATGTGTAACGTTTAAGATCTTTTGAGCACAAAACGTAAGTCGAGTGTTGCAGAACGCAGGACATCCACATTACGTCTTTTATAGAGCAATGCTATGGCTCATATTATGACCTTGGTCATCGTAACAAACAATATTTTTCCAACCAATTGTTGGCCATGCCAGTCTAGGCTAAAGTCATTCTAGTTGAAAGACAAATGTTCGAGTAAAATTTAAGTTAAAACGTGACCTCATTATATATACCACAACAAATTGCCATTTTAATTATCTTAATTATGCATACGCGTGTCATCAACTTAATTATCCAAAACTTCTTACACTGATTTTGTCGTAAAGCAATTAAAACTCACAAATGTTGCGATGAATAATTTTTCGTCTGTGAGGGACTTAATCAAATTATGAGGTCACCAACTCACCATGTTATGTCGAAAAATTTCATTTTTTGTTCTAGCACGATCTTACTACAGGGCTGCCTAATTTGACACATCATTGGCATAACTGTGGGCAGTTATCGTTATCTCAAAAGATAAGATCTTTCTGCGTAGGAAATGAAAACAACTAATTCACCATCCGAGAGCACTCAGAGATATATTTTCAAGCCGATTAAGATAAGTTTTGACCCCTTGCGTGTTTACGTTGCTTTCGTTGCAATCGTTTTTTAGGACATCAATAAGAACACAATAGAAATCATGTTTGTAAGTCAGGATTTGCGGCATGGTGCACGAAAGCATCCCACGTGAAGGCGTAGAGAAACGAACTAGAGATCTTAATGAAAACTGTTGTAACAACTTGAGAAAATGAACACGTATTTCTGGTGGTGGTGGTGGTAGTCATGTTAGATCACTTTTTCTTTTCAATACTTTACCTTCCTCCCCTCCTCTTTCCGCAACTTTGGTGTTTTATTTGAAAGAAAGGTGCATACATGGATTAAAACGCTTAAAGTTGCTCTTGGTCGATTAAAACAAGCTTAAATAACGTTGTACTGCACTCAACAATTCTACAAACATGATTGTCAACAATGTTGCTAAAACTCGTTAAGCTTTAATGAGTTTTGAGATACGCCGGCTTATGGATGCGTTCCTAAAATTGCGTTTCATCAACAAGGAATAATAGGAGGATAGGAGCGTTTCTACGGGTGTATAACATAATATTGGGTTGTTTTAGGGGCGTCTGGAAGGTTAAAGACATGTAGCCTTTTTTACAAACGCTTTTTTTAATCCTAGATTGAGTTGCCGACCTTTGACGATGCCTTCAATCATCCTTTAAATGTATAATCTCTTCAAGGTGTTGATAAACCTGATACTTAAAATATTCCCGTCTATCGGACGAAATCGTGGTGTCAATAACTAAGACCGTATTGTACATTGCAAGTGCTTGCTTGGCAGTTGGTAGAGGCAGCTTTGACCGCAGGAGATGTTACAAATACGAATGTAATTAACTTCGGTGATTCATTCATTCCATCCACACAGAGGCACGTACATTAAAGAGAGAGGCATAATTATATACGGCTTTGGTAAGATGCTTTAATTTTAAACAAGCTAAATGAATGCTATTTGTCACACCACTAGGTCGTTTTAGTCAATGGCTGCAATTGTTCATTTTTACATGAATGGTGTGTAGAACAGTACACATGCATTGTGTCGTGTGGAAATAGTTGTACTAGAAATGAAGTATATTTCAAAAGTTGAAATTAATTCCTGTAATTTGAATCATTCATTTCATTTGATATATGTCTGCATTTCCTTATAGCTTGGTTTAGTTGGTTATGGTTCACCTGTTCACGTAAAACTTTCTTTCCACATATAAATTAAAAATGCATTCTGAATGCAATTCCTCCTTTTTCGCGCACTGTTCTGATCTCGTACATCTTCGCGTCCATCCAGTAGAAGCAGAAATATAGAATGTCGCAAATTATCATGATCAGTCCGGATTTCTCTGTTCGTTAAATTGAAATACAGAGATAGTATAGGTATTCCTGATCTGTAATCCATGTACTTCATTAAAATTGTATAACGAAATTTATTGAAGAGAATTAAATTTATATCGATCTGACGGAGTTATACCAAACTGCATAACTAAGAATGAAAGACTTGATCGAATGAGATCTTCAAGTTTCAGTTATTTTTGGGCACTTCTGTTTTTGAAATATTGAAAACAGGTGTCACCTTTTAAATTCACAACGGCATGCTTTTGCAATTAGTATATATTTATAGACCAATGAATAACTTAGAGATGGTCACTTCACATGCAGCTACTTTCAGGCTTAGCTATGACCCAGTCGTTGCGGGAGGTGGCATGCAAGCGGAGGGATGGGAGGGGTGGATGGAACTCACTTAGTTGTTACTTGTTGCATATATAACATGCCCGCAGCATGGATGATGGATAGTTTTCAATGACCTTTCATAGTTTATTGGTAGTGACATCGTACGATAACTGAATATTTTGTCCAGTTCGATGAACCATACGTAAGTGAGTTCAAAGTTCAAGCTCCCCAAACTCCACTATCCGCATGTTAATTTCAGCATCCCAATAAAACATGAAACAAAACTAAGCTGCTTCATGTGTTCTGATAAACCTGTTTATATACACAGGCTTTAATTGCAAGAGATTAGTCTCTAATTTTCAGAGACGTGCTCAGTTATTTTTAATGCCGGTACGTAATTCCGTTCTCTGCCAAAGCAGCGAATTAATTGTTAAATACTGTGTTTTATCCCCAATCCATCGACTCCTATATACCACTCTCTTATCATTCCTTTTATATAATCCGGATTTACGTATAACCAATGTGACGATTGTGGTAGTCTAGTCGTGTTATTTTCCCAAAAATCAGGAAGGATATATGGACCTTGCTAACTTCCTTGCTATGAAATTTTGATTAATTTTGCTATAGTTCAAGAGCGAACGACTAAAGAAATGAAGATAAGAACCATGGGTGGCTATTTCGTGACTTGGCTTGTTATTATGACATGCTGTGCTGTGGAAGGTGAATAATTATTGACTTCATCAATGCACTTCATCTTCCATGCATCGAATCCCTCTTTTTTCTTGTTTACTCCGTATAACCGCTTATTATGTCTATCGTATTATTAGGAGGCCACTTAAATGCAGCGAAAAATATTTTTTGTTTTGTGCATAGATAACCTTGTTAGTTTATCGCAAGATTGATTCCGCATATGTTATTTGGCCTCCAATCGTATTTGGTTAGTTTGGAGAAGAAATAAAAAAAAATCAGATTACCATAAGCGTGCGAATGTATGGCCACCGTGCATGCAAGCACAATAGTGGAAAAGCGGAAACTTGCTCTCAATTAAACTTGTCCCATTCATAACCTTTTTTAGTTTTCCCTCAAAAAGTAATCCCGTGTGGTATACGGCCGCAAAGTAGCGCTCATACGACTGCTACGCGAAAAAAGAGAGTGATTGGTGGACACGTGGCCCCAAATAATTCTTGGCCTTGGTTAGTTAATTTTATCGACAAAGATGATACTCTGCAATACTGCAGTGGAGTGATTATTGCTAAGAGATGGATTCTGACTGTGGCACACTGTTTTATATTCTACGGACCTGATGGGAGTGTGGTTACTTTTCCTGTAACAAAATATAAATACATCATAGCAGACCACAGATATAACGTCACTGATCATCACGAGTTCACTGTACAGCCGTCAATGTTGTTCATTCATCCCAAGTACAAAATTGGAGACGATTTTCAACCAGGTACGCCTCGCCTTTAACTTGAGTATGATTTCATGTAAGGATTAAGATGACTGTCATTTAACTCCGCATTATTCCTATTTATCCAAATTTGGCCGTCTAATTTCCGTAGTGTAAGGATTAAGATGATCGTCAATAATCCCGCACCATTCCTATTTATCCATATTTATTATGTAATTTCCGTAGTTTAATCATTAAGATGACCGTCATGATTTCCTTACCATTCCTATTCATCCGTATTTGGCCATTTCAAGATCAAGATGTAAGGCGATTCCACACTATTCCTACATCCAAATTTGACCACCTAATCCCCGTAGTGATGTAAGAATGTAACATATGCCATAGATCATGATATTTATCGTAGATTTTATAACGCGTTGCAAAGAAAGGTGCAATGACATCAATTATCTTATTTTGCAGGAGATTACGACATTGCGCTTATAAAGTTAAAAAGACCTTTGAGATTCTTCCCACAAGTTAATCGAGCATGCTTACCAGTCAAAAACACCATATTCAACACAACTTCTTCATGTTTTCTCGCTGGTTGGGGTAACACAGTGAACACCACGGATTATTACAGATCTCCCGTACTGAAACAGGTTCAACTCAAACTCGTACCGTTGAAAAATTGTAACAGCAAGACGGTTTACAACGGGATCATCCCCAGTCGGTACCGGTGTGCAGGCTACCCCCAAGGGGGAAAAGATGGCTGTTATGGTGACAGTGGTGCTCCATTGCAATGTAATATACATGGAAGTTGGACTGTGGCTGGAATCATGTCCTGGGGTTCTGAATGCGCTGCCCCAAACCGTTATGGAGTTTACGTAGATGTCCTGCAATTTATGACAAGATTCATACAACCCGTAATGCAAGGTGGGTTGCTAAAAATCAGTAGCTGTGCCCTTCATAACTTTTTCTTGGTGGCTTTTTCTCCATTTCAATAGTTATTATGCATACATATTCAAACCATTTTAAGGCATTTGGGCAGAGCTGATATGAAAAAACGGGACCACTCAGGTGAAAGTACCCCAGTCTCATTAACCAAATATTTATATAATATATATAATAGGTCGATTGGATCGTCTCACAACATACCACAAGAGACCGTTATCTCGTTTTAAGAAGAAATGGAAAATAAAAAAAATGTCATTTTATTTGCTCTTCACAAAGAAAGACGTTTTCACCGACATCGACTTGGTTAGAAATCTTCAGTTAACGCCATTGCAAATAGCACTACTGAAGAATATCACCCTGCGAGATTATGTTTTTGTCATATGCACCCACCATTCAGTGTCATCTTTGATCCAATCAAATTGTGCACTTAACAGGATTGTTGCTGGGTTCAAACGGAATTCAAGAAAGTTCGAAAATTATGATAAGATAAGAAGTTACGGGAAATTGAACAACATAACTGTTGAGAATGTTATTAAGATGGCGGGGGTACCTAAAAATATCCTACTTAATTCAAAAAATCTCTTGAGCATAGTCAAGAAGAGATCTCCTTCTAGGAATGTGGCATTAAAGTCCTTATCTGGTTAAGTGAAAATATAATCACTCTTTCATTTCGTGTTATCAAAACCTCTTCAGACTTCAATTCCATTCTGTCCCTTGTAATCATTGCCAGAAATGTATTATCTGGAACCTCATGTACTAACTAGTAACTAATATAGTTTCGTGTAAATGATCAGTTCATGATTACTAGTAACTAGTTGTACAATGCAGAGTTAGCGCTAAATTATGCTACTATGGTAACCGACTTACTGAAAGTTTTCAATTTACTGGGAATACAGTATCTTATTAATCTTAACGTGGTACGATTCATCCAAATACTCATGTACCCAAGCACTTATTCATTCCGCCCCTGACGGTATGGGTAGAACTTATGGATAAAAATATCTTACTCTATATCAATAGAGATAATTAAATTTGTATAGACCACTTGGACTTGGTGTTGTAAATATATATTTTAATCTATTATATATAGGTATATATACTATCAGTATTTTTTGGTTCCTCCTGAAAGAACTAAAACTATATTATGTATGTAAATCAGTCCAAATTATAACCTTAGCTTCTTAAAAATAGTTTTTATGTGTAACCTTTTACGTTTAGTTGATCATGAAAATCGAAATTAACTCGTTTTATGGAGGGGCATTTCGGACAAAAATGACATTCGCTTGTACATTGCATGCTGTTCAGCCTGTTCGTTCATGCCACATGCTATTCGTTTGTATCAGCTTTTATTCTCGAGGAAATATTATATCCCAACATGGAAGCACTACCTCATAGGTATTCTGGGAAGGGGGGGGGGTCGTGTTTCCAATATGGCGGCTTTTTTCAATACCTTTCGGCTGGCCTTCGAGAGATGATTGTATTCCTTTTCTTGATACACGCACAAATTGACCAAATCCTGATCAGTTCAATTACTTGAAAACTGTATTATTTTTTGGGTGTTTTTGTTCGTATCAAATTTGGATTACAGTGAAGATTTACTGGCTTGACGGTTGGGAAGCAAAGAAGTGTGTAGTGTACTCACTGTACTGCCAGTGGTTGGAAAGTAAGTGTCCGAATTTGCATTGAGTGTCCGAATTTGAATTTGCGTAGATTTGTAGAGTTCTTATACGTGCTATTTACAAAATTTTCCTTCAAGTATTTCTCATGACTTTCAATAATCAAATCACATATTTGCAGAAGACGATTTTTCGTGAGAATGGTGATTGGTGAGATTGTATTCTACTGAGTTCTAACCTCTGACACCCCTTACTATTTTGATGGAAGGAGATAAAGTTTTGATTCCCTCGTTTTACGTTACTGTCTTGAAAGTGTATTGTTATATAAGTATACACAAAGAAGCCCAAAATTAACCCTTCCACAATCTGCAATTAAGGGGGAATTCATTGTTATCATGACATATATGCAATAGCATGAACATGCCTGACTGGAAAGTATGCAAACTGCGTAACAGAGATTTCAGGAGATATATGAATTGTGTGCCCAATATCTCGCCCTCCTGTACCCCAAGATAAATCTATCCATAATAATAAATTGGATTGGAAACTAATGCCCTTTCCTTGAAGGCATGAGCAATATTCAGCAATTATCTATCCTTGGCTAGCTGTTGTATAAAATTATCTTTAATTAAACTCATATTAATTTATTAATAGACCTTTTTGCTAACATTGTTTCCATTGTTGACACTAATTCACCATTTGCTCATACATTTACATTTGTTCTACTTCATGGAAGTATAGAATAGAAGAAATTAAGTATTTCAGTGGTAGAATTATCAGCATGCAGCGGTTATAGGATTATGCAAAAGAGTTATTCACTCTGGTTCATGCTTTCATTGCTTTGTTACCTTTGGCTTCCCTGAAGGGTAACAAAAGTGACAAGGAATGTGAGTTATGTAAAACAGTGAATTGAGTATAAACAAATCTTAGCCAGAAATGCCTATTGTATGTTTTAAGTGAAATAAATCTTACTTGTCTAGGTGCTTGAATTCCTCAGTTAACACATACAATGGGGTCTGATAGCAGGTGAGTATTTCCCTACATTTCCCTACGTTTTTGTCATTTTTGTTTGTTTTCAAATAGAAATCTTGTCACTACCGTACAAATGTACTTGTTTTACATTATTTGAGAACACAATATTTGATAGAAAAACGTTTTTCATATTGTTTCTTGGCTGTTTAAAAAACTTTATTACTTATTAGTAACAGTCATTCTTTTCATATGAGCTGGTCTTACAGTAGAGCTTAACCAAAAAAATGTTTCAATTCCTAGGTTATTGCGCACTCTCAGGAGAGGGCAGTTTTTATACAAAACTCCTTTTTTAATCTAGAAAAAGACGACGCTCGCGTGATAGAAGTCGTTCACGAAGTAAAGATCGTAGTCAAAGATTAAGTCGTCGGAAGGACAAAACACATCGAAGACGCAGACACTCCAGTTCATCTAGTTCATCCAGTTCTTCAGATCGTGGACGAAATAGGAGTCGGGAAAGATCCAGACGATCAAGAAGTAAAGACAGAAACAAAAGGAGTAAACGCTCTAGAAGTCGTAGCGCTGATAAAAGAAAAAGAACAAGTAATAAAGACGAAACAAAATCCTCAAAGACCAGGTACATGTGAATTGCAAAAATTTCGTGAAGAATGAGATGAAATGTTTCGTTGTGATTCTTAATATCAGCTTGGCTAAATTCGAATGTTTGTGTCGGTAGACTAGAAATAGTGCTAAATGCTTTGATATATTTCTTTCTCAGCAGGGATAAAAGGAAAGATGAATCTGAAAGTACATCGAAGAAAACTAAGGTTGGCCAGACCACAGATACGTCCTTTCACACAACATTAACTCACATACAATGTGTAGACTGAGTTATATTTGACTTAATAGAATATTTGACCCGTAGGCAATATAACAAATTTATTTATAATCTTGTTTATCATGTGGATATTACTAATCGTCTGGATTGCTTATCTTGTACACAGAGCGACGAGAAAAAAGATGAGTCCAAAAAAGAAACAACAGACAAGGTACAAAGGGGTTGTATATTCACCGGAACCCTAGGTGCAGTCTGTAATTAATACCCCCCATTATTGATTTTGCAGAGAATTTCTATCTATGGATTTTAGTAATTGCTTGATCATGGATTCTCTCTTCCCATCTTTTATCACCACTGTTTCATAAATGTTGCATGAATAATTTATTTCTATTTTTACAGGACTACGAACAAAACAAACTTGAGGAGGAAATGAGAAAGAGGAAAGAAAGGTACAAACAATACACACGATTCGTACGTCACGTACAATAATTCATGATCTACTGTATTGTGGCAATGTAGGATTGAGAACTGGCGAAAACAAAGAAAAGCGGAAACTCTTGAAAAAGAGGCAGCTGACAAGGAAAGTATGGATCCAAATAGAAAGGAATGGACATTAGAAGACGATGAAGAAGATGATGCTGAAGATGTACGTAATAAAGATGTTTTGAGATTTGAAATCTCAGTAAGGATTCCTGTTGTTTGGCGAAGTGAAGCCAAGATATAATATTTTACAACACTGCACCCCCCCCCCTGCCCCTCATGCATGTTACTGCACCCATTATTGATATTACATAGTCAAAGGTAAACTTATCTCTCTTTATTTTCGTTATAGGTTAACCCAGAAAATGGAGATACTAGTAAGCTTTTTTATTACATCACAACTCGTATTTATATTCTTATGTTCTGTCATCGAAATCTTATTGTGAAATCGTATCGCCCTATTGTGGTGTGATCGGCTTCGATAAGGCATATTAATTGTGTGGGCCCAAAGTCGAAAGCTTAAAGATTTTCACCTAATGATCGTCACCGAGTGGGTGGTTAAACAGCGAATAAACCCTATTATTATGATATTAGCTTTGTATGTTTCAGACACCTCAACTGACGTCAAACCATACTTATTAGATTTAATCGGGGTTTATGAGAGATTATACCAGTATTTGGGAAAAAATTCCCTCGTAATTCGCCTTATCAATCGCAGTAGCTAAAGCAAATGCTAAGGCATATACTATCGTGCCAAAAAGTCCCCAAAACGCCCCCAATGTTGCTGAGGCGAAAATACGCTGTCTTCGGGGGTCAAAAAGTAATGTTATAACAAATATAAATTCTCAACTCTCGTGTGTGCTTTTTCTTATTTCAGCCAATGAAAACTCCACGGTCACACAGGTAAACTGTCCAAATATTTCTCTTGTACGTCATGTAACACACATTGTGAATAACTGAACTTAAATATACATGTACGCTGTTAACACTAAAAACCACTATAAAATACATAACGTTCATAATATTGCAGGATGTGTAAAGGACGCATTCTTTTCCCTCGATGCAATGCAATGCAATAGAATTGAGATGTTCCTGGTAAACGTTTTTCAAACAGATTTTGGTTTGTTTTAGGATGAAGACATTGATCCACTAGACGCATTTATGATTCAAGTTGACCAGCAGGTGTGTATCCACCATAATAAAGACACGATTTTGTATAAATTCGATAACCATTGAAGTGAAAGCGTTTTTTTTAAACCTAGAAATTTAGCAGAATCCTTTACAAATCCACACTGACCAGACTGGATGTTCAGATATAATTTATACGACATAATCTCGCTTTTCACTCGATTGTCTCCGTAATCGGTTCATGAAATATTTAATTCACTTCTAAAACTTGTTTTATCAGGTTTCTAAGCAGAAACAAGACGATGATAAACGTAAAGGGATTAAAAAGTCAGAGAAAGGAAAAGCAACTGTCATTACTACTGTTGTTAAGAAAAAAGTGAGTTTTTAGGTTATTGGGTGTAATCAGACCTGAATTTCTACGTTAGATCTTGTTGGAGTAAAACGGGCACTGATTGTGAATTCAGTACACTATAGCGAGGTCATGACTCCAGGAAATGATGAACGCATTTCACAGGTTTACTCAGTAACCTACTCTAGAGACAAAATGTGAGGGAAGCAAGAAATGTCTCTCTTAAATCACTTTTATAAAATGTTTTATTTTTCAATATTTATTTTCCAAGAATGTCGTCGAGACAGACACACTCAAGAAAGCTGCTAAAGGCGAATTAATGGCTAACGACCAGGATGCGATGGAGGTAAGCTGGTTGATGTTTTGATCTTAACATGGACAAGGGCAATAAAAATACTGTGAGACTTGTGGTGTTGAAAGATATGGCTATATACTTGATGGGTGGCCTAGTTTCTGTATCAAATCTAAATTTTGAAATGAGTAACGAGAAGGGAATAGATCACCAAGGCTAAAAGTGCATACTGTGTATTTATTCAAGTTTGGTTGCAAAATGTTGTAAAATGCAGAAATTATAGGTTTATAGCCATGCGAAGTTGGCAAATTTTCTATACTTTTGTATTACGTGTGGAATTGCGTGACTAATATAGTTATTTAATATAGAAATTATTTTTAAATATTTATTTGTTCTTCAGTATTCTTCAGAAGAGGAAGAGGAAGATGTGTTAGCTGATCCGAATAATATAGGCTACAAAACAAAACCGAAAAAGGTATTTCCATATCTCGAAACACTGTGGTTCGCAAGCTATTTATTATTTCGGACAGTACAGTCAAGTCATTTAACACATGGCATCAAGGCATAAACTTTTCTTATAATGACGCGTCGTGTCTTAAATGGAATAATTACTATACATATGTATTATTTAATATGGTGCTTTATATATACCTATAACTTATATAACTGACAACGTTCTTTCATTCTGTTTCAGGAGTTAGCTGCAGTTGATCATTCTAAAGTGTATTATCAACCTTTTAGAAAGAACTTTTATGTCGAAGTTCCTGAACTTGCAAAGCTCACACCTGAAGGTAGGCTATACGGCCTGTTATTTGGTTTGCAAGATTTATATATTTATGTCAGGGTTGTGTTTATCTTTTGTTTCACTGTGTTTATTGCTACACATCTATAACCGTACACAAGGAAATTTGGTTGGATATCTTGATTTGTCTTACCAGAGTTTTGCATGAACATTCCCAGAAAAAAAAACCTGGCAGACCGTAGTTTATCAAAATTTAAATCCCTCACATGGCTGGCAAGCAGCGAAACAATGGCTGATAGCACGTTTTTATGCAAAAATTACATTTAATTCTTGACCATGTGACATTGCTATAATTTGGTTCAGTGTCCTATGAAGCATTGCCTTGCCGTTGCATTTATACCATGCATGCAGGTCAAGTTATGCTTTTGATTTAGCTACATCTATGCATTGAAAGTTATTGAAAAAAGCAAAATTCTTCAATTTATCTCAAATCATTTTTCGTTTTTCTTTTTGAAAACATTGAACAATGCAGTCCTGAGTCTTCTTATGCGAAAGAAATAGACAAAAGGATTTATGCACGCGTTGATATAAATAAATGAAAATAACCTCCTCCATGTAAAAAAGTCTGCATTCGGCATCATTTGCAGCACAGCGTAGGGCAGGTATGTCGCGTAAAATAAGCAAACAACGATAAATGTATTCAACGTGGGTTTCAAAAGGCTATTTTCCTGTTTTTCTCGCCCTGAATTTCGTGAATCATTTGAAATATTCATATTTCGCCGTGTTCGTAACTGATCTTTAACCGCCTTGAAAACCACGGCATAAAGAAAAGCAACAAAGAACATTGTTGCTAAAACAACAGCGCTCAGAGATTTATCCAACTTCTCGTGATGTTTTTGACTCGCAGATAAAATGTCAACTAAACAATGCACGATAACTAAAGCCGTCGCAATCATCCATGTTCCAGCTATCATTATGAATGTTCTTGTTTTAGTTATGAACGTTGCATATCTTAACGGATAAACCACTGCGACAAATTTATCCACAGCTATAGCCAATACAGTTGTTTCGCTTAAAAATAAGCAAAACGTATTCAGCAGGGTGTAAAATTCACTGTACTCGTTCCTTCCAACGCTTGTGAGATGAATATTCCATGGTAAAAACGTTGTCAGTGATAGAAAATCAGCTAAGGCTAGGTTTAGAATGAGTAGGTCTGAATTCTTCTGACGTAACTCCCGTCTTGTCGTGAATAAAACGATGACCAGAAAATTTGCCAATGAACCTATGATAACTTGCAATGAAGCGAAACTCATCAGAAGACTGACTTCGAGATCGCTTATCAGTCTTGATGTACAGTTATTCATCCTTACGCCACCGAGCTCAAATTATCTGAATCGTGAAATATCATGAAAGTCCGTATAATTTTTCTTTCTTAATGACATATGTTAATAGAATGGAATATTTGACGTAATTTTAATATATGAAAGGCGACTGTTTGAAATTTTGTTTGCTCATATGGCGCGTTATATATATAATTAATTGTAAAGTATATAAAAAAATGCCAAAGTTGACCACAATTACAGGTCGTGTGTAATTGGCTGATGTAACTTTTAGTTTGGCCAAAGCAGTTCTTGATTTTATGAATTTACTCGTCAAAACTTTTTGAAGTAAAAGAAATAAAAAACGACTCGTCAATATCATCTGGAGCCAGATTTAATATTTCAGCTTTATCTATGTATATAAACACTTCACGAGCACATGTTGATAAATTTATTAAATTAAGGGCTGTTATTAGCTCTTGTAGTATAGATCATATAAAGGCCGATCATTCCCATATGCATCTATATCCAACCCAGCCCATACAAGGCCTGTTCTCAATTGTATCTCAAAAGCTCACTGCCACTGGTGCAAATTTGATACATAGCGTCCCTCATATTTTCATATGTTTTTTTTTAGAGGTTGAGGTGATTCTGCAAGATCTCGAGAATATAAAAGTGAAAGGCAAAAATGCTCCAAAGCCAATAAAGTCGTGGGCTCAGGTAATTAATTACCCAATGTGTGTGTTTTTCGCCCACTACCGACTTATGAGTTATGATAATGAGATGATCCATGCTGACCTATATTAACTATGTTTTTCTGATGCATTAATAACCCCGCTTAGAATGGACATTTCTGATAAACCACGACATATGGTGTTAATGGCATTAACATGCATGGGGCTCGACTTATTTTGCCACCGCGAAGTACTCCCACACGATTTCTGTCTAATGATTTTTTCTTTATTAGGCTGGATTAAGTCTAAAGATAATGGACGTTCTTAAAAAGTATGTTTATGCGTGTATAACCTTTGGAATTGTGCATTTTCTTGGTCTTTTTAAAATAGATGATAGGTTGGTAGGAAAATCAAAAAGACTGAAACATGCATATACGATTATTTTAAGATACGAAGACATGACATGCAACTCTGTTTGGTTTTAAAATAATCGCATGTTTTTCTCCATTTGTCTCCCTAACCTACCACTATCTGTAGCTCGGTTAATGTCCCTCGCGTGATCTGGTTAGATAACTGTAATACATAAAGTTTCCACATGCAGATAGCCCATTTGACCCGACACCTTGTGTTAATTTATAAAGATGCAACTATGAAAAGCCTACTCCAATACAAGCTCAAGCTATTCCTTGTGTAATGTCGGGACGAGATATGATAGGTGAGTCTAAAGTGAAATATAACGTCCATTACAAATTGCATATGCAGTACTTATTGAACTACGTTAAAGCTCGTTTATACACTTGCAATTTTTGCTCCGATTTTATGTGCGATTTTCTTCTTTTGAAAGATGTGAACGAATGAATTAGTTACTGATGTTCAAATACGAACTCTTAAACATCAGAGCATTCGTAACTAATTCACTCATTCGCATCTATCTAAAGAAGATAATCGGAGGAAAAATCGCAAGTGTGAACGAGACTTTAGAAAGCACGGCCATGAAAAATGATAGACGAAGCAAGGCAACTTGTACACCAATGAGAATCTGCAATGAGCATCTTAGCTGAATGACACTATACCGACTATAACCCGATTCCATGACCTAATTTTTAGTTCCCCGATCGAATACGATTCTTTCGCGGTGTAGCTACATGATTTCACACAATACGTATATACATGCACAGTACACAGCGATATATAGTTACAACGTTTCAGCTTCATTTGTTACTCTCCATTGCAGGTATTGCTAAAACAGGCAGTGGTAAGACATTGGCATTTTTGATTCCAATGTTACGCCATGTTCTGGATCAGCCCAGTCTGGACAGAGATGACGGTCCTATTGGTAAGAGGCAGAATTCCATGTTTCTAAAACGTCTCCTGTACTAAAAGCTAACCAATTTTGGAATCGCAAAGGTTTCCCTAATTAGTAGTGTAATTACTCGAGTAATTAAGTAGTGTAAAAAAGTAGTGTAATTTACTCGAGCATAGGACTGCCAAAAAGCGGTTGCCCTGGAACTTGGGGAACGAGTTAAACACCAAATTTTCTCACCGTAATTTTATTATACAGCAATAATAATGACACCAACAAGAGAGTTGGCGTTGCAGATTCACAGGGAAGCGAAGAAGTTCTGTAAACCTCTTGCACTTCAAGTTACATGTGTTTATGGAGGGACTGGCATTAGTGAACAAGTGAATACATTATTTCATTGCATTTATGATTTTGAATCAACAGGAAATCATCTGTATGGAAGAAATTTTATTTTCACAAATTACTTTATTGATGTAAAACTATTAACTTTAATTCGTAGATTGCGGATCTGAAGAGAGGCGCCGAGGTCATTGTTTGCACACCTGGACGAATGATTGACATGCTTACGGCCAATAACGGTTCGTTTTACTCAGCTCAGCATTCAACACCTGGGCAGCAGCTTTTTACTCATCTTGTCAAATATCAATTTTCAGATTCTAAATTAAGAATTATTAAGAGCCCTACACTCCACTTCATTTTTGCTCGCAAAGTTTAAGGCAAAGAGAGTATGAGAGACCCTTAATATAAAACATAAATACCTGAAGAACTATAAAGACCCTTAATATAAAACAACTATAGTACATGAGTAAAATCTCATTTTCCGCCGTGTATAATAAATCTAACATGAATTTCAGGTCGTGTCACGAACTGTCGCAGATGCACATACCTTGTTTTGGACGAAGCCGATAGGATGTTTGACATGGGTTTTGAGCCTCAAGTATGTCTGATAGCTAGTTTGAATTTTGTATTATTTTGATTGTACACACGAAGCTTGGTTTATTTAATCACATACGCCAGGGTTTGGACTCTTTAGAAAAAAGCTATACGAAAAACTTATATTTCAATTTTTAGGTCAATAAGATATTGGACTGCATTCGTCCAGATCGACAGACAGTGTTATTCTCTGCGACATTTCCAAGGCAGATGGAAGCTTTAGCAAGAAAAATTCTTACCAAACCAGTTGAGGTATGTCACAATCAACAATCAGCAATTGAAAAATATGTTGTTGACAAGTGTGAACAATAATGGCAGCACAACATTGTTGCATGCTGATAAACCGCAGATTCAGAGTTTTTAGCCTTGTAATAATCTCGTTTCCAGTTTTTTTACCATGAGATAACGTGCAGGTTTACTTAAATCAAGACCGTTCAGAATAGGGTTGTAGCAACATTTTCTCCAGGGTTTTATGACCTGAGAATATAAAAGCGTGTGAACAAGTTTCTCGTTTTCTTTCCTACTGTGTTCGATGGGTTCGTCTAGGTTAAAAGTGCATGGTTGGCGCCTTTCTCCTCCAATACCTGAAAATTTTTTTCATTTCATTTAGGTTCAAGTTGGTGGCAGAAGTGTTGTATGTTCCGATGTTGAGCAACACGTGGTACGTTTCCATAGAACCTTTATGATACTTACAAAAAAAGCACTGAAACAGCATCCTTAATTACACTTCTGCGAAGGCTAGTTTGCGCTCTCATTCGAAAATAGGATTAACTCAACTGCTGCAAAAAATGCTCAATAATAAATAACTCTAAACTCTAAACACATGAGTACGTTAATTTATTTAAGAGCAACTTCATAGGTTGGTAGCAATCTTAATAGGCAATTCTAAAAACTTTAAAAAAAGCTATATATACGGTGCATATTGGATTAGGTAGATTTTATTTATCATTTTTTAGGTTATTATTGAAGATGACGATAAATTCCTAAAATTATTGGAATTACTTGGTATTTATCAAGAACAAGGTACTGTACGGTGTTTATTGAAATTGTAAGTCGCTATATGTTCAGCTGTTTGCGACATTATATTATGCTATTCTAATCTTTCAAAGGAGTTTAAAAAGGCAGCCATATTTTGTTTTTGTTATGATGCTATGCAGCATGGTAATAGAATGAATAAAAGTGTTTTGCAATTTGTGTTTGTTTTCAAGCAAAGCTGCTTCTTCTTTTTAGGGAGTGTGTTAGTGTTTGTAGAGAAACAAGAGTCGGCGGATTCGTTACTAAAGGATTTATTAAAGAGATCGTATCCATGTCTTTCGCTTCACGGAGGTATTTTTTTTTCAATTTTCATTGATGTGTACAAAGTGTGACTTAAAGTTCACGAGCTTATTATTTGTTGTTTCTCCGGCCTACGGGGTAACAATATTCCAGTTGATGTCCATAATTTATTTCAGGTATGGACCAATTCGATCGAGACAGTACTATCGCTGATTTCAAGAATAACACTATAAAGTTGATGGTACGTGGTTTAAGTTCACGATAATTGAAAACGTTTTGAAGGTCCTATTGCGAATAATTTGTGACGGAATATTATAGTTGGGGAATCATAATGCTCAGGTCTGACTCTGCATGCAGTTCTACCATATTCATTTTCTATAATATTATGTGTTTACTGTTTATCAGGTTGCCACCTCTGTCGCAGCCCGTGGTCTTGATGTTAAGCAGTTAGTACTAGTGGTTAATTTTGATTGTCCTAATCACTACGAGGATTATGTTCATAGATGCGGGTATGTCGATCGCTATATAGTTTGTACAATACTGGTCAGATTATACGTGTAGATTTGCATTTTGCCCTCACAGTTAATTCTTCGTAATTTTTTTCAAAATCGTCCTTTCCAAAACGATAATCGTATATCATAGCGGATAATAATGAAGTATGCTCACATCCTATATAATTTTCAGCCGCACCGGACGTGCTGGTAATAAAGGAACCGCATTTACATTCATCACACCAGAGCAAGGAAAGTAAGTACTGTACATTCAGAAACAGTTTTATTCTTTGCGCATGCATGTGACTTCAGCGCATGTCTCCCTCAGTTTTAAGCTCTCTTCCTGTGTTTTATATTTTTACCCTCTGTAACACCACGGTTTTGTCAACCACGTTAATATCTGTGTCACAATCCTTTTCTAGATTTTCATCAGATATAATTAAGGTATAAATATTAATTCTGTATTTTTATAGTGTCACTACACTATATATATCTATGTTAAATGTACTATGATACTATCATATATGTATCACATATGCTCTGAATGTATGTAAAAAATATCTTTTTTCTACATATGTTTAATATATATTAATCTATGCACACATTGTTTATGTCAGGCGCTAGAACTGTCTGGAGCGGACGTACCTGGCGATTTGAAAACATTACTAGAAGTATATAAAGAACAAAGGAAAGCGGTATGTGCTTCACAATGCTCTGCTTAGCTGGACCACCACTTTGTACCTCTTCACATATTGCATGCTATTTGTCGCGAATTTCCAAGGAGCAGCCTTGCTTTACAAAGCGCCCAGCCACAAGATACAGCTAGTGTGACACCGTATATCTTCTCTAGCAGAATATACACCATTTCCAGCGAATTATACCGTTTAAAGCTGAATGTGTGTAATCTTATAATCTATATGTAACGAATAATTATAGGAAGGAAAAGGCATTGTGAGGAATAGCGGATTTTCTGGAAAAGGTAAGATAAGTTATGCGATTCTCTAAAATGCCAGTGTTCGCTTCTGTTTTTCTCAAAAAAACAATGCTGTGTGCTTGATATTACAGGATTTAAATTCGACGAGGCTGAAAAGAACCAGGTTAATGAAGCCAAGAAAATGCAAAAATGGGTAGGTTTGTCAACCTCTTATCATGTGTTGTATATCACAACATGTTGTTGCATATCAACTGAAGAAACAGGCATGCGTGATAAATATTTCGTTATGGTTTTCCAGGCACTAGGTCTGCAGGATTCGGATGACGAGGCTGAAGCAGCGGATCAAGCTGCTGACCAGGTGAGATTATGTAATCTCTTTTATATGTGCGGATTAAGATGTTTCTGTTGTCTTTGGGTCCTCGACCAGAAAAGCCTCCAGATGAAGGGAAATGCATGTCTGCTCCGACCCATGAGAACACCTTTTTTTCAGTAGAAAACAGCCATCAGTGTTCTTAATTTTTGAATCTTAATTCTTCTTATATTTGATATCAGATTGATAAAGACATTGCGAAGGCCTTCAGCAATAAACCAACCTTAAAAAAAGCGGGTATAGTAGTTGCTCCTGTTGTCCCTGGAGGTAATCAACCTGAAGCCATTAAAGGCGCTCAAAAAGGTAACAAACATTTTGGCACATTCACGAGATTTTACCTCTTTCCTTGCAAGCTTCCAGGCAGAGTTGCAAAGAAAGTTCAACCTTCCTCCGGTAGGATTTCAAGTTTTGAAAACTTTCCTCAAAATGACGTTACGTCATTGAGTCTAGTGGCAATCAGCATAGAGAAATATTTGTTTTTTGGTTGGTGCATGTGATCAATTAAAGTGCTCAACTTTGAACCTTCCTCACAAACCTCATTCAAAGCAAGCCTTCCTCCGGGTGCCCGCAGCTTTTTTGCAACTCTGCTTCCAGAGTTCTTTCGGTCAAGACCAAACTCTCATAGAACAAACTCTCATAGCCATGCATGCTCGCATTCGTCCGGTTTGCTCGTGTGAATACAGATAACTGCATGGTCGAATTTTATAAACAATCTGTTTTCGCTGCACGAAAGAACGATGTCAAATCTGCCCCTTCCCGTGTTAACGTAGCCTGAATTGAATTGTATTTTTTCAGCAAAACTGAATCTTGCTGCAAGTATAGCTGCAAAGATCAACGAAAAGATCAGTTCAGGAAATGTAAGAAAGATCCTTAGGCACAACTTAGTATTGTCTTATTAGTCAGTACTTTTTTGTTCAGTTGCTCAGAGGAAAACAACGGATTGAAAACAGCAGCATGCACTATTCGTCAAAATGCAATGTCAGTCAAGTGTAAATGACTGAAAAATCAGTCAAGTGTAAGTGACTAAAAACAGTTGAGAAGTAAAAAGCATGTAAAAATGTAAATATTTTCGTTCTTTAGAACCTTGACATGACACAGCAAGCTACTAGTAAGATCATGAAAGGTGAAGCTGTTAGCAAAATGTCTGTAAGTATCATACCTCGTGCTGTTTTAAGCATTGTTATAAAGAGGCATTTTTACCAGGCGCGATTCAAGGTCGTTTACTTTTCACTGTAGTCAATGAAAGGATTGACCAATCTTCTTGAACTTTCTCGTTCATGCAGGGACTTGGTTTAGCGAAACAACTGGCAGAAAAGGTGAACAGCAAGCTGAACTACATACCAGCAGAACCTGAAAAAGAAGAAGAAACCACATCAACAGATGATCGCTATGAAGACGAAATTGAGATAAACTCTTTTCCACAACAAGCACGATGGAAGATCACATCAAAGGTGCCCCATCCTTAGATTTGTGGCATTGGGAATATTATTTTACAAGTTGGGCATAGGAAAGAGATTCGCTTATGATCAAATTCACTTTCTCTCTAACAGGACACGCTTTCGCAAATCACCGAGTATTCCGAGGCAGCCGTAACAGTGCGAGGAACCTACATTGGTCCAGGTAATCATCATTGCTCATTTCTAGCCTTTTGTGGTTTAGTCAGACTGTCTAAAAAAAATTTTTCTGGTCCATTGGACTACCAATGTTCTTTCGGCATACACTGTATGCCTGACTATTGAATTCGGTAGAGCGAAACGCTCGCAGAATATTAATACTGAAGTGAAAACAATTCTGTGTAACTTCAGGAACACTGAGACGTTTATTGTATTTAGGAGGCCAACTGGATGAGGGAGACAGAAAAATTTATTTATATATCGAAGGTACGTGACGCTGAAACCTATCTTTTCTTATGTTTCCATTCGGAACACAACCAATACATTACTCAGACTGATTTCTTTTGAGAACATTCAACAGAAATATGCGTATGTAACAATTTGGCGGCTGGTGTAACCATGTTTGTGCTAAATGCATCGACAACCAGACCGTAAATCGATAATGAAAACCTTAAAATGAAACGACATATTCTATAGGACCTACCGAGCGGTCAGTTCAAATAGCGAAATTGGAAATCAAACGAGTACTGAAAGAGGAACTGCTTCGTCAGGTGAGTCCACAATGTACAAGTTAAAAATTACGGTTGATTTATTTAGTGACGGAGTTATAAATGCATGTTTTATTATTTTTTCAGAGTACATACCACGCACCGCAGCCAACTGGGCGGTATAAGGTCCTATGAAAGAGAACAACGGCATGATAGTCAGTCTGATGTTAGAGCAATAAAATATCGTCAGTTTGATTTTCTTGGTACTTTACTGAGTGAACAATATCATCGAACGGTACGAACAATATGATGGGCAAACATCAATCAATAGTCAAACTGTGAATTCATGCGTGTGGGTTTTAAAGAGTTAGGTCTACGTACATAATGAAATATTACACATATTTGAGGATCACAATGATTTATGGAGTGGCATTTTTTCCTCGCTTGTATGACTCCGTTAGATTTAACAATTGTCGTTGTACAATTGTAACAAATGTAACGTTGTCATTGTATTTTTACCCTTTGCACACACGCAAGTATCTCTAAAGTAGATTAATTTGATTATTCAACGGTCGATAATGTTGAACTGTTGTAATAGATAAAAAGATCTGCGTTCATCTGTAAATATAGTTTCAATAAATATTCCAGACTTTCTTATACATTCTAAAACTCTTAGCCGTGAACCAAACATTTCAACATTTTTGCCCATTGGTGTGTGTTGGTCCTGCATAGGGTGATGATGAATCATCTTTGTACCAAGTTTTAATGAAGCAAGGCCCAGTTCTGTTCCATCATTCAGAAAGAGCTGGGGCTTCTCCTCAATAGAGACTGAGGAAAGATGAAACGGTCAAAGAGATGAGGTTTTCACAGTACCTAATAGGACTTATCACGGCCATTAGTGATAAGAGGTTTTGGTATTAACTCCAGAGGCAATCTCGAAGCCCGCGATCCATCGGGGGGGGGGGAACCCGGAAATTGAATTTTAATTATCCCAGCATGCAATTTGTGCACGTGTATAGTGTATACAGCGGGTAACAAAATGGCGTTTGAAAGTCAGTCTGAAACTTCTAATACACATTTTTCCTCAAACATAGACATAGATAATCCACCATTCTCTCGTGTCTTTATTGTTTGTGGACGTAACTTAACCTTAGAAGAAGTGACAAATGCATTTTCTGCTTATGGCACAGTTGAAGATGTACGTATGGTTAAAGATAAAGTAACGAAGGAAAGCAAGGGTATTTGCTTCGTAAAGTTTGCCAAGGCATCGTCTGCTGCTATGGCTATTGAATATTTGGATGGAAAGGTAATTGGAAGTGAACCCAAGCCCATAAAGGTACGTGTTTAACCTATGCGTTTTATTTGAAGTCGTGTCTCTGTGGGCATTCTAATGTCTGTATAAAAATTATTTAATTATAACATATTAAAAATGAGATTGTTCATTATATAACGGTATTATACAACGATATAATATCGCTGATTTTCTCGCAACTCTTCTGCTTTGATGTAAAAAATAGAATGTTTGAAGGGAATTTAGATCGCAGTATATGAGGGAATTGCACTCACGTGCTAGAATATTTTCAGTAATTATAATTCCATTACTACTTTTTGGGCTGGGTATCTTATTAAATCGCAATATTGAGCGATGTCACACAATTTGGTCATGACGTTGAGGCTTTCAGGTCAATCGATGCATTAATATTGAAGTTGAAATATTGAAAGAATATCACAGAATTCCTCCTTCAAAATCTCCAAATGTATATAAATATGTGATCCCAGTGGCTTTTTCTTTGTGAGATATGGAATATTTTGCCCGTTTTCAGTTGAGTCACTCATTGACCTCAAGGAGAAGTATGCATTTCTACAATAATAATTTGCACCATTTGGCAATAACAAATGCATCTCTATCAGAAGTTGTTTGAAAATAATTTTACATCTGTGAAGAAGAAAGGAGCTTATTTCTATGCTGTGTTTAAACTCTTGTTGTTGTTTTTTACATGTCATTTATATTGTACAAAAGCTTTTCTAATGTGCAATTATAATTCAGATGCATAAGAAATGCATTTTGCTGATTAGTGTTTATGTTAAGCATGAAGCTGTGTTCATATGTTAGTAATGTTACTTAATATTTTCTAATGAATTTGTTGTATGTCTGTATTCGCTAGTCAGCTAATATTTTTCTGTTAGGATAGCATCTGATAATTCGTTACAAACCAATGAAACAGAACATTTTTACAGGTACCTGTGAATTGAGCAATTGCCTAAGTAAATTTCAGTGGTTTTCACCTGTTTTCCTTTCAACAATATTTTGAGTTATTGAGTAATGCTATGAATGGTTGAAATATATAAGGACAAACGAAACACTGTATCAATCGTCGTGGGCCAACTTGGTGGAATAATTTAAAATAGCCCCTTCTTAAAAACATGCCTATTTTCACAGCAAATTTTTCTCTACAAACCAATTACGTTTTTTTTATTCAGATCATGTTTTACATCTGCATGTGTTCCCTGTGAAAACATTTTTTGGTTTACCCACATGCCTGACATGTTGTAACTTGAAACTGCCAGAGTCCATCTTAATAAATATATTTGGCCAAAGATATCTTACTTATAGGAATAATTGGAATAATTTTGATTAGTTTAACTGATTTAAAATTTACTACGTAATAAAGCACAATGTTTATGATATGAAATTCGTCGTTTCCAGGCGATGATTGCTCAGTCCAAAACACCAGGAAAACAACCCGACTTACAAGACTCGGATCTCAGCCGTATCTTCGTTGTCATTCCAAAAACGTTCAGCGAAGATGACTTACGTGCGAAGTTCGCAGATTACGATAGCGATATTGATTATTGCCAAGTGGTAAGAGATCATGAGACGAGGGACTCGAAAGGAGTCGGTTATGTGAAATTCACAAAACCCTCAACGGCTGCATTAGCAATTGAAACTTGTGACCGCTCCTTGAAAGCTGTGATTGCGGAACCCAAATCGTCCAAGTTTAAACAACATAAATTGGAGCAAGAGAAGAATGTCATGTCTGCATTCGCCGCCGCTATGCAGGCAATGCCGGTGAATCCTTTCCTGGAGCAACAAAATTTCAACTTTCCTGGCATTCATGATCAAAGTAACCCAGCAAATACAATGTTAGCTGCTCAAGCTGCTGTGACTGAGGGAATTGCAAACCAACTCGCCTCCTCCTTCAGAAATAAACGTCTCTTTGTCATCGTTTCTCCGTCGGTAACCCAAGATCAGCTTTCTTCACTGTTTGATCTCATTCCCGGAATGGAATACTGCGACCTGAAACGCGACCACAACACACGCGAATCGCGTGGTATTGCGTACGTCATGTACAAGTCGATGGGTTCCGCAGTCTACGCGAAGGAGAAGCTCAACGGTTTCGAATATCCTCCAGGATCGAGACTCGTCGTTAAATTTGCCGAAGAAAATACACACGCACAGAATGGCAACAAAAATAATATGACTGGTACGCATGTTACCAGCATGCCAAATGAGCTTTCTTACCCTGCGTTTAATACCACTACCCCTGGATATATCTCCACTGCTATGGGTAATCCCATGGTGTTCAATCCTAACCCCTCTTCTACAGCATCCTATCAAGCCTCTTCAAATACCACTACTGGGTCAAGCACACCGTACACCACGGCAGTTTTACCGAACCCGCAACGTTTTGCAGATCCGAATGCGGACGTTGCTGCTCGGCTGTTCATCGTCTGCCAACCCCGCGCCCCGCCAGAGCAGGTACTTAAGGATGTTTTCAGTCGTTTTGGAGATCTTATTGATGTCTGGATGGTTGGTGATCGTAATTTTGGTTATGCGAAGTTTTCCACAAAAGTCGCTGCAGATGCTGCCATCACCGGCTTGAATGGACAGGAGATCCTGGGGATGAAAGTTAAGGTTCTCCATGCAGATCCACCGAAGAACGAAAGCTCCAGGAAACGCCCAAGAGTGTGAAGTGCTTTTATTAGGAATACTACTGTGCATGGGCAGTACGAGTTAAAAGAGGTATTGATTTTTTGTGGTATTGTTGTGCGTTTATTTTATCTCATTTCTTGACTGTTAGAAGAGTTGCAAATATGGGATAAACAGATGGAACCGCTTACTTGATTACATCTATTAACTGGATGGACGAGACAACTTCGTTTACAAGTGCAATGTATTTAACTTATTTTAACAGTTTATCGACTTAAACGCCATCGACTGTGACGTTTCCGCAAATGTGACTTGGAACTTTCTTGATAACCAGATTACTGAACTAGAAACTTTAAGTGCGATATTTACTACTGCATTTGTTTACTATACTATTATAGTATTTTACTCAACCTACTATGACGCGTATATGGATTTATGTTCATTTATTCCTGACAAGCTAACCATGCATTGCTTTCTAACATCTTTTGTACATCAGCCCTACTACAGTGTAGTTACATATAGCCGACGATATTTTTAAAATTACTGAGCTAAAAGGTCGAATAGAGCAAAATAATCCAATTAAAAATCAAACATGTTACATGACATTGTTTTAAAATAGATCGTAAAGGTACATATAGCGTATACCAATGTTCCTATAAGAAGGATTAAACTATCTGAATATGATAACAACATGTACTCAATTTTTATTTATTAATAACGATAAGGATAACGACGAAGTGAGGACTTACATATTTCAGTTAGTTTGAAACTTCTACCTTATTGACGGGCTAAAAATTGGAACTAAACATTGGCATGCGATTATTCCATGCGATGATTTAAATTAAATTAACATAAGAAGATGTTAAATATGTGTAGTAAATATAAATGATTATGGTTATGAAGAAATTATTAAAAATATATATATATACTAACTGGTAAACACAATTTTCAAATACCGTATTAAGTTTGCTGGTATAAAGTCTAAAATTTTTATTCCCAATTAACTATAACCGATTTTACCTAAACAATGCACGCTGCTAAAATAGTCATATACTGTATTTCTGAAATAACTTAAGGAAGTTATTCCTCGGTTCAACAGGCCTCTCTTTCCATTAAAATGCTCCTAAAGATTAACCGGGGGGGGGGTATCACAAAGACAGCGATACTCGGACTACGCAAAAACTAAACCTGGACATACGTCGTTACTGGGATGGTTTTAAACTATGAACTTCACACGTTATACCGAGCGTCAGTACATGCAATGCCAGTGATAAAGACGCATTTGAAAACATCTGATAATGACTCCCTATATCTGTGCTTATACGCATGGTCTTACATCTAGCTACATCCTTGCATCGCACGATGTGGTAATAACATCACTGACGTATTTAACGGAGGTATGGTTACTTTTAACGACGTCCACGGTCACATCTACATTGACTTTAACAATCAGGTTGGTCTTTTTGATAAATTGTTGCTTGCATGTTTGCTGAGTATGTATGTGTGACAGACCTGACTGCATATTCTGAGCAACGCTTATTGTTTTTAATCTAGCTACTTCAACAAATTAGAAAATTTTCCTACTCAGAAACTTTTAGCAATAACAACTCTTGAACAGAAACCTTTGTGAAACAAAGCACCTCCAAATTTTATGACTAGTCTCCAGGCGTTGTAACAAGTTGTGTGGCTTTCGCAGTGATTTGTGTACATTTTTAATCATCGTTCATTGTGCTGGCTAATTTTCATTTTTTTAAAACAATCTAGCACAAAGCAATTCCAAGACTACTACTACCGGTTCTCAGAGCATTGTTTATGCTCATGTCCCAAAAGTAACTGGCATTGGCAGTCCTTTGTCTTTGTATATAAGACTGACCGTTTAGGAATGAGATGGATGGCTGTTTGCTACAGGTAATCTACGGCCGTTTCTACAGGTTACATGCATGATGCGTACACGGCTGGTTAAATCGAGGTTATCCAAGGCTGGGTTGGCTAGGCTTAATTTCCAATGATGTGCTGACATGTTGTGTAAACCGTTGAAAAGTGCTTACACACATTACAGTATAGCTATGTTTGGTTCTGAAAATTTGCCTGGGCATGATATGTTGCAAGAAAATTGAGACTATCGATATATACATTATGATACCACCCTGTTAATTAATTATACAGCACACGTACAGAGGCTATGTAGAAGCTACTATAATCTAAGAATCCACAAGTTACATTCTACTACATAATTGATTGTACAACTTAAATTTTTCCCTCAAATAACGAATACAATGGGTCTTGATATGTTCACCTACTATGTATCTATATCTACCTTTGCTCAAAATTGCAAATATTTGAACGAGATCATGCATATCTAATAAGTACTAAACGGCGCGAATAAGAACTAATTCTGCGGTTATATGGATTTTTTACGTAGTAATACGACTATATTCCAGGCGTGTCAATTTTTGCTTCATTCTCTTTATTTTCAATAGGTGGAGCAGCGGCAGTATTGCCACAGCTACGACAGGCACAGGCTGCTGGTACGGTGATACGATGACGCTTAGTGGTGTCGTTTGGACATTTCAATATGACATCTTTGGAATTAAGAACACTAGGAAAACAACAGCTACAGCGTCCTTCGTAGAACGGTGCTTCATTGATGTATCGAGTGCCAGAGGAACACTTACCGTCACAGACAACTAAAAAAAGACAACGACAAGTTAAACTCCGCGCGTTATTTGCAGTTATGCATGATAGGCATATGCATGATTATGTATTTGCACTTATGTATTGCATGTGTCTTCACTAGATTTTATTCATTTAGTGGTATCAGTAGCAATTAAAGTCCGAACAGGGGGAATGTGCAAAATTGCATCTGTGACAAGTGGACAAATTGCAGAATCACAAATGAGTGATACATGTAATATTTATCTTACCAACTTCCACGGGATATTCGTTGATGCAGCCGTCAACATTTATGTCGACATACTGTGACCCAAGATTACATAATTGTTCTATAACAAAAAGAGAACAAAAATTGTAAACGGACATTAAAAAAAAAGAGAGAGAAAGTGCTACGCTGTTAGTTCTTTTCTTAGAATTTTGGAGCTCGGACTCTACTAGATTTCGACCAATGCGCCGAATAATTCGTTTACAAATTATTTTATACCAAAGCTCAGCCTTTGGAAGACATAAATCGCAGTTTGGAAATCAACTATTCATTCATGTGGATGATGTTTAATTTATTTTGCAGTTCCGCTTTCATTTCATCGGCAACGTCAGTAAATACGGTAAAAGACCCAAACGTACCGGTTTCCTTGCACAAGACTTTTATCAAGTCCAACACAGGTTCAGTCACTTCTTCAAAATCATCTCCAATAAAGAGATCGCGTTGTGTTTTAACCAAAGGTCTCAACTCGTTCTTTTCCGCCTCCCCGACGCCAATGGCAATCACATGAACGCCTTCATTACGCAATGGCGCAATTGCTAACTCTAGTGCCTCCTCGTCGCATTTCTTATTCTGTGTGCCGTCCGTGAGAATGAATAGGATTTTAGGAATATTTTCACTTCGCATGCCCTTCTCTTTGGTAAGAACATCCGATGCTGCCAAACGAAGAGCTTTATCTAAGCGAATCTTCCCCCCTTTCAGAGGCAGGTTGTCTACGATATTTTCAAAAGATTTCAAGGTCGTCTTGTTGTTAAAACCAGTGATAACCTCGGCTTCGCTGTTGTATAAAACAATACCCACATGACTGCCATACATTGAAACGTCAAATTCTCTGCCAATGGCTTTCAGTAATGTCTTCTGTTTAAGGTAGTTGCCACCACGCATGCTCGCAGAAGAGTCCACCAGCAGGACAATGTCAGCATGTCTCTTGCAATCTTTCTCTGAACGAAAAAGGTTGGAAAATATGCCGACTTTATGTAAAGTTAAAAGAAAACGGCCAAAATTTGAAAAAGAGAATATGCTCACTCAAGTAGTAAAACATGTCTAAATATATGCGAAGATATTTACATATTACTTTTAACTACAGTCCAGTATGTATCATGTGTGGGAAATATATAAAATAATAGCATTGGTACTTAATAAGTCTTAAAACATTGACCATATACCATTGAAAAAATGCATTAAAATTATAAAACGCATAGTCGGGGTTGGCTAAGTTAAGTGCTATGTTCTCGACATTTAAAGATTATTGAGGTGCGACATTCGACGGTGTCGGTGATCCAATAAGACCTATCTTATAATGACGTGAAAGGCAGTGAGACAGATGTTACACGAATTTTGATTGGCTCGTTAGTTTTGTGGAGCCAATCATATTTCCCGTAACATAATTCTTCCCGCGGTTGACGTCAAGAGAAAGGTAATTTAACTCACGTGCTTTCTGGCAAAGGGATTGTCCCACAACGGTAACTGTATCAAACAGTGTATCGAAAGTCTTCACGTGATAAATATTTTTCCTGGATTCAGAGATTGCCATTAATTCGTACTCGTCCACCTCGTGACCGATACCAATGCTAACTATATGGATGCCAATAGATGCCAGTGGTGCTACAGCATCACTGAGTTCAATTGCATCTGGAGCAGACGTTTGTTGTCCGTCTGTCATAATGATAAGCATTTTAGGCATGCCAACACGTGCACCACCAGAAGGAGTGAACACGCTGTTCGAGGCGATTGCAAGCGCCAGATCAATCCTTGTTTGACCACCCTCGTATTTTATGCTGCGTACCGCATTCGCAAAGCTCTCCAAATCGACGTGGTCACTTAAATTGATCGCTACTCTTGATTCTGAGCCATACACGATCACAGCAACGTGGGTTTTAGAGTCAGAAAGTCCAAAACTTCGTGCCAACATTATCACAGCAGATTTCTGAATTTCGAAGTCACTATGTGTGATACTGTCTGAGGTATCAATAGCAATGGCGAGGTCCATGGGATAACTACATATGTTGACCGCTAGAAAGAAAATAATATTTATTTTTAATGACATTTTTCGCCTGGTCTGATATTTGTTATGGAATACATCAAGAAATAGAGCAACTTCAATCCATTATGCCCATTAATAAACGATTAAATATGATGGTCAGAAGCAAAACTTACCAGCGCATATTTTTCCATTTCCATTATATCCAGCGTTGCATTCGCAGTAATAAGATCCTTCGTTGTTAAAACATTTTGCATTTTCATCACACGGGGGCACTTCATTATTGCATTCATTCACATCTTTAGGGAAAGTAAAATCATTGACGGTTGGCAGGCAGCGTGCTGCCCTTTAAGCCTCCTCAACTCATTGCGAAAACACAAACTCGCTGCGAACACGTAGAGACGAGACGAGTTGCTTGTTGCGATGAGTGAAAAAAACTCCTTAAAATCTTGCACAACATTGCGAAGGCAGAGGCCCGTTCTAGCCCTCGATATGGACTAGAATTCCGTAGTATAAAGTCCCGTTTACACTACACTCAATTTACTGGCACGGCTAAAATGGGTACCCCCGTGCCCAATTTCATTGGTGTTCAGGCTACCAAAACAAAGGCAGGGCATGGGTACCCATTTTAGCCGTGCTTTGCCGATAAATCGAGTGTAGTGTTTAAACGGGACTTAAAGCACTTTGGCAATTGTGATAAGAGCCTAGGCGATCCCTGGTTGAAATTCTTTTAACCTACCTCTGCACAGGTCAATCTAATGCCTAGCTTAGACATTTGCACTGTTATCATAATTTAACAATAAGAATATAATTATGTATCTAATCCTGGGTAATGTATCATGTTCTTGCCTTCACAAGTAAATCCATCTCCTAAATATCCGATGTTACAAGAACATGAGAATGATCCTGCTGAGTTTTGACATTTGGCGTTTTCATTGCAAGGTCTGTTGTTACACTCGTTGTTGTCTTTAAAGAAAAAAGTTGTGTGGTCATACAATAAAATACAAATAGTTGTATCGACTGGATGACAAACAGACAATGCGTGTTCCACAGTGCTATTAAGTGCCACCGTAGTTTGATGTAGCTAACTGCATTGGTTACCGCGTATGGTATTATTTCTAATCTGTAGTATGAAGGGTAAACCTCGACAAAAACACAATATACATGTTATATAACCACGGGCTATATCTGGGCTTGTAAATGGTATAACGCTCCATACATGCAACTCCATCTTAAATAGCTAGATTGAGTCATCTTGATAACTGGATGTTATCTCCGGAATCCCTCTGAATGAGGACATTAGCGACGATATTCAAGAATTCTATCTTCTCCCCGCCTGGCCTGAATGAATCAGTCAGTAACATACCTGCGCAAAAGAACCCATCTCCAGAATAACCTGTTTTACAAGCGCATGAATACGAACCATCGTTATTACTGCACGCTGCATTGATGTCACAAGGGTTTCGCAAGCATTCATTTATATCTAGAAGGACATATAGCAGGAAAAAATCGGTATTTGCCTCTCAATTAGAAATTATACAAACAACCGACAGAATTGAAATGACGACGTCATTAAACATCGCGACAAAATTAAGTTAACACAAAGGAAATCCCGTTTCTGAATGTACAGACACTGAATTCGTTCCATAACACATTTTTTTCATGCCAAGATTGACTGAACTGACTTGATGGCAAACATCTCAGAAAAATGTATTCACTGAGATATAGCTTGTGTTCGTTTTAGCTGGAGTAGTACCAAAGGAGTTATTCATGCATGCATCCCCCCAGTTTTATTATAATTTTTGGTTTACTTATGATAGTTTATATATGCTCATCGTGGTAGTAAATAAATAGCAGTACCATCACAAGTAAATCCATTTCCATAATATCCGATTTTACATTCACATTCAAATGATCCTGCATTGTTGGAGCATTTGCCATTTACATCACACGGACTGCCCTGACACTCATCAATATCTAGATTTTTGAAAGTAAATTCTCTCTAGTTGAAGTGAACACTGAAAATTAATCTCTGGAGTTTGTGTAAGCCACCATTTTTTGGTTTTAAATGATAAATGACAAGCTCATGCATAGAAAGAAAATCAGCCAAAAATGCAGCAACTCGCGTTTCTGGCAGTTCCTATATAGTTGGGCACGCCTATGCATGACTGCATTACATGTTATAGTTCCATAGATATATTCAGTTTAAGTACCTGAACAGGTAAATCCATTTCCAGCATACCCAGTATTACAGGAACATTCAAATGAACCGGGATTGTTTGAGCATTTACCATTTGCATCACATGGGCTTCCCTCGCACTCATCAATGTCTGAAAGAGAGTTTTAAGTGACACATGGTTAGGGGGAAAACTTCGTATTTTGTGAAATTGTGTCAACTTTTCACCAGCGGTTTGTTCCTCTTCTAGTCTTCTTTCATTCGAACCGAACAACACCAGTCTCTCGACAATCAACGATGTCATTGAGATTACCTGAACAAGTAAACCCATTTCCAGCATACCCAATATTGCAGTCACATTCAAATGATCCTGGATTATTCGAGCATTTGCCATCTGCGGAGCATGGACTGACCTCGCATTCATCAACGTCTAGTTACAATATACATTTCCAAGTCGATGGAATTCATTGAATCAATTATAAACCAATAAAACATTAATAAACGATAATTGCATGATACTAAAAGGAGTGATTTTTAATTTGGCAGTTTTACTGTCATTTAAAGTGCATTGACTTGTTATGGAGTTTACAGTGAAAAGTTTCAAGTCATGACACAACATGCAATGTCTTTTGTTGATGACATCATCAGCCGATCAGGTGCTGTAGTTAAATTTTTAACCGGAAACGTACTTTTCCTGTGTAAAGCCGTAGAATAGGGTAAAGAACAGTATGACTCAGTGTACGTCACGTCTGATGACGTCTTCTTTTTTATGCAGTCAAATTTTTAGATTAGTTGTATGGAAGCTTATAGTGTATAACATTAATACGCGTAGTAACACTGGCAAAACCGATAGAAATCATCTCAGCGGTACCTGAACAGGTAAATCCATTTCCAGTATACCCAGTGTTACAGGAACATTTAAATGACCCGGGATTGTTGTAGCATTCACCATTTGCATCACATGGGCTGCCCTCGCACTCATCAATGTCTGGAACAATCATATTGATCAAGGAAAGAAGGCTTAGGCCCATCATTCATAAGGTTGAGGTACAGTATGATAGCGTTGTTTGTTATTAACGCATGCTTATGTTCTCGTCTTAATGGAAAATAATGAAAAGTTGTCGGAGAAATGACTGAAATGTAAAGTATTCACTACCTGAACACGAAAAGCCGTTTCCAGAAAAGCCCATGTTGCACCGGCATTCAAATGATCCTGGACTGTTGGAACATATGCCATTCACATCGCATGGACTGCCCTGACATTCATCGATGTCTGAAATAATACAGGTTTGGGGTTCTCAAATCTAACCAATTCTTAAACGTTTTTATAGCGAAAGCGTGAAGCATCGAACGCAAATATATCAGTTATCATAATATTATAATATTTTTGAGCATTGACCAGCAGAGCCGTCCATGTCGATGCACATAACAGGTGTTTAAAAAGAAGGGTATACCGGCGTAATTCAGTTTATTCTATTATCCGATTCTTAGTGATGTAAAAAGTATCCCTTGTTGATACGACTGATTTATCTTGCCCGGAAGTACTGAAAATATTATTTGGTCACAGAAGAGCCATATACCAGCACTTGATCGGATAGATGATGTGCAACTGAGTGGAATTGACCTCATGAATTCCATTCCAGTCTTCATTTTATTTATAGTCATTGACAGACAATATAGTCCTAAATTTTACATCCTTTTATGAACTTTTGAGTTACAATATCGGTTTATTTACATATTCATTATTCCTGGAAATGACATGAAATATTGGACAATCCAGCCATAGTATTGTATAGGCCACGTGCTTCTCTTGGATCAATAGCGACGACTTTGAAGAAGCAAGATTTCCCTCGGCTTATCAGAAACGTTGCATGCACATTATTCACGCGCAAGACGACTCAATCCGGCTACCGGTATTAGAGATGGAGCGAGAGCGCTGAGCGTTATACCATTTATCAAGAACATAGATTGAATGTTACCACCCAACCAAAAACGCAAACTCGTAGCTACTTACACACTCTAATAACTTCTGTATAAGAAAATATCCGATTCGTAAAAGTGAGCAATTTTCGTTTCATCTTTGCCGAATATTTAGTTAATTTAGACTGTCTAAGATCTTATTAGCTATACTTTCAACGTTATCTATCCCACAATTATATTCTATACATGAAGGCTAACCTCACATGCATGAAGCACCTAAAAAACTGAATTTATTTAATTTGATTTATTAACAGGAAAGAATGTCTGCCTTAAAGAACTTTGTATTATACCGATGAACATCTAGAGATAGACATCTAGAAATTCTTTTCACTATATATTACTCCATTTTTGAGGCAATACTCAGGTACATATAATAAGGATAGTCACGTTACCTCTGCATGTAAATCCATCTCCAGTATATCCAGTATTACATTCACATGTGAAAGATCTCTTCGTGTTTGTGCATTTTGCATTATCATCGCATGGATCGTTCAAGCATTCGTCAATGTCTGTGGTAGAGAAAGTACGTGAAGAGGGTAAATGGCAAAAGCTAACCCACGAGAATATGCATGTGTTTTATTGAAAATGGTCGCCTGAAGCAGTTCTTCATCTCACTCGGCTAAAATCGTGGCTATGAAAAGCATGTTTGTTCATCCTTCGACTCTGCGTTTGACTGATCGTCTAAATTACCTTCTAATGTCCTGCTTTGAGTTTCTGGGATATCACCACGTACACCAGGTGCCCATTGTGGTTGGAGATAAATCTTGTACAAGGTGTATGGCGCTACATGATATTTGAAAAATATAGGACGACAATGATAAAATATTATTCGAAATGGTAAATTATGCGATACTACATTGGTAAACAACACTAGAAAAAGCCTTAGCAGGGAAGGAAATATACACGCCAAAATTCCACAAAATAACTCAATAAGAGATGAGTATGCATGGTCGTGGTTTATTAGTCTCATTACCATGCAGGATGATCACTGAGGAATACGCGCAATAATATATGGCATCATTATACTCTAATGTTTTCAAAGACTGTACGTACTCAAATTTTTTATGTCGTATTTACTGGCGTCTACAGGCAAAACACCGGATGATCTCAGCGGACTGTTGATGACGTTTCGTCCTTTGTCATCCTCCACGACCTTCCAAGTCAATTCGTAACCAGAAATAACATTTTTCGGGTCAAAAGCGGGAATCCATTTGACTTGTATGCTGGAATAAGAAACAGGCAACGAAGAGAGTTCTTTGGCAGTCGGCACTAGAAAATTAACAGAAAGATATAACTCCGATGTCGTATATTTTGTCTTTGTGATGTCCAAAAATTACCTGATTCGCTGATGATTTTGTTATGGATTGGTATCACAACATTTGCAAGGCCCGCAACGTCATTGGCATGGAAAAGATTTTCTGCATCACTGACGAGATTGCGTATTGAATCCATTTCTCTGGCATCTCCGACATGAACAACAAATAATTTGACTCCTTTCAATCTCAGCTGAGCCGCTGCAACTTCTGCCTCCTGTATGTCATCTGCTTGCCCAAATTTCAGCAAAACAGCCACGCGAGAAACTGCCAAACGCGAATCAGTAGAAAATATCCGCTTGCTTGCTTCGCTGATGGCCACGGCGATTTTGCTCATTTCGCCGTTTTTCGACAGATAACTTAAATCATCGTAAAATTTCTTCAATCCAGAGAATTCGCTGAAGGTGATAACTGGTCCGACGGTTTCGTTGTACTGCAGAAACGCAGCGCGGGAATTTGGCAGTTCTACGCCAAGAGTGGTCGCAACAGAAGCGATAAACTGTTTTGCCTTGTTCTGCTCTCTTCTTCTATAGCTTGGCGGGATATGAATCATAAACCCAATATCCATAGGATAAGGAGACACGTCCTGTTTTCTTGCTAAAATAAAAAATCACATTCAATATGGACCGTTAGATAATAATAATTGTGAAGCCGGCCAATGATTCTCTCGGATGCCCTTCTTCAGACTATATTTTCTACGAGATACCTTCTCGTTTTCGTATTTTAAGCCTTGTCTTATTTATTTCAAAATTACAATTTCCGCCTGGTTCTTCTATCGCAAGTAATTAAAGAGACTATGGACTATACCGCATAAGCTAATGCTAATGAATTTCTCATAATGACGTCAAACGCAAGAAGTAAAACTAACGAGCCAATCAAACTTTGCGTATAACATCGTACTTTCTGCGGGTATATTGGTATTATATTGTGGTGCTAAGATTTGTGTAGTGCCAGTCAAAGGATCTTCACCGAATGACATACCTCCAAATAATTGACAAACTCTCTCTGCAATTGATTCACTTTGCTCTTTCAAGATCCTAAAACTCCTAATTCGCATAACATGATTTTTTTTGTCCACGACCATGCTTTCCATCTCATTCGTGCTTGGTCCGTTACCGACTCCGATCACAAAGATCTCTACTCCTCTCTCTCTTAATCTCTTCGCCGCGTCAGGAAGCGGTACGCGATCTCTAAATCTTGTCTGTTGACCATCCGTGAAGAGAATGGCAACCTTCGGAAGATAGTCTCGCGCGTTTCCTGCTTGGGTGAAGATTCTGCTATGCGCAGCAGTGAGACTCGCGTCCATGCGCGAACGTTGCGATAAGTATCTGAGGCGATTGACTTTGGTTTGAAATTGTGCTTGTGTCGAAAACTGGTCCAATCTCGCAGATATTAAAGAATTATCACTGTATAAGATAATTGCCGCGTGTGATCCCATTGGTGATACTCCAAAATATTTACCCATGATGCCAACCGTATCTTTCAACCTCTTGTAGTTAGTTGTACCGAGACTACCAGAGGAGTCCATTAGGAAGGCAACGTCTATTGGCGTAACGCAACTTCCTGAAAGAAAATTTGAATGTATAGGAACATGAAAGCCCCTTTTGCATTACAGTTGATTTATTGGCACAGGCTCAGCACGGCTAAGATTGGCAACCTGTTGTAATTGTTGCTATAAGAGCCTGGGTACGAGGGTGGGTCTGTTGAAAGGAGTAGGGGGGGGGGGGTAGGGGTTATACTTGACAAAGAGGATGGGGTATATTCAGTCTATGTAGCCATGCCAAACCCGGTCGTGTAAGCAACAATCATAAATAATTAGTAAAATAAGAGGTAGAAGTAATCAAATAGGTGACCAACCTGCATAATTAGTATTTGCCGATACGGCCGTGATTACAGCAAGAAAGCATGTGAATAGTGCTGCTTTGTAAACTGTAATCTCCATATTCTTATACCTAATGTAGTAAGAAAAAAATCTTTGCAGGAAGCATGAATCACGAAAAAAATGCTCATCAACCAGAGGCCGGTTGTATTTATAAAACTCACATTTTACTTGGTTTGCATGATACATGGTTGGCCAATATACAATACATCAGTAATTACATAATACAAAGTTTTCACAATACATTATTTTAATAGATACGAGCGCAAGGGTTCGCAAAAACTATCGAATTTAGCAAAAACTATCGAATTTAAAACTATCGACGTTTTTGCGTGGTATCTAATCACTGACACGTCACGGTTTAGTCGCATGTTATGCTAAATTTCAGGGTGCGAGCTTTCCTAACTTCCGTGAGGCTGTGTACGGTGAACCGGCTATAAAGATAATGTACTAATACGTTGCATGTTTAAATCACGGTCTGTAATTCTCTTGAGAACGACATGTATCAGCTTTCCTTTAGCCGTGTAGTGCTTACTGAAATCCACACATAGGACGAGACATGTTATTCCGCAGAGTAATTATATTTTGCGAAATGCGACTCAATGTGACATTCCTAAGAACCCATGCCTGTGGAGAAAAGCTATATACCTTGGCACGCTAGCAATAACTATACATTGCATAACTAACTATTGGTAAGATAAATGAGGTCTGAATGAATGAAATGGAGTACCCGAAGCGAAATTTCATACCAACAATAGCCGCGGCCTTGACCTGACTTGGCCTGGACCAGGTCTAGGCCTAGATGTGAACGTTGTTTATCCGGCCTAGACCAAGCAAGCTTGGACCTGGTCTAGGCCACAAATCCAGGCCAACAGCAGAAAGTGGCCTGGGCCAGGCCTGGACCCGACCTGGGGCAAGATTTTGGTATTGTGAACACGCTATACCTAGTCCTGACATGTTTTGAACTTAATATTGTGATTTGTATAGGATGATTAGGATCCATATAGTATTACCACTTTTCGGCGTGTTTTGGGTCTTTTTCCAAGTATTTTGTCAATTGCTTTGGTTATCCGATATCATAGACAAGGAAGACAGTGTGAACGTGGCGCATAATACCTAGACTTGTCCTAGACCTGGTCCGGGTCAGGTCAGTCTAGGCCTGAAGTGTAAACGCGGTTAATGTCATTAAGATGTAGGTGTGGGAATGGACATGAATGGCTGCACATGCAATTGGTACTCCAGCCAATCAAACAGTGTTTTTATAGTTAAGAATGAAAACATTCCACTAGCTAGGAATCAATTCTTTAGTGGCTATACATCACTTAGAGTCACGCAAAAGCGGTACGAATACGTGCGTTCACACACACAGGATCTATCGGGCTGATTTTCATTATTATTAAATGTTAATGCTGAATGTTGGCTGTATGGTTCATGATGTTTTCATACTGATTTTTTTTGTCCAATTGTCCACGCTGCTTTTTAGCTGTTTTTGGCGCATCTATAGTTAAATACTTTAACTTTTTAGGACGATTTTAGTTTAACAATGGACATACTTTGAGAGCAATGGTATATGCAGTTTGTTAGACCTGAACAAAAAGGACGGCTTCGAAGTATAAGGAACCTGCTGACTCATGGCCAACATGCTCTTCCTATTAAGCAACACTTGTCAATCGTTGACTACAAGTTCCAGTACATTTTCCAGATCAGTGACATATACCGATGCGAAACTGCGGGTGATGCGAGTTGTATATATTAGCTATATTTTTAGCGCAATACATGCACCATTCGCATCACAAATACGGAGGCCTCGCTATGAATAGCAAAGTGTTGGCTCACGATTCACGAGAGCGAGGCTCTCAAGACAGACAGATCGCATAATTGATGAAAGAAAGAATTAGTTATCAGAAGACGTCTCTTGCAGTTAATTAATTAGCATGAAAAGAAAAAATTGTGTTAGTAAGACAAATTAGATCTCATGAGGTCTCTTTTGTCAAGTAAAAGACTGCCGAAACGATTAAATTAATACTTTGGAAATTTTGCGCCCAGTTAATCACTGCATTAACACAGTGGAATGGATCATTCAGGTCAGTAATTAACCTGAAAAATTCGGAAATATCTATTACCTACAGAGTGCATGTGAAGGAGTGTATTTTTGTCCATTTGCGAGCTCCCTAAATTTTCGACAGAAGTCTGTTTGGATTTGCATTATTTTTGTATTGGTGGGAGGTGTAACCTTTCTTTGTGGCCAAAATTCTTTAGTATTTTCGTCATTAATATAAACGGCAGAATTTAATGAGAATTAAGAAACTGCATTTTTCCTAACCCCGATTACACAATACCCAATTTGCTACAATGCGACATCTTCATTTGCTGCCAACAATATTTAGAAGCTCTATGACCTGTTTGGCTTATTGGTAGACTTAATAAAGTCTTTGATCTAAAAATTTTCCCCAGCATTTCTAATACATAAAAAATTATATACCCCGATATAAGGGGATAACCATAGTAGTAATATAAAGCCCCAAGAGTTCCGGGGCATGCACCGACAGTAATATTTGGTATTTCCTGCACTTATGAGAATACGCTATGTATTGTATACATCTTAAAGGATTAAGATCATAAACACATGATTAACGCGAAATTACAACGGAGACCATAGTGAGACAGTGGGAAAGATGCCGACGGTCGGACGCCACGCAGTAGCGCCAAGCATATGAACTCTGTTCATTCCTGAAAACTTGACCGAGGTCAATATTAATCGTTGCGAAATGTCGTTAATATCACAAATTAATTCTTTTCATATTGCCACTGAATTACCCATTTAGATTTAATTTCAATTACATTCTCTGCAGGAATTCCTGCTGACCATTTAGTTTAAGTGATTACAAGTCTCTCTAGTCATGGCTTGCCGGTATTTATGATCGATGTTACATGATTTATGATATTGTGAATCGTAAAGATACAGGGTTTCTTTAAATCAAGTTAATCAATTTATTTGAATATTCATTCAGTACTGATTTGGTCAAGTCCGGGGAGACCGTGGGTGTGGTCGTTCACTTGAATAGTATATAAACCGAAACTAGCCAAATTAAATTAACAAAAGAACAATCTCGATTGTGATTCAAATATAGCACACATCTATGAGTTCAGCTTACAGACTGAATTTTGTATATATCTATGAGGCAGCTAACAGAAATTTTCTACAAAGAGCCCAATTTTCGTTTGGTTAAACCAACCCAGAATATTCATTTAGATTGAGAACAGATTTGATTGGTTCTCTAAATCGATCTATAAACGCGGTCTCCGAGCTCAATTTGGCTTCCTATGGATAACAGTAGTAAGCATTTGTTTAATACATAATTGAACATTTCATGATCAAAGGTAAAGACCAAGGCGTCCAGCTGAACAAACGACGTGTTTGTGTATGTTATTAGGTTAATGTTTTTGTTACCCACGCATTCATAATCATACTTTTTATAGCGCTTCGTTGTTTCGTTTCTCAGTAGTTTTTGCGTACTGTACGCAAACTCAATCTATTAGTTTGACTCATAGTCGCGGGCAAAATACTTGATGCTGAAACAATTATGAAATAGCATTATGCGAACTAAACCTAGCTCAGAAGTCGAATCTCACTTTTTGCTGTAAAGTTTATAGAGCGTAATAGCGGTTCATATCAAGAAAAATTTGCGCACCTCGATTTACCGTCACAACTAAATATGATAATTATATGAGAGCGCTCTATAGTCTATCCGTTGCGTCATGCTCATTCAACAGCGACTGTGCGACGATGAAAATTATATCTGCACGCAAGGAATTTTACACAGTAAACGACTGGAAAAACTTTTGAATGTACAAAGTGCTTACAATAGTATATTTTAATTTTATTAATCATCAGGAAGTAATTTACGCCAAATAATCCATATACAATTGGCCTTGGTACCTCAGCTAATTTGTACCGTGTGGGACGGATATCCTATGTTACACAAAAAGGGGAATTTCCTTAATTTAAACAAAGAATGATTTTTTAGAAGAAATTGACTATACGATATATAACAGCAACCGAATGAATTAAATATTTTAAACTGACTAACCTCTAGCTCCCAATACACTGAGATTATATTCCTGACTGGGCCAAGAGAGCTTCGGCGATCAAGTGCTGCGTCGCAACATTGCGCGCCTTCTTTATAATGTTGAACACACAGCAAGAGCACATATCGTTGCGTATCGTGTTACTTAGTTATGGCTTCCTGCAATTTTCTCCTTTTTAAGCAAGTGCCATCCGTGAGACATATTTTTGAAGAAAATACAAAGGTCATACCTAGTGCAGCAAACAATAATAGCAGCTTGGATTTAAAAATGTTTCCACGCAAAAAATGTAAACATGCGAGTGCAACGCAATCGCAGACCCACACACACGGATATTTTTAATGTATACATTCTTTACCCAGGCCGGCAATATCGCTGCATGCCATTGCTATTATTTGAACTGTATGGAGAAATTTCTAATTAAATTGGAAAACGACAATTCCAATCGTGCATCAATTATTTGGGATGTTGTAAACTGCGCGTTTCGCCTCTGCATAAGCCAAGGAGTTCAGGAACGAGTACGTTTTCGACTCTTTCCATCTAAAATCAGACAGTATGTTCACCGAATATATTTTCCCTCTTAGTTCTCCATATTGATTTTTCTTTACTTAGATGAACTGGACTATTCAACAGAATTGTGTAGAAAATGGTTTGTTTTTAAAATCAGTGAATCTTATCTTGCAAGCGAATGGTCGTCATTTATTGTTGATAAATTAGATCGGAAACAAGGAAAAGCAGATAATGCGAAAAGTGAAAACTTCCTTGATGACGCCGGTTTGTTAAACTATATTGATGGGTATTTGAAGAGACACTCTCCAGAATCCAGATTTACATTCTAATGTTAATCAACAACATGTTTATTTAAAAAAACTGGGAGGTCTTGCACCCCTCACCCCCTGCTCAAAAACTAGTTCAACTTAAAAACATCCAACTGCCTAACTCAGTCTTCAATTAGATGCTGTTTACGTACTAGCCTGTGCTCCCGTCCACTACACTTGAAAACATTAGCTATATGTTTTCAGGATCCCGTTAACCCGGAACTAACTAACGGATGAAAGCGTGAAAAGAGTGAATATGCTTTTGAGTTTTGACCACGATGCTGGTAATTAAGTGTTAATCAATAGCGAAGCCGTAAACATTGAATGATTGGAGACCTGAACTGGTGAAGATAAATCAATTCAGGACTTCAGGTCTATGGTTTCCCTGCTCAACTTCACCCTACCTTCTAGAAGAATTTTTCTGGATTTAAAATATATTTGTACACATTGTGTGTTCTCGGTTTGTTCCTACTTTGAGAAAAAGAAGGTGAACACGCATTAGACATTTTAATGTTTTTTGTGGTGGTTTATCTGATTCCCTCTGAAACAATCACCGAAGTAGAAATAAACTGAGAGGACACAATGTGCAGCTACAAGAAAACATTCAAAAATGTTAAAAAATGTCAAAATATATTTTGGTTATTAGCGAATCGTGGACAAATTAATAAAACAAATTTATTATGGAACTACTAATTTACTAAAACAACTCTACCCGCGATTGGGCTGCTGCGCAACCGACCCTACAGGCTGAGTAACTTGAGTTGAGAACCCTGAGAAGTCAAGAATTGCATAATATTCCAGCCTCATGTTTGATTCGATTTTTTTGTGGTTTAATCGTTGAGTTTCTGTTTAATCAAGTTTAATGCATTGTTTAAAGACCTGACCTTCAGAATCATGGTTAATTGTAAGAGTGCAACATTCTTTTCATTATTAATTGTCATTTTATCTTGGAATGAAATCGTATGTGCAGAAGATAGAACTGGCAGATCAGATTTCGTGTATGGAAATAAATCTTTAACTCGCATTGCATTTGGTAGTTGTATGAAGTGAGTACAAGAAATTAAACATACATTTACGTGGTATATGTTTGTAGGTACCTTCAACTTGTACATTACTAAATACCTATTGCTATTCGGCCTATTTCTTTTGCAATCACCCCCAAATTGCATCTTGGAAATTCCTACATATGAAATGGAATAGTGACATGAACTGCATGTTGTGAATTCTGTTTTTTTCACTTGCAAACTAAACTTGAAATGATTAGCTGTTTGAGATGTTTATATTAGTAAAAAGTATTGGTGAAAAAACTGTCCAATTGTGCACAGCATGCAGGTAACATTAGCTGTGTATGCTGTTAAGTTAATTAAGATGGTGTTCTGTCATTTTAACTATCAGGGGTGCTTTCCATTTTGACAGTGGTCTGACTGCCCAGACAAAAATTCTGTCTCTGATATTGTTGTGATAGCTAGCAGAACCTTTTCAAGTCTGCAATCAATTTGTTAATTTGACCTTTGTTTTCATTTTACATGGCTTCCTTATGTTCTCCCATATAACCTAAGATTGAAAAGTAGTCTGTATATTTTATATCAATTGCCTACCTTTCCTTACCTGCTTGAAACTCTTTAGCAGCTAAAAACTGTATATTCAGGTAATTTATTAACACACATATGTTAAAGTAATTTCTTAACATGCTCTTAGTTCTGCAACTTTCCAGGAAGTTAGAATACCATGATAAAATATTTTTTATTTGAGACAACCTAGTGTTATATTAGTGATGAATATAGCTGATAAAATTGTCTAATTGTGCACAGTATGTGGGTAACCAGACAAGAATCCTGTCTCTGTGGTGTTATGATAGCCAGGCCATTTTGTGCAAATCTGTTGCCTATAAACTAATTGTGAATTGAATTAACCTCCTGGTATTTTCCCTTCACAAAGCCATATGTCCAGGCTAAGCCCAAATGTTTTATGTTTTATTCAATTTTATGTGAATTTTAAATTTATTTTATATTTATGTTATTTGTTTGAATGTTTGTTTATAATGTGATGTGAAACACCCTAGTCAACGACCCCAACAACTGATAATCAAGTGACAACAATATATAGTTGTATCTTGCCATTCATCTATTTTTGCTTCAACAATGCAAAGTCCTCAACAGTGAAATTATATTCTTTTGCAATTTTCATGTTTTTCTTATTACTTCTTGCACTTTCTTTATTGATCATCAATTAACTGGCCTGGCCTGGTTTATCTTTCATTCCTCTTTGCATGTTGGATTTTCTCAGTTATCATTCCTCTAGGATATTTTTTCATACACTATCCTGGCCCTCTTCTGATCGACTCTTACCTTCCCTTGCTCTTCTGAAATAAGTCATTCAAATACCCTGCATTAAACACGAGTACACTGTACACTTAGTGATTTGTGAATTAAGTAATTTTAAACAAACATCACGGTCACAATAATCTTGTTGCTACTATAAATTTATCTTTAAATAATTTATTTATTAAAGTTTTTTGTTGGACTTTCTTGGTATGTTTTCTTAGTGGGATGTTCAATGGATCCAAATGGTATCAGAAGCCTCAGCCTGTGTGGAAGCATATCTTAGAACAACATCCAGATCTGTGGATATGGCTTGGCGATGGTATGAAACAACATGAATGATGAGTTAAAGAATGTATTTTGAAAGAAAAGCTCGGTTATAGAGATCCCAAGAAAACAGGGCAATCGTTTTCTATATAGCCTACTAGAGAAAGTAGGTCTGAAGCACGTAATTTACATGATCTTGATTTTTGGATGATTATTGATTGCATACATGAAGAATCATTATACGTACCGCGCTATGTTTTTGCAAATACTGTATTTGGCCACATGATGTTATCCTAGGTATTGCATCCTTTATATACCCGAGCTAGTTCATCGCTTTTTTTGCTAATCAAGACTGTTATAAAGACTTCATCTAACAATATTTCTTTAGCTGCATATGGCGATACAAGATTATTGCCATTCCTTTGGACTGCATCACCATTGCCACTAATGGCTAACTACTTCAGAAGGCAGAAGAACCACCCGGATTATCAGGTAACATTTTAAAAAATATGCCCAACGTCTTTATACTAATCACGATAACTGAGGGTTACCATTATTCATGTTATTGCATTGAATAAACGAAGACAGTAAGACACAAAGGTATAAAATAACGACGTCCCTACTGGAGATGTGAGCTTATTTTTTTAGGAATTTCTCAAATCTAACACAAGCATCGTTGGTATCTGGGATGACCATGACTATGGAATGAATGATGGTGGAAAGGTATTTATTTATCTTAAATTCGTTATGACATTAATGGTTGACGTATAACAGAGGGCCTATGTGTCTGTTATGTTCTAAGGAGGGAGTGGGGGGGGGATGGTATACACACAGGGGCATGGTATAGCTTGAGATGAATCAAGATATTTTACTCAGTTTTAAATGTTAGCTCAAGGGTCGATCAAAACCGATCAAGAGTCGGTTGTATATAAAAGGGTAAATTTTGTTCAACGTTAGTCATTATCAACCATGTTAAGTCGCAATTTGTATTCTTTAATCTAGAATTTTCGAAACAGACTTCAGACTCAAAACATCTTCTTAGATTTCCTTGATGAACCTCTGGACAGCATGAGACGCAGACGCGAGGGAATGTACGTCTCGTATACTTTTGGTCATGGTGATACAGCGATAAAGGTATATGAATAATCAAGTATATGAATATACCAAGTATATTGGCCATGTGCATTACTACTTTCTATTCAAAATATCTTCCCCGGCCGTTACCGACTTTTGCGAAGCTTTTGAATTCTCTAAAGTATGAAGTATTATTTTATGCGTTCAAATGTATTGTTAAATTCTTGAAAGAATGTAATTCCACAGGCACTTAGTTTCGAACGACTTCGAGATATTTTTAACGGAATTTTACCGCTCGCGACTCGCACGTACATGAATTGATTCGGGGACAAGTAATGAAATATCGGATTGATCTGTGTTTAATTGAGGATACATATCAATTAGATTATTATATCTTTAGTTGATAATGCTAGACATACGATCATTTGCTGTGTATGGTTCAAAATGTGATCTGTTGGGAAGTGACCAATGGAGGTGGCTCGAGAGTCAGTTGGATGATCAAACACCCGTTGCTTTGACAATTGTTACCAGTGGAATACAGGTGAAAATGGCCACATATCCTGAATTAGATTTTTTCGCAAAAGAAATGTCATTTTAGGATCGCAAAATATCTTGCCTGTTCACCTTTTAAATATTTTGAAACGCATAGGCAATCATTACTTAATGTTGGGAACACTTCGACCAAACCCCCACTCTCACCAAGAACCCAATATCACACGTCTCAGTTCACACGGGTGTTTTAAATTTCTTCTTTACTCCCACAGCCCCAAGTACAATTACAATAAAGCCCCAAAATTGTTCAATTCAAAGTCTACCTAAATCACACGATGTCCACGTCATAATAACTTAATTTACCTAATTTCCGACACTCATATCTTCACGGCAACTAACTTCATTATTCATATTATCATGCGAACTAATTGAACCTCTGTATCATATTGAAAAGTTGTTACATACTCAATATCATTTGTATTAAAATTCTCACGAAGGCTTTTCGATAATATTTTGATGGAAAAAAATATTTCATACTCCAACAGATTTTGCCAAATTCAATTAAAGGACTGCAAAGTTGGGATGACTGTCCGCCTAGCTATGATCGGCTAATCTGGCTTACTCAGAGCCGCAACAAGGTAAAGATTTGCTTTAGAATAATTATTATCTTAGTTTTCTTGGGTTTTCTTAGTGTGGAAAGCGAAATCGATCACATTTTTCATATTGATTATTGAATAATCCGATTTATCAGGGCAAATCGACTACTGCCTTACGTTTGGTCATACAGTTCAATATCTTCTGAATAATTTCAATTTTCTGAAATAGGTCATTTATCTAAGTGGCGATGTCCATTTCGGTGAAACATCTTGTCTTAATAGTTCGTCGTCAGGTATGTCGAAGTAAAACAGTAGTTTATCCACAATATTGATGTGGGTTCGTTTACTGAGTGGGCAATGGAGTATAATATACTGAATACAAAATAAGATACAAGTGGAAGAACGTGTTTTTCCAATCATCACACTAAAATTTTCATCATATAAAAACTAAATTACCGCATACCATGTTTATTTGAATAATAACAAAACAAAACGCATTTTCTGCACTCTAAAACTTCAAAATTTCCTTCGGGGAGGATGCCCCCAAACCCCCCTAACAATGCTCTATCTCCCAAAATGTACCTTTCATACACCTCTCAAGCTTCGGTAGTACAAATTTACATGAATTTACTACTAACGAGAATTTTGCCCTGGCCCCCCAAAATTCTCTGGGCGGCCCTGACTATTGTGTTTACCCCTGACGTCTGTTTAATTTTAGGATATCCGTTGTACGAATTGACATCTAGTGGTCTTTATATGGCTTGCACAATCCCTCTATTTAATTTCGAGCAGTGTGTATGGTCAATAAGGTAAGGTTGGCAAAACTTCTCCAAGTAACTGTACGGATAATCTAAGGATAAGGCTTATTTCCATTTCTTCACAATTGTGTCCTGACAAGTCATCATGTTTACAGATGTGAAATAATTTGGGCGTATCTCACACCTCGTTCGTTTATATGATTGCATGTGGAGACTGAACTTTATTCCTCTTACTTTCTTTTTGATTATTTTGACGTGATGCATGTTTGAGAATTTGTTTTCACTAGGAATGCCGTTGGGAACGATTTCCGCATAACCGATCCTGTGGTTGAGAGAAATTTTGGTTTAGTTGAGATAGATTGGAGCTCAAATCCTGTATGTAATAAATATCTGTAAACCTAAATATTTTTTTAAACCCGTAAATTTGAAGCCTAGTGTATTTCTTTTTTTTAGACGACAGTTAAACTTCAAATATTTGGACAAAAAGGAAGCATTGTTTCTGAAGTAGTTATTAACTTAGACCATATAACAAAGGTTTGCATGTTTTCCTTTTTCAGCCGGATAATAAAATTGTTCATTTTTCAACACGATTCTTAGTTCAGTCAGTGCTTACATACTGCACATCACAGTAGACTATCTGGATTATGCTATCTATTGTGCTATTATTACACTACCTTGCAACTTCCCCGGGGGAGAGGCACGGCATACTATTGACGGTGCGTATTTTCTATTGTAGAAAGTGAATGCTGCCAAATGTCCGGATATCAAAAGACCAGAAGCATCTTTAGCAAAAATTTACCTGTATTGGGCAGTGTTAGGATTAATAATTATATTAGCAATACTTGTAGTTTTAGCTAGGTGAGTTTTTACTTTGTGCACCTGGTATTGTTTTAAACTTTCGATCATCTAATATTGACATTTCAAACCTAAGCGTATCTTAATTTTTTTTTTAGTACCATTTTCATCCTCTACAAGTTGTTCGTATCGCTACGCTATTTAGGAAAATGTCTATGGAAATCTAATCATAATTCAAAACCTAAACAAAAACGTTCTTAATACTTTAAATTTTCAAATTTAAAGTAAAAACTTTTCAAATTTTATAAAATTATTTTTTTATTATAATAAATTAATAATATGTTGGCTGGGAACGATTTAAGATGAATGACGGGTATAAACAATATATAGTTGTTGGTGCAAGATTCTGTTTTATTTCAGTTTCACCACAATGGTCCACTGTCGGACATTTGATTAAAACGTCTTGACGGGATGAAATTTAAAATCATCGCATCGTTAAGAATACAATGCAAAAACACAATGTGTTGATAAATTCTGTAATTAGAAATAATTAGAAATGTAATGAGGTATATCCAATACTGATATAACCTCTTCTCTGTACGTGAACTGTGGTTTGCGTGCTTTTCATGCAAATGAAATGAATACAATGTTATAAACTACTGATAGTAATTTAAAGTCTGATGTTACACGAAATTTCATCGGCTTCACAAATTAAACTATCGAGCCAATCAAACTTCGTGTAACATCATACTTTCCGCGTTTGACGTCATTATGAGAAGGTCTATTATAAGGATCTTAAGGATCTGTGACATCGCTTATGACATCGCTACATGTTATGATGAGGAGTCATGAAGTACCGTTTAGAGATCCATATATTGCAGGCGCATATATTCAACATGGCGGTGAAAATTGCTTTTTGTCGTCTAGCAAGAAATGTATTTGCAAGAAATGTATTTGCGAGAAATGTATTTGTACTTGAAAAGAGAAAGCCTTACGTTTTAGGTTTGACAATGAAAACAATAAGTACAAGCTCTTCGCAATCGTATCCTATGGTTCCTATAGTTATTGAGCAAACGGTGGGTTAGGAAAAGGTTTTGGACATAACGCCGAATCACTAGTCACTACGTCTAAGCTAGTAATGATTAGACACTATTTTTGGAATGAAAACTATCTAGAGAATACCTGTATGCAAAAGTTATAACCTATTTACTCGACTACCTGACCCGAAGGTTTTCAAACCATGCTGGCAAATTAGGTTTCGTATTATCTTTCTTCCATAGATGCGAGTTGTGCATTCCGTGCACGAAAAATGGGATATCTCTGGTGACTCAAAACGCATGTTGCTTGTTTTTCTCTCAACCTTTTTTCATTTTGGCTGTTTGGTTTTTGTAGGGGCGTGGTGAACGTGCATATGACATATATTCTAGACTTTTAAAAGATCGAATAATAACTGTAATGGGTCCGGTAGGTACAATTTCAGCTGGAAATGGATTAGCTATAGTAATTGTAAATATGCATCTTTATTGATATGGTGCATTGTAATTCTACGCTTGGTGTGTAGTGCATTTTTTCCCTCACAACTGTATATAAAAACGTGAAGCTGCGATATTTTTCATCTGCCACAATTCATTCTGTTTTGAATTTTTAGATAACCGATGATTTAGCAAACATTGTTGTGGCACAGTTGCTATTTCTTCAGACAGAAAGTGCTGTTAAACCCATTCATATGTATATTAATAGTCCAGGTTTGAGCAATGAGCATTACTGCGATTGTAATAAACGTGCTGATGAGAGACGAGATTGCTGCTGTTTAGAAAAGTGGTACCTTTCAACTAAATTTGTTGCCACATAGAGACTGTGACTTGACAGAAGTTGAGAAATCGACCAACTGGATTAATTGCCATTAATAAGCAGCATCAATTGGTCTTATTATAAAAATGATGAATTTTTTATCGTTCTTTTTTAAACTCTGAAGGTGGTGCTGTTACAGCTGGTCTGGCTATATATGATACGATGCAGGTACATTTTGGTCAATTTTCCGTATTTTATAATTTAGATAAATTAGGATTAATAGATTAGACTAATTGTGATTTATAACTTACGTACATGTTCAACTATACGTACGTACCTTTTTATATAGTAACGTACCTTTTTATATAGTAACGGTACCGACATAAATTTAAGAACACAACTTTGTCATGTACGGATTGTCCATCAAAAGTATTTTTTTGTAAAAGTACACAGCATTTTGATGTTACGCTATAATATATTATAGGTGAAAATATTTTCCCTTGCTATTTTGTCGCTATACCATTGCTTCTCTTATTCTCAAGTATATTCGTCCTCCTATATCCACATGGTGTGTGGGCCAAGCTTGTAGTATGGCATCACTACTTCTGGCATCTGGCGCTAAGGAATTACGTCATGCATTACCTCACTCGCGAATTATGGTTCATCAACCTCACGGTGGTGCATCAGTAAGTTATCACATCCGACTTAAGTTATCACATAGACTACCTCAGATTGTGGTATAAATCAGCTCTTTTTAAATCACATGCCTTCAAATGGTTCATTTTCAGTCAAAACGGTGTTGATATAGTGAAATTGCCTTGTAACAAAGTTCTGGCATAAACCTTTTCACGGCTGTTTGAGTTGTCACACAATATTATATAATCCTAATTCTTGAATTAAGTTTACTAGCGTTTGTTATCGTTTTTAGGGGCAAGCCACGGATATTGCAATTCAAGCTCAGGAGATCTTGAAGTTAAAGAGAATAATCAACGAAATTTATTCGGAACATACTGGACAACCTACAAAGAAAATAGGTATATAAACTTGGCGAACTAACTTCATATAGTGAGAAATTCACATTAACTGTACTAATTTTTAACGGGAAAATTCACGTTTGGCGGAAAGAATCTACGTCGCCAGCTGTTCCAGATTCCATTCAATGTAACGATTTATAGTTTAATTGGCCGCTAAAATTTCCTCACAAATTTTTCTTCTCTATTGCAGAAGAAGCTTTGGAGAGAGACAATTTTTTATCTCCCGAGGAAGCGAAAGAATTTGGTCTGATTGATCGTGTTCTTTCACATCCCCCGAGTAACGATGGCTCCACACACGAAGAGAAAATTAGTTAGGATAGGATAATTCAAATTTTCTGACTCATGCCTATCTACTCTGGCCTAGAAGATTTGATATGTATATAGAAAAATTAACAAGAATTTTTGAGCACAGAGATTCATGCAATGTCATCGCTTTTTACTTGCTACTTGCCCTGGCACGTGTTTTGTAAGCCGAAGGGATGTATGTCTGGATGTGCAGGGAGCTTTCACTTTACATATCAAATTTTACAAAAGCATTTATTTAACAAAAATATAGCAACTAATCGGGTAATCACAGCAGCTCACGGCAATTGATAACAATTGATTAGGACCAGGTGGGGACGAAAGAGGTCGAGTCGCCGGGGTTACGTGATGGTTTACGGGATTGAAATTTTCACTCGATGGGAAAAAATTACCTCAATAATTGCACGCGCACTATTTTTAGACTTTGATACTTTGATATCAAACTTTTGCAGAAAAAAGGCCTATCATGTTACGTTCATGCTACTCTCAAAAAAAAATGGCGCGAGTTTCAGAGTTCGTTCCTTTGTATGTCGCAGCGTGAAGCCCTCGCGATTTGCGTGTAGTCACGTTTGTGTAGAATCGTGAGCAACAAAAAATGGCGGCTCTTTCATGGCTTGAGAAACAAACGTGGTGTCCTCGCACTTTAGACTTCAGTCTCAGAGATTGTTAAATCCTTTACTATTTTTGCCATGTAACTGGGAGAAGAGCAAGATTACATCACTGAAAAACATACCGTTGACTTGGCCGTGACTGCGGTCTAGTGGTCTGTGAATTTTGAAGATTGAATATTTTGGGAACTCGGGTAAATTTGAGGTTGCCTAGATTACCTTAAAATGGACGACTATCCAGAACTAAGTAATCTACTGGCGATGGTTCAGCACCACGACACGCACAAGAAAATGATGGCGAGTGAAGAGTTAAAGAAATATCTGAGCAATCCCCTGAGTCCTCTCACGGTTGATGCGATAGATTGTTTAGTTGATAACTTGAAAACTTGGATAAACAGTGGGAACTACAAGGTATATCAATATACACAAACCCTACATGCTATGAAATAGAACATTTAACAAGGCTATAATTCTAAATAGAAATTAAAATTGACAAAAGTCAAGTAATTTCGATATACTATTTTGCAATTCCGTTCAACTTTCGTGAAGACGATGAGGAGTCGAGGACGTCAATATGAAGTTTACGTAATTACTATACCAAAAGAGTAAAGAGGCAGTCCGTACGATTAGCCATTTTGGCTTGTATAGTAAACTTATTTTGTGGGTAAATATTGACTGAATTTCCTTTTTAACTGAAGAAATAGCCGTAATCATTTTCGTATTATGAAATTTATGAATATTAAAATATCTGCACAGAATCTTTCATTATATTGCAACGAATTTTCTAGTATACAATGAAATGAATAATCTTTTAGCTATTTCCGTCATTTCAAATTCTTCAATTTTGAAATATTTATTATTTTGTTTTATCTCCTGATCATATAGCCTAAAATATTAAAGATACGTGTCTGATAACAATTTGTACCAATCCATGCCTCGTCAAAACTTCAAAATTTGCAACTGCTAAGAACCTATCAAATTATCACTTTCAAATATTAAAGTTTTGTTAAAAAATATAGACAATGTATCATTTTGCATCAGGTAATACAGGTAATGCTGTAATTTTAAAAGTTGTGGTGTGAAACTTTTGTCTAATAATGATATCATTTCACTGTCAAATTGAGTGCTACTTATACCTAGTATGTTGATATATTTATTCCTGTATGATGTGAACTTTCATAGATAAGTGCAAGTGGATTAGAATTATTCACCATACTCATAAGAAGGGGAGGCAAATCTGTCAAATTGCACTTAGGCACAGGTCAGTGAGTGGCATTTTGTCATGTTTTATTAAGTTTGCCTAGCATAACAATGTTCCTGTCTTTACCACAATTACTGTGGTTTTTACCTCCAATATCAGCAATTTGTCAACAATAGGCAAAGAGAATAAGCAATATCCAGTCTAATAGCCATGGATGAATACATCAATGAAGAAAATTGGACTTGTGCATATCGATATTCAGCATTAATTTTCATTATAAAATTTGTATCATATACCTGCTAAAACTAAAGTTTTTTTTGCATATTTACATATTGAACCACAGTCACATTGTTTGGCACAGACATGAGGGGAGGTCAAAGTGGTCTGACATCTGATGCTTTCTATATGAAATTTATTTATCCATGATTCACTTGTCTAGATATCTACTTTGATAAGAGACCATCTTGTCCATTGATCATGTATATTCATTGCATATTGTTCATATAATTTTGCAAAATGTATAGTATTTGTTGACTTTCAGTAAGAATAGATTTCTCAATTGGATTTTTTAAACTTGCCATATATATGCAAAGTGACATTGATCTACTTAACAATATATTTTTTTCCTGTTGCAGTTATCCCAATAATCATAGACCGTCTGGGAGACAGTAAAACTGTGGTAAGGTTGCAACATAATTATGTTATTTTTAAACAGTACTGGCACTTCAAAGGGATGAGTTGATGACCAAGGCTTTTGTTCATGTAGTGAAATTCAATAAATGTGTACAGTTCCCCTACACATTGCTCATTAATAACTATTTTTAAGGAGGAAAATCCCAACCTTTCAGGAAACTACTGAAATCAGACTTACATATATACTGGACAAAGATATAGACCCTAGATATACTATACTAGGCAATATTACATCATAAGGAAAAACTGTGTCTGCAGTGGATTAATAGTATGGGTCAATATTTTTTAGGTCAGAGAGAACTCTCGTTTGTTTCTTCAAGAATTAATGGATGCGCTAACACCACAGGTAAAGAGAGTTGTGTTTATTTTGACACAAGATTGCAAGGTGTGGGAGCTGGAAAGTGTCTTTTTTATATTCCTTTTCTCTTGCCAAAACCTTAAATAGGGTTATTGTACTGTAATCAACCTACATTAGTACTGTAATGGGCACATAATCTCATAGTTTGTGCTGAATTTGAAACATTCAGGTATCAATAATCATAATAGCTACCCCATTCCAGTTTAATGATGGATTGTGTAAGTTGTTATGTAGTCACTGCTCTCATCCATGTGCATGAACTCTGTATGACGTATTCATTCAGTTCAAATTCAAAGTCAAATTGGCTGCACTATTTCCTCTTTACCCCTTTGTATTTTTTAGGTTGTACTTGATATGTTAATTCCAGGATTCTCTCACAAAGGATTTAAAGTTCGTGAAGAAGTAATGAAATGCCTAATTGATGCAATCAATACGTAAGTGTTGGGTATAGGGGTGCTCTCCATTGAACTGAAACTATTTTGTTATCTATTGTTTTTATATTTTTAATTCTTCTGCCATGATTGTTGTTTTAAAATGTGAATAATTTTTGTTGTAGGTTTGGTGTTTCAAATTTGTCTGTCTCAAAGTTTACACCGCACATTTGCAAATTGTTAGGCGATGCTAACAGTCAGGTAATTAGTTGACACTGTTTAATTAACAATGCTCTTGTGTGTTGTCTGAAAATGATTAAAAATATTTCCTCAAGATTGGAGATGTGCAGTTCTGCTCACAATATACCATTTGTATATACTCAAAAATATGTCCATAATGATTTTCAACATATTTAGCAATGGCTAACAGAACATAAATCTTAAAATAATTACACAATCATGTTAGAAAACCGCCAGGGGAACTATATCTCAATATATATTATATCTCAATATAGTTATAATGTGTCAACTGAAGTCAGACCAGGATAAATGGAGTTTAAACAGTCCAATGCATTTTATTTTTGCTAGTCTTTTTCAATACACAATGATCATTTCAATAACACACTCGCTCTGTTTTTTTCATTAAACATTAATGTGGTTCAGTTATGTGACCGTCGTATTTATTTAGGTTCGAGATACATCTATCCGTACGTTAGTTGAGATCTACCGTCATGTTGGGGAAAAGGTTAGAATTGATTTGGGCAAAAGAGGAATTCCGCCTACAAGGTGTGTATTCGGTTCGTACATACCTACATAACTATAGACCCATTGCGATGACGTCATAACCCTTAAGAATTGTCCTCCGGATGTTTCCATGCCTGATTGGAAATGGTTGTTATGTGAGCATTACAGGAACGTATGACAGTCAAAGACGGTTAATCTCTTTACTTGTTAATATTTCTGTATTTCAACATTTCAACTGAAAATTACGTCGTTTGAAAAAATTTGATGCCATGTTAATTTGTCCTCAAATGCCTACTGTGACGTCATGTGCAAAAGGTCAACTGGTCTATACGGTGCATTTTAAAGTATTTTAAAACTTTGAATATTCCCTTGGCAATAATTTCTTGAATATCCTTTCAAGCTTTGAATACCCTTGACAACAGCTCATCAAGCTCCATTTTGACATTGCGGGTTGACCCATTTGACATCAAATTGATAATAGGTTTAGGCTTAGTATGGGGATTACTGATTAGGGTTGAGATTTGGGTTAGAGGGATTAAATTCGTATAGCTATATCCAGGCGGGCATCGGATTTTTGGCGGCAAATCATATCTATGCGGCAAACATAATTAACATTGAAAAGAAAAGTTCCTGCATCAAAAACAAAAATGGTCTCATTTTGATGCAGGGCCATCGCTAGACGCTTTTTAAAAGGGTGTCTATTCATATATTGATATTCATATATCGTACAATCCCTTTTAAAATAAATCAGTCGGACATAAGACGAATACATGAATATGCACCTCCCGATTAGGCTTCCAACGAATGTTCTCACCGACAGTTGCATAACGAAAGCTACGCGCGTCAATCTTAGCTCCTCCTCTCCTCGTGCGTTTGCGAGACACGAGGGGATTATGCGTCTGGGTAATTCGCAAGTTAATTCGATTTAAGATGATGTCACAGTGGTGGTAATTGTTGGTGAACTCTGGTTTGAAAAAGTCAACAATTTTTTTAAAAGCCATCATGGGTATACAGTAATACACTGAACTATCATCAGTGGAAAGTTGACTTAATCCTCGTTTACACTATAACAGTTAATTTATTGGCGCGGCTAAAAGTGTAGCCTACGTCATAGATCATACTCGGTTTCCTCGTGGCTACTAAAAGTGGTCCCCGTACCGTACCCAATTTTATTCGCGCTCAGCCTACCAATACAAACGCACAGATGAAATGGGTACGGGTACCTATTTTAAGTCGACTCAATCAAAAAACATTCACCTGTTCGTGTGCAACAATCTGTGATAACGGTTTACAATAAACTTTTTTCCTTGCCCTTGTTTTCTTTACAGCGGCAAGAGCACTGCACCCGGCATCGTATAAGCGTAGGTTCGATTCCTGCCGACGGACCGATAGTTGACTAATTTTTCTCAACTGTTCCTGGCTTGAATTGAGTTGTGAATGAATCCACTGGAAATTAAAACCCTTTAAAAACCTTCAGAATTTACCTAGATCGAGTGAAGTGCCACAAAATCGTAATTGATATACTATATATATATATATATATATATAGTTTGTATATACCAGACGAACTAAACGAAATCCGTCATTTCTCGCAGGCTGTCTCTAATCAACGCAAAGTTCGACGAAGTGGCTAAATCTGGAACTATGGTTGCAACATCTATTGACGGTAGGTCTCGTTCATATAATTGAAATGTTAATCAAACTATGGATTACAAGTTGCATTTAAGATCGCTTCAAAAAACAAATTTTGGCGTTTCTCCATCAATGTTCGTGTTTGCGATTTGAATGTTCGAGCTGCGAGGAAATGACGTAAGAAATTCCGTTAGTTCTCCGGCAGTGAGTTTTTCTGTATAATAATTTCAGTCGTAAACAACTTTACATTATCTAATTTGTGAGAGAAATGTTTCTCGTGTCCCTCTTACTCAATATACTACGGTCCGCAAGCTCGAACGTTTAAAAGGTAACTACAAACATTCTTCGGAGTGTAAAACGGGCTTTGTGTGATTGTGCTTATTGCATCCCCCCCCAGCTCCAATAGACGGGAAGTAATTTTCATGACCATTCCCTTTATTAATCAACATTGTGTGCGAAAAATCATGATGATAGTTTTACTCATTGTTGTGTTGAAAAAGGATTACAATTCAGAGAATATTTCTCTGCACCGTCCATCGCGAGTACTCTTTCTTAATAAAATCAGCAGCCTTTGTCGTTTGAGTTGAATGGAATTGTATGGAGTCTTTTGCCTCCAGCTACTGTAATTTCCGGTTTCTAACCAGTAACTTTAGTGTTGATCATCACCATGCCGTCGTCTCTGTTGGACACTACTATTTCCTATTGGAGACTTCCGTTTTTCTTTCACCAAGTTAACGTGTTTCAAAGCCTCTTCAGCACAGATGATTTATTTTTGGAAATTTTGCCTAATATTACACGAAGCATGCGGGATTGTAACGCAGAGGCGAAGGAACGCAGGCGTTCATAAATTCCTGCTGCGCCAAGGAACACGAAGCCATATTCTCTAATATAAGCTTCTGCAAAGTGGAAAGTTTCAAAGCGTTCTAAGGTTTACCCATTATTTTTGGTGGGCAGCTGGGTTGTGGGTGGACACGGTGGATAATCGAAGATATATATATGTATGATTAATGGGGATGTTTTCCTATTAGCACGCGTAATCTCTATCCTCGCAGGCGAGCTCGCAGACTCGAAGAATTAGAGAGAATATTTTCTCGTCTTTACTCACAATAGACAACAGTTGTATATTGAATTAGTTTATAGTTTGAATATTTTGAAAGAACAAGGGGAAATTCCGCTACGTGCGTAAAATTCCGCGTCGTGGAGAACAAATTTAAGATTTGCCCTGCAATTCGGTTTCAACGGCGAATTTACCAGTTTACGCAAAGTTAACTTCCATGCCTTGCATGCGCCAAGACATCTACGTGCAAAAATGCGTTATCGTAATTTAGGCTTAGTTTATATGTTAAATTTTAGTAGAGTCGAATTTAACAATAGATAATGAGGCTTAATGAGGTTCATCAATGACCTCATCTATTGTCCTAATTGCATTAGACGCAACTGAAATGCGCCGTGTATAAACTAGGCCTTATGCGTCACTCGGGCACTATTCCAGTAAGATAAAAATATGGGTCCAATATCCAACTTCCTGAATTTGCATGAGTGCTCTTGAGACAAACAAGGAATGCAATCAAGGTCTGCATTAAATCAAATAGTTGAAGGTCCTCTTTAATGAATACCTGATTTGTTCTGCCTTTCGAGATTGCTACAATGCACAATATCGGTCATTTCTCAATCTTGCGTTAAGTGCATAAAACCAATGAAACAAAACACAAAACCAAGATAGTTGGTTGATTAAGTCATAACTAAAGCGAGGCGGGGAGTACATATAAGGATATTTTATATAAGATTAGTAATCATGAACGTGCTTTATAGCTTTTATTTGACAGTAAATGCAGTCTTCTATCAGCCTAAGTCGTATATTCATATTGTCTCCATCAAATTCCAATGATATTAGTATATGATAAATGGTTAAGCAGAAGCCGGAATGAATTTTCACATGAAATACAGCTGAGATTTTATTTCAAGTAGTTGAGCTATTGTTGCCCTTAGTTTGAAACTGCCAAGTTCGTCCACTTGATGAGTTGGCTGATCGTCTTGGTTTTGTATTAATATTTAATAACGGGAAATTATTCACAAACTATCTCAGGTTCGCCCACGCGCCGCATGCTCAATATAACGTTAAATAAAGGCATGGAATAAAGCTTGTAGTTTGATTATTTATTCGCAAGACAATGGTAAGCCCGTGGACGCCATTATGCCGGTGTATTGCTGACGGTGAAAATCATTGAGAAAATCAGCTGCGGTTAGCAGAGGAAAAGGAAGTTAATAGCGTGGTCTGTCTATATGCCAGGCAGCTGTCGAAATATTTCTTGTCATCTGTCGACTAGATACTGGCCATTCTCTGCTAATGACAAGTATATTCCTGAATAGCTATGGAGAAACTTTGGTCGTGAGATGAATTCTTTTGTATGATGCACGCGACATCACAATGTAGGTGGATGTCGCTTCAAAAGGTTCCGCCGTAAATTTCACGTTGTTTTTTATCTGGGCATTATAAATAACTGATGGAAAATGAGACATTTTCAACACTGTCTAAGGAATATTATGAAATTCTACACGATATCGATAACATATGTCAGACGTTTCGCCATCAAGGTAAGCGTTTGACATCATGTAGATTGTATGACAAATGTTTTTCCTCGATGTCAGTCGATCCTAATTGTTCATTGTTTCTTGTGTTTGTTGCAATCTACATTTTACATATGACATCGTTGTATTATGGATGTTGTCTGTAGCCTTTTTAAACATATTTACTCGTATTACTTTGAAAATTATGTGCCAGCCTGATAAATAGGCCTTATATTTATTATAATAAGGTTTTGCTTGAGAAGCGGAAAGTAATTTCGAGTTAATTTTAAAGTACTGTACATGTTTGGCAATGAATGCGGTTCCTTGCGTGATATGCTGGGAGACGGTGTACAATATAACTTACACGAACTGATGAGAACAAGAATAGCTGTATAGTCTTTCATTTTTCGCACGTTGAAAGTGTTTTACCTGAATATTCCTAAATGTTTCTCAGCAGCGAGGCTATATAACATCATATAGCACTGAACATAGAGTAAGACTAAACATTTCCTATGAATACAACCCCCCCTCTCCCACTGAACTCTTTTAGTCTAACCTTTGTAGCTGGATGAGAGTGAGAACTTCGCTTTTCAGTTTTGATCCCGTGCGAATTGAAAGTAGCTATATTTATCAGTATATATATTGATCTATATGATCCCAAGCTTACGACAGTTATGTTATTACCAGACTTACATCTTTAATAATGTATAAAGCTCCATTTAAGTTTTTTGTACGGCTGAGATATACTTTGTTGCACAGATAACGAATACAGGCTGGTGCCAATTTTATTCGTTCAGTAACCACGAGTAACGGAGCTTAATTTTAATCCTCGCGCTTTTTCGCCGTTTATTTTCTTAGCAAATGGGGAATTTGTGACATAATTACAAACACGGAACTTCTCAAAACAGGTTTTCAGAAATCTCGACATATTTTGAATCGGAACTGTTGTAAATTGTATATGCGCATATCTTTACTTGCTTCCTCGCAAAAGGAGGAAAACGTTTAAAATTTGGCAATTTGCGAAAAGGAAGAAAAACATTTTGACAGATTGAATTATTGGACGGACGCCATTTGAAATTCCATCCGCGTGCACGCAGCTGACGAATGTATTGTTTGCTCAGCTTAGTCCATTAGACGACCTACAATCCATTTATATATACACGCTAATTCAATTGAGGTAGACAATACGATATCATGTCATGGACGTACTTACAAGTACATTTTGTTGTCTTATCTAGGAAGTTATGCAAAGCAATAAAACGTACATTTTAAATAAAACGAGTTTCGTCCAAGTTTTTGCAAAGTACACTCACGCATACACATCGTGAAATGGTAATCCTGATTCAAAAACCAGCTGTACTCAGACAGTGTTCACAATGCCCCATATATCCGGCGTAATACTCAGGGATCGTTGAAAAAAGGACCGTTGAAACTATAGAGTTTGGTTGAACTACAGGATTGGCAATCAGAATCGTGTATTTTATAATGTTACTTTTTATAATTTTATATGTTACTTTACAATCCATATACCCATTAAACATGCGCCCCCGGTCATTGATGGTCTTTGTCGATCGCGCGAGCGAATGCGCTCATACAGCGGATGACAGTGTCGTATGCACTCTCCCTATAGGCTTGGGTAATATTTTAGCAATAGTTCGAACCTATTTGCAAGACCGCCATTCCATTTACGGCACTTATGTTAGTAACTTCTCAACATACATATTTCCAAATGAGTTGGCACTCAAAAATTGTGTTGGGCAATAAAATTACACGTAATCTCTATTTGAGAGCTTTTCCATTGTGCACGTAATATAGCTTCACACAAAATACTCGAGATCCTATACAGTGGCAATTCAATACTGTAACATTCACAAATAACTCGCCCAATTAAGGAACTGAGTTTATTGATTGAACTAAAAGCAAGGAAAATAGATTTGCAGCTCTGCGTGTTCGTCATAATTTTCTTCTTTTTGTGTTTGATTAAAAACTTTCGTTCCATTGCGCTTGAATGACTGTCTGTATTCTTCGAAGAGTTCAGTTTCTTCACCGACTTTGTATGAATTCTAACTCTGATTTAAAGTGAAATTGTCATGAATTTATTCTTTATCGCTGTTGTAAGAGGTCAGCTGCGCCATTTATTTATTTATGGTCTATATAAATTCTCTCTGAATAATCACGTTCAGAGAAAATTCATAAATAGCTAGTCATGGACGCATATAGCCATATATTTATATAAACTGTAAAGTCAGAATTAGAATTCAATTTGGCAAATACATACATTTATTTATAGCAAACAGGAGATAAATTTGTTATTTATAAAGGTTATACAGCTTTATAGAAATTTGGAAATCTACACCTGATGGAACATATATTTTGACTAAATATTGTGCTCAGAGTTTGATTTAAATATAAAGGGAATATAATTCTCGATTCTAGTTACCCATAGATGGGTTATAGGAATGAAGAAATGTTTATAGCTTGTATGTTTGTCTGCTCGTATACAAAATAAATTATTATTCGCACATGGTTGGGATTTCGACTGCACTCTTACTAATCTGTATAGTATATAGCATTAACACCATTAATGCATGCCTGTATTATATATTTTTTCATTCGGTCAAATTTTTTCATTCCGTGAATGCAACAGCGTATAGGGCAACGTTTTGGCAGGATTACGCAACGTTTTACAGGCGCGTCGAGAGACTAGAGGCTTGCAATATTTATTATTTTCAGTATATCGCGCCTCTTCGCTTCCGACGGAGGAGGGAATTCAGCGTGGCCTTATCTTTTTCACTGACACTGATTCCTCAATCGTAATTTACAATGTTGTTTTCAGCTGCTGGTACTTCCCTTTTCCTATTAATCAAAATTGACTAGAAAATTGACTTATCCTTAGTAAATCTTTCTTATAACACGATATTTGTACTCATTACCATAATTTTCATATTGAATATTTTCAGGTCCAGTTAAAGTGAATGGAGAGGTATCTGAACCTGTTAAGGTAAGTTTGTAATATTAATAATAATGTCTTTTTGTGGGAATTAAAAAAAATAGAGTTAAATACTATACTCAAAGCTGTCTCCCTCTATATAGAACTTTGCTTTTGCTATATATAGCGGTCAATGACAAGCGCACTAGAATGATTTTTTTCGTAGAGTGCACGTATCGTTTCCACCTTGACTACAAAGTAGGCATGTATTGGTTGCTATAGCAAAGGAACAACCCCAGACTTGTACCCAGCTTTCTGAATTCTGATAAGAAGTATGAATATTTAAGGTATATTCAGTCCAGGGATTGGTTCTATATATAGCGCCTGGATAATTCTTCCTACCGCGGTCGTGGAAAGTATTTTCAACCGTTGTATAATACGTTTGAAAGGCAATATAATTATATGAAACAACAAATAATAAAGAAAACCTTAGCTTTTATAGGAAGATTTAAAATGGATTATATATACCAACAAACTTCGGGCAATTAAAAATGCGACCTAAAAATCACTATTTTTTGAATGGCGCCTAAATTTTACAAAAAAAAGGGAAATTTTTACTAACAACTTTGACTTTGTAGACGCGGACGGGCAATTCGAGTTTAAAAAGATCAAATTCGAGAAACGAACCTCGGAGTGAAGGATCTTCAACGTCAGGTATTGTTGTGCTTTCTGATATGGAACAATGTTTTTCAAAAAGATCGGCAGGTATCATTACAAATGTAGATTTAGGCGGTAAATATGATTTCTTGAAGCTTGTCGATAAATTAAAAGTTGTCGAGAAAAAATTAATCTCATATACATATCCCCATTTTAATTTATTTCTCGGAATATATGAATACTGAAGATGGAGAGTTATCTCTTCAGTAATTTATACGGGTAACCTAATTTGTGTTATCACTAAAACCGCTTGAATGTGATAGAATATTTATCAAAGATGGGGGACGATCCATATTTTTCAGTCAATACATTTCAGTAACTATAAGCCAAATAACAGATATCACAATCCAAATGTCGGTCGAATAGTTTCAGACGTATAGTTTCAATTCGTTGCCACGGTTTCATTAATTGTTTTACGATTTTGCTCGCCGTCTTCGGTATATTCGAGTAGTGTTTGTATATCTGTCTGTATAGTTTGTTCCCTAAGTGACCTAAGGCTACAGACCGATTATAACTTAACATCAGCCTATTTGCTAAAATCTCCCGTGTGAAATCGTAAGCCTGGTTCTCATATATAACAAAATAATCGGTGATGACTGTCAGTGTGATCGCTGACAAATAAAGTGCTTTGCTTTAATTCTCTTCGCGTCCAGATCATCAACAAAACATCGCGGACCGTTGCCGACATATGTGAGAACAAGGCTTTATGATTGTGTTGTTATATGTGTACAAATAGATTAATGAATGATAATAATACAGTGCTCTTTTGCCCAGGACTTGCTGCTGGTGCTGTTGATGAAAATTATTTTATTCGAGCGTACACTGACACTCCAACCGTTCAGGTAGATCATATGGGTAGATTCACCGAAGTGCTATCATTCTATCATTCTAATGCCGTACTATTGTCAGCAGTTTGCATTTTTGTTTTCCAAAGTTAAGACTATAATAGGAAGATTATATTTATGCTGATTAGCCCAACTGAGAAAGTGAGAATAGGACCCTCAGGGGCCAGTTGCTCGAAGGCTGTATATATATACCGTTGTCGGCCAAATAATTTTTTTTAAAACTTTCGTAATGCTGTTTCAATACCAATAACATTACAGAATATGGAATAGTTCAATGTTAAAGAAAGTCACTTGACTTTAGGAATAATAAGGTCTAATTAATTTAAAGATTTGCTCAACCCAGGGTTAAGCTAACCGGGTTCTGAGCAACCGGCCCCTGCAGCTAGGTTACCAACAAACTCTGTGTAGACTGTCGCATATTATTTCTGAGTGCATGAACATAAGAATACTAATCTCTTGCGTGTTTGCTACAAATTTTTGTTGTAGCAAATTAATTTTTATTCTTGTTCGTACGCAGATTGGTTCAGCGAAAGAACTGGCTGAAGAACTGACGAAAATTTCAAATGCTTTATCAAGTCCCTCGGATGATTGGGAGGATCATGTCGCCGCAGTGAGTTGCAGTTCCAGATTACGATTGTTCAACTTAGGGCCTGCATGTTTACTTGGAGCGAGTTATCCCGGCTAGGCGAGTTAAAAAACGCATCACATCAAAGGCTTATTCTGATTAGTCTTTTATTACATGCAGTTGTCACCTCGCCTAGCCGGGGTAACTCGCTCCACGTAAACAGATCCGAAAATGATCATTTCCAAACCTTTTTTTAAATACTTGCATATGTATGTTTTGGTGCAGGTAATCATGCACCGTTAACTGTTATAGGGCCTAATAGTCTTTTCTTATTAATAAAATTAGCTAAAAAGAGTACGAAGTTTAGTTGATGGAGGCTCGCTGGATTACGATTTTGTCACCCAGTTAAAACCGTTGGAAGGTTCTTTCAACGTTGCCGTAAGTTTAGTTTTTACTATACTGATGTTTTTAGTGTAGAATTGAAGTCCATATTTATATTTCTTACGAGATTTTCGCAATCGATTTGTAGGTAAAATCACTTCGATCCGCTGTAGCGCGAGAAGCGTGTGTTACTCTAAGGTAATGCTTCCAATGGATAGCTTATATATGAAGACTGGTTCTTGTTATATTCTTATATGAACACTTGTTCTTGTTGTACCGTTATATGAACACTTGTTCTTGTTGTACCGTTATATGAACACTGGTTTTTATTATACTAACTTCAAAAACCAGGAAATAATGTAAGCTATATGGGTATTTAACGGTTTAATAATTTCTTATCTCCAGTTATCTTGCCACAAAACTTGGTAATAAGTTTGGTCCTTTGGCCGATGGTGTTCTTCCGACAATAATCGACCTGAATGCCAACACAGCAACAAAGGTATTTGGTCGATAGATCAGCATGCAGCAAACTTGCAGGCAATTCGGGCATATTAGTAACATACATATACTGTATATAAAAGACATTCCTGTTTTGGTTCGTTAACCATGGTTAGTAGTATGATTTGATCACTTTATGGTATTCGCATTGGCTGACGTCATGCGTGATTTGATTCTATACCATGACGTCATGCGTGTTATGAATACCATAACCCCATTCATTAACCTTCGTGAATAGAAATTACCACACGCAGTGATGAACAGTCATCGCCACTCGCCAGTATGAATGAACCATGTTTTTATAAACTATTTAGATCATGGCTTCGTCGGGGGACACATGCGCGAGAATAGTTATCAAGGTATTTCATTTGAAGGTCCATACGTAGCTCTTTTGTTATATCTTTTGTTATATCTATCATTTTTTACTATTCTAGAACACTCATTTCCCGCGACTGATTCCTCACATCACAACCCGAATGACATCACGATCAACACCTGTTCGAATGTAGGTATTTTTGCTAATAAACAAAGGAAGTCCAAATCCTACTTCAAAGAATAAAAATATCCTGTCTTATTTTCAGTCGTTGTGCAGATTACGTATCGTTGCTGTTGGAGTACTGGGAACTACATTATTTAAAATCGTAAGTTAACAATTTGATTGGTGCTCAGTTAACTACTTTTGATGTATTGAAAGTTTCTAATCAGTTTCTGTTTTTGATCTTTAAAGTCATTTGACCATGGTCAAATAATCATTGTTATAATAACCATGGTTAATGATCATGCATGATCATTTTATAGTCATGTCGGCGAAATCGAGAATGTAGTTCGCAATGGCTTAAGCGATGCCAGCTCAGACGTGCGTGCGATGATTAGAAGGTAAGGAAATGTTATTTCTGTTACCTTGATAAAGAAGTATAGACGGCAAACTTAGTTCATGCAGTTGCAAGACCTGGGATGGCAGGCAAGGCAAGGGTGATCATAAAACGAGCGAGTTAACCGTTGATCAAGTCACCACTGCATGAGACGACCATTGTGTGGTCAGAGAGGCCTAATATTGTTTAAAGTGTTCTATTCTTCCTTCTACCTTTCCTTATTTCTTATTTTTATCTCCATTCAGGGCATTTTGGCAGTTCTCAAAACTCTTTAAAGAAAAGGCAGATAAGTACGTCCTTAGTGTAAGCGCGCTTAAGTAATTCATTTTATACCATGCATAGATCACATCGGCAAATCGGCATTGTTGTTATTGATGTTATTCAATATTTGATGGTTATTATGTTTGCAAAATGCACTGAGCAGGATGTTTCTAACTGTTTTATAGAATGTTTAATGATTTGGACAGCAGTAAGCAGAAATTACTAGAGGGTGACAAGAAATCTTTAAATGTTGATGGTCCCAGCAGTGCCCCACCAACAAAAACTGTAAGATCTTCTAAAGCTTCGACACGTACAAGACCACCATCCACTACGTCTTCTATCTCTAGTGCATCAAGGTAAACAAACAGCAAAGCATTACATTGCATGCATAGGGATCATAATAAGGCTAGTCGCTAGACTGGTCGCAAACAAAAGTCAGCATCATTCAATCAAATTAATGTATGTCGGATCTAATCATAAGCTTTCTAACATGTACCCGTAAACATATATCCATTTATAATGCGCTGATACAGCCTGATTTCAATCACTATTTTTAGGACTTTACGATATGCGGTATACATGCACAATCTGTAGGCTTTCTTCTCAATTATATTGCATTTTATTCTTCATATTTAGTAGTTCCCTCCCATCATCAAGACCATCCCGAACGGATGTACCAAGTAACAATAAACCTACCAGAGCGAATTCCATGAGAGAAGGTAAAAGATTCCGCGATCTGTCATAAAAAACCATCCTGTTTACCCTCGCAGAATATACCGGTCCCTACTGCATGTAAATTTATTATCCCAGCAGATACCCAACATGATCCGGCTTTTATGTTTTGTGTTTATAAATACTTGAAACACTTCCACACTTTTGCGTAAGGAGACCCTTCAAATGATGGCTTACAGGTTACTGAAGAATACCACTGCTAAATATGCAATTCAAATTTTATTTCTATTGAACCGCAAACGACCACTCGAAATTTTTCAGAATTTTTCTTGCTTTTGTATACTTTTGTATACTACCCAGCCCCTCCAAACTCACGCCATATTTCAAACGTTTTTAGAATCACGACATACGGCAGCAGCCTCGCCTGGACGACGCGCATTATCGACCAAAAAATCGGGTACAACTACCCCTAACAAAATGATCGGTCGTTCAGTGAGCAACATAGACACACGTGCCGCTGAACGTGCTCGCCTCCGCAGGAGATCACAGACTGAGGGCTTAGCACAAGCAAGAAATCAAACAAATGACGCGAGACAAAGACCAAGTAGATCGGCGACGAAAGTTGTTCATCGAGGATACATGTCACAGCGTAAGAAGAGCTTTCTTAGTTCTTTATATAACTCCATGTTCTAGCTGTGGAAAACGTTATTTTTCTTTGAGGGAAAAACCTCATTCTCGTCCAGCCTCGCTAAAGAGATCTCAATTTCTTGAGTAGAAATGATATAGGATATCCACTGTATTTTTTCAATTTAGCCGCAAGTCGTTCGACTTCACCATCGCGACTAAACAATGCCTTCTCACCAAAAGAAAGATCAGAAGTTTACTCCAAAATTTACAGTCCAATGAAATCGAAAATCCCGACACCAAAGTGAGTACATAATTATCTCTAATGTCATGTGTAGAAAAATTACGATACTTACTTTCCCGGTGAGCTCATAAATTACTCTACCTCATTTTTAGTTCACGGTCTGCATCTCGATCAAGTTCTCGTGCAAGCAGTCGCGATCCCAGTCCCACTCGGGAGCATGGTTTGCGAAGTTTCAGCAGCAGCAGTCTTAATGCAAGAAAACCAACACATGGTAAGAGATTGCCAGAGATACACGGCATGACGTCCGTCTCCACAAGGAATTTGAATAGAAAAGTGCATGGATGATGCGCAGTATACTTTAATTTTGATGAATCCTTAATGCTTTCTTGTTGAAATAGTGAGGAGACTAGACACGAAGGACTTCACAGAAGCTGCTGTTTGGGATGCATTTGCGGTGAGTATTAGCGATCTAAATCAGAATTTCCCATTTCTAATACAGTAATGCATGCTTCTTATTTTTCTTGCAGTCCAAAAGTTCGAGACCTCGAAATTACTCTTTCAACTCAACAACTTCTGAAGACCAGGATGATGGTAGCGACACTTCAAGTATTCATTCTGATCGCTCAAATTCCTCCTTATCAACGACATTGGTAAGTACATTTTCATATAGTATAGCATTCAGTTAAGCATTGGATGAGGAATTACGGGCGCATGCAGGAAAAAAACTGAAAGTTCTTAACATGAAAAGATTGCTTTCATTTGAATCTGATTTCATTCCGTGGTTATCTGTAGGACACTAGTTTTTTGAGTGCCATACACGAAGAACAATTTAACTTAACTTGTTTACATTTATTACGTTGTATATGGGAGTTAATTCTTTGCTAGGAATAATATTATGGTAACTTAATTTTCTAGGAAATATCTGAAATAACCCGACTCTGTCAGAGTAATGCCTGGTCAGAGCGACGTGATGCACTTAATGCGATACAGGCATACCTCAGAAGCTCTCGAATTCTTAGCCACACAGAAATTGTACAATTCTTGGAATGTTTCAACAGATTTTTCTACGATCCTCATAATAAGGTTAGTGTTTTTGAGAATAGTTTTTATTTCAGGGCCATCATCATGGAGGCAAACATGATATACTTTATTCAAGAGAAATCCACATGGATGTCATGTTTTAGTAGTTTTTCCAAATAAGCAATTTAGCTGCCTGGAATTGATATAGTTACTGGACTGAGGCGTAGTTGAACATGTGTAGATGACTAACTTTACTTTATCTCTCTTCTTTTGACAGGTGTATAGTGCGTTCTTGGACACACTTACAGATTTCATGGTAATTCACAAAGCTGATCTAAATGAGTGGCTCTTCATCTTGCTGACGAGGCTTCTTTGTAAACTTGGTGGAGACTTGCTTGCATCTGTTCATTCCAAGGTTGTACGTGTCTTGGATGTCGTGAGGTTAGTGGTGAACTTTCACTCTCATCCTAAGCACCCAAAACTAAATTTTAAATTGTGTTCTGTGTTTTCCTGCAGAGATTCTTTTCCATACGACATTCAATTCTCAGTTATGACGAGGTTTATTTCTGATAACAAACAAATTCCGAACGCGAAGGTAATTTTTATTTACGGCAATCTGCATGTTTCATGTCCGCGATTTCCGGCCATATTGTGGCACTCTGATTTTTTGTGCTGGTCTAGAGGTTAGGCTACATCGAATACTAGCTATATAGTAAAATCGACCAACTTTGTATGCCGAGAATTGTAAAGATATCACATTTTCACGTGTTCTTGTCTTTCCATTCCAGGTGAAAGTCGCAATTTTGCAATACTTACAAGGCTTAATTGCGCGAATGGACCCCGCAGATTTTGTAAATTCAGCTGGTATCCTTTTCGTACAAACATCCTAGCAAGTGGCAAAACAAAGAAGACCGGGTTTTATGATCTCATTGGTAGACTTAATCTTAGACATTGGTAGCTAAATCTGACATGTTCAGGACTAGGCTGTATGTATTTTGTATATGCAAATTATTTCTCTCATTAAATAGTTTGAATTTGCCTTAACGGTTCATAGAAACACGACTAACAGTTTCTCGATTCATAACGTGGAACTCAGATCCAAAGAGCGCAGAGGTTCGAAAGGTGAGGTCATCATAGTTTAACCACAATGTTAGTTTAAAGTTTGGCGAAGTTAAATACTCCGAAAAATAATGGAAGGACGTTATGTTCTTCATATAACATGATTTAATCTTTTTTTTGCAGGAGTCGGCTAATGTTGTTATCGCTTTGTTTGAATTAAATACGCCAATCTTCAGCTCAATGCTACCACACTTTCCGAAGTCGTTTCACGTAAGTTGCATTGTGGAGAATCAAATAACTATTACTTTTGGTTGCAATATTGTTTCAACTTCTCAGTTTTCCTTTAATACCCACAGGATGAATATTTGTTTAAGTCTTGTAAAAGAAAGGCACATCCGAATATAAATGCTCGTGAATTTTACTGTGCCATTTCTCTATGCCACGCTTGAGAAATCACTGGTACCAGTTAGCGTTATCGCAGCAGCGTAGGTGGTAACAGCAGTCATGCATATAAATACACGTAAAATTTTCTCTTATTACTTAGGATGGTGCTTCTAAACTTATTCGTAATCACTTGAAGAAAGTAAACAAAGACGCTAAGTTGTTTACGTCGAACTCCTTAGACGAGGTGGATAACCCACCACACTCCCCCGGGAGGCTTGGTTACCGTAGCATTCCCCCTATTGTTCAAAAACAGTCAAACCGAGAGGATGAACTCGCACACGATTCCGCGTTACACGACGCCGCGGGTGATGACTCTGCACCTGATGTTTTCCTTCGGGAAAACAGCGCCACGTCGCTACATTCAAACGACAGTTTTGACTCCCTCGAAGGCGTGAAAAGGAATCTTAACAATCACGCCGAAAATTCACCAAGTATTACATCTTCCGGTTACCATAGCGATGAAATTCACACTAACGAGGCAGTAACTGTCAATGGCAATACCAGCCCGCCTCGAGTTTCAGGAGTGTCGACGTTGTCTTCCAGCCCATCCCACCCAGCACATAATGTATCAACATATGACGCAACCCGTTATCAGGATAAGGCAACGCCCGAGGAAGTAACCTCTGGTGAACCAACGTTACCATCGGTAATTATGTTTTAAATGTAATAGAGCTCTTCTTCTACTGTAAATATACAGTAGATCTCTCCTACGCATGCCTCAGCCTGTTATCACACGGATCAACTGCATTCTTCTGTTGTAGGAATCTCCTGTGAATGGCATCGGTACCGTACGTGATAGCGTTGCGACCGTACCAACGAATGAATCGTCCGATACTTTTAATAAAGGTAATTCATTTGTTTCTTACGTGCAATAATGACGTCAATTTCATAATCACATCTTAGTGGGATGATTGATCCTTTCAGAAAAGTTTTCCTTGCTGATTGTATTTCTTTTGTTGTACGTCGCAGCGATCCAAGATGATGCAGAATCCATTCATCAGTTATTGCTTTTACTTTCTGATACGAGTATTGAAGTGAAGCAGAATGCTTTAACAGATCTCATGAAGCTCGCAAGAGAATCATCACCAAGCCTTTGGGAGAATCAGTTCAAAGATATTTTGATGTCTGTTGTTGAGAAAATGAAAGATCCCGAGGTACATCTTATTGCTTTGTGCAATAGAAAAACAGTCAGCTCGAAGACTTCACCACTTTGAAATACTTTTAGCTTTCTTTCAGAAGGTTGTTGTTAGAACGAACTTTACCAACGTTTCTGGGCATTATCTATATATGGTAGAAACATCAACTTATGCAACTTAACATCAACTACTTTTATTCATTTCTAGGCGTCAATTAGAACACTGGCTGTACGAGTTGTACGAGATATGGTTAAGGCTCAGCCGTATAGTTTTAATGAACTGAATGGTCTTGTGATATCAGAGGTATTGAATCTACATCAAGATGAAGACAAAGGGGTAGGTTTACTTGTGTGCTAAGTTTGTTTATTAAAGTCTAATGCATACCATATTATCACTCTTAAAAGATAGGATTTCAACCTGCTGCCCTCAAATCCATTGTCTAGTATATGGTTTTCCATCATTATGTAGTTGTCATGGTCTGAACGTTTTTTTCTTCCATGTCCAGGTAACTCGTGCTGCTGAGGAAGCAGCAGCTACCTTTTCTAAATCGATAAGTCCAGATGAATGTATGACGGTGTTGTCACCCTTGATCAGCGGGAGTTCCTATCCTGTGAACCTCGCCGGAATTAAGATGCTTACCAAGGTACGCAGGTTGATTCAAGATGTTTATTGACAGTGATAACTTGTTGGGAAAGTAATTGAAGAAATCTGAATATAATAAAAGTTACGTAATTACCGTTGTTACATGATCAACTTTTCATGCCATTTTTATCAAGGCTCTTGAAGATGTTGACCATACAACAGTAGAGATTAATTTGCCTCTACTAGTACCTCCTTTGCTAAAGGTATGAACAATGATTAACTTAGATGGTACATGTGTTCATGCACAGGATCCTTGACATCACGACGGTATATATCATCTTTAAATTCAATCCTTCTAGTGCTATGATCATTCGGAAAGCAGCGTTCGAAAAGCAAGTGTATTTAGTCTGGTTGCAATTCATAATATTGTTGGTGAACCTGTCATTCGCCCATATCTACAAGAATTACCAGCAACTAAAGTAAGTGAAGAAGGTTCTTTTTGGATTTTTGTAGACAATGGCTCAAACTTACTTGGCTTTTTATTTCGTGGACTCCTATACATATTTCTAATTGTTTTGTGTAAATTTTTTTCCAGATGAAACTATTAAATTTGTATATAAAACGGTCCCATAGCGGTGCTGGTAGTGAATCATGAGGACAAAACAACAACACAATTGATGAATGCTCAAGGAGAGTATAATACCATCACCAAGTGCAACCAAGGACATATCATCCCAATACGATGTACTACGGATGAATAGGAATATAGTTTCATCGGGAAACAACTTCTATGTGATATAGCTATGATGCATGGCAATGCTAGTGCTGTGTCTATAGAGACATCAACTCTGGTACATTTAAAAATTAGAAGAACGTTATCTATAATAAAGTTTACTCTCAAATTAAACAGGAACCACTTCTGAATGGTAGTTATTATACCTATAATGCTATAATTGCGGCGCTTCTAATACTATAATATATATGTTTGCATGGCAAAACAATTTTATTGTCGAGAAGGTGCATGTCTGTATGTAAGGCATGGTTCACAAGATATAATAGATTGGCCTGTATGAGAAAAATATTATTTCATGCGAACCATGCAGGTCTATAAAAATAGCTGTCTGTATGAGCCGGGCTAACCCAAATAACCAAGCTGATTTATGTTAGTAGAATCTTACCTTAGCCGCAACAGGTGTCAGGTAATATTTTACTAGTAACTATATAACGTAATTGGTGTTAGCCGGGCGTCGCCAGCTCATGTGAGTATTCCTATGACTACAAGGATGCATAAAGAAAGAGCAATTAAATCTCTTTCACTAAACAGAATCAGGATTTGAAAGAAGGAATTTTATCACGAAGTCCTCAGCATTCGATGTACAGAAAAAATTTAAAAATAACGTTCCTCGTTTTCTCCTAACGTTCTTTTATTCCTCAATTGCTTGTGTATAGTCACTATCCTTTACAAATAGGGATTTAAATGTCTTATTAATGTTCATTTGAATTTCATTTAAAGTATCTCTGTACTCGACGTGCTTAAACGCATATATAAATGGATCTGTCGCACTGTGCAGGTATATCGCCCAGAATGCAAGCTGTCCTAAAAAATCCGACGAACTTATCACCCGCATTGTTATTAAGAAGAGATAAATAAAAAAAGGAGTCCGACAGAGTAAAAATGTTACTACAACAATCACCACAGTGAAAAATATTTTGGTTTCCACGGAAATGGAAACGTTCATACTACTTTGAGATGTACTCATTATTGATTCTGTTCGAAGTAAATGTGCGCTCTGGTCTCGAAATGCTCTCAAAATCGCGGTATATGTTAACAGCATTGTTAGAAATGGTAGAGCAAAGGCGTAGACCATTAGGGTGATATTATACGACATCTCTAAGGTCCGTGTCGTATGAGCTGCGTTGCAGTCGTAGATAGTGTCAGTGAATTCGTATCGACCCCAGCGCATTATGGGACCGAGGGCAATAACAAATGACGTAATCCAACCACAGAGAACGATCATAAAACAGTTTGTGTTCGTCATGCTTTTCTTCATTGGCGATGTGACGGACGAGTATTGCGAAGCACTTATGCACACCATCATTGACGTACTTGCCAAGGCAAAAAACAGATTCAAAAAGCCACTGAACTGACAAAAATTATCACTGATACCCTGTAAAAGATGAGAAGAAGTGAAATGTTAATCACCATTCTTTCTTTCACACTCGAGTTTATTAAATATAATTAACAATCTCATTAGAGAATGCAAAATACGGTCAACATTTGTACAATTGTTTCAAAGTTTGCACTTTGGAGTATGTTATCTTTTTAATTTTGTTTCGAAACAACGTTATCATTTTTTCTCTTCATGCTTGCCCAATTGTCTTTATAACTTTACTACCTGAACCTCTAGTACTAGGAGATTTAATGTTGATCTTACCCTGGATTTGTTACATCGACGAATGACTAAGTCTTTAAGAAGTCTAAGAGCAATACGTCAACTTACATTAGATTGAAGGAACACAGTCGTGATAGCGAAAGGAACACAGGACGCAGCTACTCCGAGATCAGCCACTGCGAGACTGACAAGCAACATATTAATTTGAGTTTGTAGTGATCTGTTCCAATACACTACTAGTAATACACTAACATTTGCCAAGATTCCGGTCAATGTAGTAAGACCCAGTAATATACCTATAGTCAGGAACAAAGGAGAAATCGAGGCGGCCATTATAGTTTTGTGTGGTAATGAGATAGATGTATCACATAAAAAACACAGCTAAACGTTTGGATGCAGCCATGATTAATTTGAAAATTTATATGTCCGAGATTGTTCTGTTATAGGCTATTCCCTGTCGCTTCCAGCACCACATCACTGACACTTAAAGTCATTCTCCATACGTTTCAATTAGAAAAAACCAAAGACCCTGAATAAGCGAGTGTTTCACCCGAGACTTTAGCATTTGAAGATTACAATGCCGATATAAACAGCGATTTACAAAGTCGAAGCTAGCGAATTAGCGCCACCTGTTAGACACCCGTTATTTCGTTGGACTTTATTAGGCTTAGCTACTACAGGTTTTCGTCGTTGCATATATATATAAAATCAAACATTTCAACAATTCGTACTTAATTCTTAATTAAAGGGCTAAAAACAATTACGTGATTGAGAGAAAGGTCTTGTGTTGATTCTAAAAACATAGAATTTCGCTTCCAAGTCCAAGAAATAGATTGTATAGTTGAAGAAGCTATTCAATTTAATCGTCTTTTCTTACAGCGTTCTCTGATTTAGCACTATATAAAGTTTTCAGTCCTCGACAGTCAAATTTTGAGTCAATATTTTCGGAATTTTTTGCTTTACGCGCGACGTTGCTTAAGGTCGTGTAAGGAGATCGTAAAAAACGATGCACTGATTTAGGAACGAAATGCTCAAAATTGTTCTGGTGTGTGCACACTGATAGGTAACGATCATATGCCTCTCAATCTCTATACTCCACTTGGCATCATTAGCCTTCACAGTTCACAAGTTACTCCAGTTTATCTCAATTATTCTCGATGGAGAATCCCAGCCTTCTCTCCATTGATCTATGAAGTATCACATATAGGGAACTGATGCTGATGCAAACAGCAGGCAGCGTGTTATACAATGGAGCGGCGAAACATCTCCAGGGATTTCAAGTCAGGCGATGTAGTGCGTATGAGACCAACGTGTCTTGGGTCAACGCGAATGCTATGCACAAGCACTCCACATGAACTGTTAAGTCTGTACTAACCACCAATACCAAAGTAAGACCTCAATATCTCTTTGTTTTCTTTCCATATACGTATATGTATACCTCGTGTATAGTTTTACTTGCCATGTTTTTCTTACCTATGTCAAGATTGTGATACAATGCAATGCTTGCTTTCCCAGTCATGCTGACTTGAAATACTCTGTCTTGTGCTTATGACAAATTCAACACACACTGCCATCTATCATTTGCATGCAAGCTATAGGACATTCTGCAGTACAGTAGACAACGCTCTCATCAGAATGGAGCCTACGCTTTTCATTTTATGTTGGGTAGTCAATATTGGAATGACATTTGCAAACACCTCGGGCACATCTCAGGTACGAGCAAAGATTGTATGGAAAGTCAACCAATTGAATGAGGCTCACAACCATGCAAATTTAAAATTTTCTTTTGTGTTCTGTTGCACAGTACTATACGGAAATTTTGTACTATACGGAAGCTATAACAAATGAATTAAACCCCGGCGAAAATTTAAGTAATATTTATTCGTAGTAGTCTAGGTCTATTTATATTGGCATTATCCTCATTGTCATCGGCTAATGCTCCTTTACCTAAGCCCAATGGCGCTTTTGTAACACTCCGGCTTTACTAATATGAAACGTTAATTTATATGTCATTCATTTAGAACTCGCAGATTTCCTGTGGTAGCACATGTGCTGGTGTACCAGGTATTCCTGGCATTCCAGGCCAACCTGGAAGGGATGGCTTGCCAGGAATCCGTGGAAACGATGGCGCGAAGGGTGAGCCTGGAGAAAGAGGAAATTATAGTTGTGATTGTGAAACTAAGTCTAACTGGAAGCAATGCGCCTGGAGAAGAAATTATGAAACCGACGTAGGATTTATCAGAGTAAGTGCAGCTTCGTCAATGGTCAATTTGTTCGAGGATTGGACAAATAATTTGATTTGAATTGACTTAAAAAGTTATTATACCCAACATGCAGTTATATATCTGAGGCCAGTTGTATAAAAGGCTAGTTAATTTTTAACTGTAGTTAAGGACAGAATTGGCGAATCAGAGTTGTGTATTTCTTAATTAGTCAACTAGGATTTAACTGTGCGAAATGTAGTTAAAGAGTTATATACATATGATTACATTTTACTGCGGTAGTATTTCGTTAGCCTGCTAGATGTAAATTGGACTGTTTTTCTTCCAATCCGCACAAGCGTCATGAATAATCAATGTCTATAATTAGGTCACGCGTTCAGTTGTCCAGCATACTTACCTGAACTTGCCGCGGCGTAAGTGTTATTCGTCTCGAATGCACTAGCTTCCGTACTAGTTGTTACAATCTCGTTCCCGCAATTCCTCTGGCGAGAAACAAACAAAGGCTCTGGGATAAAAACTGGCGCGGGATTCAAGGACGAGATTGTAGTCGTTGCCGTCGTCGGTATAGATGTTATTCACTGTATGCTTTGCGCTTGCTCCATTCTGACTGTTTTGATTGTGTCAGAATGGTTTTATCTTATTCTTCAGAGTTGCTCTTTCAACAAAGAGCATAGTCACACCTCACTGCGCGTTTTCTTCTCGGGAAATCTTCGTGTTACCTTTAATAACCAATGCAAGCGATGGTATTTTACATTCAATGGGGAGGAGTGCAGCAACCCAATGACTATTGATGGCTCGTTGTACAACGCGAGATCAGGTGAATACCCTCACCGTCATCGCCATTTTGAAGGTTACTGTGACCAACTTCCAAGAGGAGCAATAAGCGTTGGTTTATGGGTCGCAAACTGTGCTGGGTATGGAGACGCGGATGCACACACTGGCTACAGAGATATATCACGAATTGTAATTGAAGAGGTTCCACCACCTCAAACATAGAACGAATAATTCAATAGATACCTCGGAAAATGACAAAAACCGAATAAAACAAATATGTATCCATCCTATTCAAGCGTAAAATTTAGAGATATCGAAGGTACTAAATAAGAATATAACGAAATTGATTCTTAAAAAGCGTCGGCTTCTTTTAGTTGACTGTACGTACGTAGTTCCTAACCACTGGGGCCGGTTGTTCGAAAGGCGTTTAGCTTAAACGGTGGATATAAGCCAAATTTATCCACCGTTTAAGCTAAACGCCTTTCGAACAACCGGTTGCTCCTGGTCCTAACATCTAACATATACGCTATCCGTACCTTGGCGTACCTATTTTTCATTGTGTCACGCCTGCATCCTGCATAATTATGAGATCAGTGATTTATTATGGTAACGCAAATCCACGTGCTGTGATTGGCTGAACAAATTTTAACTGCGAACTTTGAAGCAGGGAGTCAAGGAATCAAGTGCGCTGAAGAAGTGAAACAGGAACATTTCATCCCTTTATGAACGATTAGTATTTAGTATCATTTAAACAAATTTGAAAATGAATAAAATTGGAAAAACACAGGATCGTACTATAAAATCAAGGTAAAAGGACATAGATTTCTTGGTCTAAAACTGTCATATCTGTACTTAAATATGACATAAATTTGATCAATTTGTTGGCGTTTTACTTTTATATTGTTCTTATTTGAAATTTTTCGAATGTTGTTTTAGAATTGCCGTAAAAAAAGGCAGCACTCTGTTAAACAAGGAAAATGTGCCATGTAATAAAGGTACGGTAGACTGGCCCAATTTATTGTTGATGAATTTATTAGCACAACATATCAATATAAACATTGCATGTCTACTATGTCTTCGTTTTATGCCAGACTTTATTGAATAGTGAGCAATCTAAACGAATCAGTATATATTGACACATAAAAACGCACACAAGACTCACATTGTTGCAAAGGCTGCCTGATAGTAACTCTAACAAGTTATCTTTGCAGCTTCTTGCTGCAAGTTATTGTGTAAACAAATTTGTTGAGGGTGGTGTGGGGAGCTGTAGCCCTTCAGATTTGACAGAATTAGTCTGGCTTAGAATTAGTCTAGATATGTGCTTAGAACTTTAATCCTCAAAGGTCAATTTCTGCATAGCCTGCGTGCAGACCATAGGTGCAAACGTATGGAGAACATACATTCTCCATATGTCTGCACAGAGGCTATTTCTGCAGAAATCATACATTTTGTTCAGTCCACCCCTCCACAATTCTTTCACATGTACACCTAAAGGCATCATCAGACATACCGGTTAACAATATTATTCTGGTGTATCAAATTGTCTTGTTACATAGTTGGCAATGACCTTCAGCAATTATGCAATATGGCACTGTTGTTTTCAAAGCAGTTTGCAAATTAAATAACTCTGCACTAATGCAAATTAAAAAGCCTTGAATAACTTGCCCTGAATAACCACTGTCCATTGAAGGCCCTTATAATAAACAGTGATTAGGTTAAAAAAAGAAATGTTTTTGTCCATAGATTCTTTGAAGGAATTCCTTGCAGAAATTAAAGTATAATAAAAATTTCACAACTTTACAATTGTTGCATCATATATTTAAGTTAAATTGCTACTCAAGAAATTTTAAATAATAAGAGGTTAAGAATGGCAGTCGTCTCAAAGTATTTGCTTAATTGATTTCAGGAAGTGATAAAGTAAGAAAACCCCTATCTGGAAGGTTAGTTCAAAGTGATTATGTAGACTTTACAGCCCCTGAAAAATTTTTCAACAACCAGCTTTGTTTGAAATTTCATTGTTTCATTTACAAACTATTGATCAACGAAACCATTTTCTGGCATATTAATGATTTGAATAAAGCCAAAAAAATTAGGCAATACATATATATGCAGCATGAAATAAGGATTTGGGATGTGATGAGGGATGGATCCATGCCGTTTAATTTTGTGAGGAGGGGGGTGGAGCCAGCTGTTGGTCATAGCTAGATTGAGGTACAAACACCATGCAGGTATTGCATTAATTATTGCATCTTATGAAAGTTGAAGCATCTTTATGAGTTTAGGAAAACGTTGTCAAGCAGGAATGGTGATAATTCTGAAACAAAGATTCCAGTGGCAGCACTGGTAAAATCGAAACATAGAGTCAAGACAGCTCCAGATTTTGACAAACTTCATAAAAAGTGGGAAGCAAAGTTAGCCAAGGTACTTGCTTTACGATCCGTGATGAATTATCAGTTGAACATATGAACTAGCTGTTGAAGCTGTATAGTCTGAGCACTGACAGTGTAATTCTACTATAACTTTTTCTTTTCTAGGGAAAAGCCGTGACAAAACGGGCAAATACAAAGGTAAGGAAGGGATCCAAACTAACGTACGTACGTGAGCGTTCGATGTTTTACTGATGATAATGCCAAGGTTACCAAGTGACTCCTCTGCATGTGAAGAAAAGTTAACGTACACGTGCGAATTACGGTGTGTCTGTTTCAGATTGAAGCGTTTAATCTCACGAAGGAAGTAAATTTGAAGCACGACGATATTGAGTCTACTGAGTTCCAAGATAAGAACGATTTGGTAAGTATCAGTCTTATAACTAAGACGAGTTTTGAAACTTGAAAACTTGAAAATGCAAGGTAATAAGCTGCGTACGCACTTAGCAACTTATACTTAATCATATATAAAAGTTGCATCCAGACGACACCGTCAGCGTTTCGATTTCTTGATCTTAGCTTTAATCTTAATCGTAGCTTTTGTTCATTTTTTAAAACTATTTGTGTTTCTTTGTGTCCTCAGGAAGATGAAAAACCAGTCAAAACTTCACAAGAAAGGTACACTGTGCATGAATCAACTTTTAACAGGAAAAAATATTGCGATGTAATATCAATAATCAGATCATTGAACTCACGGATGAAGAACTATGCACAATCGATCCTTGAAGACTAGGAATACAAATTTATAGGCCTGCTTTCCATTCAAACAATATCAAACAATATCATAACTAAATGTAATATTATAATAGTTGTACCATTGTTTCTTTAGCATTCGGTTAAACTAATGACTTATAAAACAAGAAAATACACTCTAAGATAAGATACAATTGAAATTGTTTATTCAGTGAAGTGGTGCCAGAAGTTAAGACAGTTTGTTGCAGCTGTGGAGAAACGAAGGCCTCACAGGAAAACGTAGCTTCAATACCAACAACTTTTAAAGTCCCAAAATCCATCAGGAAAGTCAATGTATCTTCTTCAAAGAAGAAAGAGAAAAAAGTGGAATTTGAAGAAGGTATTTATAGAAAGTAGAGGTGGTACAGCGTGGAGCGATATAATCACTACAAAAGATGGCTGCTGTAGTATTTTTCCGCGTTATTTTCCTATCTAATAACTTTTTTATAACGACAATTAAATCCATCTATTAATAATTTACCCCAAACGAAATGTTCTCATTTGTTTGTTGATCTTTTTGTTATTAGATCCATTTGAATTCAAACCAGATAAGAACGCTTTAGAAAGCATTCTTAATAATGATGGTATCAAGTCAACTCCAACTAAACGAAGCACTGGTTTCTGCTCGCCTTCGCCGTACAGTCAGGTAGCATTATACTCTGAAATTTCTCCTATTATATTGGTAAACACCTATTGAGTATATTGTGGTATACACCTTACGACATGATTTTCTTTTTTTTATTTTACTGGTCATTGACCGGGACCACGCATTATTTAATCAGAGCCATGAATCCCATTCTCCCAAGTTATCTGGCTGGTAGAGCTATCTTAAAAAGTTAACTTAACGGCCGCAACTGAATATTCTCCGTTCCTGTCAGTGTTTATAATGAATCTGTAAAAATGTGTTGCCTGATTTTGTAACAACGTCAACCTCGAGTCTCGTCAAGAGTTTTTTCGATCATTGACGATCCTTTACTCAGAACATGTGATATCGCATTTCTTATTTTATTTTTGATATCAATCCTAGAAAAGAACCTCGATATACTACACGGGCCCTCGACCAGACCGTCCGCTCAGTGCTTTCGATAAAAGATTGAGCATGCGTCGTGCGGCAACAATGATGGCCAAAATGAGTGAAGCAAAAAAGGAGTTCGACCCTTTAAACACCTTGATTGGCGTACACGATATTGGTAACAGGTTTATGACTACACCTCGTAAAGGTTAGTAAAGACTTGCTCCAAGACATTTTTCATCTTATATACAGTTTACACAGTATATCTTCCGATGTACATATACTATCATACTTCGATCGTTGAGAGACAGATTTAAAGAAAGCCTTAGGCTGGTTTGTTTAAAATTGTGTGAGTGGAATGGGCCATGAAAAGTTTAGCCGGTTTTGTTATGGGTTGAAAAAAAGTTGTCGAAATTATATTTTACTGAGAAGCATATTTTTGCCGTACCACTTTTTGAAATACTCCTTATATTTTAATTGATACTAGAAAGCAAATTATCATGATTGTCTTTTCTGTTTAGAAACACAAAATGATAAGAACACGAATCCGGAGTGCATACCCGAAGAAACTGAAGACGAAGAAACAACACAATTCTGTGACACGATCCCTCGGACAATTGAAGCTGAAATCTCCTGGGCAGATACACTGAAACACTACTCGCAATCGCAACTAGAAAGTCATCCCCTAATTAGAGTATGTTTTTTATTTGTTTGTTTTAAACGTCAAGATTAAGATGTATATTGCCTACGTCATATTGGCCGTCAAAACAAACAGGTTTATCGTGAAGAAAAAAGATCAAGAAGTAATGTGACATTGGTGACCGGGCCACGCGTAGACGAGTACTTAGATTCAGGGCGCCCTGATCAGATTATTTATAGACTTATAGAGTCTGTAGGCGTGACAATTGACCTGCAGAATTAGGTATTCTACTATAGCCAGTGTTCAAACATTTTTGCTTACTCACTAGGAAGACGAGGAAGACCTTGACGGCGACATAGAAGAAGAGGTGCACCAAATTTTTTGTTTTGTTAAATTATTTTACAAATCAATTCTATAAGTTATAGTGTATTTAATACATTCTTCATTACTGAGGGAGAGAACCCTCTTACCTCCGTCTCCCAAGTAAAGGTTTCAAAATTCACGCTTATTTTGTCTCTCATAGGACAAAGAAGCGCTAATCGCCCAGTTAGAGGAGGAGGTTCGCGAAACATTGTCCAGTGTAGCATTGAATGAACGTAGTTATCTTCCTAGTGTAAACCATTCCTTGCCTCATCCATCGTCTACTGAGCTCTTGAGAAATCCTAATATCAGCATCCCGCTACAGCAAAGGCGAGACAGGCCATCTATTTATCGTAAACTTTTCGCATCGCCAGCCAATGTTCAAAAGAGAGAACCAATCGTAGAGATAAACCTTCCCATAAATGTACCTGCGAGTCTTCCCTTTAGTAGCGACGACGTGGCTGAACAACGTTATCACACAGAAATTGCGTCATTTTGTCCGTTAGAACCAATTGGATTTTCCCGGCTGGCAGTGGATAGTCCATTACAAAGTTCACACGGAGAAAGTCAATGCATCTCCGAAGGGTATGGTAATCCACTTAAAAAATTTGTGCCGTTTCAACCGTCAACCGATGAAAATCTGGGACATCGAAGTGGTTGTACAAGAAACATTGGTGGTGAAAAGCTGATATCAACCTGCTCTACTATACACGGTCCCGAAAACGCCCCGGGGGGAGGTGTGTGGGTTGCCGATTCTGCTAGTATGGAAAAAAGGGTTGAGTTTACTAATAATAATGCTGGTGGAACAATATCATCACGTTGTGCTTTGCAAAGTCTTAAAAACTCCGCAATTGGCAGTGCATCGTTTACGAAGCCTAGTGAAATGAGAGATTTTAAACACACAAGTCTAGTAGAAGCTGCTAGTGCCTCGTTGGACTTTAAACTAAAGAGAAAAGCATTAGAAAACGAGTCAGTGTTTAAAAGAATCCAAGCTTCACGTTTAGAGTCAATAAAAAATCCTCCTAAAAGCGAACAAAATATTTTAATTCCAAAACCTGTGAGGCATGTGGTGGCAGGAGATGAAGGATTTGTCACTCGTCATCGTCAAATCATGCACGAGGCTCTGGTGAAGAGTCGTGATCATGCGCAGGTGCTTCTGTTAGACGCTGAGGTGTCAATGCATACAAGGAGTATTGGTTATTTATGGAAATATGAACATGACCAAAGGCTCGTAAATCCATTGGCGAAAGTATTCAATGAAGGAGACGAAAGGGTAAGTATTTTTGTTTAAAAACCCATGCAGCCGACTGCAGTTTCTACCGACTCCGAGCATGATTTTTTGTTTTTCTCGAATAGCAAATAAAGCTGAGATTTTACGTAATAGTAATATTATAGTTTAAGACGAAAGTCACGATGCACAATGCCGGCCCAAACGAATATAATGTTAGGTTAAAACTAATGTTAGGTTAATGCAAGGTTAAATTTTTGCATGCGTATAGCTCTACAATTTTAATCTCGCACCTTTCACGCTTTCTCAAGCGGCAACAAAAGAAACTCGTATAAAACAAGTTGTTATGAGAATTATAACAGAGGATTTAGCAGAATTCCATATAAAACCAATCCGGGAACGCTGCAAAAAATGCATGCAGCCCAAAGTTTTCTAGCAGGAATCAAATCTATACCCAGCTCTGCGCGGTTCCGAAGTTTCAGACGTTTAAACGATTTTAATTTCTTTTTCAGCATTTCATTCCAATACTGGTATAAGGAAGTACCCTATAATCCTATATATGCACCAAATATATATATTGTAAATATGTGACATAGAAAATTGTTGAAAAAGATAAGGTGTAGTTTAGCTTTTTAAATAAACATTTAGACTATTGACATCGCATTTAGGAGATATATATATATATATGTATATATAACTTTAAAATCCACTACAAAAATTTTAAACCCGAAAGAGCAATATTATATATTGCCTTGTAACTTTAATTCACCCTTCCGGGAAAGTACACTGGGTTCGTTGTAGCTGCAACCGTTTCAAAATTTTAAAATATGCTAGTACATCGTCACAAAAATTGCGGAATTACAACAATTGGTCAGAAAAATCATTGCAATTATATGGTACTGTGTATAGTAGCTATTACATGCGTAGCATTGTCGTAAACGTCAAAATTTAGTACATTTTTGTGCAGGGTATATTCCGTAGTCCGTACGACATCAGGTCTCTATAATGTGTAAAACATTTTGATATACCAATGTATTCCTTCGAACATAGAGCGTGCTTGTATGGTTAAATAAAATTAGGGCCGTTGCCACACGGATTATTGGGATTAAAAATTTTTTTCTAGCAAATTAGCTCAGGAAAGCGAAACATTAGGAAAAAATATTTCCGAAACAATGTTTCACAGCCCCAGGACTTAGGTCTTAAGCTGGTATTTTAAACGCGCAACGAGGCTTTGTGTCTGGCTCTGACTCGTCCCCAGTCGTCTTGTGAAATATCACACAGTTAGAGTGAATTATAGAGACCATATATGGTCATATGGAAGCGCAATTTAGTTTGAGATCAGTTTGTCAACTGAAGCGCGAAAATGTATGCCGGATAGGAGATAATTTAATGGTGCGCGAGAAAAAAGGGGGAGTGCCAAAATATTCATACAAATGATTGACAAGAGCTCGAGCCGACGCTTATGCATCTTTTTGAGGTTAAAGTTTAAAGTATACTTTAAAAGTAAGCTTGGCTTCGAATTTGCAGCTTGAAGTATGCAAACATTACAGGTCAACACCGGAGGTCGTTTGGCAGTTTTGGATAAAACGATTATAAAAAGCCACAATTCCTCAACCTGTTAACTACTTTACGTCCTATAATGATAAATTAATGATTGTGAATGGCCGAAATATTTGTTTATTCGTGTACGGTTGTGAAGATCAATCGAATTCACATCTTTCATGTCTTCCATATCAAAGTGATATATTTATAGCCTTGGTCTTAGAATATATTTTTCTTTTTCAGTCATCACCGTATGCCGACTCTCTGAATTCATTTTTCTATTGCCTAATAAATAATATAACATAAAAATTTTCTATCTCATGCATAATAAAACTAAACTATAAACACAAAGCGTTGCGTAGCAATTACAAACATCGATTCAAATTTACAGCAAGCAAGTTGCTTAATTTTTCGATAATATACAAATGCATTCAACTATTATACATAAAGAAATGAGCACACTTCGCACTGCTGACTGGCCTTTCTACTTTCTTTCATTATTCTATGGCATTGATCAACTCTCTAATAACATAGCAATGAATAGATGGAATGTACTAGCTGAAACTGAGAGTTATGAATTAAGTTGACATTAATTTTTGCGTTGTTATGCCTTATGTCAGTAAAATTTGGTTTAAATATCCCTCCTAGTATTCTCCTAGCATGTGGTATCCGTTGGTATTGATCCATAACCACTGTTCCTCTGAATATATTTCGATGAATTTTGGAAACAAAATTAGGACGAATCGACAGGCACCTCAGTGACAGGCACACGCAGAGCAGACAGGAAATAAAAACGTTGCATCAAAGACAAGAGTTACCATTTTAGTATCCAGTTTCAATATTTAATATTCTTTAATTCTATTTTCTCAATCAAATTCCTTTGTGCTTATATCGATGTCGTCGTTCAACTTCATTACAATTAAATCGTAGAATTGCACTAAACTTCCGCGCTTACATTGTTGGCAACACTTCCATTCAGGTCCGACCAACAAATTTAATGTGTATAACTAAAAATTTCGGCCTTTGATAATTTTCATTCCCTCTGTGCGTAAAATCTTGTTTTTCCAGTAAAATATTAAGCAGTTAAGTGTACTATTCATCGTGGCTATCGTTTTGGCCCAGAACGCAGCAGTAATTTCTGTAGTGTGGATATCCAAAGTAGATGTTGATTCGGATGAGTTTATGGTTAGCGCTATGTAAACGGTTAATGGAATAGACAATATGGCGAGGCAAGCAACTGCAAGCAAACAACTCGATATATTTTTGAAGGAATAATTTTTTCTCATTCCGGTTTCGGGTGATGTATTGTTTCTGCGACTTTGTCTGGAGATTCTGAACAGTTTATAGTTCATGAATAACATCGGCGGAGTAAATAAAGCAAAAAATATTGCCAGAGCGACTGACTTGGAAATTACTATATCGTTTACAGATAACACGCTCAAAATAATCTCGATAGCGATTAGAAATGCAAGAAGAGTCAAAAGTCTTGCCTTTGTTACCGATGTTCGATGAAAAATAGGGTAATATGTTCCCAAGTATCTTTCAAGGTTCATCACCAATAGAACGAGTATAGAAAAAGCAAGAGACATATTCGTCAAACTACTAAATGTTTCCACCCATGTTGGAAACCCATCTAACTTTTCAGCCAACCATAACGTCGCCGTAATAGCCAAGAATGGTTGATTTGTTGAAACAGCAAGAATATCGCAGCAAGACAAAACCATTATCATGAAATAACACAATTTCTTTCTAAGTTGAGTTGATCTCCAGAAACTGATTATGACCAAGGTATTTAAGCATATACCTGAGAAAAAAAAGAGTGTATTTGCAACACTAAGAGCTACCAGGCTGATAAAAATATGTAACTCCATCATGAGAACTGAACACATGAAAAGAAATTTATACTTTTTCAGACATCCGGTCTTAATCAAAGCAGGTAGCTGCACCAACATAATTTTTAATTTTTTGTTTATATAATATCCCGAGGCGTAGATATTTTTCATGCCGTAAAGAGCTTAATTAATTATTTATATTCTGTAAAAGTTAAATATGTTACTATTTATCATCTTTTAATAGTGTAAAATATTCCGGGATGATATACTGTAGATGATCCATGGCCATCGCCATTGAATGTCAGTTAAGTGACAGTGCATGATTATATGTACTGACGGATTTCGGAAGCGATGTATGCCAAAGTACTGATGAGTCCATGCACCGGCAGCCTGCGCGCCAAGGCAAGAAACTGTATACTGAAATTGGGCAATAATAATTCATCAACGATTTATATTTGACGTCTAACATAATGCTTTCAGAAGAGCCATATAACAGTTTAAAGTATAACTCTCTAACTCGTCCCCAGTCGTCTTATGAAATATCATACAGCTATAGTGATTATAGAGACCATATGGAGGCGCAATCTAGTTTGAGATCAGTTTGTTAACTACTTTACTCTGTTAACTACTTTACGTCCTATAATGATAAATTAATGATTGTGAATGGCCGAAATATTTGTTTATTCGTGTACGGTTGTGAAGATCAATCGCATTCACATCTTCCATGTCTTCCATGTCAAAGTGATATATTTATAGCCTTGCATGGTCTTGGAATATATTTTTCTTCCTCAGTCATCACCTATGCCGATTCTCTGAATTCATTTTTCTATTGCCTAATAAATAATATAACATAAAAATTTTCTATCTCATGCATAATAAAACTAAACTATAAACACAAAGCGTTGCGTAGCAATTACAAACATCGAGTCAAATTCACAGCAAGCAAGTTTCTTAATTTTTCGACGATATACGAATGCACTCAAGTATTGAGCACATTTCCCACCGCTGACTGGCCTTTCTACTTCCTTTAATGATTCTATGGCATTGATCAATTCTCTACATAGCAATGAATAGATGCAATATATACTAGCTGACAGCCTGACAAGGGTTATGAATTAAGTTAGCATTAATTTTTGCGTTACGTTATTATGCCTTATGTTAGTGAAATCTGGTTTAAATATCTTTCCTAGTATTCTCCTAGCATGTGGTATCCATTGGTATTGATCCATAACCATTGTTCCTCTGAATATATTTTGACGAATTTCGGAAACAAAAGTTAGTGACAGGCACACGCAGAGCAGACAGGAAACAAAAACGTTGCGTCAAATTGTTAAGACAACAGTCACCATCTTAGTATCCAGTTTCAATATTTATTCTTTAATTCCATTTTCTCGATCAGATTCCTTTGTGCTTATATCGATGTCGTCGTTCAACTTCATTACAAGTAAATCGTAGAATTTCATTAAACGTCCGCGCTTACATTGTTTTGCAACACTTCCATTCAGGTTCGACCAACAAATTATGTACAACTAAAAATTTCGGCCTTTGATAATTTTCATTCCTTCTGTGCGTAAAATCTTGTTTTTCCAGTAAAATATTAAGCAGTTAAATGTACTATTCATTGAGGCTATCGTTTTGGCCCAGAGCGCAGCAGAAAGTCCGGTAGTATGGGTATCCAAAGTAGAAAAAGTTTATTCGGGTGAGTTTATGGTTAGCGCAATGAAAACGGTTAATGGAATAGAAAATATAGCGAAACAAGCAACTGCCAGCAAACAACTCGATACATTTTTGAGAGAATAATTTTTTCTCATTCCAGTTTCGGATGATGTTCTGTTTCTGCGACTTTGTCTGGAGATTCGGAACAGTTTATAGTTCATGAATAACATTGGCGGAGTAAATAAAGCAAAAAATATTATCAACCTTAGGATAATATCCACCCATCTGGGATATCCATCTAACTTTCCAGCCAACCATAACACAGCAGAAATAGCCAAAAATGGTTCATTTGTTAGAACAGCAAGAATATGGCAGCAAGACAAAACCATTATCATGAAATAACACAATTTCTTTCTAAGTTGAGTTGATCTCCAGAAACTGACTATGACCAAGGTATTTAAACATATTCCTGAAAAACAAAAGATTATATTTAAAACAAATAGAAATATCTGGTTGATAACAGTACTGAGCTCCATATTGATAGCTAAAGTACGCTTTTTTTAGACATCCGGCCTTAGCAGGTCCGTAAATTCTTGGTAATTAATTATTTATATTGCATTGTAGAAAATAATATTACTAAGTACGTCAAAACCTAAAAGTGTTGTCACCTGCACGCTATACTAGCTATATACTATAGGACAGGAACTGCTATCGATGGGATTTGATGTGAGTGTTTACACAAGCCGGCGCACTCATTTAGTTAACCGGCTCATAAAACTAATTAAAGAAACTGTGTTATTTAATGTTAATTTTGATGTTAGATTTCAGCATTTTCGTGCAATATTGACTTGATGGGTTCAAACTAAGGATAGCGTTTCTGAAAGCAAAATTAACGAAAAAGCAAGAAACTATATAAAATTGGGCAATAAATCCAATAATGATTCATCAACGAATGGACGACTTGTGCTTTCGACTAATTTCATGGAGCTAGGCCCTGGGGACGAGGATGGACTAATTTTTGATCGAAGTAACAAGAAAAAAAATAAATCATCA